TTAAATATCTTTTAGCAAAAAAGAATCTCTTTTAGCTGATATTATCCTACAAGTTTGTGTAAATCGGTTAATAAGACAATTATTGCGTTTTTGACGAAACCTTAGTAATAACTTACATTTATATTTAAAGCAATACGTGGTAGAATAGCTTTAACTTTAACGTTTCATTCTGCATGTAATATCTTCTGCTTGCTGGTTCATAAGAAATTTTAAACTTTGCTTGTAGCTTGAAAGAAAACCCGTTTACGAATCTTTCCGGAAATTAATACTTACGGATATATAGCCTTGACTTTATCATAAATTAGAGAATGAATCAATTAACTCGGATGTTGAAGACTTCGAAATTTGGTTGTACTTCAATATTTAGAAAATCAACTCAAACTACAGTTGAATTTATTATTAATTTTCTCAATTTAAACTTTTATTAGATAATCATATACTTCCATAAATGATTTACCAACGTATATTTTAACAATCTTAAAATCATCTAGTAGTTCCATTTGAATTCCTGCATTCATATAGTATAACAATAGTAACATGGAAACCCAAAAACCTATAGAGTTTAATTGATGCTTTTAAGGATGATATTTTATCTTCAGGCTGTTTTACTTCCGTGGCATCTATATTTATTCAGAGAGAATGATTGAAATCATGCCTATGTGTTAATCACATTTAAAGTTTAATAGAAATATCTAATTTATTACCAGAGTAACTTTTAACAATAAATCGTTGAGAATCTTTTCATGAACAGCTTAATTGGGACAATATATCCGTCAGACATATGCAGTCATTGGCAGCGTGCTTCCCTAACAACGGGTGCATGTCTGCATTTTTATTAGTAGCGATACATACTTCTCGGGACTTGTGTACTGTAGGTTGCGTTTATACTATAATACGAATAAAAATAAGAAGACGGCCCACAATCTCAGTCACATGCATGTTATATTTACTGTTATGAACTATTAAATTACAACTTATTATATAAGATTTTCTCATTACTTTTACATTCGACTATCAACCATACACCACACAGATAAAATTTGTAATTGATATTAAAAGTTGTATCATCAAACAGTTATATTAGCATAGAAGTTACTATCATAGCCTTTCCCTAAAACAGTGATAATCATAGTAGTTTTATAGAAATATATTATGGATCTCAATCTTAGTATATCGTTAAAAGCTAGAGTGGCGCAATGCTTTCAAAAGTGCAAATACTTTTTTTTTTTTATTCGTAGTGTGCAGAGGTGAGACATGTAGGGAAGGAGTTATTTTCCTCAGATTTTAATTTTCTTTCTATGCATAAAAAGTTTTATGTAGACACAAAAGTAAAATATCGCAGTAATTAAGCTGCTAATAACTCGACCGAGTCGAATAGTGGGAGACCACAGAAAAAATCCAAAACAAAAATCCGCCTTTGGAATCCTAAACAATAGGAGAGTTTTAGTGAGTAGGGTCCATTGGGACGAGTCTCACACTGTTAAGGCGCAGGGCTTCTCGTACATAACTTGTATTTCTCGACGTTTATCATTAGATTATATTCAATAAATGATGATACATACGAAAAAAAAAAAAGGTTCGTTGCGTTCATTCTGCTATTCCTCGGCTTGCAGTCATCGTTAGAGCACAACTGCGTATGTTTATTTTAGTTTTGATTGGACTGGATAAGGAATATTCTAAATCGTATTTAAGAACACAAGTGGTGTTAATGAAGTAAGTTTAAGGCAGTAATGAGGTATTCTTACCAACTTGCAAAAGTAAAGGTGGAGTTTGACTATGTTGCTCACATACCTAAAAACACAATCGCACCATCATTTTCTAAACGCAGTCATAAGATGCATATATTTTAGATCTTTAGGGGCCGTTTACGGCATTCGCCTTAAAAATACTGTATATAACTTTATAATATAAGAAGCAAGCATTAAGCAATCCGAAATAAGACATCAATTTAAGCATTTAATATTGGGAAAACAAGTCAGAAAAACATTGTATACTGAATTTCTAAACGTACCTATTCCAAATATTTACTCCAATTTAGGGTCTATTCACTATTCAACTTTAGCACAATGAATAGTTTCACTATTTTAAACAATTTATTAGTTGAGATAAAGTTAGCAGCAATATAAATTCTGCGAATAGTTGTCGAAACATCTAGTCATACTAATAGAAAAACATAATATTAGAGGAGTTACGAAATCCTTAACTAAAAATATTTCGTATTTATCATCCTATATTAGACCATTTTTAAATGTTTGATTTTAACTTTAGTAAAAACTCTATACACTATTATGAAAAGAAAAAATCTACTGATTTAATGTTCTATTAGAGTGCAATGCCTGCTTTCACATACATTATTCTAAATTTTAAAGTTTGGCTGTAGTTTACCATTCATTTAAGAGATGATCAGGCTTCTTGTCTTAAGCCACATAAAATTTTATTAAAGTTCTAAATATAGTTCGGTTGTATTAACAATGCTTGCAATCCTTTGAAATTCACTCATGCGAAATATTAAAATAGGAATACCTTCGTTGCTTAAATTTTATAATTGTGACAATGGAAACTTAAAAATAGAAGATTGTATGCTTCCGTCGATGATTCACCAACGCATGTTGTCTCACTTATAATATGCATATAGAATTCTGTTCGCTGTCGGATCGCACCATTTTTTTTCCTATGTATTATGAAATTATCTAATGATAAACTATAGAAGCGAGAAACACAAGTTATTCACTAAAATCGAATACTTTGTGAAACTCAAAGATATCATTTTCAAGATATCTAAATTTTTGTTCAAGTGCATTTCGCGTAAGCAGGACTATCTGTTCTCTTTGAAGATTATTTTGTTTCCCAAACTATAATTAGAAATACGTTGAAACCCTGTCAATTCAAGCCCTTTTTAGTTATAGCTAAACATCTTAAAATGATGGATAAAGATGGCAACATTCTTGGCACTAGTAATTGAAACTTATTGTTTTGTTAAGAACACTATAAATCTTAAATGTTATTATATTCGTCAATGCTAAAAACCAAATGTTTGCAATTGACTAAATGCATAATAAATTGTCGTGTGGCGGCCTATTTCCTTGTAAGCTCACTAACAGATGTAATTGAGCTTACCGCTATAATCTCGCACCGGTTCCTACCAATTACGAATCCTAAACAGAAGTGAGTGTGAATAAGGTCAAATACAACAATAACACAATTTCATTAATAAGAGAATAATGCCCGCAATTAGGTATTTATTACAGTCTAAGTAATATCGTATAAATATGCGGAAAATCCTATGGAATGCAGGCATTTTATTTAGATTTATGCAATAGACTGAGTAAGAAGTGGACTACAAAAATACACGTAAAGATACTTGGCTAAAGTTGACCTGTAGAATCATCCAAGTAAAGGACCATCTTTGGTCCTTTACTATACCAATTGGATTAGATAATAAGGGGCTAAATTAGCTAATTGAGCTAAAGCTCAACTACATCAAAGAATACCCATAAATAAATTAGCGCACGACTTAAGCCGGTCGTGCGCTACCAATTTCGAAACTCTTCTAGCTATAATAACTTATATCTTACACGACTTAAATTGCTTCAAATGTCATATAATTGATTATATTCATATCATTAACTCTGTTTCCAGCTTTCGTGTTAAACCTACTCCTCTTTTAAATTTATTACCTTTATTACTTAATTTTGCCATATTGAATACTTTTTCTCCACTTTCATCCGAAATTCTCAGAAATATAACAATTGAAACTGATATTTCGCCTCTTTCTATCTTTATCCTACCACTTGATATCACCTTGTGCCATTTGCCTTTTTGATTCGAACATAATTTTAGTTAACTTTTTAATCAAATATTTTACAATTTCTTTTTATTATTTAACTCTCTAGTATTAACCTTAACATTACTTATTATACAGCAACGTTTATCTAACTACTTTATACAAATTGCTTAAATTTTATCTTTACATATTTGTTTTTTAATATTATTGAATTTTTTTATAGAGTTGTAAATACATAAGTCTACTAGACACGGAGTTAAGTAAAAAACTAAGCGATCATTTCAGTCTCTTATAAGAGCTATAATTAATAAGAGATGATTCTGTAGAGTCAGAAGTTCAAACAAAAACCTGGCTAATCCCTTTCAACTGATTTAGTTTGCCTTCCTAATATCACTTTATGTAGATTGAGACCCTTAAATGATAAGTTATTTTATAATCATAGAAAATCACCAGTTAAAGAAAACAAGCTCATATATACTGTACTAGAACTTAAAATGCAATCATATTTATACAGTGACAATACTTAAGTTTATCAGTTAAGATTATACAATGATTTGAAGCAGGCATTACCTTCAACAATTATATTAGACAATTGATGTGTTTCTGTCACCTTTAATAAAGGCGTGTCTTCAAATCAATTGTTGACAGGTGAACGATGTGGGCACTTTGGTTGAATCAATTCGATATAAATTATATTAAATGAATAACCAAACAATTAAACTATATTTGACTTATGGTCTGATATGACGTCTGTATTAAGCCACTCTAGCTCTCAATAATTTAGTTTTTAAGTTCTGATTAACACCTTTTAACTCTTTCATGCATTTTTGAAACAGTTCACAATCTATATAGCAGCATACCGTTCGTCGCCCTGAGCGATCTGGAAAAAAAGCGTGCAGAATTCAAATCTGCGTAACAAAGATGCACAACGCTTTCGATTAGGTATGGTAAAATTGGGTATGATAAAATTGGGTATATACTAACCGGAACCATATACTAAAAGTGAGCTATGCTTTAGATTACCGTATTGGAAAAAAAATGAATGAATTCAACATTATACAAGCTAGTCTCTGTATTCTGAACTATAGTTCTGCAATATAATTAAACGTTTTGCTTATCATGCTAATGTTAGTAATCTTAACTTCTATTTAAAAGATTACATACAAAGCCAGTCTGCAATCTAAATCTTCCAAACCTAATAAGCATATGTGTCAAAAAAATGCCCCATCATGAGGATGAGCCATTTGATTAATTAAGGTTCTTCATCTTTGGCACAATCCTAAATTCTACAAAATTACCACCAAAGCGTAAATCTATCCGCCTTATCGCCTCAGCTTAAGACTATTATCCATCTCGTATATTTATTCAGTTTACTACTACACACTCCTCAATATCACCAATATTTTGCACCAATAACAAGGCACATCGTCAGAAAAAAAGCTACTTCCGTGGGGATACCTTCAAAGTGGCTTTACGAACAGCTTCTTCAATCTCCAGTGAAACTTTACCAAATAACTTAAAGACACGATCTTGGACATCTGTTCTAGCGCTCTTTAAATTATCAGAAATGTTGTACAAGAATGCATCCTTCTGACCAGTCTTCTTAAATACTTCCCATAAAGCGAGTGCTTGATCGTAATCATTTGAGGTTGCTGCCCACTGAAAACTAGTTGCTTCACCAACCCATTTTTCATGCGCTTCATTATTAGAAGCATCTAAACGATAATTGAGTGGATGGTAAGAGCTTGGGTAGTTTGGTTCTGATCCATAATTACCATTGACACATCCCTGGCCGTCTCTTTGGAATGGACTGTGTGCCTGAAGTGGGCAATTGATGGGAATTTGGTTAAAGTTAGGTCCTAAACGATGACGATGAGTGTCATTATAAGAAAACAATCTAGCTTGTAATACGGGATCAGCAGATGGTTCAATGCCTGGAACAGTATTAGCTGGACTGAAAGCGGCTTGTTCAACTTCAGCAAAATAATTGAGAGGATTCCTATTAAGAACAAGTTTTCCAAATCTTCTGAGGGGATACTCCGAATGAGGCCAAATCTTGGTTAAGTCAAAAACACTAAATTTGGCCTTTTCAGCTTGTTCGGATGTCATAGTTTGTACATAACAAGTCCATGATGGGAAATCACCATTATCAATCGATTCATGAAGATCTTGACCAGCATGATCTGGATTATCTGCTTTTAAAGCATGTGACTGATCATTACTCAAATTTTTGATACCTTGGTCAGTCTTAAGATGAATTTGAACATAATGAAACTCACCGTCTTTATTAATCCACTTGTAAGTATGTGCCGAGTAACCATGCATGTTTCTATATGTAGCTGGAGTACCACGATCAGAGAATACAAACATGACATTATGTACAGACTCTGGATTGTTGCATAAGAAATCCCAGTATACATTAACATCCTTAAGATTGGTTTGAGGGTCTCTACTCTTCTGAGTATGAACTAAGAATGGAAATTGTACACCATTTCTAATAAAAAAGATTGGGCTATTGATATTAACCCAATCAATGACACCTTCCTGAGTATATAACTTTATAGCAAATCCACGAGGGTCACGTTCGGAATCAGCAGTACCTTTCTCACCACCAACAGTAGAAAATCTGGTAAATAATGGAGTCCTTTTACCAATACCATTGAGAAAATCAGCATAAACTAAATCAGATACATCATCAGTAACTTCAAAATATCCATGTGCTCCAGAACCTTTAGCATGAGCAACACGTTCAGGGATTCTCTCACGATCAAAATGAGCCAATAAATCAATAAGATGGTGATCTTGAAGAAGGGCGGGACCAAACTTTCCCATTTTAATCATAGCGTTCGGATTCCTAACAGGACATCCATTGGAAGTTGTATAAAGTGGAACAGAATAAGCTTTGTCACCTGTCGACATAATGATAATATAATTTGTATAGTCTAAATTAGAAAATTATGAAGTCTAAAACTTAGGAATTTGAAAATTTAGAAGTGTATTTTAAGGATTTATATATACAATTATAATTGCTAAAGGAGTTACGAACAAAGTAATTTTTAAAATTAATTATGCATGGATTATTATGACTCTCTTCTTATTCGCTCAAGACATGAGATACGTTTTAATTAAACATAAAGATGACTTTCAACCATTTTTGGAAATTATTCAGGTAATGAATTTAATTCTAATAATATCGCATGTTCATTCTCTTTCGAGTGAAATTAATACCACCCTTAGAATGCTTTAAAATATTAGTTCTTTGTGTAGATTTTGAATCAAAAGCTTTATTTCCAAAAGGGTATTGCTCGGATACTAAAATACTTTTTAATTGCGCGGATGCTGCGAAAAATAGTTTGCCTGAATGCAAATGAAGGTTGATGACAAGTTTTGGGATTTGAGGCGGTTATGTGCCTACTACGAAGGTCATAATTTCTATAGGAAGAAGCCCGTTCAATGCATGCATAATCATGAATGCAAATTGAGTACTTTGTATAACTCATAGTATGAACTGAACTAACAAATTATCAAAGTATTTTTTTCAATTGATAGATGAAACTGGATTATTGATGGATTGTCTGAATAATAGAATATATGATTATTTTCTCCTCATTCAAATATTTGGCTGAACATCATGCATAAGCCTCATTAAAGCATTTCACATAATCAAACTTACCTAGTTCAACAATTTTCCACGAGGATAATACGACACTTACTGCATGATTCTAGAACTATATTCACGCTCTGTCTTCATAAAATGGCGTCATTTAGCATAATCTAGCAAAGAAGACATAATTGAACTTAGTCTTTTATGGATAGCAACCTCCCGAAATTAACCCCTGTTCTGAGATATTAATTCATGTAGATTTATAAATCAACATCTCATTTAGTTATTAATGAACGATACCCGACTTAAAAAAACGCATTCCTCAATTGAGTAATTACGGCTTGGTCGGAGATCCTAGTGGATGTCTGAATTCATGTGAAATTACAATTGCCAAACAGCTTTCTTTAGATAATTTCCTGAAGTGTATTAAAGGAACAACATTTTCCTTGATCACTTTAACAATTAATCAATTAATGCTCTATCAAAAATAATAAAAACAAGTATAAAAAAGAATTAAACAAACTCAATATGGTTCAATCTCATTATGATTTCGTTATAGTCGGTGGTGGTACCGCAGGTAACGTAGTTGCTGGTCGTCTTGCTGAGAATCCAAACGTAACTGTTTTGGTTCTTGAAGCTGGTGTTGGTAACTCTGCTGAACTTCCAGAAATTATCACTCCTTCTAATGCCATGGAGCTTCGTGGAGGTAAACACGATTGGGCATACAAGACTACCTTAGTCAAGCGTGACGACTATGAAAGAATTGAAAAGCCCAACACACGTGGAAAGGCTCTTGGTGGTAGTTCTTCACTTAATTATTTCACTTGGGTTCCTGGTTGTAAGCCAACTTTTGACAATTGGGAAGAATATGGTGGTAAAGAATGGACATGGGATCCTCTTGTACAATACCTCAGAAAGAGTGTTACATATCATGATGATCTTGGTCTTTACGATCCATCTTTGAAGAAAATTGGTGGCGGAGGTCCAATTAATATCTCTCATGCTGAACTTGTTGATGAATTAGAACCTTTCCGTGAAAACCTTATCAAAGCATGGAAGTCTACTGGTAAGCCATTCACTGAAAACATTTATGATGGTGAAATGATTGGACTTACCCATTGTACTGCTTCCATTTACCATGGTAAACGTAATGGGTCCTTCCTCTTTTTGCAAAATAAACCCAATATCACTGTTGTTCCTGAAGTTCATTCCAAAAAATTGATTCTTGATGCTTCTAATACTGCCAAAGGAGTTGTTGTGATTGATAAAACAGGCAACGAACATAGTTTCTACGCAACTCGTGAGGTTATCGTTTCACAAGGTGTGTTTGAAAGTCCAAAATTATTGATGCTTTCCGGTATTGGCCCTAGAAAGGAATTGGAAAGTAATAATATTGAAGTTAGAGTTGAGTCTAGACATGTTGGACAAAACTTATTAGATCATCCTGGAGTACCATTTGTTTTACGTGTTAAAGACGGTATTTGTGTTGATGATATTCTTATGAGACAGGGCCCTAAGAACCAAGCCGCACATACTCAGTATGCAAAGGATGGATCTGGACCAGTTGGATCAGGACTCTTAGAATTAGTTGGATTCCCTCGTATTGATGAGTACTTTGAGCAAGATGAGCTTTATAGATCACGCAAAGCTGCCAATGGTGGTAAAGATCCATTTTGCCCGGAGGGTCAACCTCATTTCGAACTTGACTTTGTCGGTATGTTTGGTACTGCTTTCCAATGGCATTTCCCAACTCCAAAGGAGGGTTCTTATATTACAATTGTGGTTGATTTAGTTCGTCCTGTTTCTGATCCTGGTGAAGTTACTCTTAACAGCAGTGATCCTTTTGATCAGCCAAAGATTAATTTGAATTTCTTTGCAGATGAACTTGATATCATTGGTATGCGTGAAGGTATTAGATTTACCTACGATCTTCTTACCAAAGGTGATGGATTTAAGGATCTAGTTGTCAGTGAATTTCCTTGGGAAATGCGTCTTGATGATGAAAAGGAAATGAGAAGAGCTGTTTTAGATAGATGTCAAACAGCCTTCCACCCTTGTGGTACTAATCGTTTATCCAAGGATATTACTCAGGGTGTGGTTGATCCAGAACTTAAAGTTCATGGAGTTAAAAACCTTCGTGTTATTGATGCTTCTGTCATTCCGGTTATTCCAGACTGTCGTATTCAGAACTCAGTTTATATGGTTGGTGAAAAGGGTGCAGACTTAATCAAGGCAGCCCATAAAGATTTATATAATTAAGTCTATGGTTGATTTTTAATTTTTTGAACAATTGCGAAGCAAGGGTATAAGGTTCATTGGAGCCAAAAATCTACTAAGTTTTCTACATAGTTTTTGTTATTATGATAGTTTTTTAAAGAAAAGAAAATATGAATGAATTTACTAGAAATATATATACTTTCTATACCAATTTAACTGCTGTTTATATTTATTTTGGCTCTACGATAAGATCTGGATAATATTTCAGAATTTACTTGAGACCATGCGTAGTAACTTTCGGTTGAGAACAGGAAACTTTCCATAGTGAACCACCAGGTAACAGGTAACAAGAATAACGCCATAATTAATAGCAATAAATCCAAAAAACTTGGTGATGGTGAATAGGTTGGGTAATTGTTCTCTTCTCCATAGTAGGTTTCAGTTAATGTGAAATCACCACTTGGTTAGCACTATAACTACACAATAAAGTTCTCATTTGGTTGCTATTGGATATTTGACTTATGTTTACATGTAAAAGCAAACAAATGGCACGATCAATGCATCATATGAAAAATATTTTGCGCTTTGTCTTTTAATTACCTTTTGATGAGTGAAAGCGTTTCATTCTGAGTAAGAGCAATTCTCTCTACCAACTTTCGATCTGGATTTAGGACTTCTGCCTTCAATTATAAGATGAATTTACGTTAACAGTTCCTTTCATGAGTTAGTTTAATCATAAACATTAACGCATACAATATAAAAACAAAGAAAAGCCATTCCTGTTAGGAGTAGCTCATGTACTATGATTCAATTCCTGTATACAAAATTGAAAATTGGAAGCCTAACTAGTGAAATTTAACTCATTTTAGCCGTGAAATTTATATACTCACTTCACTCTTAAATAACATCTGGAGATGTAATATGCTGAACCAAGGTCAGTTACAGTAGCTGCTCTTTCTTTTAAGCAGAAAATAGAATAGAAGTGATCACCGGTTACTGAAAATCATAATGTAATTCTATACTTAAGATACTGTATTAATGAATTGAGTATTATCATAATATTTATCATTTAATATTATTAGATTTATCATCAGTAGTTTGACGAATTAGATGAGCACCTAAACAAATTTTTTTTAAATTGCCATCAATTTTCAAAATTCGCAGCTAAACTTTAAATTTTCTAATAACCCTTAGTAAAAAATGTTGTTTACAATGTACTTGGTTAGAGAATAAGACACCAATAGTTATTAATACAACATGTACGAAGAAAATCAGTTATAAAAAACAAATTGAACGTAGAACGAATATAATATATTGTATTTTAAAATTATATATGAATAACAGGAAAACAGAATCATTTCATTATGAAAAAATCTCTCAATCTAAAATACAACAAGAAGAACTAGTGATACAACAACTGAAGTAAGCATTTTCCATTTCTCAGAATAATTCTTCACTGCTAAATCTACATAATCACCTATTGTAGAGAGAATTGGGTGTCCAGACGTATACAGAGTATCACTAGTAACAGTTTCTAAACTTGTATGAACATACATTGGAGCGAATTCTACAGCGGCTTCTTCAGAAACATCAAAATCACCATTTCCAACGCCCACTGTAGATTTATGCAATACTCCCGTAGTTTTGGTCCCAGCAAAATCCACACCATGATCAAACAATGATGTGGTAGTTGTTAAAGATCCATCATTGTCAGTATTAACAAACACTATACCCAATTCCATTTCTTCCACATCAACAGGATTAAAGCCGCCATTAGGATATAATGAAGTAGTAGCACTCAACATTCCATCAGAATCAGTTGTCACAATCACTATACCTGACTGTGTTTCTTCTGAACCACCAGGGTTCGAAGTTGTGTATGTGGTGACATAGGTGGTGAATAGATCAATATTAGTGGGATATAACGCAGTAGTAGTAATCAAGGATCCATCAGCATCGGTGGTCACATATACTATGCCCAATTCCATTTCTTCCACATCAACAGGATTAAAGCCGCCATTAGGATATAATGAAGTAGTAGCACTCAACATTCCATCAGAATCAGTTGTCACAATCACTACACCTGACTGTGTTTCTTCTAAACCACCAGGGTTCGAAGTTGTGTATGTGGTGACATAGGTGGTGAATAGATCAATATTAGTGGGATATAACGCAGTAGTAGTAATCAAGGATCCATCAGCATCGGTAGTCAAAATTACTAAACCTGACTGCGTTTCTTCAGCACCACCAGGGTTCATAGTATTGTAGGTAGTAGCATAAGTAGTGAAAGGATCGATGTTGGACTCAGATCTCACCTCAGTGACGGATTCAGTGCTCACGCCAGTGCTCATGCCAATGCTCACGCCAGTACTCAATTCAGTGGTGGATTCAGTACTTGACGCAGTAGTAGAATCTGTGATTGATTCAGTGGCTGACTCGATGGTGTATTCAGTACTAGCTACAATGCCTGATGCTGTGCTTGATTCATTGTTGGGATATAAGGAAGTACTGGTAGTCAAGGATCCATCGGAATCGGTAGTCACAATCACTATACCCGATTCGGTTTCTTCTGCACCACCCGGGTTCGTGGTAATATGAATGGTAGTGTAAGTAGTAAAAGCATCTGTCATGGACTCGGTATTTGCCTCGGACGTTGATTCAATACTCGATTGATTACTCAATTCGGTGGTTGATTTAGTGCTCCACTCAGATGTTGATTCAGTACTTGATTCAGTACTTAAATCAGTACTTAAATCAGTGATTGACTCAGTAGTTGAAATAGAGCTTGACTCAGTTGTCGTTTCGGTACTCGATTCAGTGGTCGATTCAGTGGTCGATTCAGTAGTTGATTCAGTGGTTGATTCAGTAGTAGAACTAGTACTTGATACTGTGTAGAATTCAGTGTTTGATTCCATGGTAGATTCAGTAGTTGATTCAGTACTTGACACAGTTGTTGATTCAGTGGTCGAATCAGTGCTGGATGCATTGATCCACACAGAGCTTGATTTCGCACTTGATTCTGTTGAAGATTCAGTACTTGATTCAATGTTCGGCTCAGTGTTAGACCCAGCAATTGAATCTATGTCAGATTCAGTGCTCAATTCCGTAGCTGAATCAGTGAAAAATACAGTACTAGACTCTATTGTAGATTCAATAATAGATTCAGCGCTGGATTCAGTGAAGAATTCAGTACTTGTTTCCGAAGAGGATTCAATACTTGTTTTCGAAGAGGATTCAATACTTGATTCCGTGGAAGACTCAGTGCTCGCATCAGCACTTGGCTCAGTACTTGATTCAGTGGAAGATTCAGTAGTTGATTCTGTGTAAGACTCAGTGATCGATTCAGAACTAGATTCAGAGCTCGCCTCAGTACTCGATTCAGAGCTCGCCTCAGTACTTGGCTCAGTATTTGACTCCGTGGAAGACTCAGTGCTCGAATTAGCACTTGGCTCTGTGGCAGATTCCGTACTGGATTCCGTACTGGATTCCATACTGGATTCCGTACTTGACTCTGTTGTAGATTCCGTGCTTGACTCTGTTGTAGATTCCGTGCTTGACTCTGTTGTAGATTCAGTACTTGACTCTGTTGTAGATTCAGTACTTGATACAGTATTTGAATCAGTATTTGAATCAGTGGATGATTCAGTACTCGACTCAGTGGATGATTCAGTACTCGACTCAGTAGATGATTCAGTACTCGACTCAGTGGATGATTCGGTACTCGACTCAGTGGATGATTCAGTACTCGACTCGGTAGATGATTCAGTACTTGACTCAGTGGATGATTCAGCGCTGGAATCTATGTCAGATTCGGTACTCGATTCAGTACTCGACTCGGAAGATGATTCAGTACTCGACTCAGTAGATGATTCAGTACTCGACTCAGTGGATGATTCGGTACTCGACTCAGTGGATGATTCAGTACTCGACTCGGTAGATGATTCAGTACTTGACTCAGTGGATGATTCAGCGCTGGAATCTATGTCAGATTCGGTACTCGATTCAGTACTCGACTCGGAAGATGATTCAGTACTCGACTCAGTGGATGATTCAGTACTTGACTCAGTGGATGATTCAGTACTCGACTCAGTGGATGATTCGGTACTCGATTCAGTACTTGACTCTGTTGTAGATTCAGTACTCGACTCGGTAGATGATTCAGTACTTGACTCAGTGGATGATTCAGCGCTGGAATCTATGTCAGATTCGGTACTCGATTCAGTACTCGACTCGGAAGATGATTCAGTACTCGACTCAGTGGATGATTCAGTACTTGACTCAGTGGATGATTCAGCGCTGGAATCTATGTCAGATTCGGTACTCGATTCAGTACTTGATTCAGTGGAAGATTCAGTACTTGATTCAGTATTTGACTCTATTGTAGACTCAGTGCTGGATTCAGTGTCCGACTCGGTGGTGTATTCAGTACTAGCTACAGTGCCTGATTCTGTGCTTGATTCATTGTTAGGATATAAGGAAGTACTGGTAGTCAAGACTCCATCGGAATCGGTAGTGACAATCACTACACCTGATTCAGTTTCTTCTGCCCCATCAGGGTTTGTTGTAGTGTATGTAGTAGTATAAGTAGTTTCAGAATTGATTTCTAGATTGAACAACTGAGGTACTGCAATAGGACATGCTTGACATTCAGTTGGTCTGGTAGAATCCGGAATAGGACCTGCATATTGGAATCGAACCGACCCAGTTTTAGCTGCCTTCCAAAATATTAACGACTTGTCATAACCTTTACCAATGATAAATTTGTAGGTATAATAGCCAACATTAACTTCCAATATATTTCCATCGTAATTCCAAGTTGGGCTTGAAGTTTCTAAGGCTATGACATTGTTATTACCCCAACCTTTTACTAAAAATGGAGATGCAGGTTTTTGCATTAGGTTATAAATATATAACATGGAGGTATTACTACTGAGATAAATAGTTTGCAAGTTTTCATCAATTCCATATAATTTTGAACACGAAACATCAAATGCACTTTCTTTACCAACATCTATACAGCCATTTCCAGCATATCTAGACATTTGATATAAAGCGTCATTGTTCAATAAGCAGAATGTACCATTGTTGATTATGGTCGGAACATCAGTATCACAAACAGACCCAGATCCAATCCAGGCACCCGGAGGAGTATATGATGATATATAATATTGCACGTAAGAAATCACACCTTTATTTACAAAAGACCCAAATGGTTGAATTTGATAAGTAGATCCATCGCATTTCTGGCTACCTGCAAAAGTAATATTACCCTCATTATAGAAGTCTTTACCATGCCAAATGTAAGTAGGTGGACTACAAGTAGTAGTGTTGTCATTAATAACGATAGTGCCATAATTTGTGATAGAGTTTTTGGTCTGTCCATTATTAATATTAAAAGTCATACCAAAATTACGACCAGGGGCATGATTTGGCCATGTTCCTATATTCCTAACGTATAGTAGACCCTTATTGAGAAAGTTACCATTCATATTAAAGTTGTAACCATTGAATAAGAATTTCACGCCTTTGTCAATAGATAAGTCAGCTTTGAAATTACAGGTATAGTCATCATCTAAGGAGGTGATGTCTAATTCGGTATCCTTGGTGATTTCTAAATGTTTTGACCATGAGTATATGGTCCGCAAGAAAAGTGAAGCAAAAATAACAGCTTCGAAAAGGGGGAACTTCATCTTTGTTATTTTTACAGCATCTAGATTTAAATTACACAGCATTATACTACCTCTTTTATATTGCAACTGTCTCATTGTGTCTATAGTTCAAAAAGTGCTCTAACATATAATAAAATAATCGGCTGCTAAATTTTTCTGTGCAAAAATAGGATCTGCAAAATTAGCAGAAACAAAAGCGTGATTTAAGGTTGTGGGCAAATTTCGGTAGATACCTTAATCAGCACTGCAGTTTGATCCATTGTGAAAGAGTCTAATAAACATTTTTGACATCATTTTAAGTATGATGGCTGGTTTAAATGATGACGTAAAGTAACTGGATCCTATATCAACTTGATATGCACAGCTGAACAAAAACAAAAGGTCTATATTTTTGAATAAAATTATAAAAAATGACGTATTTTAGTATAATGAATAATATTAAATTAATATATTTAGTCTGATCAGGTTTTAATTGAAGAGTATGTAAATAATAATGTATGTAGAAGTAGAAAAGATTCCTGTTCTCAAATACAATTTCTTTTTGGATTAGGTTCTGCAAGCTTGTTTGTACTTTATTGAATACACATCAGAAAAACAGAAAATGCATAGACCTTAATATTATTCTACATTTGTTACCATCAATAAAATCTTTCGAATAAGAGGATCATAGAGATTTGCCAAGATTTCAAATACTTGTAAGTATAACTCAAGAAATTAAAAAAATGGTTAATCTTTACTATAGAGCATTGGCACATATACTGCCGTATACACTAGCCTTAATTCAACTAGAAATGATAAATCTATTGTAAGATACAACTCGGATGATATGGAAGCGTGATAATTTTATAGCAGAAAATAGGATCAAAGAGTTTTAGCTTTTTCTGGGAGTAAATTCTGATTATTAAGATCTCCCAATCCTTTATATGACGAAATAGCTGATACATTCACTTGTATATAAATACAAGAGCGATTTCTTTAAAGTGAATTGTGTCATAAATATTATACGCTTATTAATTGGGGATGCTCCAATAACATTATATAGAAGAAAATTAAAAGTTTGAATACTCATTTAGTGAACATATTTGGGATGTTATGACTCTTAATCCCATATTTTTATTTGAATCGAAGTTTTCAGTAGCCATTAAACCTTGCATCTATATATAATTTTTCCTTACTTTAGCCGTGTCTGAATACCTAAAAGGGGACGCAAATTATAGTTTTTTATTTTGCGCGCAAAAAGAACAAAAGTTGGCAGCTATTTTTGCCTCCAGTGGATCATCAATCTGTCGCGCGAGAAATTTATGAATTGATCAACGGTTGCATTTTTTTAAATTGCAACCAAAGACGCAAGCTTGTCCTCGATACGACTACAACCTTTTCTTCAACATAATATTCTGAAAACATGACCGGTATATGGGCCAAGGATTTTATTAATTTTCTTAAAGCGCTCTCTACTATCCAAAGTTTATACGCTAGCCTAAATATAGAGATAAATTTCTACGGTTAATTTACTTTTGAGCGTTAATAAAATTTTATTCATGTGTATGATGTCAATTTGATACTTTACCTCATTTTGTTTTATACTGTATACATTGGAGATTTGTAAGCTTTTGAACGGCTGTTCAGCTGATAACAGCATATGTTCAAGCAGCTTTCCAAAGGTTAAGACTTTCCGCGTTAAATTATAATCCTAAGGGTTAAAGAACTGCCAGGATTACAACAACGGCATGAATGAATACATAATTACTGAATTTACCGCCGCATTATTAGATTAATTATGTAATTTAAGCTTCTATGTGAAGTTTAATATTTTATTCCAATGCCTTATTAATATGGTTAATTTGCAATGATATCGTGTCACTGTTCATTCCAAGGAAAGATTGCGGAAACAATAAAAATTATTAAAGCGTGTCATTTATGGATTTAATTTTAGTTGTTGTTGTATTCTATAGTTTCAATTTAGAACCTGCTTGACTTCTTAATACTGATTTTCCAGAAGACCTTGCTACTGAAAGTAGTTACAATTGATTGGTGGATATTTAAATCTTCATAAGTACAACGTAATAGGTCGACTTGTGCAATCTCAAATAAAAACGGATGTATTTGTAGACCGAAAATAATAGAGAAAACAATACAAGAAATAACAAATACTGGATATTCATTACACCAAAAATAGTGAAGAGACTAGGGTATTTAAGAATAATTAACAATTTGTAACAAAAAGAATGTAATGCAACTAATTCCAATGGAAAAAGTTTTTTTTAAATTATAATTAACGAAAGTAATGATTATGTTGAATAATTAAACGTATACGGGTTTGAAATATTGAGTTTGTTTAAGGATATACCATTTGAAATGAAAATTGCGAGTACCAAAAGTGATACTCGTCTATCCAACAATACTAAACTTTGTTAAGAGAACCGTCAATACATAAAAAATGAAAACGATGACAGTATAGACTTCCCCTCCGTTAAAAATTACTATAAAATCGGCATCGAGATGCTACTAATATGAGGTATACGGTAAAAATTGGCGAATAAGGTTATTTCAAGTATTATTTCTTTCGTAAATCAGATAGAGACTAAATTGAGTTGAAATTAGAATGTTCTAGAAACCTTGAAACAAGATATATTCAGTTTCGTCTACTTTAATTATAATTCTTCAAGTTTAGGATAATATCAAAGTGGCATGGACGATGCTTTTAGGGCCAACTATATAGCTAATTTTAATTTAAGATACTACACAATAATATCTAATAGTAACGTTGTTTTTTAGAGACTAGTATAATTTATTGATACAATATTTCGAGATTATTAGAATTATTCGATGCGAGAATCATTTACTTAGATTTACTCTTTATTACTTAAAATATTATGGCTCGTCCTCCTTTTATCTTACCCACAAGAACACTATAGGATTATATTTGAGATGACTAACATTGGTGTGTGAAGTACAATATTCTAATCTGTTCTTGTTGTGTTTAAGTCGTAGTTTCCACGGAATCTAACCAACCAGAATGTTATAGTAAGAGGCTCAAATACACCCTGGCTTCGCTTAGGACTTCCTTACCTCGAGTGATGTAAAATCTTCCTTCTAAGAACGATCTCCGCATGTACCCTGTAGCCGAAAAGAGAATTCGAACATTCTGTGATACAAGAAAATGCCGAATGACTCAACTTTACCAGACCAGTTCTGTAAAAAAGGATCGTGTACGGAAAGTATAGTTGGTTACGTTTACATCAATAGATTACACTGTATCCAGCTTGCACACACTTCGTTGTTGTATAAAATAACTCAATATGAATCATTAAATACAGTCAATAAAAAGATGTACGATACACATTTCAAAATTTAATATATATATTTTTCGTATTTGACATTAAAATATACTTTACTATCTATTGGGGCGGATATTTACACCGAAAAAATATTTACGAAATCATAGATCGAGATAATTCCAGACGAGACTAAAAATAATCACTAAAAATAATTAATCTCTGTCAAAGGCGGGTACTAATAACATTAAGTTGCATTAGGCAATATTTGATTATGTTGTAATGAAAAGACCCTCAATTTGGCAAAGAATAAATACTATTTGGTGCATAGTATGAGATACCCTAATTTCATCTAATTTCTCAAAAGGGTGTTAAAGTAGTTTAGATTGAAATTTACTATCTAATTGTGATATAGTTAATTTTTACCAAAACATTTTCATTTGGAAGAATAACTGTATTGCTCCAATCATTTCGGGTATGCTAGCTAATGATCTACTTATTGAAAACAAACCAGTATTAGGTAAGAATAATCAATTATGACTTCTGAATTGATTAGTTTTATCCCACAGTTTGCTCAAAGATAAAAGTATGCATCATATGCGAGTTTAATTGGCCGATTCATTTATTGTTGTATACGATTCAGATCATTTTAACACTCATGTATGTGATTCATTTGAATGTAAAGGAAGTTAATTGAATTCAGTGGCTTATATACTTGTCCTCTCATTAGCATAAAATTATTCTATATAATCATAAATATAGCAAGGGCTCTGAAAGAATTCTGTGATAGAACTCATGCAAAAATAATTTTTTGAGACATATTATAGCGATAATATTTTCTTGCGGGCTTTATTTTCAAAGCCTTAAATTTATCAACAAGCAAAGAGACTATGTATTAAAATGCTGAGCTGCAATTAAATTTCCTTATCCTTGATAATTAAAATAACGATTCCTACAGTGATACTGACTAATGATAAGTAGAAGATTTCCAACAATACAAATTTATAGGAATTATATTATGATTTCTCTAACATCATTACATATTTGACACCCGCATAATTATTATTTCGTTGTGACAATCACAAAGGAATATTTTATACTTCGATTTGAGTTCGTATAAAAATACGATCTTTAATAGAAAGAGTACACAAATAACATTGAAATTGAGGAGTTTTGTGCCCATATCAAAAATAATAATCTAATGCATCTAAGGCGTATCAACGTCAAAACATGATGTGGTATATAATCACAACCACATTATATTTATAAATATGAAGAAATCAACTCCAGTATGGATTTTTAAACTGCTAGTAGATAATTAATGTTGATGAAGGTATTCAAATCATTAACTTTTTGCTTATGCTTGGCAATAGTTTCATCCAGCTCCTTTTACAGTGGTATATCATTGCTGATATACGAGACAGGAGATACATTACAAAGTTCATCCCACTTGGGTGAGTATTATTTAAGTACCACAGGTAACAATTTTTATGGGGGATTCTATTTTAATGTGTATAATGGGGGCTTATATGATTATTTTGGATACTCTGCAAATATTGGTGGGGACGATAATTCAATTGAATTTGATTTCATCACTCAAGATGTCTTTGCTTTGACTACTATCAATGGCTCGATTTTTCTCAGCTACGGATCTCAAGACTATTTTTATTTATGTGATGACGAAAATGTTGGTCTTACTGTATTGTCCACAACTGATGATTCTTGTGAACTAGTTCATGTAATCGTAAGTGGGGTACCAGAACCTGAAACATCTTCATCATACTCGTATCAAGGATCTACATCTCTGGGTTCAGCTTCTACAACTTCTAGTTATGTTTCTGCGTCCGAAACTGATACTTCATCAACTATCGATTATTCCGTTTGTCCAACATCTACATCAAATGATACTGATATATATCTCCCATCCTCTATACAAGCATTTTATTTACAAGTTAGTGCAAATGGACATTATGCATATTCATTAACTGGCTATGGCATCCAAAAGCGTATTGCTAAGAGAGATGTTGGTCAAGTAGCCTCATTTGATGTTGATCTTACTTCAGACACTCTTACTTATGGTTACGTTAATGATTTGCCATCTGATGGTGATGTGGATATCTGGCTTGATTTCACAGCGCCACAAAACTATCAATATAGTGGATTCGGATATTACCAAGATGATTCCAATCAGTTTTTGTTAACATATACAGGAAATGATATATTCTTTCTTTGTGAATCAGATGGAAGTTTGGCAATAGAGTTAGATAACATCGGTAACTGTCAAGAAACATATCTAATAATGGTCGGTGGAACATTGGGAGACGAAATTGATGTGGGAAACATTGGATCATCTTTGTGTGCTGCAGTGCCATCATCATCATATACTCCATCTTCTTCTCTAACACCTAGCATTTCTTCTTCAGCATTAGCTTCCAGTACTGATAGCTGTCCAACAACTGATCCTATCTATTACATTCCTTCATCTGTGACTGATTTTAACTTGCAGATTTCTCAAAATGATGAATACGCATACGCCAATCTAGTGGAAACTGTTGCTAGGAAGAGAAACCATCTAGAAAAGAAATCTCCAAGTACTCCAATAGTGACATTTAATCTTGAATTATCTACAGGAGATTTGATATATGTAAGTCAAGGTTCTGTCCCTGGAGATGCCCTGGGATATCTTAGCTTCACTTACAATAACGGTGAAACAAATACAGGATATGGTTACATTAAAGATGATTCAGATCAATTATTATTGACATACTCAGGAAGCGATAAATTCTATCTTTGTGATAGTGGAACCACGATAGAATTACAAGACGATGGTTCATGTTTATCCACAAATCTTATTTTGGTCGGGGGAACTTACGGAGATGATGTGTATGTAGGACCTGATGTCGTTTGTTCTCTGCTGTTGTCATCACTTGGGTCTACCCCATATTCTTCAACTTATTCAGAACCTACTTATTCTTCATACTCTTCACAGGTATATTCGTCATCGGAATTTTCGTCATCGGAATTTTCGTCATCAGAATACTCATCATCAGAATACTCATCATCAGAATACTCATCATCAGAATACTCGTCATCAGAATACTCTTCGGCATACTCTTCTTCGGTATATTCTTCAGAGAACTTTTCCTCAGACCACTCTTCTTCGGCATCCTCATCTTCTTCATATTCAACAGTCTATTCTTCCTCATTAGACTCGTCCTCCTCACCTGAAGGAAGTGATTCATTCTATTCTTCAATCTTAACTTCAAGTTCCTTCATAAGTTATTCGGAATCGACTTCATCGGAATCGGCTTCATCTACTCTATCATCTTCATCCAGTCCACTGATTAGTTTAAGTTCAACACATTCAGCTTCAGAATCTTTTGGGAGCATCTCACCTTCGGTTTCATCCTCAGAAACATCGTCTTCTGAATATAGTGAATACCCTACTTCATATTCTTCATCGTCTTATAGTACTTTTAGTATCACTTCTGAATATCAATCATCCAGTGTCTTGATATCATCTTCTTATGCCACCCTGTCGTCTTACTATTACTATGCCAATTCCACAACTTCATCTTCTTCCACGAGTTTAGAATCATCTACAGTAGGTTCTTCAACTTCATTAAGTTCTACTTCATTATATTCAACATCGACTACCACTAATAGTTTTGGTCAATCAAGCACGAGCTCTGACTTTCTGGGTGAAACCGAATCAACCATTTCAGAACAATATTCCTTATCATCTTCAACCTCATCATCTTCAACCTCATCATCATTATCCCAACCTTCCGAAAATAATCCCTCTTCTTTGTACTCCTCAACTCTGAGTAGCAGCACTGGTAATCCATTATCTTCATTCAATCCTACGTCACTGGCTCCTTCTACATCAGAGCCAGAGTCAGAGTCAGAGTCACCAAGTCTCACCACCTTCACCTTCCAAATCACTGCGGTTGCCAACCCTCCCAATACTTTCAGAGAATACTTAACCTTGAATAATCACAGCATCATATTAGAAGAAATAGACGGTCCATTATTTGAATTAACACTTCCTGGGGGTTATATTACTATTAACGGTTTATTCATACATGCTGTTGAATCTAGTGGGCTCTACTTGAGTGAGACCCCATTTGATGGTTGGCTGATTGTAGGAGACCCAATTTTGTCTTTGGAAGGCTATGGAACTGAGTTCTATATTTGTCCACTGCAATCCCCACCTTTGCAACTTAGTCTGATTGCGTCTGACTGTGTGATTGGTGAATTGCATGTATTAGAAGCACCGGTTTCAACTTCGATAACTCCTTCAACTCCTACAAGTAATGGCCACACTTCTACTAGTCTTACAGGCACTAGTTCTGGTTCCAGTTTATCCACTATTACTACACAAATATTATCTGGTTCTGGATCTACCATCACCACTACTTTTACTTCCGATGAAATAGTTACCATTACTGAATGTCCGGCTACCGTTACTAATTGTCCTTTGAACTCAATTAAAACAATAACCATTCCTCACACTATAACAACTACTTATTGTCCTGCATCTAGTATTATTACTCAATCTACAGTGACCTCTACCTACACTTCACTTGTTACTGAAGTTGTGGGAACTGTGACCACAGAAGTGGTCCGGACATTCACTACTACATTCTGTCCTGAGTCGGGTTTCGTACAACCAGTCGTTTACATATCAACTTCTTTAGCAACTCTGGTCAATGGAAAAGGAACAGTTACGGAAACACATGTTGTTACAGAGACGATAGGCAATTTAGTGCCATCGTTTTACACGTCATATGAAGCAGTCGAAGTTACCCTCCAAAACGAAGGAAGTAATTCTGTTACAACAGTAACTGTGCCTCACATTATTGCTACTACATCTTTCGAAAGCTTAACAAAGTCGGCTGGTACTGGTCATCTGTTTGTTGAATCATCTGAAGTTGAAGTCCAGGTAGGATCTACATCAACCACGTCTGGGATTGTGGTAACGAGCATCCCAAATGCTGCAAATAATATTTTGAGATCGTTAAGCTATGTCGTACTTTCATTTATTGTCGTTTTCGCATAAAAAAATTGAATTCAACGCATTTATGTATATAGTCTGTAAGTATGTCTGTATGAGTACTAAAAGAAAGTTGTATTGCAAACTTGGAAGTATGAAATATTCAAAATAAGAAAGTAAATAACGAAAAGCTCTGACTTAATTTCCGGTTTAATGTATGAATCGGTTTGTGTTATTTGTAGTCTGTGCGTTATTCCCGAAATCTAAACCAATTTGATGTTCTATTTACTAATTTATTGTAATTAAGAGGAATTGTTTTATACAATACTTCATCTTATTATACTCTGAATGCCTCATGTATAAGTTATTGAACAATAAGGCTCTAAGACTCACTAGATGGTCAATTGTATTGTTGTTTACAAAACTCAAAATGATTAACTACCCCATGTTTTAATTGCGTATATTCAGATTAGGGTAATGGCTCTCTTAATTTAGTGTAGGTCTACAAGAACTCCACTCCAATGGTAATTGGCTTATAGTAACAATCGGTCTATATATAACAATACGGAGATGGCTTATTTGAATTTACGGTAAATTGAGCTGATTACAATTAGAAAAATTGTCTTTTAAGCCTACCATCGTGGCCAGCACCATATTATTACGTTTGAGCAATAGGCCCACATTTGACTTAACTGCAACAGGTATTCGCGATGCCAGTTGGTAGATAGTAAACTTTTACGTAAACCTCGCGTCACTTGGTATTTTTGGGTAAGATTAATGCCTATTGTTTTACTTTCATGTACGACGATTGTTCTATGTTTAGTAATGCGTTAAGGCAATTGGTTCCTTCCCAACAATTACTTGGGAAACATATAGGAACTACATTATAATGTTACTACATCGTAATATTACTATGACGACCATTCAACTAGTTATCTTAATCAACAAATATGATTGCCAATTATCTTTTTCATTTTGTTAAATCGTTAATACTGAGTTACTCAGAGAAAACCACACATACAATTTTAAAGCATTCAAATATAAAGCTAAAAGCATTTACACAATTATTCGTTTTAAATAATGCTTAGAAACGATTTATAATCAACTTTGAGGTACATACTTACTCTTTCGTTATAAGCCATTGGTCTAGAATATTTTCAATTGTGATAGGTTCAGAGTAAGCATAAGCCTCGTCGAACTATAACGAAGATGTGCGACAGCAACTCCTTGAAATGCTGACATTTACATAGATACATATATATATATATATGCTAATCGTGTATAATTTGTAGAAATGATACTTACTATGAATTGATTTTCTAGTTACAAGAATTCGTAAGAAACCTTAACTATCTCAAAATATGACTGTTGGTAATCAAACTTCTGTATTTGTCTCTGGTGCAACTGGGTACATTGCCCAACATATCATCGCCCAACTTCTCAGCAAAGGATATAAAGTTGTTGGATCGGTTAGATCTGAAGGAAAAGGTGACGGGTTGGCAGAAACTTTTAAAAACTCGAACTTTTCCTATGAAGTAGTTCCTATTTTAGAAAAGGAAGGTGCTTTTGATGAAGCTTTAAAAAAGCATCCAGAAGTAACTGTTTTCTTACATACCGCTTCACCCTTTACCTATACTGTTGAAGATAATGAAAGGGATATTTTGATTCCAGCCATACAAGGAACTAAGTCAGTTCTAGAGTCTATAAAGAAATATGCTCCACAGATTACTAGGCTTGTATATACCAGTTCAAGTGTTGCTACTGGTACTGTTGCTGAAATTACTACACCCGGCTTCAGTGGTGGGGAACATACCTGGAATTCCACTAGCTATGAGGATGCTAAGAAAGATAGTGTTCTGGCCTATTTCGGTTCCAAGACTTTTGCTGAAAAGGCCGCTTGGGATTTTGTTGAAAATGAAAAGCCAAATTTTACCCTTACTTCCATTAATCCTGTTTATGTTTTTGGTCCTCAGAACACTCCACCTAAAACTAAGGAGTTAAATTTATCTGCTGCAATGGTTGGTGACTTTTTGAAATTGGGTCCGAATGATGATGTGCCACAAATGCAAACTGCCTATATTGATGTTAGAGATGTTGCTAAGGCACATATAATAGCTTTTGAAAAAGACGAGGCACAGGGAAAAAGATTCGTTCTTGCTGATTGCTTTTTCGATGGTCAATTAATTTTAGATTTTATTAACAATAACTTTCCAGAACTCAAAGGTAAGCTACCAGTAGGAAAACCTGGTGAATATACAGCTTATGGGCCAACAACTTTAAATGATTCAAATGCAAGATCTATTTTAAATATTGAATATATTAGTCTTGAAAAGTCTGTTGTTGATACAATCAAGCAGATCGTTCATCTCAAGGAATGAGGAACGAGTCCATTTGCAAGGATTTTTTAATCTTTTAGAATAATTTCCAATTAATAAAACTTTCGCTATCCAGAAATTTTTTCGCAGCAAGTGAGTGCATTCCCACTTACTAAATTTGTATTTGTTTTGTTTACTATTTATACTTGCTATTCTGTTGTTAAGTAGTTAAGTATTTAGGTAATTAAGTAGTTATGTTAATCATTTAAATATTATATTCTGTGTTTCGTAATGAGCCCCCATAGCCTGAATTCCGTTTACATGCAAATTATTTTTCTGCAGGGCCGGGGAGCATAATCACTCAGCAACTTGCAGTTCATGACTCGATGATGATGGAAAGAGCATTAGATAGAGATATTTAAATATGGATAAGAGTGAAATTATTATGTGTTGTATGTGATATATATTAAAGAAACAAGTTAACGTATATTAGTATTATGGTTTCCACTATATCGAAGATAATCCAAAGTTTAGCTTTTCTGGTTTAGATGTGTTCTAGATCTTTAGTCGCATAGAACAAGGCTTATGACGTAATTTATTTTTGGAAGCAAAACAAATCAGAAAAAAGAAATTCTGTACCTTTAATCATTAACCTTCGCTTATAGTCATCGAGTTGCTGCAATAATAATTTTTGAATGATCCGTCTCGTTACAGTACTTGCCAGATATATAATAGTGAACATCTCGCCTAGTAACGTGACAGATAACTAATCAATTCTTCTATTTAATTAAAATAATGAACTAAAAAAAAGAACAATTGATTTTATTAAACTTCGTTTGTTCTTTAGTTTTATCCATATGTTAAATAATGTCAGAGTATAATAACGACTATCATGTGAATATAAACCCCACTAACCGTTACGATCCCAACTTTAAATCATTGAACAATGCCTTTACCAATCTGACTAAATTATTTCAGCATCCAATACCTACAAATTCCAAAACTATTGCATCTAAAGATTTGCCATCAACCGTTAGACCCATAGTAAACCCTATAAACACCCTCGATTATTATGATTATATATTTGATACAAGACCATATAATCAATATCTTCAGAATCATTTAGTAAGATCTATCAATATAAATATTCCAACAACATTACTTAAAAGAAAATCTTTAAATCTACTGAGTATTTTGGACTTAATTAATCTACCATCTGAATGTAAGACAAGATTATTAAATTCAACCTCCACTGATGTCATCACTATACTTTTATATGATCATGATTCAACAAATTTAGCTCTTAATTCCAATTTACATCAAACTTTATTAAAGTTTCATCTTTTTAATCCCAATTTTAATTTGTTTTATATGGGATTTCAAAATGCAGTTATTGAACCTGAATTATTAGAATCAGAGTTCACATCTGATAGTATTTCCACAAGTACTTCATTATCAATGGGTAATTCCTCATCTAAAAGTGAAATCATGAGTACTACAAAAATAAGTTATAGTGATGAATTTGTTAATACTATTAAGAAGAAATCCGATGAATACTTTAAGGATGATTACACTTTTAATACATATGATCTAAAAGTATTTCCTCAGTGGTTAGAATTTTTAAATTCAAAATCAGAAGATGTCATATCTAAACTATTTAATAAATTTAATAAACTTGAACAAAGCGAAAGACTTCGTATTAAGTCCTTAATATCTTCCAATATGAATTCTCCACTTCATGACAGTGCATTGTGTACTCCAAATACTTTATGTCCAAATTGTGATGTTATTAATTATAAATTACCGGATGGAAGTATTGAAAATGGATTGAAAAATCGTTATAAAAATATCTGGCCATATGAACATTCTAGAGTTAAAATCAATGATCAAGTGGATGATTACATAAATGCAAACTTCATAAATTGTAATCAAATCTTGAACACTTCACGTAATAATTACATAGCCACTCAAAATCCTTTGAATAACACTGTTGATGATTTTTGGAAGATAATTAATGATTTTCAAGTAAAAATTATTATAAGTTTAGATTCGATGGCATCACATTCATATTTAGATAAATTAAGCTCGGTTGAAGTAATAAAATCTACTTCAAATTACATTGTTAGAAAGCTCAATAATGAAATATATCATTTTCACATATTAAATTGGGCGGATTTTGGTGTTCCTACTGATTTTAATAATTTATTGGAATTGATTGATCTTAAAAATAAATTAATAAAAGAAAACAATCTTGATGATTCACTCGTTTTAGTTCATTGTTCAGCCGGATGTGGAAGGACAGGAGTCTTTATTACAATTGATACATTGATTAATAAGTATAATCAATCCAGAGACTTATTCTTCAAAGATACTCTACTGGAAATATCATCGAATCCCAGCAAACCAACTGATTTAATTTATAAGATAATTAATTTCCAACGTACTCAAAGAATTTCCATGGTTCAGAATTTTCAACAATATCTTCTTTGTTATGAACTTATCTTACTTTACTTAAAGAACATTGAACAACATTCTAATGTCTAATCATCTTCGTCATCATTACTTTGCATAGTTTCTATTTTTTTTTTTACATTCTCGCATATTATGAACTATATCACAATTGCATTCACTTTACATTATAGGTTGGTTTTAATTTTTACATTCATTCATCAAGTACCGTTAGAGTTCATAAACAATACCCGGTTATTATATATTAATTTGTAACTATATTATATAGGTTTTGAAAGTTTAATAAAATGTTTTTTGGCTTCATTAATGTCATTAATAGGTAATCCAAAAATTGGATTAATTGGGTTTGTATTTTTGTAGTCACTGTCATTGCCATTGTCATTATCGTTATCTAATTGAAATCTGTAAGCCAATTCTTCTTCAGAATCATCATCGCTAAAACTTTTATATTTATATTCACATAAACTTAAGCCACACAAAGTATAATTTGTATGATAAAAGTCGGTTGATTTGCCTGGTTTATCTCTGAAACCACCTTTATCAAAATTTTGGGCTGCTTTGAGAATATATGTCTTTAAACCATCACGGTTAAACATATCATGTTCGCCTACTAATACTTCAATCATGGGATAAAGTGCCCCAATCCAAAAACTATAACAAGCATCAACTAATTTGTTTGTTCTTCCACTTAAACCACCTTCAATGGAGTATTGGCGAAAGACTGACCATCTTATCAATGCATCAAGATCAAAGCATATTTTTGATTTCTTGGAGAATAAAATAAAATAACTTGCCACGGCACAGTAGGTATACCCTCCATGAGCTTCTGTTTTAGGAACTCCGCTAAATCCACCTTCAAAGGTCTGGCAAGAATTCAACCATGATTCAAGACCCAAGAGTAATTCATCAGTTAATGTGTTTAATAATGAAGAAACAGCTAGAACGCAGTAAATAGATCTGGCATCACTTTCACCATTCTTATGCATTACAAAAGATCCATCGGGTTTCTTAAGACTTAAGAACCATGAATATAAATTATTCCTTAATTTCTCTAAAAGTGTATAATTCTTGGTGAGAATTAATGTAAGTATGGCAGCATAAGTGGAAGCAACATGACCAATTTGATTTGCTCCACCAGAAATACCTCCTCTTCCTTCATCTATAATACATGATTCGATTTTATTATTAATGAGTTCGATGGTTTCTGGGGAAAGGCTTTGGTCATTTTGTTTTATAACCTTAAAACCATTTAGTAACCAAAGTAACATCCATGAATGATTGGCATCAAGAGCTGAAAAATATGAAGGGAATTGTGAATGTAAAGAACCTTTAATATACTTTAAATGCTGTTGTTGAAGAAATTGTTCATTGGGGTGATCTTTAAATGATTCCAATATAGATAATTCTGTTTCATATTGAGTATCAGTTGTTTGTGAAGTATATTCATCTCGAGAATTCAATTCAGGATTAAACCGTGATTTGGAATTGTATACACTTGCAATCAATTGTTGAAGTGAATCTAATGTATAGATATCTTCGTCTGTCATTATGTCTTCGTAATCTTCGTCTTTGTCGTCGTTGTCGTCGTTCTCCTTCAGAGTTGGTACTTTCTTACCTAGAAGATTAAGAATATAAGAAACCTTTCTTTCATTATCTGACAGACTATCTTCGTTAATGCTCGTCATAGTTAGTAATTTATATAGGAATGTATCAGAAATACGGTAGTGTGCAAGTATATTGTAGCAGAAAATTACCTAATTGGGCCTGCACAATTGATGTAACGAAGCGAATCGATGGATCACGAGCTTTTCAGTCACGTTCAGGATCACGTGCATTTTCGTCTTAACCCTAAATCTTGGATATTCAATGAAAGCAAACCCAGGCATTTAGTCAAGTCGTTCCATAAACTGAATATATATATTTGTATTACATATATAAGAACAATCACTGATTAGTATGATCTTGGTAATATGTGAGGTCAGTTAAACGAAAAATATAGGTACGATCTATGTACAGTCTATATACAGATTCTCAGATTGAAAGTGAATAGCATTGTCTTACAGATGCTATCTCAGGACAATGAATACTACTACTACAATACCAACATTATCATCATCGCACAGAAGTGTTATTATGCTTAATAAAAAGACGACATTTCCGCCTTAGAAGTTGGAAGTAACGGTAAAGAATCCTTCCGAAAATAAACTTCAATTTAATTACACAAAATTTTGCATTCTTTACCACGTGCGTAATTATACATAGAAATTATTAAAGGTCTTACGACTACAACTAAGTTATGTTCCCTTAGCAAAGTTAAATTGATAGATGATATCCCCAACAATAAGATGAAATTGATCTGGTACGCGTAAGCATATTTTTTGACGTTATTTTAACTTAATTTGTATATGTCAAAAATCCTTAAACTCAGATTTAGCTGCACAACAGGCTGAGTTGTTTTATGTTCAATTTTATCTCTCTCTAAATTTAGAAATTAAATTCCTCACTTTGTTCCGCTAATTCTCTAGTAAACCAAATAACCTATTGAACTTGTTATCTTTCCCAACTAGTTAATTAGTCACACAACGTTAAATTAGACTACAATGGGCTTAAGCTAGAATAGCCGATAGATTTCTCCAAAATATCCACACTGAACAAAGTGTCAAGGCTGAACTTGTGTATTAAAATTATTAGAAAAATATCTCTTTTTTACTGTATAATTTCTAATAACGAATACTTCATAATAATGAACCACTATTTTTTACATAAATATGTAGAATCATTTCTCTGAGTAATTACATAAATATATTTATTGAATATATCTCTAAATTACTATTATCACTTTGTTTGTTTCTTTATACTATAACTTGCACTGAAAAATCATAGCAAGTTAGCAACACAATTTTACAATACGGCAACTTTTATAAAGCCACCCATCTCGTCTTCACCGATTTAACTAATTTCATTTTTTAATTAAATCATTTTCAGTATATATATATTTTCATCACCTCGAACAAAATTCTATAATTTTAATATTCATTAACTTTTAATCAAAAATCCTTTGACCTACCCTCCATAAAAGGTTTCAAAATTCTGCTTGAAATGTTCCCACCATTTTTAGCAACCAGAAAAATTTGCTATTTAATATTCATAATAGGGTTTGTATGTTTTCTAATAACTATTCAATTATCAAGTCTAAATGGTTATCAAACATTCTCATATTCTCAGCATGCCCTTGAAAGTTTTTCGTTAGATCAAAGTATAGAAAACGATAAGGATTCACCCCCTCAAGAATATATTGCAAAATATAGACCGATCTCTTCATATAATCCAAAATCCCATCATAGAACAAATCACAATCAAATACAAAATCAAGATCAAGATCAAACTTCAAAATCACAAGGATCTCATTCTACAAAGAGTCCCAAAGGACCAAAAGGGTTAAAACAATTTCATAAACCTACTAAGAATATTATCTTTCCAAGAACATTTGACGAAATTTCTCAAGAGGATTTAACTCAATTTTATAAAACAGCATTTTTATTAGAATCTGAAGATTCTGCAGCTTATTTAAATCCCTCAAGTGTTAATGTTTTCAAATATCAATATAATAAAGATTTAAAATCTGAACCATTAAGTGATAATATAATAAAATTATCATTCCATAAATTCACATTCTCCCTTTATAGTAATTTAAAGAGAAAAATTGGAGAAGTTTTAGAAAAATGCAATCTTATTAAACAAGAATACGAAATTCAAATAAGTGATCCAATTCCCCTTGAGAACCGTCTTGAACGTATTGTTGCAGAATTTGCCAATTCTAATTCTCCTTATTATGAAGAACTTAAGGTATTCTTCGAAGATAATCCAATCAAAAAGCAACTTAAAGAAAAAACAATCACCAAACATTGGTATAGATTAGCAGGAACATCTGTATGGTTAGAACAATATGGTGTTCACTTTATGATTTCAAGAGTCATCTATAGTCCAAAAGGGATAAAGAATCAACCAGTAATATCCTTAACTTATGCACAAATCTTTGATGAATTATGGCAAGAATTAGATGATGTAGAGTTAATAATACCTACAAACAATCCAGATCTTGATAATAATAATAACTTACTCTTGGATTACAAAACTCTCAAGTATAAAAATATGAAATTTCCTACTATACTACCAATTCCATTTTATCATGATTCAAAAATTGTTAATGAAAAATACTATGGTCCTGAAGACCCCAGACTTTTAATCACTAAAAATGAACTTGGGTATGAAGAACCTCTTATCATATTCAATAGTTGGCATAGGAAAATTGTCAATTCACAATCTGAGAATGAAAATGATTATAAAATAAATTTTGCATATTTTCGATCCATGCATATGTGTTGGCCATGGCAATTTCAAAGAGGTAAAATTAATATTGAAGAATTACCTAATCCTGAATTCAAATTAAATTTATATAATAGAGTCGTTGAATTAAAGAAGACAGAAGTAGCTAGGGATTACTTACAAAAAAATTGGACACCATTCACATCATATTATGATCGTCAACAATATGGATTTGATAAATACATCTACTTTATTTATAAATGGGAAGATTTACAAGTATTAAAATGTAAATTATCAAATATTAATGAAATTTATAGTAGTGATTGTGTCTTAGATTATACTTTGAACAAGAAAGATGATGGACATTCCATTGGAGCATTACGAGGAGGTTCTCAACTTATAAATATTAACTCATTATTAGACGATTATCAGCATCAAATTCCTAAATTGAAGACAATTATCAATCATTTACCTAAAGGTAGAGAAATTTGGATAGGATTTGCTCGAGCTCATTTACGGAATTGTGGATGTGGTCATGATTTCTATCGTCCAAATATTGTTATTATCGTCAAAGATAATAATAATAAGTATAAAATTAGTCATATTAGTCCATTTGTTTCATTAGATGTACCTGTTGGAACATTCTCTGATATAACTAACACTAAATGTGTAGATGGACCAAATGTATTTATACCTAATGGTATTGGATCTTGGTCATTAAGTTCTACCGATCTTGAAGATTACTTGACATTAATTTATTCTATTGCTGATTCTACAGTTGATATAATTCATATCAAAGGACTCTTAAAATCTTTATTACTTCATCCCGATGGTGCAAGTCTCTTTGAAACTTCATCATCAAAGAAACAAGGATTTAACAATGACAATATAGTATGTGCACTTGAAGGTTCACGCGCTTTCTGTGATCAATACGGTAAAGATCATGCTCCATAAATTAAATATTGTTTTTATCCCTACTAGATAGACTTGTAATATATGCGCGTTTTACCCTGGCATTACCATTGTTATTGTTCAGGGGAAAAATGAAGTAAAGATGCAGTAGCAATTAAAAATGAATCTATAAACTAAATTGTAAAAGTTTGTTTTTCCAATGGTTATTCAATTTGAACTTTGAGCCTTATCCGCACAGCCATTATTGCTATGATAATTTTTTGTTAATTTAATTTTTATTGAATATTGCATTGAAAATTGATGTTGATATTAATGACACGAATACTTCGAAGATATAAGAGCTTTTATGGACTCGTGGTAGGGTTAACTTTATTGCTATTTATGGTAATAAGTTTAACTTCATATAGTATAGAACATAAGCATAATAAGAAAAAAGTTAATGTTAAACAATTAATAAGTTATTTATATGATAAGTCACAAGTTCAAAGTTTAGGAACATCGAATTATTGGAAATATCATACTAGTGATCAAGATATTAATCCTGTTCGTCGACTAATTTTACCACAAGGGGTTGAAATTGAAAATCCTGAATCTTATGTATTAAGTAAGAAAGATATTTTCCATTATGGATCTCGAAGTCAATTACCTTCTGTATTAGTTGGAAATCCTCAAGATCCAACTGTATTTGCTATGCAATCAGAATATACTCCATTTAATATAACAATATTCTCAAGTAATAAGAACATTGGACTTGATTTAACTAAATGTAATACTATACAATCCACTAATCAAATAGAGATGGATAATCCTATTCATATTGATATTAATATAAGGAAAATAATGGAACAATTTCTAGTTGAATTACCTAACAATCAATATTATCAAGAAATATCACCATTTTTCTTAACAGAATTAAAATTACAATTAAAACATGATATAGTAGATCATTACTGGTATAGATTAGCAGGATCATCTGTATGGTTGGAACAATATGGAGTACATTTTATGATTTCAAGAATTCTTTTCAGTCCTAAAGGTCGAAGAAATCAACCATCAGTTTCATTAATGTATGCACAAATCTTTGATGAAAATTGGTTGGAATTAACCAATACAGAATTAACTATACCATCTAATGATCAAAAATTTAAACTAATGAAATTCCCTCAATTCTTACCAATCCCATTTTATCATGATTATGATAATATCGTCGGGAAATATTATGGTCCAGAGGATCCTAGACTCATATTAATTAAAAATAAATATGGTTATCAAGAACCACTAATAGTATTCAATGCATATCATCGTAAATTAACTGCTTTTGATGATGATATGGATGAATATATGGTTCAAAAACTGCAAAATTTCCGATCAATGTTCATTTGTTGGCCATGGCAATCACAAATAGGGAAAACTAATATGGATTCAATTGATAAAGATTTCCTTCAACATCTGTATAGTAAAGTACTTGAATTAAAAATTAAAAATCTCCCTCGTCAACAGAAACAAAAGAATTGGACACCTTTCAGATCTTATACATCAATCACAAAGGAAGATGGAGCATATGATGATTATCTTTATTTCATTTATAGATGGGCAAATTTTGAAACTTTGAAATGTAATTTGGAAGATGGTATTTGTGGTTTCAATTATAGATTAAATGATAATTTATCTCCTTCTGCTAGAGTTGGACCCTTAAGAGGTGGAACTCAATTAATTAATTTAAATGAATTAATAACATCACAATCTTCAATTCATTTAGATACAATTTTACCACCATCTCGTCAAATATGGGTAGGATTTGCTCGTGCACATATTGATGATTGTGGTTGTGGAGCAAATATGTATAGACCTAATATGGTTATTTTGGTTAAGGATAAAATTAAAGTTACTGAACCAAGATTGTTTGGAATAAGTAATATAAAGGAAGAATATTTTTATGAGGAAGTTTATAGATTAAGTCATGTATCATCTTCCATTTCATTCAATATACCATTAATTGGATGGGATTTATTCAAACCTCGAATCATGTGTGAAGGAAGTAGTGTTCTCATACCCAATGGAATTTCAGGATGGACAATCAAAACAATTGAACATGAAGATGATGCCAGTAAATGGAAATTTGATGATTATTTAACATTATCATTATCTGTTAGTGATTATACTGTTCATACCATTAATATTAAAGGGTTATTAAGAGAAATATTGCAATTGGATACTTTATTTTTATCTCCCAAAATTGATCAATCTTCTATCGAACATGAATTACGTATACCAAACTCAATATCTGATGCTAATGAAGAAATGGGTTTTAATAATGATAATGTTGTTTGTGCATTACATAGTTCAGTTAAATTTTGTTCTGATTATGCTATAGAGCAGGAAAAGATTATGCGAAAATATTATAGATTAAACACTGGCAGTAGATTTTATGACACCTTTATAACAGATGATGATGGTGATTCAAGCAATGAAATTGATAAGTATAAGGAAGAAGTTGATCTTTTGAAGGGTCCAGTAGGAGTTGGTAGACCTCCATTAGATGTAGGTCTTAATAACGTATCACCTCGTCCTCCCGTACGTTCACAAAGACCAGGAGCTTCTCAACAATTACCACCTGGTCAAAATCGAGTTGGAAATGGAGATATAAATTCCAGAAAACCACCACTTTCATCGTCTCCAAATCCAGATCAGAGTCCTGAGAATCCTGGTGGATCAAGGTCTCCTTCGCTACCTCCTTTACAAAACCTTCCACCAGTCAATAATAGAAATCAAGGTGAACAACGACTTCCATCTTCTTCTAAAGGAGCTTCATCAAATTCAAATAATAAGAACCAACCTGACCAACCTATTCCTTTATCATCGCATGGAGGACCATTGAATGGTAATTCCAGGAAGCAGGGAGAAGACGAGGCATCAGACTTAAAAACTCCAACTAACCCAGCCGCTCAAGCAGCTATGGAAGCCAACAAAGCTGGTATTATTAATAGAAAATCAAAAGATTTACCAAATGTTAACAAAGGAACTTAATAGAAAGATAAATCTTATTTGACGATATTTATTTTTTCATTTTTTATAGAATATAGCTATTTGGACTAACATCTGTGTAGTTAATATAAAATTGTGTGTGATTAACACTTTGAATTGGGTAATTTGCAGCAAAAAGAAACATAAAAAATTAATTTTTCATTACTCCGATACCGGGAATCGAACCCGGATCACAGCATGGAGAGTGCCGTGTGATAGCCATTACACTATATCGGACGAATTTCCTGAAAAAAATTTTTAATTTCGACTGAAAAGGTGTAGAGTTCACGTGATAAATATCACGTGCAAACGGAACTTAAATTTCTTGAACGTGATCGAGCACGTGCACTTGTCTTTGAATATTTTGTGTTATGTATAACGAGATACACTATAATTGGCTTTTTAGTTGAATTACTAAAAATATTTATATTTAAGTTAACAATTAGGTTAATCTAATGATAATATCCTGACTTTAAGTATAGAATTATTATTTGATTTATAAAAAAAAATGCTCACTGAAGATGGATGGTCTCATTGTAATTTACAGATTGCACAACAAATCATATGAAACTCCCTATTATGGACTTGACCTAAAATATAATAATTGGTAATAGTTGTTAATCTGATTGAATAGAATGTAAATGTTAATTTAGTTATAAAAATAAATGTAATTATAAGTATAGGTATATATTGTTTTTAAATTAATAGCATTTTGACCAAAATTCTTTGAAAAATGTAATAATTAATTTTCTTATAGCGTCTAACTTTGCGAATATAAAAGGAAGAACAATCGGGAATTTAATTTATTTTCTTTTATTTAAACTTCTTCTTCATTAACTAATCTAAATTCTTATCTAAAGATTAATTGCTTTAAATAATCATCTTATTAATTTAATCAATAGCATATTATTTATTTACAATGCCGATTGAATTGGTTCTTAGTCCAATTATGAGACCTGTGGTCCTTGCTAAAGCTATATTATTCTCACCTCATAGAAGCGGTTCAAGATATGTTCCAAATATAGTTGAACTAGATGAATCAAGTGCATCTCAGTATGTTGTTTTAAGAAGGTTTGGTTCTGGCTCTAAAATATTTGATGTATATGATACTGAGAAAGGAGAAATCCCACTTGGAAGTAATGATCCTGGAAAAAAGCTATTCTGGTTTTTAAGATCAAGAGCTGTTAAAGGTGCCTATAGAATGTACTCTTCTTCAATCACAGGAACGGGCCCTGATGGTGAAGATGAACCTGTTGCTGATGTTAGAGCAGGTCTAAGATCTAATGTATTATTAATTAGAGCTCCAGGTATTCCAGCTGCTGAGTTGGGTTGGCATATTATCGGTCATAGAGTTGATGCTAATGATAGTTACAGAATGTTTACAATGGCTGATGGTTTTACTTATCAATGGACAACCAGAGGTAAATGGCTTGAAAAAGTTTATAATTTAGGTGAAAAAGAATCTGAAATTAGAGAACGTATTGGTCAAGTGATTCCTAATGGTGTTAATGGTTTCACATTGAAAATTGATGAATCAAAAATGCCAAGAGAGCTAGCCTTGGGAAGTGCCTTATGCTCTTTTATTGATCAATGGAATACAAATATTGAAGTTGGTGGGATCTATTATGCAAGGCAACCAAATCAAGTTCGTTGGAAGCGTGATTAAAATATATTAAGTTGATTTATTAGAGCTTATTATCATCTCTTTCTCTACTGTAAGGGAGTAGCATGAAGGGATTGTTTATAAGTTTTATTATTATTTCGTAAACAGGAAATATACGATTTTTTATAGTTAATTAAAGTAATTAAGTAATTTTGCAACATCAGCTTTGTGTAAAACTGCCACGTCCTGTATAAAAGTCGTCCATTTATGGTTTTTCTAACGATAAGAGATAAGTCACATCATTTTATTATACCCCAAAACAGGTTATGATTGAATCCATTCATACCTAGTTGACAGTCATGGTTCATAGAAGAAGAACAAAGAGAAAGACAAATATAATACAAACATACTAACAAACAAAAATATATATATTTCGCAGAAGTATGGATAAGTCGAGGCGGTAGCGGCATTCGTTAGCGGTTGAAAAATTCCTGCGGGAATCGAGGTCCTAAAAAATTAATATGTGGAGAGCACGCAACGACCGACTCTTCGAAGTATGGTAATATAAAAGGCCAATAATTTTCCAGGTAAATTTCAAATAAGTTGAAGTTATTTAAACAATTACCAATTAAAGTTATCATGCTTAAAGCTGCTTTAAGGAGAGGAGTTTCTAAGCCATCATGCTTAAGTTCTATAAGATTTAGTTCATCAGTTGCTGCTCAGTATTTCCCTAATGAACCAATTAAACCACAATTTGTTAGTGAAACAATTCCTGGTCCAAAATCTCAAGCTTTAAATAATGAATTAGGTGAAGTTTTTGATAATAGAGCTACTTATTTTGTTGCTGATTATGTTAATTCTTTAGGTAATTATATTAGTGATGTTGATGGGAATAAATTATTAGATGTTTATTGTCAAATTGCATCAATTCCTTTAGGTTATAATAACCCAGCCCTTATTGAAGCTGCCAAATCAGATGATATGTTATATGCCATTATTGATCGTCCAGCTTTAGCTTGTTTCCCATCATCCAATTATAAACAAATCTTACAAGAAGGGATTTTAGCAGCTGCACCACCTGGTATGACAAAAGTTTGGACTGCATTAAGTGGTTCCGATGCTAATGAAACTGCTTATAAGGCAGCATTTATGTATCAACATGCTCATAAACGTGGTCTGTTAGATTTCACTCACGAAGAATTGACCAGTGTTATGAATAATAAGGCTCCTGGTGCATCAGATATGGTCATTTTATCATTTGATAAAGGATTTCATGGGAGATTATTTGGATCATTATCAACTACTAGATCTAAAGCTATTCATAAATTAGATATTCCAGCATTCCCATGGCCAAAAGCACCATTCCCAGCTTTAAAATATCCATTAGAAGAGTTTAAACAAGAAAATCATGCAGAAGAAGTTAAATGTTTAGAAGAATTTGAAAGAATAATCGTTGAAGATTATAAGCCTCATAGTATTGCAGCTATTATTGTTGAACCAGTTCAATCAGAAGGAGGTGATAATCATGCTACATCATTTTTCTTTCAAGGATTAAGAGATATTACTTTAAAACATGAAATTTTAATGATTGTTGATGAAGTTCAAACTGGGGTTGGAGCCAGTGGTAAATTTTGGGCTCATGAACATTGGAATTTAACCACTCCACCAGATATGGTTTCATTTTCTAAGAAATTCCAAGCAGCTGGATTTTATTTTAGTAATCCAGAATTACAACCAAATCAACCTTATAGACAATTTAATACTTGGTGTGGAGATCCATCTAAAGCTATTATTGCTAGAGCTATTTATCAAGAAGTTTCTAAACATGGACTTGTTGAAAAGACTGCTCAAGTTGGTGATTATTTATATGATGGATTAAAACAACTTGTTAATAAATATTCCAGTAAAGTTTCTAATTTAAGAGGTGAAAATTATGGTACATTTATTGCATGGGATTGTTATGATGCGGATGTTAGAAATAAGGTTTTATTAGAAAGTAGAAAACGTGGAGTTAATATCGGAGGTTGTGGAGATGTATCTATTAGATTAAGACCAACTTTAACATTTGAACGTAAACATGCTGAAATTTTATTACAAGTATTAGAAGACGTTTTCAGAGTAGTTTAAAAGTTTATAGTAAATGAATTAATAATTAAAACTGATAGAAAGTTATCAGGCTCGTATATTTATAAAATAGCCTTATTTATTAATAGTACGATGGATTACTGGAAATGGCGATTGCCTAATTGGGTATATCATTGCGTTTTGTCTGAGAGGTCAGAAACAAAGAAAATTGTCTGACAGAAGTCATTTATTAAGAAAAAAGCCGTTGAAGCGCAAACCCCATTGAGAAACCCGAAACAGACAATAGGACAGAGCCATTTAACCATATACAATAAATATGCCGGTAATAAAGCATAAATTAAAGCTCCACAAATAGAATAAATGTCACCAGTATAGAATGTATGCTAACCTTCTAATATGTAACTATATTAGCTTAATTTATCGGCCCAGCTGTGCGAAACGGCGAAATGAGTGGCTTGGTCAAAGGCGGTCATAGGTCTCAAGCAATTATATATGGTATATTTATTTATTTATATATTTATATATTTATTTATAATATATGATACTTAAATAAAATATAAGCCATAAGCCACGTTATTACATCGAAGTAGTGTAATAGTAAAAGTTCTAAATTTGGTGACTTAGCTCTCAAATTGGGGGTAGAGCATAATTACATCAATAATATAATACAAAAGTGTAAGTAACAATTAAAGGCTATGTCCACCAACATAAAGTAGTGACTACTAATAATATACTCTAAGCTCTCCTATATACACATTAACTAACACGTAGTACTAATACTAATTGCAAAATTTTTAGTATCTGAACGTAACCATCGTTATTTGCTAAAACTGTCACTGTCACGACATTCCCGCAACCCGCCTTCCCTCATTTATTGCGTTTCTTATTTCTTTTTTTGTGTACTCCAATACAAAGTCCCACTAATTCACAGTTTATGTTTCTGTTTCTGCTTCTGTTTAACTACAACTAATACTATCCTATAATATATACCCTGCAAATACAACACACCATGTACTGGGCCATTTAGACATAAATCCTATATCTATTAGTTTCTTCTATAAGTTTAGTGTAACTAATAATATTAATTAATATCATATCAATCATCATGCTAGGTCGACTTTTCAAACAGAACCCTACCAATAGTCTCAATAATAATCATAACCATAGCCATACCCATAATCATAATCATAATCATAGTCATAGTCTTCACCATCAGTATCCATCTAATCCCAGTAATAATCCTGTATCTGTACCGACACCTCCTGGTGGTAATCCAACCCTAACTACTTTTGATGATTCTTATGCTCGAGAAATCCTTTACGGTACTCATAATCCAAATCAACTAAAACCATTTCAATTCAATACGAAATTCTTTAGAATCATAGTGTCACAAGATGGGGGTAGTTTAAGAACAAAACAAGTATTATATGATTCATCCATAAATGAGTCCATATCTCTGACCTCATCTTCATCACCTGTATCTTCTACATCATCTACAAATTCTAATACTGCTACTAATAATAATATTACCTCTAGTTCATTAAGAGGTGGAGTTAATAAATCCATAACCACTTCGAAGATATATCATAATTCAAATGAATTAAATGATTACATGTTTGGATGTGGATTACCCAGTAATGAAATTCATTGTTCAACTAAAATGCATATGTTACCATCTATCAATAATTTAATTGGTGGGCCTTATAGTTCTATATTAATTACTCGATTATTTTCAATTTGTGATATTGAAAATACTGAATATCAACAAGATTCATCTATAAATGATTGTGGTTGGAATCCAACAGCAGCTTTACCTATTGGACCTTCTCATATTAAGAAATCTCCATTCTTTAAAAGTGTATCATTATCAACAAATAATCATCAAAAATCTTCATCATCAATAAGTAGTCGATTTTCAATAGGAATTGTAATTCCATTAGAATCTTTAACTGATATAAATGATGTTATAACTAATAATTGGGATGAAATATCTCATTATTTACTTGTACTACAAAAATTAATTTATAAGAAATTATTAACAATTCTTAATAATAATTGTTTATATGATTCGGATAATAATATAGCTGGTTGTACTTATTTGATAAATAAAAGAATTCAATTTCCAAATTTTATTTTACAAAATGAATTAGAATTAGGAGCTCAAGTTATTAAGTTAGTTAAACTTATTCATTATAATTCCAATATTCCTAAATTAATTAATTCCAATACTTTAATTAAAGCTTGCTTATTAAATGATTGTTCTAAATATAATTATATCTTTTTAAGTTGGGTATTAGAAACTCTTAATTGGTTGGAATTTAAAGATGGGAAATCTTTTCTTCTAAATAATAATAATTCCAATAATAATTATAATGTTAATTCAACTTTCCATGTATCTAATAATAATACTAATACTAATACTACTAATCATAATAATTCTTCAACGGATTTAGCATCCATGTATAATGGCAATTCCAATACCTTTTTAGCAAGTTTATTGGCATTATTAATTCAATTAAAATCCCTGTTAAGTGTTAAACCATATCATAACAATCCTGGATCTACCACGAGAGAAGTTACCAGAGTGGTGCTAATGACAGGTAACCCAGCTGTAGCCAAGAAATTGATCTTCATTATGAATGGAGTCATACCAGACACTTGTACCTCTGAAGTATCGGAGTCTGCTACGAATCAACTAGAACAACAACAGAAAAGACAACAAGATGAACAAGACCAGGAACAAGAACACCACCAAGAACACCACCAAGAACACCACCAAGACCGTGAACGTGAACGTGAACGTACCCGTGAACGAGATCATGAACTTCACCATACTTATCCCAAACCAGAATACACCGACTTGGAGTCGTCGGCATCTCCTAAATCTAGAAGACCACTTCCTCCCGATAGATTACCTTCGACCTTCTCTAATGAAAGTAGTACGGGAAGTATGAATATCACTAATCCATCATCACCTGCCAAATCAATTAATCTCCTTGCCGTAAAGGGTCCAGCAGAAATTGTTGGATCAGGTAATTCTTCTGATAATTCTCCTGGTACTTCATCTCCACTTAAAGGATGGGAGATTCCTTATAAATCATCGGCTAGTACTACTACAGCCACTCTAACCAATGATGGGATAGGTAGTTATAATAATAGTTTTAGTAAAGGTATACCCATTGTTTCCTCATCGCATGCTAGTGCTCATACTCATACTCAAACTCAATCTTCAAGTTTATCTAAATCTTCATCAATGGCTTACCTTTCATCTTCATTAAATTCATCTTATTCTTCATCATCTTATTCTAAATTCGGAAGCTTTATGGATAAATGGAAGAATTCCATAAATTCTGTATATCCTGGAACTCAACCTCATCATAGTAATAGTAGTAATAATAATAGTATATCATCTACTCATGGTATAGATTATGAATATTCTCCTGGTTTAGCACCTCCACCTCCACTTTCAAATGGATTTGGAAGTATACCTAAACGGAATTCTATTCAATCTTTAAGAACTCCATCACCTGCTATAGAACATGAAGATTTCTCCTGGAATCATTCATCTAATAATAATAATAATATCCTTATAGGTCATAGTAATAGTGGATCTAGTCAATCTGGAAATCCTATAGGAACTGGTATTGGATCAGGTATAAGTAGTAATAATAATAATATTACTCAATTATATGGTCTGACTCCTTCGAAATTATCTCGAACTCAATCAATGTATGATCTTTATAATATGAATAATGAAATCTTAGAAGAAGGGTATAATGAAAGTAATGTAACTGGAGATTATGGATCATCAACATTAACAAAATCCAATTCAACTACCGGTGGGAATCATACATCTACTTTGAATAAAAGTTTGGCTATCAAACGATCTAAGACTTGTATTTATTCACCAGTTATTGATGATGATTTAATTAAAAATGTTAATGAACATAACAAGTCGGTCATTCATCTCAAGTGTCAAGATATAATGAATATGCAATTCGATACGGATGATGATAATTCCAATCAGACATTGAGTCATATCTATGAGATTCAATCGATAGATGGAGATAGAAATTATATTGATATCGATGAGGCCGATAGTGGAATCAGTAATGATCAAACCACCATTACATCTGATCTTGGCAGTTTGAATTTGAATGGTACTACTGCCACTACCACCACCACCACTACCACCATCAATAACTCATCTGATCTCATATTTAAACATTTACCCTTATCTCCCAATGTGGCCTTTTCCGATGAATTCCGTCCGGAATTTAATATTCAAGCATGTCCAATTAATCCTAAATTGGAAGGTCAAGTTATGAATACCATGAAGAGTGATTTACTATTTTATCAGAATAATTTTAAGTATTCTAAGATTCTTTCTCGAACGGTTTTCATTAGTTTAAGAGCTAGAGAAATTAAATTAATTGAAATGTCTATTGATAATTCAAGTCCACAAAGTCCTAATTATGTAACTCCTGTAACGACACCAGGAGTGGCATTTTCTTCATCATTTTCTTCCCCATTAGGATCTTATTTCCCAGATTCTGTATCTTTACCAGGTCGAAGAAATTCCGAGAAACCAACTAATAATACTTATAAAACCAAAATTAAAAAGATCTTTACTCCGACTCGGAATTCAGGAGATATTGATTTAATTAATAAAGTTGATAATACTTTTGAAGATATTAATCAGTTGTTTAATATGCAGCAACTCTATCGAGCCAAGAAACAGCAAGAAGATTATGATGATAAAGTGCAAGGAGTGCCTGATTTCAATAAGAAATTATCCAAATTAGTATTAAGTTTAGTATAGTATAGTAATAATTAATTATTTATTAGAATTAAAGTATATTCTATATGCTGCAAGTTATAAGAGCATCTTTGTAATTCATTCCTAAGACGATCTTATCTTCTGAATTCGATAAATCTATAAGCTTTAGAAGTAAAGGATGAGTATCAACAAGTGCCTTTTCATTCTTAAATCTGGTTAAATGACTTCCATCACTTACCCAATTTAGATTTATTATTATAAAATCTATGGCTGTTTCATTGAATATGAGATGATCATTAATGAGGATAAACTCTTGATGTGAATTGGGAATGGCATAGTTTTCCATTAATACCATATGATGGGCCTCTACTATATGATCTGTGGTAGTGTTGGAGGTATTGGTATCGGTATCCATATCAAACCGAATCAAATCAATTGATTTAGGTCTGATTAATACAATTGAAGTTTCACTAGTAATGAACCATTGTTTAACATTTTCTAATGGTTTAATGGAGATATTCATATTCTGTATATGCTTGAGTTGATCACTCCTTAATACCAATACAGAATTATCCATCAAGGGAAGGTAAAATCTTTCATTAAACATCTTAAATGCTTTATTAGAAATTCTAATTGTATGAGTCCGTGGCAGTGGAGTAGCACTAATTCTTAAAGGATAAAATTTAGATTCAGGACTAAAAGTTATAAAACCTCTACTGTCAATAGAAAACTGGATCATGAGTAATTCATATTTTAAATTCTGAAACACAATTTGATTTTCAGAAAAGAAGCTGGCTTGTATTCGATCGGTCTTAATGGATTGAATATTCTTTTTATAGGCAAGTATACCCTTTAAGGATCCGAAATTATTAACAAATGCTCTTACTTTAGCCTTTTTCCGAGGATCATTAGATTGAATGATTTTGTTAATAGCATCTATCTCGAAATAACTTTTAAATAATTCGGGTAACATTGCATCAAAAGAAAACATTCGTCTGATGGATTGAATCCTTCCAAATGTATTATAAATGTATCTGATTAAAGCAGAAGAATGATCAACTTCAACTAATTTAAAATTAAGCGTTGAAAACTTAATCATATTTAATGGGGTAGTAGGATGAGTAATATACAGAGTTCTCAAGTATTGAAATTCAAACTCATGCCAGAACTCAGTAGTTGGTTCAATAAATTTGGTATTATCTACCACATGATTTATTATACTTTCTTGTGGACTGGAGAATGGTATTTTTATCTTATCAACATAATTATATGATTTAAGACTTAAAGTTCCATACTCAGTTCTTAAGATTTGAATACTTATAAACAATCCATTAATAGTATAACAAATCAAACATTTAGATATTCGAGATTGTTGGGAATTTTGATCTAAAGGAAACACTACATCATATTTCTTCATATATGTATTCCCTGTATTTAAATATTGTATTTTATCATTAATAAATTGTTTGGTATTGGTCTTAAAACTTAAGGGATCAAATATATTCTCATTCTCATTTAATACTTGATGATTATAATACTTAAGAGCATTAGAATTGAAAATAGTAGTTGGGGTTGAATTTGGATTTGAATTTGAATTTGAACAGGATTTAGAGTTATCTCCGTTCAATATTCGACTCTGAGTTCTTTTTCGTTTACTATTAAGATTTCTTCTTCGGGCATAGTACTCTCTCAGCCGTTTCGTTTGCTCAATTTCATTGTTATGATATTTATCAATGTTTTCATTGCTCGTTAATCCCCCATTTGTTATTTTGAAATATCGATTTCTTTGTTCATCGAAGAAATATCCTGGAATATTCGGAGTATTCGGCATTTCTAATCCATTGTAAGAGCTATTGCTATTGCATATTAAAGAGTATATTATTTTAGAATTATTCCGTATAAAACTCGATCTGCTATACTCGGTACGCACACGACACATATGGAAATATAACTTATTTTAAATATAGAAGGGAATACGATTCACTTAGGAGATTTCTACTCAATAGTTAATATATTTTTACAAAGCCGAAGCCTCAAAGAATATTTTTAGGTAGTTATACATCTTTGTTTCTACTTTTGGTATTGAAAATGGTTAGTATTTGTTTCATATGCATCTCGATGCGTCTCTGCTCATAACCCAAGACCCTCATGACTCGTAAGTCACTGTAAAAACAGAATTCAATCGTGTTTGAATGATTGCTATAACAATGCATGTAGTTTATAGTTATATAGGTGATGCGAATGAGGATGAGAGGGGCGCCCCATTCACATGCCTTATGCAGTTGATGAAAGTTTAATTAAACTTTAGAAGTTTTATTGAACTAGAGTCACAAAATTGTATAGATGCATGTTTCACAATGATTTATTTATAACACCTTTATATACATAGAGCATCTGAATTCCTCTAAATAATGTATTCCTTAGTCTGCATAGCTTTGATTATAGATCCATGCGGTACTTGGTACACATAATTTAACGAGAAATAAAACCCTAATGATAAACAAGAGGCAAATTACGATGACTTACAAGCCACGACGGGTGGGGGGGAAAAGGTTAAGCGGCTACGCCTGAGTAAATTTAGGAGTAGGTTATGAGTATTTTTTACAGATTGAGCCATTAGTGAATATTTTGCCCAGCACGTTCCGTAATATTTATCTATGTTTATAGTTTTGTTCGAGGCAAATTAACAATTATAATTAAGAATAGATATAAAAGCACAGTTTTGGTGTTAACTATTGTTCTGGCCCTCTAGGCTTAGTTAAATAAAATTGGAACGCATAAAAAATATACTCTTTACGCAAAGAAAAAAAACTTTAACAGTATAAGTCCATCTAAAAAAGCGCAAATATCCCCTATCCCCTCCCTTTGAGGAGAATTGGCTGATTTTACTCAATACATTCAAAAAATATATATAATAGTAGAAACACTAATTAAATAGCTTAAACGAATCACAAATAACAGTTTAGTCTCGCTGTGTTTGTTTATCCGTAGTTCCCAACTTTAGTTTTTAATTTAGCCCACTTTAGATAAATTTATATATCTTAAATCAAAACAAAAACCTAACTCGTGTATGACAACTGTAAATATGTTAATGTTTATATATTGCTACTGTGAAGGAAAATTAGCTAACTATAACTGTAGAAAGTAGAAAAAAAGATTGCAAAATAATTAACAGATATAGATATTTGAGTTTGTTCGAACACTTAACTGCAAACTGTTAAACAATTCTCATTAGTAATATAAAACATTGACAATTAAAATTCGACCCTATGAAGTTAATAAACGTCTCTATCAAAACCCAATAAAAAAATAGATTTCTTTAACTTTGTAAACAAATGAATAAATAAATAAATAAATAGTAATAATGAATGGAAAGGGAATTAAAAGTATCATAAAAAAGTTTGAAGGAAATATAGAAATCATGGAGTCCATTTTCCTTGATCGAAACTGAATGTATACGAACCGCCACCAACATATGTACTATCTATAACTGGAACTCCTTCAACATTTGGGGTTAACGAGTTTCCAAAATGCGAAACTGTATGATTCTCTTCTAATGGTAAACCAAGTGTTGCTAAATTACCTGGAACACCTGGTAAAGTGTAGTTAAATACATCATTGTAATTATTAATATTTTCCAGTATATCAAGACCCATTGGACTAACTGCTGGAATGTTAAAATTGTAAGGAGTTGTCATGTTTCTGTTTGAATTTTGGTAATTCATGTTGCTGTTACTGACTGCATTCGAAATAGGAGAAATGTCACTATAATCAAGATTTCCTTTCACACTATTAGCGTAAATTTTCGGATTCGGGTTTGGATTTGAATTCAAATTATTCATCATGCACAGATCGCTTTCTTTAGATTGAGGGAATAAAGATGCTGGTTGTTGAAAACTTTGCAATCTTGTCAAGTCAGGTGCTGAAGAATAAAGTTGATTGTTGTAATGGCCATTTACTTGATAGTTGTCACTATCCACTTTAGCCAATTCTTCAGAAATAATAGTAGACCCTACAACGGGAGTAGTAGATATGGAACTCAATGTACCATTGGTTGGAAAAGAGAACATAGCAGTGCTACTAGCCTGTGTTGGTCCGGAAATGGAGAAGTTGTCGATAGGATAAAGATTATTGTTAATATTGCTTGAAGTATGATTATCTTCCAATTTGATTTTCTTATGAGCCAGGAAGCTTAATCCAGGAGAAGAAGTGATAGATTTTCTCTTTTGGTAATAAGGTGTTCCACCTACAGAAGTAGCTGTTGTTTTGATCAGTGAATTTAAAGATGATGTCGATGAAGGTGAATCACTCGAATTCATGACATTTGGATGATCTTCTTTATATTTCTTAATAAATTCCCAACATTTGTCACCATAAGATTTTGGAGTAAGCCCGGTTACAGACTTAAATACCCTATGGAAATGCCATGCTGAAAGCTTTGACTTAGCAGCCAACTCTTTAAAACCAAGCACACCTCCTCTCCTTCTTCTCTTCTTTGGGTTAGAAGCTCCGCTATTAGACTCATCGGTTGGACTACCACTCTCAGGTGAATTTGGACGTTTGAGCATATTTGGATGAAAGATAGAAACAGCAGCGGCCAATGCTAGATGTCTGCAAGCTAAATCAACTAATCTATAATGGTCAGAGTCATTTTTAGACAATGATGTATGTTCGAAATCTTTATTAAATTTACCATCATAGCCAAAGACAGGAGCAGACAGTTTTCTCAACCCTCCAGTTATCCCACCAGCATTGTTAATTGTATTCAAAATGTTCACCTCGTTCACCTTCTTGGATTCTAAAATATTAGCTTTGATTTTTAAATTATTATTTTCCTCATTATCATCCAATAATGGAGGTAAAAACCCTATTTGATTGTTAATAGTGGCGACACATTCTACTAAAAGATTCACATCAATAGCTGGAATGCTTAATGGTTCACAGTATTCACATGGAGTATAGCCATAAGTCATACAGTCAGATGGATGTGTCATAAATTTCACTTCTGACTTTAAATTTGTTATAGGTCTAGCATCACAATCGGGACGACAAAAAACTTTATCAACTTTGTTGCATACGTAAAACGATCCCGCTGCAAAAGGATCACTGAATTGGTAAGCTTTCCACTTGGCTGCTTCAGTTGAATATACCATTATTAAATATGTATAATTGATCTTTGCAGAATAAAGAAGAATAAGCAAAAAATATTAAACTTATGTGATTTTCACTCAGTAATATAGATTTTTTATAATTCAACTTTTCCCATACAAAAGTAAATTTATTGAAATAACAATTTCCAAATGTAATTTGGATTTGGATTTATTATTTGTTAAGGAGTGCAATGTTGTGTCGCACCCAAACTGCCTTATTTTATATTTTAGGAATTCAGAAAATAACAATAAATGATTCAATGTTTTCCTAGCAAACAGTCACTTATTAGATGTTGCAAATCTGAATACTTCAAAAGTAGTTCTTGATTAATCTATTATTATTACGAATTATGGACTAAATTTCTTAGTTTTTCTAAGGCTTGATCAATTTCAATAATATTTAAAAAAAATTGTTAATGTAGTTTAAATGTAATGGCACTGTTGAAGGAATTCAGCTTATTATATAGTTTGTGAAGGCATATTTGGTTAAGCATTCTGTATAACTTGAAATCAATAACTCTCTTAACTATAAAGCAAGTTTTGTGAAACTGTATGTCGTTTCTTTTTGTATCTAAGCAAAATAAAATTAGAAATACAAAGCTTAAAAATAAAATTATTTTTTAACTTTTATTTTTTCAAACAGCTCAAGAGCTCTGGTTTGTCTCGCAAAAATACTACATTTTCTTGCGCTCATTTTTATGCAGGAATGTACAGCCACCAAAGGCCATTGTCGAAAAGTGGAGTTTCCGTAGCGTTGGAAAAATATTCCGATTCGAATCCCTGATTTATTAAGCTCGGATATTGTATATAAATTAATGAGGACGGTATTCCGTTCCAAATCCTACTAATATAGCACGGAATTGACTAATTGATATTTTTTGTGATGATGGTAGGATGAATGAAATATGTTAAAAGAAGGAGTTGTGCCTTCTATTATTAAATGTTTTCTATCAGGAACCGCATTTGTTAATGTATAGACGAAGAAGAAAGAAATGCAATATGGTTTGTATATTCTAAGTTCGTGGCATCGAATACTGTCTTTATTTGACATTGGCCTTCGAAAGAGACCGTTTGATGAATTTATGAGGGGAAGACCCATAATGTAAATATTTAGAATTAACTCGCTGAGATGCTAGATCTAGTTCTCGCTATAATTCCTTTTGGTTTTGTGTTCATTTTGTGGTTGCGAGCGAACCTTCTATTTTTGAAGGCAATACGCCTCTATACTAATTGACCCTTGTACTATTCTATTGAATTATATTGTACAGTTAATTGGCTATAATTCCGAAGTCTATTCCATTTCAGTTGAAGTGATCAAATTCATATAATAGAATTATTTTTTTCCTGTGCTTCTCTATATGCCACCAAGGTGATCTCATCTTTTTATGACAGCCATGCAAGAGCTGCAAAACAGATCCGAATTACAATTATATTAAGCAAATTGAGGGAAAATTGCTTCTACATTATGCTACTCATATCTATGACAGATGTTAAACCTAACCTTCTTAATTATGATTTTCAAGTTTTAGTATAGAAAATTTTTACCCTACTTTTGTGTACTTACACTTTGAGTATAACTTTCTCCTGCAGTAGAGAGAAGAGATAATCATCATAGGAACCATGAAATGGCTTTATTCAGTCCTCGCACTTGCTGATAAGCTCAAAATGCTCAAAAGGGCGTCCCTTACAGGCAATGCTATGGATTAGAATAGCCCTTAATTATCATAACCATCGTTCTATCGGTACGAATCAACCTTAATTTCAAATGAAAACTTTCGTAGTTGTTGTTTTTATTGTAAGCTTGATCATAACATCTACTGCATTATGAGGCGTCTTGCTAAGTCTTGGAGATATGTATTTTTGAAAGCACGTTTTATGCATTCGTGATAAATCGCATTTCCGGATATTAATTTAACCAAGTGTACAAAATTTCATCAAATGAAGTTCGGATTTGAACCTCGGATAAATCTGTTGCTAAACCGTAGTCGGTTTAATGATTATGCTCGGAATACAACTTTTTTGAAACCGGATATAATCTTTCTAAATGCTATATAATAAAATTTATAATAACTATTTTCATATAATTAAACTACTTAGCAATATGTGTATATCATCACAGTATACTTGCAATCTTAATAATTAGGGATGCCCGCCGAGGGCATCTCTAAGAGGCATTTTTGAGATAATGGAATTTTGACTTTTTGTTTTAATAGTAGTAACCAGATATCATAGGCGAATAATCCTAATATATGCACACAATTTTAGCTGCGGGCTCATTAAAAAATATAATTGAGAAAAAATATTCTGACCTCAGAGTGACGCAAGGTAATTAGGGTTATACACTTCCGGGCAAATTAGCATTTGACAAATTGCTATCATCTGTGGATAAGCACCACTTTGTATTAAATACTAAAATTTGGCTTATAGTTACCATAATGATTTATCTCATCGGTTACATGAGGCAAATGGTACTAGCCACTTCGATTAATTTTTTAATGGACAAACTATTGTAATATTTTGTTAAAAATAACATATCGAAAAGAAAAGTGAGGTCATGAAGAGTGCAGTTGTGACATCATGACAACATATTTCTTTATCTTTAATATTGGGGTTGAATGGTGCCTACTTCATGAAACGGTCAAGATAGATAAAATTCTTAAAAATAAATAACGGTAAATTAATTTTGTAAATAGGGGACCATATATGTAGTCAGCATGAACTATTATAGTTACAGTTTATTGACAGGCGCATAACCTGACTCGCCACATTAATTGGTAAAGTTTAAATGTTCTAACTCCATGAAATGTATCTCATTAGAAAGATCATTATGAAAGGTTAGCGTTATTGACGTCAGTCATTTTCAATTTAAGTGTTAGGTGTAACCTCAAATTAACACACCAACCCCCTACTCGAGTAGTGTCCAGTAAACACATGTAAAATATAGATCTCGATAAAATAAAATGTTGTTGCACCCCCTACATGAATGTTTTTTTATTGTTTATTATACCCAGGACCAAATAAACGGCTACAAACACAATTCAGTAGATAATATTTAGAAGGTTTAAAAATAATACTCTTTTCTGGAAATCTTGAGCTAGCGCCATTTGTATGATTTCTTTGTGACGATCATAATACATAATTTATCATCATACAGACTACAGATTTTATTATCGACATTCTGTACCCCTTTTTTTTAAATGGAAGTCGCTATTTTTTTTTGAGACAAAACAATAGGCTTCACTTTTTAAATGACGTCATGAGTGATCTCATAATTATCAAAACTTAGCCTTTATAGTCCTACTTACGCCCTTACACTTACAACTATAACCCTTTAACCAAATTTGTTAATCAACCCTTCGAAAATTGCCCTGTTTGGAGAACTGATTTATTATTATTTCTGTATTCTATTTATTATTAAGCATTGGATGAAGCTGGGTTGTTTATTTCATCCTTTTGCTAATAAGAACAGTTAACAATAGACCAACTCATGTATATTTGTGCTTCCTAAATGTAAAATGTGTGACGAATGGTCAATACATTTAATTAATCCTATCATTTGGTCTTATCTAAAAATGAAGTAAAATTATTGAAATGTCACAAATTAAAAAAATGTGAGACATCGCGATATAAGTCGGCAAAATGTCGTCAAGGGAGTAGACCTCTAAAATAAGCGGATGACTAAGGAATTAATTCCAAAATTGTACCAATTGCTAAATTTTCAATTGTAATACACTAAATCAATTGTTTATTAGTGTTAGCAATAAAATGGTCGAAATATCTACAGACTTAGATCCTCTTCTAACAATCAATTTACATCCGAGACACGCTGGTCATAGTCACACAGTTAATATTAAATATGGATATTTTATTATATTTTTATCAGGACTACAAATCATAGCATCTCAGACATTCAAGTATTTGTATTTGAAAAAATGGAGTCAATCAGGTAGTAATATAAATATTTGGAAAAAATTTATGGCAATTCCAGTATGGGTTATAGTAATTATCTGGACTCTTATTTATATGATATTATTTCCATTTCATATTGAAGAATGGTCTGAAAATTATATAACATCTTTCAAAAGATCAGGGAGAATAGCATATGCTTTAATTCCCTTAAATATATTTTTGGTATTGAGACCTTCAAATATTATAGGGTTAAAAATAGGATATTATTTGGAAACTTTAAATCTTCATAAATGGATATCAAGATTAATAGTATTGGCTTCTCTTGTTCATGGTAGTGGATTTGCTTATAAATGGATTTTGGAAGGTACCCTTATAGAAAAATCTTTTAGATTATTGAATTTCCTTGGTATTGGTGTTGCCTTCTTTGCTTTCATATTGGGTATTATTTCAATTAGACCATTAAGACAAAAGTTTTATCAATTGTTTTACATATGGCATGATTTAACCGCATGGTTATTTGTCGTTTTAATTGCATTTCATGCTAGACCGGGTGTATCATGGATAACTGGAATTAATATACTATTATTAGTTTATCAAATTTATCAAAGGGTTTTCAAAGCTGTTTACATTCAGAATATTCAAGTGATTGGTAGTAAAAATAGCTCATTACAAATCGTTAGAATTGCTAAACCATCAGAGTTCACAGCCACATACTTACCTGGATCACACATCAGATTGACTTATTCCAATTTAAACTATAAATCTTGGCTCTTACCAACTCATCCTTTTACTGTAGTCTCATCGAACGATTCACCTAACATTGAATTGATAATGAAGCCAACTACAAAATTTAGACTTGAGACATCCCTAATTTATTCATTGACTGGACCCTTTCCATCTCTTTCACCGCAATTTTTTGATACAGTTCAGAATTTGAATATAATTTGTGGAGGATCAGGTATATCGTTTGGAATACCAGTTTTCAAGTTTTTATCCCAATCTACTACCATTCGTTCATTGAATTTAATTTGGTGCGTTAGGAATAGAAGAGATATTAAGATATTAGAACACTTTTTTGATAGAATTCCCCATAATTTGCATATTTATGTAACTGGAGGTACTTCAAAAGATGAAACTTTATTTGATGAAGAAGCTGAAGAATTATTATTTGAGAGTGCATCAAGCAGAGGTGAAACTGATGAGATAGAATTAGAAGATTTATCTTCATCTGAAGATGATAAAGAGCTTAAAAACTCCTTTGGTAATATAAGGTATGAGAGACCCAATTTTGATGAATCTTTCTCTAGTTTCCATAATGCAGGGGATGTTGATAAGCAATGGTTAATAGCTTGTGGTCCACGTGAATTGATTAATGACTCTCAAGCATGGGCTATAAGAAATAACGTTCAATTCTTTTCTGAATTATATGAGATGTAAAACATCCCTTATATAGAGTGTAATTCATATAAATATGGAAACAAATTATGATAATTTATAAAATTATTGCTATAATCTATAAATTTTAAAAAAATTAATTGGTTGCAAAAAGAAAAGCTCGCACCCGGATTTGAACCAGGGACCAATAGATTTGCAATCTACTGCGCTAGCCACTGCGCCATACGAGCAATTCTGATCCAAATAACTTCATTCAGAGATGAAGCGTGTTCGTAATCACGTGACAATCACGTGACTTTCAAAAAAATAGAACTTTCTCACCTAAAAAATTAATGAATCAGTATTCTAATCATATTTTAATGGAATAGGATAGTCACTCCTCTCCGTAATACTCTCGCTACCGCTTTTACCAAAGCACCTTTCAATCCTACCTCGAATCTATATATAATTTTATAATTTATAATGAGAATATGAATAAAAAATATTTGCGTATGAAAAGTTGTATTTTTTTTTTCCGTAGCAATATATCAAATTCGAGTAGCTGAAAAAGACAGGTATAAGACTGCATTTATTACGTACAATGGGTTATACGAATGGAAAGTAATGCCTTTTGGTTTAAGTAACGCCCCAGCTACATTTCAACGTTTTATAAATCGATGATTGTATGTATAATAAGTATACGTAGATAACTAAAGCTATTAAGATATATAAAGAATCAGCAACTCCGGTCCATATAGAGCCTTCCTGAAACGCCAAATCAGTGACTCCCTTTGTTGGTCTAAGCTGAAGACACATTCATTTGATTTATGTAATAGTGATTGTAGACAGAAGCTCCAATTAGAATACGTAATCCTTCAGTGGGGAATGTTCATTCTTTACATACTTGTAAGCCATATGGTAGTCTTAGGATTTTCTAAATTTACCTAAACAACTACCTTTTCAGGATATTTGATCTACTAACAATTCTAGTTGACAAGAGTCATCCGACTTTGATACTAGTATCTTGGTCTTATTAATTATTCATACTTTTAGGATATTTGACGTACTAACAATTCTAGGGTGAAGCTTTTTCAAGCTGTTTATTGACACATTTTTACATTGTAGTGGGCTTAGCCTTACTTAACACGCGATTTAATATACGTGATTTATAGAATAGAAATCTTTTATCTGTAAACTCTCTCTTTAGCTTAGCCTTTCCAAGATGTAATATTTAGATACATTTCAGCACTATACAATTTATGACTCAAACTTCTAAACATATATGCATAATAACAAAATACATAACTAAGTATAACTCCCATCATAACGATCTAGAATACATATTTATATAAGATTTACATTGTTAAAGATCATACAATTGGAGAAATAAATACGGTTATGCTTATAAAATCAGTAATTTTATGCAATAATGCTGCGAAAAATGCTTAAACTACAACACTACAATAAGCTAATCTATAAATCAATTAATAACACTCCTAAAGCACCAATACTAGTGATTTATTATAGATATAAGCTACCGCAATAAGTGAATAGTAACAATTGCATGCTGATTGCTTAATAATCTTAACTCTTAGTAGGCAGAAAAAATTAGGCTAATATCAGATCGCGTCAAAAATAGGGTGCAATTACTTTAACCAGTAGGTAAGGAACTAACGATAGTGAGTATATACATAGATAAGCATGGTGTAAATATAGTAGATAATGTCAGTAAAGAAGGAATATATTAATGCCAGTGATTTGCCGGGTATAACAACCAACAGTGAAGGTATCAGCTCGCGTTTTAAGGTTAATGATTTACTTGCTTTGAATGATCCAACTAAGTCATATTTACTGCCATTAGCTGTAATAGCCTTAATAGATTTAAATGCATTTTTTGCTCAAGTAGAACAAATAAGATTGAATTTAAGTCCAGATGATCCTGTAGTATGTGTTCAGTGGCAATCACTCATTGCTGTATCTTATGCTGCTAGAAAATATGGAATTGGTAGAATGGATTCAGTCAAGACAGCTAAAGAAAAATGTCCAAATGTTATTCTTGCTCATGCTGCTGTATTTAAACATGGAGAATCTCATTGGAAATATGTTGAAGGTGTCCCATTTCAGGCACAATATAAAGTATCGCTTGATCCATACAGACGAGAGAGTCGAAAGATTAATAGAATATTAAAGCAACACTGTGATCTTGTTGAAAAGGCAAGTGTAGATGAATCTTATATGGATTTCGGTAGATTGATATTTGAAAAGCTATTACAACTTTTCCCAAATATATTGGATAATAAGAGTCCAGATGAATATTTAGATTCAATACCGAAAACACTTCCAAATCTGCTTATGTGGATAGGAGAGATTATTAAATCTCAGGAAGAGGAAAATGAGATAAGAGAGTTAGAGATTCGAAATAGTTCACAAACACAACTAGGAGGAACAATTGGAGTTACTGATTGGGATGATGTTTGTATGATAATAGGTTCTCGAATCTTATTTGATATTCGTAGAGCCATATTTGAAGAATTAGGTTATACTACATCGGCTGGACTTGCTAGAACAAAGCTGAGTGCAAAATTAGCTGCTGGGTTTAGAAAGCCTGATAATCAAACTATTATAAGAAATTGTCTGATTGCAAACTTTTTCCTGAACTTTCAAATAAACGATTTTACTGGATTTGGAGGGAAAAGTGGAGATGAAGTAGTTAATAGATTAAGAGTAGGTCCAGAAGATAATTCAATTAAATTTATCCGAGAAAATTTCACATTAGAAGCCATAGAAGAAGAATTACATGAAGATTTAGCATTTGCAAAGAGAGTTTATCAAACTGTTCGAGGGGATTATCGTCAAGAATTAATAAATAGAATGGAAGTTAAGTCTATGATGTCTAGGAAGAATTTCTTAGTAAAGTATCCAGTTTGTAATTTAAGTGATGCCAATGGATGGTTACAAGTATTTGCTAGTGATTTATATGGTAGATTAATTGAATTAGATGATCAAAGTTTAAATTTAGGATTACTGCAAGTATCAGAAAAGGATAAAAGAACTATAAATAGACCTCGAACTTTAATGTTACATTTAAATTTAGCTAATGGAAGTAAATTTTCTAAACAATGTGGAATAAGTGTTATGAAATCTTTAGAAAAATGTCAAGAACAATTTAAGTCTGCTAGTGAAAGATTACTTAAAGAAATTCTTGAAGCTAATACAAATATGGCTTTATTAAATAATGGTAAATCATTAAAGGAATTAATTAATTCAAATGTGATACCTTCAACTATAAATATTCCTCCTGTATCAGCCATGTCTATAACCATCTCGAATTTTGTTAAGACAACAGATTCAAATTTAATTGATAGTTATGCTGAACTGAAGGATACAAGAAGTAATCTTAAGAGAGAATTTGAAGAAATAAATCAAGAGGTATCCGCAAGGAAACTACTAAAGGAGAATGGAAATACAAGTACAAGTCAGATTTCTACCATAGATAAAGAATACATTAATCGACTATTTACAGACTTTAATAATAATCAACTAAGTAATTTCAAACTCCAAAGTCCCGAACTAGACCATGAAGAACCCCAGAAATCCAAACCAGATTCGGAATATATAAAGAAACTCTTTGATGAATTTAATTCCTCAAATGAACTTGCAGCTGTAGTTGATAAAAGACCATCTAAAAGTCCACCACCACCAGTGATTTCTCATAAGAAGAAAGGCAGTATTGATATATTACTGTCTTTAACGAAGAAGAAGAAATCTGATGGAGATTTTCTACAGGAACTTATAGAGAGTATGCACTGTAATTTGTGTAATATTGATATTACAGATGCTTTAGAACATAATGATTTCCATCTAGCTATTGATCTCTCCAAAAGGATCAATGGATAATAAATATAAATATAAATATAAATATAAATATAAATATAAATATAAATATAAATATAAATATAAATATAAATATAAATATAAATATAAATATAAATATAAATATAAATATAAATATAAATATAAATATATTAAATAAATCAATGTACATATTCTATACATCAATCCATATCAAGAGCCAACTTCATAATTCGTTCTTTATCCCTTAATAAATTATCTCTTTCTTTAAGAACAGAGGCAGCAAACTTATTATCTGATGGTAAAGCTAATTTCTTAGGTGATTTACCATCTTTTGTTAAGAGTTTAAATTGTACTTTACCATTTTCTGATGTAGCTATACTTTCAGATTTTAAAGATAATTTGGAATTAGGATTCCCAATAGTATTTTTCGAGGTTACATTCTTTAAATTAGTTTCATACGACTCTACAAGAATCTTTTGATACTCTTTAGCCAATGCGTCGGCAAAACTATCACCCTCAGATTTCCTAACATCTCTTGCAATATATTCATCATCTTTTACCTTCTCTTCTTTGGCTTCCTCCGTCTCATGCTCGTATGTTGATAACTTTGTTGAAGCATCATCACTTAATTCATCATCACTCAAGTCTCCTTCTTCTTCATCATCTTCATCATCTTCGTCATCTTCGGAGTCTTCTTCCTCCTCCTCCACTTCAGAGTCATTATCAATATCAATATCATCGTCAGAGTCTTCTTCTTCTTCATCATCATCTTCAGGAGTTCCAAGTCCCTTTTTTTCAACTATTTCTTTCAATTTGTTCAATGTTTCTCCTAAACTTTGATACCTTTCAATACCAGGGATTTCACCATATTTCTCAAATAAATCATGTAATTTAAATTCCAAATCAATAGGAATAGGCATTTGCTTACAAAACACATAATATTGGAAAAAGGCAAAATAAGTCTTTAAAAGATCTTTATTAATACGTGGACTTCTTCTTCGACTTTTTCTGGATCGAGATCGAGATCGTGAACGACTTGAACCTTTACCATCATCAATAGATACTAATAAAAGACAACAAAGTTGAATTCTAAAGTAATTATCAGGAGGATCTAATTTTAAAGAATAATTTCCTGGAAGGGGTTGATTATTAGGATGACCATAACATAAGATTTTATTCAATAAAGTATTAATAAATTTGAAATTAATTAATCGAAGATTAAATATTTCTGCTACATATTTAATATGAGCCATTCTAATTCGATTTCTTCTATAATCATTTTCTTCCATCCCTCTTATAATATTTTCAATTAAAAAATCTATAGTTCGTATAATAATATTCTTTACTTGAATTGCTTTAAGTACAAATGCTAATGCATGAATATTATTATAATTAATTAAATCAGGATGTGAAAAACATTCCACAATAAATGATTCATTCTTAATTAAATCTAATTTACTGATTTCATTAGCAATTAATGTACAACTTCTATCATTTAATTCTACTCGTAGTAATCTTTGAATAAATTTTTCTTCATCAGTTAAAATTGGCATTCGATCTTCAATTTTAATACCATTAATGACTGGTGGATCAATAGTTAATAATAAATTATTTATTGCCATCTTTTCTTGAACTTTAAAATTCAGACTTCTCTTCTTATCTCGCAAGTTACTAATCATTTCTTGGGTGAATTGTTTATATTCTGGTTCTTGTAATAAGAATCGTCCAATATGTTCATAAAATACCGATAACACATCAATATTATTAGTAGAAGTTATATTGAGTGTTAAAGTTCTAATCTTATGAAATATGATATGACTAGGAATTAATTTAAATTTAATTAACTCAACAAAGAAAAATATATTCTTAAAGTTAAGTTTTTCATTATAAATTTGATATCGAAATCCACGATCTAAATAATCTATAAGCGATGAAATTGATTCCTTTAAAGCTTCTTCATGAATCTTTAAAAATCTAGCAAAGTATCGCAAATTATTTACATCAGGACTTTCAACAAAAAATTTGAAAAGTCGATTCCAAGTAGCTTTATTATTAATTCCAAGATGTAAAAATTTTGCAGCTACACTATCAATATCTTCTTCTGAAGCTACTTGTAATTTTGATAAAAAATATGTTACTCTTCCTCCATCATTATTTCCCTGTAAAACTTCTTCATCATCTTCATCAGGGGGATATAATTCATTCAATTCTTCATAAGTCGGTATTTTGGTATAAAAGAGTTTTTCCTTTGCATCTCCCCATACTCCAAAATCTTCTTCATTAGAATTCTTTTGTTTAACTACTTCAATAGTCGATTCTTCAGTAGAAATCTCTGATTTTTTCGAAAGTGTAGGTAATTTAAAATTAAATACACTGGCAATATATTCATTACCACTTTGAAATTTTTCAAATAATTCTTCTGCCTGATTTAATTCCACCACATTTTCTTCTAAAATTCTACCAGTTCTAATTGAAGCCTTTGTATTTCGCTTCTTTAAATTATATATTTCACTATCTAAATCAATCACAATATTTGAAATAGCATTAGAATACACTTGAAATATATTTCTAATCATGTCTTTTACATTAATTGAAAGTAACATATTATTATTATCTCTTATAATATGACGAAATCTTTTTAAAAATGATAATACTATAGTTAATGAATTGCCCGTAAGAATTTCAAAATTAAGTAAATTCTTAAGAACAATGGTTAATACTGATTCTGATGATGATTTAGATATCCGCTTTAAAATTTCTTCTGGAATTAATTCAGGTGATATATCACCAAGAGTTCGAAATATCCCCACTACATAAAATTCTGCAAATAATCGAAGCATATTCTTTTGTCGAGTTACTCTTAGTAATGCTTCTCTTTCACGTTCTTGTTCTGAAAGTAATTGTAATTGTTGTCGATCAGGATTTGCCAATACATGTAAGAAAGTACTGAGGAGGTATGGAGTAAGCTTTAAACCAAATCGTTGATGTAATAAAGAAACTACTTCAACTGCAGCCACAATATCATCATGTTTAGATACTTTAAATAATCCTTCTGCTAATGAAGTTATAATCTCCGAAAGGTACTTCTCTAATGAAATAGTTTCAATATCCTTTATGACACTCTTATACTGTTCACCATTAATATTGGTGCGAACTTTCTTAATAAAAGCGGTATTCTTCTTTAATGAAGGATCTAATTTAATATCTACTGCATACTGATAATCAGGTTCCCAAGCGGCCAGATTTAACGAGTAGAGTTCTTTCCTTCTCGAGTCGAACTCTTCTGTCATAGTGGTCTGGGATCCTATTACTCTTCACCTTTACGCTAATCGGCTAGGTAACCTTTTTTAGAGGGAAGTGCAATTGAAACGGAAATGGATTTTTTTCCGCTGTGCCAGTGAGATTATGCTAAACCACACTGAAGTAAGGAAGGGTAAAGTATGATAAAGTATATTTAGATAAGAGGTTTACAAATAGACATTGATAAATAGACATTGATAAATGGAGATTAATATATATATATATATATATACAGTCTAGAATTACTTACTTATATTATTTACAGGATAATTACATGCTAGAGGAAAAGAACTAAATAATTTATTCTTCCTTTGGATTTTCCTCTTCCTTTTTCTTGTCCTTCTTTGGATTTGGAACTGGAGTAGTACCACGAACTCTATGGAATACTCTACCTTTACCTAAACCATACTTTTCTCTAATAGATGGAACACTTCTATCAAAATGTTGTCTCCAAACATGAGCACCAACTGGAATTAAATCATTTAATTTAGAAAAACTTCTAATATTAAAATCTTCTCTTTCTATTTTAGATAAATCAGTTAATTCCTTAGTTTGCTTAAATACCCATAAACATGCTCTTTGATATTTACCAGCATTCTTTTCGGGTAAAATTGGTAAATAAGGTTTAAATATAATAGAATCTTGATTTTCAAGTAATTTTTCACTACCTATTATATTATCAACATTATTTAATGATACATTAGTTAAACCATAATGTAAAGTAGTTGAAAAGGAATTTTTTACTAAATCTGGTGTATCAGGATTAACAAGAACAATAGTATATAAATCTTGACCATCAATTCTATCAAATTCTTGAATACTAATAGTTGGAGGTTGTTCAACAGCAAATGCTGGTAAAATATCTCCAGGAGTAATCCAATTACCAAATTCTGGATCTTTATTATGAGGAAATTTAACTTTAACTTCAACTGAAGGTTCAAAAGTTGGTAAAGTATCAGGAATAACATGAAGAGTTTCTAATCTTTGCATAGTTAACATTAAACCTTGATTTTGCCATTTATCCTTTAAATAATATCTATATACTGGATGTGATTTATCTAATGAATCAGATGAATTATAATTAACATTATATAAAACTTCAGGATTTTCCTTTTCAGCTTCAATTTTTAATTTATCTAGGGTATTTTTAAGATTTAATTGTTCTAATTCATTATCAGTTTGATTTAATTTCTTTTCTAAACTTTGAATACGAGTATAAGTTTCATTAGCTTTATTCTGTAAAATTTCATAAGCTTGTTTAAAAGTTTCATCAATTTCATTTGGTGAATGATAAGTTAATCTTTGAGCAACTTCACTAATAGATAAAGGACCTCTATTTTCATCAACTTTATTGAATATACCCTTTTTAATTTCAGTATTATCGATTTTTAATGAAGTTGGTCTGATTTGAAAATTACTCCATACTTCTTTAATATGTTTGGGATTCGATGAAACTCCAGTGCTTTCAAATCTTTGGAAATTTTTTATAAGGGTTCCAACCCTATGATTCCTTAACGAGTGACTCATATGGACTTCAACTTACGAGTTGTTTATTTTTTTGTTTAACAAGATATTCGTTAGCAGTTTATCATCATATCACCAACCTGATGAAATTTTTTTGGTGTAGATTTTTCAGACACAAATTCAAATTACCCGCACCAAACTACAACTATTACACAACAACACCATATAGAATATATATTTATATGAAACTAACTATCTAAACCACCAAACCAATAAGGAAGTAAAACTAAACTAAATAAAAACAAACAAACAAACAGAACAAAATAAACCAACCAAAGTGAGAAGAAAACGAAATGGTATAAACTAATTTAAATAAAATAAGTAAGTAGTATGAACCAATCTAAAATATGTTGTGCCAAATATGTTGAAATGATATGTAGGACCTGCCCAAATATCCGTTTATAAAAAGTAAGAAATGAACTGACAAAAAAATGAAGATAAGTATATGATATCAACTTTACTTTGATACGTATGAAGGAGTTAATGGTAACTTATCGAAAGTTAAGAATCTTGAACTTCTAACATCCATCTTTGGAAATAATCCTGGCATAATAGGATTTTCATTATCTTCTTCAAGATCATATTCATCTTCATACTCTTCATCTTCTGGATCATCTGAAAAGTAACTATCATCTTCAATATCTTCATGAGTGGTTAAATACCTTGGAGCATTAAGTTTTGGTTGAAGTAAATATTCTTTACCATTCGTAGATGAAGTTGAAGTTACAAGCAGATGCAGTAAAGGTAATATACGAGGAGGAGGAGAAGGAGATTGAGACCGACTTCCACATTGAGATTGAGATTGAGATTGAGATTGAGATTGAGATTGCTTTAACTTTGAAATTCCATTAGGAAAGAATACTTTATATTCTTCAGGTAGAAAAGTTAAAGACAGATTATTACTTGACATAATTGGAACTTCATTATGAGTGTGATAAGTTTGATAAATTGAACCAGTCAACTTATCATAATGAGAATTTATATCTAAATTTAAATTAAGATTTAATAATTGATGAGGGAGTATACTTGAAGGATTGGATTTTTTAGTCATAGACCATTTCTGTAATTCTTCCTTTGTTGGACTTTTAGTACCATCATATATTGCAGTTTGTAAATCAGGTAGACTTGAAGGACGAGATAATAAAATGGGAGGAGATGGAGAATCAAAAGAGTCATGATCAGAGTTGGAAGGTGCTAATTCTATTCTGTCATCATTGAATCCACAGGATTCCATTTGAATAAGGAATTCATGATAACTGGAGGGAATATTGTAATCCATATTGCTTTATCCTATTGTATATGTTTAGAATGATAAACTATGGTATTTAGAACATTTAAAATATTTATGGTAATTGAACTTCTTAAAACAACCAATTTAAGATTTACGGACTCCAATGTGACACTAACACAAGAAAAGATCACTTGAGTAAATTAGTTAAATTAAGCTGCGTACACTTGATATATATCTTGGCTGAATCCAAGCTTTAGAAGTGGGAACGGAATTAAAATTCAAAAGTTCGTATATGAACTATTTATTTTATTTCTTTTTTTGACGGTGATAACAATAATCTCAGATTTGGCTTAACCCTGTAGGTTTAACGGCTAAACTTTACTAACCGTACAATAGTACTAACTGATAAGTAATGCTAACTTATTCAAAGTTAACAAATATGATTTATCTCATCAATAATATAAAAACACAGGACAGTATAGATGTGGCTACTATATAAGGCTTAACATGGCAGTTTCATTTAACCTTAACTATGATGATAAGCAGTCGTGCGCCATGGTCGCAATAAGCGGAATTATGCGATTGCCGTTGACGGCTTGCAGGTTATCAGTTGGTGACTCAAACAAATAAATATAACACTAAGTAATATGCGGCATTATGACTACTTAATCAATAATTCTATTAATCTATTGGGGTATGGTACAATACTATAATTAGTCGTAATTCGTAATTTAAAGAATAGACTTCTTAGATACTTAGTGCGGCAGTTAAATATACAATTGCCGCATCAGTACCCCTGTACTCGTCTAGAGCTTATTAGAATTATCTATTAAATGCCTTACTCAGCCTGGAATTTTTGTCCACGCATAATTCGCAACTATGTGAACAGAATTGCTAATCTACATTAATTCATTAATATACTTATAAATACAAACTGGAATATATTGTTTCTTCTATAAACCTTTAATTTTTCATTATTCATTATTTTTCGCTGGTGTATCCCTTAGTGAAAACTCCGGTTGATAACCCTGTCGGATTACTAGAGTCATTACCTGCATTGGTATTATTAGCACTGCTATTATTGCTACCATTGGCACTATTAGTATTAACACTATTATTTCCGAATTTAAGAGTACTAGAATTTCCTAATGCTTGTCCGGTCTCAATTAATCTACTTTGTAATGCCAAAGTATAATCTCTTAATTGTAAATTTTCTGATCTTAATTCATCAATGGTTTGACGCAATTGATCAACTTCTGAAGCCTTTAATTCCAAATCTCTTATATATTTATCTTTTCTTTGTCTAAATGCTCTTTGTGCACTTCTATTTTGAGCTGCTCTTTTAGTTCCAGAGACTACTCTTGTATATTTATCGGATTTCCCAGTAGTTGTTATTGTTGATGATTTATCTGGAGTATTACTTCCAGTGGTGGATCCACCATTAGTACCATCATTAGATCCAGGACTATCAGTCGATAATGTATAAGCGGATTCTAATCTAGCAGCTGCTGTAGCAGCTGTCACTGCTTCATGAGCCGCACGTACTTGTTCTTCTTGACTAATAGAATCATTCTGATGAGAATGAGATTGACCATGGTTATGTGGAAGATTATGATGAACCTGTTGAGCCTGAACCTGAGCCTGAACTTGAGCTTGAGCATGGGCATGAGCTGCGGCCGCTGCCGCAGCAGTAACTTCATCAACTACAGAATGAAAACCATCTTCATTAGATTCATCTGGATGTCTAGTAAAAGATGGATCAAATTTTGAGTCTTCTACCACCTTATCCGAATTAGACCATGAATTAAAGTTGGAATTCATATTATAAATTTATAGTTAATAATTGAATGCAAAATTTTTTTGCAAGGACAAATAGACTTATATTATGTAAACAAGTACAGATTAAAGCCGATTGAATTACATAATACTAAGGGCCTCTGTTTATTTCTTGATGGTTTGCTTTGTAATCGATGACAAAGATACTTTTTTAGGGACATTTGACACGACCTGAATTCCGTCAACCTGCATAGCGTCACCTACCTCACCTTCTCTTTCGTTCTGCTTATATAATCCTATGCAAGATTAATTAAGCTCGTAAGGAGGTGAGAAATTGAATCTAATCCCATCTTATCCAGGAGTAAGATCTAGTACCATTAACTATAGTATTGTGTAGATCTCCACCACTTATGTATAGAGTAATAATAATATACTCATATAAAAAATATTAATATTTATAAATCTTTATAATTTTCACAATTTTCACATCCGTATACGACCACGACCCAGATCTAAGGGTATGTCCCATTAACGCATCCAACTATACGAATTGATTTGCTATACCATAATTGGTTTGATGAAGCAGGTATATGAAGAATAATAAGAAATAATATAGAATAATGTCAGATATAGAATATTTCACCCCATTTAATGACACATCACTAACGTCAACTCCTTCATCTCAGCGTAGGACTTCAAACTTCTTTCCTTCTGGTACATCATCATCGAATACTTTTATTCCCGAGAATGAAATATTGTTCGCTTCTACCATTACCAATACTACTAATAATCATCGAAATAATATCACATCTCCAGTAGTTTCAACTGTATCACATCCAAGACCTTCCAATGTAAATCCTAATCAAAGTATTAATTCTAATTCCGTAACTCCAACATTTAATGCATCAAAATTCTTTAATAGTAATAATGCAACTACAAATAGTTTGGATCCAACTACTCCCTTCACATCATCTTCCACATCTTTAAGTACTACACCTACTGCTAATAATAATATTCAATTGAATATTCATAACTCTCGACCTTCCAGTTCTTCTATGCCGTTATTCGGAGGAATCGATGTAGGAAATGATTTATCTAATGATATAAGCAACTTAAGTATAATGTCATCTCCACCTTTACCTACGACCAATTTTAATGGAAGCCAATATCCTCATCATAGTCACAATCAAAATCAAAGTCAAAATCTCAGTCACCAACTGCATCATCCCATGGGATTCCAACCTTCAGGATCAATTATATCTCCGTCTTATCCAAATCCTCCAAGATCAGCAAGTACATCCGCATTAGGACCTGGTTTATCTCTGATGAATACTTCTACAGCAGCTGCACCACCAAATCCTCATTCTCATTCATCAAATAATAGTAGCAGTGGAACTCCACTCACAATGAATCAGTGGTCCATCTGGAATGAAGCCACCCCTCTATCAACCAAATCGGTTCCTACAGGCTTCTTTGAATCTTCATCAACTCCAAAGTTATCCACACTAGAAGAATTCATAGATGGTGAATTAATGTTCCCTAATGTAGTACTTGAAGATGATCAGGATGAAGCAATAAAGTACCCCAATGATTTATTATTTTCTCCTTTCTTGGGACAACCATCAGGTCAAGATCAATTCCAACCACCTCATCAATACAACAATGGACAATTTCGATCAAATGATCAAGCAGGGCCTCTTCCACAACAACAGTTTTATACGGACTTTCAATATCAGAGTAATCCTGGACAATTGTCTAGAACTAATAGAACGAATTCCGTATCCTCATCCGGAACAATTAAAGCTAGAAGAGAAAACATTTATGTAAATAAAATCAATATACCAACTTTTATACCCAGTGGATTTCCAGCTCCACCAATGGATGATATAGATACATCACCTACAAATAATAGGGCTATTCCAATTCAAATGACTCAATCAGATCGGAATTTAGAGGATATGAGACAATTTCTTGTTGATCCTAAAAATTCCATTGGACCAGACATTCTATTGGATAACAGTGATAAAGTATTGCAATCAAAGTTAGATAGTATATCCAAACGAGAGAAAGAAATCTTTAGTCAACAAGAGAAGTCTAAACAGGATATTGAAAATCCTGAACCATTAATTCAACTGCCACAAGCCATTAAATCCTCTGTGGCAACTAAATCAAGATCGAGTGAAACTATCAAGTTAAATCTTCCGAAGGATCACTATTCACAGTACCAAGGTGTAGCCATCAATGACAAATTATTTGTAAATGATGTACTCCAAGCCAAGATCTCCAATAAATATTCTGAGGATTATGTGTCTACTTTTTATAAAAGAAATTCTCATGGATATATGTTCATCAAGGAACCGACCACGACATTGAAGGTTAATACTACAGGTAATAAGTCTTGGGTACAATTAAAGATTAAGTTACCACCTCATAATGAACAAATTGATGCAAGCACACCACTCTCCAAGAAGTTAAAAGTAGACATTAAACAGTTACCACTTTGGCGACCTATTAATCTCAATGCATCATCAGGAGATAATGGCAATTCCAGCTCTAATTCTTATTCAACATACGGATCTTCAAGTAAGAAATTAAAGAATAATGGATTAAATGGTAATAATAAGAAGCTGGATTACAGTAATGGTAATGGTAATGGTAATGGTAATGCCGGAGGTAATGGAAATAGTCGTAAACCCAAAAATTTGAATGTTTCCAAACGATTTGGAAAACGTAATTCCGAATGATATAGACAATATATAAAATATACAATTATATAATTGCACCCAATATACCCGCTCAAGTAATTTTGCAACTGATGTTGTATACAGTGACGAAAATCCTGCATAGAGACAGGGATGTTAGTACACTCACACCACTAAAACTATTTCTGGGGGATTTCATTGGCTGGACTAACTAGTTGCAAACTCGATCGCAGCCATACATAAACATTAATGGGTATGTATCTACAAATAAAATGTAACCCAATTATACTAGTAAATTAACACGTACTAAAGAGGATGAGCCGCATGTCTCTCAACTATTTCTATTCATTAGCCAATAATAGGCTGGTGTTCCCCATACTTAATATCAATCGTATGATTCCCAAAGTGGTGCGAACATTTTGTTCCTAATTTGGTTGAAGCACTGCGGCATGGGTGTTCTGACCCTAAGCTTGTACCAATCCAATCTCAGAGATTGGAAAAAAAAACTTAAGCAGAGATGAAAACACACAACTAAACCTTTCAAAGCCCGATAAATAAGATTGATTAAACTGGGATTGTTTTTAACCAATTGATAATTATTGATCATTAGTTTATTTTCCTACCATCACTATAATTGTTGCATAATGTTTACTTCATCCATTCGTACTGCTTTAAGATCAAGAGCTATTCAAGCTCCAAGATTTTCAACTATGATCACTAAACAAGTTATTGCTAATCCTATTAGATTAAATTTAAAACAACAAATTAGAGGTTATTCTGATCATCATGAAGAAACCTTTGAAGAATTCACTGCTAGATATGAATCTGAATTTGAAACTGCTTATGATTTATTTGAAGTACAAAGAATTTTAAACAATTGTTTTTCTTATGATTTAGTTCCAGCTCCAATTGTTATTGAAAAGGCTTTACAAGCTTGTAGAAGAGTTAATGATTATCCAACTGCTGTTAGAACTTTTGAAGCTTTAAAACATAAAGTTGAAAATAAAGAACAATATCAAGCTTACTTGGATGAATTAAAGGATATTAGAAAAGAATTAGGTATTGATTTAAAGGAAGAATTATACGCTGATGAAGCTTAAATTTAACGAATTTCAAATCTATTCAATTTTAATTTAATTTAATTTAATTTAATTTATTCTATTCAATATAATAAATTCTTTCATGATTCAATCACTTTCCTTAATCCTTTTTGCATGTACTCAACAGTGGGACTTAAAAATTTTCCCTAGTAGGATAGTCCCACTATTTCTTTGAATTTTATCTCGTTTTATATTCCTATTAATACTATAAGACTAAACTAAACTATATTTAATATGGTTAATTCTAGTCGAAATTAACTAGTATCAATATATGAAAATTAACAAAAAAATATTTATCCATTATTGTATTCAAACAATAATACCATCAAATCTATTGTCATGGATTTGTTGATCTCTAATGTAGTCCAAAGTTCTCTCAAATACACCTCTACTTTGTCTGAATAATCTAGCTTCTTTGTCAAGTTCATCATCTACATTACTACTAGATGCAACTCCACCATCAGTAACATTAAGGAAAGCTGCCTCATTATCATCAGTCTTAAGATTATCAATATTAGTTCGAATTAAATCGATTAATCCATTTATATACCGAGAATCTACCAAGGCATTTCCATAAATATTAAATATTAAACAACGATTCAATATTTCAATAAATAATTTTAATGAAAGGTATGGATCCATACACGAATCAGCCACTCGAAGGGCTTTCTGTAAACATTCTAATACTCGCTTATCATCTCTATACAACACATCAACTTCAATTTCTGGTTCAGTTTCTGGTTCAGTTTCTTCATCTTCTTTAACTTGAGTTTCAGCTTCAGCTTCAGCCTTGATTTCTTTAGTAGATTCTTCAGTCTTTTCTGATTCAGTAACTCCCTTTGACTTCTCATCAGTTTGATTATCATTTACAGTCGGTGACTTTTCACCAGGTGGAAGTAATATTTCACACCACCACCATAAATGAGCACATGAATATACCGAACGACATTGATCTTGCTTTTTCAATAATTTAGATCCATAAACAGTTAATTTGGTTATAAGTGATTCATAATTTTCCTTATTAAAGTATCTGGTATTAATTAATTTATTACTTATTAATAATATTGATTGATATGGTAAAGAACCTCCACCTAATGAATCTTGAGGACTAATATGATGATAATAATTATATTGATGAGAACTAAGAATTAAATTTTCTTCATAAACAATAAAACATTGATTAAATAATTCATAAGCCAATGATTCTTGTTTTAATTGATCAGCTATAGTAGCAGCATTAAGATATAATTTTAAAATTAATTCTGAATTAAATTGTTGATGATGTTGATATAATTCATCAATAATAATTGATAAATTTTTAAAATTAGTAGTAATTAATAAATCTTGATTAGAATAATCAATAGATGGATTTTTCTTCTTTTGCTTTAAATTCATATATCCAATAAGTTTTAATTTATATAAAATTTTATTAATTAATGTTGGATAAGTATAAATAATATTAGTAGAATTTTTATTTAAATATTTTCTTCTCACATACATTAAATTTGATAAATTCTTAAAGGGATCTAATGGAGTTTCAATTAAATGAATTACTTTACAAAATTTCTCTTGAACATCTAAAAATTCTTGAGTAATTATACCATTTTCTCCATTATTTAATTTAATAGTTTTAGTAATTCCTAAATTCTTTGAAGTATTTAATTGTTGCAGTTGAGAATCTTTAATTAATACTAATAAATATTTAAAAATACCATCAATTTCATCAGTTGTTGTTAAATATTCAAATTCAAATTCTTCAACTTTTGGTGGACTAATATCAAGTAATTCATCATTTGTTGAAATACCTAAAAATTTATTAATTATTTCAAGAGATATTTGTTTTTGATAGGCTTTATTAGTTAGTTTTAAATAAAATTCATGAAAAAATGGTAAATTAAATAAATTTTTAACTGATGGGAAAAATCTTATTGGTACTACTAATAATTGTAACCATAATTCTTCAGTATTTTCTGAATTATCTTGATTTTTACTAACTAAATTCTCAGTAGCAAATTTATAAATTATATCTAAATTAGTTAAATTTGTAGGATAATAAGTTAAAGATAATTTAATATAACATTGTAAAATAGTTGAATGTTCTTCAACTGGTAAATCTGGATCACTTTCATATAATCTTACATAAAAATTCCAGAAAATTCCAAATAATTCTGAAGTATCAGTATCGAATGATTGATCTTTCTTTACTTTTTTATTATTATTATTATCATCATCTACTACTAATTTCTCATTTGTTTCAGTGACTAAATCGCTTTCAAATTTATGATAAACAATGAATCTATCAACCAATGTTGATATTAATTCACTTTTCTTTAATAATGGATGTAAATTAAGAAACACATTATTCAATAAATTATCCAAAGTAGCGAAATGAAAGTCATCAGGGAAGATTTGAATAAGAACATCAATCAAGTATGATTGAGCTAAATGATCACGACATTGAATTATTTGTTCAGTAATAGTAGGAAAGATATTTGTTTTATAAAATGAGATTGGAGAATAATTTTCATCTTCTTCACCATTACCTTTATAATCATCAATAATTTGTGATAATCTTACTAAATTTGATCCTACTAAAATCTTTAATTCTTTTCTTTCTCGATATCTTAATTCACGTTCAGATGAATGACCTTGATGTTGTAAACGAACCCATAATTTATTCATTTCAATGAAATTGGCTATTAAGAATTCAATGGTTTCATTAAAATCAACTGAATTCGAAAATGGGAGTAAATGTTTAGTTCTTTGAGATAAATAGTATCGTAAGAATAATCCTCTTATAGGATGTTGAACTCCTCGACACATTTCAATCATATCCTTCATGATTTCCTTGGTAGGAGCTTCATTTGTAGCCATATATGTAGTTCCTATAACAATCATCATATATAATCGAGGAATTATATTACCAGAATATTGTACTAATTCATACAAATCTGATAAGAATGGTGAACTAGTAGTATCTAAAGATGTAATTGATTTTTCAGAATTACCTCCATCTTCAATATTATTACCAGTATTAGCATTCTCAAGTTTACGTTGTTGTTTTCTTCTTATCTTTTGTACTTTTGCATTATGGCTATTTAATAAATGATTAGCTAAATATTCTAACGAATCAAATATCAAAATGTACATTTCATAGTATTGTTTGGGACTTAATTGATTGGTTCTTAATTCGTTCAAAAAGTTGGAGCAATGCTTCAATGCCTGAAGCAAATTATTATCATTCAAGCACTGCTTCATCAAATTAGACTGATGATTGATATTGTTTAAACATCCTTGAAGGATAGCCTTTTGTTCCGATATCGAAGGTAAAGTCATGGTAATCAGACTCAATTGATTAATAAGCTGGAAACCAAAATAATACTTACCACCAATGTATAGGAAGCTGTTACTTAGTGGAATCTGTAACTTAGCGTGAGTTGTTTTTAGTTAGAGACTCTATGTCGTCTAGTGGTATCTGGTTACCAAGTCGTTTTCGGTGGTAGAGGGGTCGTGTGAGGCTGGCTAAAATGATCGAGGTTTGGCTGCGATAATGGTGGGTATTACTTTAATGTTGTGGCAATGACAGTGGCAGTGGTAGTGCAGTAATCATGAAAGTGACAGTAGTTAACAGTTGTGTGGTGTAACTTATGAGCAGTAGTTCCGTAGAGGGACTTAAACCAACAAGTAGAACCACAAGGTCTTAGATGTATGTTAGTAGTGTAAAGTCTAGCTTAAGTAGTAGTGTATTTGTTAGTAGTGCTCCTGTAGTATTCAATATAATACCACAGTCAGAAGTACTACTCTCTGTCTTAGTCTATAGTACTGAACTGCCAGTATTCATTACATTCTCAATGTTATTCAGTAACCATCTCATCGTAATAAGAAGGATTGCCATCTCACTTATTCTCTCTCTCTCGCCTGGTATCACTACTCCCCTCTGACCGCTCATACAAAATGTTCTCACTCACTTTTTCCCGTTAACCAAAGTGATGATGGTCCACCTGATTTGCCTTTACATCGTATTGTTCCACCACTAGTGACTTAACTAAAAGTCAGTCTTTATTTCATATATTCTATTACATTAGTATAGAAGCAGGAGTTTTTTAATTAACTTTTCAATTGCATATCAACTAAATATTGTGGGAATCATGGGAGCATATATACCACCACCCAATGATCGAGACGATAGTAATAAAGATAAAGATAAAGACAGTAATAAAAATAATAAAAGTGAAGTAACTAAAGTTACTCCATCTTCAGCATCTTCAGCAGGTTCTACTACCATTACCATTCCAAATCCTGCTAATTTAATCCCTCATAATCCTAGTATAGGATTATTCTTTGGACCATTTACACCAGCATCAGATAATTTACCAGCTTTATATGGTATGGTAGGTTTACAATTCCTAATAGGAGTTGGATGTTTCCGTCATGCTCGTCTGATTATAAGAAATCGAAATCTTATACCTCAAGGTAGACCTCGAAGTTCAATATTTAAAGCATTAATACCAATTTTAGGAGGTATTGTAACAGTATTTGGTAGTGGATTAGAATTAGCAAGATTAGCATTACCATATGATCCATGGTATGAAGAAGCTAAATATTATCGAAAATTGGCTACTAAATTAGGTGATCCTCCTAATCCATGGTTTGGAGCTTATAAACTTTATCGTCCTATGGATTTAAGTTCTTGGATTGATAGAACTGGTAGATGGATAAAAAGTGCTGATGAAGATGAATCTAGTCGATCACATAATTCATTTGTATTTACATCAGGAATTGGACCGGATGGTAAAGTCATACAAGTAAATGATCCAAAAGCTCAACAAATACAAAGACAGAAATATGTTTCAATATATAATGAATTACATTCATTAAATGAAAATAGATTTAAATACTTACTAGAATATGATCTTAAAGATGTTTATGATTTAAATAAAGCAGAAAGAATTGATCTTATATTAGAAGGTAAATCTCCTTATGTTAATCCTCAGTATACAAAGGCATCCATTCAATTAGGAAATTTTTCAATTGAATCAGATGAACAATTTGAAAGAGCATGGTTAAATTTTGAACCATGGGAAGAATTAAAGCAAGAAACTGAATATGATATTCGAATTATTACTCATTGGTTTCCTATTGTTGATACTGAAGAAGAACAGTAGTTTATATAAACAAACCAATAAAATAAAATAAAATAAAATAAATAAATAAATAATTATTATGACTTTATACTATTTATTCAGTGACTATATACAAGAAATACTAATATACATCATCATTATTTCTGATCAATTAATTCATCAGCCCATTTTAATGTTTTAACTGTATTAGACTTTATGGATGGTTGATTATATTGAGCTAAATGATCTTTCCATATTAATGTAGCAGGATCTTGATCAGGTTCAACCCATTCAAATCCATCTCCTCCACTCATCCAATAAGCTTGTAATTTTAAATCTTCAAGATTATCTTTAGCTTCTAATAATCTAATCTTTTTTCCATCTCTAGTATAACCTGGTTTTAAAGTATGATCCATACCTAAAGTATTTTCATTTGTTCTACATAATTCCTTTATAATTTCTGGATTATTCTCTCCACCATTTAATTCTCGATCGGCTTCAACTATTTTAGAACAAAATAACATTTCATCAGCATGTCTAAACCAATGAGTATAAAATGCTCCCTTTTGCCAAGTAAGATAATCTCCTCCTGAACTTATTAATTGTCTACCAATTCTAACAGTAGTTACAAAGAAACTTGAATTTAAAAAATAAGTTAAAATCATAGAATTTATAGATCCTAAATGTCTCCAACCACTAGTTAATTCTCCAAATTCAATTAAAAGGTTAACACCATATTTAGATATTAATGTTATACCAATAGCTGTACTTGCCAATTTAATAACTCCCTTTTTAAGTATTTGATGATTATGTTCAATATAATTAGGATGACCTACTGTAATATCAGATATAGTAATTGCTCTTTGAAATTCAGCATTATTAAGAGCATTTCTTAATGCAATTAATGCTATAGATTTATCTATTATAGTAGATTTAGATGGATTCTTTTCATAATATAAATTAATTAATTGTAAATTCAATATGGTTGGTAAATTTAATACAAATATTTGTTTTAATAAATCTGAAGTAAATTTAACTCTATCATCCTTAATTAATGTATCTATAACTTGTTTAGATTCTTTAATAAATATTGAATTGATATCCAATTTTTGTTGAATAGGGAACTCTTCGCCGAGTTCATTACATGACTTTAATGCATTAATAACTATAGAATCTCCAATATGATCATTGGTAGTATCATACACTTGTTGAATCTTTTTATTCAACAGATTAAAATTATTCAAGTATAAGAATGGATTTGTTTCAGACTTCACGTGCTGGAACCGGGACTGAACATATACTGAATACCTTAACGACGAGTAAACTTTCGGTACAAGTCGATTCTTACCGAGACCCACTAACATTATACGGAGTTAGTAACAGATAAATGTGTTCCTCTTCTTGTTCACTAGCTGTCCCCATATATAAACTTCACATAACACTTTTTTTTCCACGCACACTACGCCCGGGGCCCAAGCTAAGAAAATTTTACAGGGGAACAAATTGGTGGATTTTGCATCTACGGGTTTTTAGCAACAAGATGTATAGGCACGGTTTTGTATATTTTAAATATAGAGAAGTATTAACAAATATAAAGTGTACAAAGGGAAAATGTTTTGAAAGACTACACATGTGTAGTACCGAAAGTAGCGAGTGATAAGCATAAGGAAAGAATGTATAACCAGTTATTATATGAAGTGATAGGAGCTGGATTGGCTGATGCCGGATGAGATGGTGATCCTGAACTAGCAGCTGCTTGTGTTGATGTAGTAGATGGTTCTAACATAGTGGTGATAAGTGAGACTGTTTCAGGTGCAGGGTTGTCTGCTGCAGTGGCAGCATTAACGAATGGTAAAGTGTTAGGTAATGTATTAGTAGTGAGCGTAGTAGCCACCGATGACAGAGATAATATGGTTTGTGTAGCTAACCATTGTTGAATTTGAGCGGCATTCATAGTAGCTGTGTTATCAGCGGCTGCAACTGGTGTAGTTGCAGCAGCAGCTCCTGCGGGAGCAGGTGTAGTGGCACCTAAAGCAGTGGTAGCTGGAGTTACAGTTGGAGTAGTGGCAACACCTGCTGCACCTACTGGTGTAGTTGTAGGCGTAGTGGCAGCCCCTGGAATTACTGGTGTAGTTGGAGTTGTACCAGTTGTAGGAGTTGTTGCAACAGCACCAGCAGCAGGAGGAACAACTGGCGTAGTAGCAGTGGTAGCAGTATTAGGTACTGCGGCTGCTGGAGTAGTAGCTGTTGTGTCAGTGTTCGTAGTGGCAGCACCGGCAGCAGGAGCAGGAGCAGCAGCAGCAGCAGGAGCTGGAGCTGGAGCAGGAGCAGGTGCAGCAGCAGGTGCAGCAGCAGGTGCAGCCGGAGCAGCGGCAGCTGGGGTAGTGGTAGCGGCAGCTGGAGGGTCTGCTGCAGTTACTACTGCTGCCAAAGTCAAAACATAATAAAACGCAACTAAGTTAAGTCTCATGACGAAATAACTAAGCGAGAACTGAGCGAAGGAAAACGATGTGTATGCGTTATATAAGGGTCTTTTTTAGTTCTAGACCTTGGATTTCTGTATATGTTCTATAAATGACTATTTGCACTATATCGACTATTACCCCACCAGTTCGATATGTAAAACACTTCCCCTAAATCTATAAGCTTCTTGAAAGTGAAAAAATCAATGTACCTTAAAGAATGTTGATAACAGGGAATTTGAAATTTTGAAGGGATCAAAGTTACACAAAATTGCGTGGTAGGATCTTGAGATGCCGACGAAGATCCAGCACGTAATGCCAAATATATGTTAAGTGGGACTTAGTTTGGATGTAGAGTCTGGTTAAGAGCATTGATTGAGTTCAATGGAAAAGTGGTGTTCTTGTTTGTGAGAGAGTTGTATGTAATAAACACTAAGGAGTGTTTGTAGAATATTTGTGCACTGTAGTGTAATATTTACTATGAATACATTGACAAATGTGTATGCCATTAGATGTTACTACTGTCTAGTAATGGACATGTAATGTTATATGTAATTGTAATGGTAATTATAGTAATGATAGAAGAATTGGCATTAAGAATACTAGTGAAATATCTTTAGTCTTGGCTGCCAAAACCTAAAAATAGACACACCTGTCACCCGTCGCGCTCGTCTCTGTTTGTAAACAAATGGGTTAAGCCTAGATTTAAATTAGCTAGTTAAGCACAGGTAGGTCTGATGATTTAATTCATTTAGTTCGTATATTCATTAGATAAAACTACAGTATTATTAGTATTGTTCTCAATTATAAACTGTAAATTATAAATTATAAATTGTAAAGTAAAGTCAAAACTTTCTCTTCTTCTTTCTCTTCTCCATCTTAGGCGCACAATCTGGACAATACCAAATCTCATCATCCTTAGGAGGTGAAGTTATACCAACACAACTCCAATGAAACCATTCATATTTACAATCGTCATTATCACAACCAATCATTTCACCAAATGAAACTCGTTGACAGAAACAGTATAAGTTATTATCTGCATCTTCTCCATTAGGACCGCCATTATCACTACTTCCAACTGTAACATTAAGACTATTTGATCCATTTAATAATGTTTCAGATCCTTCACCATCTGATCCACCCGATGATAATTTGAGTGTACCTCTTAAACCATCATCTAATTCTTCAGATTTCATTCTTTTCATGGGTCGCGTTGATATCGTACCTTTAATAGTTATAGTTTGTTTCCTCTTTTGTTGTTTCTTAAGAGCTTCTGCAGTTGGTGTACCTGTTGCCGTCCCATTTCTTGGAGTTGGAGTTACTGATAAACTCTCACTAATTCCATTATATATATTACTTACATCACTAGCAGCACTTTTCATTGTAGTTTCATCCTCAAACAGATTTTCTACCACTGGTAATAATTCATCTCTTTCTAACTTTGCAATATCAGTTTCAAAATGAAATAAATGTTTCGATACTAAAAACAATGCTGTATTAGATAATAGAATTTTTTCTTTCTGTAATTTTTGAACTAATTTCATATCTTCTTCTACTTTACTATAAAGTTGAGATTCTTTTGGATGCTTAGTTAATGTTCCATTTGCTCTTATAAATTTATGTAATTGATTGTCCTTTGCTTGATATCTCTTTCTTGCTTCCATTACTTGAATGTCTTTACTTCGGATTTCTTCCAATAAATGCCTTACCTCTAAAGGTAAGTTAGACAAGTCCTGCGTATACTTCTCCAATACACTTGATGTATCCATCTCTATTATGATCCTATTGTCCTTAACTTATGATTGGTAAACTTAGTTATTGCCGTCTTACCCTCACTTTTAAGTTTTTTCAGACGTAGTAATCAATTATCAAAACCTGACCGTTTTACACGACTTCTCTTCAATATCAACCTTTAACAACGACTAGTAAGTGATATACTTGAATATTACTGAATCACTATGAGTATTGAAGAGATTAGTAGTGGTTTAGAGTCACTTCAAATGGGTGACGATTCAGTCATCAGCCTTTTAACGAAAAAGGGCGACAACTTAAATGTTTTACTGGACTCATTGGATAATCTAATAGCATATTCTAAAGACGCTAAGCATGTAAATACATTATATGAATTATTAATTAATGATTCAGATTCATTTCTTAGTGGACTCTACCGAGTGGGAGATAAGAAAGCAATTGTACTTTTCAATACACTTTCAAAACATAAAGTTAGTTCTGAGATAATTCAAAATATTCTCTCAGTAATACGATTAAAGCTAAAGAAAGATATACATATCGATATAAATAGAGATGTTACTATTGATATCCCACTAGAAATCTTCTATGTTAATGTATATCTTAATCTTATTACCCAATTTGATATTTCCATACCTCATCATATTCAAGTTTTATTAGGTTTACTTAATCCAATAGCCTTTAAAGATCATGATGAAGATTATAAAGAAATATCACGATTAGTATTATTAATAATTGTTAAGAATATTAATCTTAATAAATCCAAAACCATTGAAATCATCGAAGATTATCTTGAGATTCTTTATGAAGATGATCAATTAACTATGAACCAATTTTTAAATATGGTTGATGTACTTGAATTAATTTTCCCAATCTTACCAGAAGTTGCTACTCAAGCTTATACTAATGATAAGACAAAAGATCATATTATTGGACAAGTATCGGAGATATCACAAGGCAGTTTACAGATCAATCGATTAAGAATCATTCATTTATTAAACCTCATTAATAGTTCTTGTATAGTAGATCATTGTCGAAGTTATAATTCTACAAATTTCTTTCATTTACTTAAATTAGGAACAGAATTTAACCAAGATGAAGAGATTCAAATCTTATCAACTTTAGATATTATTAAACTATGGAACTTTGTTGAACTTAATCAGAAAAAGGAATCGGATTTATCCATTACTATTGAACAACTTGGACATATTATAACTGATTGGTTAAGAACTAAAGGTAATGTTAAAAAACATTCAACTATTCTAGAATATTGTATTGAAGCATTGGCTTATTTAACACTTAATGGTTCAATTAAACAATCATTTAGAAATGATGAATCTATAATTGAAAAACTTGTAACATTACTTGAACAAGCTTCACAAGCTACTACATTAAATACCAGTTTAACTTATGGACTTTTACTTATTTTAACTAATCTTACTAAATTAAAGGGGGAGAATTCCGATAAGTCAACATTAAAATTTCTTAAAGATTATGCTAATGCAGCCACTACTAAACAATCACATAATTCCGAAGAAGATCAATCAGTCATTACTCTCTTTAATAAATCCTTACTTATAGATCATCATATTGTTGATATTATATCTCGATTGAAAACTGTTCATGATGATTCCTCTACTAAAATGATTGGATTATTACCTCCTGCTATAAGTATAATTGGAATGATTTCATTAACTAAAGAAAAGAAAGTTAAAGAAGAATTGGTTAAGCAAGGAGCATTAAATATTATTTTGAATTTCTTAATTAAGTATAGTACAATTACTAAAACTGATACTAATACTAATATTGGAGAAACTAGACCTATTAATGAAGATACTACTATTATAGATACTAGAGTTATGGCCTTACAAGCATTAGCTAGAATCATTATTTCAGTTAATCCCTTACTTGCATTTAAAAAGTATGATGTTAAGACTTGTATACCATTCTTAGTGGAATTATTAGGTCCAGATATATCTCAATATACTGATTCAGGACTTAATTCTTCTGGCCAGTATCCTTACTTATTTGATTTATCATTAGTCGATAAATTTGATGCCTTACTTGCGCTAACTAATTTATCATCAATAGATAATAATGATATTAAGACGCAAATCATTACTCGAACCTTTGAACAACATTTGAATAATCTAATGTTAGATTCCGATAATCCTCAAGTTCAAACGGCAGCATGGGAATTGATTTCTAATCTTATTACTGAACCATTACTACTTGCCAAATTCTTTAATATTGATGAATCTATGCAAAACTCTAAACGATTAGAAATCTTAATTAAACTTATGAATTCTCAACATATTCAATTACAAATAACTATTGCTGGATTATTGGCCAATGCCACTGAATTTGAAATGATTTCCAGTATCTTAATGTCTAAGGAATCTATTAGAAATAAATTAATTCATACTATTTGTGAGATTTGTCAAGGTCAAAGTGATCAAGATGATTTAATTGAACGAATTGCCTATATATTACTTAACTTAGTGTATGGATCGAATGATCAATCCAGACAATGGTTAGCCACTAACAATGAACTTAAACAGGCTCTAGCTACAGTCGTGAAAACATCTACAAGAAGGGATATTATTGAAGTGATATTAGAATCAGTTAAACTATTAAAGTAATTGTAAGTTACTCTGACTAACTATAAGTTAAGATCTAAAAATGAATCATTCTTTGGGCTAAAGTATCATGATGAACCTCAGTAGCAGTGACTGATTGTTTAACTTTATCATTTTCAAGTTGAACTCGTATAGCCTTATGTAAACTAGATAAATAATCGGCAATATTAGGTCCACTAGATGTAGCAAGAGTTCCATGTAAACTATCATCTACAAGAGCTTCTCTAAATTCAATTTCGGATCCATCAATTCCTGGTCTAACTAATTGAATCCCTCCCATTTCTAAAGTACTGGTTCCAATTAAATATTCATTAAAATATTGAATTATATTTCGAGCTTGAATAGATATGGTGGTATCAATTGCGGGTAATTCATCCATTAATGGATCTAATTCATCGGGTGATTCGATATGATCACCAAATAAATCCTTTATAAGAAGTATATTAGCATGAGGATCAACCCATACATATACTTTAGATCCATTACATAAGATATAAACTCCTGGTTCCATTGATTTAATGGATGGTGCCTTATATAATGGTAAAGATAATAGATTAGTAGATTCATTAATTAATCCTTGTTCATCAGTTAAAGAATGTAATTCAACTAATGCTGGATATAAATGATACATTAATTTATCAATTGGCATAGTTAACATATCATATATATCATGTAATCGAGAATCAGCCGAGATGGTACTTGAATTTCTAATGGCTTTAGTCTTTATAAAGGCCAATAAATAATGGGGTAAATTCTTTAGACTCGTAGGAAATAACATTTGATTAGTTAATGTTCGAGAACTATTATGTCCATACTCTTCCATGGCTCTATACTGAGTGAACACTTCGACTAATTTCTGATTAACTGATTCTCGAAGTTCATTAAGGGGCTGTTTCCCAACAAATGAAAGTGAATCTCTTATAATGGTGGTTACCACAGCATTTTCATCAGCAAAGGCAAAGATTTCTTCTAATCTTTCAGAGACTGCCAATACCAAATTAATGATTCTAACTTTTCGAATTCCCTCGGGGTCAGTATACAATAGAGCCACTTGAATATGACAATCATAACGTTTATTTAACTTCCCATCATATTCAAAAAGGACCGTAAATGTTTGATCTTTCGATAAGATAGGCACTACCGGATCTTGAATACCTCCTGCTACTGAAGTTTCGGCTACTGAAGATGAAGTACCATAGTATTGAGACACTTGTAATCCATTAGAACAACGGACTTTCAATTGACCTTGATAACCAGTAGTAGCAGTAATAGAATCATTAATTCTCGAAGTTAATGCTCGTCCATCTCTTTCAGCATGGAAATTAGACCATCTATATACTTTCCCACCAGATACAGAAGCTAACCATCCGACATTAGATAAATCTACTGAGGCATTAGAAATTACATGTAAATCCATTCCTACTGATTTATCAATAAATTCCTTTTGTAAAGCTTTATAATAATCATTATCTGCCAAGTAAAGAGACTTTTCAACTTCAATACTTCCAATACCACTACGTCCTATAGCTTTATTATCTTTTATTCTAAGAGCTCCTGGACCCCAAGATGGTAAACTTGCAAGAACTGCAGTTATCTTACCTCCACCTACTTGTTCAAGAGCCAACATGGCAGTTTTACAAGCTACAGCAAAGCATGATTCAGCTTCTAAATAATGATCATCGGAATTGAGTCTTTCCAAATGATTTAATGCATCTTCAATGACATTTCTACTATCATGAGGATCCACAAATAATCCTTCAAAGAATGGAACAAATGGATCATCTAAATCTGAAGACACTACTACTTGAGTAGTGTCTAAATCTGCCGATAAGTTATAGAAATGCAATCTTTTATCAAAGGCAATGATACTGACTTTTAAAGCTTGTTGTTGTTGTTCTGGTTGTTGTTGTCCATAAAGAGTGGCTCTAATAGAATCCGCAATTACGGTATTTACATTTTGTTTAATGGATTGTTCACTAATATCTATTAAGAACACATGATGTAATGATTCAGCCGGTTTCTCTAAACCTCCGAAATTATATTCCGGTGGAACAAGTAAATCATAAACTCCCTTATGTAATTCCGGTCTTTGAAATCGATCAACTCTTAAACCTTGATTATCTAAATAAGATACATAATCATCAGGTACAGAATTATTAGCAAACTGACAAATATTACAAATGAATTTGTTATTATTTGTGAATTGAAATGATGCATTAACATATGTTCTACATCTTCTACATCTAATTGGTCCTTTACTTAATGGATCATCACCACCAGTTTGTAAATAATCTCTTTTCATATCAACCACTGGCACTGGATCTTCAGTATCTAATAAAGGAGCAAATGGTCGAATGGTTACAGAAACTGGTAATTTAGATGCACTTCTTAATACTTCTGACTCAGGCATATAATACATCGATGATCGAATATATTTAGGCGATGCAGAACCTTGATCAATAGCAATATATCTTGTTCCAGCTTCTGGTGGAGTGACATTCTGAAACGTTAAGAATGTCTTATACAGTCCATCGTCTTGTGGAGTTGAATACTCAAGTTGAGTATAGTATCGAAAGTCCTGTAATGAAAGATCATTATGTTGATCTTGAATACTGGTCACGACATTGGCATTGGCATTGGCATGTCCATGTCCATGTCCATTATCAGTAGGAGCAGTTACAAATGCAGATGGTAATGGTGGAGAATTGACAGCGAATGTCGGTCCTCCTCCATTATTTGGTCCTCCTACACCTCCGGATATTGGTAAAGCTCCATAATCTTCATGTAATGGTCGGACAGGTCTTTTCTTCTTCTTTTTACTATCTATAGTAAGATTTTCTATACTGGCATTCAATTGGTTAACGCCGGCAGTGCCTATTACCGGTCCTACACCGGGCAATGACATTCTTAATCGGTAAGAATACTTACTTTGTTAAAGTTGGTGGTGTCGTTTATGAAACTTTTCAGACGTTTTCGTTATTTATTATTATTATTATTATTATTATTATGAAAATGTCGTGTTACTTTTTGTTGTCGCACTGAGAAAATCAGACACATGTCGTCATAGTCAAAGTCACGACATGTCGGAGCTAAGAAAATTCTACCAAACATGACAAGAAATTACTATTTAGTTAATTGTGTATAAAAGGATCTACATTGGCATAGTTAAAGTAAAAAAATGGAAATATGACGGCCAGTTTGAATATGGCCAACAATCTGTTGCTATATTTACAAGAAAATGATATACCAATAAATTGTTCAGTATATTCTTTACCTTATGGTTCAGGATCATTTCAAGATTTTTATAATGATTCATGGACCAACCTTTCACAAGGATTTTTACCAGCTTATTATATTACCAATTGTTCTATACCATTATTAGTAGAACTTATAAATCAACTGAATTTTACTGCTGCAGATTCATCAAAATTAGATAATTCTCCTTATAATGAAAAGGATAATGGTGATACATTTGTAGCATTATTATTTACTTTAAGTGGTGCATGTGTATCATCATGGATGTTAACTTTATTATTTTATTTATCTCCAAAACATAAAAGGAAACCATTTATAACTCAAGTTGCCACGGGATTTTTCTCCATTGTTACTACTATATTATTAAGTAAAATAACTACTGGTGCATCTGATGAATATTATAATGATACACTTGATATAATAAAATTACATGATATAATTTATTTAGATGATATTTATAGAATAATGATTACAATATCTCAATTATTCACATTTTTAGCATGGTTCCAAATTGTTTGGAAGATTTCTCGACAAAAGTATCGATTAAAAACAGGAATATTAGGTGGGATACTTATTATTGCTTATCTTGTTATACTTATTATATATGAAGCTCGATATAATGATGCAGATTCTATTTATGCTACTTCAACTCATTCATATAATAATTGGTCAATAGCAAGACTGGTATTAAAATTATTTTTAGTAGCATGGTTAGCTACTAGTTTATTGTATTATACGGTTTATATAAAGAATGCTAGAAATATTTGTTATTCTCAACGATTATTACCTTTAGCATTTTTTAATTGGTTTATAATTTTACTTCATACAATCTTAACTATCTTAATGTTAAGTCTTTTCAGATTAAGATGGTTAGTTAAAACTTGGCTAGGTTTAATACCATTTTTATTAGAAATTATACTTTTATCAACAATTTGGGAATGGGTTTATAATATCAGATTTTTAGAAAAACGAATAGAATTAATGGGAGTTTTAGGTAGAAGAATTAGTTTAGATGATGTATTAAGTTTACAACTGGATAGACATGAATCTAAAGTAGCCCCTAATTCTGGAGGTTGGAGTTTTATAACTAATTTGTTTCATAGAAATCAAAAGATTGTCACTCATGATGATACTGATGTGTCTACAGAAGTAAAGGAGTTGGCGACATTGTCGAATGACTCGTCTGGTGTAGATCATACAACTAATACAGATACTACAGAACAAGAACAACAGCAAGAACAACAACAACAGCAAGAACAACAACAACAGCAAGAACAACAACAAGAACAAGGACATCAAAACCATGCCGCTCCCATTCATCAGTCTCGTCCTTCTAGTGCCGGCAGCTATGAGGACGAGTACATTGAGGACTACAATATTTGGGAAGATGACGATGATAATCCCCCACCTGTTGAGGGTCTGTCTACGGCACCCCCACCCTTCCAGCCTCATTCTGGTTTCAATCCTGGAGATTACTGGCTAGATAGAAAGCATTAGATAACTTGTAAATGTACTACTTGGTATAGTTATAATGTCGCAGCCTTACTGCCTGTATATAGCGTCCTCTCATCTCCAGATCCGTACTAAAAATATGCTCAATTACGAGGGAATTCCGAGGGCACATTTTACAGTTTACTAGAAGCTTCTGGAACCATTCCCATTCTTAGCATGACCTGACTAACAAATCTCGTTATTTATATAAAGGCATAGTATTTCCTGAAAAAAGTATCTATCCATAGATTAACATTCTTAACTATGGCTATGTTGCGCGCAAGAGTACCTGCTAACAGAGCATTGCATAAGTTGCCATTACGGTACGTTCTACCTGGTGGTACAGTTAGCTTTTCACACCCAATTCCAATTCAAGTTGCAAATCTAAATACACAGTCAAATTCAAATGCTTATACGTCAAAATCCTCAATTGGCTTTACATCTTTACTGGTTAGGCCAGTAGATGGTGGAAGTAGTCAATTGCAGAGAAGATACTTCCACTCATCTATACCTAAACAGTTGCAGATGCAACGCAATCCTGATGGCGAAGATAACAGACCAGCTTTAGAAAAGTTTGGGACAGATCTTACCCAGATGGCTAAAGATGGGAAATTAGATCCTGTTATTGGTAGAGATGAAGAGATTCGTCGTACTATACAAATCTTATCACGTCGTAGTAAAAATAATCCTGTATTAATTGGTAATGCTGGAACTGGTAAGACAGCCATTATGGAAGGATTAGCTCAAAGAATATTAAAGGGAGAAGTGCCAGAATCAATGAAAGATAAACAAATTATTACATTAGATTTAGCAGGAATTATATCTGGAGCTAAATATAGAGGAGATTTTGAAGCTAAATTAAAATCTATCTTAAAGGAAGTTGAAGAAAAGAATGGTAAAGTTATACTTTTTATAGATGAATTACATCTTCTTATGGGTCTTGGTAAAGCCGAAGGATCTATTGATGCATCTAATCTTCTTAAACCTGCTTTAGCAAGAGGTAAATTATCAATGTGTGGAGCTACAACTACAGAAGAATATAGAAAGTATGTTGAAAAGGATGCAGCATTAGCAAGAAGATTTTCACCAGTTCAAGTTAATGAACCAAGTGTTGAAGATACTATATCTATATTAAGAGGATTAAAGGAAAAGTATGAAGTTCATCATGGAGTTCGTATAACTGATGGAGCATTGGTTACTGCATCATTATATGCCAATAGATATATAACTGATCGATTTTTACCTGATAAAGCCATTGATTTAGTAGATGAAGCAAGTTCAACTTTAAGATTACAACATGAATCTAAACCTGATGCTATTGCACAATTAGATCGACAAATTATGACCATTGAAATTGAATTAGAATCACTTCGAAAGGAAGAAGATCAACTTTCAATTGATAGAAGAACTAAATTACAAGAAGAACTTTTAGTTAAAAGTGCTGAATTAAAGGAATTTACTGAACAATGGATGGAAGAAAAACGATCAATTGATGAAGTTAAACAAGCCAAATCTGATTTAGAACAATCTCGATTTGATTTAGAACAATGTCAAAGAGATGGGAATTATGCTAAAGCATCAGAATTACAATATGCCACAATTCCTGAACTTGAAAGAAAGTTAAAGGAATTAACTGAACGAGATTCGACTCAAGCTAATTTACTTCATGATTCAGTAACTTCAGATGATATTGCTAATGTAATTTCCAAGATGACAGGTATACCTGTTAATAATTTACTTAAAGGTGAAAAGGATAAGTTACTTGATATGGAAGTGATCTTAAAACAACTGGTAATTGGACAAGATGAAGCAGTCCATGCTGTGGCAGATGCTGTAAGATTACAAAGAGCAGGATTAACTAGTGAAAGAAGACCTATTGCTTCATTTATGTTTTTAGGACCCAGTGGAGTGGGTAAAACAGAATTAACTAAATCATTAGCCCAATTTTTATTTAATGATGAACATTCAGTAATTCGATTCGATATGTCTGAATTTCAAGAAAAACATTCATTTTCAAGATTAATTGGTTCACCTCCTGGTTATGTTGGATATGATGAAAGTGGAGAATTAACTGAAGCAGTTCGAAGGAAACCTTATTCAGTAGTACTATTTGATGAATTTGAAAAGGCTCATAAGGATATCTCTAAATTATTATTACAAGTACTTGATGAAGGTTCATTAACTGATTCTCATGGTAGACATGTTGATTTTCGAAATACTATAATAGTTATGACATCAAATATTGGTCAAGATATTTTATTGGGTGATAAAGATAAGGATAATACATCGACAGCTAATGATGGACATATTAATACTGAAGTAAAGCAAGAAATTACCGATCTATTAAAACATTACTATCCTCCGGAATTCCTTAATCGATTAGATGATGTTCTTATCTTCAATCGACTCTCTAAGGAATCATTGGCTAATATCTTAGAAATTAGATTAAGAGAAATAGCTGATCGATTACTGGATAAACGTATAACCTTAGACTTATCCCCCAGTGCTAAGGAGAAACTCTGTAATCTTGGTTATGATCCAGTATATGGAGCTAGACCATTAAATAGAGTCCTTCAAAAGAAAGTATTAAATCCCTTAGCCATGATGCTCATTAAGGGTCAAGTCAGAGAGTCAGAGAAAGTGACTATAGATGTGGACAATGATGAGATCAGAGTCCAGCCTAATCACGAACAAGTAAACTAACCAAACCAAAACAAAATGAAAACAACCTGAATCTAGCAGTATATATTAATATTATTTGTAAATAGCTTTTAATTAACGTTTTATATGATTTTCTACAATACTTTCCCCACGGTTCCTACCACGATTTTTTGTTCACTGGGGTCTACTCTCCGTAAGGATTTACCTCCAGTTATTTGTCCAAGTAACGCAGATATATCTGGAGCTCCAGTTGGAGCTGGAGGAGCAACAGAAGTACCATTTGATGGAGGTGCTGGAGGTGGAGGTGGAGGTGGTGGACCTCCTGCCGGAATTGGAGGTGCGCCAAATGATGGTGGAGGAGGTGGTGGTGGAGGTGGGACACCTGCTGGAGGAGGAGGTGGTGGTGGAGCATCATAAGATGCTGGTGGTGGTGGTGGAGCTTCAAATGCTGGTGGTGGTGGCGGTGGAGGTGGAGCTAAAGATGGTAATGGAGGTGCATCAACTGCAGCAGGCTCTGCTTGAGCTTGTGGATCAGAAGCACTAAATCCATTATCTAATCCTGGAGGTGCCATAGTTGGAACCGGAGGAATTGAAGCTGGTTTCGACTCAGTCACAGTCTCAACCAGTTCCGGATCAGGAGTTACAAATTCATCATCAGTTGAAGAAGATTTCGAAGGAGCAAATGTTTGACTCTCGGACTTTTCAACTTTAGGAGTTCCCTCCTTTGATCTTGAAGGTGGAGCTGGCATACCTCCAAATAAAAGACTAGCTAATTTAGCAGCTCCTGCTCGATTAGGTGAATCATCTTCACTATCACTATCTTCATCATCACTCCAACCACTTGAAGCCAAACCTCGTTGAGCAGCTCGTTGTTTTTCAGCTTCTTTAGGATCAATTTGACTTTCCTTTTGAGTAGGTTTAAAGAATGGATTAGAATTGGCAGCTGAACCTCCCATCTTAGCAAATGGATTATTATCATGAGGTTTTGGAAGTGTTTCACTGACTGGTTTTTCTTCTACTTTAACAGGTTCTACCGGTACTTCAACTACTGGTTTAGTTTCCTTCTTTTGACTCGATGGTCCATAAGTTGGAACTGAAGTTACTGGTTCTTCGTCTGATTCTTCTTGGTCATTATTCTTTTCGATAGCTGCCATTTCTTGTCTAATCTTGGCTAATCGATCCTCTTTTTGTTGCTTCTTTTTGAGTTTCCTCTCTCTTTCACGAGCTTCTAATTCTTGCTTTTGCTTTAATAAAGCTTGGTACTCTTCATCATCATCATCAGATGATTCTTCAGCTTTTGTTGGAGCTGCAGGAGCTGAAACACTAACTGGGACAGCTTCTACTACTTGCTTTTTAACTGGCTCTTCAACCTTAGCTGGCTCTTCAGCCTTAACTGGTTCTGAAGGTGTTGAATTAACTGGTGGTAATACAGTGGTACCTTTCAGTCTTGAAATTCCAAGTTTAGCCAATCTTTCATTCATTCTCTTTTCTGCTTGAGCTTTAATGTAAGCACTACGTTCTTCTGATGATGAATACTTTGTAATAGGTGTAGAACTAGTAGATGTACTTGTTGGTGCTGATGGTGTTGTTGTTGGTGCTGATATTGAACTTGATTTAGTACCATTACTACTTGTAGTACTAGTACCAATTCGATTCAAATCTCTAATAAATCCTCCAACTACTACACTAACACCTTCACCTCTTTCCCATTTATCTGATCCAATTTCTTCTTTACTGGTGGTTTGTAAATGTACGGCACTTTCTTCTTCTAATTCTTTAATACTATTTTCTATATCTTTAATCATTGAAGTTTGACTTTCAATTTCTCCATAAACTCGTTCAGTTTCTTGTTTTAATTGTAAATCTAAATCAGTATTAGTTCCTGAATTTGAAGATTTCCCAGTTAAAGCAGCAATTCTTTGTTGTAATAATTGTTTAGAATGGAATTTCTTACGATCTAATTCAGTCACTTGACCATTAGGTCCAGTACCAACAATTGATGATTCATCATTTCCTGGAACCCAATTAGGATTAGCCTTAGATAATGAAAGTTTAAATAATTCAACTTTTGCCTTTGAAATGTCTTGATTAACATTATTAATACTAGAAATTAATAATGGAACTCGATCACGAGTTAATGAATTTAATTTATCAAGTAAACTCTTTTGAGAATCTATGGATCCATTCCCATTAGTTAAACCTCCATCAATTAATTTTTGTTGAGTAATTCTAATTTGTTGTTTTAATGCTTCTATAGCTTCTAAATTATGAGAATCTTCTCTCTTTCGAGTAATTGATGAATCTTGATCTTCAGCATCAACTGCTGCCAATAAGATTTTCTTTTCTCGAATAAGTTTCCGTAATTCTTCAACTGATAAATCAGTACTTGAAGATGTTTTAATACTACTACTACTACCACCACCAGAAATTTGAGATGAATCATCATCAGTTCTTCTTCTATGACGAGAATTAGATACATATTGAAAATCCCCATCATCATTCTTATATCTTGAACCATCAGGTTTAGTTTGTTTGGAACTATTAGAAGTATTAGCACGAGAATTAATTCCACCCTTTAATGAATTCTTAAGTGTATCCATTGAATCTTGTAAGTATTTATTAGAAGGAGGAATTAATTCTGGTGGTAATCTTAAGGGAAGATCAAATCCATTTAATCTTCTATAAACAAGATGCATTGCAACAGCAAATTCATCTTTATTTAATCTACCTCTATCACTTGTATCAGCCAAAGTCCAAATACTTTCAAGATCAGGTCTACTTAAACCTGATTTACCAAAAATATCTAAAGCAACATTACCTTCAATATATCCTCTTCTTGAAGAATCCCATGCTTGAAAGATTCCATCATAAATTTGCTTTTCTTGTTTAGTAATTGCCCAAGTAACATTGGATTTTAATGATCCTCCCATAACATTTTGTAAATTATTACTTGATAATTGATTATTAGGTAAAAAGTGTTGTTCCATTGCATTCAATCCAGGAATTCCTCCGGTTGGCATAGATACAAATCCCCATTGTCCTGGTTTTCCGGTAGGTTGAGCAACTAATTGACCAGTTGGTTGAGGTTGGAATCCTGTTGGTTGAGGTTGGAATCCAGTTGCTTGAGGTTGGAATCCGGTTGCTTGAGGTTGGAAACTAGTTGGTTGAGGTTGAGGTTGAGGTTGATAACCCGTACCTTGAGGTTGTAAAGGACCAGTTCTTTGAGCAGACAAAGAAGGAGGTTGTTGGAATTGATTTTGGAATCCTGTCAGTTGAGATTGTAAATTTATTGGACCGGTCTTTTGAGCAGGAATTAAACCGGCCGTTTGTTGAGGTTGTAAAGGAATAAGAGTTCCACCACCAGTTCTTTGAGAAGTTAATGGATTAATACCAAAAGATGTTGGAGGAATTGAACCTGTTGGTTGAGGTTGAAAAGAAGTAGTTTGAGATGGAGCTAAAGAATTCATCCAATCATCAGGTTTTGGAGGAGCAAAACTTGCAAATGGAGTATTAGCTAATATTTTTGAAGGATCTTCAGGAACTGAAAAATTTATTGCATCAACAAATGATTTAACTTCATTTGACCATTTTTCAGGTAATAAACCTGGTAATGATTCACCACGTTTTGCCATACTACATAAATGTAAACTTAAAGCAAATTCAGGAAAGAGTAATGAACCAGTTTTATTTGTATCTGATAATGACCAAATTTCTGCTAAAGTTACTGGAGGTAAACCAGATCTTAATAAAATTGAACTAGCAGCATCTCCACTTATAGTTTGATCACCTTTTGGAACAGCAGCTCTAAATAAGTGTTCAAATTTCTTTTGATCATCAATACTAATAAATGATAATCTAATACTTGGGATTTTCAATTCAGTATTTTCAACAACAGTAGGAGCAGAATTACCAAATCCTGTTGGTTGAGTTTGAATATACCCAGTTTGTTGAGGAGCCAATGGAGTAGCCACACCAATTGATGATGGAGCTCCACCGAATCCTGTAGGTTGAGATTGATTTGGGAAAGAATTGAATTGATTGACTTGAGGTGGAGGTGGATAATATCCCGTTGACTGAGTTTGTAAGGGGGGTTGATAATATTGGTTAGGTTGATACTGAGGAGTCGTAGAAGGTTGAGAAAAATTCAGGGCATATCCTGTGGGTTGGGCCGTAAACCCAAACAGCTGTTGTTGCTGTTGTGGGGTTTGGTACGGATTGTACATGGTGATAATTATAGTTTTAGTTAGTTTTAGTGGTGCTGGTGGTGGAGGATAATTTATATTTGTTGGTGGCTGTGACCACCATGCCGCAATACATTTCCCCAGAATTGTCAGTGAGAATTCCCCTAGAGAAGGTACGCCCAGGGAAGGTACAGTGCTCATAGTGAGAAGAGTAACAGTGAGAAAATTAGTGAGACAATTACCTGATTAGTGAACCACTGTAAAAGATTACTGGACTACTAGAGGACTATTAAAAGATTAGCTGATAGTGTAGAGTGTAGTCAGTAATTATACTGTAGTAAATCTCATAACAGTAATTAGTAATTAGTAATTAGTAATTAGTACTGTCTCTCTGTATAACATGTTACTCTGAGTGTGTGTAGTACACTATTTAATATACTGTAGTCTGTTAAGCTTACGGAATTATGACTAGTTTAATAGTGTTACTCTGTAGATTATAGTGGAGTATGATAGTCTTGTTCTACAACTACTGTCCCATAGATTTACATAGTATTCTACATTTCAGTAGTCCTACTCCAATCCATAATAGTTCATATATTCTGTAATAACTCCTCTATAAACGTCTATAGTATCCCCTACTGAACTCTCTCCAAGCATTCATCCCAAAACGCTTCCTCTAATCGAGTCACAGTATTGAAAATATCCACCAACTCATCTATTCTCTCTTGTGTCAATTTCTCATCTCTAAATAACTCATTGAGTGCTTGTTTACCTTCTTCATGAGCATTCAAATACCATTCTGATGAATAATCTCCCAACCATGACTCGTAAACTGCTGAAATCGTTTGATCTTTATTACTTTCTCTTAATTGCTTTCCATAAATCCCCGCTTCAGCATACCCATGTAAACATGGAGCTAAGGCAACCTTAATACCAATAAAATCTTGAGATTTCCCCATCTTAAGTAAATAATCACAATAAGCTAAACATGCGGAACCAGGTTGAAGTTCTATATCAAGATCTTTATCTCTTTCATAATCTATATCATATTCATCACATAATTTTTGTTTATGTCTTTCAATTTCATTAACAATATTACCAATAATAAGAGATTCAGAATGAGTTTGATTATAAGTGGGAGCAACTGATGCAGCTAAGGCATGGATTTGAGCATAATTAATTAAGTAATAATAATCTTGCTTTAAAAAGTAAAGAAATCTATCAAATGGAAGTTTATCATGAACTACTTGTCTAATAAATTCATGTTGAGTATATGCCTTCCAATTATCTTTAATTTTTGGATGTTCCTTAAAGTATTGTAATACATCTTTATGATTAAATGGATGAGATTTACTAGCAATAATTGAATTAATATTAGTAGTAGGATTATTTATATGATTTAATGGACCATTACCATGACCAAGTTTTTGACCCATGGATTTCATTCCTTGATGAATATAATCTATAGATAATGGTATAGCATCACTTAAATTATAACCTTTAGCAATATTAGCTGAAATTGATGAAGCTAATGTACATCCAGTTCCATGAGTATCTTCGGAATTTATATATTCTGATTCATAAATAGTAAATGTATCCAGTTTAGATTCATAAAGTACATCTTTTACCACTATATGATCGGCAAAATCTGAATTTGTATCTGTATCTGCATCGGTTGTTGGCTTTCCAGTATTAATATCCCATGGTAAATGACCCCCTTTAACAAGAACATTTTCACATCCCACAATGGTTTGAACATCCTTAACAAACTTAAGTAAATCATCTAATGATTGGATTTTTTCGATATCGCGATTACTCAAAGTCTTTACTAAAGCCTGAGCTTCAATAAAATTAGGAGTAATCAAATAAGCATGTTTGAATAAATGATCAGCACAATATTTTAAATCTTGTAATTTAAATAATGTAGAACCAGAAGTACTAACCATTACTGGATCCAATACTAATTTGACATTAAATTTATTTAATTCTGATAAATAAGGTGTTAAAGCATTAATTGCTTCTCTAGTAAGCATACCTGTTTTAACTACTTTTAATGGTGGTTCATGATCGTAACCAAATAAAAAGTCATTAAAATTTAATTCTAAGATACTTTCAAGTAATGGTTGAGGTGTCTTTTCAAATGATTTGACTAATTGAGTATTTTGAGCTGTTAAAGCACTAATACATGTTAAACCATAAACTCCATGAGCTGTTAAAGTCTTTAAATCAGCTTCAATCCCAGCTCCACCTGAAGAATCCGATCCAGCAATTGTTAATACTGCCACAAGATTAGTTTTACTAATTGAATTAGTGGTAAGTTTAATTTCTTTAACTTTTACCATACTTAACCCTTACACCAATCTACTTCTACAATATTTATTTACTAATTACAATTTATAAATAATTTATAATTTATAATTTATAATTTTTAAAAGAATTTTCACTAAAAGTCAGTATATATAAATTTTTCAAAACAGGTTTAAAATAGTATATAATTTCGCAATTCAATTCCCTACTAGCGCATACGCACAAAATTATGCGCTTATATCATCGGACCACTTTTTTTTATTACTTCTTATACTTCTTAGAGTATATATCAACTAATCCAAGTTCGCTACGAAGTGTTTCTTCTCGGTAACTTACTCGGATATCGGGAATATTTGTTTTTTCAATATTATTCCCCTTTAAACCTCCAAGTGCATAATTTTTTCCAAGCCAATGTTTCTTTATAGCAGATTCCCATCCTGATTGTTTAACTGAATTTGATGCTAATTCACACATATCTACACTACTTAATTTGTAAATTTGAGCTGCTACTGAATATTCTTCAATTAATGGTTCTTTAGTATAAGAAAATTGTAATGGATCATCAGTTGATAATGAAACATTTAATCCCTTTCTAAAGAAATTATAGAATGGATTTTTATCATAAGTTAAAAATAATGCATTATTAGATAATGGTGACATTGCTAAACCAATTTGATCCAAATAATATAAATATTGAATAAATGGAAGTTTTCTTAAAAGAATTCCATGAGATATTGATTGAGAAGTTAAAAATGCACTAATTAAATGTTCAGGATCTCCAGCTTCTCCACAATGAGGACGTAAAACAAATGTATTCATACCTTGAATTTGTCTAACTTTATTTAAAGAACATAAATTAGAATAAAGATAATAAACATAATAAGAATATGGAGGATTAATTGAAGAATCCCATTCAGTAGCAATAGGAAATCGTTTAGCTTGAATTGGTTTTTCACTCTTAGATTCATCATCAACTGAATCAAATCCAATAACTCTTTGTAAAAATATATATAATTTAGGATGAGATTTAGGATTAAGTGATACTTCATATAATGGTTCAAATAAATTCTTTAAAATAGCATGAAAATTAGTAACATTACCATTCTTTTTATAAACATCATAAAGTCGAGGGACTTGAATTAACCAACGAACATTATGACTAAATAATTTATTGTCAACTATCCAAGAGGCAAGTTTATCCCATTCATCAATACTTCTACCATAAACAGAAATTCTTAATTCATTCATTTGATATTTAGAACTTTCTAAATCTTCAAATACTTGTTTAGTTAATTCTGCTAAATATTTCCCCTTAATAAAATTATCAGTCTTTAAAAATATTTCTCTTAATCTTGATTCTCCAATAGGATTATACTTTAAATTAAATTTATCAAATCTATGAAAACTATCTGTATGAGCGTGCATATCCAAAGTATCAATTGAAAGATCATAAGCAGATAATTTTAAGGATTCAAATACTTCTGCTAATGTTAAGACTTTCCCATCTCTAAAGATTACTTGTTCATTAGGTTCAGTCTTTAACTTATACTTAATGAATCTTAATAAATGTTTTTGATTCATACAAGCAGAATGATGAATGTGAGTATCGACTTTACGAACATTATAAAAATCTCTATGAGGATTCCTTTTCGATTGTTTAGTCTCTTCAAACTCATTAAGGAGTGTATACATATTCCATTTAGCTTCTAAAAATTGTAATCTTCTAAATGAAAAGGATTTTGAAGGTCCATCGGAAGACATTTTACTAATCGTATTAAGATCTGAATAGTAATCATGTAATGTAGGAATTTTAGTAATACTACTTTCATTATCTAATTCATGAACTTCATAAACTCCTTCAGAATTTAATTTAAATGTATACTTATTCACACCATCGGGGATTATACATTTACTAAAATCAAATTCTTCTTCAACTTCATTTTCAGTTCCTGGAAGTTGATTAAATTTATTTTTAGATTTATAAGTAGGTTTAGGAGGTGGAGGATAAATAATCCAATCTTCTTTATTCTTTGGATTCTTCAGTTCTTCATCTTGTAATGAAGCTTCTAAATATTTATGTCTAATATCAAGACATGTCTTGACACTATGAAAGAATTCTACTAATTCATCAGAAGCATAATCTTCAGAAATTCCAGCAGATGCTGCAAGATCAATCTTTCCTTCTTCTCTTTGTTGAGGTAATGGGTTAAAGGCAAATTTGTTTTGCACAGGTAAATCAATAATTGATTGTCTTCTTCTAATGGAATGAGGACTACCAATATGGAACCCTTCAACTATATTATTAATATTATTATTGCTATTATTATTATTGTTGTTATTTTGATGAAGAGCTTCAAATGTACGAATCTTCAAATCCTGATCCTTCATAAATTTATCCTCTGAAGTAGAGAAATGAGCTGAATTAACTGATTTGGATAATAAGTCATCATCACTATCATTATTAAATCGATGATGTTCTAATTCATCATCCGCATCATCTTGAGAATAAAGGTCATGATTCTCATCTATTGGAGCTCTTGATCCGCTTAAGTCTATACTAAATGGAACCATGTCTATAATTGGTTAGTGGATAGGGGTTCAATTCGGAGTTTAACCATCAACCTTTAAATGGAATTAGTGCTCATCATCGCGACGATGCATGCCGCGACCCAATTAGGAAATTTTTGGAACAAAAGTATTTTATTATGAACTAAACTAAACTAAAGCTAAAATTAAATATACAGAAAGTATCGAAAAGAGTTTCGATTTTTATTGGGGGAAGGGGGGTAACGTGAAGAATAAGAATAAAGGTATCTAGTATTAAATAAATATCATAGCAGAAAAACCGGCTGCCATAATGAACTGTAATAATAATGAATCTGTAGATTTTATAGAACCTGAGCCATTAGACAGTCCCGAACTAGTGGCTGTATTACTTGATGATGAAGATGATGATATACCAACTGTAGTCAGACTTAAAGTAGAAGCTTCTGGTGATGAAGTTTCAATTGCTGCTAATACTGATGATAATTCACCTGTTTCAAGTGCTGCGAATGCTGCTGATAATTCACCTGTTTTAATTTCTGCTAATGCTGATGATATTTCACCAGTTTTAGTAGCTAATAATGTTTCAAGAGCACCCCAAGCTCCTGTTACTCCATCTTCAATTAAGCTGAAGATTTGACCAGCATCAACTGATGATGAACCATCTTCAAATACTGCCTGTTTGATATGATCAGGTAAAATATCCACTATTTTGGCATTTCCACTAGTGAATAAACTTTGAATATCGCTAATAATTGCAGATTTTAAGGTTGAATCAGCAAGTGCCTTTTCAAGAACATGTTGAATTAATCCAGAAGCAATTAAAGTTTTTAATGTTGGAAGTAATGGAGCAATTTGAATAGTAACATCTCCATGAAGTAAATCTTTGAAAAATCCATTCAATAAAATAACAGTAGCATCTTGAAAGTTTTCGTTAGTTAATAAGGTGTGGATAGTTGCATTAAGTAATCCCGATCTGTCAACAGATTCAAAGATAGTTTGAAGCAAAGCTTCAATATTGTCTCTCTTAACAAGTTCTCTCTTAATTAAGTCATCCAATTCTTCATCGGTGTATTGTCTCTTAGCACCTAATGCATTAGCAGCTGGAGAATCTGTGGCAGTAGAAGGAAGGACGCCTTGAAGATTACCTGTAGCAGCAGCTGTATTAACAGCAGAACCGTCTCCGCTAATGGCTGAAAGTAATTGGTCAAGGTTGACGGATGTTGATGCTGCATCTTGACCAGTAGTCAAAGCTGGGACATAAGAAGAAGAAGGAGAAGCAGTAGCAGAAGGAGTAGTGGTGGTCTTGGAGCCTCCAAAAATATCTCCTACGATACCACCAACCCATCCTAAGATTCCTCCACTTGACTTGGTGGTAGTGGCAGCTGCGGTAGTTGTAGGGGACAAACCAGTTGCGGTAGCAGTGGCAGCAGCAGTGGCAGCAGCACTTGTACTGGTCTTTCCACCACCAAAGATATCATCAACGATTCCACCAACCCATCCTAAGATACCTCCACTAGATTTAGTGGTAGTGGCTGCGGTTGCTGTAGCATATGATCCTGTTGCTGTTGCAGTGGCTGTAGCAGAAGTAGCTGTTGTCTTTGAACCACTGCCAAAGATATCTCCAAAAAGACCACCAACCCATCCTAAGATTCCTCCACTAGACCCGGTGGTAGTTGAAGAAGATGTAGGAGCAGCTGTTGGTGTACCAAAAGTAGAGTTACCATAAGATGCGATAGCAGTTGTTGTTGCAGGTGAACTTCCACTTCCTCCAAGAAGACCGCCAACAATATTTGGAAGACCATCAAGGATTTCACTAAGGGAAATTTGACCAGAAGCAATGAGTTTCTTTATGATAGCCAAAACTGAAGGGAAAGTAGCAGGATCTTCCAAAGTTGAAGCAATAAGATCATAAGCTAAATCCGATTGATCTAATGCAATCCACAAATCTGTAAGGTTAAGATTTTGTCCTACTTTAAGTGTATCAACAATTATTTCACCAGCAATATGTCTAGTAAAATTATTGGAGATAATAAATACAGCAAGGTCAGGAACTAACCCAGTATCTTTGACACCAATTAAAAGATCATCAAGATATTTAACATGATCATTTTCAGTCAAGATATTATTAACCCAACCAGCAATTCCATTGAAGTTTATATCCTCAAGTAATGATTCACCAATATTTAATATAGTAGATAACAAATCTCTTTGATGAATATCAACCTCAAATTCTTCTGAAACTTGTCTAACAGCAACTGGAGCTGGTAAAGGACTTGCTGATATTAATGTCACCACCCATAAGCAGGCAGTTAAAATAGAGAACCTCATTTTTTTTAATTTGTATTAATGATTGCAAATTGAATAGACTATACAGTAAGTAAAAGAACGAATGTAAAAACTGGATAAAAAAAACCTGAGTTGAATTGGTAACCAACTACAAATTGATTAACTCATATTCAAGAGATTATTTGAATCTTATAAACAATTTCGTTTAACTAATGGGTAAATAACGACTGCTAAATATTTGACTTAAAAAAGAAAAAAACTTTGCAATAACATTTCCCAAAACAGTAACTTTCTCTGAAAATGTGTGGTGCCTGCATATAGTGCGAGTGCCTAATTAGGAAAGTTTTGCAGACAATGCAATTAATTAATCTTCTATCCTATGAAGTATTCTTTCATTGTTTATATATTAAATAAGAGGGGAGACATTCTACGGTAATAATATAAGGGGAAGTCTAAATCTAAGTTCAGAACCGACTGTGTCAACACGGTAAGTTTCGATGGCTTCGAATATTCTCTCATTGTGCGGTAAACTGTGAGAGTCGGAAGAAATACCATCGGTACTACTACCTAATAATGATTGTTGATTACTTTCATCATTACCATTAGTACTACCATTACCATTCTCTACAGTGTCTTGCGGTTCTAACAGACCACCATTAGTGATTTCAGTATTATTTTCCGTCGGGCCGCCATTTTCTTCTACTTCTCCATCATTATTAAACTCTCCCAAATTAAACTTAAATACTATGTAATATTTCAAATCCATTAAGGTTGTACTTTGAAATTGTTGGGATAAGTGTCTAGGAATGTTTAAACATCCATTTAAGGGAGCCAGACGATGTTCCAGATTAGGGATTAACTTATTAAATAATGAAGTTGCAAAAGTATTAAACTTCAAGCTACCAGTAACTCGATAAGTATTAGTATAATCCTTTGGTTTTTCCTCTTCTGGTAAGTTATCAGATCTTGTATGGTATATTTCATGTGCTTCAAGATATACAAGTAACCCCACAACTTTAGTTACTTTACTATTCTTTAATGGATTAATATCCAATACAAAATGAATATCATCACCGATATGATAATATGGTCGAGAAAGACTAATCAAACATAAACTATGATTATTAACTTTCAATTGAAATTGAGTTTTTAAATGAGATGGCAATTGAGGAACTGTTCCCTCGGTAATATCACTTTCTTCATATAATGAAGGAATACTTTTCTTTCGTTCATTGGTAGACATTTTAGGCATTGAATATAAATCAGAATCAATTAATTTGGTTAAATCCTCTAAAAACACTTCTCTAGTTTCAATTGATTTATGATCATTATCTTTAAATTTATTAGTATCTTTCAGTTCAATAATACCTATTTTCCATGATTTATCAACTGTAATTTCTTCAAAAAATGACCTTTGATACCATCTATCATTAAGTCCAACTCTTTCTGATTTTATATCTAATGGGAAATATACTGATTTAGGTTTTAAATGTTGTTCAGGCAGAATACTAACTACTAATGAATACTTTATACTTAACCAACCTTGATCACAAGTTGGACCTGTCAGTTTAGTATTATATGAAGGTGGTAAAGAAGAACTTTGAGGGAATTTAATATGGAAAGTCTTTGTAGATGAAGGAGGAATTGATAAATCCATGAATAATAAAGCTTGTGATGTAGTATAAAATGGAATAATTGAATCAGTTAATTCTTTAGTTGGGATTTTATATTTCCCTTCTATATCATCTTGATTAACTTCAAGTGGTTTGAATTTGGGAGGTAAATGAGTATTGAATGTATAAATAAGATCATGAACCAAATACTTATTGGATTCATCAATAAATGAATCATTTTTATTGAGTCCTAAATCATTTATACCTCCTAATTTCCCCCCTACTGTTAATCTTCTAGTAAGATTTTCTCTAATGAATGGAATTGAAGCCATTCTAGATTCTCTTTCTTCTTCATTTTCTAATTCTTCTTCAACATCCTCTTGGTATATTCCAGTATACTCTCTATTATTCCACCATTGGGCATACTTAGGACCTCCTCCAAGATCGATCCCACCTCCTCCAACACCAGCTCCTACTCCTAACTTATAATTGAGCACTAAATAACCTATCAATTGCACATTACCTAAAAAGATCTGGATCTCATTATTGGGTCCATTGTTTGATAATAACGTGGTACTAGACACGGTGGACTCAAGACTCAGTCTAAACAACCCACCAAACCATGAACCTCCAGCACCAGCACCAGAAGCACTGCCAACACCACTAGTAATTCCACTAAGTTCATTCTCACTCTCAATTGGTGCTACCTCAGTATCAGTAGGATTAATTATAAGAGCACTGTTCAGAATATTATGAAAACTTATCAAACATTCTTTATTAGTGAACAATCCTGAATCATTACTCTGTTGGGGATTATCGAGATATGTAAGAGATATGGCAAGTTTATCATTAATTTGTTTGACGTATGCCGGCCGTGCGTGGTCCGAGTACACATCTATATTATGGTAAAGGCTTCGAGACGGCATGGATTTGGGGTATATATGGAGTGTTAAGTATGTGGGTTATGGATATTGTTGATAACAGGGCCGAAAAATCTAATTTCCCCATTGGGCATGTCCGCGAGAGCTATTAATGTACATTATGTGCTAACTAATTAAAGAGCGTAGTATAACAACTACAGTATATAAGAGTTCTATAAGAACACAACAAAGAGGAAATTAAGGAGGAAGGGGAAGGGGAAGGAAAGGAAAGGGTGGATCATACTAAAATTGTTTGACGGCTTGTTCATGGTATTGATGTTGAGGTTCTGGTTGAGATTCTGAAGCAGGTGCGGGAGGTGGAGGAGATTGTTGAGGTTCACTAACTGCGCCAGTAGTAGGTTGACCATCTTGATCTCCTACAAATTGATGGAAATCTAAGATTTCACTATACATCATAACTCTCCAAGTATCAACCGGTAAATCTGCATCATTAAAACTCCAATCAAATTTGGTTTCACAAATTGGTTCATCAGTTGGATCATGATATGGTGACATATATGTATGAGTTAAAGCTTGTTCTGCACTAATTCTCTTTTTAGGATCAAATACAAGCATTTTACCTAATAAATCAATAGCTTCAGGTTCAACATGAGTACAATGAGCAAATCTTTCAGAAAATGGAATTGGATCTCTATGAGGTAAAGATTGAACAAATCTTAAAGTATTTTCTGAACAAATTGTATCTATAACATCTGGAGGTGGAGATCCTAATAATTCAGTTATTATTGAAAATTGATGAACATGATCTTTTCCTGGGAATAAAGGTTTACCTTCAATCATTTCAGCTAAAATACATCCTACTGACCATAAATCAACTTCTGTATCATATTTTTGCCAAGTTAACATAATTTCAGGTGCTCTATAATATCTAGTAGATACATAACCTGTCATTTGAGGATCTTGAATTCTAGCTAATCCAAAATCACAAATTTTTAAATCACAATTTTCATTAATTAAAATATTAGAAGGTTTTAAATCACGATGAATTACTCCGGCTGAATGGATATATTTTAAACCTCTTAATATTTGATAGGTGAAATATTGAATGAATTGTTTTTCTAAAGGTCTCGATGTTAATAAACGATGTAAATCTGTACCTTGTAATTCATTAACAAAATATATATCTTCTAATGGTGATAAAAAGATATCATCTAATGAAATTAAATTTTCATGTCTTAAATGTTTTAATAATTTTAATTCACGATAAGTTCTTTTGGCTAATACAGGAGTCAGGAAAGGTTTCATAATCTTTTTAACTGCTACATTTTGTCCAGTTAATTTATCAACAGCTGAACATACGAGTCCAAAGGCTCCCATGCCTACGGGATTTAAATCAGTATATCTTTTAGTGATTTCAAACACCGTTCCGAAGATTTGAGTTCTAGTGAACTCTCCATCGGATGACATTGTAAATGTGATAGTAAGGAGTAATTAGGATTAATTAGGATTAATTAGTAATTAGTATTAATTAGCAATTTATAGTGGTAAGGGTTCTCCCGTTAGATAAATAACAAAATATTAATGGTGTGTAGGAAACAGTGACTTTAGTGATCGAAGTGGGAACAGACTGGAATTAAGAAGCTATATTATATGAAGTATTCGATAATTTGTATTATAACTACTAAGTCGTACTAAGTCGTTTATCTACGTTATCTACTGTAAGCACTGGTACGATGTTCACTCCCAATTAGTGGTGGAATTTTACAAACAAAAAAATGAAGTGCGGGAGAACCAAAGCTAAAAATGGGATGTAGTGACGAAGTCAGTTAGTGAGTATTTAGTGGGTGAGAATTTATGGGAGAAAGAGTAATTGGATTAGACAGTTAGTGAGAGAGTGCGAGTCTTAGTGACAGTCTGTCTGTGTGTGTTGAGGAAATTGTATAAGTTAGTGTGTGCTTAGTGTGTTAGTGTGTTAGAGAGGGTCCACTAAGTGTTTTAGAGAGGGATCCACTATTATAGTGAGAATTTTAGACAAATACCTAATATTCGCAAGCAAGCAGAATCAGTTACTTCACAATTGCTTCACATACGACTTCCACTGGCCTATTTGGTTTATGTTAAATGCTCAGTATAATTAGAATTAGCCTAGTGTAAATCGTTAGGTAGTAATTATTACGTAGTCTTACATGAAAAAATGCACCATTTCCTAATCAGGCAATGCCTCTCACAGCCCTTTTATATAAAGTAAATAATGCTTTAACGTCACTTAATAGGCCCTATAATGTTGGTGAACATTAATATGTAAACAAGCAGTGGACTTAATAGTACTGTAGTTACTGTAGTTATTATAGAATTTAAATATGCTATATACTAAGTTTGCTTGTAGGACCAATAGATTTGCACTAAATTCGCTATTAAACGTAGCAAATATATAATACTTCGAATATTAAAAGTTATATCAATACCATACAACTCAATTTCTAAATGGAAGGAGACAACTCAATCTTTCTTCTATACAACGCAGTAGACTCAGATCCATCTCGGCTAAACCAGCCTTGACAGTACTAATATTAATAGTAGAGTAATTTGGCAATTGATGCAAACGTTATGTGCAGTAACATCCCCACCGCAATTCCAAATGAGAGCCACACGAAGTATAAGAAGGCTCAAATACTAACTAATTATTAATAACTAGATAATCCCTTTATTGCTAATAGACTAAAATGCCTTCTATAGAAACTGGTGCATCCACCATCTCCTCCTCTATTAGTTTAATTAAAACTATTATTGGGGCAGGACTCCTTTCTATGCCATTGGCTTTTTCTACAGATGGTGTAATATTTGGAATCATTATAATTCTTATAGCTGCTATAACTTCAGGTTATGGATTATTCCTTCAAGCTTATACTTCTAAATATGTTCCATCAGGTCATGCTACATTTTTCAATCTTTGTTCTGCTTCTTATCCAGCATTATCAGTAGTATTTGATATTGCTATTGCAATTCAATGTTTTGGATGTGCTTTATCATATTTAGTATTAATAGGAGATATATCTCCAACTATAGTAACTTATGTTCCATATATTGATCCAGATTATTATAGAACTTTTTGGATTTTATTATCTACTATTATTTGCGTTCCATTAGCATTTTTACATAATTTGGATAGTTTAAAGTATACTTCAATATTAGGTCTTGTAGCCATATTTTATATGACATTACTTGTTATTGGACATTATTTTACTGGAGATATTTCAAATGATTTAAAAGGTGAAATTGTATTATTGCCACCTAATTTAACAGGAATATTTAGTACATTTTCAATCATTGTATTTGCATTTACTGGTCATCAAAATATGTTTTCAATAATTAATGAAGCTAAAGATAAATCTTTAAAATCTTTAACAACTCTTATAAATTTTGCAATTTTATTATCTTCATTACTTTTTATATTTGTTGGTTTAGCAGGTTATTTAACTTTTGGTAATAAAGTTGCTGGTAATGTTATATTATCTTATCCTCAAGCTTGGTATAATGATTTAGGTAGATTCTGCATTGTATTTATGGTTATATTTTCATTCCCATTAATGTTACATCCTGCTAGAATTTCAATTAATAATATTTATTATTGGTTATCTGTTAATGTTTTCCATACTACTCAACCATTTGTGGTTGAACCAAGTGATAATGAAGCAACTGCTTTATTACAAGAAAGTCAGGATAACCTTAAAACTCACAACATTGTCCCATTTCCTCAACATACTTTTATAATTATTACCACTGGTTTATTACTTTTGGCTTATGGATTAGCCATTAGTATTAAATCATTTGCTCTTGTACTTGCAGTTGTAGGGGCTACAGGATCTACTGCTATTTCATTTATCTTACCAGGATTGTTTGGATACAAGCTTATTGGATCTGAATCTCCAAGTCCATCAATTAAAGAGTCAATTCTTAAACAACTCTCTTTAGTACTTACCGTGTGGGGTATTATAGTTATGATTCTTTGTTTATATGTAACCCTCTTTTTATCTGATGTTTGAAGATAGAATACAGATTAAAGTATAGTACAATTAAAGTACATAAGGTACAATTTATAGTATAATTTATAGTATAATTTATAGTTTAGTTTATAGCATACCACAGTCATACAATTAAGAGCAGTGTATATAAAAAAAATATAGGAGTGAAAAATCTGGAGTATACTCCACATTAATCATTAATAACAGCAATTAGAGAATGTCTTGTGAAAACGAACATTACCATTCCCATCTGCATGGAGATGATGGTGATGAAGGACATGGACATGGACATAGTCATAGTCATTCACATGGTCATGGACATAGTCATATAGCACCAATTGCTACTCATGAATCACAATCATTATTAAGTAAAATCGATTTAGATCATGTTACAGCTTTGAATTTAGAGAATGATCCTGAAGAATTACGACAATTATTCAAATCAGCGGATAAGAAGTATAATTTACATCCTGTAATCAAATCAGATGCAGATTATGAATTACTCATACATATACCTTTCATTGATGGATCTATCAAATTATTCTCATTAATACTTAGAACTAATGGTGATAAACACTGTCCCAAATCGATCAAAATATTTAAAAATGATAAGTCCATGGACTTTGCCGAAGCAGAAGTCAAAAAGCCCGACTTTATAATTGAACATCCCCAAATTGGTGTCATGTGTAATGATGAAGATCATGATATTATGCCTGAAAAATTGATTACCGATGATGATTTCATTGAACATTACTTCCCCAGACATAAATTCACGGGTATTCATCATCTAACTATATATATAGAGAGTAAATACTCTGATGAAGATGAAGATGAAGATGATGAAAATGTGTGGTTACATTATCTTGAGCTCAGAGGAGAATTCACAGCCTTGAATAAGAATCCCGTAGTAGCTATCTATGAGAAGGCAGCTAATCCGGCTGATCATAAGGTCAAATCGGTGCTTGAAGATACCAACAATTTCACTCTCGGTAATTAAGAAGTATTTATTAAATAGTAAGAGATCAAAAGATATATATTACATAGTTTGTTTAGTATAGTTTAGTTTAGTTAGGAGGGGTATAGCTATAGTTAATATAGTTAAGATCCGGGGGACTACTCGTCATGTGATCGGAAATGGTCGGATTCACAGTTTTCGTTATATAGTGGTTTGTGTGGAGGTCAACAGAAGTCCGAACGCGACATGGATCACGGCGACATTTCCCGGACCACCTGACTCGCCATAATTCAACTGGTGATGTTTGAATATCCTACTACCTAACCGTGCGACATTTTCCCAACCTCGACCACAGCGACATCACAATCACCAACCACAACTTTTTTTAATTTTATATAAATTCCCATTGATTCCCATTGTTTTCCCAATTGACATTTATCTTGATTTGTAAATCTTATTTAATCAATAATAATCCCATATAATACAATGCCAAAGTTAGTTTTAGTTAGACACGGACAATCCGAATGGAATGAAAAGAATTTATTCACTGGTTGGGTTGATGTTAGATTATCAGCTGTTGGTGAAAAGGAAGCTCACAGAGCTGGTGAATTAATTAAGGAAGCTGGTATTCAAGCTGATATTTTATATACTTCCAAATTATCTAGAGCCATTCAAACTGCCAACATTGCTTTAAGTTCTGCTGATCAATTATATATTCCAGTCAAGAGATCTTGGAGATTAAATGAAAGACATTATGGTGCTTTACAAGGTAAAGATAAAGCTCAAACTTTAGAAACTTATGGTAAAGAACAATTCCAAGTTTGGAGAAGATCTTTTGATGTTCCACCACCAGTTATTGAAGATTCTTCAGAATTTTCTCAAGCTGGTGATGTTAGATACAATGATATTGATCCAGCTGTTATTCCAAAGACTGAATCTTTAGCTTTAGTTATTGATAGATTATTACCATACTGGCAAGATGAAATTGCTGCTGATTTATTAGCTGGTAAGACTGTTTTAATTGCTGCTCATGGTAACTCCTTAAGAGCTTTAGTTAAGCACTTGGATAAAATCTCCGATGACGATATTGCTGGTTTAAATATCCCAACTGGTATTCCATTAGTCTATGAATTAGATGAAAAATTGCAACCAACCAAACCAGCTTATTATTTGGATCCAGAAGCTGCTGCTGCCGGTGCTGCTGCCGTCGCTGCTCAAGGTTCTAAGAAGTAATTTAATTAATATAAGTAATTTTAGTAATTTACTAGTAATTGTTTAGAACTATAATAAAAATCAAGTTATATATAAACTTGCAATATTAGTTAAAGGCCCCTCTCCCACTCCCCTTGTAATATGATCATACAAATAATAAACTTTTAGTATTATTCCTTAACATTAGTTACTTGCTTTGAAAAATGACACAAAACCGCACACCATTTCTCATAAAGAAAACAGACTCAGTAAAAAAACTATCAACACTCTTTACCAGATACAATTATCAATAGTGGGAAACAAGCTTGTTAGCATTGTATTCTTTTTAATAGTGAGTTATACAGAATTAGTACGTTTGTAATCATCCAAAAAAATTTGGGAGAAATTCATAGTCATATAGCATTAGAACTCATAATATAATCCCCCCATACAATGTCAGCATTTGGTCAACCGAACCAAAACTCATCTGGTAATTCAGGGGCATTCCTGTTTGGTCTGGGATCAACAAATAATTCTGGTGATCAAACAAAACCTTCACCATTCGGGGGATTTTCTGGTCTGAACAGTGCGAACAATAGTGGTCGTAGTACACCGGCTTTTTCATTTGGTGCATCATCAAATGTTCAAGGGTCTAGTGGTACTGCTACTGATGGTTCTAAACCAGCTGGTGGATTATTTGGTTCAGCAGCTCCTGCTCCTGCTGCAGGTTCTTTATTTGGAAGTAAACCATCATCTGCTAGTCCCTTTGGATCATCAGCTACTGCTCCAAGTGGTGGATTATTTGGTGCATCTCAAACTAATTCAACTTCTGCCCCTGCTCCTGCTGCTGGTGGATTATTTGGTAATAAACCTAATTTAAGTGCTCCAGCCTTTGGGTCATCTGCTCTGACTGCACCATCTGGTGGATTATTTTCCAGTAATACATCTGCTACTAAAGAAGCAACTCCAGCTCCTAGTGCTGGAGGTTCATTATTTGGTAGTGCCAACAATTCATCCACTGGATTATTTGCTCCAAAACCTCAAGATGCAAAGACAGATAAACCTGCAAGTCCATTTGGTGCTGCTCCTACTGGATCAAATCCAACTCCAAGTTCATTCAGCTTTGGAGCTCCTAAATCAGATGCCACTAAACCAGCCTCATCTGGTGGATTATTTGGGGCCTCTACTACTTCCACTGATAAACCAGCCTTCAGTTTTGGAGGTGCTTCTACAACTTCTACAGATAAAAAAGAAGGTGGTTTATTTGGAGCTGCTGTTCCAAGAGAATCGTCGACTCCTGCTCCATCTTCCGGTTTCTCATTTGGATCGAAACCAACTGAATCTACAACTAATACTACTGCTGCACCAGCTCTTTCTGGAGGATTATTCGCTAAGAAAGATGATTCTACATCCGCTTCAGCTTCAGCATCCCCATCTACCTTTTCATTAGGTGGTAGTGCTAAACCAGAAGAACCTAAAAAGGACACTGGATTTTCACTTGGTGGTGCTAGTTCATCTACTGGAGGGTTTTCATTCGGTGGAGCTTCTAAAGCTACTCCTGCCGCCTCTGCAGCTCCTTCCAATGGAGGTTTATTTGGAGCTAAAAAGGATGATGACAAGCCAGCCTCGGGTGGATTTTCGTTTGGTGCTAAAAAAGATGAAAGTTCTGATAAACCAGCTACCGGAGGTTTCTCTTTCGGTGCTAAGAAGGACGAAAGTACCGATAAGCCTGCCACTGGAGGATTTTCTTTCGGTGCCAAGAAAGATGAAAGTGCTGATAAACCTGCAACTGGAGGATTTTCATTTGGAGCTAAGAAAGATGATTCTTCTAAACCTGTTACACCAGCTTTAGGAGGTGGATTCAGCCTTGGTGGTGCTAAAAAGGATGAAGCTAAAAGTGATAGTAAACCTGCTTCTAGTGGCATTTCCTTTGGTGCCCCAAAGACAGATGATAAGCCTGCTAGTACTGGATTATTCGGAGCCAAGAAAGACGAGGCTGGTGATAAGAAAGAAGATAAACCAGCAGGTGGATTCTCATTTGGTGCTCCTAAAAAGGATGAGGAAAAGAAAGATAATACATGCGGTAATACAACCACTACCACTACAACAACTACTACAACGACTACCAATGCTTCAGTTGATCAACCTAATTTAAAACCTACTAAAATTGAACCTATTGCCGTATCAATAGATAATAAGACATTAGATGATTTAATAATCAAATGGTCTAAGCAGTTAACCAGTACATCTAAGATTTTTGATAGTTATACAGCAAGAGTAAAACAATGGGATGAACAATTAGTTAGTAGTGGAGATGATATATTACAATTAAATCAAGATACTTTAGAAGCTGAAGCATTACAAAGTAAGATTGATCAACATTTATTATTTGTTGAGAGTCAACAAGATGAATTAGAATTATTATTAGATAATTACGAACAACAAGCTGATATATTGTTAAATAATATTGATTTAAACAGTGGTAGTGTTGGACTTATAACTCAAGGTGGAGATAGTACAAATACAGGTGATGATAACTCCAATAATTCTACAGCTGTACAAGCTGTAGCTAGTACATTAAGTGTTACTGATAAATTACGTGAGAAAGCTTATCATTCAGCCGAATTATTAGATGAAAGGTTAGATAATTTGAGTGATAATTTGAGTACATTAATTAATGAAGTAAATTCAGTTAGTGATGTATTCACTAAGAATTCCATCAATGATTTTGCTCAAGCTGGTAATGATAATAGATCATCAACTACTTGTACACAAGATCTTACTAAAGTTAGTAAAAATAATGATAATAATCCTATTGAAGAAATAGTCCAATTATTAAATTTACATTTAGAAAACTTGAAGTATATTGAAAAGAGTGAAGAAGAATTAAAGGAAAAATTATCTAAAGTCAACCGTACTAAAAAGTTGACATACTAGTTCTAATTCTATGAGTGTGCTTATAAAGTTTGATATATTAATTCTCTGTGTGTACTAATAAAAGTTAACATAACCTGTGTGTGTTTACATATAATAATAAATAAAATGTCGTAAGATAAAACACACCAAAAAATAAAAATTATAGAACTCAATTACAATTTTAATTTCACTTCCCAGGGATATAGTGGATTGCACGTGATTATTTATGGTCTCACTTTGACCCCACCATTCGGAATTCGGTATAGACTTGACTTAAATAAAGGGTACTAGTAATATATATAGACTGATAAAATTGTACACATAAATCATTCACTTAGATTTTATAGATTAATTAACGTGTGTATTATATTATCTGATTAGTGTAGATTATTTATATAACTAGAATGGCTCCAAATTACCTTGCGTTACTCCCATTGATATTCGATAAAAATGTATCCAAGAAGCTTGTATTACAGATGGTATTCAAGCAAATTGGTAAAATTGGGTATGCCAAAGTGTTAGCAGTAATTTTAAGTGCATCTATGATTGGTGTATCATCATTTATTAGAATTCCTCAGATTCAAAAGATTATTAATCCAAAATTATTAGAAGATCGAATTAAAGTAGCTCAAGGTTTATCGTTAGAATCTTATAGTATTGAAAGTTTAAATTATTTGATTCATGTTGTATTCAATTATCAGAATAAGAATTCTTTTATAAACTATGGTGAAAGTTTATTATTAGGTATTCAAAATATTGCTATCATTCTATTAATTAAATTCTATAGATTAAGAGCTTCAGGTGAAATTCCTGATTTATCTGATAAATCAAGTGTTGAAAAATTGACTATTCTTAGAGAAAAATTGGCTTTACCAATTGGAGGAATTGTTGGCTCAATAATTGTTTTAAGTCTTTTTGCTCCTCCTGAAGTTATTTCTACTTTACAAGTATTGAATATCCCTATTAATATTATTTCGAAATTACCTCAGATTAATCAAAATCGCACTTTGAAAACGGCTAGCCACTTATCGGTTGTAACACTTCGTGCTAATGTGTTAGGATCTCTTATTAGAGTATTTACTTCTGGTCAAGATGTATTATCCAAACGTACCAAAGGTAAAGCTATTTGGAGTGATTATATTTTATGGGCCGGATATTTCACTTCCTTAGCATTGAATGGAACTTTACTTGGACAAAGTATATTTTATGATGGATGTCCCTTATTAAGTAAGAAACAGTATCCTGAATCTTCGGAAAAGGAACAAGAGAAGAAGAAGGATATTTGAATTATATATTTAAAGTATTATGTATTATGTATTGCCTAATATAGTAGAGTCGTTACCATGCGACGTTATTGCCTAATGCAGTAATGGTATGCGGATATGTCAGCGACATGGAAAAGTTGAAAAATTCATCACTTGCGACCGATTTGAACTTAAGTAAAGTAGTAATAATAACAGTAATTACTGTAGCACATAACATGGTTCATAAGGCAGAGTACTTACCGGAAACCGGAACTCATATAAGTTCTGTTTTACAAGGTGGATATAATCATCCATTGAGTAGAGAATGGCAACAAGAGAAACAATTAACTAAGAATATGTTCATATTCCCATTATTCATTAGTGATCAACCAGATGAAGAAAGTATTATTCCAGCTTTACCAAATATTAAACGGTATGGAACTAATACATTAATTCCTTATGTTAAATCATTAGTTGAAAAAGGGTTAAGGGCTGTTATATTATTTGGAGTACCATTAAAGGAAGGAGTTAAAGATGAAGTTGGAACAGCAGCTGATGATCCTGAAGGTCCAGTAATTAGTAGTATTAAATTACTTCGTAAAAATTTCCCAGATTTATATATTATGTGTGATGTATGTCTTTGTGAATATACTTCTCATGGTCATTGTGGAATTTTATATGAAGATGGATCAATTAATAGAGAAATATCAGCATTAAGAATTGGACAAGTTGCTGTAAATTATGCTAAAGCAGGAGCTAATTGTGTTGCTCCATCAGATATGATTGATGGTAGAATTAAAGATATTAAAACAGGATTAATTAATGCAGGTTTAGCTCATAAATGTCTTGTAATGTCATATGCCGCTAAATTTAGTGGAGGATTATATGGACCATTCCGTGATGCAGCAGGTAGTGCTCCAAGTCATGGAGATCGTAAAGCTTATCAATTACCACCTGGTGGAGCTGGTTTAGCTCGTCGTGCATTACTTAGAGATATGGAAGAAGGTGCAGATGCAGTTATTGTTAAACCATCAACTTTCTATTTAGATATTATTAGTGATGCATCTAAATTATGTAAAGATTATCCAATTTGTGCTTATCATGTTAGTGGAGAATATGCTATGTTACATGCTGCTGCTGAAAAGGGAATTGTAGATTTAAAGACTATAGCTTTTGAATCTCATATTGGATTCTTAAGGGCAGGAGCTAGATTAGTTATTAGTTATTTTACTCCAGAGTTTTTAGAGTGGCTCGATAATTAATTAAATAATTCTATTAATGTATGTAAATAGTGATGATATGCTAATTTGCTAATTATTCTAATTTGCTATTGGTTCATTTGGCCTTTCTGATTCTATATTTGGTTCTTCAGTATCATGAACTGGTTCATTTGGTACTTGTGGCATTATCTTATCAGTTGGTACTTGAGGTAATTTATCTTCAACAATTTCTTGTTTGGTAGGTCCATTAACTTGTAATTCTAATTGACGTAATTCTTCATCGACTTCATCTTCCTCTTGATTAGTTAATCCTGATCCCATTCCTAATGCATCAGATATTTCATCTACTTTAACTCTTTCATCTTGTAAATCATCTAATACTTTATCAATCTTATCAATACTCATTTCATTATTTAATTTTTTAAGTACAGCATTACCTTGTTGAAGTCCATATAATACATCTTTTTCAATTAATTTAAATTCAATTGTTCCAATTAAACCTTCTAAATTATCTAATTGATTATAAGTCTTTTCAATTACTGATTGTTGTTGCTTTTTTGATCGTAAATAAAATTTAGCTCGATCTAATTGTTTATCCTTTATGGCTTGTTTAGCAAGATTAGATTGTTTATCAATGACTATGGTTAATCTCTTTTGATATTGTTTTAATTTATCTCGTTGTTGTTTTAATTGAAAGATAGCCTTATCTTGAGCTGTTATCTTTGGAGGGGTTGAGGTTTGTTGACCCATTGTATAGAGTAGGAAGAAGAAGAAGATAGTTATGGGGAACCACAATTTTTGTGCGATGGTATCGGTAATACTGTATATATACGACTGATAAGTAGGTGGTGGAGTAAGTGGTACAGATATGTATACTGTCTAATATAAATTGCACTATAATCTAGGATACTGCCTAGTAATATAGTGTCTAGCAATATAGTATACTAATAATATACCGTACTATAATATAGTATACTATATGCTGTACTTTAATAATTACTATGTTTGTTACACTATGCTACACAATGCTGTACTATTCTATGCTGTATCATGCTATACCATTGCACACTGTACTACGCTGTACTACACGGGCAATTCTATACTGTACTGTACTTATACACTGTACTTCAACACTGTACTTCTACACTTACTTCTATTATACACTTACTACTGAACTACTGTGCTTACCAATTACTCATTGAACCCTCTAACATTCCACCGGACTACATTCTCGTCGATTCCGTTCCCTCCACCCACCCTTCGCTGCTCCCCCGAACTTCGCTCTCTCCTACTCGCTCACTCACAAACTTACTCGCTAACTCACTCTCTCACTAACTCTCACTAACTCTACGTTCTACTCACTCTCACTCTCTCACTAACAATACCATCCATTCGTTGTTTCTCCCCCGCGACCATCACCAACTTACACATAGTACCGAAAAAATTAGTCGAATTCCGTTTCACATTGTCCTCGTCCTTCATTGTTCAACAATATCTCGATGTCGTCCAACTATCCCAATCACAAACCCAATCATCCCCTGACGCACCAGTACGTTCCGTCACCATCTATGAGTATCCCTGAACATTTGTTGCCCCAGGCATTCCTTGATCAACACTATCAGCATCTGCGATCTCACCCGACTCCTGCTCAACAACACTCACAACCTCCACCACAGCAGAGTCATCAGCCACCGGCTCCACCACCACCAAAACAGCAACAACTTCAACCACAACAATCTCAACCTCAACCTCAACCTCAATCTCAACTTCAATCTCAACCTCAACAACCTCAACAGTCTCAGCCTATGGGTACTCCAAACTATCAGCGAAAGGCTCCTCCTCCTCTCCAAATAAACCCATCCAATTATCAATCTCAGCATGTACCTCCTCAAGCTTTACGTCAACATCCCTATCGGGAAAAGGCATCTCCTACACACATTGCCTATCCTCCATATCCTGCTCCACAACAGCAACAGCAACAGCAACAGCAACCACCGCCACCACCACCTCCTCCTGCGCCTCCTCATCAACAACAATCGCAGTATAACAACAGTCCCGCAATGTATAAGGCTCCATACCCTATTCCCGAAAGTCCCGACTCCGAAGTAGGACCTTATTCTCCTGCTCCCAGTACCAATGCGTATCCATTCCAAACTCATGGGAATCGAATTGCATCTCAAGAAAGTGTTAATCGTAACTATCATATTCAACATAATCCTAGTTCCAATAGTTTGAGTGATTCTAATTCTAATCCACTTCCTTATCCTATTTACTATAATAATCCTCAAGTGGTCCCTCCCGTTCCATTCCTGTCTGTTCAACCATTAAATCATCGACCAATTCGTACTGCTACTCTGGATAGTTTAGGTAGTACAAAGTCTCAACAATCAACCATGTCTGGACCTCCTGCTCCTGGTTCGGGTAATAGACGAATTGTATCATCCCCCAATATTCCTCAATTTAATAATAATAACAATAATAATGTGAATATGAATATGAATATGAATATGAATATGAATAATGGACCATTAACTCCTTCAGCTATGAGTACAAGTAATGCTTCTATTAATAGACAAGTTCAAAGTCCTCCTGAATTAAGAACCAGATCATTGAATTCAGCTTCGATTAATTATAATCAACAAAGAATGCAACAACTGCAACTGTTACAATTCCATCCTACTACGGTTACTACCCCTACCAATTCTAGTTCAAATCTTCAAAAACTGGCATCAGTAAGTCATACACCTAAGTCGAAATCGAGTACTTCTATTAGTAGATTGGCATCTTCAGCTTCTAGAAGACATAATTCATCATCTTCATTGGTTAGTTCCAGTAATAATTACAATAATAACAATAACAATAATAATAATCATAAACTAGATAGAACAACATCGAATAGTTCACAATTTAAAGGAATGTCCAGTATGAAACAACCAGCTTTATTACCTCAACCATCAGTTTATCCTGCTATATTATCTAAAGTAGCTAAATCTTTTAAAGATAATATTACTTTATCAATTAATACAAAGAATGGATTAGTATGTCATGATTCATTTACTGGGAAAAGTGCTGTTGATATAATTTGTAGAATTATTAGAACTGGAGATAGGAATTTAGCCTTATTATTAGGAAGATCATTAGATGCTCAACAATTCTTTCATGATGTAACTTATGTTCATCGATTAAGAGATTCAATTCATGAAGTTTATGTTTTTAATCCAACATTTGCATATATTGATTTATATACAGAAACTGATGAAGTCATTGATAATGCTAATAATCTTAATTTAATTAATAATAATGGATCATTTACTGATTATAATGATCAATCACCAGTTCAACCTCAATCTCAAATACAAGGACAAATTCAAGGACAAGGACAGGGACAAGCATTACTTGAAAATGTTGATTCTAGTACTTCATTAAATAATATGAATGGAGGAGGACAAGAATTAACTGAAAGTCAAGAAACAGGAGTTAATGGAGTATTTACAATATTAACAGATTGTTATTCTCCTACTTGTACAAAATATCGATTATGTTATAGTATTGCATGTCCAAGAAGATTAGAACAACAAAGAAGACTTAATTTAAAACCTCAGGGAGGTTTAAAGAGAGCAGATTCAAGATTATCATTACATGAACCAGATGAAAATAAACAAACTTGGCATGATACAGTACCTGAATCAGTCTTGGCTAAATTAGATTCAGATGAAAAGACAAGACAAGAAGTTATATTTGAATTTATTTATACTGAAAGGGATTATGTAAAAGATTTAGAATTTGTTACTGATTTTTATATAATTCCATTAAGAAATCCAAATCGAAATATAATTCCTGCTCATTATCGAGAAAATTTTATTTTATTAGTATTTGGAGGTATAGGAGAATTATTAAAAGTTGCAAAAAGTTTTAGTGAAGCATTAACTAGAAGACAACAACTGCAAAAACCAGTTGTAGAAAATATTTGTGATATAATTTTAGATCATGTTAATAGATTTGATCCATTTATTGCTTATGCTGGGAATCATGTATTTGCAACTCATGAACATGAAAGACAATTACGAGTTAATGAAAGATATTCAAAATTTATTGAAGAAACTAAAAGTAAACCTGAATCTAGAAAGCAAGATTTAACATCATTTTTAATTAAAGCTGTTCAAAGACCAGCAAGATATATTCTTTTCTTAGAAAAATTAGTTAAATATACTAAAGAAGATTCACCTGATTTTAAATATTTATCTAAAGTAATGGAACCATTAAAGAAATTATTAGAAAGAATTAATATTCAAACAGGTATTTGTACTGATCGACAAAAAGTATTAGAATTACATAAATCTTTAGGAGAAAAGATTTTAAAAGAGAGGTATCATTTTAAATTATCTTATAGTAATAGAATTATTCATCAAGCTAGTTTAACTAGAAAGAGAGATAATGAAAAAATTGAAGTTTATTTATTTGAACATGCTCTTTTATTAGTTAAGACAAAGATTCAGAATAAGAGAACTCAAAAGAAAGTCTTTGAAAGACCAATTTATTTACCATTATTATTTATTAATAGTGGATTTGATATTCCTAATCAAAGATCTGTAATGAATCATCGTTATAATCATTCTATTGTAATTGATGGAGGTAATGGAAAGAAATTCGATAGAAATGATATACTTATTGGTACAACAACAACTCCTAAATTACAATTAAATTTCCTTGGAATGGGAGGTATCCCAGCTCATTTTAGTTTATTTGCTTCTGATATTGCTGTTCAGAATCAAATTTTAAATCAAGTTCATACTCAACAAAAGAAATTAATTGATAAATATGATTTATTTTCAATTGTTAAGTATGAAACTCGAAGATTTCATGGAAATAATAAGATTAATTGTGCAGTTCCATGTTATGGAGGTAAAAAATTACTTTATGGTACAGATACAGGAGTTTGGGTATCAACGGTTAGATCAATTAGTACAACATCTAATGAAAAAATTGTATCTGATCCAACTTTAGTTATTAGTAAAGTTAATGTAACTCAAATTGAAGTAGTAGTTGAATATTCAAAATTATTTATCTTGAGTGATAAAGTATTATTTGAATTTGATTTATCATGTACTGATTCATTAGATCATATTAAAAATACTAAATCTGGTAAACGAGTTATTGATCATATTTCATTCTTTAAAACCGGTATTCATAATTTTAAAATATTGGTTGCAGCTGCTAAAACTGGTAGTACTCATTCAATTAGTGTATTTGAAGTTACTAGTAATAAACAAGCAAAGGGTAAAAGACATGAAACTCCAGATATTAAAGAAATTTTATTTAATTCTGATCCAGTATCTATATCATTTTTAAAGACTCAATTATGCATTGGATGTACTAAAGGGTTTGAAATTATTTCTTTAGAACATAATAAGAAAGAACCAATTTTAGATGAAGCAGATCCTTCATTAGATTTTGCAACTCAAAGAGAACAAGTAACTCCATTAGCAATTCATAGATTAGGTAAAGAATTCTTATTATGTTATACAGAATTTGTATTTCTTATTAATAAGAATGGTTGGAGATCTAATCATGAATGGGGGTTTAAATGGGAAGGAATGCCTCAAAATGTGGCATTATTCTTTCCTTATTTATTATCATTTGAACCTAATTTTATTGAAATTAGAGATTTACATTCGACTAGTCTTTTACGAGCTTTAGTTGGTGAGAATATTCGATTCTTACATTCCAATGAACATGAAGCTCTTTATGCTTGTGAAGAGAATGGATATGATATTATTGTATCTATTGACTTTTTAAATCTTAAACTGAAGGTTAGTTCTCCATCTACTCCTATATTGGGTAGTACTAGTACTAGTACACCTACTAGTGCAACTGCTACCCCCACCAGTACTAATCTTATTAGTGCAAATTCTAATTCTAGTACATTAGTTGGTCCTCAATTTTGATGACTGTATACATTAATATATAATAATTTTAACTATAAAAGACGTATAACAACATTGTCTAAGTGCTACTAAAAGTGCTATGCACTACCAGTAGGTAATAAATACATTGTACTATACACTACTAATATACTACATACTACATAGTAATACTAATAGGTAGTACACAGTACTGCTAATACAATAAGCACTAAGTACTATGCACTAAGTACTTCTTTTTTCCGTGGCAATGAATGTCACACTATATAAACAATTGCAAAAAACAATTGAGAGAAACTATAAGCAGCTACTCAGTACAACTACTTATACACTAAGTACTGAGTCCTACTTAAAGTACTAATAGCACACTATGGTGGTATACTACTATACATAGTACTCACTATCAACTATCTCCTATCTATCCTGTAACCTCTATCCTCTACTTCCAAATATACACCAAAGCATACACCCAACATACGACATTTCCGACATGTCCGTTTTCACATGGACGCGCGCTCCTGTACACGGTTCCTGAATCCAACAGCAACGAAGAAAAAATTAAAATTTCCATGTTGATTTGGCTTAAGCCAACTACTACCGACTAATTCCTAAACCACTTAGACAAGCAACCATTCACTACCACCAAAATGAGTTTGATTGAAATTACTACTCCCAGTGTAGAGAGACCATTTGGTTTATACCTTTGGCCCATTTTCAATTTTATTTTTGATAAAGTAGTGGGATTCCCAGCCGATGAGTTTGAATTTGTTTATCATGAAACATTTTTAGCTAATGGAATTCATGCAATTAGTATAATTATTATTTATTATATTATTATATTTGGAGGTAGATGGATTATGAATGAATTTAAAATTCTGGCTTTTAAATTAAACTTTCTTTTCCAATTACATAATATTACTTTAACCATTATTTCTGGTAGTTTATTATTATTATGTATTGAACAATTAGTTCCAATTTTATATTATCATGGATTATTTTATGCTATTTGTCATGAAAAGGCTTTTACTCAAAAATTAGTTACTTTATATTATTTGAATTATTTAACTAAATATTTGGAATTAATCGATACCGTATTCCTTGTATTAAAGAAAAAGAAATTATTATTCTTACATACTTATCATCATGGTGCAACTGCTTTATTATGTTATACTCAATTAACTGGTTCAACTTCAGTTGAATGGGTTCCAATTACTTTAAATTTAGGAGTTCATGTAGTTATGTATTGGTATTATTTCTTAAGTGCTCGTGGTATTAGAGTTTGGTGGAAAGAATGGGTTACTAGATTCCAAATCATTCAATTCTTAATTGATTTAGTCTTTGTTTATTTTGCTACTTATACTCATTATGCAGCTTCTTATTTCCAATGGTTACCTCATGTTGGTGACTGTTATGGTTCGGAATTAGCTGCTTTCTATGGTTACTTAATCTTAACAAGTTATTTAGTATTATTCATTTCTTTCTACATTCGTGTTTACAAATCAAAGGATAATAAGAAGTCAGCTAAAAAAGTTGAAACTCCAGCCTCAGAATCTTCTGCTACCGCTACTGGTTCTACTACATCAGCTGGATCAAAAGTCACCAAAAGAAAGGCTTAAGCCTCTGGTATTTATTAGATAATTATGATTGAGTTCTTAAACTATACTTGTTTGAAACATAATCATAATCCTATACACATTCATATTCATCATCATTATCATCATCATCATCATCATCATATATATATATAGATAGATAAGTTCTCCATATCCCCCTAATCACAAAATGTTAAATTAATATACGTAATTTTCTAACCTAATTTTATAAGCCCTGATGTTGCAATATAATTACGCACTACTCTTTGCAGCCATTTCTATCAGTATATTTAATATTCAAATCGAATAAACTACCACTTAATGAAGAAATCTTATTTCTTGGGTATATTGTTTCACTTACCACATTAGAGAAATTGGAGTTCCTCGTTTTGGTGCCATTTCAAGTGACATCATGTAACTACTTCAAGTGACATCATGTAACTACTTCAAGTATATAAATAATTGAGTAAGCTTATTTATTAAAAAGCCAAACTTTACCGGATTACTCAAGATGACTAAAAACGAAGAACGCCCTTTAACTAAAGGAGAAAAGCTCTTTTTAATAATATTTTTGCCTATATTGTTTATATTATGGCTTATAGCTTTTACTTCTGAACACCCGGATAAGAAGGAGGAAAGGTTAGAACGTGAAAGAGCTGAAGTAAAAAGGGTTAACGACTTCTTTATTGACAGAGCCCAAAATTCACCTTCTTCTCAGACATTAAATGACAATCGGATTCCAGAAGATGAAGTAAACCAGCAGATCCCAGAACATAACGAAGCTCCTAATTTACCACCCCCAGTTTATAGAAGGGTATAATATACAAGAGGGTTAAAGGAAAAGTTGCACTTGCAGTCTACTAGTTATTCTTACCCCATTAGAGAAATTGGAGTTCCTCATTTTGGTGTCATTTCAAGTGACATCATGTAACTACTTCAAGTATATAAATAATTGAGTAATCAACTATAAACTTATCTATAGGCAACCAAACTTCATCTGATTACACAATGAGTAACACCGTTTTAATAATATTTTTCCTGTGTTACGTGCCGGTATGCTTTATAATATGGCTTATAGCTTTTACTTCTGAAGACCCGGATAAAAAGGAGGAAAGGTTAGAACGTGAAAGAGCTGAAGTAAAAAGGGTTAACGACTTCTTTATTGACAGAGCCCAAAATTCACCTTCTTCTCAGACATTAAATGACAATCGGATTCTTCCAGAAGATGAAGTAAACCAGCAAGTCCCAAACGACGAAGCTCCTAATTTACCACCCCCTGTTTATAGACGGGAGTAATATACAAGTAAACTATTACATTTGTAGCCTTTCACTTGGTGTCTAAGATACTGCTTATTGTTGCCTCATTTGAGAAATTGAAGTTACTTGTTTATGTTTCATTTAAATAACACATATAAATAATTGGGTAATTTTCGCATTTATTACATACTTTATTTGGTTATTACAAGACGACTGAAGAAGTCCCTGTAACTAAAGTAGAAAATATCGCTGCAAAAGCAAGTTTACTGTCTCTTGGGTTGGTATTGTTGATGTTTGCTTTTGATTGTAAAATAAATGTGGATAAAAAAAAGTGAAGACTAAACTTCGAAGGGCTGAAATAAAGACTTCTTCGCTGACACAGTCCAAATTGCATCTGCTCTAACAGACTATCGAATTCTTCCAGAAGATGAAGTAAGCCAGCAAGCTCCAGTTGATTATACCACCCCCAGTTAATAGAAGGATGGTAACATACCCGTAGGTTAATTACTAATTTTCATTAATTCGACTTATTATAATTTTGTACAAATAAAAGAATAAATCAAAAGATGTCTAAGACACTAGTCACTCCTACCTCATTTGGGAAATTGGAGTTGCTTGTTTTGTTATCATTTCCAATTTAATTAAGCATATAAATAATTGTATAATTTAATTAAACATATAAATAATTGAGTAATTTAATTAAACACATAAATAATTGAGTAATTTACTACAAATTTATTTATTAAAAACCCATACTTTGATTATTACAAGATGAATGAAAAGGAGACAGCCACTAAAGCGTTCGCAATTTTGGGATTAATAATACTTGGGATATGTGCGTTTATGTTGTTGGTGGTGGCGGCACTTCTCCTTTTATGTTGTTATTCTGAATTTGAAGACAAAGCCAAAAAAGCACCAGCTCCGAAGAGATTAAATGGCAATCATGAAGTAAACCAGCAAGTCGCATTAGATAATGTGGCTCCAAATAGACCACCCCCCGTTTATAAAAGGGGGTAATACATACACGTAGGCTAAAGGTTAATATATAAATCAAAAGTTAGTGTTTAAGACACTTATTCTTACCTTATTTAGGAAATTGGAATTCCTCTACACCAAATATATAACTTATTGAGTAATTGTATTTGTAGACGTCCAAACTTTATTAGTAAATACAAAGGACTATTTAATATTAAATGTCAAATACAAATAGATATAAGAATATTCTCAAAGAAATTTTCTTTTTTTACTTAGTACTGTTGCGAAAATTTGCAACTTTCAATCCTAATAAGCTCGAACAATTAAACTGGATAATTTGGTCTGAAACCATCTACTGCTACTAAATCTAACTATTTCCGTAAAAGTTCTTACTAAATATTGGACTTCGAATCAGCTCTAGTTGTCTAAGGTAGGAAGGAATTCGGATGTTACAGGTTTAAGAAATGGCAACAAACGACATTGTGCGGCAGAAAGTACGACATTATGCAACAAAGGAGAATCCAACAGAAGTATTTTTTTGTTTTATTTTGTACGGGTTTGAAGTATAGGAGAAAAATGCTTTAGCCGTTCCGAAACAAAAATTGGTTCAAATTAAAGATTAAAATTAAATTAAATTAAAATTAAAATTAAAATTAAAATTAAGGTGAAATAAAAAAAGAAAGTTTTGGGCTCACAGTAGTCTATGCTGGGTGGTATGACGAAAGTTGTCATACAACATGAAAATACGACATGTGTGTTAGACATAGGGCGGTATACAAACACACAAGTACAAAGTTATAATCCATACCAAGCCTTAACACTTAAATTCTGTACAATGATTAATAGAACATATATAATGGCTAATTATTTCAGTTCATTTCGCAATAAACAGGAAATCGGCGACTATAAAGAGAGTTTGCTGAAGTCATAATCTCGGCGAAAATATTTTTCCCTGCTGAAAATTACTGGAAACAGTTAAACTCCAGTGAGGATTCACCCATTACATCCATTACACAGACACTGTATTTAGGTGACACTATAACCATATTAGAAAACTTCTATAAGCACCTATTTTACCCCTTAATTATGAAAATCCTCTTTATCAAGGCTATGTCTCGTCTACAAGATTTCATACTAAGACTGTTACGGCCAAGAAATAGTAGCAGTATGGTGAAGCAATCGATTACATAATGATGCCCAAGCTCCCCCACACAAGGCTGTCTCATTTTTTTCTCACTACTTTTTTTGCTGCTTCACCATTCTCACAATTACTAAGAATTTCGTAATCATATGGAGTTATCGCCATTTATCGGAGATTATAATATAAGCGTGAAAATTATATAACAGTTGCAAACGATTCATGTGGTACTAGCTACCTACTTCTACTTTTTGACTTCAGGGTGTATCCCCACACATTAAACTGCTTGGCTCCCTTGGAATTAAGGTGGTCAGCCCACTAGCCAATTAGCTCATGTCTTGCGGCTGCCCTATCGCTCATTCACATACCAAAGCTTGTTTTATATTGACTATTTATTATATTGTATATATTTTATTTTAATTTTTGTAAATACCCCTATTCCTGATATGACAGGCCTCTTGCTTTAGATCTTTTCTTTTTTATTTAGTATATTTTTTTTAGATCATCCCAGATTGTTTTTTTTTTCCAGTAGTATTTTTTGGTGAACCTTTACAAGTGGGAAATTATCCATAGCGATTATGGTGAACTGATGGATTCTGTCGTATAGCTGTTTAAGTAAATAATTTAGTTGTAGTTAAAACATACATAATAGGGGTAATATCAAACAAAACAAGTTGTCAGTGATAGTACCGCGATAGATTATAATCGCCGAAGTTTAAATTACAATTAATAAATTTCTTCTGCCTCTGGCCAAACGGCTGAGACGGACAAGTATTTTACAACGAATGTCGCGCCGCGGGGTCCGATAACGACATCGCTTTACAGTTTACCTCGCTCTCACCGAGCCGATTAACTAAGCAGCCTACCCAATTTTGCGACATTTACGGCTGTACTTCAGCTGTAACACTTCCGCATTTGCTTATTCTTCCACCGCCTCCTAACTGGAAATAAACCTGTGCTTTCCGTATCCGCATTTACGACTTGAGTTCCAGTTTTGACATTACCCATATATAAATTTTGTCAAGTCCGCTATTTCGTTTCTTAGCTTTTCCTTTCTTTATCTACTTACTATTAAAACTACTACTACTATTATAACTATATAATATCTGTTCATTAAGGAGACATGAACTCGTTATTATCTTATCATTATCCTCAAGTTCAACCTCAGTACTCAGCCGTGGGCACCACCTCGGCCAACCTGGCCGGCCGCACTAACAATCTTAGTAATCCAACTGGACCAACTACCTTTAACGCGAACAATACAAAACTTCCTTCCATTCACTCGTTGGCGTTACCCACTAACGTCATAACATCTTCACATCCACAACCTCAACAGGCAGCTCCATCGGCCGTCGTTTTGCCGCCATTATTATCGTCCAGATTATCACCACCAACCATCAGTGCAAACGGTTCCGCATCATATTCACTGCTGTACACGACCTCCACCACTCCAAATTCTACTAGTAACTTAGCAACGAATAGTTTTAATGGTACAGCCTCTATTGCCACCGCCACCTCATCTATAGTCAGCAATCCTTCCATCAGTCCTGTAGGGTCGCCAAGCTACCAGCTCAACTCGTCATCATCTCCTTCATTTGTTAAATCCGAGCCTACTAGCCATACCCGAATCCCTAGTCCTTTATCATCATCGGTTTCTAACCTTTCATCAAACGATGACTCGGACAGTAATTCTAATGAGGCTGTGAATACCAGCTTTGAAGGTTCGGATGATAATGAAAATTCTGCTGGCAAGAAATGGAAGCCTAGAAAGAAGAGACAATGTCCCGAATGTAAATTATTCTTTTCCAACTTGGCAACTCATAAGTCCACTCATTTGAAGCCAACTTCCAGACCTCATATCTGCAAATACTGTAACCGAGGCTTTGCTCGTTCGAACGATTTGTTCCGTCATATCAAATGTCATTGGAAAGAGATCGGTAGCGATAAGGGACAATTTAAGTGTCCATTTAAGCATATGGAAGTTAGTGCTGAATCTACCACAGATGATAACTGTTGTCACCAAACGGGAATCTTTTCTAGATGTGACACATTCAAGAACCATTTGAAGGCAATCCATTTCCAATACCCTAATGGCACCAAAAAGGATCAAAGAACTAAAGTTGCCGGTAAATGTAGAATGTGTCAGACGGAGTTTAAGAATGTAGACGACTGGCTTTCTAACCACATCGAGAAGAACCAGTGCCCATTCACTGTGAATATGTTAGCCAAGGAATAAAGGTCGCATCATCATCAACATCATTATTATTTTATTATTTTTATCATTGCTCATTACTAAAAGGTCACTATTTATGGATTCAGGTGTTAAATTATTACTATTACTATTACATTTTTATGATTACTCTACTGCTACCACTGGTACACTATAGACTTTTTTTATACTCCTTCATTTCTCTACAGTTTCGACTGTCTTTGTATATATAGTTGCTTTCTTTCTTTGCTTAATAAAAGTTTCATGGTCTTCGAATTGCGCAGCCTCCGTAAGCTCGGTGATTATTTTAGTGGGAATCGATGTTTATAGAGAGATTTTCGGGTGGGGCTAAGCAGGACTACCGCTTACGTAATTCGCAGCTCAGACTAGCAGCCGTCGCTCTCATAGCGGTTGATGCGGCGCATGAAAACAAATGTCGTATAGGTTAAATTTCAAAAGCCAAGCCTGTCCTATCCGGATACACCAGTTTATCCGAAATCCAAACTAACAAGCTAAAAAGCTATCCGATCCATATATTGAAAAAGACCTCGAGTGAGACATTTTACGAGACAGCCACCCAGTTGATGAGGTCATAGTGGTAATATCGGTTGTACTGAGCCACTCAATTGAGTTTGAATTTGTAATTAGTGTCAGCTTAATTGGGTAGGTTGTAGAATAGAACGGATAGGGAAGGCCCCTTACCGTATATAGAGTATAAAGTGTAAAGTGTAGATTTTAAGCGGAGACGGATGGAGTTAGTCAGGATGGTGACTAAAGAGGCGTGACAGCAAGCCATTACGAGGGAGAGTGAAATAGGGTTAGTAAGCGGTTGTGTGTCGCGGTGGTAGACGGACTTAATTACAGCCGGATGTAACTGGTCCAGGGAAGAGGGACAACAGAGGGGCAGTAAGACAGAGACAACAAAGCTCAGATACATGGCCAGAATGACAGTAGATGTAGTAGTAGAGCAATTGAGTAGTAAATGAATAGACCGAGCCGATAGTCATAGTCAGTCTGTCACAATATCGGAAACAAGCAGAGCCAACAATATTCAACTCATGTGATTTCGCGGACGGTTCATTAAATCCGTACCACTCTTCTCTAACCATCATCACCAATGCTTAAGCTAGCTGCTAAGGTATTCTTTGTAGCATTACTTGTATCGTCCCACAAGACGGTTCCGTTTGCATACTTCTTCCGATTCTACTATCATGTGTTCCGGTCTTGGATATTTACTCGATTAGCGTTCTTATCCAATGCCCGAAAGAACACGAATGACTTACCGGATGGATTGTTTACGTGGATAACTCTTAGTACTCGAGTATCACCTCTTGAAATCGATATGTACATTCACAAATCGAATTCTACTTACTTTTTGGATTTAGATATTGCTAGAACTAAATTGGTGTTACGGATATTTCAAGCCACCTGGTGGAATCATTACGATAATATATCCAAAGAGTATAAAAGTACTGGATTAGCCAATATTCCTTATGCACCTATTGGAACTGTCAAATGTACTTTTAAGAAAGAACTTAAGGTATTTGAACAGTTTGATATTAAATCCAGGGTTTTTGCTTGGGATTCCAAATGGTTATTCATTATCTCCAAGTTTGTTACAGTTAGGAAAGGTCAAGAGAAGGTACATGCTATTGCAATGACTAAGTATGTGTTTAAGAAGAATGGTAGAATAACTATTAAACCAGAAGAGATGATTGCTGAAGGAGGATTCTTGACGGAAGAAGTTAAGAAGCAGAATGAGATTAATTATCAATTGGTTACCCATTTGGTATCGACTGATCAATTAGAGGAGTTGATATAGATAGATAGATATGGATTAGATAGAATAGACATATGGTTTGGATAGAGTAGATGTAGAGGGTAGTAGATGTAGAGGGTAGTAGATACATAGATAATGAGATATAGCAGAAGTTTAGATATCTATACATCATAGAGTAATGGAGTAATGGAGTTATAGAGACAGCTATAGATTATCTCTTGCTTCATCATTCTATTACTCTACTTCTAATAGTGCCCTAACTATTTGTAACAATAGTAACAAAAATAATGATAGTAACAAATACTCATTGAAACCACGAAAGTAAAAGTAAGTAGACTATACACATACTAACTATATAGTACTATTATACTTGTATTAAAACAGCTCAATTGCTACCACCATTAAAATATAACTTAAGGCTGAACGTATGACCAGTTTTTGTTTCAGTTCTCCTACCTCTGTCCTCATCCAAGTCTCCCACTTATAGTTAACTGTTCATTCTTTTATCGCTTATATAGGATGAGTTAACATTACTCAAAACATGTCTACAAAACGTATGGTTGTGGCGAAAAAATCCAACAAATCAGACCGCATACATTTATTGTTAAAATTACCTTAATTATGTTCAGTTATATGTTATATGTTATATGTTATAGGCAGGTTATATTTTGTAATATTCATAAATTAATCATACTGTAATGTTTAGGTAACTTAAAACATCAGCACCGCAACTAATAGCAATAGCGCCGCACTAAACTAAGTTTCAGTCGCACAATTTATCAATTTAATTTTGCAGCATATTTTCTCTTTTACCACAAAGCCTTTTTAACCGCCTAATTAGAATTATTGCTACTTTAAAAGCTTATAAACTTATGATGCATCGTTCAACTACCGGAAGTGGCCCAGTAGCTCAAATTAATGGTGGGGCTGCTCACGGCCCAGGAGCTCAAATTAATGGTGAGGAAGCTCACGGCCCAGGAGCTCAAATTAATGGTGAGGAAGCTCACGGCCCAGGAGCTCAAATTAATGGTGAGGAAGCTCACGGCCCAGGAGCTCAAATTAATGGTCGGGCTGCTCACGGCCCAGGAGCTCAAATTAATGGTGAGGAATGAGCTCAAATTAATGGTGAGGAAGCTCACGGCCCAGGAGCTCAAATTAATGGTGAGGAAGCTCACGGCCCAGGAGCTCAAATTAATGGTCGGGCTGCTCACGGCCCAGGAGCTCAAATTAATGGTGAGGAAGCTCACGGCCCAGGAGCTCCAGTTAATGGCAACAACAATAACAACAACAATAATGATAATGGTCCTCGTAAGAGAAGGGAAAAATTAAAGGAAAAGCTAAAAAAATGGAAGAAGGAAAGATTCAATAAATGGAAAGAGGAAAAGTTACTTAAAAGGGTCAAGAGACCCACTTTATATTTAGGAATAGTACTGTGTTTCTTCCAAATGTGGACCACAATTACAGATGCTGAAGCACGAATCAAAATCGTATCTGCTGTGTTCACAGCTCTTTTCTTTGCTTCCTCCTCCATTTTCTAATCAATTTGTGAAGCTTTCTTTAGTGATATTTACCTTCTGTGAAGTTTTCTTTAGTGATATTTACCTTGTATTGATGTTCATTAATAATATCAATTATTCTCCATTATCATGATAAGAATTACTCTCAGATATTATATACTTGTTGTTATTGATAAGAATTACTCTCAATTATTATATACTTATTGTTACTATTACATATTATTATATTGCTTATTCTGTAGTAAATCACTTCTACTTCTACTTCTACTTCCACTTCTACCACCTCTACATCTTCTCTACCATATCAGATATTATACATATACTTAGCTATAACTACTCACTACTCACTACTCACTACTCACACTAACTACTCATGCCAATCCAAACCCTTCATGACCCTCAGTAAGTGCCAACAACAATGACCCTCTCAATGTCTCATAAGTATCATAAGCTGGCAAATCAATTTGATTAAAACATGTATGAGATGATGGAAGTCTATCCACCAGACCATAATCTCGATGAATACTAAATTTACATGTACCATTGGCTCCACTCAATTCTTTAAATCCATTCAATGGAACTTTAGAAGTCCCCGTAGCAAATTGTAATAATTTAGCTCGTTCTTCATTATCAAATGATTTAACGGCTCTCCAAAACCATTGAATTTGAATTGATGATGGTGAATAATTATTATACACAGTATTCAGTTGCCAATCACTAACATTAATATCTGGTAATCCTGATATTAATAATTCTAATTCTTGTTCATCAAAGATAGCTATTAAATCTTTAGGAATTATTTCATGAAATCCAATAAGAAAGTTATCCATTTGATCACTAACGGATGTTTGAAGTCGATATTCAACTACTTTCTTAACATATTCATGTTTATTAGCTTCGGTTACTGGAATATTCCGGCCATTGGGGATTAAATCAATGACTTTATGTTCACCATAATCATCAGTTTCTACTGAAAAATCTTCAGTAATTACATCAGTAATATCATTTTCTAACATCCACATAAGGGATTTAAAGTATTCTAAATCAAGAGTTTCCATATCCTTAAGTGATACAGAAAATCCAAGAATTCGTTTATACACAGCTCTGGAAAAGTGACAATCTAAATAACTTCCATCATAAATAGCCTTCCCAATTATTCTTCCAATGAATTTAAAGAAGGATAAATGTTCAGGATTAATATATGATGTTCTATTAGGATGGAAAGTCGTTTCATCCGAAGCTACAGGAGTAAATAACGCATAATCAGGATTAAACATTTGTCGAGAAAGTACTTGATACCATTCTCTAGTTACTCCTCCAGCATCTACCCCGGCTTCTCCTTTAAAGTTAATTTCTAATTTAGCCTTTTTAAATTCTTCACTGGACTTAAAGAATAATGATCGGTAACTATCCAAAAACACTTGATCTCTACGAATGTTTATGGATAATTTACTACTTTCATTCTTAGCCGTATGGATTTGTCGATCAAAGTAATTCTTCTTATTATCAAATTCCAATACTCGAGGATTCTTAACAAGCATTCCAAAGGGTCCACTCATTAAATTGGCATTGGTTCGAACCATTTGATTAAGAATCTTCTTATGTTCATCGGTGAATGAAAAGAAGAGACTTTCAATGGGTTCCTTGGTGAAATCTATACGACGAGCTTCATATTTCGTAATCTCTCGATTACTACTTAATTCTTTAACTTTACTATGTTTACAAACCACCATAAGTGATTCAATTAATGGTAATAAAGCGGCTGCAACATTAGTAGATTCATTCCGTTCTTGAAGAATCCGTAAACAATCACTAAGGGCATCCCAAAGACTTCCAAGAGCCAATTTCCGATACAATCCTGTTAATTCTTCAATCTCGTCCACTGCTTTTGCTGGTGCCTTTGTTGGTACTTCTTTGTCTTTTGCTTCTTTCTCTTTCTCCTGCTCTTTCTCTTTTGCTTCTTCCTCTTCCTTCTTCTCCTTCGCCTTCTCCTTCTCCTTCTCCTTCTCTGCTTCTACCGACTTCTCCTTCAGTTCAAACATATAATCAAGCGCAGTAAGAATCCGCAAGAGTTTCAGTTGATCCGACAGCGCAGCACTAAACTTGGAGATACAACTGGTCACTGCACTTTCGATATCAGCCTGTAAATCTCGAGAAAAGGCTTGTAAATCGCCAATGATTACATGACCTAAACTAGTGGCTCTATCGGATAATTCATGAGAAAATACCGACTGAGCATGAGGAAGTACCGATAAGTTTTGCATAGCACTAATAGTCCGTCTGAAAGTAGCATTCGAACATTCATTAGCCGTTAAGATTTGAATGAATTGTCGATAATTCTTGGCAGGAATAGCAGGAGCCACAAATCCAGGACGTCGACTAAGAACTGGTAAGAGTTTAGTAGAAACTTCCATAACTCGAGCCAAGATATCCATAAACGTTTGATCATTTCGAAGTAAAGAATTGTCTAGAAGCTTAAGAAGAAAGTTAAGCGCAAACTTATGGCCTGCTTTAGTCCGTTTGAGTAAAGGATTCTCATGTTCACTAAGTAGAACTAATCGGAAATGAACATTCCGTTCCAAGATGAAATCAAGAGCTTCTATCAATTGAATACTAACAAATAAGATCGTACTACCGGTAGGAAGTACTGCTTTCTTAACTTCTTCTTTCCCCACAGCTTTAGCACTGATTTGGGCATACACCTTCTCAATGGCTCGTTGATTACTGAGTCCATCATGAAGAATAGCCACCAACAAATTAAGGAATTCAAGGCGGGATTGCTTGTTACGACAGATACATTCCAAAGTATAGTAAAGCGTATGACGATAACTAAGAGTTAGAGGAGCAAAGAGAAGCTTGACAAGGGCATAGACACCTGCTTTATCCACAAGTGGCGATGATAGAATCTTCCGACCTTTAGTATCTTTATCACTAGTGATCTCAGGAACAACTGGCTCCACTTCTTCACCTTCCTCCTCTTCAAACTCATCATCAAACCCATCTCCAAATGACTCCTGTTGAAGAATCTCTTCCCGAATCTGATCCGGTAAGGCAGCAAGGAAATCCGGATCAATCTCTCGAGTCTCGGCTCCTGTTCTCGCAGCATTGGCTCGTCTTTCTCGAACATGTTGAGTAAAGACTTCTTCTCGCATATCATCCGGTAATGCTTCAAAGAATTCGGGATCTATATCCGTACCACTGATATCCACTTCTCGTTCTCCTATCCGCACATACACGGGATCTAGTTGACTTGTTCCTGCTTCTTCTTCTTCCTCTTCCTCTTGTCGTTGTCTCTCTTCCTCAGCTCGTCTTTGACGTTCTTCTTCCTCTCGTTTCTGAACTCGTGCTTCACGTTCCTTACGAGCTCGTTCAGCAGCGGCTTGCTTCTCATGATACATAGTTAAACTATCGGATTCAATCACTTTGAAGATAGTGGCACCCACACGTGCCACCATATCCTCTTTATCATAAGGATAAAACATTTCAAATGTATCTAACCATCTCATTTTAGTCGATTGAATTTCGTCTCGATATCCTGAACTGACCAGTTTATCATGACGGTTTAATATGCTTTCAAATACACGTCCAAGAGAGTTCCGACCCACCGAATGGTCATTAATCTCAATGGATCCTCTTATCCCTCCAAGACTATCAAGTAATACGGCAAACGCCTGAGATCCTCGTCTGAGAGTAGCATCAAACATCGATGGAGGAGCATCTTCATCACTAACCTCTTCGGATTCGTCATCATCATTCAGTTCAATGAATGAATTCCGAGTGTCTCGTCTAATCCGTGCCGTACGAGGAGGCTCATCAGCATCCAGATCAATATCACTTGATTGCTGATGATGATGATGATGAACATCCTCTTCATCTTCACCTTCACCTTCGAGTTCAAGCTCATCGATGATCTCAATGTCATCCAATTCAGCATCCAGATCAATATCAATGGTAAATCCATCAATGGATTCATCCTCACTATCATCATCAATATCGTCATCGTCATCGTCGTCTTCTTCATCTTCATCATCATCATCTTCACTATCAAGTCCGGCCAAGATCTCTTCATCATCTTCACTATCATTCTCTAATGCTTCTATTTCAGAAAGATCAGATCCACTAACTTCTTCAACTTCTAATGGTCCATCTTCATCATAAAAGTCATCCAGTTCTTCTTCTTCACTATACTCCACATCATACATTCCAAGGGAAGAATTTCTAAATAAATCAGGGGTATCATCTCGAATATCTTCATCATTCTCATCCGGCACTGGTTGTTCAACTTCTTCATCTTCTCCACTAAAGTATTCGGAATATTTACTTTTAATTCTAGCCAATATACTTATAGGTTTTAAAGCCGATTTAGCCACTCTTTCAATATCAGGAAAGTTTAAATCGAGTGTGGCGATAATTCCCGTAAGCATTGAGGCCATACTTCGATCAGAAAAGGCTCGGCCCACATAGTATTGATCATACTTAACGGCCTGTTTATTGGTGAGTCTACCACTCTGTTCAAATTCTGGACTAAGCATAACACAACATACTTCAAATAAATCAAGTAATTTAGAATACTTGTGAACGGCTAGAACAGATTGACTGGCTATTTCTCGAATCAGTTTATGAACAAGTTCCACTAAGAAGCGACGAATACTTTCCATATCTCCATTCTCCAGTTTGGGATCGGGACAATTCTCACTATCAATGATGGGAGTAGCCATAAGACAATAAAGGCCAAGTTTAGCAAGTTTACTGACTTGACTACGTCTTTCTAATTCAGTTTCATTACCTCCAGTACCCCCTAATTCCAACAGTTTCGTAGGAATAAGTTGATAAAGAAAGAAATTAATGGCCGTAGGTCGAGGCTTGAGTTTATCATCTTGTTTCCGTTTGGAGAAGGTGACAAATTCAAGTTTGGCTTGCTTATATGAGGCTACAAGTTCAATAATCATTGCCAAAAGCAGACTGGCATATCGATAACTTGTATCGGTAGTTGGCCAATCAGGAGCCTTAACCACATTCATAAGTTCCATCACTAGAATATGCATTATCCCCGTCAGTTCTGGTTCTTCGGGTTCACTCATTATTACATCTTCTGATTGAGATGGTGATGATTTGACTCGTTCAATCATAAGTCGATTCAAATGTATAGGTGGAATACCATCATACCCTTCAAGACGGATATCACGAGCCACTACATCCACATAAGTAGAATACAGACGAAACATTAATGGACTCTGGTCCTTTAAGCATGTCTTCAACTCACGATTGGTTGAGTTTTGGAATTGCACAAGTGTATCATATCCAAAGAGTCCCTTAAGTACTTTAGTGGTTTCAAAACAATGACGAAGGACTACCACAATCACCAGATTATATCGACTTCTCCATTCATTTTCTTTATCTACACTATGACTCAATTGAATCAAACTCTTAAGTAACGAACTACTGGCAATTTGTCGAGCCAATCCTTCATCACTACTAAACAAAACAAGTAATCGAGCTATACGAAGAGCTGATTCTCGATTGGTTAATGATTCTATTCTCAAAAGTGATTCAAATACTTCCTGTTTACTCAACGTGCTGAGTCTATAAGGTACATCCAGTCCATGGAAATTGAGATCTTCATGATTACTCACTTCTACAATAGGTACCATACTATATACCACCATTTGTTCAATGATGGCAAGAGCATATGGAGCATACGGAACATTAAATGATTGAGAATCAGTCATTTCTTCAACATAGACTTGACGGAATTGTTCAAATACTCCACTATTGGATCGACTAGCTCGTTCATTCTTAAGGATATGACTTAAAGTATGAACACATGCCGCCGCAGCTATACTACTTCTATCAAGTTCAATGGCTTCGGTCATGACTCCAAATACACTACGAACAATCTCTTTAGAATCCACATAAAGCAGAAGAAACATCTCTGCAATCACAGGTACAGCCTTAGCATACTGTTTGGCTACTTCCATCCATTGTACGACAAACGTATCCTTTTCAGCCAATCGAAAGTATCGAAGTTGACTCGAAGGACGATACTGATCATGGGGTAAATCAAAGTCAAAGTCAGGAGCTGATTCATTAATGGCACTGGCATATTCCTGCCATTGACTAGTAGTAATATTCATTTGTGCACAAATACTCCAATTCCCCTTAGGAATATTACGAATATCATCATCATGTCTAAAGTAATGTTCAGCCTGAGATTCAGGCATTCCTAAACTTATTAAATAGTTAACTTGATCAAGCGGTGGAGATACATTATTGACAGTTAATGGTATAAACTCTCCATCCGTAAACTCCTTCTTTCCCAAGTAGACATTGACGGCTATTTTCACTAATTGATCAATGATTGGCGTAGGTATAACTCCATGAACATCAATATATTGTGGAGTTACTGATAATGAATCTGGACCTACTAGTTCCTTAAGAAGGGTTACAGCTATAAGTCGAAGTTGAATTAATAATGCCGATGTAACTTTATTCTCAATATCTTTACCATAACCTCGATGAAAGAAGAGTTTGGCAGCAGGTAAATTAAGATAACTATCACTATTAACTGCTTTAGCCATAAGTGCCAAGATTTGACTTAATCCATTTCGAACTATACTGGATTCAGCAATACTAATAAATTTAATTTCACTCGTGGATTGAACATCACTAACGGGCATTTCAAGCATATGACGCCAAAGTTGTGGAGCCCATTCACTAATCTTGGTAAAGAATCCGGCTTGAAAGACACTAATGGCCAATGGAGTCACAAGGTACTGTTTGCCTCGTTCCATTTGTGACATAATGAACGTAGTGGCATTGACATAGATAAGAATATAACAGTGTTGGAGGTAGACATCATCAAACTGCTTATTGAGTTCAACTGATAAGGCCTCTCCCAACTCAAGTGTGAGTTCAACCACTTGTCTACGCCAAGTCACAAGACTATGATCATGACGTTTATGCATGGCAAGTTTTCCAACGGCATTAAGAACTTTAGTAATTCCATTCTCAAGTCGATTATTTATAAATCGAAGTTGAAGAGCATTCTTATACTTGGCCGAATACCGGATATCGCCAATATCCGGAGGTGTTTCCTTATCGGGATCCTGACTGAAAATAGGTAATGGAGGATAATTTGGTCCTACATCAACTACTGGACGTGTAGCTTGTTCTATTTTATCCGGAAGTCGAGACCGTATAGCATTCTCTTCAACTATAGATCTTGCAAGGAGTTTTACCAAATCAGTGACTACCAGTTGATGGACAAGTAATGGAACAATTTGAAGAACTCGTTCATGAAACATGCTGGTATAATTAACATGAGTCAGGGAAAGAACTCGAATGAGGGTATTAAGAACATTAAGATGTTGAACAAGAGTCGTTGCATCAGAAGCATTTAATGTAGTAAAGTATGAAGTATCATTATTGGTATAATTAAGATATGATTGAACCAATGGATGTTTAAGATATTTATTAAGACTGGCAATAAGTACCGGTAATCCATAAGCTCGATCTTCATCATCAAAGAATTTAAGAATCACTTTAAGTTGATCAAAGCTATTGGAAAGAATATAATCATAAGGAGCATCTAATTCCAAAAATGAAAGCCATTGTTCAAATGGGATAGTTTCAAGAGCAGCTGATCCCCATTGACTATCCTGAAGAAGTCCCCCTAAGAAGAAATAAAGATTATCATAAGTAACTGACATTGATGAATTATCCCAAGTATTTACATCTTTCATTGTTGAATTGTTTGGGATTAATTCAACTTCATCTAATCGAGAATTATACATTGGTGAAGTATCATTATACCATTGAACCCCTTGTAATGGACATTTCTTAACAAATGCTTGTAATAATTGATTAGTGGCAGAAAGTACTACTGGTTTAAGTGATGTATGATGTCTACCTAATTCATCAAATGAACATCCTAAACTAGTAGACATATTTGCTTTAACTAATTTATCAGCAAATTGAGGATTACTAAGTGTCATAAGATAAGTTTCTATAGATTTATGATCAATTATCTTTTTCATTCCTTCTTTATTAAGACAAATTGCTCCAAGAACTTCCGGTAATGAAAGAAGTAAATTAGCTGATGGTAAAAATAATTTCTCATAATTTACAAGAATTGTATCAATAACTCCGGCTTCATTTAATATAGAAAATGCTGTAGGTTCATTATGAATAATATAAAACACACAATCTAACGTGGGAGATAAAATCGATGCACCAAATACATTTGGATTAAGTAATATAGTATTAAAACTATCAAGTAATGGAGAATCAAATAAATTCCGAAGTCTATCACCCGAATCTGTTTCAATTAAATCAGAAACTAATTTAACTAAATTCTTAATATATGCTGCTTGTTTATAATTAATACTATAATGAACAACAATATCAGTGGGAGGACCTCCATCATAACCTTCATTATTTAAAGCAAATTCCACTTCATATTGGATAGTATCAATTAATAATTTAAATCCATTTTTATTAGCAAATTCTTCAAATTGTTGTTGAACTGTCAGTAAATAAATCAGAGTATAATGAACAGCCAATGAACAGGTTGATCTATAAATAGTTTGAATATTAAAGAATGATAATAAATCATTAAGAATGCCTCCTGCCGTTAATCTGGAAGCTAAAAATCGAGTATTAATAAGACTTCCAATAATATTAAAGAATCGAATACTAGCCCATTCATGATATAATGGATCATTATCTCGAACTTGTTTATTAATACTTCGAAGACATTGATATAATAATCCATGACTAACATTCCCTCCTAAACATCGAATTATATCCGATCCCCAAGCCTTTTTTAATGATATACATTCAAGAGCTCTTAAAGCTGCAAATAAAGTATTTTCATTAACTTTATTACTATTATCAGGATTAATTAATTCCACAAGAAATGTAAAAATATATGGTTCAACTTCAAATAATCTTGTAGAAGTAAACAGTGCTGGACACATACAACTAAGAAATCCAATTGAATAACATTTCATTTGTAATAATCTCTTTCGAAGTTTTAATGCTTCATCTGAATTTGAATTAAATGCTTTGGCAATATAAACTACAAGAACAAATTCAAACCATGACTCCTTGGGAATCACTTCAGAACCCTTTATAAAGATTTGTTGAAGGTCCATTGATCGAACGGATTCTTCAGACATTACAAAGGTATGAAGACCTTCCAGTTCAGCCTTTCTCAGTCGATGTTCTTCTTGTGGATATGATCTATAATAAGAATAATTGATCAGTTTCCAACGATCGGGATACTTCTTCTTGGGATTAATTGTATCAATCCAACTATAAAAGTCTCCAATGACATTAGGTTTAGTATCATCATCATTTTCATGATTCTGGTCTTCTTTACTTTCTTCATTATCTTGAATTTGTTTAGCATAGTTTGGTGGAACTCTCGGAGGGAAACACCTTGCCATACAAAGTACTAAATGCTTAGCAGCCTTAGGAGCAGCAAACTTCTTTGAAGATGTTTCACAGAACTTCTCAGCAAGGATTTCTGCTACTCTTAAGGCTGCTAATTTCACTTCAAAACTTGCACATTTTATAAGATGATAAATCCTTTCTGAACTGGCATAGAGTTTCTTGTCATTGGAATATTCAAGTAAATTGGCGGTGAAATTAAGACATGACACTGCCATTTCTTCATCAGGTGGATCAAGAATGAGCATTCTTGGATTCTCATCCTCAATTAACCAGGTATCTATAATAGTCGCTAAAATTCCATCTATACGATTAAGTACGGGAACCCAATCAGCAAGATCGCCCTTTGGACCATCATACGCTGATCGAGCTCGAAGCTTATCCGGTAAAGTGGAGATATCACAGCTCGACAAATCAACTATGGTGGCTGTAAGCGCCGGTGATATGTCGCTCATGATGCAATTGAGTTATACTGTAATATTATTGATGATGTTAGTTATTGGTGGTGGTGATTTATGACGGTCATAGTTAAGTAGGATTTGTAAGGCGATGGCGGTGTGGATGTTTTGCTGCATATGTGTGCAGGAATATGGTATTGAAAGGTTATAGTTAGGGCTGGAAGAAGAATTAATAGACAGATATATTACGAGTAGCAGTAGTGAGTAGAGATAGTTATGAGCGAGCGAGAGCAGATAAAGCGACGTGGCCCGCCACAGGCCACGTTAGAACGAGCTCAGGCTCGACTTAAGAGAGCGAAGGCTGGTGGGAGTGGTTCAGGTAGTGGAAGTGGAAGTGGAAGTGGAAGTGGAAGTGGAAGTGGAAGTGGAAGTGGAAGTGGAAGTGGAAGTGGAAGTGGAAGTGGAAGTGGAAGTGGAAGTGGAAGTGGTTCTGGTTCTGGTACTGGAGGTTTAAATATTGAACTTCATCCATTACTACGTACTAATGCCCGTGGGTTTGCATCCTCCTTCAATCCCTACCTAAATCATACTGGCACCATACCAAAACGGTCTCTCACTTTCAATGCTCCCGGAAAGTATATAGAGCAAGCCAATCGGGTTCGAGATAAGATACGAAGCGAAGAAGAAGAACGACGTAAACTTGAACTTACCAAATCTAAAGGATTAACTCCTGATGTTAGCTTGGCTGAACACTTGTATAAACTTGTTCCTCCTCCTCCTGTAGAATGGTGGGATCAACCATACTTACGAGATAGATCGTATGACATGATAGGAGATGTTAATCGAGTGAATGCTGATAATGATATTCAACCAGTATCAATATATATTCAACATCCTGTACTTATAAAGGCTCCATGGCTTAATCATGAAGCCGATGCTAAACCAATGATGCTTACCAAGAAAGAAATGAAAAGAATACGAAGAAATACTAGACAAGAGTTACTTAAGGATAAACAAGATCGAATTAAATTAGGATTGGATCCTCCTCCGCCTCCTAAAGTTAAATTATCTAATTTAATGAATGTATTAACTAATGAAGCTATAAAGGATCCAACATCAGTAGAAATAATGGTTAAACAACAAGTAGAAGAAAGACTTCAGAAACATCTTCAAACCAATGAAGAGCGGAAGTTGACTAAACTTCAAAAACATGAAAAGATTCATGCCCAGCATGAAAAGGATATTCAAAAGGGATATCATACAGTAATATTTAGAGTTCATAATCTAGAAAATGGTCAGCACCGATACAAGATTGATATCAATGCTAAACAATGTGAACTAGTAGGGATTTGTCTTCAGAATCCACGGTTCAATTTGGTTATAGTGGAAGGAGGTGAAAAGAGTATTAAATTTTACAAGAAGTTAATGATGAATAGAATTCAATGGGACCAATCAGATCGTAATAAGTGTGACATTGTATGGGAAGGACAACTTTTGAACTTGAATTTCCAGAAATGGAGTTTTATGCATACATCTAACGATGAAGAGGCTATCGGTCTCTTAGAGAAGTTTGGCTTGACTAGTTACTGGAGTCAAAGTATAGCGTTAGATAGTTAAGTAGTAGTAGTAGTAGTAATAATAATAATAATAATATAATGTCGCACTTTTGTGGTAATGTCGTATACTGCTCATGTCTCGCACCAATAGTGTTGATGCACAAATTGAAAAATCGACTCGGTAATGTTGACTGGCCGCTTAGTTAACTGACCAATATATATACGAAATGGGTGCTGCTTATACAATTTTCGGAAGACAAGTTCCTGCTCACATTGTAAGTACTATAAGGATTGAAAATTAGTGAGAGGTTTACTAACTGTTTTAGCTTTCAATTGCTACTTTAGGATCGGTCGCAGCTATTATAGCTTGGCCAAAAGGTGCCAAAGAGGCTACACCATCTGCCACTCCAGTTGCACCAGTTGTTCAAACTAAGGAAGATGACTTTGATTTGGAAAAGTTCATTAAGTAAGTATATTTATTTTTATGTTTGTTTGTTTGTTTGTTATTTTCGAAGTGGTACTAACTATTGTAGTGACTTATCTAAGGAAGAATCTAAGTAGGGAGGTAATGCCAATGATATATTGTCAGTAGAATTACGACTATAATTGAATATATATTATGAGATAAGATTAGTATAGAGTTCAGAATGATGCTGGACTATTGTATTAGATTGTAGAATATTGGATTGTAATGTAGTACTAACAGTAGATTGTAGTACTAACAGTAGATTGTAGTACTAACAGTAGATTGTAGTAGTTTTGCAATCAGTTATACTGCTCCACTAAGCTGCATACGAATCTACACTAATTAGATCTAATTAGATCTGTGATTTGATGTCTTCCTTCTAACTATTGGATTACGCACATTACTAATACTCTTTTCACATCTACTAATCTCTCAGTGACAATACACAGTCACACTAGCAATATCCATTGCTATCAGTATCACTATCAGTAACACTATCACGGCTATCAATTCAGCCTCTCACTAGTATAAATATTTTGCTACCTACCGCATTAGGCAACTTGCCACACATTATCATTAATAAGCACTGTTTGGATTCCGGATTGGGCAAGTGTCCTACACGTCACACTAGACACAATTTCAATTTCAATTTCATTACTGGACGTGTACTCCATCATCGGCTCAAACACTACGGTTACCACTTACATTCTACATCAATTGCTATTACACTATTATCATCGGGACACTACTAATACAATCGAATTACTACTACACTATTATAGAATTATTTTATTGTAAGTAGGACCACCACCAAATTTAATCTAATGACAGCGATGGCATCCCCGAGGCGGAATAGATTAACTTACAGACACCTCTCCCACAGGGACAGATTGTACTGATTGAGTAACACACGTCTGTTGTGAAATTAACTGTTCAGGATGAGACGCATCGCGCGTACATATAAGAATTGAAAATTGAAAAATTGTAAACAAACCCATCGATGATTACTAAGACGCGTGACTCCACCACTGTGCTATTCGGATAAACTGTCTAATAAACCTCATAAAATACCTAAAGACAGATCTTTCAAATCAGGATTTGTTTACATTATTTATATTTATTGTTTACAAACGCAACTTCTTGTCCACAGACACGTCCATGACCCACCCTCTAATAAATTTTTACTATAAACGCGTTGGCATATAAATATATCCAACATCCTCGACCATTTCCAATTCTTACTAAAGTTTTCCTTTTCAAATTAAGCGTCTTCCTCAACTACTAATAACTACTTAATAATCATGTACGTGTTTAAGAGAGATGGTCGTAAAGAACCAGTTCGTTTTGATAAAATTACTGCCCGAGTGCAAAGATTATGTTATGGATTAGATCCAAATCACGTTGATGCTGTTGCCATTACTCAACGAGTCATTTCCGGAGTTTACCAAGGAGTGACTACTATTGAATTGGATAATTTGGCTGCTGAAACGGCCGCTTATATGACCACCATTCATCCTGATTATGCCATCTTAGCCGCAAGAATTGCTGTATCTAATTTACATAAACAAACTACAAAGCTTTATTCACAAGTTAGTAAAGAATTATACGAGTATGTTAACCCCAAGACGGATTTACATTCTCCTATGATTTCCAAGGAAACTTATGATATCATTCAAGAACATGCCGATGAATTAAATTCTGCTATTGTTTATGACCGAGACTTTAATTATAATTATTTCGGATTTAAGACCTTAGAGAGATCTTATTTATTAAGAATTAATGGTAAAGTTGCTGAAAGACCTCAACATTTAATTATGAGAGTGGCTATTGGAATTCATGGTAGAGATATTGAAAGAGTCATTGAATCGTATAATTTAATGTCTCAAAGATTCTTTACTCATGGATCTCCAACGTTATTTAATGCTGGTACCCCAAATCCGCAAATGTCTTCATGTTTCTTAGTGGCCATGAAAGATGATTCAATTGATGGGATTTATGATACTTTAAAGACTTGTGCTTTAATTTCAAAATCAGCTGGAGGTATTGGTTTACATATTCATAATATTCGTAGTACTGGTGCTTATATTGCTGGAACTAATGGTACATCTAATGGGATAATTCCTATGGTTCGAGTATTTAATAATACTGCCCGTTATGTAGATCAAGGAGGTAATAAAAGACCCGGAGCCTTTGCGTTATACTTAGAACCATGGCATTCCGATATCTTTGATTTTATTGATATTAGAAAAAATCACGGTAAAGAAGAAATCAGAGCTAGAGATTTATTTCCTGCTTTATGGATTCCTGATTTATTTATGAAGAGAGTTGAAGCTAATGCTGAATGGACTTTATTCTCTCCTAATGAAGCTCCAGGATTACCTGAAGTTTATGGAGAAGAATTTGAAGCTTTATATGAAAGATATGAACGAGAAGGTAGAGGTAGAAAGACCATTAAAGCTCAAAAATTATGGTATGCTATCTTAGAAGCTCAAACTGAAACTGGTACTCCCTTTATGTTATATAAAGATGCATGTAATGAAAAGACTAATCAAAAGAATTTAGGGATTATTAAATCTTCTAATTTATGTTGTGAAATTGTGGAATATTCTTCTCCAGAAGAAGTGGCTGTTTGTAATTTAGCTTCTATTGCCTTACCATCATTTGTCGAAAAGGATGAGAATTCTTTATGGTATAATTTTGAAAAATTACATGATGTTACTAAAGTTGTAACTAGAAATTTAAATAGAATTATTGATAGAAATTATTATCCAGTTCCTGAAGCTAAGAATTCCAATATGAGAAATAGACCAATTGCTTTAGGAGTTCAAGGTTTAGCAGATACATTTATGGCTTTAAGATTACCATTTGATTCTCAACAAGCAAGAGAATTAAATATTCAAATCTTTGAAACCATGTATCATGGAGCTGTTGAAGCATCTATTGAATTGGCTCAAGAAGAAGGTCCTTATGCCACTTATGAAGGATCTCCAGCTTCTAAAGGTCAATTACAATTTGATTTATGGAATAGAAAACCTACGGAATTATGGGATTGGGATGCCTTAAAGGAGAAATTAGCTAAACATGGTTTAAGAAATTCTTTATTAGTGGCTCCAATGCCTACTGCTTCAACTTCCCAAATTTTAGGTAATAATGAATGTTTTGAACCATATACTTCAAATATTTATTCTAGAAGAGTTTTAGCTGGAGAATTCCAAATTGTTAATCCATACTTATTACGTGATTTGGTTGATTTAGGAATTTGGAATGATGATATGAAGAATAATATTATTTCTAATAATGGATCTATTCAATCATTAACTAATGTTCCTGATGAACTTAAAGCGTTATATAAGACGGTATGGGAAATCTCTCAAAAACATATTATTGATTTGGCCGCTGATAGAGCTGCTTATATTGATCAATCTCAATCATTAAATATTCATATTAAAGATCCAACCATGGGTAAATTAACTTCTATGCATTTCTATGGATGGAAGAAAGGGTTAAAGACTGGTATGTATTATTTAAGAACTCAAGCTGCTGCAGCTGCCATTCAATTTACTGTTGATAAACAATCAGTATTAAATGCTGGTAATACCATTGCTTCATTAGAAAAGCTTAATAAGAGAAAGTATATTGCTAGAGGTTCAACCTTAGTAGAAACTGAAAGTGATGCTACTACTAGATCTCCATCTACTGAACCAACATCAGTAGAAAATTCAATTGCTGAATTAAAGATTGATGAGGTTGAAGTTAAACCTAAGCCAGTAGTACCAGTAGCTGAACCAGTAGCTGAATCAGTTACTGAAAAGGAAACTACTGAGGGTCCATCTACTGAACTCACCGAAGAAGAACAAGATATCTTCAGTTCTAAAGTCATTGCCTGTGCCATCGACAATCCTGAATCATGTGCCATGTGTTCTGGTTGATTTAGGTTATTCATTTCGTTCATTTCTCTTTTTGTATACTATGTAATTGTCTCTTTATTGTCTCTTTCATTCCATTAATAATACGTATCGTTTTGTTATCATAGTCCGCATCGGTTAGGTCGCACCGGTTCAGCCGAACCCCTTCAAAATACCTTATTTCACTATTTTATTTTTTGTATTACTGTATATTATTTTTCAATTTTCTTACACCCCCTTGGTAACCCCCCGTTGTTAAGTTACATAACCCCCATCTCAGTAAACAATAAAAATTGTCGTGATACTCTGATGCGTATAACTAACAACGACAGTGTTAATGATAACAATACTAAAAATTATCCTTCTACCAGTGAGTCTATACCTTTACAAACTTTAGTTGGCCACGCTTCATCGCTGCTGCTGTCATTGTCTCCAGGTGCCAAAATGTCGGATTCCGAATTGGATGATGACATATTGTTACCTACTGACTATGACCAATCATGGTATAGTAAATGGATATCGGTAGCTCATCTCATATGGAATGGTCCAGACATTCCTCGAGATGATCCACCGCGAAGAATCCAAATTTTTAACAGTTTTGAAGATATTCCCCATCGAATTAATCGTTCTTTACCACACGGAGTTAAGGTCTCGATCTTATTCTTGTACTATGTATTTTGGTTTGGATTATGTTATTCCATAATTCAACCATATTTATCGTATCCTCCGGCGTTAACAGATGATCCAGAAGTCACTGTGATTTCATTATCTTGTTCAAGTCAGAATGGATTCTGGAAGGGCAAAAATGGTGCTTGTGGTTTAAATGCTGAAGCTTGTACAGTTCCTGAGGATCGAGATATCATCTTTAGATGTCCTGCTTTATGTGATAGGGGTAGTTGGACTTATTCATTTCTCCCTATAGGTGATCAAAATGTAAAATATCGAGGTTACTTTATCGGAGGTGGAGATGATGTAGTAGATAAATTAGATTCTGATCAAATTTCGAATCCTTATCGAGCAGATTCTTATCCATGTGGAGCTGGAGTACATTCTGGAGTGATATCTCCATTCTATGGAGGTTGTGCTAGAGTTTCTTTCAAAAGTGGAGTTCAAAGTATGTTCCCATCTACTAAAGGTCATTACGGAGTTAGTGACTCGATTGAATTCTTATCCTTTTTCAAATCTTCATATTTCTTTAAGACTTTAGGCAATGGTCATTTGACCCACTGCTATGATCCTCGATTATTGGTGTTATTCATCAATGTATTGTTAGGACTTCCAATAGTTTTTCTAGCTAGTGGAACAGTAATATTTTGGACAATTAATGTAGTTGGATTCTGGACTATTACTTTGGCTACTGATCCTCCTATTGTGGTTGATGCTACTGATCCAGAAGGATTCGCTAGTTTGGTATCTTTGGGACTTGAAAGGTTTCTTCCTGCTTGTTGTATACTTTATGTGTTATGGCATAGTTCAACTAAGAGAACCTTATTGATTCCTAATGATACTGAATATGAATCTTCACCCTTAAGTAGAGTTATCCTTTTCTATCCAATGTTTTGGTTAGGGATATTAAACAATGTAACCTTTGATAGATTACCTGTGGATAGGTTAACACTATCTGACCTTAAGGCACAGAGTGGAGCTTTATTAGCTGTTTCCTGTATAATTCTTACTATAGCTTCATGTGCTATTATTCAAGCGTATAAGATTTGGTTATCAGGTCGATTCACCAAATACTTGGTCATATATGCTAGTTTTGTAATATCGTTATTCTTAGTAGCACTGTTGCCTGGATTGAGTCTTAGGATTCATCATTACATATTGGCAATGCTCTTAATACCAGGATGTTCAACAAGAGGCAGAACTGCTTTATTGTTCCAAGGTATTCTATTGGGATTATTTCTTTCTGGAGTAGCTCGATGGGGATTTGCCTCTATAGCTGAAACTATCACATCTTTGAAGAGAGATGATCCTGTTGGGAGACTCTTGCCGCCAGATTTCCTTGCCTATAATGCCACCAGTGGCAATCTCCTGTGGCAAGGTATTACGGATGATTTACTTTCTCCAATAGATAGAGTACTCTACGAGAAGTATTCGTCCATCTCAGTTCTAATCAACGATATCGAAAGATTTGTTGGTTCTCAAGTTGAATCGTTTAATCTTAAGGAATTGTTTGAAACTAGTACTGATTTAAAAAATGAGATATCCCATAGTTTAGCCACTGGCTTTAAAGATGCTGCTGGCAATATATTAATTTACCTCCGGATAGGTAGAAAGATTCCAGGGACTCATATATATAGTGATTTTTCTAATGCTGCGATATTAAAATGGCCCAGTGGAGAGTTGGAGCTCCCTGTGCCTGGACTTACATAGACATAGATAAAATACAGGTTATTCAAATAGAACGTTAAAGTTAGAGACTCTTGTCTGTAGTATCTTATTTGGTAGCGCATCGATAGCCTAGGCAGGCCGAGGCTAGCCGGGGCCGCCGCCGCACAGTTCCCCATTGGGCCAGGGCCCATTTCACCTGCACACAAGCCCCGCCTTTTGTAAACACTTTGCATCAATTGCTAATTGCTCTTTATTAAACTTCATACTATAAGCCCATTAAACTGTAATGATCTCACTCAGAGGCGGTACCAGTTTGGGCAATCTATTGCGGTTTGCCATAGCCGTTGAAAAAGTGGTTAATTTAAAATGTGTACGTGATTTTTCATCAGGAACAATTATTGCAAAAAGTACAGACTCGGCTCCGAAGGCTCGAGTTAAATGGTATTATGCTACTGATGTTCCTATAAGTAAACCAGAATGGTTCAATTACCAACGAGAAAAGGAGCCAGAGAAGTTTCTTCCCTTTTCGGATTATGACTCATCTAAGTTGGAGAATGAGTATCAGAAGCTGTTGGCGGAAAGAGATGAACTGAAACTGAAAGTGAAACTAGAACTGGAACTGGAACTGGCACTGGAACACAATGAGTTGGTTGAAGTTAATGAGGATAAATTGTTTCAAGTCAATCTCGTTGAGTTTACATTGTCGCCAGTATATTGGGATGGTCCAATTTATGAGGTTAGGAGAGGAACATGGTTTGGAACTGATGGAATTCCGTTGCCTATGAACGTATCTCAACTTATCGAGAAGGGTTATAGAGATATGAAGCCGTATTTATTTGAAAAACACGAGGCCGAGAAGCCTAACAAGGAAGTACTCACTGAGTTTAATAAGTTGAAAGATCAAATTCGAGAAGATTTTGCTGCCGAAGTTGACATTTCTCAAGAGAATGACCTACTTGATCTTCAGAATGGGAATTGGGTACTCTTCTACGATGATAAGGATGCTGTGATGTTCCCTGCCACTATGAATTCCAAATATCAGGTGGGTGTCATTCGGAAATTCGGTCCCAGTCCTATATCACTTATATCTGTTACTCCTATTAAACGAGGATACACGGACGATTTAGGAGAATCTATCATTGATAAGATATCATCGAATGTTCCCAGCTTGACTGACACATTCCAAACAGAATTCCAAGGCATATTTCTGAAGGCATCAACTTCAGAATTGCCCTCAGATGATAAAGTTAACCGTGAACATAAAGGTCAATTGGAAACTGATTATGATCATGATACATCAGGCAAGTCTTCTAATAGAGAAATCGATCATTTAATCCTTTGCATTCATGGTATTGGCCAGGTCCTTGGTCCCAAATATGAATCGGTCAACTTCACCCACAGTATTAACGTGTTACGTCATACTATGAAATCTGTATTTCAATCCGATGACTCCTACCAAAAGCTCGCCTATCCTAATGGATCAGACCCTGATATGACTAACAATAGAATTCAGGTATTACCAATATCTTGGAGACACAAGGTAGATTTCCATCCCAATAAGCCATTTAAAGTGCTTGACAAACAGGGAAATCCCAAGCTCCCTACATTATCCCAAATCAATGTGGATGGTGTCAAATCATTAAGAAATATGGTAGGTGATGTCGCCCTAGATATCTTGTTATACTACGAACCACATTATGCTGCACAAATCTTTGAAGCTGTTATATCAGAACTAAACAGAGTGTATAAGCTCTACAAGAAGAGAAATCCGAATTTCAAGGGTAAAGTTCATATCTTAGGCCATTCTTTAGGCTCCGCCATATCCTTTGATATTGTTTCCAAGCAATCGGTTAACCTGGACAGTGATATAGATGTTTCAGGAAAATTAGACTTTGATGTTGAGAACCTATTCTGTGTTGGATGCCCTGTTGGTGTATTCAAACTTTTGGAACAGAAGAATATTGTAGCTCCATCTCTTCTTAATAAGAAGGATCATGAGAGTTATGCTTCTCCAACATGTACTAATCTTTACAATATCTTTCATCCCTGTGACCCAATTGGTTATCGAATGGAACCATTAGTATCACCACAATTTGCTCAATACAAGGCAGAACCTGTAGGATTTGCAGTGAAGGGATTCAATACTCAAATCAAAGAATTGGCCAGTATCAGTGATGGAATATCCGAGAAGATATATAAGGCATCTGGTTGGTTTAGTCGTAAAGATGACAAGACGACTAATGAGAATGCCCTCCGAGACATTGTGACTTCAGTATCGTTTGGAGATCGAAAGAAGCCAGAGAATAAGCACAAGTCCCAGAAAGTAGAACTCAGTGGACCCCAATTACAGCAACTAACGGAGCTCAATCGAACTGGAAGAGTAGACTATTGTCTACCCATGGGAGTGTTTGATTTCTCACTTATATCTGCTGTCAGTGCGCACATTTCTTACTTTGAAGATATGGATACTGCTGGTTTCATCCTTCGAGAAGTCTTATCGGTGGATAAGGCTAAGGTGCACAGTAAAATATTTATGACTGTTAATTAATGATTTATATACTATACTACTAATATACATACTATGCTATACTATACTATTCTAAGAGTAAATCGTCAATAGATTGCTCAGCATCGTGCTTGATTAATTCCAACATTCCTTCTGGTAATATGGGCTCGCCTGCTGAATCTACAATGTATCTGAATGGCATTTCCGTAGACTCATACTTATTGTATCTGATTTCAGGATAATCAATGAATTGAATATCTTCAAACTTAGTTTGATCCTGAACAATCTTCTGAGTGGTTCGGATGGCTGTATCGGTAGTCATCTGTAATGCACCTAATCTTCTACCGGCAAATCCATACTTTTCTCTTAACAATCCTGTTCTATCAATCCGAGGATGCGATCCCAATATACCTCCAAATACAAAGTAGTCATACGTTTCACTATCGGACGGAACCAACTCTTCAGTAGCGGCTGGATCCAACAAACATACTTTAGACTTATCGATTCCTCCTTCTATATCTACACATTCCTTTGTAGTCCATTGAAGACCCAATGAAAGTAATGCCGGTGGGATGTCCCTGTCGGTAGTTCCTGCTGGAAGAGAGGTAAGGATTAAGTTTTGTTTACCGACTTCTCTGATGATCTGGGAGTATTCCAAAATCACCCATTCGGAGAAACCCTCCTCCATATGCTCTATTATGTACTTCATGGCTGGTAGTTGTAGTTGTAGTTGTGGTTGTAGTCGCTGTTGGTTACTGGTTCAAGATCTAAATTTTTCAAGCGGAGATGGGTGCGGCCGCATTTATCGTTACAGTACTACATGGTAGCGCTGACTAAGGATTTATTATCAATTATCAATTATCAATTATAAATTAACATATATAAGAAAAGAACAATTAGGGGCTATAACACAGGCGACTCATTTGTGAGCACAACAAGAACCGGAAGATTCAGTAGCACTAGCGGCCGCAGAGTTGAAAGCCAATCGAGAAGTCTTATCAACATTCAAAGAACAAGAATCAACGCCAGTATTACCGGCCTTAACTTCGGTAGTGGTCCTAGCATATGATGGCTTGACGTCCAACACGGGATTCTCAGTAAAGAAATGTCTTGGTCTAAGCATCAACTCAAAGATCTCCGTAGGCATGACTGGGAAATCTTCAGGGGCAGGGAAATGGGTAATACCAAAAGTATGGAAGAATAAGATATCTGTATTTTCAACCGGTTCTGAACCATCACCAATCCATTGTCTCATCCCTCTGGCTCCATCTCCACTCCATTGAGCCACGTGATCACCCGATGGATATAATCTACCATAACCAAAATCTTCATCTTGATAAGGAACAACTTCAACGGAGTTAACGGCCCATGGAGCTCTCTTGCGAACTAATGAACCTTCTTGAGCTAAGACTGGAGGACAGAAAGTAGATACTAATTTGTAAGAGGCTGGTTTACCGGAATACTTATTAATCGATGAAGGATTAAAGATATCCCATGATCTACCGGTCGATGATTGGTAGTCGGTTAATGAATCCTTAACCGTCTTAAAAGTAGATCTTTCTGCATAGAACGCATTCCCATACATATTCTCTTTACTACCAAATGGGAATGGAGATGGTTTAGCATCACTGACGGCTGCAGAATTGTTATCTCCATCGATTCTTGGATCAAGTCTTAAAGAAAACAAGTGTTGATGATTATGAGCATTCACTTGCGGATAAACAATGGTTCCCCATGGGCCTGCGGATTCACCTTCGGCCGCAATATAAGTATTCAAGATCCCGGTTAATCTAACTTCTAATTTAATGGTTCCATCTTGTCTAAAGATCCAGTACAAACAGTATTCATAATTGGCGGCCGTAAAGATTTGCGACACAATCAATTTCTTACCTCTGGTAACAATGGTGGTCTGGAAATCGTCTCTGAAATCCGAATGTTTGAAGAGTAATCCGTCATCCTCTTCATGAATACATACGGCATTCTTAACGGTTGTTGGTTCCCCATTCTTGTTAGTAAAATGAGCATCCAAATAATGAATCACCCCCTTACAATCACACCCTAAAGATAAAGGGTTTGTACAGTTACCAGCACCATATTCTCCAATATCCAACGCATGCTTTCTTTGATGAGGAAAGTCGGGACTCCCGTAGGGAACAATCATTTCGGAAAGAGAGATTCTATGAAAGATGGGTCTGACTTTTCCATGATCATTATACGTTAAATCACTCAACACTAACCCCTCTCTGTAGTTGAACCCCACATGGAATTGGAAATTGGACCAGTTCATAACATTACCATCCATCTTAAACGAAACCCCTTCAGGTTGGGTAACATTATAAGGAGTAGCATCAGTTCTGAAACCTGAAGGATTCTCTAAAGTTCCAAACTTCTCCGCAACAGACTTGACATGGAAATTGGCATGTTTATGTTTAGAAACCTTTCTCCTTCTATTGGGAATATCAATGTAAATCACCTTCTTAGCATTCATATCGACAATGGGACAGAAATCTAACGGATGAGAGTAATGAGAGTCATCTTCATCGGATCTCCAGTACATTAAAGCTTGTTGTAAACGTCTAGAAGCTCCCCATCTTTCATCATAACCAATGGTCCAGGCATCACAATAGACATTCTTCATTTCAGTAGCAGGGATCCCACTGATTTCACATTGTCTAATGACTTCTGGATCGGATCTAACAATATCTTCAGTGTCTTGTAAATCACCAGGAGTTAAGATTGGTTGAGCACCTTCCGTCTGCTTCAATTGGATCAAGATTTGTGCTCCGATATCAACCACCCCTTCTTGAATAGCACTAACATCTTCTTGTACAACGACAAAGTATGCTAACCGTGGAGGAACCGGACCGTTTCTCTCTTTCCAGTCATAATAAGCGCGCTTGATGGGCTCTCTTAAAGTAATAGTATTAAAGATGATATTCTTACCAGCATACTTTTCCTTAACTATAGCAGATACAGCAGCAATTTCTTGAGGACTTAAAGGGTCCAAAGGATGATTAGGAGCTTGAGGTGGAGCAACAGCTGCCGTAGTTTGAAGTGCAAGTTGAGACAATCTTTCCATAATCGATGAGGTATGAGTTAACTAACAAAAAATTACAACTAAGTAAACTTCTACTAAAGAGATGGTTAGGGTTATTTATAATAAAGTTGTTAATTGTTATCAATACGCGATCCGCTAACTTGTGACTCCATCGAGGAATGTCCTGCTCTTCTCGTAATACTCGGTGTTTGGTAATATTGGATCTTTCGCCTTATCAGTCCCGATTGGGTTAAGGGTTCCTGTGCTCAATCACTTGCCCAATGCGGCAAGTAATGCCCGGCCCCGCTCTTCACTACTGCGGCATGGAGGCACCACACCCACCCTCACTCCGACTCCCAATCTTACTCTCTAACTGCAGGAGTCAAACATCAACATCAACTGGTTAATTAATTAAAGATTAGATAATCTAATTGATTGCAAAATGGACTAATTAAATCTGACAATTCTTAGCCATTAATAATAAATCATAATGTATTTTTCTTGGATATATATTGTTATTGTTATTATACTATATTATGACTAGAATTGCCTATTTCGGAAACCTTATACTATGATCCTATACTATGTAATCCTATACTATTTACTATGTAATCCTATTTACTATGCACTATTTACTATGCACTATTTACTTTGCACTTACTATTCACTTCTATCTCACTCTCAACTTTTAATTTGTGCTAAACTACGAAGGCGCAATTCCAATACGCACCAGATGAGACATGGACCAATGACAAAACACATCAAATTTAATACTGTCCAACAATCTATTACTGTGACATAGATGGTAGTAAATAAATCAATATATGAACTAATGATTTGTTCTTGTAAGCAAGATGAAGAATTTGTATTACAAATGGTATTAGTTTGAGTTGCATTAATTGCATTGGATGCAAACCCACTATGAAACAAATAGTTAGTTAGTATAGATGTAAAAAATTGTATAGAATTAACTGATATTTGAGAATTATCATGATATTGAGAATGATGAGAATGGAAAGTTTCATTAATTAATAAATTTATGAGATTCATCATTACATCACTAAATAATATGACTGATCCAATAGTAAAATTAAGTACAAAACAATCGTATAACCAAATAAATCTGGTAAATATGCTTACAAATTTATTTCTGGATGTAAAATAATAACTATCAACAAAATTGATAACTTCAAAGAATTTTATAAATATATCAAGACTGAAAGTTATTACAAGTGCCACAAATAAATGATCGAATTTTATTTGAAAATTATGATCTGGAGTTTCGAATATGATGGATGATGAATTTAATTGAAATGATTTAGGTAATAATACCAATGAAATTATAAATACAATTAAGAATATGCCAGCATGCTTTCTAAAATAACGATTATGATAAAATTGAGGTAATAAAGATGGAGGAGTTACATCTTCAATTGATGATGATTCACCAGTTGGATATTCATAAGTGACAGTAATTTGAGACTTTTGTAATTGAGCTTCTTTATCTTCAATTCCATAAAATGATGTAAAGAATTCAATACATTTAACCATTCCTATAGAAAAGAAATGAATTAATAGCATAGACACTATCAGTAATAAGAATATAGATCCATCTTTCATTAAATAAATATAATTTAAATCACTAGAGAGTCTAGTATTTATTAATGAAATATAATTATCAGTTTTAGCGTGTTCTTGTTCATTATGATTAACTAAATAATTTGCAATTTGATTTAAATTGGGTATAATATGAGGTATTATTAACGTATTGAATAAATTCCAACCCGCAAGTAATGCTAAACCCTTTATGCTACATTTTATATCTTCATGAATTGATCCTCGACGATAATATTTATATATGGATAATCCTAGTACTATTACGCTAGACGATATCAGTAAGTAAAAGTAGAAGGAATGGCCTGTATGTCGGGCTGTTAGGGAATATGTAGATATTGCTTTGAGTATATCCTCGTTACTGAGGAATTTCGTGTCTGAAGTCATGGTGAGTCTTTAGTTCTTTGTTCTTTGTTCTTTAGTTAGTTCTTTAGTTCTTTAGTTAAAGTAATTAGTAATTAACTTCTATTAGGGCGGTACGACGGGAACGAGTATACGGTTATTCAAACACACGGAAATGTAATACTTAACTAATATATATATATATATATATATAGACACACACAGACAAAAGTATACACAGACAATAAAAGCTCTAAACAATTTAGATGAGAAACTTGCCAATATAAATAAGGCCAAAAGTGGTTATTTTAGAAAAAGCCAATAATTTTTCAGCCGTTTATACCGTACTGTATGTCGTGTCAGAATTCATCTCAAATTAGTAATAATTAATATGCAAGTAATTAAGGACGAAAAAAGGTGTGATGTTTAGCAGCAATCGGAATAGACGGTACATCTCCAGGGGGTTAGTGGTTTATTGCTCATCACTTGTAAATGAATAAATGGCTCATGACATTCTAGTAATAATGTCGTAGGAATGTCCTAGTAATGTTATAGTGTCATAGGAGTGTCATAGTAATAATGTCATAGTGCTGTTAGTGTTGGGCCACTTTTGAAATGTCTTGTGTTCTGCACGTCATCTGTCTGTCTCTGTCTATTGTATTTATAATTGTATGTCATCTGTTTAGTGTCTAAATTAGTGTCTTCTATATGTGCTGTATGTGCTGTATGTGCTGTCTACTCTTTACTGTACTGTCTTAGTTAATGACTACTCTTGACTGTCTGACTGTCTTCCTGACTATCTTCCTGACTTCCTGACTGTCTTCCTGACTGTCTTCCCCTCTACATCTCCCACACACATTTATAGAAACATTTTTATCACTATAGACAATTACAACTACATCAGTATAAACATTTATAGATTAAGAAAATTCAATTCAATAATATAATAAGCTTCAATATACAAAAACAATATATAATTGCTTATAATTTATCATAGTATTCAGTGTAATCTGGAACTTCAGCCTTGTAACCAGCTCTTTCTCTCTTGGCCTTAACAATAGCACCTGGTTTAGAAGCTGGATCAGCAACATCACCACCTAAGATTTGCCAGTGATCAAAGATCATTTGTGGGAAAGCTTGACCACCAGTAGCTTGTCTTAATTCACCAGTGAAACCAAAAGATTCATTGACTGGTAAGTGAGCTTTAACAGTGAATAATGGAGTACCTGGTCTTTGTTCTTCAGAAATAACTTGACCTCTCTTCTTGTTTAAGACAGAGTAAATACCACCAATAGCATTTTCTGGACATTGAATTTCAACTAAGAAAACTGGTTCTTGAATGGCTGGTTTAGCTAATAACATAGAAGCATAAGTAACTCTTCTCATGGTTGGAATGATTTGACCACCACCTCTGTGAATAGCATCAGCATGTAAGGTAACATCTAAAATGTTAACTCTAACAGATCTAACATTTTCACCTAAAACTGGACCTTCTTTAGTAGCCCATTGGAAAGCAGCAACAACAGAATCTTTAATTTCATTCAAGTATTGAACAGCCTTAGTTTGATCAACAACAACATTTGGACCGTTACCATCTGGACCAAAACACCAGATCTTTCTAGCATCAGTAACATCCCATCCGTGTTTATCAGCTAAAATTCTAGCTCTAGCCTTGAAATCATCCTTATCAGAAATAGTACCATTTTCAATATCAAGAGATACTTCTTCATCTAATGGTTGAGCCTTAACATAAATTCTGTTATGCTTGTTTGGAGATTTAGATAAAGCAACCATTGAAGATTCTTCTTCAATAGTTTCTCTATAAGAAACAACTGGTGGAGAAATCTTTAATGGAACACCAGCATGATCATTTTCTAAATCTTGTAAACAAATTTCTAAATGTAATTCACCAGTACCAGCAACAATATGTTCACCGGATTCAGAAATGGTGGTCAAGACACATGGATCAGATTTAGATAATCTCTTTAAACCTTCAACTAATTTTGGTAAATCATTAGCATTCTTAACTTCAACAGCAACTTGAACAACTGGAGAAACAGAGAATTTCATAACCTTCATATTGTGAGAAGCTTCATTGGTAGTAATAGTACCAGATTTTAATAAGTATTGATCAATACCAACTAAACCAACAATGTTACCAGCTGGACAGTCATCGATTTGTTCAACAAATCTACCCATCATTAAAACAGTTCTTTGAATAGACTTTAAGAATAAATCTTCCTTCTTACCAACAACATAGTTTGGACCTTGGATTCTAACCTTTTGACCGGATTTAACAGTACCAGCGAAAACACGACCAAAAGCATAGAATCTACCTTTATCGGAGGTTGGAACCATCTTGGAAACGTACAACATTAAGTCAGCCTTAGGGTCACAGTTTCTAATAGCATTACAAGAAGCATCATCAGATGGACCTTCATATAAAGTATCAGCTCTATAGAATTGAGCAGTAACTGGAGATGGTAAATGTAAAATAATCATTTCTAATAAAGCATCAGCAGCTGGTAAGAATTTTCTCATAACAACCTTTAATAAAGCTTTACCTTCTAAATCCTTTTCGTCACCCTTTAATTGGATTTCCAACTTTTCTAATAAGGTTGGGATTTCATCCTTCTTAAAGTTCATAATGGCAGCGAATAATCTAAAGATTGGGTCTAAAACGAACATGTTGAAGGCTCTTTCTAAGGTCTTTCCATCAGTATCTTTATCCTTGTTAGTCCATTTCTTGGTCTTTGGATTGAAATAAGAGTCACCCCATAATCTTTCCATCATTTTAATTCTATCAACACCGAATTTCTTAGAATATCTGGTGGCGAATTGTCTAACGGTAAAAGCCCAACCATGTAAACCAGAACCAAAGGCAACAGTACCCTTTTCTGGGTAAACTTGACAGTCACCTAAAACTGGATCAACATAAGTAGAAATAATAACGTTAACAGATTCAACAGTTCTAGAGAAAGATTGATATAAATCTTCCTTGGTAACTTGTAATTCTAATAAGGCTCTATCAACTTTGTTAATAATAACAACTGGTTTAATTCTTTCACCTAAAGCTTGTCTTAACACGGTTTCAGTTTGGACACAGACACCTTCAACACAGTCAACAACAACTAAAGCACCATCAGTGACTCTTAAAGCAGCAGTAACTTCAGAAGAGAAATCAACGTGACCTGGAGAATCAATCAAGTTAATTAAGAAAGAATTACCTACAGTCTTTTGATTAATTTCTTTAACATCATCATCTCCCATGGCAGCATATAAAGAAATGGCAGTAGATTTAATAGTAATACCTCTTTCTTGTTCATCCTTTCTGGTATCAGTGAATCTAGCTTCACCAGCCTTAGCAGCGGAAATAATACCGGCTCTTTGAACTAAAGAATCGGTTAAAGTGGATTTACCGTGATCGACGTGAGCAATGACGGACATGTTACGGACGTTAGTAACTTTGTCCATCAATTCACGGATTTGTTCAATAGTGAAAGCAACTACATAATTAGTTATTGTTAGTATTTTGATGTCTTTGTCTTTTTTTTTTCAGAAAAAAACTACCCTACAATCATCATCATTTCATTACCATCCCATTCCATCGCCAATTCACTTATTCCACTAAAACTGCTGTGATAATAACCATAAACTCATCTATTTCCTTATCCCTTCGCTGTCTCCTGCCTCCTGCCTCCATCTCCCTAGCGAAAATGAAAATTTTTTTTCTGTCGTATGTCACTGAAATTTTTCTTTTCGTGAGCTGGTGATTTGGGAGTGAGAAAAAAATGGGGGAAAGATTGTTCGCTATTTGTAATGAGCAGACACTGGTGGATGGTTAAGTTCAATGACAGTATATTTAAGGAGTGGTAAAGTCGAATAATGATGATTGATTACATACACACATGGCGTGTGCTATACAATATTACATACCCATTTTGAATCAATTTTATTGGTGTTGAACGTGCAAAGAAAAGAAGAAGAAGAGGAAGAAGAAGAGAGGAAAAGATTTTTATTTAAAAAAAATTTGACTGAGCGACAGGGGACTTTGAAAAAAAAAGAGTTGAAGCAGTGAAAAATGTCTACTGAATATTCACTAAATGCGAATTGTCTGTCTGATTAGCACGAGGGGAGGGTGCTTTAGTACTGCGGCATGGGTGCTACCACTCAAATTATTTGTCTGGTCCTTAATTTACTGATGGGCATAGTTACCCGGATGACTAACCATTCGGTATGTTTAAACTAATTGAAATACTACTTCAATCGATTAATTGGTAATATTAAATGATTCAATAGTATGCTAGTTATTTTTGTCGGTCTGCTTATCAGCAAATTGACCTAATTGTACAATAATAATTGGCTGAATACTAAGGTATTTAAATCCAAGTGATGATTATGATGATGGTGATGGTGATGGTGATGATTTCTGCAGCTCAGCATGCATCTCAGACATTCACCTGGGTCGGTCCTGCATAAAGCAAATGTCTGGTAAGATGAACCATCTTAAGTAGATCAGAAGACAAACAGTACAGGCAGGTTGTCTTTAGACAAGTTGCTTAATGTATAGTAGTTACAATTCTCAGTAGTTAAATTACTTAAATTAACTAAATTAATTAAATTAATTAAATTATACTATTACATCTGCAACTACTTAGATCAATCAATTCCATGTAGTAGTATAGATTTATATAGTAATTTAAACAAATGTCACCTAGTGAGCTAGTGGTGATGGGAACGACATTAACGTGCACAGTCACGTGCGTCTCCCCACCAGAGTCAATATGAAATAAATAATTTTAACAGGACTAAATGAGATGTTGCAATTGAAATTTTTATCACTACTACTATTTATCATTATCATTAAATTATACATATAATGACGTTAAACATAACGGTATTGATCTCGGGATCAGGAACAAACCTTCAGGCCTTAATTGATGCCGAAAAATCAGGTAATCTTTCCGGTCATATTACTCAAGTCATATCATCAAATGTTGATGCCTATGGTATAACTAGAGCTAAAGATGCAGGTATACTGTTAATTAAGAGTCATACTTTGAAGTCATATTATAAAGGAATACCCAAAGAACAAACTGAACAACGTCGTTTAAAACGTGAACAATTCAATCGTGATTTATCTAATTTATTAATCTATGGTAATATTGAAGGTACTAAATTAACTGAAAATTATATTAAACCTGATTTAATTGTATGTGCAGGTTGGATGTTAATCTTATCACCAGCTGTATTAATACCTTTGGAAAAGGAAGGTATTACCATTATTAATTTACATCCAGCATTACCAGGAGCATTTGAAGGAACTCATGCTATAGATCGTGCATGGAAAGCAGGTCAAGAAGGTCAAATTTCTAAAGGAGGAGTTATGATTCATAGAGTTATTACAGAAGTAGATAAGGGAGCTCCAATATTAGTTAAAGAAATTGAACTTATTAAGTCTGATACATTAGAACAATACGAAGATAAAGTTCATAAAGTTGAACATGTAGCTATAGTTGAAGGTACTAATTTAATCTTACAAGAAATAGCCAAACAAGTATAACATATAGCATTCTTTATATTTCAAATGTATATATAAATTATATTGTAAAAAGATATAAGCAAATAATGGTTAAATTTAATTAATTTAATTTAATTTCATGAATAGTAATGAAGAAGAATGACACTAAATGACTTACAAGTTCTTAATAACTTGTTCTGTGAAGTGACTGGTAGAAGCAGTACCATGTAAATCACCAGTTCTGTTTTCTGGACCGGAAGCAATAGTCTTTAATACGGCATTTTCAATCTTATCGGCATCAGCATTTAATGACATGTGTCTCAACATCATACATGATGATAATAATAAAGCGGTTGGGTTAGCTAAACCTTTACCAGCAATATCTGGAGCAGAACCGTGGACAGCTTCGAAAATAGAAACCTTATTACCCATATTACCTGATGGAGTTAAACCTAAACCACCAATTAAACCGGATGATAAATCAGACATAATATCACCATATAAGTTTGGCATAACCATGACAACATTCTTATAATCAGCTGGATCAGCAGTTAATTTTAATGAAGTATTATCTAATAATTCAAAATCTAATTTGATATCTGGATATTCTTTACCGACTTCTTTAGCAGTATTAACGAATAAACCATCAGATAATTTCATAATAGATGCTTTATGAACAACTAAAACATGAGGTTTATTGATAGATTTGGCATATTCGAAAGCGTATCTAATGACTTTTTCGGAGGCTGGTCTAGTAATTAATTTAATAGATTGAACAACACCTGGAACAATGGTATGTTCAATACCGGAATATTCACCTTCAGTATTTTCTCTAATTAAAACGGTATCAACATTTTCATAAGGAGTATCATAACCAACAATAGATTTACATGGACGAACATTGGCAAATAAGTTAAAAGTTCTTCTTAAAGTTAAATTCATAGAAGTATGACCCTTACCAACTGGTGTAGCTAATGGACCTTTTAAAGCTACTAAATTCTTATTAACAGAATAAACAGCTGCTTGAGGTAAAGTGGTTTTACCATCAATTAATAATGGAGTAACATCAACTGGTTCCCATTCAATTGGAACCTTAGCAGCAGCATAAATATCCTTAACAGCTTGAGAAATTTCAACACCAATACCATCACCTTCAATTAATGTAACAGTATATTTACCATTTGGATTCTTTTTACCGGTGAATTGACCAGCAATATAACTTCTGGTGAATCTTGGAACAATTGGTGATGATCTAGCTAATTGTCTATACATGGTTAGGCAAGCTTTTGGAGAGTTAGGGATATGTTGTTTAATGGAATAGATGTTGAAAGATCAATGAAATTTTTTTAGGGAGACAAAACCGCTATTCTCGCTGGAGAAAAATGCCATCCTCACTAAGTACAGTTCGGTGCTCACTAAACTTAGTGAGAGTTCACTAATTATTTGGTAGTAAATGTCGTGGCTACCTTATGTCGTCGCATTCCCGTCGGTAAAGTAGGAGCGTGATTGGCCAATAAAAGGTGCACAATTGGTGTCGGTTCCGACCATGCTCGACCGAAAAATGTCGTACCGGAAAATACCTCATTCTCATCGCGGACTTGCCCAAGAAATGTCTGCGAATCAATTTTACTCCGAAAATGTATCTTGGCCGATTTACATTACATTCCCCTCCGCGTGACCGTGTCCATGTGATCTGTAATAGTCTATATGTTTATCAGATCCAATGGGTATAACACCTGGTTTTATTCTATTTCCATACTTATTAACCCCGTTATGCTTATCTGCAAGTGAGAACTTGGAATTGATACTAGATAAGCATAAACTTTCGAAGTTGGAGAAAAAGAACTATTTACTGCTAAATTTGGCGAGACATTTACCCATAGACTAAAAAGTTTAAACTGAATCACTTTATTAATTTTACAAGTAAACTCAAATTCCGAACTAGTAATATCGAATTTTTCGTCTCTATTTCTCTCTCTCTAATTCTTTCTGAGTTAAACAAATCTCCACTTTTACAAATCCAATCAGGTAAAAAGTTGCACCCATACCCAAAATTGCAACTTATGTTGCGCATCTTCGAAGTGAAAAATTAAGCGCATTGAATTCACCTTAATTCATCAATCGACCCATTATCAGCCCAACTATGGCTATACCGTCACTCAATTGGAGATACCTCTTGTTTGTATCTATTGGGCTTCGATTCATCTTTGCGTTATCTAATTCGTATATTCATCCAGATGAACATTTCCAATCCTTACAAGTACTAACTAATAGAGTACTTAATTTCTCCACATCAATTCCTTGGGAGTTCTCATCGTCAGCTCCAGCTAGAAGTTTGGGACCTTTATATTTACTATATGGACCATTACTATACTTTATCAAGTTTTCTGGGGTATCATTAACTCCTTTACAAATTTGGTATTTGGCTAGATTACAAAATGTTATTATAGGGTGGTTAATTACTGATTTCTGTTTATATCGTATATTACCTACTAAACCTGAACGAGTTAAAGCTATATTTTTTACACTGACTTCATATATAACGTTAGTCTATCAATCACATTTGTTTTCCAACAGTATTGAAACGTATTTGGTCTTGGTATCTGTTCTCATTATTGATGACCTAAGATCAGCACTTGAATCCAATGATCAAGAATCATATCACAGTAAATTATTCTGGTTAGGGACCATCATATCAATTGGATTGTTTAATAGAGTCACATTTCCTGTATTTATCATTATACCTTTATGGTTCGTGTTCAGATATATTTGGACACATAAATTGTCAATTGTATTCATAATCATTGGCTTTGCTATCCCTACTGCGATATTCATCTTGATCGATACATTCTGTTTCACTTCATTATCATTATCATTTGACAACTTCGACTTATCACAACTAGTCATCACTCCATTAAACAATTTGATCTATAATTCCAGCTATGACAATTTATCTCATCATGGAATCCATCCATTCTATAATCATATTGCTGTTAATCTTCCTCAAGTGGTGGGTCCTTCAGGGTTATTATTTTTATTTACAAGTAGACAATACTGGAAAACCACTCCATTCTTAAGTTTGATTGGAGGTATACTCTTTTTATCATTAATTCCTCATCAGGAATTACGGTTCCTTATCCCTATCCTTCCATTGGCATGTTCCTGCTTTAATCTCTATGCGTTCATAGATAAAGACCAACATAAGTCCAATTGGAAATCTTCAATTCTAATCAATGGATGGTACTTATTCAATATTATCTTGACGATATTAATGGGAGTATACCATCAAGGAGGAGTTATTCCAGCTTTAGACTATTTCTATTCAGAAAGTGATACTACTGAATATGTCCAGATTTGGTGGAGAACATATTCACCTCCAACTTGGTTCTTAGGAGATACCGACTCCCAATTACAGTGTATAACTTTGAATGATGACAACTTTAGTCAGGGTTATCAATTAGACTCTACTAAATCAAAATTTGTCATTGATACTATGGGTATTGATTACGATAAATTACTTGAATTAATCAAACTGATACAGAAAGAAATGAGTACTAGTTCTAACGCAAAACCCATCTATTTAATTACTCCATCTGCTTCTTTTAATACTGTCCATTTATCCAATGATAATCAATACCAATTGATCTGGAATTATGATTATCACTTGGATTTAGATCATTTAGATTTCCACAACATTGAAAGTTTAAAGCCAGGGTTAGGGGTCTATCAATTAATTTAAAGAATATAGAAATATAATGTACATATAAGACTTATTTATAGAAATCAAATTTATCATGTTCACTACCAGTTTTAACTTGAGCAGTATATGCTTCTTCTAAATCAACTTGTAAGATCATATATCTATTTTTTCTAACTGCTCTTAAACCTGCTTCTTGCATAATAGCAGCAATTACAGCTCCAGATAATGGATCATTTCTTAAAATTAATGAATCTAAATCAACTTCTGGAGCTAATGACATTTTAGATGCAATGGTAGAAAAAATTAATCTTCTTTCTCTTCTATCCTTTAATGAAGGAAATTCAATTTTTCTATCTAATCTACCAGGTCTTAATAATGCTGGATCTAAAGTATCAGCTCTATTAGTTGCCATTATAACTTTAACTGTTGAAGTTTGATCAAAACCATCCATTTGATTTAATAATTCTAATAAAATTCTTTGAACTTCTCTATCAGCACCAGTTTGAGCATCAAATCTCTTTGTTGCAATAGCATCAATTTCATCAATAAAAATAATTGCAGGAGAATTTTCTCTTGCTAATCTGAATACATCTCTTACCATTCTTGGACCTTCACCAAGATATTTTTGTACAAATTCTGAACCATTTATTCTAATAAATGAAGCAGTAGTAGAATTAGCAACAGCTTTAACTAACATTGTTTTCCCGGTACCAGGTGGTCCATATAATAATACTCCTCTTGGAGGATCAATACCAATTTGAGAATATAAATCTCCTTGAGTTAAGGGTAATTCAACAGCTTCTCTTATTTCTTGTTTTTGCATATCTAATCCTCCAACATCAGCATATGTAACATCAGGTTTTTGATCATCACCTACAATTGAAATAGATGAATCAGCTTCAGGAGGTAATATATCTACCAAAGCATTGGAATGACGATGTAATGCAACAGATGATGAAGGTTTTAATAATTCTCGATCTAATGTAGATAATATTCTTACTACATAATTAGATCCAGTAGTCGATGATACAATTCCAGTATTTTCATCAATTGGTTCAAGAAATTGTCCAATAACTAATGGTACAGATTTAATTCGTTTTACTTCTTCTTGTGCTCTTACTAATTCTCGCTTTAAATGACGTTGTTCATCTTTAATATAATCTTCTTGTAATAATAACAAATCCAATTCCTTCTCCAATTTTTTTAATTTTAAATATACATCGGTGTTATCTTCGCTTTGACTTTGACTTTGACTTGGGTTAGCCTTATTGATCTTATTAAATGCCGATACACTAGCATCATATACAACCGGGTCTTCCATAATTGTCGATGGTCTTTTTTTTATTAGTTATTTGAGTATGGTTATCACGTGCGTATATAGAAAGTTATGTAGAAGTATCTAAAGTTAAGATTCAAATGGTTAGTGACCGTTAATGATAAACTGCACTGGTAGTGTTTGTAACGGGGACGGTTAAAGTGTGCAATTGGTGGCAATGAAAAATCAAAGAATTGGGCACTCGCACACGACCTTGTCTTTGTATAGTATGCAGGAGCTAATACATTTCCCCATAGTTAAGAATAAGTAACAGTAATATAATAAAATACATGAAATACATAGTACTTTATTATTGAAAGAAATTATAGATCATGAGTAATGTAACTCATATAATTGAATGTGATAATCACTTAAAAAGTATACAGGTGCAGTAACCTTAGTAGGGTAATTACTATGGCGCTCCGTTTTAGAGGCAATAATAAAATGTTGCACTCCAGTTGCAAAAAAATCGAGCATAGCGACACTTCTTATAATTAATCTTAGACTGGCATTCGAATAGATAAAAACTAACTATATATATATTTCACTTTACTAAAATACAGTCTATATAGTTATGGTACATTTTACTACAGTTAAGCTCGTGGTGCTTATCACGTTGTTCGTATTAGATATAATAACCAATTACTCCATATTTGCGAACTCGGTATTCCATGATGCTATAAAAGTTTTGAGAATATCTCTAAGTTTATTACTCTTAAAAGAAGTTACAATAAATATTAATAAAAAAAGCTCAGTTGAGAAAAATTTACAGAAGTTACTGGTTGAGGCAGAAAAGTCAGTGAAAAAGTTGACAGGGTCACTACAGGAGTTAGAAAAGTCAATGGAAAAGTTGACAGGATCACTAGAGGAGTTGGAAATATCACTACAAAAGTTGGAAATATCACTACAAAAGTTGGAAATATCACTACAAAAGTTGGAAATATCACTACATAAGTTGGAAATGTCAATGCATGAGTTACAAAGGGTATTCGTTCATCACGAACACCCGCGAACACCAACATCACCACGAACACCGAGATTTCTACAGTCGTCATTTATTTAGAAGGGCTCATAAAACTCTTACCAAACATTTATAAGGAGAGGCTAATACACAATTTTGCTTTAAAAATAGTTATAAGAAAATAATATATAAGACTACATTAACTTTCAAAAAGCATTTTACTTGTAGGATCCACCATTACGATTATTCTTTTATATCTACGTATCGCTGCTTATCGTAAAGAGCTATGTTCACTATTTTGTTTTAATTATGTCTTGTGTGCTGGAAATAGAGAAAATGACCGTCGTGCTAGTAATTTAGAAATATTTTAACTGAATTTGCTTTATATATTTGTAATTTCACTAATAAGATACTTTTATTAAACTCTATGAAGCTATCTCAACTAAATACAATGACCCAAGCCAAGAGATTTGACAACATAATTTACACGTTTATTTAAAATAAATAGTTCCTGCACTTCCAATGAGGCAACCTATCAAGACAATGATACCTGAGAATATTTGGAATTCAAGCTTATCTAACGATATGGTTTGAAACTCCGAAGATGTTAACAATGTATAGGTGTTTGCAATATTTTGCTTTATGGATGACCAAGTGGTTCCAAAGAAAACTAAATTTGGTTTAACTGTAGTAGGTGAAGTGGCTCCTACGGTCTGAGTAGTCTGAGTAGTTTCTGTGGTTTCTACAATTGGTTCTAAAGTGCTTGAATCGTCTAATCCCGCAGTTACAGCCGCAATTTCTTCAATTATAGGTGCTACTGCTGTTTTATCAGCCTCAGGTAATGCATTCAATAACTCCTTTACTTTATTTTCAAAAGCAGCTACTAATCTCTTTCTCTTCCAAGGTTCGACAAAGAATGTAGCTATTATAAACAAAAAGACATTAATTCCCATCAAAACCCACGTCCCCCAAGTTGAAGCTCTTCGAATCTTGTCCGACCAGATTTGCTCTTCGTGATATCTAGTCAAGATCATTTGGGTTAATTTGAGTTGAATGGCTTCAGCTTTCTTCTCAGCTTCACTTAATTTCTGTTCACTTTCTGTTTCATATTGTTCATTAGCATGGTCATTTCGGTATAATTCCGTAAACCTTTCAAGATCAGATGATGACCAATTGTGCTTTCTTGTCAATAATTCATTGACTTCTCTTTGCAGCCCAGATCGACGCTGAATTGCTTCACTATATGCAAATTTATTTTCCTTAACTTTCTCTCGAGCATTCAGTAATTCTTTTTCTAAAACATCTATAGAATTTTTTAACTTATCAATTGCAGAATATCCTGTCACATCATTCAAAGTTTTAGTAGCAGTGAAGATTGTCTGCTGCATAGAATCTAGAAAAGTCTCGACTCTTTTCGATAGTTCACTTCTCCTTTCTTCCTTTTCAGATGGTAAACCTCGGATTTCCTTATGAATAGCTTCATTTATAGATTTTCTCACTCCATTATTCTCGTTAGATCCAATTGTGGATGTAGGGAAGACTGTATTATTAGGAATTACATTAACATTAATTTCATCATTATCAATATTTATATTAACTGGTTGTTCAGCTGATGCACTATCATCTGCTTTATTATGCTGTTTATTCTTTTCATCCTTTTTCTTGTTTTCCTCCACTTCTCTACGCCTCCTTTCTAAGGCTTCAGTTCCAAAATTTGTAGTTTCAATAATGTCTTGAAGTTTTTGATCATTGACGTTTGTATTGGAATCAATAATTTTCGACGATTGATACCGTTGAATATACAAAAGATTTGTCCTGCATTTTACAATTGACTTTGAAACTCCATATAAAGCAATCTGTATGGGTCGTATCGGTATTCGCCTATACATCATCTAATCCTCTTATCACTAATGTCTTATCTTGACTTTGCCCCATACCGACTTGGAAATTTTTCAATCGGATAAAAAGAGCTCGCTAAAAAAAAAGGTGCCGACGCTCGGCATATCAAATGGGTGCAATTTTCTTACTATAATATCCTAATGCATAAGTAATAAACAGAGTCAACATGTATTGCATAATGAAACTAAATATAAAATCAAATCAAGATATTTACTGACATTAAAAGTTAGTATCAACTAATTTCTTAGCTAATTTAAAATCATCAGCCTCAACATAATCCAAAACGATAATACCAACACCCTTTTGGAAGGTTTCTTCAATGTTACCTTTAATCATAGCTTCTGAAATCTTTTGTGGCCAACAGTCATGATCAAAGAAGTTAGAAGCAGAAGTGAAATTGACAAATAATTTATTGTCATTACCTCGAGTATATTCAGTAGCCTTCTTAGCTAAATCTTTAACATAATTAATTTTAGTTGGAATATCACCTTCTTTATTAACTTCACAGAAATCTTGTACAACAAAGGATCCACGATCATCATCAGTGGTATTATACTGCCAAACAGAGGCTTCAAATCCAAATTGATTTCTTCTATCTTGGTTATTAACTCCAAATCTTCTGAAAAGTGCAACTTTACCTCTGGCTTCACCAACAGTAGGAATATCAGTACCTAAATACCATTTGTCCTTATTTGGATTAATATAATGATCCCAAATGAAATTTGGGAATTCATCATTAGGATTATCCCAATCATTAGAACCCTCTTGTTTCAAAGATACAATAACAGTCTCAGATGGATTCTTTTCAACGAATTTATAAACTTCGTCTAACGCATCGGATAATTGCAATGGGAATGGAATTCTAACAGGGAATTTTCCATGAATGACTTGTAATGGAGCATTCTTTTTATCTCCAAGTAATTGTCTACCGGCTCTAATGTCTAAAAATCTGACTCCATGTTCCAATTGATCAGTAATTGAAGCACCTTGACATTGAACTGATGGTAAGGCAGTATGTGAAGCAGCAGCATTGTGAGTACCAGGAATTGATAATTTAGACAATCTAGTATTGTCAGAAATTTCCTTTAACCAAGTTTTATAGTCGACCATCGTATTATTGTTTTATTAGTTTACTACAATTGTATATTAAATATAGAAACCAACTAAAGCAAAAGAAGAATTATTAAAATTAAAAACAAAATTAATCACCAATCACAATTGTGTGAAAAGTGGACCCATTGGTGAAAAATTCATTACTATAAGTTCGTGTTCATTGTATGGGTATGTGATGCCAACTGCCGCAATATTTCTAAGCCATTATACAGGAACCTTACCCCATTTGGTAAGCCACCTGAAATTTCTATTTTGGTATCCATTGCAGTTCTTCGTCAGAAAATATTATAATATTTAATGTTTCTATATTAACTATAATAGATGAAATTAAGTAAATCTAACTATATATATAAACTACTCTATTTTAGGAAATTATCCCATACATCTTGTACAGAATTATATCCTTTAGTTTCAGGGATGTACCTCCATACCGCAACCAAATAAGCTATACTAGTTGTGAAAAATATGAAAAATACTGATCCTCCCATAGAATTCTGTAAGATGGGGAAGCCAAAAGCGATGAAAATATTGGCTAACCAATTTGTAGAAGTTCCAACTGACTGAGCGATTGAAACTACTTCATGACCAGATAATTCTGAAATCATAAGGAATGGAATTGGTCCCAATCCAATAGAAAATCCAATAACAAATCCAAAACATGCAGTTATTACTGCAATATCATATTGATTAATTATTCCAACTCCAATAACAATCGAACATATACTGCACATAAAGATCGAAGATAATACTAATGGTCTTCTACCAACTTTATCAACCAATGGTGAAATACATATAGCACTAATAACATTACAAAGGGAGAATGAACATGATAATATTAAAACTTGATCACCACCAGTTTCATGGTGATTTCCAAATAAATTATTAAGGATCTTAACTCCATAATAAGTAATAGCGTTCATACCAACTAATTGTTGTGCAGTCATAAGAAGAATAACAGCAATAAATTGATATCTATACTTTTTAGCAAACATAAATTCAGATGTAGTTACTGTAGCTGGATCAATTGATCCTTTTCTAACTGATTTAGGTTTAGCTAATGGCAATATAAGTGAATCATAACTATCACTTTCTGATAAAAGTGCAGTGGTTTCTTGTATTTCATTATCACCTTTAGTTCTTTCATTAATTGATAATTGTCTCCAATGATTGATTTCATAAGTAACAGTAGATTTATCTGATCTTAAATCATGTAAAATCGATGTAGCAGACTTAACATCATGGCCCTGCATAATCATCCATTTTGGAGATTCTGGGACCGTAAATAACATAACAAATTGCAATAATCCTAAACTCGTAGCGAATACAAAAATGATTCTCCATTGCTGATCATTTGAAAAGAAATATGAAACTACCTGTGATATGAAAATCCCTATTGTGACAGCTAATTGTAATAAAGAACCTAAGAATCCCCGATGGTTAATGGGAGTTAATTCGTTAATTAAAATCGGAGACATAATTAATGAAGAACCAGCGGCAATACCATTGATAAATCTTCCTAAATTAATCATGAATACATTATTTGCAAATACCATAATTAAAGAACCAAAGAAATAACCTAATGAACTCAATAAACACATATATCTTCTACCATATCTTGAAGGGATTGAAGTAGAACCAAGAATTATTGATGATACTAATCCACCTACAGTAAACATAGTAGTTATAAGGGCAATACCTTTTTCATTCATTGGTATACATTGTTTATAATTGTACTTATACCATATTGTATCTTCATAACTAGCATAGGGTCCAGGTTTATGGAAATTACAAGAAAGAATATCTTCAGGAGCATTTAATTCCGCTAAATGATATCCAAACTGTAAAGTACTTAGACATATAATTGCTGTAGACCAAGCAAGCTGGAAAGTTACCAGATGAGGTTTGTCTAGAAAGTTATGTACTGATGTGGGAACATGCATGGTTAGATGTATTTGATTAACAAGAATAAAATTTTTCAACTATAAATAACAAAGTAAATATAGGAACAATACCCTTATATATCAGGACACCCCTCTTAACTCTTATCGGACACAAGGTAACGACCAGATTGTTCAATAGCGGCAGATCAAAAGCTGGATCGAGTTTTTCATGAATTTCTTTTTTGGGTTTTTGCTTTTTGCTTTGTGTTGATAAGCGCAGAGATAACACAAACTTTGTTCGCGTCGTTGAAAAGTGCGACAGAAATTTCCATACATGTAGTGAAGGAAGGGTGGAGATTTGGTAGAGGGGTGATGTTCTTGGTAGTGGAGAAGCAATCGAATCAGTGTTGGAGTATAGTGAGGCATGGGTATGGGGACCAACAATGTGTTTAATTATGTTGATTAATTATGGCAATTACCTTAGATACAGTGGATGAGTTTTCATAATAGCAAACAAGTAATCGGTACCCCGATAGGTGGTTGCATATGAACGACCCGATAATTTCAAGGGGCAAGCAACCGGTCGTAAAGTTGATCACTGTAACATTGCAATCATGCAGTAATTATAATTGGACGCATAGTACATAACCAATTGAAATTTAATAGCAGTTCGGAACTTACCGATCATCAAGCGAAAAAATAGCAACTTGTCCCAAAGGAAGCAGTAAAGCAATTTTGCAACCATTAAACAAATTTATAGTCATCAGCATCTACTAGTGTGTTATGCTTTATGCACTCCGTAATAAATTGTTCTGTAACTACACTGGGGATTCTTGTTATCAACTTATCATCCTGAAACTCAACATTTTCACTTATTTGTTTAGTTATGGCATTGACTTTAGTCAAAGTCTCAGCTCTTTCATTGGTTGATGTGGTAACTATGAATGAGCAGTTCAAGAAATCATCAACAACAGTTCCACCATATCTCTCAATTCTGTCCTTTAACATTGCATCGTAGTCACTGTTTACAAAATAGTAATTAATCCCTTCAAATAAATACCATTTGGGTGATTCCAATCCCAATTCACTCAAGTCCTGCTTGAGATCATATCTATATACTAACATCTCATCATCATTGAGTTTTTTAAATAATTTGGAATCCAAATCACTAATAGATTTTGTATGAATGACAAAACTATCCCCATATTGATCCTGCTTATCACTGTATATGGCACTGTTGGATGTTTGAAAGACAAACATGGGCTCAAGTGGAACAATCATTCCCCGGTTTATACATTCAAAAATCCAATTGGGACGAATCAAGTCCAATCCTTTTTCGAAATATGATTTACAACTAGGCAAGTCCTTTTCTGTAATAATGATAAGATCTTTAGTTGCTAATTTATCTACTCCCTGAACAATTGTACCTCCATATTTCTTAACAACAGTAATTAGTTCATCTCGTGTTATTCTATCCCCATTTGAACTCACTTTATCACTAGCAATAATGAAATTAAAATGAGAAAAGAGATTTGATTCGACTTTCACTTGTTTGGGTTTATTGAACTCAAATGAGTCTTTCTGAAGTCTTTTTTTCCTATTAGCATACTGAGATTTTTCAGTATCCTTTGTGTAATGGGCTTTAATCTTTTGATATTCTTCAAGTGTAGAACAATCATGAATTGTCTTATCTTCTCTTATACTACGACAGAATAAGTTATGAAGAGTAGAACCTGCAGCATAAGTCAGTTCAGAAGTATTATCAATAGCTCTTGCTTTGATTTCTAACACAAGAGAATCTCGAGGGTGAATCCATTCAATAGGTTTCTTCGTTCCAAATTTAAGTACAGATTCAGGAGGTAACAGTTTACTAGTATAGGGAACCCATTTCCCATGAGTGATTCTTTCAATCTTATCATATTCAACGTTAGTAAATCCATTACCGACTGTACAGAACGAATAGAAAGCTTGATCTTCAGTATTCTTTAATCCACACATATATGCATTCTTTACTCCAGGTATTTTTCCAATGATTGTCAAGTCTAAATTCTCTCCGAATTTCTCTAAATATTCAGGCTTAATCTTAATCCAATGAGGGTTTCTTTCACCTGCAAAATACTTTGATTGTACATGTTTAACCATAACACCTTCACTCCGAACACTGATAACTTCTTTTATCGCTTGCTTAATATCATCTGTTGTACTACCGATTTGAAAAGGTAAGACTTCCAATCGATTAGGCACAGGATTAATAATTTGTTTTAAGATATTTTTCCTAAAAAATAGAGGATGATTGGTTAGATTCACTCCATTAATATGTAAAATATCAAATACAAGGAAGAAAGGATATGATGATTGCTGTTCATATTGATCAATGGTGGTATATTGACGCACAGATTCTTGAATAGCACTTGATTTTAAGGTCCCGAATGGCAAAATGACATTTCTCTTGAAATCCCATGCCACCATTTCACCATCAAGGATTATACTATCTACTTTGGCTGGAAAGCAATCATGTAAATATTTAGTCAATGACCCAAACTCATAATTTTCTCCATAAAGAAATGAATAATCCTTAAGTCTTCTAGAGTAAAATTTGAAAAATTTTCCTTTTTTATGGAGAACCATTCTATCACCATCCATTTTCTCCTCAATGTAGAAACTTCCCTTTTTGAGATTCATAGCCTCAAATTGCAGTTGCAATTTTTCGTCCATAGGGATAGTAATAGCCATATCATTGATTAAATGCTTGTAATCCTTCAAAAGTTTAAATGAAAGTTGAGGCCGAAATTTATACATAGGTTGAAGAGTGAGCTGTTGGGGTGATAATCGGAATTGAGAATCTATAAGCAAATTGAAAGTCTTTTGTAAACTATTGCATACTCGGAATAAACTTGACGCGTCGGGATGCCAAACATCCATGAAAACATTTTCGAATCGTACAAGGATTGACTTCTTTAATAATATATGAAGTAACCATCTTACTTCAGGAATGGATAAATTATCAAGGACTGGCTTCAAGACGTCTATCTGTTCCTGAGACTTTTTGGCATCATCATTGAGAATATCTAACTTAGCATTGATTTCTGCCACAGTAAATGCATGATCATTACGTTGTTGAAACGTTCCTTCTCTTCTATTAGAAATTATTCTTGAAACTCTTAGAGGTAAATCACGAAGGTTATTCACATCAGCGGTAAACCTTTTAGTCGTTTGAAAAGCATGTTTCCAATGGAAAAGAACCTGATAATCTTCTGATTCTTTAGGGATGTTATACATCTTAATAATTAATCTGGCTAAGGAGACATCCTTTATGAAATATAATCGACCTGATTTATCTGGGAATATTAGTTTTGATGCAGGAAAAATGTCAAGTCCTATATGAGTTTTGAAACTATTAATAAATGATTCAATGATAAATATTTTCTTTTCTGAAACATTAGAGAAATTGCCTAAATTTTGTCGATTGTTAGCTCCATCTAATTTGACAAATAACTCATCAACTATGAATTTAAAGGTTGGTTCTTGAGCATTGGTGGGAGGTGAGGGTACATTATCTAAAAATGATGCAGAAGATCGTGGATCTTCAGACATTTACCGAATTTGTTTATTCTGATTGCTTAGTTAATATATTTGGTTGCAATTGACCCAATACGAATTTGGTCCTATTTGTGGGGTCACATACAAAAGTTAGGCAGTTGAAAAATTGTGTATGCATATAACATATTTCAGACTCATTCACACGACCATTCATTATTGCTGCTGAATATGGTTGATAGTTACAGTCTGGTTAAAAGATATCAAAAGATCTAGAATTAAATTTAATAGACGTGTCAAAGGGATAGAATTCCGAATGGCTTTAACATGTCAAGTTACGTTACCTATTGTTAGTAGAACAATACATACAGCTTTGGCGATTTAAATGTCTACAAAGAAGTTACAAAGAAGTTTACAAAGAAAATGTCATGGGTGTCTAATAGCAAGCGATACTTTGCAGCATAGTCTATATAATGCTTCACATTGAATTCTTCATTATAAATTGTTACAATTTAATGTGTAGTCCAGAACCAGTAACCAACTGAAATCGGTATTGTGAAAATTGAACTGGCAACTTATATGGCCTATTTTTAGTACTCAGCCTCAGCCCTTGCCTCAGCCCAATCTCTCCTGTTTCTCCCGAGTTGAACTACATACTTCATTCATTTATTTATGTTTGCGTCGTCGTCTATCACCTCTCCATGCACATCAAAGAATAAGCAAATTGGTTGATAATCATCCATGACGTCAATACAATTGAGGGGACTGCCTGATTAGGAAAGGGGCTCAGTAAAATACGATTTTTGAAGTATTTATTTTATTTAAATTTAGAAATGTATCCCTACATGTGTTGGTCGGTACAGTACTTTTTATTCATACCTCGGACCCGGAATTGCTCATTCTACCGGGTATTAATTTTTCGTACCATTGACCGGAAATTTTCAAGAGGTATGATTTACTTACGCTTTAGATAGGCCTCAGTATTGCAGAATACGGTTTAAATTAGTCAAAGTTGTAGACGGCTCTGTGCGTTGATATATCCCTAGATTTCAGGTTTAGGGCTGAACTCCCTATGGTTTGAATCATGGTACGAATAAATTCGACCTCGGAAGTATAAAAAATAAAATTACCGGTTTGAAGATTATTCTCCCGGTTCGTTTGAAACAAAAAGTCGGAAGTATGAATAAATAGTAAAAACACGATAAATATATAAAAGAAGTAAACAAACATAATAAGATGGCTGAAAAAAATGGGGTAACTGCCGTAAGAAGAGCCTTTTGGGCTGGCTAATTATTATCCGAGATAGATAATGGTTATGATATATATTTATTTTTGGGAAAAAGAAATGTGTGATGGTGGGATTGACGTTATCTATTAACCATCATATGTCTTTTGTTGGCAATTAGGGAAAATAATATGGTTCAACAATCTGAATCTACGATCAACTATCTTAAAACGTTGTGGCCAGGTTTGAGAATATAAGTAGTTAGTTACTAATGTAGCAATTATAAAAGTGTATCATAGTTGCGTTTATAAGCCCTGAATTTGCAAACAAACGAGACAGGGAAATTCATTCAAAATTTCTTTTGACATTACGTAGTTTATAGAAATCTAAATTTGCTGTGTTGGCCAAAAGCAAGTCACAATTTACTGAGTATCTGGGGCATAAAAGTCAAGAAAATTCCAAGATTTTGCGTTACTAATTATTATTAAGTATATTTAAACTTGGTTATAGGCTCTACAAAAATATTTCTTAGCTATAATTATAGTCTCTGCGTCGTATACACATCTCAGTAAACTATAATAATTGAATAGTTTCTCTTTAAAATCAAGTTAGTTGTTAGTATTGTTCTCCTCCTATTCTGGCTTAATTATTTCCTAAAGGGTGCGACGTCATTACACCCGCACTGCAATACTTTACTTTCGCATTTTCCACATCCCAAGCCATTCGTCAGTAACACATTCACCCACTCATCTGGTAACTAAGTTGATAGGATTTATCGACTGGAGACATCGGTGTCATCGTAAAAAACTAGACATCATATTATTCCACATTAATAATAGTAAAAATAATTAAATATCTCCCCCTTACCTTACCCCAAACATAAAACATAAAACATAAAAGTCATTCATAATCATTTCCATACATTCCTTCCCATACGGATCCGGAACTTAAATTATACTTAAGCTTCGTACTGCGAGCACCCTCCCTATCGTATAGTGAAAGCATAATTACACAATCTCACTTCGGCCTTTTTTTTTTTTGTAGCACTTTGCTGAAAAATACCATTGCCGTTTCATCCTCAATTCCTTATAACTCCCATTAATTGTGGATTTTTCAGACTTTTCAGTCTTTATCTCAGTGTTTGATTTTCTGCTCAATATCCAATCTTCATCTTCATAATCTTTTCTATCGCTTAGTTTCATATTATCTATCCCTAGATGAATATATCTTCATTACTATCCCCTAAGAAAATCTTGGGAAAAAAGGATAAGAATTCGAGCTCAAGTAATTCGAGTAAATCTCCTAATGTCGCTGCTTTAACAGCTGCTTCAAAAGCGGCAGCTTCATCAAATAAATCATTACCTAATTCAACTAGTTCAAGTGCATCGACTACATTAACATCTAATACAACCACTTCTTCATCTTCAAATTCCCTGAATGGGAAACCTCATCATATATTATCACCTCCTAGATTAAGAGATTCAACGACAATCGCGACATCGACATCTCCGGAATTTGGATCCAGACCGCAACCACCACCTCTGTCATTAGCTCAAGCATTTAGAGATGCAAACAATCTTCCTACTAATAGTAATAGTCCAAATAGTAATTCGTTATCTTCTTTACCAAGATTAGATGTTAAAATCCCCTCCGGTCAATTTTCCGAGTCTTCCTCATTATATGGTTCATCTCCTACAAGTCCTGTACAACAGGGTAATCCAAGTTTATCACCATTTAGAGCTCCTCGATTAAATTATAGTAATGATAGTAATTCTATACTTAGTGGCTCTCAAAGTCAAAGAAGAAATTTATCCGATAAAATTAAAACAACTCCTTCTTCATTTGTACGTCAACTGAGAATTTATTCAAGTCCTGATTTTAATAATTCTGCCACTGCTTCTATACCTTCACTTAATTCTTTAACTGGGAAATCTTTACTTTTACAAAATAAACTTGAAACTGATAATTTATCACCGGAACTTGTTCCTATAGTTAATTTAATTAATGCTCATAAACTTCGTACTTATGCTGTGGGGAATTTTCTGATTCCTGCAGTATTAGGTGATCAAGAAACTGCTTGGTTAGAAGTTGAAGCAAAATTATCTGGTAATGAATTGGCTATATGGAGACCAGCAGTTTTTCTTGATGATGATGAAGAAGAAATTGTAAGTGAAATTGATGAATTTAAACCAAAATATATTAATCTTATTGATTCAAGAGTTGAAATTGGTCATGATTTTCAAATTCAAATTATTAGTGATTTCCAACATGATAATGCTTTACTCATAAAATTTTTTTCTGAAGATGATTTTATTAAATGGATTGCAGCCATTCAATTATCAAAATTTGAATATAATTCATTAAGTGAATCCTTTACAGCTTCAATTTTATCAAATAAAGGAGCAAAATTAAGTGATTTACATGTTCTACTTAGTTCTAAAAAGAGATTCCCCAAATATGAATGGTGTAATGTTAGATTTCCTCAAATCAATTCAAAATATTTGAAAGTTTATATTGCAATTTTACCATCAGATAATAAAAAATTAGGAAGAATTGAAATTTATTCAACTGATAAAATTCTGAATAAAAATTTAATTGCATATATTAATCAAGTCGATAATATTTTTAATGTTTATCCTGAACATTCATCTATGATTGATATTAATTCTATTATGAAATTGAATGGGGAAATCTTTGTAAACAAAAACTTTGAGTATTTGTTTTATCATGAACAAACTCCATCTTCAAATACAAATCATGGTATTCCATCTAGTTCAACTTCTTCTTCATTGACATTACCAATTCCTTTTCTGATGAAAAATGGTGCTTCATCTCCTAAACCTTCAAGAGTCGGATCTCATACATCTTTATCATCAGTAACTTATGCTCCTCCAAAATCACCAACTCCACCTGCCTCACATTCAAGAAATGTATCAGTAAATTCTGCAACTTCTTCATTCTTTAATTATGCTCCATCTCCAAAACTTGATGATGTAAACATAAGTCCAAAGAAACCGGTAAATAATAGAAATAGAAGTGTATCATCTCCAGCCAAGATATTTGGGACATTCACAAATTCTAATTCTAATTCAAATACTCCAACTACATCTACAAATCCATTAAGTAATAACACTACTTCCACATCATTAAATTCAACTAAATCATCTACATCTGCATTTTTTAAGAAACATATTAATAATTTTGTTCAAGCCAATTGTGTTTACATTATTCCCACTACTCATCCTGGAGTTAATCCTGTAGAAACTATGATTAGAAATTTTATCCCTATTATTGATGCATTCAGATTGTATGGTAGACCCGATCATTTAAATAGTGATAAAACTAATCCAAATTCATTATTATTTGGTTTACCTTCATTACCTAGATATCAATATTTATCTGATACTGATGCGCAGATTATCGTTGATAAGAACCTTGAGAAGGTGAATGAAGATTGGACTGATGAGACTTGGAGAAAAACCTTCAAATCATTTATTAGTGCAAAATACTTAAAGAGTAGTGTGTCTTCAAAATTCCAAGGATATGGGAATATTCATGATTTATACAGTGAATTGGATTTAAATTTAGAGGCAATCTCTAGTCCTACGATTTTATTACCTAAAACTGATAGTGTCGAATCAGGCGATAGTTTTAGTGATATTATTAATGTCATCAATACTCCACCTTCAAGAGTTGCTTCACCATTAGCTGCAGCTCCTGCTATAAATAATTCAAACTATTTAGGTGAACCTATTCAATTACCTACTAGACATGTTTCTTCACCATTATCATCAGTTCATCATCGTTATGAAGATGAAGAACAACAACAACAAGAACAAAGTCATCCTCAACCAATTAATAAGAGTAGTGGAAATAATAATATTCACAACTTAAGATTAAATGGAGAAGATGATTATAATGCAGGAAGATCTCTTGATCCTATTGTCGATTTACCTACCCCATTGGATGAACTACATGCTTATCCTAATTTAGTTAATTTGGACTTGCGTCTGGATAATGCTGCTTAAGATTACATTACAATACATAATTTTGCTTTACATTTTGGTGTCTTTATGGTTTAAGTTGCATTCATACATATTTTTACCTCATTGCACGTTTGTCTTGTTATAAATCTGTCTATTTGTCTGTTTTTTTCTTTTGTATATTATAGATGGCTTACTGGAATCTTATAAAATATTATATATGAATGTACGTATGTATTCACGTTATTAGTGAGTTATGGTAGTCCAACCCCAACTCGTATACGACAGTAAATAATAAGCATTTATTCATATCTCCTTATATAAAGATCAGGTGGCTATGTTAATAAATAGTTGCAAAAAAAATATTGTCCGACATAAAATATTATTTAGGTGGACTGACTGCAAACAGAGAGGGGATTTCGTTTCTGTCACGCCACCGATGTCTTTCACCGACATTCGGAATATTATCATTAATAATATTATAATATTATTATATAATAACATAATAATAGTATAATAATAATTGTAATGATCCGTACCAATTCGGAAATGTATGATCGAGAGATACCCAGTCAGCTGGAAGACCAGCATAAAGTTTAGACGCGTTAGTAATCATAATTTCATATCGAACGTTCTTGGTCAAACGAGAGAGACGTGATCATGTACACGTCCACGTCTACGTCTTGTGGTGTGGTGGATGTTTACAAATTCATCAAATGAAGTAAAGCTAAGTGCTGATATAAACAAAAGATATCCCACAAATACGCGCAATTGTGTGAGACGTGAGACGTGTATGTACAAATAGTGCCTAACTTGCAAACTAACATAACTAGCAACAGTGGTACTGTTTCAGGTCATATTGACTTCCAAATTTATCCAACCTACTATATATCATTACTCTACATGTTGCCAACCTTCTGACGCTTCTAACGAATCCCATATGGTCTAATCAGTTATATTCTATCTAACTTATAAGACGGGGTATAACCCTAACACCGCAAAGACGCGACATTTTGTAAACTGTAAAACAATAGCACATCTTTTCTTTTTTTATTTTTTTATTTTTCTCTCCTGCTGGTTGCTCGAATGTCAAGTGAAATTTTTCAAAATGGGTGTTTTGATTTCTAACCTTTTGGATCTATATAGTGAAAGAAACATAACACAAGAACTAACTACGGATACCGTACACGGAGCAGGTTTATACGCATATAGATTATAAAAGAACGGAATATCCTGCGAATTCGAATTAGTTGTTGATTTCTATTTATTATAATATTCATTAAAAAAGTATTAAAGAAAGCACGACATCGACACGTCCTCGTCCTCGTTCTAATAGAATTCTTCCTCAAATACTTTATACTTCCATAATAATTAATAATAAATAAATATATATATATATATAATGTCCATCAAAGAAACTCCAACTAACGGTTTAACTGGTAAAATTTCTTCCTTAGACGTGTCAAACTTAAAGGGATCTGCTTTAACTGATAAATTAGCTGCTGTTGCGGAACAAAAAGATCTTGCACAAACTATGAATATTACTAAGGCTACTTTAGTTTCTGAAACTAAGAAAGAAGAAACTACTAAGAAAGATGAAGACAAAGATGTTGTTGAACATCAAGACTTCTTAGCTAAACATAAAGTTCATCGTCATCACTTAAAGTCGTTAGAAAAGGATGAACCAATTTTACTTGAAAACACCCGTCGTTTCGTCTTGTTCCCAATTAAATATCATGAAGTTTGGCAAATGTATAAGAAAGCTGAAGCATCTTTCTGGACTGCTGAAGAGATTGATTTATCTAAGGACTTACATGATTGGAATAATAGATTAAATGATAATGAAAGATACTTCATTTCTAGAATTTTAGCATTCTTTGCTGCTTCTGATGGTATTGTTAATGAAAATTTAGTTGAGAATTTCTCGGCTGAAGTTCAAATTCCTGAAGCTAAATGTTTCTATGGATTCCAAATTATGATGGAAAACATTCATTCAGAAACTTATTCCTTATTAATTGATACTTATATTAAGGATCCAAAGGAAGCCGACTTTTTATTTAATGCCATTGATAATATTCCATGTATTAGAAAAAAGGCCGATTGGGCTTTGAGATGGATTAGTGATGATGAAGCGTTATTTGGTGAAAGATTGGTGGCCTTTGCTGCGGTTGAAGGGATCTTTTTCAGTGGCTCATTTGCTTCTATCTTTTGGTTAAAGAAAAGAGGTTTAATGCCGGGCTTAACGTTCTCTAATGAATTAATCTGTAGAGATGAAGGGTTACATACGGACTTTGCTTGCTTATTATTTTCGCATTTACAAAATAGACCTGATGCAGAAATTGTTGAGAAAATCATTACTGAGGCTGTTAAAATTGAAAAGGAATTCTTTACTGATGCTTTACCAGTATCTTTATTAGGTATGAATAGTAAATTAATGTGTCAATATGTTGAATTTGTTGCTGATAGATTATTGGTTGCCTTAGGTAATAAAAAAGTATATAATGCCACTAATCCATTTGATTTTATGGAGAATATCTCATTAGCTGGTAAAACCAATTTCTTTGAAAAAAGAGTTAGTGATTATCAAAAGGCTGGAGTTATGGCTCAAGCTAATGATTCCAAGTCTGCCAGTACCAACTTCTCGTTTGATGAGGATTTCTAAGTGCTTGCGCTTGGTTACTGTCATGTCATACGTTACGTCACTTTAAGATTATCGTCGTTTCTGGTTATTTGGTTATTCTTGTTGTTTTTGTCTTTTAGTTGTTTTTGTCTTTGTCTTTTGTTACTGCCTTTTAATTTCACACTCATAATGCTGCCTCATTGTTTCTTCAGTTCTATGCTATCACCGTAAATCTACCACGTGATATGTCTGTATTTATATAAATATATATCATTTTCAAACTATATAAAAGTTTTCCATCAGTATTATCTATGTTATATTGTATTGTATTACCTTTGACTTGGTACTAGCGCATTAAGAAGTCCTCATTATAACGAAGAGAAAAAAAAATTATTTGAAAATCATCGTACATAGTTAAGCACAACTCTCTAAATAGTACCATAGAGATAGAACTCAGTATGGCAAAGGGTAAAAATAAGACCTCGGAAGAGAGGTCCGGAAGTAAGGCCAGAACTTCAAATGGTCATAAGGCTAAACAGCATCATATACGAAAAGGTAGACAAGAAGTTAGTGCCTCATCACTCTCATCTTCAATAACTTCTACAGCTAATGCGAAGTTCCCTGCCAAACTTGCAATGTGGGATTTTGATCATTGTGACCCTAAAAGATGTAGTGGGAAGAAATTGGAAAGATTAGGATTAATTAAAAACCTTCGGGTTGGACAAAAATTTGCTGGAATTATTGTATCACCTAATGGTAAATCAATAGTTTGTCCTAATGATTTAGAAATCGTAGAAGAAAATGGAGCAGCTGTAGTTGAATGTTCATGGGCAAGATTAGATGAAGTTCCATTCAATAAAATTGGAGGTAAACATGAACGTTTATTACCATATTTGGTGGCAGCCAACCCTGTAAATTATGGAAGACCATGGAGATTAAATTGTGTTGAAGCATTAGCTGCATGTTTTGCCATTGTTGGACATCTTGATTGGGCAGAAATGTTATTGGAAAACTTTTCATGGGGATTAACTTTCTTAAAGATTAATGAAGAATTAATTCAAGTATACCAAAAGTGTACAGATTCCGAATCCATCACCAAAGCTCAAGATGAATGGTTAGAAAAAATCGAGTTGGAAGCCAAGGAGAGGAAAGAAAAGGCACATACTGAAGATGTGTGGATGATGGGAAATGTAAATAGAAAAGAGATTGGAAGTGATGAAGAAGATGAAGACGACGATGAGGAAGAAGACGATGAGGAAGAAGATGATGAAGAAGATATAGAATATGACAACTTGGGTAATATAATATCCAAGTCTAAGATTAACACCGCTAATGATTCTGAGGAAGAAGTAACAGATCTGGATGAAGAAGATGGATTTTATGCGACTTTATCGAAGAAAATGGCTGGTAAAGAGCCTAAATATGATTCCTTGGGAAATCTTATAGAAGACGATGAAGATGTTCTGGAGGAGGATGAATCAGAAGAAGAAGAAGTCCAGTATGACAAGCTTGGTAATATAATACCTCGTGAACAGTTGCATAGTAAATTAGATAGTCTCACACTTTCTACGTAGATATTATATAGATATTTTAATTTTGTACACAATTTCGCAAATATTTTGCAGCTATTTATGTTTCTAGGAAGACACCCGCTATAGTAAACATCCAATTCATTTAACTATCACTACTAAATCGTATACAATTCAGTCACCCAAATACCAGAATGTCAATATCAGATACGTTACACAGTGAAGGCTCACAAGCATCATCCAAATCCTTAACTCAGCAATTAGACGATATAGCCAATGAAGCTTCGTTTTACACGCCTCTTGAAACACCAACTGAACAGAGATCAACTTATTCACAAGATGAGAGCTTAACATATAGTCCTTTTAATACAGTAAATAGTACTGGAGATACAACTGCTCAATGTATACCTGGTGTTTTTAGAAAGTTTGTGCCTGGTAAGACTAGCCGTGCTGACGCCGGAGAAACACTGCCATTATTACCGATATCAAGAAGAGATTGTTTGCCATACAATTACAATGACAATGACAGTGGCACTGATAACAGATCAGGTACTCCACCACCACCTCAAACTCCTCCAGGTAATATTCTTATACCTGTTCTTCAATACATTTGGATCAATATATTTCCAGAATCAGTTCGACAATTTTTGATAGCTCATAGAATATGGGTATTTCTTGGTGGCTCATTAATATTAATTATGGTAGCCCTTGCACTTTACTTTACAGGTAATTTAACCATACTTGTGGTATATCTTAGAATGATTATTTGCTACATATTTGGTGGGGTAAGTAGTATCCCTAACTTTTGCAAGCCATAGATAAGAAAAAAATGAAAACAATTAAAATAAGTTAATCGGGATAAAGCTAATGAAATTCCTAAGCCTATTGATTCGGCAGAAGTGATATAAACTTCCGATCTCTCCTCTCTATTCCCCTTTTTTTTTTGAATCTCCAAATATATAACTATATAATTATTTTTATATTATTAAGCTTTTATACCATTTTGTACGGCTGCTGCATCAATATATACCGATCGGTAATTCTTTGCGCACTTACCGATGGATCCCCAATATTTAATGCGCCTATATAAGATAGCAATATCCACTATAGCTCATCAATGAATTATGCTGTTAATAAACATTACAAACATTACAAACACAAACATTACAATGACTGTACCAGTTCCAGGAATACAAATTGCCATTGATAGAGGTGGAACCTTTTGTGATGTCATTGCAAAAATTCCTAATCAACCAGATTATGTATTTAAATTACTTTCGGTAGATCCTCAAAATTACCGAGATGCCCCAACTGAAGGTATTAGAAGAATTTTAGAAAAAGTTCTGGGTAGATCAATTCCGAAGGATGAAAAGCTTAAATTGAATTTAATTGAAAGTATTCGTATGGGTACAACTGTTGCTACGAATGCTTTATTAGAAAGGAAAGGTGCTGATGTTTTATTAGTAACTACTAAAGGTTTTAAAGATGTATTGGTAATTGGAAATCAAACTAGACCAAATATTTTTGATTTAACCGCTAAAAAATTAGGACATTTATATAAAAAAGTAGTTGAAATCGATGAAAGAGTTACTATTGAGAATTTTATTGAAGGTGGAGGTGATAAATTAAAAGTAGATATAAATTCTGATGCTCAACTTCTTGTTGGAGTAACTGGTGATATTATTAGAATTATAAAAAAACCTGATTATGATTTAGTGAAACAACAATTACAAGAAATTTATAATCAAGGACAAATTAAATCAGTTGCTTTATCACTTCTACATTCATATACTTACCCAGAACATGAAGCCAATATTGCTAAAATTGCTAAAGATATTGGATTTAAAGTATCAGTATCTCATGAATTACAACCAATGATTGGACTTGTTAATAGAACTTCATCTACTGTGGCTGATGCTTATTTATCACCAATTATTGAAGAATATATTCAAAATTTTGGTAATGGATTTGAAGGAGGTCTTGATGCATTTGGGAATAAATTATTATTTATGCAATCAAATGGTGGTTTATGTCCATGGTATAAATTTACTGGACTTAAAGCCATTCTTTCTGGACCTGCTGGTGGAATGGTGGGATTTGGTCAAACATGTTTTGATAATATTTCTGGTAAGGCAACCATTGGTTTTGATGCTGGAGGAACTTCAACTGATGTTTCAAGATATTCAGGTAATTTAGAACATATTTATGAAACTGTGGTAAGTCAAGTAGCTTTACAAACTCCTCAATTAGATATATCAACTGTAGCAGCAGGTGGTGGATCTATATTATTTTGGAGAAATGGTATGTTTGTGGTTGGACCAGAATCAGCAGGTTCAGATCCTGGTCCAGCTTGTTATCGTAAAGGGGGTCCATTAACTGTTACCGATGCTAATTTATTTTTAGGTAGACTTTTACCTGATTACTTTCCCAAGATATTTGGTCCAAATCAAGATTTACCGTTAGATTATGAACTTACTAAGAGGAAATTTGAACAATTAACTAAAGAAATTAATAAGGATAAAGCATCTGAAGGAGTTTCATTAACTGCTGAAGAAGTTGCGTCTGGATTTTTAAAAGTTGCCGTAGAAGCTATGGCAAGACCAATTAGAAATTTAACTGAAGCTAAAGGATTTCATACATCAGATCATAATTTAGCATGTTTTGGAGGATCAGGAGGTCAATTTTCAGTATCTTTATCAAAGAATTTAGGAATTTCTCATGTAGCCATTCATAAATATTCTTCATTACTTTCAGCTTATGGTATTCAATTAGCTGATATTGTTATTGAAAAGCAATCACCAGCATCGTTTAATTATTCACCCGAGAATTTTGAAAAGATTGATTCTAAAATTAATACTTTAGTTGAAGCAGCACAAGAAGAACTTAAAGCTACTGCCCTTAGCAATTTTAAAACTAGATTGGAAGTTTATTTAAATATGAGATATGTTGGATCAGATACTCATTTATTAATTCCCAGATTACAAGGAGAATATGATACTGATAAGAAATTTATTGCTAGACATAAGAGTGAATTTGGATTTAATTTAGATAGAAATGTCTTAGTTGATGATGTTCAAGTATTATTATATGTTGAAAATAATCAAAAACAACTTCATAATCCATTTGAGGAATATAATAAATTACAAACATCATTTGAAGTAAATTCTACTGAAAATATTCAACCAATTTATTTTGAAAAAGATGGTTGGCTTAATTCTTCAGTTCATCAATTACCCAATTTAAATCATGGATCAATTGTATATGGTCCATCGATTATTATTGATAAAACTCAAACTATTATAGTTGAACCTAAATCTAAAGCAGTAGTATTATCGGATCATATTCTTATACTTGTTGAACTTGAAAATGAAAGTCATATATCGGCTGATGTGGTTGATCCAATTCAATTATCAGTATTTGGTCATAGATTTATGTCTATTGCTGAACAAATGGGTAGAACTTTACAACAAACGGCTATTTCAACTAATATTAAAGAAAGATTGGATTTTTCTTGTGCAATCTTTGATGCTGAAGGGGATTTAGTTGCTAATGCTCCTCATGTTCCAATTCATTTAGGAGCTATGTCATTTGCAGTTAAGGCTCAAAAGGAAATGTGGGAAGGTAAATTAGAACAAGGTGATGTTTTAGTAACTAACCATCCTCTGGCAGGTGGTTCTCATTTACCAGATATTACAGTAATTACTCCTGTATTAGATAAAGATAATAAACCAATCTTTTGGACAGCTTCAAGAGGTCATCATGCTGATATTGGATCAATTTCTGCTGGTTCAATGCCTCCATCTTCCAAAACTATTTTTGATGAAGGAGCAGCTATTGTAACTCATAAATTATGTTCAAAGGGTAAATTTGATGAAGTAGGAATTACTCGTATTTTACTTGAAGAACCTGCTAAACATCCTGGAGGTTCAGGTACAAGAACTTTAGGAGATAATATTTCTGATTTAAAGGCTCAAGTATCAGCTAATTATAAAGGTATAACATTATTATCAAAACTTGTAGAAGAATTTAGTTTAAATGTTATAAATCTTTATATGAAAGCTATTCAAGATACTGCTGAAATTGCCGTTAGAAATTTATTAAAATTAGCTCATCTGAAATTTGGTGGTCATGATTTAAAGGCTATTGATTATCTTGATGATGGTACAGCTATTGCTTTACAAATTACTATTAATTCAGACACTGGTGATGCTATATTTGATTTTACAGAATCAGGAGATGAAATCTATGGCAATTTAAATGCTCCAAGAGCTATTTTATATTCTGCTGTATTATATGTATTAAGATCATTAATTAGTAGTGATATTCCTTTAAATAATGGATGTTTAAAACCAATTAGTTTTAAAACTAGAGAAGGATCAGTTGTTCATCCATCGGTTGAAGCCGCTGTGGTTGGAGGTAATGTTGAGACTACTCAAAGAATTGTTGATGTTATGTTAAAGGCATTTGAAGCAGCAGCTGCATCTCAAGGTACTTGTAATAACTTTACATTTGGTATAAATGATAAAGAACATGGTATATCATTTGGTTATTATGAAACCATTTGTGGTGGATCTGGAGCTGGACCTACTTGGGATGGACAATCCGTTGTACAATGTCATACTACTAATACTAGAATTACTGATACTGAATTATTTGAAAAGAGATATCCTGTCATTGTTCGAGAATATTCAGTTAGAACTGGATCTGGTGGTAATGGATTCCATAAAGGAGGTGATGGAGTAATTAGAGATATTGAATTTACTTATCCAAATTTGGAAGTTTCATGTTTAATGGAAAGAAGATCCTTACCACCATTTGGATTATTAGGTGGACAAGATGGATTAAGAGGGAAGAATTTCTGGTATAAGAAGACTAAGACTAGTCCCGGAAAGTATTCCAGAATTTCTCTTGGAGGTAAATGTACAGTTAGAATTCAAAAGGGTGATAGAGTGATTATTTTAACTCCAGGAGGGGGTGGATTTGGAGCTATAGAGCCAACTAAGGAACAAGAAGAAGACAAAAGTTCCCAAGTGCAGTATCCGGTAAAGAGTAGTGAGCCTACTATACTTAGTGGAAGCGTAGGATTAAGAACCATTACTCAGGAGACGAACTAGGCACTCAACCACCCAACTAATTGACTAACTAACTAACTAACTAAGTAACTAAATACTATATAACTATCTTTCTCTTTCTTGCTCTTTCCTTTTTATCGTTAAGTGTATACGTTTTATTATAAATTATTAACTATTGTAAATTGTGAGTTGTGTCACTTTTGTATGTCACTTCTGCATGTCTGTGTCGCAAATGTCTGGGGAAAAATAGACATTGCCTCAGAACTGACACACCCAAAAGGGTAATGAACTTATCACTCTAACTAATCACCTATACCCACAAATCTCGTCAATAATGCAAAGTAATGAGTTCAGCAGTAAAGTTGAAGTATCTACCGTTACTATGGAATCCATTCCTAAATTGTCTATTTAATAATGCACATCCTGAACGAGCACCATTCAAACAAACCATTGATGAATTAGGTAGAAATCATAATGATTATACTATATTAGTACCTCCATGTTATATTCAACATGATTGTTTTGATCCAACCACTACCAATAGTTCAAATCCTACAAGATTAAGAGAATTATTTTATAATGATGAAGATTTTATACGATCTCATATAATTCGAACTGGTTCATCTCATTCAACAACTATAACTCCTATATCAAAAGTTCAACTGGTAATTTATAATACCATGAATGGTAAACAATTATTAATTAAAAATGGAATGATATTTACTGGTAAAGGGTTTAAAAAAAGTTTAAAACTTCGAATATTATATTATCAATATGTTGATCTGATTAGTGATTATTTCCCTAAGGGAAGTAAATTAATGATAATTTATATTGAAAATTCATTATTTGGAAGTTATAATCCTCATGATATTTCTCCAATAAGTTCTTTAATAAATTCTCCAAATTCTCCCAATTCTCCTCATGATAATACTTTAAGAAATCAATTATCTGATTCAATAACTTTTGAAAAATTATTAAGAAATTATCCAATTTTATCAAAGGCTGTTAGTGAAAAATTCTATCGATTATTTCATAATAATAATAAAGATTTTAATCTTTTAAGAACTACTGGTCAAAGAGATCTTGCTGATATTACTGATGAATTTTATAAAATAAGAAAAGCTGCTTTTGATATTTTACAAGAAAGTGTAACTGATCCTAATGGTCAACAAACTTATGAAATAATTGATCATATTCAAAAGACATATCCTCAAGTTGATCAACTAATTCATGAATATGTTGAATTAAATTTATATGATAAACTTTGGTCAAAATTAATTTATCAATTTAATTTCCCTAATGATGGTAAAACTGATGAACATTCAATTAAAATCTTAACTAATGAAAAATATGATTATTTATCATGTTTAGCATTAAATCAATTAGATGCTCAAATAGATAAACCATGGCAATATAATGAATTTCAAAAAAGAATTGTAGCTGCAATTCAAGAATTCTCGAAATTATCTGATGCATCAATTATTAATCTGAGACTTAAAACTGAAATTATTAGTAAAACTTATGAAATTTTAGCAGAATCTAATAAAATTTTAGGAATTGAAGGTGATGCTGATATTTTATTACCTTTATTAATTATGGTAGTTGTTCATTCAAAAGTAGATAATATTGAAGCTCATGTCTATTATATTGAAAGTTTTACAGCTATACCATTAGAAGATGTAAGAGGATTAAAATTTATGGTAACAAATTTAAGAATTGTATTTGCATTCTTAAGTATGCAAAAAGATTATGCAAGAATTGTTGATAGTTCTCAACATAATTTTGATTTATGGTCTTGTATTCAACATAATGATATTAATAAATTTAGAATTATTATAGATAATGTTAAACATTCATTTATTAATAATGAAATTCCTTATGATCATTTTTTAAAGAGTAAAAATATTAATGGTGAAAGTTGTATAATGTTTGCTATACGATCAAAAAATTATGATATGTATAATGTTTTAATTAATGAAAATCCTACCTGGTTTTCTATTGATGAAATTTTATTTGATAAAAATATAACTACTAATCAAACTTTATTAATGATTGCTTTAACTGAAGAATGTAATGATATATCAAATGATTTAGTTAATTTAATTTTAACTAATGCAACATTATTGGAACAAAAAAAATATTTTAATTTAGTTGATTCATCAGGTAGAAGTGTTGGACATTATATATTCCATAATTATCATTTAATTGATATTATTGGTCATTTAATTGATTGGGAATTAAAAGATATGAATACTTATACTCCATTATATACAGTATGTCGATGTTATGATCATTTAGATTATGGTAAATTAATTTCAAAAGCATTTGATTGTGTATATAAAAAATATGGTCGAGGTAATATTGATTTTGATAAACATATGGATAAATTAGGTAATACATTATTACATATTATAAGAAGAAATTTGAAATTCACAGAATTATTACAAGATAAAAAAAATTTAGTTAATGTTAATCAAGTTAATCATAAATTTCTTAGTCCATTAAATCTTTATGTTAAGGCAAATAGGATTGAAAATCTTCGAAATCTACTTGTAGATGATCGACTTAATTTTTTACAGGAAGATACAAAAAATTGGTATAATGTATTAGATTTTCTTGGATTTTCTGCTTCAAAAGCAACAGGTATTAGTCCTGATTTTAAAAAAGTAGAACGGTTAATTTTTGATTTTTTGGCTAATAATTATTCACCAAAGACTGAAAACAATAAACTTATTGCACTCAATGCGAAGTATGATCCAAGTCGAGCTGATTGGGTAGTTTATTTTCTTATGACACCAGACAAAAGAGTTAATAAATCTCTTGAGTCTATTAAACTGATTATATCTTTACAAAAACTAGAGAATCCATTATCGATATATCCTGATGTCTCCACAATATGGAATAATTATGGAAATGGATCTACCACACCATACTTTCATAAATTAAGAGTTAATAGATTGATTGATCAATTCAATATTTATTTTAAAACATTAATAATCCAAGAAGAGACGGATTTATTTGAAAAGTTTATTAGTGATACTAATGGCTCAAAGAATAAACTGACTTTAGAATTATTTCAAGAAATGAATGAAATACAAGAGCAAAGAAGGAGAAGTTTGGGAGAGGTTACTATGACTAGAAATGCAATTAAAGATATTGAAGGGTTTATAAAGTATACTAAAGAAGATTTAATTCAATCTAAAACTCAACTCACAATTCTTCGAAAATTAATTGCTGTTGGAGAAATCAAACAAGCTGATGTAAGATTTTTGTATGATAGATTATTATCTAAAGTATCATTATCAGAGTTAATACCAGAATTAAGTGGTATTAGATCTACTAATGAATATACAACAGAGGACCATGGATATTCTAAATTGTTACCATACATTTCATGGTTAGAGATTACATTTGATGAATTATTCAAACATATGAATCATGTGTTAAACTCTATCCAAAGTTGGAAAAGCATTTACAAATCAATAACTGAGTTGAATTCAGAGTTACACAAGATAGAACTGAAATCCCAACCTCCACAACAGCAACAACAACAACAAGAAGAACAACAAGAACAAGAAGCAGATACCAATGAACCAAACAATGGATCTTTACAAAGAAGAAACACTTTCACAATTGAACCAATTCAAGATCATGAATTCGATGATCCCACTAGTTCACTCTTCAATTTTGGGAATATTTTAGAGAGTAAAAAGGCAAGATATAAGAAACTTGTAATGACTAAATCTGAGAAAGTTAAACAAATTTTAAAACTTAACGTACAATTAAAATGGGATCATGAGTTAGTAGCAGTAGAAATTACTAAATTCTTAAAATTAAGATCTCATCTTCTTCTGTATGGTATTAAGGAATTCACCAAGTTTGAACTTATAAGATTAAAGAATAGACATCTTGAATTATCTCAAGCATTATTCTCGTTAAGGGTTAAGTCTAAGCAGTCGCCTAGATCCTAAACGAAGAAAAAAAAAATTTGCAGCCTATTTAGTGACAGTCAGTGGTCGTGGGCGTCTCCCTAAAAGACAATTAAAATTACAGAATATTCGAGAAGAAATTGGGGCGCTAACTACCGAAAATTTGGGGCCGATTCCAAAGTCGTGGCAGGCAATATATATTTCTCAATTTGTATAATATATATATAATATAATATATAATAGATACTCCACTATAGTAAAGCAGTTGTGTATTGAATAGTAATAAATTAGTTCAATTCAATGTCTAGTATAAAAAATAAGGATATAGCATTATCCATTGTTCAGTTCTTAAAACAAGCTGTTAGTAATAAACAGATTGCTGAAGATTATGTTGAATCATTAGATGTAGCTATTGATTGTATAGCTGATGCCTTTGAAGTTGATAAGGATGAACAAGTTAAAGTATTTGATGGAAAGTCCTTACCTGAATTGATTCAAGCTGGTTTATCAGGATCATCATCATCTGCTAGTACTGCAAGTGCTACTACTTCTACTTCTACTAGTAGTAGTAGTAGTCCAGTTGAAGTTGATGCTGCTACAAAGGAAAAAGCTGATGCTTTAAAAGTAGAAGGTAATAGAGCTATGGCTGCTAAGGATTTCTCTACTGCTATTTCCAAATATACTGAAGCTATTGAATTAGACGGTTCAAATGTAGTTTATTTATCCAATAGAGCTGCTGCCTATAGTTCTTCTCAACAACATGAAAAGGCCGTTGCTGATGCTGAAGCAGCAATCAAGTTAAATCCAAACTTTTCAAAAGCTTATTCTAGATTAGGTTTAGCCAAATATGCTCTTGGTGATGCCAAGGCTTCTATGGATGCTTACAAAAAGGGTCTTGATATTGAAGGTCCAAACAAATCAGATGCTATGACTAAAGGTTATGAAACTGCTAAGACTAGATTTGAAGAAGAATTAGAAAATTCTATTTCTAAAACTGATGTTACACCAAGTGAATCTGAATCTTCTTCATCTGCTGGTGCCGGTGCAAGTGCTGGTGCTGGTGCTGGAGGTTTACCTGATTTAGGTAATTTAGGTAACTTATTTGGTAGTGGAGGTATGCCAAATTTATCAGAAATGATGAATAATCCAGATATTATGGCTGCTGCCAATAGAATGATGCAAGATCCTCAAGCATTATCTAATTTAATGAGTAATCCAGCTGTTCGTCAAATGGCTCAAAACTTTGGATTAGGTGGTGGAGCCGGTGGAGCCCCAGATCTTAGCAATTTATTTGGTGGAGCCAATAGAGGTAGTCAAGAATAATCAAAATAATTATAAAGGTGATAACTAACGATTTAATTCTTTTAACAAGTTCTTTATTTTAATTTATTATATACATGTATAGTCTTTAATGAATTTGCCTATTTGGTATAAATGCAGCAATTGCAAAGAAAAAAAAAATTATGGCCTAAACTGTTAAGCGATATTTTTCACCACCACCACCACCACTACTACTACTACTGCTAAGTTGTTGTGTGCAACATGTTGGTAATTGGGTGTGTAAGGCCAACATGTAGACAGTTGATAATGAAGAGATCATTTAAATATGATACTGTGCGATATCTTAACCAATCTGGTTGGTTCTTCAGTCGTCATAAACATCTTTTTAAAACATTTAAATTAGATAGTATACCAAAATTACCATATCATGAAACTATTGAATTACTGTATCAACAATATAAACCATCTAAAACATTTGAAATAGATACTAATTTATCACCTATTGTTATGTTACATGGATTTCTTGGATCTAAACAAAATTATGGTACAGTTGCAAGACATATTACTCAATTAACTCGACATCCAGTTTATGGAGTTGATATGAGAAATCATGGACAATCAATGCATGCTGGACCTCATGATTATTATCATTTAGCATTAGATGTAATTAAAGTATTACAAGATAAAAATTGGAATGATGCTATATTAGTAGGACATTCTATGGGAGCTAAAGTTGCCATGATTGTGGGATTACTTGAACCAGAATTGTTATCAAAAATTATAGTTATTGATAATAGTCCTGTTAGTAGTCAATTAGATGAAAGTTTTGAAAAAGATGTGGTAGGAATGTGTCATGTAGAATATGACTTTCCTAATTTTATTAATAAATCTCCAACTTTTCAAGCTTCTAAAGTTGATTCTATATTAGATCAATATGAGCCAGATAAGAAAGTTCAATTTTTCTTAAAGACTAATATTAACAAGAATTATAAGATAAAGGATCAATATTTTAGAGTTCCTGTATTCAATTTTCTTAAGGAAGATGTTATTAGTAATATGGGAGATTGGCCATCTGATAAACTAAATAATAAAATTTTTGACAAACCAGTATTAGTCATTTCTGGTAAGCATTCTAATTTTGTTAAAGATGAGTACTTGCCAATATTTCATCATTACTTTACGAATGTAAAGTTTGAAGAATTCGAATGTGGACATTGGGTGGTAACAGATAAGCCTCAGGAGTTTATAACTTCTGCTGTTAACTTCATATCTTAGGTAATATAATTATATAACATAGACCATATATACATACATAGACCGTATATACATACATAGAGCATATAAATCATAGAGCATATAAATCATAGAACATATAATAAAAGATAGAACATATAAATCATTATAATTCGAGCATATATTATTTACATAATGAGAACAACTCATTAATTACTTTAACCATAAAACCTATAATTACTACATATGTTCCTATCTAACTAACTCTAATAAACATATAATTCAGATATTATCTAATCCCACCTGATTACATAATCTGACTCCCATCAGCAGTCCAAAAAAAAGTATAAAAGGAAGACAAAAAAACTCGACTTTTTATTGCTGTTAAAAGAAATCTATGATATAATTACGGGCATCATTAAGATACGAATCAATTTAATAATAAATAAATAAATAAATAATAATAATAATAATATGTCTGAATATTCATCAGGATCAGCGTCTACGGATGATTTATCACTTCCAAAGGCAACTGTTCAAAAGATAATTAGTGAAATACTTCCGAAAGATATTGCTATATCTAAAGAAGCAAGAGAAGCCATTACTGAATGTAGTATATTATTTATTATGATGTTATCAACCCAACTGAATGATATAGCGGAAAAGGAGGCTAAAAAAACCATTGCATCAGATCATGTCGTTAAGGCATTAGAAGAATTGGATTTCCATAATTATCTTGAAATTATAAATAAAGTATTGGATGAACATAAAGAATTATTAAAAGGAAAGGAAAAGAAGAATAATAAATTTCAAAATTCTGGTTTATCAGAAGAAGAATTGCTTAGGCAACAAGAAGAATTATTTAAGAAATCAAGAGATCGTTTACAAAACTCTAATCCCGATACTTCCGTTAAAACAGAATAGATTAATTCATCCATCTAATGTTGTAATGATAATAATGACTAAGATTTTCTTCAATTCAAACACTTAATAAATCAAAACTTTTAGGTCAACTTTGAGATGAGACAATGAACCAACTCTGTATAGTATAGCATCTATGTATAATAATCACAATAACAATAACAATAACTACAACAAATGACAGATTACTGTTTGGTTAGTTCATATAATAATTTTAAATAATATTAATATTAATCTGTAGTATGCATATATATATTTAAAGTGTACCTACTTAACCCCAAACTATTTCGTATAATATAATTACAATATTGACCACTATTAAAGGTATTCTCATTAATGTTCTTACAGCTCCTATTAAATTGACCAATCTAGTCTTAACCGATGATCCTTCATTAGCATCATATCCAGTATTAAATTGTTGATATTGTGGTTGAAGATTACTATTAGTAGCACTTGATCCCCATCCGATTCTATTTAGAAATCTGTCCTCACTGAGAACTGCTATTCCATTAATTGTGAATATTATCACATATAATAATTTGCCTAATCCGAACATAGTGTTATTCAATCAACTAACTTTTGATAATAGTATTAGTATACACACAAGTTGACTTTGTTAGTGGTAGTTGACTCTTTGGGTGTTGTCTGTCTATAGAGAGCTGTACCGTGTTTTTGGTGAGGGTGCTTTGGACGTGCAACTTTTCAATTTCTAGTAGTGAACCTGTAATATGTCAGTTAACCTGTAAACACATACATAAACTGTTATTTGTTTACCTTTTACAGAAATGATCTATATACTACAACTACTACAACTACTATAACTATACTACTTAATTAACATACTCACTTCTACTATTATGTTACAAACTATGCAATCGTCTCCACTAAAACAACAAGTAAGAGGTCGTAAAAAAGATAGTATAGAACAATTCATTAGTGGATCACAATTATTTCTTGAGAATGGATTATCTCAATTAAGATATATGATACTTATTGAAGGTATAAGTACTCCATCAGGTTATGATCAATCCCCCTATAGATCATATGTTTGGTCAATATTATTAAGAGTACCTAATTTTCGAACTGAAGAATATATATCATTATTACAATCAATGCCTCGAACTTTAAATCCTATTATATATAAAAAGATTAAGAATGATACATTTAGAACTTTAAAGAATGATACAAATTTTAAATCAAAAGTTAGTGAAGAATCATTAATTCGTATACTATCTTGTATAGCTATAACTATAGATGATAAAGTTGGTTATGTACAAGGTTTAAATGTATTATTAGCTCCAATAGCTTATGTTTGTCATAAAAGTGAACCTTATGCTTATGCAATATTACATAATTTAATAAGAAATCATATACCTTTATATATAACTCCAAATTTAGATGGAGTTCATACTGCATTAAATTTAGTTGAAGTTGTATTAAAAATAATTGATCCAGTATTAAGTGAATATCTTGATTCAAAATTTTTAAAACCAGAAATTTATGCATTTCCTTCAATTTTAACTTTATGTGCTTGTACTCCTCCATTAAAATCAGTATTAAAATTATGGGATTTTTTATTTGCCTATGGAATTCATATGAATATATTATTTGTAGTGGCTCAATTAATTATTAATAGATCTTTATTATTAAATTCTGATCTGCCTATGAAAATTTTAAGAAATTTCCCTCCTTTAAATGAAAATGAAATTATAAAACTTAGTCTAAGTTTTATACCGGAATTACCTAAACAACTATATGATTTAATAGTTCGTCATGGTTATGATAGAAATGTTCCAACTGAAGTTAAATCATTTCTAATTGAAAATAATCTATAATCTATAAGTTTAAGTTAAGTTATATAATATAATATTAGTATTAATTCAATACCTAGAATGCTAAAAATTTAAGATAAGTAATAAGTAGAAGCAAGTAGTAATAAGCAAGTATTGATAAGCAAGTATTGATAAGCAAGTAGTGATAAGCAAATAGTAATAAGCAAATACTAATAAGCAAATACTAATAGCAAATACTAATTTTACTAAATTAAATGATACCCTTTTGATAATCATCATAACTGAAATAACCAGCAAGAACAGTACGATCATTATAAGTTCTTCCAGCCAATTGAACAATTGCTTGTAAAGCAACTGATTCATCTTCAAATTCAATAAAGATTTTGCCTAAACCAGGTTCTTTAAATTGACTAAGACCAGGCAAAAAATCAGTGGCTGGTCTAGGAAATTTAATTGATTTAACTTCACCAAATCTAATAACTTCTTGATAAATATCTTGTTTAAAGAATTGATATTTTGCATCATCAGATAAATCTTTTGGATTAAACATATTAAGTAATTGAATAACACTCAGTTTTGGAGTAGCTTTAACTAATTCATTAGTAGCTAATTTAGTTAATGTATCCATTTCAATAACACAATCTTGTATACTAGTTTCAAATGGTATAATACATGAAAAAAATGCATCATTAATAATTTCAATTTCTTTAGATTTATTAATATATTCTTGAATTTTATTAGTTATTTCATCTAATGTGGTAAATTCTTTTGGTTCAATATAAAATTCAATAAATCCAATACCTAAAGATTCTTTTGTACCAATTTCTCTTAATAATTGAAAAGCTTTAATTGGAGCAATTTTTTTCAATTCTTGAATTATAAGAGTTTCAGTTGCTGAAGTATTAACTTTAATAGTAATTTTTCTTGGACTATCAAGTACAATTTCTTCAATATCTTTATCAAGAGATATTTCTTCATAAGCTGGTAATAAAGTTTGAACCACATATTCTTTGGGTCTTTCAATACTAATTGTAAAAGTTAATGAATCATCTCTAAATGGTTCACTATCTTCTTTAAATTTATTAAAAGAAAGTTCTAAACCATTAAATGATGAAATAATTGTGGCAGCAAGATGATTAGAAAATTCCACAATTAAATGATTATTATCTTTAGTAAATTTCTTCTTTTCAACTTTAAAAGTAGATGATTCTTCAATATCAATACTTTTTAAAATACTACTAAAATTATCAACAAGTTTTAAATAATTAATTTGATCAAAATTAATATTTCCAAAGATTAAAGTTTTAGAATTCTTTGAATCAATTGGATCAATTTTAGAAGTTTCTCGTAAAAGATTATCTGATTCGGCTAATCTATCATTAATTACTCCTTCTAATTTTGTATAATCAACAGGTCGAGGATAACCTGGAAGGGGGAATAAACCAGATAATTTAGCTCTTTGAGCACTAACTTCTTCAAATCCTTTAGTTTTAACTCCCCAACCTGAATCAATAATTTTAATTTGATCTAATGTTGGATAACTTTCAACTTTACTAAGTCGACTCTTTAAAACTTCAACAGCATCTACATTAGAAATACTATCAATATCAGTAAGAAAATCTTGAACTTTTGAAAAACTTGTGGCTGGATTCTTAGTAATTTTAGTCCATCTACCATTTCTTGATTCAGTTGCTTTTTCAAATCCTCCAGTTCTGGCGGTTGGAACTCTTCTATCATCCCCATTTTTTCTGTAATCACTTGCTTGATTATAATCATTATTTCTTTCTCTAACATCTCCTCTTTTATTTCCAAAACCTCGATTACTATCATCTCTTCTACCATTTTGCTCATGTGCGGGTACTTGTTTTAATCTATCTGGATGAACTTTCAAACTTCCAGCAGCACCACTATGATTATTTGAATCAGATGGCCATGGGTTACGTTCTTCACGACCTCTTGAGGGTCTTTCATTCTCTCTAGATCTGGAATATTGATCATCTCTAAACCTTGACGACCTATCATCTCCTCCTCGTGAACTACCTCCACGGTCACCTCCTACACTGCCACCTCGAATACTTCCACCTCTTATGCTTCCTCCTCTGATACTTCCTCCTCTACTAGAACCACTTCCTCCTCTACTACTGCTTCCTCCCCTACTGGAACTTCCACCTCTTCCACCTCTTCCAGAACTACCTCTTGCAGGTGATCTTTCTCTTTTTCTATCTGCTTTACCATTAGGCTTACCACCCATCAGTCTAAATATTTCCTCTTGAGAGGCAAGGCCATGGACAGAACTTCGATCTGATCTTAATGAACTATAACTATTAGATGGAGATGAATTTGAAGTGGATGATGGTCCACTGCCGCGAGATCTTCCATTATCTCTAAACAGGTACGCATCTGTACTGTCACCTCGTGAACTTCCACTTCCACTTCCACTTCCACTTCCACTTCCTCTATCTCCACTGGATCTAGAACTTCCACGACCTGAATCTCCAGACCTCCTTATACTTTTAATGAGGTTGGATCTACTCTGCATATTGTGCTTACTTACTATGTGATGATGTATCAGTAACAGGTAATTTGAATGTGGTAAATTTAAAATTTCACTAAATGGGTTTAAGTTTGTGATACTTGAGGATGTTCTTGATTGCCTAAATAGGCAGGGTGTGCACCAGTCTCTTTCCCCTCATCGATTCATTAATATTATTTTGTTTCATAGTTTATTTTATTACCGTTTATAGATATCTTACATACGGCTTTATCACATAACACAATATACATATATTATATGATATTTTTTAAATGATTTACATATTTAATCAGTTTCAACCGGATGTATTTTATAGTACTACAATGTATGAATAAGTATTAATTCGCTGTATATATTTATATATAAATATTATTGTATGCTGTTAAGGTAGACTCATAATTCGTCATGTTCGATTTCAGAGTCATTTTCGTTTTCAGCTTCAACTTCAACTTCAACTTCAGGCGACTCGGTTTCTTCTTCCTCTTGTTGTTGCTCTTGTTGCTGTTGCTCTTCTTCTTCGTCTTCCTCTTCAATCTCTATTTCAGGATCTTCTGACTCTGCTTGCTTGGCTTCAGCCGCTTTCTCTTCGGCTTCGGCCTTTTCAAGTTCTTTCAATTTCTTTCTGTATTCCTGTTGCACTCTTCTATAAACCAATTTCTCTAATCTGTCACTGAGTAATTCTTGGCTTTCCTTATGGTGAGATAAGATATTTTCAATCCCTTGTTCGATACTATGAATTCCATTAACTAATGATTGATAGAATTCATAGAGCTTTTGTTTATTATGAGATTTATAAGCTTTCTCAGACGCTACTAAATCTGCAACTTCTTCAACTACTGTCTTATAATCAGGTATAATTTGTGATAAATTTAATAAATTATCCTTTCCATTACCTATCGAGTGAGTTTTAACTTTACTACTTTCTTTAGTATAGTCAAAACCTTCTTTACTAAACTTTTCTTTAATTTGTTCAACTTCAGCTGCAAGTTCTAATGTAAGTTCTTCAACTTTTAACATTAAATCTGATGCTTTAGAATGTAAATCTTTAAAGCTTTCATATGATAAATCAGTATTTACGAGACTTATAATAGAATCTAATTTCTTTTTAGCTTCATTAATATGAGTTATCTTTTCTAAAACATCTTCAACAGATGCATTGTCACTTTCAAATTCTAACCATTCTATAAAATCACTAATAGTTGATCTGAAATCAATTAAATCTACACTAGAAAGTTCTTCAAGTAAAATATCTTCATTAGATTCAATATGATTTCTTAATTCATAACATTGACCTTCAAGTAAATTCTTTACATGTTCTAATTTAATGGCAATTTCATCTTGTTCATCAAGGAATTTTAATTTACTTAAAAGTCTTTCCTTAGTTGTTTTGGAAATTGGTTTAATACCAGTATATGTTGGTTTAGGAATAGTAACAGTTACTGGAATAGAAAGTCTAATTGATGATTTCTTAGTTTTAGAAGATGAAGTCTTATTGGTGGCATTAGAAGTATCATTAACATCAATTTGAGGCTCAACTAATTCTTCAACTTCTTCTTCTTCTTCTTCCTCAACTTTTTCTTCTGAATCCTTCTTTAAGAATTTATCAAAGAAACCTCCAGAACTCTTTTGTTTTTTACTAACACATTCTAATTCTACTTTAGTTAAATCAAAGAGTTTATTATTATCAATGGCAAATGTTCCAAATATAACGATTTCTTCCTTTGATTTACAATTCAATTTCTTAGCTTTTAAAGATAAATCTTCAAACTGATAAGATTTAATTAACTTATCATCTTCATATAATCCAATATCAATAGAATTGGAATTGGAAATCTTTCCTAATTCTATCTTAGTTGGTTCACTAATTCTTGCTCCTTTAGCATAAACTACACCTTCTTTACGAGAATCATTGACATTAATTTCATAATTATGATAAGATTTTTCAATTAATTCAATTTCAGTTGATTTAGTAAATTTAGTTTTTAATCTTAATCCCTTTAAAGTAGTTCCTAAGGCACAACTTTCATCCGCATTTACAGATTTTGAAATTCTATCTTCTCCAACAAGAGTAGTTAAATGTTTTTGAACAAATGGAATTCTGGTAGATCCTCCATGTAAAATAATTGATTTAATATCTTTAAGTGGGATAGAAGCATCTTCAATAGCAGTTATAATTGGATCTGTAATTTTCAGAACCAAATCAGAATTAATTTCTTCAAATTCTTCTCTAGAAATACTTGTCTTAAAATCACGATCATCATAAATTGATTCAAGTGATATACGATAATCATTATTGGCTGATAAGATAATTTTAGCCTTTTCTGCTGCTTCAAATAATCTAGCCGATATTTTAGGAGTTATATCAGTATGTTGTAATTTAAATAATTCTAAGAATTTTTCAGTTAAAACATCATGAATTGATGAAGTTAATTTTCTTCCTCCAAATGATTCATCATATCCAATACTTTCAAGTTCAACAATAATAGTACCATTTTTTAAAGGAGTAAAAGAAAATAAGGTTGCTCTAGTAGATCCTGCACCCATATCATAAACTATATGATATTCTTTAATACCAGTATAATCTGATTTTTGTAATTTTTTATTAGATACATAATTTAAAGCAATAGCTGATCCATCATCAACAAGTCCTAAAATATTAGAAAATCCTGCTAATTGTAAGGAATCTAAATAAGCTTGTCTGGTGGCAGGTGAAGCAAAAGCAGGAATTGATACTACTACATCTTCAGCAATTGGTAAAGCTGTTGGATTACTTTCTAAATCACTAATGGCTCTTGCTTTAATTTCAGCTAAACCCATAGCTACAATTTCTTCAACTGTAAAAATATAAGAATCATTATCATAACCCAAATCAAATTTAATTGAATTTGATCTAGTATTATCAGATACTAATTTTAAACCAGGATGTTGATGAGCATATTCTTGTACTTGAGGATCTTCAATAGATTTCCCCAATAATGATTTAATATCTAATAAACATGTTTGAGGAAATCTAGTACATAAAGAACCGGTTTGAGAACCATATACTCTTTCTATTTTATTATTATTACCATTGGATTTTATAGAAATTCCTGAAAGATCTTTCCTCTTCCCTTCATCAGTTAATACTAATTCAAATGGTACTCCAGGTGCTAATAATACGGCTTTAGTGAATTTTTCACCAAAATCAAGCCCTAAAATGGCACTGGAAACAAGGCTAAATAAAGGAACTAGTAATAAAAGTATACTACTGGTCTTTAATCTCATGGTTTATTTCCCCTTTGGGTTTAAATTGAAGATACTATGGATAATATAGCTGGAATCGTTGAAAAATCAATTAGGTACACGTATTATGCTTAACTATACAAAGTCACGTGTGCAAAAATAGTTTAAAATTGATTGAGCACCGACGTTGTTGCCTAATTAGGAAAGCGCTTTTTATGCACAATTTTGCAACTTCGTCACTTTCCTTAATTTTACTGGGTATATCTAAAATTGCAAATAAATACTCTAAACTAGGGATAGTGGTGTATTCGAATTCGCTTAGTTGTGAACAGAATAAATTTCAGTTAAATTGATCTGAATCAAGTGTAAGGACATTTTAATGTTTGTCGAGTGGCATCTCATACTTTAGAAGCATACTTTTACTTGTTCGATAGCTTGTAACTGATTCAGCCCAATTGATTTTTCCAGATTTTATTTACTATTTCAAGGCAGTGTTTAAAACATACAATTCACATTAAAGTATTTCTAGGGTTTCCGAAATCAAAATATGCATGTTTGACACCCTATGCAAATCATGAGCCCTGATTCATGCTTGACTAGCTATTTGCCTAGATTCTGATCCGGAACCCATGTCTGTATCGACTACTTTCCCATTATTATAATATTATATACAAAAAATAAAGTTGCTTGCAATCAAAAGGCTCAAAGGCTCATAAGTAGGAAGAAGTGGCGGTCACCATTCTCGTGATCTGATTGTTTGTCAATTGTTTTCATTTTTTTTTTTTTGACAATAAAGAAACGATTCATCTCAGTACAATTCCCAGTAAACTATTCACTTGTTTAGTTCATTTTATGTAACAGTAACTATAAGTTAAAGCTACATTATGAACCTAATAGCTTAGTCTAGAAAAAAGTATACCAGTAGGGCCATCGCACTGAGGAAACTGTTGAATCTTAAAAGTTAATTCAGAGAATGAGTCCAATATTTGATTCTTAATGTTCTCGTATATGGTTGACTTCATATGCCTTTGGTATTGTACATTTTGCAAGGAATCCCAAATAGGAAGTGTGCATCGGCGTATTCCATACCATATGCACTACTAGAGGGCATTCGAGTGAGTCGTGCAAAAATTCATCGTACTTTAAATGGGTTACAAATAGAAAGTAGAGTCATGAGAGATGAGATGAGATGAATATGGGTTATGTTCATAAAATGACATATATGGATGATCTGAGAATATGAAAGTTTTCTTATAAGCACGTATATATGTATTTATATGTCGAAATCTCTATATATAAATTTTGTAGGTACTAATTTATTAGTATGTACTACTGCTATTATTAATGCACGTATTCCGACGGAATGAGCCCTGTGAACATTTTTTACACGTTTATTGATTGTATGTACTACACGTAAAGTTTCGACATTTACAATATTTATAAGTTATTGGTTACATAATGATTTGTCCAACGGAACTGGAATAACTTATAGAAGTTCTTCATTGTTCCTTTGGAAGTAAACTTTAAAGGTATCTTACTCTAACTTTATACCACAAATAGATCTCTAGTTAATTCTTAAAAGGGACTTTTTTTTTCTATGTGCTGATGTCATAGTTAGCGAAATGGTTAAATAAAACTTTTTCGGGATTTGATATAAATGTAGTTTAATTACACCCTTCTTTCTTTTATTTCCTTTATATATTTTTATTCCTTTTCTTGGGACGTAAACTCCCCTTCGAAGCCTTATACTAATAGAATAGAATAATATAATATAATATATAACAAAATGACTGGTACAGACGTTGAAGCTTCAAAGATGTATATATCTTATAATAATATTCATCAATTATGTCAAGAAATAGCACCAAAAATTAAAGACTTTAAACCTGATTTAATCATTGCCATTGGTGGTGGTGGTTTTATTCCTGCTAGAATGTTACGTTCATTTTTAAAGGAACCTGGTCAACCAAATGTTAGAATTATGGCTATTATCTTATCTCTTTATGAAGATATTGGAACTATAGGTAATACTGTTGAAGAAGTTGGAACTCAAGTAGTTAGAACTCAATGGATCGATTATAATCAATCTAAAGTTGATTTAGTTGGTAAAAATGTTTTAATTATTGATGAAGTTGATGATACTAGAACTACTTTACACTATGCTGTATCTGAATTGAAAAAAGATGTACAAGAACAAGCAAAGGCTCAAGGTGCTGATCCATCATCTACAAAATTCGGAGTCTTTGTCTTACATGACAAACAAAAGGAAAAGAGAGCTGATTTACCTGCTGAAATTATGAATACTGGTAATTATTTTGCAGCAAGATCAGTTCCTGATGTTTGGATCGCTTATCCATGGGAATCTACTGACATTGTTTATCATACAAAGAAAGCACTTGAACAAGGTAATGATGTATTTTTACCTTCTACTACTGAAGAAGATTAATCAATATATCTTCACAAAATACTTGTATAATACATAATCTTCAATAGATCAGTCACTATGATTAGAATCACAAATATTTATAAACTAAATTAGAATATTAATACTATTAAATATAAATATATAAACTACTTTATCCCTTACAAATAAATCAAACATATAAATAAACAACAACAAAAAAGGTTTGATTGTCTCTCTAAACTTTTTCAATCCTTATATCCAATATTCAGTCTTGATTCTAAGTGAATTTCTTATAACTCTAGATATTTTAGGCCTAAGTCTGAAGTATTCTACATCAGTCAAGCCAGGAGTTTCAATTTCTTTAATTGAAATCATGAAACCTCTCAAGACTGCTAAGACAATAAATAATGCAAAATATGAAGCACCAACAAACACAGCACAATATACATATTGTGTAGGACTAATTATATTTTTCTTTAACGATATACCTATTATAGGTGAAACAATAGCAAATGCTCCTAGACACATTGACAGCATACAAAATGTGACATTAAACTTATTCATTCTGAACCCAGTTACTGTAATTGCAGTACTAGCAATACATACAAAAACAGCACCAGAAAGAATACCATTAAGAATAGCAAGTACAATAGCTGTAGCATAATTTCTTGCTGGGATCCACATGGCCAATATAAGAATTCCACTGGCAAGATACAGAACAGTAGAAATAGTAATAGCACCATATTTATCTGCAAGAACACCGACAATTGGTCTACCTATTATTATTCCAAGGGATACCATAGCTGCAACAATAGATCCTTGATAAGCTGAATAACCTAAAGATATTGTCCAATCAGCAAGACTGTACAAGGTAACAACATAACCAAACATGGATAATCCGAAGAATAAACATAAACCCCAGAAACCAGGAAAGAAGAACACATGACTATCAAAAATGGTAAATTCTATCTTAGCATTTTTATTCTTCTTTTGTCTTAAAAATATAATAGCCATAGTAACAAGAAATAAGGAAATAAATGATTGAACTCTTAATGCCCATCTAATACCATGAGTTTGCAATACCTTTTGCATACCTAGATTAAATAAGATCCCACCAGCACCAGATCCTCCCGCCACTACACCTTGAGAAAATGTAAGCATTCTATCTTTAAGTCTAAAATGATCCTTAGAACCTCTATTTGCGAACCATTGTGGTAAAATTGTGAAAGATGGTAATCCTAAGAAGGCTAATCCAAAAGATTGTAAAACTCCTTGAGTTAAATAAAGTTGCCACAACTTTTGATGAGAATCAAAACTTGTAATAAACAATGCAAGAAATTGACAAATATTCCCTATGATAATACTTCCTTTGGGAGTAATTTTTCCTGTAATATAATTAATGATAGGAGCACAAGAAATACCTAAACCAAAAGTAATACCTCCGATTGCAGCAAAATCTACAGCTGTAGCTCCTTCATAAAGATTGTGCGTACTATAAAATGCAAAATAAACTGCAAATCCAGAATTGTTCCCCCAAGAGCATGCAGAAAGGGTAAATGTACAAGCTAAAATAACCCAGGAATATCCTCCATTAATATCTTTATCAACCTCCTCAACGGGTTGTGGTGGACCCTGTTTGCTAACAATAACGTCCAATTTTTTTTCTTCTTCACTTATATCTTCAAATGAAGGAGCATAACCAACTGATTCAATAACCTCAGGTTGATTTGACTCGCTAGAAGTTTCTGAATTATTCGAATTTTCCAGATTAGATGTTTTCATCTTAAAAGTATTCAACAATGTCATTTTCCTAGTCTTTAATAGTAAATGTATTTGTAGTTATTAAAATTTGAAAATAAGCCCAACTATAATCAGGCTACCGGCCTTTATATACGTATAATCGTATGCTTATTTAGTCATCCATTCGTTATTTGCGAATTATAGGAAGATATTTAGGCTTATTAATAGTTAGAATCACACATTGTGGAGAATTTATTAGCGCAAGGCTGCAAAGGTACGGCAAACATTTTTTTCGTTGGTGATATCTTGTGTTACGGAAATAGTGCAAACTTGCTTACATCCGTCATGGGGTAATTAGTAATTCCCCTATCGGGTCTCTTACCGACCGATTAATTATTTATTTGGTAACTGCATATCATTCTGTATTGTTTACCATCAGTATATGTAGGGTTGGACCGGCCCAGATGTAGTCATCATGACTATACGACTTAAACATTGTCAAATGCTGCAATAATCCTTTTTTGGATCATGCGCTTAGTGTAATATTTTGCCAACAATATCGTAAGCATAATGCACATGTATTGTACAAGCTAAAAAAGTCTATAAATTAAATAATAGTAATAAAATACGTTATTCGTTTCAGAAGGACCACTATAACCATCCAACGCCACGGAATCTAAAACAATTTCTTAAAATATCCGATAATTTGGGAATACTACCAAAATACTGAGTATCTGTCATATCTGGACTTGTTATGTTTCTCATAGAAATGACATATCCACGAAGGAGTATGATAGTCAAGGTGTTCATTAAAAATGATACACCAACAAATATGGCACAAAACTTGTATCCTAATGGACCAGGTGCTCTTTCTCTTAATGCAATACCAATAATTGGTGAAAAACAAGCTGCAATACCTAAACTAACCCACAGCATGTAGAATGTTACATTAAATTTCGCTAATCTAAACCCCAAAACATTTAAGCATACGGTTGCAAATGTTGGGAAAAATGTCCCTGATAATGCACCCATAAATAATCCAAATACTAAAGCGGTTGCATAATTTTTACCAACAATCCACATGGTTAAAACTAATATGGAACATGTCAAATAAACTATCCCCGCAACGGTGAAAGCACCAAATCTATCAGACAACATTCCAATTATTGGCCGTCCAATAATCATTCCTGTTGCAACCACTGCAGCAACTATAGAACCCTGATATGCAGTGTAACCTAAAGCTATTGTCCAATCAGCCAAACTATATAAGGTTACCACATATCCAAGCATAGAAAATGTTACATATGAAACAAGACCCCAAAACCCCGGAAATTTAAGAATTTCCATATTAATTAAGGTAAATGCTATTTTGACACCTGAATGCCTTTCTCTTAATAAGATGATTGAAGTTGTAACTAAAAACAATGAAATAAATGACTGAGTTCTTAATGCCCAAGCGGCACCATGGGATTCAAGAATCTTTTGCATTCCCAAATTAAATAATATCCCTCCAGCACCACTACCAGCAGTTGATATACCTTGTGATAAGGTTAACATTCTATCTTTAATCCTATAGTGGCTCTTATCTCCTGTATTATGAAACCAATGTGGTAATATTGTGAAGGATGGTAATCCAAGTAATGCTAGGCCGAGGGATTGTAACACACCCTGGGTTAAGAACACTTGCCAAAGATGTTTATGGGAATCGAAACTAGTAAGAAACAAAGATAGAAATTGGAAAAGGTTGCCTAACATTAAGATCCATTTCAAGCCTAATTTCCCAGTTATATAATTAATTATCGGAGCAAACGTAATACCAACTCCGAAGATAATACCACCAATTGCTGCAAAATCCAATGTAGTCGATCCTTTGTAAATTTCATTTGAGCTATAATATGCAAAATATATAGCATACCCCGAATTGTTACCCCAAGCTGCCATAGTTAAGATGAAGGTACAACAAAGTATTACCCATGAATAGCCTTTGTTCATGGGAAATTCCTCCACCGATGAATCTTCTTGTAAGTCTATCTCTTCTTCATCTACTTGTTCTTTGGTTATATGACCCAATTCCCTCTCTTCAATCGAAATGTCTACAGAAGGAGTTTGGGACATATTCGGGCTTGGCTTCGGTTTTTCAAGATTTGACGATTCCGAAATATCGGAACTAGTTAAAATCATTTAAGAATACTAACAAATAATTATGTTTGTTAATATCTTGTTATCATAATAAATAAGGGATTACAAAAGAGCCTTGACTTCATAGACAGATGTGGATATACATATATAGATTTTCGTTTACAAGAGAACTGCAAAATTCTTTTAGTTAACAATGACTTTTCGCGAGGAGAAGTGGGGGCATTAGAAATCCACTCTGAAAATTTCTTAAATAAGTATGAAGTTTTGGGATGCCTATAAATAAGCTAAGTTATCATTATGGTAGTTATGCAAACTTCTATTATACCTTATTATTAAGCAAGCATATTCTTAAAGCGGAACTTTCCTAGTTCGGAGTTTGAGAGTACCAATTCAGGTGTCATTTACGCAAATTCTATTAAGGCTCTATAATTGTGTCACGCACCTCAGGACAAGAGGAGCGTTAGGCATCAAGTTAATCAATCTGATTGGGTTGTAATCCATTTAGAGAAGTTAATTTGTAATCAAATAGCTATTTTGTGATTTTTAATGTTGGTTTTATTGAAACTCCGTGGATAATGAAGCGGATAATAAAGCCAAGCTCCGATCGAGTGGAGCATCTAAAAGTTTAAAAACCGTATACGCAGGTGCGCTTGAATCGTAAATAGGTTTTGCAACCGTCATAAATTCCTCTAATGAAACAATTATTAACTACAAATCATATGCCTGATTAACATTAAATAAATATTATGCATCGAATATCTACGTAATCTAACTATATACCTTCTACACCCTTAAATCTAAATGTATTTGTCATGATTCTAGACATTGACGGGCGAATGGCAAAATATTCTTCATCAGTCATCTCGTTAGTAGCAATTTCCCTAACTGAAATTATGAATCCTCGGAGAAGCATGAGTTCGATAAATATTGCCACAAACGAAATTCCAACGAATATTGAACAGTGAACGTATTGAGTTGGGCCAATTTCATCTTTTTTAAGTGCAATACCAATTACCGGGGAAACTATAGCTGCAGCTCCTAAGAATACCCACTCCATATAAAATGTAACGTTGAACTTACTGAATCTGAAATTAACAATGTTTAAAGTAATGGTAGCAATTGTAGGAAAAACTGTACCAGATACTGCTCCAGTTAAAATTCCAAGCGCTATAGCAGTAGCATAATTTCTAGCTGGAATCCACATTGCTAAAGATAATATGGCGCAGATCAAGTACAGATACGCAGCAACCGTCACTGCCCCTAATCTATCAGATAACAATCCAACGATGGGTCTACCAATCATAATACCAAGAGAAATCAAAGCAGCAACTATTGAACCTTGATACTCAGTATATCCCAATGAAAGTGTCCAATCAGCAAGACTATATAAAAGAACAACATACCCGAACATAGCAAATACCAAGTATAATACACCTCCCCAAAACCCTGGGAAGAGAAAAACATCCTTATTAAAGAAAGTGAATGCAATCTTAACATTCGGGTTAAGTCTAATTTTTAAGAAGAAAATTGATAAGGTTACTAAGAATATAGAAATAAATGATTGGGCTCTTAATGCCCATCTCACATCATAATCTTGGAGAATTCTTTGCATTCCCAAATTGAATAGTATACCTCCAGCCCCAGATCCAGCTGATGCAATACCTTGTGATAAAGTTAACATTCTATCACTAATTACATATTTTTCTCCAATGGGTTTGTTTATAAACCATTGTGGAAGAATTGTGAAACAAGGAATCCCCAAAAATGCTAAACCAAATGACTGCAAGAGACCCTGTGTTAAATATAATTGCCAAAGTTGATGATGAGAATCAAAACTGGTTATGAATAATGCTGCAAATTGAACTATATTTCCTATCATCAATGCACCCTTTGATCCGATCTTCCCTGTAATGAAATTAATTAATGGAGCAAATAATAATCCCACACCAAAAGTTATACCACCAATGGCTGCAAAGTCTACCCCTGTAGCTCCTTCATAAAGTGTATGACTACTATAGTATGCGAAATATACAGCAAAGGCCGAATTATTACCCCATGCGCAAAAGTTAATGAAAAATGCACAAGTTAGAACCACCCATGAATATCCCCCATTCATGCGTAACTCCGGTTGGGGAACTTCTTTGTCATCATCTTCTTCTATAACACCAATCAGATCTTCCTCAATATCCGGTTCAGTATTACATGGTATACTTGATTCAGACTGTTTCTTTGTAGGCAAAAGATTCATCTTTGTTTCGACAGGTTGTTTGCTTGATAGAATACCATCGGACTCTTGAAATGAGTTCAGAATACTTCGCTGAATCGATTCACTATCCTTTGACATTGAAGATAGCCAACTCACTTGATTATATATAAGTATTCAGAAACAATAGCAGCTACTCTCTTCTTTTAATTTATACAAAGAAATTTAATGCAAACTTATTATAGTCTAGTCCATCAAAAGTAAATCAAAATACTATGACTTCTATTATAGTTTATCAGCCATTCTTTATAAGGCTTTTACCTCCAAATATTAGTAATTATGAAAATTTATACTAGTACAAAACTAATCAGAGTTATCGGACTTTTCGCTCTGCACTTTTACTATTTATATTTTCTGTATGCAGCTCAACATAATTGCTAGTCATCTCTCTTAGTTTATTTGCGCTTTACAGTGATGTCAAACGGTCGTATGGTTTTTATGTTCTATAAAAGTCGGGAACTCTCGCCACGATTTTTCCGATGCGCCGTGAGCCCCCAAATTTTTATAGCAAGTCTCGGAATTATGGATTTAGCATAAACTACTCAATTAGGATGTAGTCAACTTATAGGGCGATTTGGGGTAAGACAGTCTACTAGTATATTTTGATTACAAATATATATATATCCGTTGGTTTACATTTCATACAAAAGATAAGCTGTATAATAAGGATATTTAGCTTAATCAATCTCTATATAATCTGGACTTCGTGAATGATTCTTTAATGATGGATATGAAGTATTTTTATCCTTTCTCTTCTTACTCTGTCTCAATGATTGACCTGCACCAGTGAATACATTTTCTTCTGAAATATTTGTGTTGCTTTCTTCATCATCAGTAGCTTCAGGAGTGGGTAACACTACAGGGAATCCAAAGAATAATTGATTTTCTGGTAAATTCAATGGTGCTGGAGGAGCATCAGGATTCAAATCATCAATTTTATAATTTGTTTCAATTGCTTTACTAGGAGCTCCTGATAATTTTTGACCACTTCCTCTGAATGAATCAGATCCTGGACGTGAAGCTTCTGCTACTATTTGAGCATAATTAATAGATTTGGCCATAGTTGCGGCACCTATACCTCTATTAACACTAGATGGATCAATAGGTGTACTTGGTTTAACCACAGGTTTATATTCTGGTTCAACATACCCCACTGGTGGAGCAAAATCTGTTTCTAAATCTGTTTCCACCACACATATACCTTTATTATTACTTTCAGGTTTTGCTTCCAAAACCTTAATACCATAAATAGAATCATTATAATTAATTTCAATTACATCATTGACTGTTAAAGTAGAAAACTTTCTTAATACATTTTCTAATACTGCTTTAGGATCAGATATATCTAAAAAGTCAACTGATTGTGGTTCAATCTTAACAAAACTACCTAATGGTAAATCACAATTAGTTATTTTTAATAATTGACCAGGACTAACTTTTAAAGTTGTCATCATCCATTGTGGTATATATACTCTCCCTTCTTCTGCTACAAATTCTAATACTCCACTATGAGTCTTTATATTTTGAGCTTCATTAGATAATTCAAATAACATTGGATATCTAATATGAAGCATAGTTAATTTACTTAATGCTGATGGTGGTAAAAATATTTTACCTCCATAATTAGCATCATCTTTCCTTATATGATCAGGCATCATAGCAACTGGATAACATCGAAAGAAATCTTCAAATTTAGTACTCATAGGAGATGCAAACCCTCCATCAAAAATGGCAGATCCAAATCCCGAAAACATTCTGACTGAATTTCAATATTATTATATAACTAAGACTTGACTACTCTTTTTGTCATATACGCCTTCGAATTGATCCTGTCTTCCGTATTTGTCAAACTTAATTGTACAGATAATTTATGGTGTGCATATAAACAAAAGAGTCGAATGCAAAAAAATTAAAGTAGTGTCTCTCCCTTTCAAAGGTGCCATTTATACTACTACTATATACTATAGGCTATATACTATAGGCTATATACTATAGGCTATATACTGTAGACTATATACTGTAGACTATATACCGTAGACTATATACTATATATTACGAAACTGTATATAGATAATCGTCTATTGTTGAGCGTTCTTTTCTTGAACAATCTTGTAAACGTCTTCTATTAACTTTTGCTTACTTGGTTCAAGTTCACCGAAAAGTGCTTGATATTTAGTAGCATCTGAATGTTGTATAGTCATTAATTGATTATAGAAGACTTCGAAAACATTAACACTATCAATTGGAGTTTCCTTCATAGCTTCTAATTCAGCTTCATCCGCTTCAAATTCATCTTCAAAGAATGCATCACTATATTCTTCTGTTTCTTCTTCTTCATCATCAAAAGTTACGGGTTTAAGACTTTCTTCTCTACTCATAATGTCATTCTTAGCTTTAATTGCTCCTGGTAATGCAGAAATATTACCTAATAAAATATCAGTATTTTCTGAAATTAAATCTTCTGGTAATAAAGAAATATCAGGACTTGCAATAACAGCAAGTGATGCTAAGATTTGAATCTTACATCCATAAACACTTTGAAAATCTTCTGAATGTTCTATCCATAATCTATAAAAATTTGCAATAAATGATTTTTCTTTTAAAAATCTTAATGTAATACCTGCATCAATATATAATGCAGAAAAGAATACTTTTAAAATTGATAAATGATGTAACATATATCCATCAAATGCACCTTCAGCTTCTAATCTTACAAATATTTCAAATAATTCATTAAAGAGATGAGGTAATACTGATATACTCTTTTGTCCTAATGCAAGAATAGATAATTCAATTAATTCAAATGTTCCATGAGCAAAGATAGGATCTACATCATCACTCTTTAAAAGTTTAAAACAAACAGCAAATAATGATTGAACAAAATTACTATCAATAGTAATTTCTGGTTGAGTAAAACCATGATTTATAATACTTTCAAAGAAAACAAGGAAATTATCGAAATATTCAAAGGCATAAGTTTCAAATGAATCAATACAAACTTGATATAAACTCCAAACAATTGGAGAGACTGATTTTGTACAAAATACTAATGATTCCAAGATTTCCATGGCTTCAGTTAAGAAAGAAATCATGGCATTTTCAAGAATGAATTTAATTACATCTTGAACTGCACCTTCCAAAGCTGCACAAACTTGTGGAGATGAATTCATAGATACAATAACAGTTGTGATGGTATTTAAAGTATTAGCTGCTTGATATTCCTTATCTTCATTATAATTACTTGGATCCGAATTTGATTCCAAAATTTCTTGAGCAATTGAAAGGAATTGGGAACTTAAATTAGAAGCTAATTCAACAGCATAAGGTTCTAAATTCTTAGCAAATCTTTCAACAAATTCTTCCATAGCATTAGTAATAGTTTCATTTTCAATTTTTTTAGACATTTCCAATAATTTATTCATTAATGCAGGTGCTTGATCAGCAACAGTATTTGCAACCGAATCTTGTTTAACTAAAGTTGTTAATGCATCTACTGCAGTTAATTGAATTGGTAATTGAGTTTCTGCTTGGAAACAATTAACAACTCCTTCAAAAATTGAATTTAAAATTTGAACATCTTTATAATTATAAAGAAATATGGCAATAGTATCACAAGCTCTTGCAACTAACCATGGAGAACTAGAAATACATTCATTAGATAATTCTGGATAAACAAAAGTAAATAAAACTTGATCAGTTTGACCATTAACTGGTGAACTCTTGGTATTTAATTTAAATGAAATACTTGATAAAATTCTTAATGCCCCTTCTGTTTCCTTTGCAATTTGTAAATCTGATCTATTAGCAGCTCTTCTATTAAAAATATCATTAATAATATTTAAAATTAAATTACCTGATGATTTAAATTTCTTAGAACATAATTTATAAAGATAATTAATAGATGCAACATCAGCAGTTGTAGATTCTCTATTAATATCAAAGAATCTTCTAATATATTCATCAGCATCATCTTCATATAATTCAATGGTTTCATCAGTTGCAATTAAAGTTGGTAAAATAACATGTCTAATGATAGCATCTTGTTTATCACTAATAAGATTCCAACATGGAGTATCAATTAATTGTTCTAAGAAAGAAATTAAATGATATAAAGATGGTTCACTTAACCAAGCCTTTTTAGAAGACCAATCTTCAATAATCTTCCAATAAGATGTTAAAATTTCTGGAACAAAATTTGTTAAAAACATTGAAGCAAATTGATTATCAGTCTTATTTCTTGTGCTAAATCCACCACCATGACGACTTAATAATCTATGTAAATTAGCAAAACACCATTTAACAGATTTAACAGCAGTTTGTTTAGCTCTTTGATCAAGATCATCTTCTTGTAATACATATTGAGGTAAAGGTTTATTAATAATTAAAATATGATAATGACACCATTTACCTAAATTCTTTGGATCTTGAATATAAGTTGGTAAAGTTGAAAAAGTAGTAAATTTGAAAATTTTAAGAATACGATAAATCATATCATCATTGGTAGTAGTATTTGATGGAGTATTAATCATATTTTCAATTAAAAGTTCTAATAATGGGAATATTTCATTTGAAACTTCTTCCAATACTGGATTATTATTTTCTAAACCTGACCATCTATAATTTCTAGTATATTCATATAAACAAATTAAACCAGCCAGTACAGAAGCTGTATCACCTTGTTGAATTAAATTTTTAATAATAGTAGTTAAATCATCCCATTTATCTAAATCTAAAATACTATGTAATGCTGTAGATAATTGAATACTTATAAGTTGATTATTATAAGTCTTTATAATAGTATGAATTAATTTTTGCTTAATACCTGGTTTTTCATTATCAGCAATTGTTCTTGAAGTATCTTTACTATTATCAGGTGCAACCCAATGACTGGCTATTCTATTTTTAAAAAAAATAGATACAGAAATTTGAACTCCAGTTGAAATACCTGGTTCACTTATTAAATCTAATAAATATTCGGTAAATCCTGGTTGTCTCTCATACACGTGAAGCTCTATTTCACTTTGTTTTCTAACATTATTATCGGCATCTAAAGTGCCCTGAACAATTTGAATTAATGACTCCTTGTTCATTACACTACTATTTGTTATATAATTATTCCCCTTTATAACCTCGTAATAGAGAATAACCGTTACTTTACATCTATATCAGCACTAGAAGAGCTGAAAATTTTTATGGTTATATGGGGACTGCATGCAGGAGAAGACCGGCTAGTTACGTACGTATACACTATGGTAGTCGGATCAGATAATTAATTATGATAATACAGTTTAAAAGAGTCAATGAATAATTTTCAATGAGTTGCATCTTACTGTTACTGTTACTGTTACTGTTACTATTACAGTTGTAACTGCATATATTGACAATTCTTTAATTAACCCAATGACATATTAATTATGTATGGGTCGATGAACTTCTCTTACCCTTTTGGGAAGAAGCGCTAATATGCACACCGACTCTTTTTCGAGAGCGATGATGAAGTAAAGAAAAATTTATGAGTATCAGTAGATAGTAGCATGTGGGTAGAAATTAGTAGTTTTACAGTATAACTCAGCATAACATAACATATTATATAATTTTAAAGTATGGGTGTGGCGTCTGAAATAAAGGGCTTCTATGTATTACCATTAGAGTTTCCTGAATCTAAGACATTTCATTATATATATTTTAAGAAGCATGAAACTAAAAGTTCAGAATCTACCAATTCTAATCAGAATACTTCATTATTTGTATATAACTTACCCATAAATACTAGTATAACTTCATTAAAGAAGTTTTTCCAAGATGTGTCTATTGGAGCCACTATCTCATCATTTATACCTAGTAAATTAACAGATTATCCTGAAGATGTATGGCTTGATTTAACATCATTAACATCTGATTTAGAATTAAATAATTCTAATAGTGAAGAATCTGAATCTCAAAAGCTTCCAAAAAATTGTGGTATTATTAAATTTATTGATAAATCTTCATTCCAACTTGCATTTAATTCTCTTAAGAAATTATCAGCCCAATCAAAACCTACAAAGTGGGCTTTTGAAACTATAGATTCCACATATTATTTGAAAAAGTATCAAAATCAAATCCTCAATAGTGAAGAAATATCAACTCAAGTTAGTCAAGCATTAATAGATTTTGATAAAGCTGAACAAGATTCTATTAATCAAATTCATTCTAATTTAGTCGATGAAGATGGTTTTACTATGGTGGTTGGATCTCATAGAAAAACTAAAGCAGGTATATTAGGTAAACAAAGATTAGCAGCCACTGTTGAATTAAATAAGGCTCAAGGAAAACTTAAGAAAAAAGAACGAGAAGATTTTTATAGATTCCAATTAAGAGAACGTAAAAAGGAAGAAATGAATCAATTATTACTTAAATTTAAAGAAGATCAAGAAAAGGTCAGACTTATGAGAGAAAAGAAAAGATTTAGACCTTATTAGATGGTACTAGTATGAGACTGGAGGAGGTGTGGGCAAACTGTGTATATGTAACAATAACCATAATATAGAATATAGAGTCATATAGCATTGATAAGTGTATAGTTAAATTATTATTTACTAAACCGAGCACATCGGAAAATTAATCCGAGACCTCTTTAGATATACGAAACTAATACACATTATCGTTACCAAAGGAAGTAAAACTAAAACTAAAACTAAAACTAAAAGTCATTCGCCACGATGGCAAAGAATTATAAATTTATAATAGAAGGAACTTCTTCTCGAGCTCCTGGAAAATCTCCTAAGAAACCTAAACCTATACCACTAGATAAACATGGTAATCCCAAAAAACCTCCTAAGAAATATGATAGACATGCTCCTAAACCTCCACCTTCGGCAGAAGTTTTAGAAACTGCAGCTATGCTTGATAGATTATATATGAAGCCAACTTTCCCAGAAAAATTACCCCCTGATTTTGAAATACTATCAACTATACGTTATGATCCAAAATTAACTGCTTTACCTCCAGAAACGTTTGAACAAATAGTTCCTGATAACTTTTTCTTAATAAGAGCTCATATTCGTCGATTAATTTTTACATTTCAATATTTCCAGAGATATTCTGGTCTTGAAATAATTGAATTTGACGTTTCACCTGAGTTTCTTTCTGAACAATTGGTTGAAGCAATTAAAAGAGATGGTAAACCAGTATACCTTCCATTAAAGTTAAGACTACTTATGACATTAGATGGTACAGTTAAAGTAGAAGTTCATGAAACTCCTGTACGAGAGAATTTACTTTATGGTTTAATATCTCCAGAATCTCAACTAATTGAAACTAATTCTATAGATACGGCTTTTGATTTACCAACTCTTGATGAGGGAGTCGTATGGGATGTTTACATTGATAAACAATTTACTCCCATGTCACCATTCACATCATTTAAAACAACTCATAGAAATGCATATAATGATGCTAGAGCTCGAACATTACCAGGAAAGAGTTCTCATGAAGAAGTATTAATGCATAATCCTGAAAAATGTGTAATGGAAGGTTCAATTACAAATATTGCCGTTAGAGATGAAAAACATAATATATGGGTAACTCCTAGATTATCTTCAGGATGTTTATGTGGTACTATGAGATCACTTTTATTACGAAAACATTTCTTATATGAACGAGTCATAAAGATAAATGAGGTTAAAGTTGGTGATGATATTCTATTATTTAATGCTATAATGGGTATTGTGAGGGGTAAAATTGTAGGCTAGTATACATATATATAAGAATTCTAATTAATTAATGACTCAATTTCCTTTTCGGTATATCCTACAATGTATAAAACATCTAATAATGATTTAGTATTTAAACAAGAAGGAGCTAATTGTTGAACTTTAGGTTTAGCGTTCCACGCTATACCAAATCCAGCAACTGACATCATTTTAAGATCATTAGCACCATCACCAACTGCCACAGCATCTTTAGGATTAATTTGATGTTTTTCAGCAATTTCCAAGAGTAATTCAGCTTTCTTATCACCATTAACAATGGGTCCAATGGTTGTACCATCCAATTTATTACTTGAATCTACACCCAAAGTATTGGCAAAAGCATAATTAAGACCTAATTCTTGTTTAACAAATTCTGCTAATGGAATAAATCCTCCTGATAAAACACCCATTACGATATTTAATTTAGATAATGCTTTACAAAGTTCCTTAACTCCATTAGTTAATTGAATCTTTAATTTTAATTCATCCCATAAAGTAGTAGCATCAATACCCTTTAATAATAATACTCGTTCAGCTAAGGATTGGTTAAAGTCCAATTCACCATTCATGGCTCTCTCTGTGATTTCTGCCACTTTATCTTCAATATTAGCATAAGCAGCTATTAATTCAATGACTTCTTGATAAATAAGTGTTGAATCCATATCAAAGATGAATAATTTTTTAGATTGTCTCAGAGATTGCTTTTGCAATATTATATCATAATTATGAACTTTTTTAGCTAATTCAGATTTAATTAAACTTTTTAATTGTTCAGCCTTATCAGTTATAAAGTAATAATCTACTGCTCGTGGTGACAATTGTTTAGAAGTAGCATCTTCAACTGCTAAAGTCTTCGTGATGAATGTTTCAATTTCACTAAGATTTAATTCAGTATCATGTGATATGAAGGTAATAATATAAGACTCGGTCATTTTAACTGTTATTCAATCTACTGGTAGACTTCAGCCTCTTCTCCATACTTTTATACATTGGATTTTTCACCCATGACTTTGATGATTCAATGTTTGGTTGAGTCACGACAACGGTTGCGGTTGCGGTTGAAGATGATTTCCTGCATATCAGTCAATCAGTGTCTCCCGTATATTTATATTCTCTCGCTTCATGGCCGAAAATTTAAACATTTAAGCCCGGAGTTATACGTTGATTAGCCTAATATGGAATAATTGTAACCACTATGAACAATTAATAAATTGATATAATTAATTATTATTAATAATGAGTATAATAATCATGAAGGACACGTCTCGGATATAATGTCAGACATCATTAACTCCATTTTATATTCCTTTAGTTACTGCCTTTTGTGGCTTATACTTAAACTCATGTATCAAGTTCGGATTTGTTGCCCGATTAATGAGCCACACCGAAATATAACGAGACTTCTTAGTAATCCAATTTTTCATTATTTATAAAGGGTATTACTATCTTTTAAACAGGTATATAAGTATATGGGTTTAGGTTTGATTTTCAGTATAATTATCATTATAGTCTCTATCTACCTTCTGACTTATAATAATAAAGTAACATCAATTGATAATACAATGACTATTACTAATTTAAAATCTTCAAATTTATTTAAACCACTTCAAGTTGGTAATGTACTTTTGAAAAATAGAGTGGCTCATTTACCAACTACTAGAGCTAGATCTACACCTGAACATGTTCCAACTGATTTACAATTAACTTATTATACTGATAGAGCTGTTTCTCCTGGTACTTTATTAGTTACTGAAGCAACTTTTGTTTCGGAAGGTTTAGGTTTATATGCTAATATTCCTGGAATCTGGAATGAAAAACAAGTTCAAGCTTGGAAAAAAATTACTGATTCTGTTCATGAAGCTGGAAGTTTTATTTCAAATCAATTATGGTCTTTAGGTAGAGTTGGTGATCCTGCTTTATTAAAAGAAAGAGGACTTCCTTTAGTTGGTCCATCTGCTATTTACTATAATGAAAGATCTCAAAAGGCTGCAGAAGATGCTGGAAATCATATTAGAGCTTTAACTGAAGAAGAAATTCATGATATTATCTATAATCAATTTCCAAATGCTGTTAAAAATGCCATTAAAGCTGGTTTTGATATTGTTGAAATCCATTCTGCCAATGGTTATCTCTTGGAACAATTCATTCAACCTTCTTCAAATCAAAGAACTGACAAGTATGGTGGATCAATTGAAAATAGAACTAGAATTGTTTTAGAAATTATTGATAATTTACTTAAAGAAGGTATCGATGCTAAGAAATTAGCCATTAGATTATCTCCTTTCAATACTTTCCAAGGACTTTTATCTGAAAAGGAATCAGTTCATCCAATTGCAAGTTATGCATATTTATTATCTGAATTACAAAGAAGAGCTAATGATGGTAATGAATTGGCTTATATTTCTGTTGTTGAAAATGAACCAACTGGTAAAGCCAATGTTGATTTCTTTACTCAAATTTGGCAAGGTAAGATTTTAAGATCTTTTGCATATTCTAGTAGTACTGATTTTACTAATGTTGTAAAAGATGTTGAAGCAAATGATCGTACTATTATTGGTTTTGGTAAACATTTTATTGCTAATCCTGATTTAGTTGATAGATTACAAAATGGTTATGAATTAACACCTTTTGATGTTTCTACATTTTATTCTTCATCCAACTATGGTTATAACACTTATACAAGTTATAATCATAAATTGGATATTGACGTTGAGGCTGAAAAGACTCATATTGGTAAAGCTTTAGCTTAATAGATGGATATTTTCAAATTTGTAATATATACATTCATAAATAATCTAATTTCTATAATTTTCTATAATTTTCTGTAGTTACTATGACATTTAATTGGTTATAGGAATAGATGATCTTAAGTCGTATTCACTTAATCCAATTTCTCTATTAAACTTTCTAAAATTTTCCAAGTAAATATTATGCTTCTTTTCTGCTATAGCATTTAATTCAGGCCAATAGACATCGTGAATATATTCAAATTCTAAAATTCCATTGAACTCCTTATCCAATTGTTCTTTAGGAACAAAGTTTTCAAATGGTTGATCATAAATAGTTTTCAGTCTAGTATATGGATCTATGAAAGGACCAACCACTTTGAAAAAGGTATAACCAATCCAAGGAATATTAGTAAATAATCCTCTACCTAATCTTTCAGGATAATGATTTTGTAATATGTGTAAAACTTGTTTAGATACTGAAAGAGATGGGAATTTTGATGAAAGATTTAAATGTTCTGGAGCAGCTTTAAAATCTATTAATAATGCAAGGGTATCTTGGCCAGGAGGCATGTATTGAATAACTCTTTCTAACATGAAAACTAAATGTTGAACTTGTTTCATAGAAGGTGCTGTATTCTGATAACCATTTCTTAAGTAAAGACATGGTCTATTATCATTGTCATAACCTACAATGATTTGTTTACCAGTTTCATTTTCATCTTTAACTAAATCTGCAGTTATTAATTTTTCAGCATCTGTATGATTTGGAATATTTACAACTCCAAATGTTCTTCTCCATATTATAGTTTCTTCCATTCTCTTTATAGCTGCATCTAGTTTCCATTTGGTGGCTCGTAAATATCTTAAAAAACATTCTTTTGTTAACCAAGCTAATTCTTCTTCAACCAAGGGATGTGTTTCAGCATTTGGTTGATCATTTACAGGTATATCTTCTCTTTTAGAATATACTTTAAAATGTTCTAATATCTGATCATATTTAGTTTGTTGATCTGGAGTTAAATCAAATTTAGGAGCTTGAGGAGGATTTATTGGATATTCAAATGGAGTATGACACTTTATATATTGAATATCTTTTTTCTTTATGGCTGAAGATCCTAAAGTTTCCGTTGTTGATCTAGAAGATATTGATGCAGTTTCAGATAATGACATAGTTGACTCACTTGAGTCATTGGCTTTTCTTCTAAAAAAGTTCATATTTGCATACCTTGAGTCTATTAATACTTTAATATCTATTAGTGCTAGTTTTACACACTAAAACTTGTCTATATACAAATTTCTATACTTCTAATAATAGTTAAAATAGTTAAGATAGTTAACTATATATAGTAAATTTTTTTTTATTTCGGTGCAGCTCGTATAAACGCGTAATGGAACAGTGCGAGGAGGAACAGGAACATTTTATCAAGAGAAATTGAATTTCTGTTCCGATCCGATAATCAGCTCTCACCAGGCTTAACATACATACACACCACACACCAATTACTCAGTACTCAGTACTCATTATACACATTAGGTTAATATTACTATCATGGATTTCAACATTATCACCAATTCAGAGTCTATATCAAAAGAATCTCCTATTCAATTGAATGATTTAGTTAACTTTATCTCTAGTAAACTAGAGTCTTCATCATCAGGTATTATAGACACTCAAGAATTAAATTCACTAATATTAAAGGAATATCAATCAAAATCTTCAAAATATAAATATTTAGTACAATCTACAAAATTATCAAGTCCAATTGTTGATTCTGATTTAACTATATCATCGAATTTTGGTGCTATTTGGGATTCAAATAAAGATGGATATATAAGTCTTAAAATAGAGGTTCCTCAAGAAGATGATGCCAAAGTGATAAATACAATATTATTAACTATTTATTGGTTATTCACCATTTAGAGTATATCTAATACATTATATAATATTTCCAATTTATCATTAAGAGTTTTCAATCCTTGAGTATTTGTCGATATACTTTGTAAATGGTTATGCAATGAGCATAATATATCTTTAGTTTCATTATCTTCATTAGGATTAAATTTTTTATGAATAGATTTATTCTCCATTTGTAGATTAAGATCTTTAGTGGATTCTATTATGGCTTCACTACCAAGTGGAATATCTAAATCAACTCTCTTTTCATTTAATTCTCTTTGCATTTGATTAATATTGGAGCTAGTAGTCTTTTTAAAGTCTTGTAAATATTTTAAATCCAGTTGATAAGATACATTTAACTCATTATAATGTTTCTCTAATTGTTCCAATTGCTTTATTAGAGCTCCAAGATAAGTTTCTAGGAACTTCTTTCTTCTCAATAATTCATCATAACTTAATACATCCTCCAGTTTCATATCTTTATTCATGGTATTATTTAAAGGTAAAGGTGTAACAACCAATCGAGACAACAATGACTTTGATTCTTGAGAATTTATCCATGTTTTCGATATAATTCTTTGAGCTTCTGAAATTCGTTTAGATATCTTTCCATTATTTTTCACATCTCCGTATCTCTCTAGAGTTCTACTTAATGCAATATTCAATACCTTTTCAAATGATGATAGAGATTTTCCATTCAATGGTTCCCAGAATTGATCAATTATTCTCGCAGGTATCTTTCTCTTTGTAGTTTCTGTAGTTAAATCTACCATAGGATCTATTATTTTAAAATCATCTATGTCATCTATTTGTCTTTTCCTGGGTCGTATGGGTACTGGTACTGGTTCTGATTCTACCGTTTCAGATTCTCTGGGTTCTATTACTGGAACTGACTTTTCCGATAAGGGCTCTGGTGATGTAGTGTTTCTGGCTTCAGATGTCTGAGTTTCCAAAGGCACAATTGATATTGGTTCTTCTGTTATTGGTTCGTCTGTTATTGGTTCTTCTGTTATTGGTTCTTCTGTTATTGGTTCGTCTGTTATTGGTTCGTCTGTTATTGGTTCGTCTGTTATTGGTTCGTCTGTTATTGCTGATTCACCTTCGAATTGCTCTGATTCAATCTGGTCTGGTAGATCTTGTACTTCTTCCGATATTTGCTCGGGTAAACTTATATCTGGTACACTCTCATTAGTTCCTGTTTGTTCATTTGCTTCCTCAGATGAAGCTTCAGGCTCTGTGGTTATGGCTTCAGACTCATGAGTCGGTTGTTCTTCCACTATGGAGTTAGGTATCTCACTGTCACTTTTTTTGATCTGAGTATACATCTCATCAATTTGTGACTCATTTAATGTATTTGGACTATTCTCAACTTTCACCAGCTGGGTGCTATCCACTTCGACTGGATTAGTTGTATCATTGCTCGACATAATACTTTGTCTAATATTATATACTTTAGTATTGTTACTGATGTTTACCTTCTCCTTTATAGATACCGCGAACAGAAAAATGCGATTGTTAGCGATTCCTCTCATAGTTAACACCATACATATATGATCAGTAAAGATAAACATGTTAACAAACATAACAATTCCTCTATATTAAATATATGCTCAATTATTGCAATTGTTTAGTCACTTACTTTAAATTATAACTTTGGTTGCAGGTTAGGGAGCGTAGTACGTACAGTTAAATAGCTTTCTGATATTTTATGACATTTTCACAAAAGAGCTCCACAAACTTTTCTGCTGCTATATATATTTACAATTAATGTTAATAATACAAAATTTAAATTACTTATTCAAATACTTAGAATCTTCTTCTTTAACCATCATACCAGAAGTTTTCATCTAAACACAATCATATGCTTATTAGTATACTTGACTCTTACTATAATTCCCCATACTTAAATTTTTGCAATTTCCTGCACACAGCTAAGATGCCCTATAAACAATTTTTGAATATTAGTTAGATAGTAAAGATAAAGCATTAGGAAGAAAGAACAGACAAGTATATTAGATGGCACCTACTTCCTGGAGAAGGGGACCAGTATGTGGTGTTGATAATTGTAGATCTCGACTATATAGATATAATGATGGGTTAACTATATGTCAATTTGGTCATGTTATGGAAGGTGGAATTGAGATCAACGATGATCAAGATCAAGCCCAAATCACAACTAGAAGATTAAATTTATTGAATGTTGACGAAAGAGGATCTTTCACTAGTACTTCTATGTCTCAATCCCAGAGTTCACTTTCTAGAACAAAAGATAATCGTTTATATGGTCATGAAGCCAAAGAGTTGCTATATCGATGTTTCCAAGTCTTACTTAAGAAGCAACTAGAAAATATCATGAGATTGTATTTCACGGACTCAATACGAGAAGACTTGGAATTAATTGTCAAGACAAATTGGATAAAAGTTATACTGAAAGAAATTGAACATGAAGGTAATTCAAAGTTTAAAAAGTTATATCATTTGGATTTGATTGCAATAATATATATATCAGTATTACAAATACGATTTCAACCTATTTATACATATGAACTCCTTGATTACATCAAAACAAATCAAATTCCGTATATACGATGTTTGCATCTCATACCGAGTTCATTATTAAGCAAATTGCCTAATGAGCATTTATTAAGATTGCAAGCAACTTCATTACCTCTATCAAATGAGTTCTATTATTGTATTCAAGAAATGATGAAAAGATTATATAATGATGAAAAAGTGATATCGATTCCTGTAAATTATTATTATCCATATGCTTTCAAACTATTGACACAAGAATTATTACTTCCAAATGCTATTGATTTGTTTAATACTTTTGTTACTTTAACAAAGAAATTTTACAATGATGGTCAAATTGCAATTCGATTCAATGAAACAAAGTCGAAACATTTGATTTATTTTCCAGAGGTTATATTATCCAGTATGATAATTTTCATAATTAAATTAAGTATAATTTCAAAGTTTAAATTATTTCCTTATCAAATCAACTTCAAAAATTGGTATAAACACCTTACCAAATACGAAGCTAATAATGAGTTCCTTAATTATTCAGAGTCATCTAATGTAAATGATTTGATTGAATGGTCTGATGATAAGATTGATAAGTATTGTGATTGGGTATATGAGCAATTGATACCTAAGAAAAATAAGACTTATACTACTCATCAAAGTAATACACAAGAGCTAGAGGAAGAGAAAGATTTACCAGAATTGACAACTATGGAGAAAAGGTTATTTCAAATTTTCAATGTTGAGGAGAGTTCCGGAGGATCTGGATCTGAGTCGGAACCACCATCTAGATCTTCTTCGCGATCGCCCGTACCAAGGGAAATACAGAAAGAAGAAACAATCAATATGAATGACGTTTTAATGAGTGCAGCAATAGTTAGTAGTAACGTCAAGGGTAAAAGGAAGAGAACACTGGTTGAGGAAATGAAAGATTTGAATAAAAAATTAGTTAGTAAAATTTCTGTAGTTTTAGGAATTACCCAGTCTACGCTATCGAAGTCTATATTACAAGCGGAAACTGATATAGAGAATGGTTTAATGAGTTAATGAATAATATATATATTAGAAAGAAGTAACAATCACAGTTGAAATGTTGCAAATAGCGTTCAAGCAGTAATACTGCGTTGGAATTTGCAACAATTATTTGTAATTCATATAATTCCTTAGTGTAGATTAACAAATAGTAAATAAATGGGATTAGGAACTTTGTGGCGACATCTGCGTTTATTCCCGTATGCACAGTGAATGGGAAGTATGGGTTTTAAGCGAGTTTTATGTCAGTTGAATTATGAGTGAACTAGATCGGTGATAGGAGAGATTCATTTAAGGATGTACATTAGTTCAGTCACTTTTGCCCGAAGTTTGTCCGTTTAATTGAAATTTCTATATCCGTTTTACAAATTGAATATCAGTTTAAAAGCAGGAGTAGATCTTTTTTGACCGATTGGAGAAGGGGGGAATGAAGCTCCATCTAGCAATCAGAAAGAGTCGAGAAAAGACAAAGAAGTTAAAATTCATTATGTGAAATATATCTCCGTTACATAGCGCAAATAACTACTCTAAAGATATCAGAACGGTCATGTACAAATAGTTAAAACAGTCGGATTGAGTTATTTTGACTCTAACAAAATAGGAAAAAATAGGCATGGAATTGTTCTACTTTCTCCTATTTTTGATTAAAGTTGTGTAGGCTCAAGGACTTAAGGACATGGCAGCCCCTTAGCAAACACACAAAATTAATTGTGAGAGGAAAAAAAAGGTTAGCGGCGGTGAACTTAGTATGAAACCAGTTTAAAGTGTGTTAATCACCGAATTGACCCCGGGTTTGCATATAAGCGCTTATAGCACAATGGATTGCGTTTTAAAAAATATTGCGTTGTGCTGTAAAAAGGGAATGCTCATGTTCCATTTAAAATTCAAAATAAATATTATGCACTACTAGTGATTTTGCGGAAAGTGCTTAAGGCCCACCTATTTAATTTATTTAATAGTCCGAGATATTTCTATCTGTACCACGACAACGTCAATTCCCAATAATTTTACTATGGGCCAATTCAAATAATTAAATCTACCCCACAATATTACCCCCACCTATCTATAACTTTTAGTAATAATTTCCCAACGGATTGCTCCTCTTTAACATTTGCCTAGTTAAGGAGTAATGGCACTTAGCTGTACCCGACCAATTCCTCTTAACCGTTAAGTCATGGATTTAAGTTTCGTGTAGGATATTTTTCTTTTCTATAAATATCAACTTGATTGCTACAGATTCATTTTTTATTTACTTATTTAATTATATATCAGCTAGTTCTTCTTTTATAACTAACTAATTAACTATTTGTAAACCATAAATTTTCCATAATGCTTAAGACTGAAACAACAAAAGCCATTGACACTTCAACCCCAGCTGGTCCTGAGGATTCTAAGTCCGCTTTACCATTATTTGTTCCAATTACCTTACCAAATGGAACTACATATCAACAACCAACTGGTTTATTCATTAACAATGAATTTGTCTACCCTCATGCTAAAAAGACTTTTGCTGATATTTCCCCATCAACAGAAGAAGAAATTACCCAAGTTTATGAAGCATTCAAAGAAGATGTTGATACTGCTGTTGAAGCCGCCAACGCTGCTTTCCATTCTTCGTGGTCCACTTCCGATCCAGCTACCAGAATCAAAGTATTATACAAGTTATCTGAATTAGTTGAAGCTCATGCTGAGACTTTAGCTTATATTGAAGCTCTTGACAATGGTAAATCTTTACAATGTTCAAGAGGAGATGTTGCTTTGACTGCTGCTTATTTCAGATCCTGTGCTGGTTGGGCTGATAAGATTAAAGGTTCAGTTATTGAAACTGGTGACACCCACTTTAACTATACTAGAAGAGAACCAATTGGTGTTTGTGGTCAAATCATTCCATGGAATTTCCCACTTTTGATGGCTTCTTGGAAATTAGGTCCAGTTTTAGCTACTGGATGTACCACTGTTTTAAAGACAGCTGAATCAACTCCATTATCTGCTTTATACTTGGCCACTTTAATTAAAGAAGCCGGTGTTCCAGCTGGTGTTGTTAATATTCTTTCTGGATTTGGGCCAACTGCCGGTGCCGCTGTTGCCTCTCATCCAAAGATTAAGAAGGTTGCTTTCACTGGTTCCACCAACATTGGTAGAGTTATTATGAAAGCTGCAGCTGACTCTAACTTGAAGAAGGTCACTTTGGAATTAGGTGGTAAGTCTCCAAATATTGTTTTTGACGATGCTGATGTTGAAAGTACTATTCAACATTTAGTTACTGGTATTTTCTATAACACCGGTGAAGTTTGTTGTGCCGGTTCAAGAGTTTACGTTCAAGAAGGTATCTATGACAGTATTGTTGCTGCATTCAGAAAGGCAGCTGAAGGACTTAAGATTGGTAATCCTTTCGACGAAGAAACCTTCATGGGTGCTCAAGCTTCTAAGCAACAATTGGACAAGATCTTAAAATACATTGAACTTGGAAAGAAAGAAGGTGCTACTGTTATTACTGGAGGTGAAAGATTATCTAAGAAGGGTTACTTTGTCAAGCCAACCATTTTTGGTGATGTCAAAGAAGACCACCAAATTGTTAAGGATGAAATCTTTGGTCCTGTTGTTACCATCACTAAATTCAAGACTGTTGAAGAAGTTATTGCTTTAGCTAACAATTCCGAATATGGTTTAGCTGCTGGTGTTCATACTACTGACTTGAACAAGGCTATAAGTGTATCTAACAAGATTAATTCTGGTACTATCTGGGTTAACACTTATAATGATTTCCATCCAATGGTTCCATTTGGTGGTTACTCACAATCTGGTATTGGTAGAGAAATGGGTGAAGAAGCTTTAGACAATTACACTCAAGTTAAGGCTGTCAGAATTGGTCTTGCAAAACAATATTAATGAGCCACTTATTATTTAAGTTTATGATCTGTATGTTTCCTTAGTTAGTTTCAAGATTAATTGAGTATATAAAAATTGTTTCAATCAGACAACTTATTGTAGAACACCTCTTCGTGCATGTAAGCTGCAAAATAGCACAAGCCTGGTGAGAACAAAAGGGTGTAAAACGCGCCCAGGCTTTGCGGAGAACTTGATGATGTCGAAACAATAGAAAGCCTACTGAGCTCACAACCCTATTTAATAAGCAGAGTATGATTTACCTACAACTTTTGGTGAAAGGGAAATTAATGATCAGTACCATATAGGATAAATTCAAATGATTGGGGTAATAGAGTGGGGGAGATAGTCAGTCATTTATCTATTGATCATATGTAGTATACCAAACATCCAAACCGCAATGCATACATAAATCTATAAATTTGTAAATTGTAAAAGGCTCTGAAGATGTAAATATCTGAATGAATTATGTCACGTGAAGTGTGACTGCTTTTAATTTACACTGTTGAACGAGGGTCGTGTCCCATCTTAGTTTTACACAAAAATCCATACCTCCATATTTAAATTTTCTAAAGCTCACAAGATCCATACACACATACTCAAATCATCAACTAACAAAATTTACCTCCAAGCAGCTTCAAGGAAAGGGAAAAAAATAGTGAAGAAAAAAATTTATTGAAATTTTGAAAATTTACCTACTAGTTACAACTCAATCAATAATAGGAAATATCATCAATATGGTATGTTATAATAGCGAACAGTAGAGTATTAGAGAGTATTATTGTCAATGTTGTATACATGTAAAGAGTCAGATAATGTGAAGTACCAAATCTAGATAGAGTTATCCCATCCATCCATCATATTGAACAAATGAAAAATGTGAAAAGATCAACGAAGATCACCAAAATGTAATAAAGACCATCGTAGACTTTCAAAAATCACCAGACATACATTTCACTGAATGAATGAATTAGGATCACAATTCATAGACTCAGAGTATAGATTATTTACAACTATTTTGAAGAATATGAACCATCAATAGACCAAGCTTAAAATATGAAAATTATTCATGAATTATATCAACCATTATATTAAAGAAAAAACGATACACTGAATAAAATTGAAAAATATAATCCATGAAAATATTGAAATATACTTTGTTTTATATAAAATCATCAAATATACTCATAAATTAAATTTGTGGATGTGAATATCAACACTTAATGAAATACTCTCTAGTAGTGGATAAGAATAATTTGAAGTGAATTTATTACTAACATTTATATTTAGAGTGACGCTGTTACCATTAGAACTAGAAAGGTTATCTCCAACCCATTATTAGCTAGAAGACAATTCGTCATTGACGTCTTACACCCAAACAGAGCTAACGTCTCCAAAGATGAATTAAGAGACAAATTAGCTGAAATTTACAAGGCTGAAAAGGATGCTGTTTCCGTTTTTGGTTTCAGAACCCAATTCGGTGGTGGTAAATCTACCGGTTTCGGTTTAATCTACCAATCCGTTGCCGATGCTAAGAAATTCGAACCAGCTTACAGATTAGTCAGATACGGTTTAGCTACCAAGGTTGAAAAGGCTTCCAGACAACAAAGAAAACAAAAGAAGAACAGAGACAAGAAGATCTTTGGTACTGCTAAAAAGGCTGCTAAGAAGGCTGCTAAGAGAAACGCTGATTAAACAGTTTAACCAACCCCATTTCCATATTTATCCCTTTGGTAGTAGTATTAGGTTTATACTAGTATTCATCATTTCATCCCTTCATAATCATAATATACATACATATTTGAAACTATAATAATATTACCTCATGTTAAATAGCGAAATTTGAAGTAGTATGATTTCTTCACTATTATTGAAAAGGGTGTATTTTAAAAAAGGTTTGCATCTGGTTGTAATTCTAACTCCATTTTTCTAATCTTACTTCTTATATATCAATAAAATAAACAAAAACTCTTTATGTGTATTATAACATTATTAAATGATCTTTCACCTATATCATTTTTCACGTGATGCAAAATATCGTGATCTCATTTGTTAGCGATATCAGAGATTGCAAAAGTAACTTTAAACTATTTATCGAACTATACAACTAAACATGACATACAAGTGAATATGTCAGAACGGAAAGCCATAAATAAATATTATCCACCGGACTTTGATCCGTCACTTTTGAAGTCCAAGAAAAAGAAGAAGAATTCCCAACAAAATGAAGTCATTAAGATCAGAATGATGGCACCTTATTCTATGAGATGTCTTAAATGTAATGAGTATATTGCTGAACGTCGATCATTCAATGCTCGAAAGGAAACTACAGGAGAGAAGTATCTTAACTCCATTAAAATCATTCGCTTCCATATCACATGTCCTCGATGTAATAATCATATTAGCTTTAAAACTAATCCTCAAACTGCAGGATATACACCGGAAGAAGGAGCCGTAAGAAACTATGAATCTAACAAACTGACACTGAATGAGAAACTGAAACTGAAACTGAAACTGAAAGATGGAGAAACAGAAGAAGAACTTTTACAACGACTTCAACAAGAAGAAGCTGAAGATGTCAAGTTCAAACTCTTACAAGAAAAGAGAAAGAAGAATCCATTTTATTCTTTGACAGATGAGACAAATAATGGAGATGTTCTAGATAATTTTGAAAAGCGTTTAATCGAGCAACAGAGGCAACAACAAATCGAACAGCATTTGGAAGAACTTCAAACCAAAAATGATCAACTTCAAGCATTAGGTGGAGAAGATAAACTAGCGATTGAAGCTAAACAAAAGATTGCTCAACAAATTGATAAGTTACAGGCCATTCAAAATGAATTGAATGATGAAGAAGATCAACAGAAAATTCAACAAGCCTTTAGTTCATCAAAGAGAAAAGCAGATAGTGAAGAAGTTATAGAAACTGAACCTGTCCCCAAGAAGATATTTATTAATTCTAAAATTACCCTTAAACGGAAGGTAAAGCAAGAAGAAGTTAAGAAGACACCATCAGTTGCGTCACCAGTTGCTACTTCTACACTCTCTTCTGTACTAGGAGGATATTCGTCATCATCTGATGAGGATTAATTACGATTGAATGATTGCTTACGTCATACGATAGACAATATATATATATATCTATCTATCTATATATATTTATATATATATATATATTCATTAATCTTTAAAAGTGAAATCGTTCAAGGTAGCAATAGGCATTTCCGGGGCTTCTACTCTCGATTGGAAATCCTTTTGAATAGCCACTAATTGTTCACATAACTGAGCAACTTGACGTTTATCCATATCCTTACGACATAAACAAATGCCTCGAACATATTCTACGGGACAATAATAGAAAGTGAGTAAAATTTCATGTTCCCAAATTTGAGGGATAAAAGTCATTGGATCTTCACAAGTTGCTAAATCACCAAGGAATTCAATGGCTCTTAAACTATTCATTAAATATGCTGTATCCTTTCTTGTGAATAATGGTTGAAGTTTAGTATAAAATATGGTAATATCTCTACCAACTGCTTCAGAAAATGATTTATATTTCTTAATTGCTGTTGGATCAATTCTTTTACCATCACCATGTAATACATTTTCATAACCAATTCTTATATAATCAGATATAAATGAATCTAATAATATATTAAAGGTTAATGAATAAATATCATAAGTTGCATAACCTCTTAATTCTCCCATATATTCAGCAATAGTTTCTGCAATAATAGTTGCACCAGATGTTGAATCTCCTGTAACATTTTGTCCATCTTCATACCAAGATTTTGTAAATACTTTAGATAATGTTGGATATAAATCATTAACTATAATATCAACTATAGCTCGAAGAATTTGAGCATTTAATTCAGTACTTGGATTAACTGTTTCTTCAATAGCTTGAGTTAATCTATTATGATAAGCAGTATGAACTTTTTCTTGATATTCTGGTAAAAATTTATCCAGTAATCTATCAGTATTAATTTCAAATGTATTACCTAAAGCAGCAAGATATTCAACTAATGCTGGTTTAGATATTTCAGATAATTGTTCAGGTGTCATATTTTCAAAATTCTTTTGATCAATATTCTTATGAGATCCACGAAATAATCTTTTAGCTTTACTTTCTTTAATTAAATAACTTTCAGTATTATAAATTGACATATATTTTTCCACTTCATCTTCAATTAATTTTTGAAAATTAATAATTCTTTTAATATAACCCTTTGAAAAATTTTCAATTACTCCAGCTAATATTTTTGAATAACCTGATTCAGCTGCTACATCAGCTTGACCTTTAAGCATAGTTAAAGGTGAATTAAAATCAGGTAATACATAAACATCACTTGTAATATCTACAGTAATTAATTGATCATGAGCATCTTCATCTTCAATTTGTTGAGTATAATGATAAATATCTGGTGGTACCAGTCTATCAACAAAATTTTCTGATTCTAATTTAATTAAATTATCAGTCCATTCATCCAGTTTTGAAGTAATAACTTTTAAATAATCATCTAATACACTATTCTTTAAATCTTCACCAATAATTGATTTTTGTTCCTTTTTAATAACTGATTTTCTTTTAGATTTATCAGGAGTATCTAAATTTTGTAAAGCCGTTAAAAATTTACTATAATAAGTATCATATTTTAAAATTCTCATTAAATCTTCAGCTGGAGGATCAGTCTTTATAACTTCCATAGTAAATTTATGTAATCTATTATAATAAACATTTTGAAAGAAAGATTCTACATCCCAATTAGTTGGTAACATTGGATTTAATCTTTGAAATACAAATCTTAATTCATCTTCTAACCAATCTAATCCTCCATCATATAATTGCATTGGATCATCTCGATAATGTTTTATACAATCATTAAAAGTTTCATCAAGACTTTCTTCTAATTTTATATAAAAGAATTTCTTATAATTTCTTTTATTACCTCTAAAATTTACATAATCAATAGTTTTAGGATCTAATACTTTATTTAATCCTAAATTATTCATTAAAGTAAATTTTAAATCTTCATTAGCTTCAAATTCAATAATTTTAACTAATTTATAAACTAATTCAACATTTTCATCTTTAATTGCTTCTGTTAAACTTACAATAACTTCTTTTAATAAATCATCAAATAATCTAATGGTTGTTTTAGTCATTTTAGTAACTTTATTAACATAAGCTCTTAAATCATCAGATAAATTAGTACAATAAGATTCTAAATAATCCAGAAAATTTCGAATTCTAGTATATTCAAAATGTATTGATAGTATATTTGGTAATGGATATGAAAGATCTGAACTTAAATTTTGTAATTCTTGTTCAATTCTTAAATTTAAATTATTTAATACTTGGGAATAATTTCGAATATCTTCATATAAATTTTCTACTTGATTTAAGAATTGTGATACATTAGACATCTTTTGTATAGTTGAATAATCTTTTATATTGGTAATACTTTCATCATAGATTTGATTAATTCGATTGATATTTCCTTTAATTGAATTAATTCTAGTTGATGCTTCATTAAGTTTAGAAATATTTGACATTAATGAATCAATTTGTTGTTGAGTAGTTGAACTAAGTTTATTATCAATTGATGCCTTTTCCTTAAGGAATTGAGATTTTAATTCGGGGATTTTCACTAGGTCATCTTCCACTTTGAGTAAGTGAGCTATTCTTGATAAGGCTATATCACTCATAGTGGCATTAGTATTGGTAATTGTTGTGGGGTTAGTATTGGTAGCTGTATAGTTTATATGAGATCGTATAGTCTGAGAGTATTTATGGTTGTAGACCCATGCCGCACTAGAATAGGTAGTGTTGTGCGCGAGTCACTGGTGTAAAGACTTAATAGTTAAGTTAAGAGTATTGATTAGAGTGACTGAATTACACTATTATATGCTGTGTTATAGTGTTATATATGTTAGTGTTATAGTGTTAGTGTTATAGTGTTATAGTGTTATAGTGCTATATATAGATGTTATACTGCTATATATAGATGTTATACTGCTATATATAGTGTTATACTGCTATATTATACTGTGCACTACTATAAATATATTACTTACATAAATATTGTACTGCTGTGAGTTGTACATAGATGAACTGAATATTATTTTATATCATATATCATTTATTATTTATTATCTACATTCGTATCTTACGTCATAATTTATATATATCTTCTTAATAGTATACTATGTACATATACTCTACAGATTACTACCAACATCACAATCTCTCTTTGGCTTACATAAACTACCGGGCCAACTATATACCCACTGCACTAACCTTTGCAACCCCTCTGAAATCTCTAAGAATGATATTTCGCATTTCTGGAGGAGGAATGTGTCTCCTAATAGAGGAATCTTTCAAGTGATACTGTACAAAGCGGAACAATAGCGCTAAATTAGTAATAGACGAAAGAAGACAATAATAAGTACTTGTATATTACCTAATCTTTCTTAATATTAACTCCTATTTCACCACCATACATTCTGAAGACTACAAACTACTACACAGAATAAACAATGAGCTAATACTATTCAAGATTAATGTCAATACCATACACTACTAGTAAAACTAAGCTACAGCAAACTTGTAGAAAAAGTATATACATTATATAGAAACACTATATAGTTAGAAAGTATCATTAACTATGACTACCTCTCTTTGAATATCTTCTCCCACTACCAGAGTGATGATGATTGTTATAACCATGATGTCCATTATTATGTGCTCCATTATTTGGATTATAAACTCCTCCTCCTAACATAAGGTTCCCATTAACTGGACTACCTCCTGAAACATAACCGCCTGGTGGTGGCATAAATCCTCCTGGTGGTAAAAATGCTGGTTCTCCACCTGGATACATAGAAATTGGTGGTTGACCTGGAGGTGGAAATTGTTGTTGATATAACATAGCAGCATGGAATTGTTGTTGTTGTTGTTGGAAATGTGCCATAGCAGCAGCTGCAGCAGCTTGTTGTTGCTGTTGTTGATGAGGAGATAATGGGAATTTGGAATTAACTGGACTTGGATATCCTGTCGGTATAGAAGGTTGAGACATTAATGGACTTGGAATAAATTGATTTGTATTTGGAATAACTACTGGTGCACCTTGTTGGAAAGTATTCAATACAGGGAATAACTTTTCATGAGTATCATCAATAGTTGAATCCCAAGTTGGAGGCGTTTGAAATGCCTTTTCATAAATCAATGGCCCAGTTTCATCATTCTTTTCTTTTTCTTCATACTTCTTTCTCGTAGTTACAAATAAATTAAAGTATAAATGAAATGATTTACTCTTCTCTTGTTGACTTTCTTTAGTAGGAATTTTATGAACTCCACCAAAGAAATCTGCAGGAGAAATTTGATGATGTCTTTTAATAGTTAATGAACTTCCTGAACTACCATTTGATTGAGAATAAGCTCTTGAAGTTGACATTCTTGGAGAAGGATTATTAGGAGATCTTTGATAATTAGCTTTAGGTGGAGTTGGAGATAATTGATTATGTTTACTTGATGGAGTAAATACAGCTGCTTTAGGATTCAATTTAAATGCTGGCTTAGATGGATCCAATTTCTTCTTTTGAACCTCTTGTTGAGTTTGAGTTTGAGTTTGAACAGGCTGTTGTTCCTTTTCTTTCTCTTTTTCTTCTCTTTCCTTCTTAAGTGCTTGTTGTTCATGTTGCTTCTTTAAGATTTCATCTTGTTTCAATTTATCCTTAGTCAAGATTGGTAATAAATCTGAAGGTAATTTATGAGGAATCTTAAAGTTAGCACTGAATTCTCGTAATGAATTAATCTCACTTTGAGCATTTAATCTAAATGATTCATTATGAGGTTGAGGAGTTCCCACAACTGGTTTAGGAGGAATTGATTCAGGTTTACTAGTAATTTTTGAATTAGTAATATTAACTGATTTAGCATGAGATTGAGCAATAGATTCTGGATCTTTACTACTAGAAATATCTCCACTTATACTAGCACTAGGTACAGGAGATTCAGAAGTTGGTATTGGAGTTGAAGTAGGAGATTCCGAGACTGCATTAGGTTTACTAATGGCAGAACTTGCAATAATTGCTGGATCATTATGATATTGAGCAGCTCTTTGTCTTGGAGGAACATATTTACCTGGAATTAATTTAGTAAAAGAAGAATTATTAGAATTATCATTAGAAATACTAGTATTTCTAAGTGCAGCCATTAATTCATCACCTCTTCTATCAACTCCAGAATATTTATCTTCTTCATCTATTCCACTATCATCAATTTGAATTCCTCTTTCTTCTAAAATATGTCTATCAGATGTGACTTGTCCTTCAATTTCTCGAGCAATTCTTTCTGCTCGTTTAACTCGATCTTCATAATCAGCAGCTGATGTATCAATTCTAGTGGTATATAAATGTTCATCATAACTTGATTCAACTCCAAATTTTTCTTCATTTACTTTAAATTGATCCCAAGCTCCAGATTTATGATCATCAGCATTTAATGTTAAAGCTGGATTATGAGTTAAATCTTCATCAGGAACCCATCTTTCTAATTCACGTTCTCTAACATTTAATCGACCTGATATATCAGTATCAGTTTTAAATTTAGAAGAAATATCTGAAGTTTGAGATTGTGATGATAATTGAGGTGATTGTTTAGAATTAATTGATCTCTTAATTGGATCATTAATATCAATTTCATCAACTTCTAAATCAATTAAATCCATTGATTGAACTATCAATTTTTCTGGTAATTCATTATCAATATTACTCTTTTCATTAATTAAACCTTTTGATATAAGGATAGGATGATGTAATACAATTGATAAAGCAGAATTTGAATGAGATGATAAATCTCCACTAATTAAAATCCCTTGATATCTTGCTCCATTAGTTAATGTTGCAATACATTTTTTTCCAAGAGATTTGGATATTAAAAAGATTAATTTATTATTACCTGCTTCTTCATCTCCATTAGAATTTACTGATGGTTGACCATTAGAATTCCCATTATTCCCATTATTGTTATAACGAGAATTGGATCGACGATGACCATTCTTTTGAGAATTAGAACGATTAGGATTTTGACCTTTCATTGTGGATAGTTTGAGTATTTTTTTAAGGGATTTTATTTATGATTATGAATATGATAAATGGCGAGATATCACTTCAAAGGAACAGCACAATTTGTAGACAATGAAAACGTACTAAAGCAGACACAGTTGAGCAGACACTATATACCAACTTAGACTGAGACTTAGACTTAGACTTAAACTTAGACTTAAACTTATATTCAGTATTTCAATAATTAAGTCGAGAACTACTTAGTCAGTGGTAGTGGTAGGTAGTAATGGTAGTAGTAGCAGTGGTGGTGGTGGTGGTGGGGTGAGACAGACTACGATTATAGTAAAATTTCAATGGACAGTAATTGTACAGATCCTTACTATGGATGGGGATGGAATGGATGACCGAACTTTTAAGACAGAATAACTTGCGATAGTTTTAGTTCGCTACGCTTAGCTATTGGAAGTCTAAGGTGGAGGAGCCCTTTGGGAATTGTTCACACTTTTTTTGTTTTTGTTTCCTGTTTTGTTCGTAGTCTCAGTCTCGGGCCTGGGAAAAAATGTCTGGGCCGTAGGACGTGGAGGGGACTGGGTGTTTAGCGGTGTTAGTGTGTAATGGGTAGTAGTGATTTAGTAGTTGTTTAGTAGTAATGTAGTGTAGTGGTGGTAGTGGTAGTGATAGTGATAGTGGTACAATTGTAGTACTGTTGAATGTTCTGAAAGTTTATTACTGATAGTGAAGTGTATAGCGCAATTGTGTGGTTTAGTGTTAGGCTGCAACTCGTCAGACCCTCACGCTCACGCTCACTAATACACTGACCACTCACTATCACACTCGTCTAAGCCAAAGCCCGGCCTACTGACTTCAGCACCGAGTGAGTGTAAGTTGTTGCAACTTAACACATACATTATAATTCTACTACGTAACTATAAGAACTCTGTAACTCAGAACTCTACAGTACTACTTGTCTTATCAATTTTACTAAGAAATAGCACATAAACTATACAAACTTAATTAAAGCTAACCCTCACACCACACACACTATATATTCAACAACAAATACTACCTATACCAATACCTATATCTACTTTATCAACTACCGACCCCCAATACAATACTACAAAGTCTTTAACAAACTCAATGTCTGATTCCGAATAGGGATCTAATTCCATCTCTACAATGTCCTGATAAGTTAATTCAATACTAAATTTCTTATTAATATTGTCACTCTGTAAAAGTGTATCATGATCTTCTGATAAGATATTTTCATGAGTTTCTTCTGTATCATCGAAATCCTTTAATTGATCTACTTGATCCATAACTAGCTCATTAATTAAATAGAACCATTTCTTAGTTAATTTATGAAAGTATCCAACTATTTGAATCAATTCCATTAAATCAATATTAGTAGTTGTATTAGCCTCTAATTGTTGCTTTAATGTTGATAAAGATGATTGACCTTCAACCTGTCCAGCAGTTGCAAACCATGAGAATGCTGACCAAATAGATTCTCTCCATGATACTGATTCAGTAGCATATTTTAACCACCATTCAGGTTCAATTTCCCATTTAGAATTATAATAATTCTTTAATTCAATGGATTCAGGATTAGGGGTTGGAATAGTTTCAGATGATTTATTAGTCATAATAGAATTTAAATCATCAGTTGACATATTACTAATATTTGTAAAGATTTTATTTTTAGGAAATTTAGATGAAGTTGATAATGATCGTCCAGTAGGAATTGTAGAATTATCAATGACTTGTTCTGAATGTAATGATGGATCAGTTACAGTAACTGAAGGTCTATCATTAGCTGAATTAAATAATTCTTGATATATTAATTTAAATTTTTGATAATCTTTAAGAGTAGCTTTAATACGACTATCTTTATAATTTTGAATATCTTCCAGTTTAACTACTTTAATATTATCTTGAGTTTCAGCATTAATTACAACAGCAATATCATAAAGTCCCTTTTGATATAATAATATATCATCATTAGTTGAACCTACAAATGCCTTCAAATCAATTAAACTCTTATGATCCTTTGGAGTATTCATATCATTTAATCCAATATTATAAATTGGTTGTGAGAAGGAATGAGATTGTGTTTGTTCAGAAGAAATAGTTTTAATTTCTTGAGGTACAATAGATAATAAACTGATTAAATAATTGAATGAATTAATAATATAATTAGTATCATCATTAGCACTATTTGTTTCATCATCATCGTCATCATCATTATCATTATCATCATTGTTATCATCATTTTGTGATTTTTGTTGATGCAACTGATTAAAGATAAGTAGTTTCTTTCTCAATAATGCCTGTTTGTATACTATAAATATTAATGGACCTAAAGTCTGTAACATATCTGGTAATTTAGTTAATAAATGATTGTTAATATTAGGACTTATTAAATTACTTGAACTAGGAGGTGACAGGAATGAATTAGTAAATAACCGATCAGGAGAAGTAACTAATTTAGTATATAATTTGTCAAATATATCCAATTGTTTATCATCAGATTGAATATAATTTAATAAAGATGAATCAAGTATATCAATATATTCCCATCCATTACTGATAAATTCATTGGGTTTCCATGAAGGTTCTGGTATTGATCCATAATTAGTGGAATTTCCTTTATTATCATTGGGTGAACCAATTGGATCACATAAGATCCCTATAGAATACATATGAACATCATTTCTATCGATTTGATTAAGTTCATGATCATGAGTCTCGGTAATAATTTGTCGAAAACATCCTAAACCATAGTACAATTTAGAATTAGAATAATGACTTATTAAAACAGTTGATTGTTCCATATTCTGAATCCCACTAGGCATAACTTTATAGTCCAAACCATCGATATCAAAATCAGGTATACTTGATTTATACCATACTAAATTATACCCTTTCTTAACATCAAATTTAGTAAGAAATATAGTAACTATAGTAGAAGGTTTATACACTATTGGATCCGGGGATTCGGAATTAGTTCCTGGACCAGACAGAGACGGAGGAATAGATGTCATAATTAATTTCAATTCTTATAGCTCCTTTATTGTAATGTACTTAGTTGTTTCTATAGTTATAGTCATATAATTAATTAACCCAATTGGGATATTTTTAGGTGAGTGGTGATATTTTCTTTTCGCACTTACCTAACAATATGACTACTACGCTTGAACCCCACTTATAAGATATATACATAGTAAGGTACAGTACTTTTATGGATCCTAGAATAAGACAAGCCTATAGGACATTACTATATATGGGGAAGGAATATCCTCAGAAGTCGGGAGGTTATGATAAATTTAGGCGTGTTTTGAAGTTGAATTTCCAAAGTACAAAGGTTGAGAATGAATCTGAATTAGTACAAGCATTAGAGAAGGTGGAGTATATAAAGAAAGAGTTAGAAAGTTTGTATTCTTTAACTAGATATAGACATCTCAAGCGAGTGTATGAATGAATATATTCGATTTCAATAGTAATAGTATAGGACAGTGTAATATAGTGTATAGTGTACGATAAAGTAGTTACTAATAAAAGTACTTATGTATTGAATGTAATTAGTTAATTATTTAAAGTTTTTTATGATACATTATTATGAAGAATGACATATGAAGAGTATGGATTCATAACATTGACTGATTCTAATAAGTTAGTCACGATGATATAGAAGATATTTTTTGGTTCGTCGTTTAGGATCTAATTCTTAAAACAAAATTGACGACAACAGCAATTAATAAGAAGAAACATAACATGGTTGGACCAAATCTATCATCATAAGGACCAGAACCTCTTAATCTGATAGCTTTAGCTCTCCAATGGTAAGTAACTAAAGCATAAATCATAGTTAACATGGCAATAAAAGTGAATAAACCAGCAGAAATTCTACCAACAGAATCACCGAAATTTAATAAACCAACACCTAAAGATCCTAAGATAACAGTGAAATTTAACCATGAAAGGAAAGTTCTTTCATTGGCAAAGAAAACTTTAGGTTCAACTCTAGCTGGTAAAGCGATTCTTTTATTAGCAGATGACATTATATGGGATATTTATAGAATTAGTGAAATGAATTTGATTGAATTGAATTAACTAATTGAATTATATATTAATGACTCGACACTACGATGAGGCAAGCCAAGGTGTAGATAGACTAAAGCAATAAGAATAGAATTGAATTAAAGTAAAATTAAAAGTAAAAGTAAAAGCAAAGTAAACTTAAGTTAAGTTAAGAAATGAAAATTCCCAATGCGTTTGTTCCCGATGGTGTTCCATTGACTTAAGATTCCCTTAATTAATCGTATAATAGATTAATTATGTATGTGCCATAAGTAGTAAGTTTACAAAATGAAGCGAAGAGCCTGCATATAGAATTAAACTCACATAATAACAGGCACACGTGGGAGCCCACTGAAAATTTATAGTGCATTTACTTATTTATTTTGTATTTCCGGCTCTTTTGCTTCCGGTTCGAGACCGGATATATTCATTTTTTATAACAGATAGATTAACTTCAATACTAGCGGATTGAAATTAATTTACCGGTTTATGTGAAAGATAAAAGTCGGAAGTGCTGAAAAACGTAAAATCATTTTAATTATGATGCAAAATGCCTAATTAAGCTCAACATATTTCTGTAGTTACAAATTGCAATCATTCAGTGTATTGTTTACATGTACTAGAATTTATAAGTATATATTAGTATTTTATTAATATTTATTAGTAGCATATATGAACAGTTTATGCTAGTCTCTTGCATTGCCTAGAATTATAGTGAAAAAAAACAGTGAAGCTATAGTTTGCTGGTGGAAGATACTTACATACTGTTACAACTATTATGCTAAACCAGTCATATACAGTATCTAGTAGCTGGGAAATTCAGGCGATTATCAATATTACTCCTAGTCACTTCCATCCATAATAGAGCTTTCCATTTTTGAGCCTCACGCACGCACTTTTAACTGCATAACAAATAATCTTAATTATAACAATACCATACATATGATACTATCACTGGGTGCAAAACAGCAAAAACAGCAAATCAGCAAAAGTTCTCAAATGATACTCTACACTTGTGAATTAGGTCTATATGGAGATTATAGAAAAACTATACGACTTAGGTTAGACTCTTAAACTCATAACACTCATGGAAATAAATCTTATTTCTTCAAACCAAACGAGTACCGAGGAACAATTCGTTTCTCCGGATTAATCAAAAGACCGATAAAACATGAATAACTTTCTATAATAACATACACCAACAGTAAATTACAACTCTACCCTCAGTAAAAGAACGACACTTTGTAAGATATAATAAAACTTAATTTTAATTATACAAAAACTATTTAGTGTTCCATACTTTTGAATTCCGTCACAATACAAGGAGGGGAACCAGTCATATGATCTAATTAACGAATTAGGCTTATTCTTAAGATTAAGAAAAACCTTAACTAATTTTTCATTTTAATCACAGTCTATAGTTATTTTTACATTAATATCAATATCACTACATATTCTGATCTAACGTATCTACTTGGAATAGTAGTCAGTCAAATCAAATGAGCAATACAATTCAACAGTCATTAGACATAATTGCAACTACAACTGTTGCAAATCATGGCGTCCAATCAGAACGCGACAATGGTCAGCAGGCCACAATAGACCTATCAGCAATACCAAATATAACTAATCTGTTAGTAACTCCAATATCAAATCCTTATCGACAAAGTCCTCCTGTGACAAACCAACCACCAAATCCACTGCCTTTCCCAATATGCCGATTACCAGCTCTCAACCCACCTAGAAGACCACCACCACAACATCCACCTCCATTATATAAATTGTGAAAATTCAGAATTCATTCACTAATCTTAAGTAATTAATTTATTAATTAATTAAGTAATTAATTATTTAACTATTTATTTATTCATCTATTTATCTATTTATTATATCGGGTTTACTGCTGTTTTAACGGCTCATTAGTTCTATCAACCGTTTGCAATTCACTAACTATTTATATGTACATACAACTGAATTAAGCAAATATACAATAGTTTATTCAATTCTAGGCTCTAAGATCAATTTACCCATTGGTAAATCGGAATGACCTCTACCAAATGCAAAAGCTGAATTACCTCTTACAATAGTTTCAATGACTCTACCTTGAAATTTCATACCATTATAAGCAGTTAATTTATTTTTAAAGAAAGTTTCATGATTTTTAACTTCATATTGAGCAGTTGGATCAAATATTAATAAATCTGCATCATAACCTATTTCAATTTTACCTTTACAATGACTTAATCCTACTTGTTTGGCTGTATTTATAGAACACCACTTGTTAATATCTCCAAATGTAATAGGTGGTGATAATTTTAATCCTTCAGTATATAAGATTGGTAATCCAAACCCAACCGATGATATACCTCCCCAAGCTTCAAAGAAATCACCCTTTTGTAATCCTTTTAATTCAGGAGTACATGGTGAATGATCTGATACAACAGTAGTAATAATATCATTTCTTAAGGCTCTCCATAACAACTTCTTATTTTCTTCTGTTCTGATTGGTGGACAACATTTGAAGTGGGTAGAACAATTACTAATCTTTTCAGCATATAAAGATAAATAATGGAAACATGTTTCAGCCGTAATAGGTAATCCCTTAGATTTAGCGGCTCTAATCAATGGTACTGCTTCATGAGTAGCCAAATGAACAATATGTAATGGTACAGTAGGAAATTTAGTTGAACAATTGATTATTTCAGCAATAGCTGTAGTTTCAAAATTATCAGGTCTTGAAGCTAAAAAAGAGGCATAAGATGTTGGATCAACATTAGCAAGTAATTTCGTATCATCATCATCCTCTTCTACTTCCGTAGCTTTAATAAAAGGTGATTCATGCTCATAAACTTCTTCCAAATCCTTATTGTAATGATGATTAGCTATTCTGGCAAACTTCCCAAATGTGGGTTCAACAGCTGCCAAAAGAGGTGATTTAGCCAATGCTAAAGCTTGTTTATCTGTTAATACTGAATGATCAATTGATCCTGCATGATTATGAGGTAATTCACAATTCTCATGTTCTTCCTGATGATAAGTATCAGAAGTTAATAATTCAACTACTGGCTTAGGAGCTCGGTTAATAAATGAAGCTGACATTCCCAAGTTTATATCTTCGATATCATTCGATAATTTGGGTATATCCACACCATTAGAAATTGAAACCGGTTTACTGATAGTATTATTTGTTTTAGTTTCAGTTTCTGTATCATCTTCAAGATAAAATGTACCATTACCATTAGACTTCTGATTATGATTTTCATGAGGTTGCATTTCAGCATGGAACATTAAAATTGTTTTCTTATCTTTAACTTTATCCATAGCTTTTAAAATATATGGTGGATCAATAGCCGGGAACTCCTCTACTCCACTTTCAATCATGAAACCTTTAAACCCTCTAACTCCCATTGTTATTAATGGATTCAAATGATCTAAATTATCTGGAACTAAACCTCCCCAAAATCCTACATCAACCCAAGTTTGATCTTTTGCTGCATCAATTTTTAAATTAAAATTAGCAATGGTTGTCGTTGGAGGTATAGCATTAAGAGGCATATCAATTACAGTAGTTACTCCACCTGCAGCAGCCGCTTGAGTACCAGTCGCAAACCCTTCCCATTCAGTTCTTCCAGGTTCATTAAGATGAACATGAGCATCCACTAATCCTGGCATAATAACTAATGGACTAACATTTCGATAATCTATAGGTAATACATTATATAATTTTAATAATTCATCATCTTCTGATACGATCAGTAATTCAATATGAAGAATTTTACCCGATTCAATAGAAAATATTATAGTAGCTGGTACAACTGATTGTCCAATTAATACTTGTGATGATGACAATGCTCGAGACATATTGATATGATAATGATAATGATAATTCAGTCTATTTCATAAAGAATCAAAATCAACATAAACATAAAGAATTACTTAAACATGGTGAAAATTAATTATGGTTTATTTCCATATCCGGTCGGAGGGTTCCAGCTTACATATTTCGGGAAATCTACAGCGGGCATTTTATTTCTCTTATCTATCAACCCGCGGTGGGCGAGCAAAAAAAAGTTTGGCAGCCATTTAGAAAAAGAAACGTTCTTTCTAGTAATGGATTATACTTGTTTAAAATACATTGGGATAGATTATCTAAAGGGGTTATACATTCACCAGCTAACTGGATTGAAGTAATATGAATAGTACTTACCATTGATACTGGCTTTTATTGTGGTTAAAGAATCTCCTAGTGTCATTATATAAGTTCGGATAAGACCGAAACTCACATGTAATGGATATAAATAACTATAAACAGAACAAAATATTTAGTTAATTAGAAAGTAATTAATTGCTTACCATTACTAGAGTTAGCAACTGCTTCCTGATATACTTCATGTAACTGTTTTTCACCTCCTTGTTCAAATTTTGTTTGAATAGCTGGTGCATCTTTTAATTTTTCATCTTCATACCATTCAACAATTTGATTTAATGTTTTAGTTTTTAATTCTGAATCCTTTAATAATTGAGTAACCCAGAATCCTGCACTAGTAATGTTTTTGAAAATATGTAATGAAGTTGGTAAAATAACTGGTTGGAATGACATACCTCCATAAGTTAACATTAAACCATTATTAGCTAATTTTCTTGCTATACCGGTAGAATTCTTACCACCAACACAATTAAGTGCCAATTTAATCTCACCTCCTGTATCTTTAGTCCAACCTTTAATAGTAGCACCAAAATCTCTAGATGCATTTTCTTCTTCTGTAATAACTTGTGTAGCTCCAAGGCTGTTCAATTCATCTTTAAGTTCCTGTAAATTTGGTCTATCTCTAATAACAGAAAGTGAATTAAATCCTAATAATTTTGAGATTTGAATAGCATACTTACCAACTGCTGAATTACCACCGTTTTGAATAAACCAATCTTTACCAGGGGTTAATTTCACAAAATGAGTTAACATAAGTAAAGCAGTAGGAGGATTAACAGAAATAGTTGCTCCTTGATTAATGGTTAATCCAGATTTTTTACCCTTGGCCTTAGATTGGTCAGGGTTTGGTAATTGAAGAAAATCAGTATCTTTAGCTAAAGCATGAGTTCTCCAAGTTCCAAAATTGACTTGAGCTGGAACTGCCCAATCACCAACTTTGAAGTTAGTGACTTTATTACCAACCTTAATGACTTCAAATAAACCTTCATTACCAGTTGGAGCACTTGGTTCACTAGTACCTAAAGCAGTTGTCTTTTCAGGTTTAGATGGATATACACCTTGAATTTGATTAATATCAGAAGGATTGACAGGAGCAGCTAAAGTTTTAACAATTATTTCATTTTCACCAATATTGGCATCATCAATTTCATAAGTATGAGTTTTTAATACATCCTTAGGTTCTCCATGTTGAGAATAAACAACGACTTGTGATGTAATCATTCTAAATTGATTTGAAGTTACTCTCAATGATCTAGTGCGGGAAGGAATAGAATTCTTTATTAAGGACTTAAACATTTGATGGTTTTATTTTGACAAGCTATAATGTCACAGTCGTATAAGTTCGTATAAAGAGTGGGGAATGAATCAATTGAACAATATTTAAGTGTTCGTATTGAATTTGAACTATGGGGGATTTGGATTTTTCGGTTCAGTACTTTTGCTATTTTTGTGGGACGATTGCTCTTTATAATTGATGGTCTCAACTAAGTTCACCGAATAATAGATCTCAATTCATTCACCGTATAACAGTAATGAATAATAAAAGTTAGGGCTTTGGATATTTAACGGTTCGCAGTTGATGACAAATCATAGATAGAGATGGTTAATTCTTGATTTAGCCGTCTTCGTTCCTGAAAAGCGGAGGTATCGCTGGGCTCATACAATTTCCATGGATATTATGTAAGCTTATAATATAATTTTAATTAGAGAATAAGCATTAAATTCAATTCATTCAATAATAAATCATTACATATAAGTGATTAATAATTAAATCCGATCGGATTCACAAGGGTCTATGTCTTGAAAGTTTCAAACTAAATAAAGAATAAATACAAAAGCCAGCTTTCTAATCGGACTCATTAATGCTATGGTCCATCATCAAATATAAAGGCTTAAATTGATTAATCTGTTTTCTCTTTATCTTCTTGGGGAGTATCTTGTTCTTTAATTTCTTCTTCAACATCCTCTTTTTTCTCTTGTTGCTGTTGCTGTTGTTGTTTTCTTTGTAATTTTTGTTGTTTCTTCAACTTGGTGTTTTGATAAGTACCTAAAATGAAAAAGACAGTATTAAGGAAAACAACCCACAATTCAGGTGGAATATATTTCTGGGCAATAATTAATGAGAAAAATGAAGTGATAAGGGATGATTTTAATAAGACTGGGTATACTTTCTTTAATCCAAGTTTCACTATATAGAAGATCTTAGCTAATTCTTTAGGAATTGAAGTACTCTTCCATGATTCAGGAAATTTATAATTGTTAATTATAGATAACCACGAACCATAAACACCAGCCAATAATGGAGTCACAGTCAATAAAGAAGTGAAGAACTTTGCAACCTGTTGGGCAGTAGTCAATTTTCCTACAAATATCTTCTTATTGATAACCTCGTAAATATTATGTGAAATTGGAGTTGAGATAAGACTTCCATAAAATATCATTGACAATAATTTTGGTGTAAAGAAATGTTTAACCTTATATTTACCACAAATGGCAGTTTCTTGTAAATCATCACTAATAATGGACGAAATGATTTCATTCAAAGCAGCATAAATTCCTGCTGTAATGGACTTAGTTAATAAAGGATTTTTACCTAAATGATCTAAATATTGAGCATTTAAAGCTCTAAGAGTACTTGCTGATGGCATTGTAATTTTACAATTGATTTCCTTTGAATATATAACCCTTCTAATGAAATCAACTACTAATTCTAACAATAGAATAGTAACAACAACAAGTATGAAAAATTCTATTATAAATATATCAAGAATTTCCGTAGTCTTAACTAACGGATCTTACCCTTCTGATTAGCCTAAAATATATAAAGCGCGCACAAAAGCGATGGGGGGAATCAACATCCCACTAATGTAGTTTCCAAATATTTTTAGTGGTATCGGATATATTTAACTAATTGGGAAACGACTGCAATATAAAACCAATTAATCAGACCAGTTAAGAAGATAAACCAAGTTTGTATTTAACTGGTGGGATAACTATTGGAGTGGTATTAAATAAACTTCTCTAAAAGCAGCTCATGAATTCGGGTAATTGGGTTATGAAGTTTGTATCTAGCTCGGACCACCTTTCTAATACTATAAAAATTCAATTATGCCCTACCCACTTCTTATAAGAATCTCCTCTTCATTTATGTGCAAATATTACAGATTCTCCACATCGTATAGTTGCCGAGTCTGCATCGGAAATACCCCGAATTAAGGTGTCGGAGAATGAGACTCTAGCTTTTTTTTGCAACAGTAAGTTAGTTAATACCATTAAAGTAGATTAAAGTAATTCAAGTCGTATAACACATACAGTGTATATACTTAGGTACGCCCAATAATATTGCAAAAGAGAAATGATATTTGACTCTTTGATGTATGCAAATCTATTAACAGATCTAGGGCGCCTTTGCCTATTTGGGCATGTGGTTCCGATGGAACAAAATTTATATGGTAGGAATAATATACTGCATATAAGCTCAGCTAATTGCAAACACTTACAATACAAAGAAACAACGAAGCAGAAGAAGATCTCTTTGTATTTCTAGACTTAGTTATCCTTAAAGTGCTCTCAAGTTAAGCTTTGTAATTCCATGAAATTAACATAATTTAAAAGTGATGTAAAAATGGGGTGGGATTTGTGCTTCTTTTTGAATATCACTACTGAAAACCTAGATTTAAATATATTTTATTGTTTGATTCATTATCTTTCCGAGTAAACGACAAAAGATAATGTCCGAATTAAGAATTAGTTGTGAAACTCTTATCCACCGAATTGCCTAAATCTTTAAATAAAGTTGAGTAACGAATTTGGAAAAAAGGTCTTTTCATTATCAAAGAATGTTGCAAACATGCAAGATTGTTGGGTCCAATCCCTTCTCCACTAGTTAATCAAAGGGATATGTTAACTATGTCAACGGAAGTAAAAAATATCGGATCGTCAATCCATAATTTTGCAACTACAAGGAGAGCAAAAATTTATGGCGCGGTATTTCCAGTTTTTCCGGAGAGATTTATGGTAGAACTGTACATTGAAAAATACTGCTTAATAGTGTGCCAACTAATTTAGTATCACTATATCGGTAAAACAGCACACTTTGCATTGAAATCATAGGATCAGTCCAAAGAACCTTTACTCCAGTTTTAATTACGATATTTTTGGGGTACATGTGGAGAATCTGACTTCCATTGCATAGGGATAGATCAAAATCGATCTATATATCAGAAAATGTCTGATTTTAGATGGCACGCTGCACCAACACATACAAGCAAATCGTTTGATATCGGACTTTATTTGATATATATTATGTGTATCAATCAAATAACTATGCCTTTCTTAATTGAGCTTTATTAAAAATTTAATTTGAATTATAACTGCACGGCTAAAAATTTTTCCGTTTTTTACTTCTTTACACACAATCAAAAGAATTAAATTCATGAAATTGTAATAGAAACATGTAAAGAGGGTCATTATTGATGTTGACACGTCTGTATGATAGTAATATACTGATACGCACTGTGGACCAATGAAGCTTCACTAGATCTTTCAATTTACAGGGCTTACTACATGGGTACCTACGGAGGCCAGATTAATTGGAAAATGAAGCGCAAAACCGACACTAGAAAAAAAAAAAAAAGTACAGTTCTTCCGATCAGACATTTTCAGGTCGCTTGTAACTCACACGAACTCTGACCTTTATAAGGCGTTTGTAATTATACCAAGAATCATTAAGACTGCAGATAACAATTGGCTGGATTAGAAGACCAAGACAGCATAGCACATTCATGTTAACTCACTTGTATAGAAGTATAGAACTCAAGGGTGACGTAATCAATCCTGATTTGTCAAGATTAAAGATACTATGATCCCTAATCTAATTTGTTTCAAATGGAATATTTTCTCCAGTTTGGAGAAGGGTGGGGTACTATAAATAATTTTTGAACGCATATTTCCCAGTCAAATCCTTCCATCGATTAGAACAACTAAATTGTGTACAAGTACTATACAGTACCTTAGTTTTTAGCTCGCGAAATTTGAGCTCTATCGCACATTCTCGGTGAAATCGTAGTCATCACATTTCTATGGTGGGGTAGCGACTGATAATATAATGGAAGTATAGGTTCTTATTCAGCTCATCCCAAACATTCAGGGGATACATTAATATTAAACTTTTAGCGGATTTAAGCTACTGTGTGTTAATCAAAATGCGAAGAAGATGTAAGCGCAATGTAAGTATTTACACCACATTTTTAAATGCAAGTAAGCTATAGTTACATTAAATTAATCTACTATGAACTACAGCTTCTCAGTTTAGAATAGCTTAGAGTAATCAGGATTGAAATATTTCATTATACATACAATTAGCTTTACGAAAGCAATAATCTGAAAGCCTTTTCAATAATAGCAATTGAGACTTAGTAAAAATTACGTCATGTTGCACACTTTTTTTTGTAAATTACGTTAACAGGAACTGTTGATACATAAAAAAATCGCTTCATTAGTGCCAACGCTACAATAAACCCCGTCTTTTCCATTGTAACCAGAATAATGAATGATCATTATTCTATTCTTAAACCCATTGCTTTATTCTTTAATCAAGGAGTTACAATGAAACTAATAGCATTTTAAAGAGAAGTAATACAATGCAAAAGTCTAAGTATTCTGATATTGGACAAATTTAAGGTTCAAGTTGTGTTTTTATGAATTTAAATGCCAAGTATCGTCTGTCGGATTGACTTCTTTGATAGAAGAGGGCTGAAATGTTATCGTAGCGTAGCGCTTTCTTTTTCTTTCTATTCTACCTTTAGTCTCCCATCTTCAATTTTTGAAACGTTCAAACTTCCATTATTGTTTCTTTAATTGATGTAGTGGGAGGGGATTCATTTGTTGAACAACAACGATAGTTATCAACTAGTGATAAGTTTAATTGCAGCCTACCACAACTCAATTTTGACCCAAAAATTATCCACACAAACGCGCAAATTAGTGCTGTTTTCCCGGATTCACGTCAATGGTGGGGTAGCCAATATTTTGTCTGACAGACATTAAAGATATCCTTTTTTGGTATGTCTGGATAAAAGCTGCATACAAGTGTGCATATAGATGTCTGACATTTTCTTTTTTCTTCATAATTATTTTTTATATTGTTCTAAAGTATGGGGGAAAGAACGCATAATTATATCAATAGAATATCACTACAGCAATTCAGAGCAGCAAGCTGCTAAATATATAAAAGCAAGTTAATTCCCACTTCAAAAGAAATAATGTCTGTAAATAGTTATAATACACAAGACTTGTTTTTACAATTGCTATACCTACATAAACTTTTGATTGAATTTTTCATATAATATTCATATCATTCTTTATTATCTTAAGTCCGGAACTTATAATTTAAAGGTTATTAGGTTATTAGATTATTAACATGAGTGACTCTGAAAAGATCGAAGCTACTGCCGATGAAGGTTTATTTGAGCACAGCTCTAATTCAAGTTATGGTGAAAAGAAACATAAGAATCCATCTGATTTAGAATCTTTACATTCAAAAATTGCCGAGCCAGGTAATGGTGAAAGAGGTAATATTTTATCACAATATAGTGAGAAGCAAGTTATGCAAATGGGAAGAAATTATGCATCTAAACAGGGTTTAGATCCAGAATTATTTGCTAAAGCTGCTGCTATTGCCAGAACTCCAACTGAATTTAATTCGATGCCTTTCTTAACCGAAGAAGAAAAGATTGGATTGAATATGGAAGCTACTAAGAGATGGCATATTCCTCTTAAATTAGTTGGTGTTATCGCATTAGGTTCTATGGCTGCAGCCGTTCAAGGTATGGATGAATCTGTTATTAATGGTGCTACTTTATTCTACCCTAAAGCCTTTGGAGTAACCAAGTTAAAAAACTCCGATTTAATCGAAGGTTTAGTTAATGGTGCACCATATCTCTGTTGTGGTGTCATTTCTTGTTGGTTATCAGATATCTGTAATAGAAAGCTTGGTAGAAAATGGACTATTTTTTGGACTTGTTTAATTTCTGCCGTCACTTGTATTTGGCAAGGTTTTGTTAATACTTGGTGGCATTTATTTATCGCTAGATTTTTCCTCGGATTTGGTATTGGTATTAAATCTGCTACTGTTCCAGCCTATGCTGCTGAATGTACTCCTAAACATATTAGAGGTTCTTTAGTCATGTTATGGCAATTCTTCACTGCTGTTGGTATTATGTTTGGTTATGTAACTACATTGGCTTTTTACTATGTTCCTGATAAATCTTTTGGAACTGGATTGAATTGGAGATTAATGCTTGGTTCTGCCTGTATTCCAGCTATTTTTGTCTTAGTTCAAGTTCCATTCGTTCCAGAATCTCCAAGATGGCTTATGGGTCAAGAAAGACATAGGGAAGCTTTTGAATCATTGAAAGTTTTACGTAATGAAGAGATTGCAGCTGCAAGAGATTGCTTTTATCAACATGTTTTATTACAAGAAGAAGGTTCTTATAAAATTCCAACTTGGAAGAGAGCTATTGAAATGTTCACTGTCAGAAGAAATAGAAATGGTGCTCTTGGTGCCTGGATTGTTATGTTCATGCAACAATTCTGTGGTATTAATGTTATTGCATACTATTCTTCATCTATTTTCATTGCTTCTGGATTTTCAGAAGTATCTGCATTATTAGCTTCTTGGGGTTTTGGTATGATCAATTTCACCTTTGCTATTCCAGCTTTCTTAACTATTGATAAATTTGGTAGAAGAACATTATTATTATTCACTTTCCCATTAATGGCTATTTTCTTATTAGTTGCTGGTTTCGGCTTCCTTATTAATCAAGAAACTAATAAAGAAGGTAGATTAGGTATGATCATTATTGGTGTATACTTATTCTCATGTGTTTATTCTTCTGGTGAAGGTCCTGTTCCTTTCACTTATTCTGCTGAAGCTTTCCCATTATATATCAGAGATATTGGTATGAGTTTTGCTACAGCTACTTGTTGGTTCTTTAATTTCATTTTAGCATTTACTTGGCCAAGATTATTGAATGCATTTACTGCTACAGGTGCTTTTGGATTTTATGCAGCTTGGAATATTGTTGGATTCTTCTTAGTTCTTTGGTTCTTACCTGAAACCAAGGGCTTAACATTAGAAGAATTAGATGAAGTATTTGCAGTCTCTGCAACTAAGCATGCCAAATATCAAACTAGAGCTCTTTGGAATAATTTCCAAATATATATTCTCCGTCGTAACGTTGCTCCATTACCTCCATTATACGAACATCAAAGATTAGCAGTTACTAATCCTGAATGGAATGAGAAGACTGAAGTTTCTCACATAGAGTAATTTTAGACTTGAATCAGTTGTATATTCTGGGAATATCAATAAATTTATTATGTACTACTTAATTTATAATGCTTAAAATTTTCTAAATGTTATGTCATAACTTTTAATACTAATTCAGTTCTTGTGTTTAAATTTCCATGTAGTAATGTTGCTAATTTTAGTGCCTATGAGGAGAAGATTTTCGCGCAATAAGAGGCTGCAAGAGTTCGCCGCTGATTGCGCTTTCCCCTCTCCCTTTTCCTCCGATATATATAATATATATATGGGACAATTTACTGTTTTTCATTAACATATTGAAAGATCTCTGTAAAGTATGCTCATTACTAATTTATTATACTCCGCTTATATTGCCCTTTGCTCTCTATTTATCAGAAACACTCCTGGGTATTGGGCCTCTAAAGGTGTGCCTGAATTGGACACAGAAATTGAATATCCCTACCACATGCTTGGTTGTCCTAATTTCGTGAGATATACTTCAGGACCCTCATTTCCCAATCTTGGAGAACTTATTAGATTCGAATTAGAATGTAGCTATTCTAATGATACCGGGGTTTGGCTAGGGGTTCATTATACAGATCCTAATGCTACCGATCTTTCAAATTGTTTTGTCGTTTCTCCACAATTTGCAGCTAGCTTGGAAGAAGGAATGGAAGCTTTTAATGAAAAATTAGAAACGATTGATGTGGATTGGATGGCTGAAGAAAAACTGAGCGTTATGTTAGAAGATTTAGGAGTTACCGATGAAGATGTGATAGAATACTACAGAATCTATACGACTCTTGACACTTCACAAAGTGCAGAACGTACAGAAAGCTTAGAAAAGTAGATACATTTATCGGTATATATAACCAATACGAATATTATACAACTAATCCCACTAGACAGGATTCAATAAACATTATGAACCAATAATTGAATATCAAAGAACAACCAGATTGGATGAATTCTTCTACCTTAAGAAATCTCTTAAATATGAACCTAATTTATTAGCACCTTCTTCTAAAGCATCCTTTAAGACATCCAAGTCTTGATTAGCATTACCAGAAAATCTTGAAGCAAATTCTCTAGCGGATGCTTCAATATCACCCAATTGACCAGAAATAGATGTACTTCTGTTACCACGAGTACCACTACCACCAGCACCACCATTGGCAGATTCATCTTCACCGAAATAAGATGAAGAAGAAATAGATTGTGCTCCATTGAAAGATTGTAATTTTGCTTTAGCTTCATTATTAGCTTGTTCATCAAATCTAGGACCTCTACCAAAGAATTCGTCTGATGAAATACCCTTTTGAGTACCGAATTTATTGGTTACTTCTCCAGTATATTTGACTTCTTTATATTGTTTAGTTGGACCATTTGATACTTTATTATCACCTTGAACCATACCAAATCCCAATTTTTGAAATTGAACGGTGGTTTCTTGAATAGATGGAGCGGAATTAGTTTCCTTCTTAGTTGATGATAAAGATAATGATGTTTTTCTTGGACCAGCAGCTGGAACAGTAGAAGTTGTTGATTTTGGTTCTTCTGCACTAGGATTATAACCTAATTTTTTAGCTTCTTCTGCTTCTTGTTTAGCCTTTCTTTCAATTTCATCAAAATCAATATCTTCACTTTCACCTTTATTGACTTTTCTGATAGCCCTGGTAGTTCTTGGACCATTACCTTTACCGGATAGAATTGACTTTTTGGCAGCAGTACCATTATTCTTTAATCTTGATGAAGTAACAACTGAAGATGAAGTTCTAGTTGTTACTGCCTTTTTCTTTAATGTTAAATCATCAGATGATGCGTTTGGAGTGATATTTCTGGATGATAATGGTGAAGGAGTTGAATTGATTGGTTTACTAAAATTTGAAAAGAAATCATCAGTAGATGATTCACCATTAGAATCATTTAATGAAAAATTGTCAGTAATATCATCTAAAGTTACCACATCAGGATGCTTTTCAGCATCTTTTAAAGCTCTTTGCTTTAATTTTTCTTTATATTTATTAGCAACTGGAGATGAATATTTAGCAGTTGCATCAACATTATTTTTATTATTAACATATTGTGAACCACCATTCTTTTGGAAAAATTCCTTAGCTTGTTGATTCCCACCAAATTTAAAATTTCTCAATTGAATTCTTTGCCATGAATCTAAATTAGAAGATTTGACAAATGAAATATGAACTCCCAAATTTCTATGAACTGCTGAACATTCTAAACATAAAAAGATTCCAAATGGGATAGATGTCCAAGTTGGATTTCTATTGGGACAATCAAAACATACTTGGTTAGCTGGATCCTTTTTTAACCTATCAAAGATCTTGGCAGCTTCTTCTTTACTGGCTATAGCATCCGACATCTTATTTAACTTTCTAGTACTTTCTACAGGTGTCGTTAATATAAATACTGATTAATCAAAACGGGAATTTAAGGCCCTATCATTTGGCGATTCCGAAATGTTTTCCAAGTACGTGTTACTGTCACTTATATGCCGTCTCTGCTCGTGATAACACTCGTGCTATACACACCTGTATATAAGCATGATAACTGGTAGCGTCCTACTTTCTACTTTCTTGTTGACAGAATTTTGCAGTCTCTTATAGTATCCAAATTTCTAATCTAACCAATCAACCATTACAAATATGACCAATACATTAAAGTCTATTATTAATTTTGATGCGGTCAATCGTAGTTTGTTCCCCAAACTACAACAACCACAAATAGATATATTTATGGTACATAGACAGGGTGTGGATGACTATCGTAAAGCTCAGCGTGAATTAGAAAGATATACTTTAAATCCTGATGAAATAAAACAATTATTGGGGAAAATAGGTTTAGCCGAACAAATTGATTATAAAGATAAAGAGGCATTAGCTTTGTTGTTAAGATTACATAATTTTCATTTATTAGATCCTATTAATGTTAATCCACAAATACTAAAAATATTTGAAGTATTCAAACATTATCTTTCGGTCAAATTTCAGGATATAAAAGTATCTAAATATTGTCACTTAACAACTGCAATCAGCATTAATGCCCCTCCTGTGCAATTTGGATCTTACGTTGTTGGCCAGTCTAAGTCTGAATCAGTGAATAGTCTGGTACCAAATCCAACTCAAGCCTCAAGCAAGTCTTTCAAACCTTCTACTTCTATAAGAAATCATCGTTTAAATCCCGTAATTGACTTATTTCGTCCAAAACCAGAATCTTCATCAAGAGTTAACTTCGAATTATTGACTGCAAAAATAAATTCTGACGATATTTCAGAATTTTTTGACGCATTAGGTGGTATTAAGTTTGAGACAGAAACACATTTAGAGTCTGCTACTCAACAATCTTTTCATAACAACATTCTTACCCACTGTGTTAATGCATTGAAACTTAACTTTGAAAAAGTCAATGACGAGAGTCAAGTTGCTAATGATACTATTAGGGAAGATAAACCTATCAGAATTACCACAGACATAATGGTTAAGTTAAATAATATCAAAATACCAATTGAAATCAAAAGAGATTTATCACCTTTTAAATACTTAATTAACAATCCAAATGTTTCCCATGGAAGAGAAGTAGTACATATTTTTTCACAATGTTTACGTGAATCAATTGCAGTAGATTCAAATTTAGTAGTCCTATCCGATTACTTCAACACCTACTTAATTGATCTTAAGAATGCAAAACTCTTTGGAGATATAACTACCGACAACAGTGATCTAATTAGAAATATGACATGTCAGATAATTGACATATCTGATACATCGGAATTTTCAACTACAACTCAATTATATGGTTGCCTTATACATTATTATAACCAACAAGTTAACGATTCTAATAATTTAAAGCAACATATCGAGGATCAAAATCTTAAAGTATTATTTCCTCTAATTAATAAAGAAGTTATTAATTATAATATCTCTGTTGCTAAATATTGTTCAGATAATCATATTACATCAAAGATCACATACGAAGATACTCCAACTGCTCCAAATAGCAGTGAAGGGATAATTACCGAAATAGCCAATACTACCCAACTAGAAATTACTCATTCAAGAACCAGTATTCTTCAGAAATCAGAATTGAAATCTACTTCCTTAGAAGATTTAAGAGCAGAATATGAATTTCTAGAGGTGATATCAGGAAAGGCCCTTCAACGTAATTATTCAGTTGTTATTCGTGTATATGATCCTGAAGCAAAGACCGAAAAGATAATCAAGATTTATGACTGTTTTTGGAATTGCAAATACCAACAGAAGCAAGACATTAAATATTGCTATCTAGAGGCCCTCAAAAGCTTCAGTAAGGAGTTGTCTAGCTATAGACTGTTGAAGGGTATTCCTGGCATACCAACATTACATGAAGCTGGATTTTTAAATACCTGTGGTCAAAACCAAGATACTGAATTTGATATTGATAAAGGAGTGTTGTCAGGGTTTTACTTAATTATAGATTTAATACCTGGAAAGCCATTAAGATCATATCCTAAAGCTGAAAGAAAAAAATTTAAAGAATGCTGCCAGGCTACAATTGATGCTGTCCATGCTCAAGGTATTGTCCATAACGATATACACCTGGGCAACATAATAATTTGTGAAAATGAAGATGGATCTTTCTCTGCTTTTTTAATTGATTTTGGTTATAGTGAACAAGCTTATGAAAGAAAACGTTGGAATGGTGAACCAAATGGTTTCTCTAATGTGCCTAAGAGAGATAAAAATCTTGACTCAAGAATTCAATATGATAATGAAGACTTAAATGCAAGTCTTCAAGAAGACCAAATTGCTGAAAGTAATAAGATGATAACATTTCATAGTTTGGATGCTCTTCCAAGAAATAATTGATAAAGGATGAATATATATATTTGAGCCTAGATACCTATAACAAAACTGTAATCTGATTCTGATTCCTCATGGCTATGATTAATTATTGCTATGAATATTACCTCCTTCTAATTCAAAATTGCTGGATAACATTATGTCGCTATGGTTATATAATTATTTTAGAAAATATAGTATGTATATGATTCGAGCTATGTTTTACATAATAAATAATTCGTATTCGATGACACCCCAGACTCTATTCAAATTAAATCAAGATAAGTTGGACTCCCATGACTTGGCCGACTTGCTCTGCAATATACAACTATAAACCTGACAGAACAATACACAAATATAAAAGCTAGGGAACAAGAATCTAACAGGATCAACCCATCACCAAAATGACTTCTGTATACCCATAGTAGAAAATTTATGAATTTCCATACTGTACTTTACAAAGTAATCCACATGTCTCATTCAAAGACACTTAATGACTGTAAGAAGTGATCAGTCTCATGAATGAAATTATAATTGCTAATCTTTCCCATAAGTTCATGTTCTTTCAAATCAGTTGATTGTTTGAATTCAACGGGACTCAAAGAATTTTCGACACAATTCTTAATATAATAATTTGAATATAATTCCCATAGCACATGTTGAAGATTATCAATAATAATGTCAGTAATTAGTATAAATTTCAAATTGGTTAATGATTCCAAATAATGAATTCGATATTTACCTAATGTAAAGGATTTTAATGCACTTGAAATAGGTGAAGTTTCAGGTTCCTCATCAATTAGTTTTAGAGGTATTCATTATTCGGGAAACGACCCAAGATTACATTGTGGTAGATTTGGCTGCAAGTTTAATTACACATAACAATACTTGTACGAGATTGGCTGTTCAATCATGATGACTGAAAAGATTTTCTTCTACTTTGATGTAAATATAAATATGGGCAATTTGCCTCTATAATTATATAGTTACTACTTTATAAATTAGTGGAAGAAGTTTGTAATTATTTATATATATTGTAACCAAAGTCGTGTACTACTGCTCTTGTTTTTTCTAAAAAGTTTTGGATGTAAAAAAAAATAAAAGAATTTACTAAAGATTAAAATTAATTTTTAATTATGTACAGATTGATAGATTTTACGTAATAATATATAAATGACTATACTACTAATGGAAAGGTCTAGAACCACCACGAGCGAATTCAATAATCTTCCATCCATCAGTAGTCTTGTTTTCGAATTCTTCTGGGATTCTAGTAAATACCATAGCATAAGTACTTAATTGAATATGATCTTCAGTACCAGCAGCAATTTCTCCAGTTTTAGCTTTTCTATATAAATGAACTTCTTGAGCTCTACAACTGACAACTATAACTGGTGTATCATTTGGTTGTAATTGTTTACAGGTGACAATTTCAACTCCTCTAATATCTAAAATTCTACCATCTGAAAATAATCCTTGTTGAATGAATTGTTTATTGTTTGCTTGCCAAACATTGAATGGAGCTTCACTAAACCATTCCTTTAAGACAGGTTCTTCATTTTTAATATAAGCATCTAATACTTCTGGAACAATATAATTGGTAAGAGTTCTTTGGAAACTAGTAATACGGAATGATGGATCCATTAATCTAAATTGTTTAACAACTTTAGCTTGTTCGGTTTCAGCAAAAAATCCAGCTATTTTTTCAAAGATAGTTCTGACAAGAGCAATTAATCCATTTTCAGATTCTTCCCATTTTTCTTGCAAATATAAAAGAGCACGGCCTATTGGAGATTTAAGTTTGTATTGTTCCCATTTTTGTCCCATTGATGGTCCAGTTGCTTTATGTTCAGTTGTTACTAAAGATGTTCCAGCATTTTCATTTTCTCTTACTGGAGCTTGAACACCTTCTCTTAATTTATCTTCAATTTCCTTTTGTCTTAATGCTTGTCTTTGTTCTTTTGTTAAAAATCCACCATAAGCAGTAGATGCACCATCATCAATTACATTAGATACATCTTTATATACTTGAGTTTTTCTAACTGGTTCAAAAGCTTTATCAGCAGCGTCGGCGGTATAAGTTACAGTTTTTCTAACTCCTTGACCAACAGGAGATTCCCAAGCTTTAACAGCAGCATCTCCTACAACTTCAGCTGATTTTTGAATAACTTTACCAGCAGCAGAAGTACCTTGTTGAGCCTTTTCATAAGCTTCTTTGGCCTTTCTGAAAGCTTCTGAATCAGCTACTCTACCAGATTCATCTTGTAAAGCTTTTATATTTTCTTTTAATTCATTTGATTTTTTAACTTCAGCTTTGAATGTATCAAAGAATACTTTTAATGGAGATTGTGGAGGGGGAGCATTGAAGTTAATTTGTGATATATGGAATGAACGTATAAGGCTCTTATTCAATGAAGATTTCACTATTTGATTTCTCAACATTATGACTATTATTAATTTATTAATTTATGGTTTTAATGCAACTTGGATTGATATGTACACAGTTAAGTTTAATAATGATTTAATAAACTCACTTTCTGAGGAAGGATTTCTATTGTGAAAAATAAATATAAACAATTAAAGCCTGTATACCCCGAGGCCCACGGATGATACTATGTACAATAAAGAGTGAATGAAAGTATATGAACAATAACTAGCAATCGCCTTTGGATCTGTAATGGTTCAGGCATTAAAAAAAATTTGAGTGATGAAAAATTTATATTTTGGGGCATTTTCGCACGACCTACTATCAAACACCGGTTACGCTACCGAAGTATAAAAGGTATATGTTAAGTTACATTGATAAACTAGTAGGTATTAAATTATATTATTATTATAGTAACAAGGTGTGTGTGTGTATATATATATAAGTGTATTGAAGCCTTTATATAGTGGAATTGTCATGAATATAAACATTTGGTAACGTTAAGTCATTAATTGTTGGCAATATATGTAGCTCTAATTTTGCCTATTAAATTTATGCCAGAATTTTGCGGCATATATAGTAGCATATACAAGTACAGCTCCAACTGTACCATATTGAATTCTAGATAAAATTTTAGATTGTCTTTTTTCTATTTCAATGGCCTTAGAATAAGGAATATCATCACGGAACGATATCATGGTATATAATGGAAGCCATTGAATTAATCTACCATGAATATATCTTCCTAAAGTATAATCTAATTTCTTTCTTAATAAAAACCAACTATTAGTAACTTTAGATGACATCTCCTTATAATTGTCCAAAGCAAGTTTACAAATAGCATCCACATCTTTCTTTCTAGCATCGGAATATTGTTGGAATGCTTCATTAACATTCAAATTCGTTTGATCCAATAACTCCATTAATACTCTAACATCTTCAAATCCACAATTCATACCTTGACCATAGAATGGAACCATAGAATGAGCAGCATCACCAATTAAAAGAGCCTTACCATTAGGATCATGATAAGGATAAACATTTACTCTCATTAAAGCTCCACGAGGATTATGATCATATGCTTGAGCCAATTGTTCACTTCCAATTAATTTATAAGCATCAGGGAAATTACTTTCAAAGAATGTAAGCCATTCATCAGAAGATTTAATTGATTCAATAACTGACCAAGGACTGAAAAATGTCGATGTGAATGATCCATCTTCATTGGCCAATGCAATAAGCATATAATTATGTCTTGGCCATATATGAAGATGATTAGCATCAATAGAAAATTTACTGGAAGCTTCGGGATCATTATTTGGAGGAATATAAAGTTCCAAGTATTGCATATCTATATACTCTTGAGAAAAGTTCATTCTCATAAAATATTGCATTTGATATCTAACTTGAGAATAAGCACCATCAGCTCCAACCAAATAATCATATTTTGCAGTATGAAATTCACTATGAGAATGTACAAATGATAAAGTAACTAATTCATCAGGTTTTTCTAATCCCAAGATTTTAACTAATTTATAATTGAAATGAATTTTAACTCCAGCTAGTTTAATTTCTTTAATAAGACATTCATTTAAAAATGATCTATCAATAGAATTAATACTTTCTCCAAAGAGTCCATATAATTGAGATTCTTGTTTTTTACCAGTAATATCATGAATCATTCTACCTTTCATTGGTATGATATGTTCTAATATTCTTGAAGCCATTTCTTCATCCACATACTTTAATGCAGCAATACCTCTGCTACTAACGGCTAAATTAATTGACCGAAGATTCTTTTGTCTTCTATCTTCAGTTAATGTTGGATCGGGTCTCATATCGTATAAAGTGACTTCAAATCCTTTCTTTTGGAATGCAAGTGCCGCAAGACATCCTACTAACCCTGCTCCAACCACAGCTACAGTTTGAGGCTTCAGATCTTCAACAGTCATAATGTCTAATTAATAACTTATTTATTTATTTACAATATTTGGTATACTACTACTACTTATTAATGAATTTATATTATACGTAATCAAAGAACTATCTATATAAAAGAAGTTTTTCCAGACTGTCCTGTGCACAAGGGAATTTTTTCGCGATTTTATCATTCGATTTATATTTGGGTGTGTCTTACGATGTGAGGTAGTGAGTCGTCTAATCGTTCTTTGCAACCTCAATTTCCGAGGGTGGTTCGGTATCTTTTGATGCAAGAGCTTCTTCTGACAATGGAATAGTTTCGGTTTGAGTTGATGTTGGAGCTATAGGTCCTAATTTTGCAAGTTTTTGAGTTTTAGTCTCTATAGATTTTTTTAATTCATCAATCTGTAACTCTAATTCATTATTTCTTTCTTCAAAATCTTTATTGGCTTGAATTGTATTATTTAAATTATCTTCCATAGTTAATTCTCGTAATTTTTGTTGTAAGGTTAATTGTTCACTAACTAATTGTTCATTCTGTGATTTAGCAGCTTCAAGTTGAACATTGAATTGTTCACTTTGTTCTAAGATTTCCTTATGAGTCGTTTGTAAATTTTCCAATTGTCGATTTAAATCATTAATTTTAATTAAAAGTTCATCATTAACTTCTTGTAAATTACTAAGTTCATTTCTATTATTATTTAATGAATTGGCATGCATCAAATGAAATTCATTTTCATATTTAATTATTTGAGGTTCATGTTTGAATACTTCATTTAGATCAAAATTTAATGATGAAAAGAATTCAGATGAATATATGAAATTATTCAATTCATCACCATCCAATTTTAATATTTGATCTTGATTCTCTATGAAAGCCCATACAATAATTCTGAGAATTACATCAAATCCTTCAAATACTATGACATCCAAAATCTTCAATAATTGTTCTTCATCAGTTATCTTTTCCTCGAAATAATTGAATAATAGCTTCTTATATAAGTCATTGAGAAATATTCCTTGCACACTTATGTGTAAAAATACTTTATGAACAATATCCTCTAATGATCTACTTATTTTATAATAGAATTCATCCTTAGCTAGAAGGCTGAGTAACTTATTAAATTTCAATAAGATATAAAACACTTCATCTTTTTCAAAATTTGGTACTTTCGACAAGATTTTAGCTACTGAAATTATAAATTTGCTGGGAGGAGCATAATCGGCAGAATGGTTTTCAGTTATTGATGGAGTCACATGAGTAGTTACTAATTCATTAATATAATAATTATAAACGCTGAGTACATCTACAAGATCTGATTCAATACCCAGTTCTTGTAAGTAGTTTTCCAATTCCTTGTTTGAATTAGAATATTTAGCTTTCTTAACTAAATTATCAAAACTTTCCTTATGATGGAGCCTATACCTCACTTGTATAGTCTTAATATATACTAGAGCTCTTAAATTAGTTGGTATTCCATTAGACAAATATTTCTCAATTTCTTCAATTTTAAGGTTTCTAATATATTGATTACTGTAATCATTAATTATACCTATCCAATATTGATTTCTATCACTTTCTTCATCATTAAGACTCGATTTTATTTCTTCTAATCTGGTCTTTAAATTGTCTCCATTTAATGCGGTGTTATTATTAGTACTATTAATACTATTATTATTGGAATTAATTGAATTGGAATTGACAAATAAATCGGACACTTCATTAAGCAGAGATGAAGAGTATAATTCTGCTTGTCTAATAATTGAAATAGTTCCAATACTATCAGTATAACCATAATGAACCCTTACATTCCCACTATCCGCAGTGTTCCGTTGGGGTAATGGTGGAGGTTTTAATGAACTACTACTACCACTATCACTAATTGCAGTGGAAACATTCTCTTTTGAGGACACGGAAACGGCTGTGTCTAAACTGGCCATTGTCAACAAGTTGTCTAGAAATCTAAATTGCCTTCTAAAATAGTATAAGCTAGTAATATATATATATATAATTATAAGTTGGGTTTATCGGGGTGAAAAAATAAGTAGTGTAATTTTTGGCGCGCAATATTATTATTAGTTATACAAATTATACAGTTAAAGACTAATCTTCAAGGCTGGCCCAGTCTATAGATTTAGATTCTTGACTCTGGAAAAAGGCGATAATGTCATCTTGGTCCTTTTTGGCTTTTTCCAGTAGTAATTTCTTGTCATGTTCTTCCTTTTCTCGCTTTTGTCTTAACCATTCTATTCTATTTGGCTTACTCTGTCCTGATTTAGTCGTATTATGCGATGGAGGGGATACTTTAGTTGATTTAGTTGATTTTGTAATTGTCGATTTCTTACTCTTTAACGATGATGCTGACTTCTTTGAAGCTTTTGGTGGTTCATCCTCTTCGTCAGTAGTCACAAAGCCATCATCCGATTCTTCTGTGTTATCCAAAGGTTTTGGAGCTGAAATATTTAATCTTGCTGCAAATGCTTTGGCAGCAGCAGACATGGGAACCTTTTCCTCTTCCTCCTCAGAACCATCGTCTTCTTCAGAAGCATCTTCCCACTCATCTTCATGTTCTTCTTCCTTTCTTTTGTTATTGTGCTTATTATCAATCTTTGGTAATGATTTTCCTGAAGACTTTTTTGATGAAGTTGCACCTGATACTGGGCCCAATCTGGCAGCAAATGCCTTAGCTGCATCAGACATTGGAATTGTTTCTTCATCATCTTCTTCTTTGTGCTCATCTTCTGATATCTTTCGGTGTTGATCTCTATTGTTTCTTTGATGTCTGGTATGCTTATTATAATTGTGCCTATCATCGACATTTTCTTGTCGTTCATAATTACTTTCTTTTCGATGTGATTGATCGTCTCTACTATCATTATACTGATGTCCTTTATATCCTCGAGGGCCCTTAGGGTAAGCTTTTTTAGGTGATTCAAAAGTTTGTGATTTTACCTTATCTTCTTCTGGATCTTCTGCAGTTGCCCATTTACTAACCAATCCTTCCAGCTTTTTCACAGTAATTGGCTTAGACCATTTACTTTCTAGAGGTTTTGGTACATTTGAAGGGCTCTCTTTATGATGTGGTACAGCCTTATCTTGTTCCTTAGCCGCATTGACCAAAGTTTCATCTGTGGCCCATTTAGAAGCCAACCCAGTCATTGAACAATTTTTTATAAATTAGATATAAATTAAAAGTAGCAAATATTACTTAAGCAATTCACTTGACACTATACAGATTTGAAGTTTGATATTTTCAATATGGCAGCCAAGTCGCTAATTATGTCTGTTGATATGGTCTCCATGTTAAGTATTCCATCAAAAATTATTTTGTTATTCTAGCTCGGTAATTTTTGTGTCACGAATCACCGACTGCGAAATTCAACTAGGACTCCACACATTCGCTTTATTTGTCTGACATAGTCATACATAGATCCATTTATAAGTGCTTTGATTAACTTGTATTGTATAGGAAGGTACTCACCTAGATAATTATATTATATTTTTATCTGAGGTAAGCATGGTTTGTGATATATATTATGTGATAGTAGTCACAAGTACTTATCCCATACACTCTAAAGCTAACTTAACTTATGGTAACTGCAGAGTATATGCATGACATAGCTAGAAGGTATTTGAAACATTAAAGCTTGACTAATCAAGGATGTTTCGGCAATGGTTGCAATTCAATTCTGTTGCAGTAAATCTATAGTAGTTTGGAATTGGGGGTGGGGGATGGTGTTCTGTGCAGGACATCATGCTTTTAGAGTGGAATTACTAAGAAGTTAGTATTAGTATGTATGAGCTTAGAGAGAAATAATCAAATTACTAAGAAGCTGATCTAGAATTATATCCCGGAGCATATCGTCCAGTTTAAGTTGTATTTCACAATTAATTAAAAAATTAAAATTAACAATTGTATAGTAAGCCATCTCGTAGTGTAATTATAATCGTAAGATTTTGTATAGCAAACTGAACCGTGCTATGATTAGCACAATCATTCATTCATTACACATCACCAGGTTCATAGCATACAAAAATGTCGTAGTTTTGAAAAATTTAAATTTCTCCTTAACCTTCTGGATATTTATGACATGTCGCAAAATTTTAAGTGAGATTTATTGTTTGCGGTGTGGATGAGACTCGACCGCCCACTTCCCCCGAACTAGCGACATGCACCCACCTCCACTACCACCACCACCACCACCAGTACGTAATTATATAAATATGTAAACCTTTAATTTTAATTTTAATTATTTTTTCACATTTCCTAGATTTCTCTCTATATCAATTGATACGTAATTCTAATCAATTGTTAATAATTAATCACAACAACATGTCCTCCTATTCTGACTTTAAATTAGCCACTGAATTACCAGCTTGGAAAAAATTACAAGCTACATTCACTAGCCAAGGTAAAAATTTCAAAGTTAAGGAAGCTTTCGATAAGGATCCAAAAAGATTTGAAAAACTTTCAAAAACTTTTAAAAATTACGATGGTTCAGAAATCTTATTCGATTTCTCCAAGAACTTGGTTAATGATGAAATTTTGAGTCAATTAATTGAATTAGCTAAAGAAGCTAAAGTTGAACATTTAAGAGATGCCATGTTTAATGGTGATCATATTAATTCTACTGAAGATAGAGCTGTTTATCATGTTGCCTTAAGAAACAGAGCCTTAAAGGAATATAAAGTTGATGGTGTTGATACTTCAAAGGAAGTTGATGATGTTTTGCAACATATGAAAGAATTCTCCGAAGAAATTAGATCTGGTAAATGGACTGGTTATACTGGTAAAGCAATTACTGATGTTGTTAACATTGGTATTGGTGGTTCTGATTTGGGTCCAGTTATGGTTACTGAAGCTTTAAAAGCTTACTCTCAACCAGGTTTAGATGTTCATTTTGTTTCTAATATTGATGGTACTCATTTAGCTGAAACTCTTAAAGGTTTAAATCAAGAAACTACTTTATTCTTAATTGCTTCTAAAACTTTTACTACTGCTGAAACTACTACTAATGCTAACTCTGCTAAAAAATGGTTCTTAGAAGGTGCTAAGGATCACTCTCATATTGCTAAACATTTTGCAGCTTTATCTACTAATGCTACTGAAGTTGCTAAATTCGGTATTGATACTAAGAATATGTTTGGTTTTGAAAACTGGGTCGGTGGTAGATATTCTGTTTGGTCCGCCATTGGTTTATCTGTTGCCATCTATATTGGTTTTGAAAATTTTGAAGCTTTCTTGAAGGGTGCAGAAGCCTTTGATGCTCATTTTACTTCTACTCCATTAGAAGACAATATTCCAGCCTTAGGTGGTTTATTAAGTGTTTGGTATAATAACTTCTTTGGTGCTCAAACTCATTTAGTTGCACCATTCGATCAATACTTACATAGATTCCCAGCTTACTTACAACAATTATCTATGGAATCTAATGGTAAATCAGTTACTAGAGGTAATGTATTTACCAATTATGAAACTGGTGTTATCTTATTTGGTGAACCAGCTACTAATGCTCAACATTCTTTCTTCCAATTAGTTCATCAAGGTACTAAATTAATTCCAGCTGATTTTATTTTAGCTGCTCAATCTCATAACCCAATTGAACAAAATTTACATCAAAGAATGTTAGCCTCTAACTTTTTTGCTCAAGCTGAAGCTTTAATGGTTGGTAAAGATGAAGAACAAGTTAAATCTGAAGGTGCCACTGGTAGTTTAGTACCACATAAAGTTTTCTCTGGTAATAGACCAACCACTTCAATCTTGGCTCAAAAGATAACTCCAGCTACTTTAGGTGCTCTTATTGCCTACTATGAACATTTAACTTTTATTGAAGGTGCTGTCTGGAATATCAATTCATTTGATCAATGGGGTGTTGAATTAGGTAAAGTTTTAGCCAAGGTTATTGGTAAAGAATTAGATAATAAGGAAGAAATCAAGGCTCATGATGCTTCTACTAATGGTTTAATCAATCAATTTAAAGCTTGGTCTAACTAACTAGTTAGAGACATACGTGAAAAATTATAATCACTAATTGTCCTCTATGTACTTCATAATTCTCTTATATATTTACGGTCCATTTTGTAATCCGTTCATAGTGTGTTGTTAATAAAAGCAGTATATTTTAGCTTTGCTTAATTAAGTGTAGTTTAGCTTTACTGGTGTAGTATTAGAAGAAGACAAGATGCAGGATTTTTCCGAAGAGGTACTAATTTTTTTTCAAGCAATATATGGTTTATTTTAGCTAACAAAATCAAGACAGTTCGGTTCTTCATCGACCTTATATAGGTAAAATTATAGAGCCGGAGTCCCATACGATTGGAGTAAGTTTTATTAAATTTTAATCCCAGTTTATAAATTTTTTTTGCATTATTGATAGACATCGAGACATTATTATATATAAAGAACAATACAATGGCAGATCACGAAGACGACTTCCCATCTCATCTAGAGCAAACACAAGAACAAGAAGACTTAGATAATCCTTTAAGAGTCATACTAGTGATAAATGTTCCAGAAGCAGAAATAAATAATAATGAAAGCTCTGGACCAGATACTTCAAGTAATGGAGAAATGGAAGAAAGGTTATTAGACAGTATACAAAGCTTTGAAGATATGAATACATTCTTTGATGATTTTGATGATATAATAGCGTATCCAAATGAAGGTCATATTAAATATGAAGTTGGTAGTGATGGGTTAGTAATTATTGTTGTAGATAATGTTACATTAAGAGATAAAGTCTTGGAATTTATGGATAAGTATACTACCCAAGGTAAAACTGATGATAAAGAAGCTGAATCTGAGAAGCCACTGAAGAAAGTAAAGGTGTAATGAATGTAATAGTGAGTTATAAACTTTGTTATTATGATTAATTTATGTATATTAGACAATCAATACATTACGAGAACGATCTCGAGATAATAATTATATAGAGAGAAACAGGAATCTCTATGTAGATGAGCTTTATGTTACTTTATTTAATTGTGAAATAAGTTATATCTCATATATATGCCTAGTTAAGCTCTAGATATTCTCTAGATATGCTCTAGATATGCTCTAGATATGCTATACTTGATATCTACTTGATATCTACATACTATAAATTTGTGAGCACAAAACCACCACCCTCATTTTCCTCCCACCGAACTAGCGTAAAATCCAAATATACCACCAGCCTTCATTAGTTCAATCAATTGTACAAGCAATCAATCACCTGACTGATTTGAAGATATAATAGTAACATATAATTAACTATGGAAGATTGGAGAAGAATTGATATTGATGCTTACGAGCCAGAAAATCATTTATCTAAAGAAGAATTATTACCTAATTTACCTGAGACAAGTAAAGAAGATATTGAAGCAATATCAAAACAAGCTCGAGTTTATTTATCTCAGGGGAAATTTATAGAAGCTTTAAAATTAGGATTAAGTTATCCACCATATATTGCTAGTGAACAAATTAAAAATTTACATACAGAAACTATATTTGAAATATTATGTCTGATAAAGAATAATCATAATTTAAATGATTTATCATCATTTGTTAAACAATTAGATAGTGATGAACAAGATACTTTGGTTAAATATTTATATAAAACAATGAGTACAAGTTATGGACAAAAGCAAGGTGGATTATTATTAAGTTGGTATGAAAAGACGGTTGAAATTACTGGTTTAGGTCCCATTGTTAGATTCTTAAGTGATAGGAGAACTGTATAATTAATTATCTACTTGTTATGATATGAACTAAAATAAACAAAAATATACAAAAATGAATTAAAATTAAAATTAAAATTATATTTATATTTATATTAATTAAACGAATGGGTATAAAATTAAAATTACAATTAACAATAGTATTTAACTAACTAATATCTAATGTTGATTAAGTAAAGTTCCAAAATTATTAGTATTAACTTTTGGAGATTTAGAAGGAGATTTCTTATTACCAGATTTCTTCTTCTTTAAATGTTTACCAACCATTGATTTGTAGTTATTAATATTGTTATTTGTCGTTAAAATATTGTCATGATTATGACGATGATTATTCTTTGATTTTGTAGGGGATGAAGCTAAAGCTGGTGATGATGATACACTACGAGATTCAGATTCATTTACCATACTTGGAGTATTCTCTTTATCTTGGAATATATCATTAGTTGGATCAAATGATAATCCAGTAGATGATGGTTTTAATGATGGGAAATGCATCATTAAATTATCAGAATTAATTAATGGAACATCCATTAAGGAAACTTCTTTCTGAGTTTGATTATCAGCTGAAGTTTCTTGATATTGATTCAATTGAGCTTGTAATTTAGATATTTCAATATCTTTATCATTAATGGAATCCTGTAATTGTCTAACTTGAAGATTCAATTGATTTTCAGTAGTTTCAAATGAACTCTTAAGTTCAAAATATTGACTCTCTAAACGTTTATATTGAGTTTGTTCAGACATAGTTTGTTGAGATAATTCAGCAATTCGGCTATCTTTCAATGAAATATCATGCTCAAATTGTGATTTTAAAGTTGTTAATTTATCTTCTAACTTTGTCTTAGCTTGTTGTAATGAAACAACTTCAGAATCTAATTGAGAAATACGGTTAGCTTTTTCAATTAATTCTGACTTCATCAGAGTTAATTTCAGTTTGGTTTCTGCCAATTCATTACTCACAAGTTGGTTCTTGTTAGTCAAGTTAGTAACACTATTATTCAATTGATCTAATTCTTGAGTTGTAGAACTTGAATTATTTTCAAGATTACTAAGTTTATTCTTTGCATCTTGTAATTGTTGCTCAGTTTGAGACTTTATATTATTCAATTGAGTTACTTTCTGTTTCAACTCAATGGTTTGATTAGATCTTTTATCCAAATCTGTTTGTAACTCATTCACTTGTTGAGTCCTTGAATTCAATTCAGATTCTAATCCACTAACTTGACTGTTTATTTTGTTTAATTCACTTTGTAACTTACCAACATGATCATTCTTATTTATCAATTCACTCTTTAATTCATTAATTTGCTTTGTCTTAGTTTCAGATTCAGATTCTAAGGTTGAAACTTTAGATTTATAAGCAGCAATTTCTGACTCTAACTTAGTCAATGTTGAAGTTAATTCATGATGTAATTGAGTAATACTATCCTCCTTTTCTTTAAGATCCCTCTCAGCATTTTCAATTTTAAGTTTATTTTCGGTAATTTCTTTTTCTAATTCAGTGATCTTGCCTTGACGTTGAGCCAATTCAATTTGATTGTTGTTCAATTCACCGTTGACAAAATCAAGATTACGCTGAAGATTTTTCATGATATCAGTATTTCCATCATTTCTTTCAATTAAGCTGTCAATTTCAACTTTTAATCTATTCTTATCTGCTTCATGTTGTACATTAAGAGCAACAAGAGTTTCAGCCTTAAATTTTAATAATTCTATAGGTGAGATTTCTTCAGTATTAGTTTCACTATTGATAGGTAAAGAATCAACTATAGAACTAATTTGATCGCGTAAAGCATCAAGAGCTTTCTTTGATGCTGAATTATCAAATAATTTCGAAACGGGTTTTGTAATAACAAAATTATGACGAATTTTCTTCTTAGTTGGACTAAGAGAACTTAAAGTTGGTTGAGCATAATGAGGTAAGTTTCTCTTTCTATTGGTATTTGAGCTTGAAGTAGTAGTTTGAGATTGTCTTTCATTCGAATTTAAAGTTGCAAATCTATGAATTAACAGCACTATATTATTTAAAGTTGATCTTATCAATTTTTCATCACCATAAGGGTCTAAATTTAAAATTATTTTGAGGGCATGAGGAGATTTCTTAAAGATTAAATTTGTAATAAGATTAGAAGATCTTCCAACCATGGTTGTAGCAGATGATTTACCACCAAGGACAAGTTGCATAATTGAACTTATATTTGCATTTGCGAAAGTATTAGTATTAATTTGAGAATTTGGAGTTACATTTCCATCATTGGTGGAGAATTGTTCATTACCCATAAGATCAATATAAGTAGTTCTAAGATTATTATAATATAAAGTAATTATTAAAACAGATCTACTTGATTTTTGATTAAATACTGTTCTCTTAGTTAATCTCTTACCAAAAACAGTAGAAAGTTGAGATTTATATTCCAATTTCTCTTTAATTAATTGATTTTCAAAATTAAAATGATTGAGTCTTGCTGCATTATCATTATTTGAATTTAAAAGATCAAGTATATATCTATTATCAGTAATTTCAAAGGCTGTCATAAAACATATGGTTTTAGATTCAGTTAAAAGATGAAGTTTATGTTGGAGAAGTTGATATAAGGTTGTTGTTTTACCACTATTGGTTGGACCCATAAATAAATAACAAGTTGATGTATCATTTTCATTATTATTATTATTATCATTATTAATGGTAGCTCTGAATTCAGATGGTGAAGTAAATACTTGATTAAATTCAAAGGTTTTATCATTCACTTCAAGTGTGGTGTTCGAAACAATATTGAATTTAGGAACTTCATCATTATTTAAACTATCTTCATCTGATTCATTTAAAGGTCTTCCCTTTACATGAACATATAATGGAATATTACTCATTGATAATTGGTATTTGGTAATGGTAGAACTTACAAGCAAAAGTGATAGGTATACAATTGAGATTAATAACAAAACTAATATTTAACTAACGTGAAACAAACAGAGATGGTGTTTACTTGAGAGACATTGGTAGCCTTACATTTAGTTTGGCAGACATATCTGTTATTGTTGTTGACATGTTGGCCCGATTAGGAAATGGACCATAGGGCTGCGAATTTGTCGTCAACATTTGTCGTTAAAAGTCGCGACAGAATTCACGTGTGCGCGGTCAGGTGATCCGTAACATGACAACATGCAATATATGGCACATAAATAACCTGACGTAAAACTATTACTGTATGGTTTCATTAATTTAGAATTGGCAGATTACTTTCTCAAAATAATATATTATCCAATTTATTGTAAGATTAATTAGATTATTTGAGTCATGATATTACCTACAGGCGGACATGTGTTATTATGCCAACCATCATCAGTAGATATCCCCTGTAATAAAATTATTCGCAATGACTGATAATCAAAAGAAAAATTTTACACATTGCACAAAGTGCAATAATTTTTTAAAAAAAAAAAACAAATCCAAAAAAAGAAAAGAAAAGAACGACTGAACTTATATACCGGAGAGAAATTACAGCATGGCATGACAAGGCCTTACTAGAAAAAGATTAATTATTTAGTTAGCAACCGTGGGCTAGTGGGTCATCAACAAAGTTACCTTTATTGTATAATTAATATCGTAATGTAATCAAAGAACTTGCTAATGTTGTTGTTGTACCCATTGTAGATGAATGACGACAGAGGAAGTTTGATCGCTAGTAGCAACAGTTGTCAAGCTGAGAAGAAATTAGGTTAGAAAGCTTATGAAACAGTAAACAGTTGGCTGGTGCGGCCAACAAAACCGAGCTAGTGAGAAATTTTCGTTTTTGTTATTTTCGTATTCTCGTCAATTCTCCTCACTACAAGCGAAATATTTGCATTTATGAGATCATGAGCATCGATAACTTTTAGTCCTCCAATAGTAATAGAGTATTAGAGTAGTAACAATTACACTTCTTCGAACAAGTCCTCTCATGTTATGTAACATTCATTCAATTAATGCGTGACTGACTGACCTTAAACAAAAATACAGAACGTTTTATCTACTATATATGACCAAACTGTCTCCTTAGGCTCATTCGGCTGCCTCCCTAATTAGCGGATAAATTAGCAATAACAAATAAAAAGAAACAAGTTACAGCCCATTTGAGTGTCTTTGCACGACCCCTTTGAGTTTGTGTTTGTGGATATTCAATTTTTTTTTCCTTTTTGTGTCAATTAATAAAATTTTTCCCACTAAACACACAAACCATTTCCCTTTGTAATTTCCTTAAAACTGGAAGAAATCCTTTTCAACATTTCATTCACTTTCTTTACCATCTTCTCTTCAACCCCAAACCAACCCTCTAGATCACCTATTCCCAGTAGTGATTTAGCCCCCCACCATTTTGTCCTTTCTTTACTATCTATCTGGTTCTTTTACTCATTTGGGTACTAATAGTTTATGACTGATTTTTGTGGTAATACAAAATACCCAGAACAAACTCACTAACTCAATATCCAAAAAAAGTGTTACTATTCCAACATTCCATTAATTTAGAAGGTTGATTTGACTCATAAGTCAGTACACTCAAAGAATCGTTAAATATTTACAAAAAAAGAAGGATACTGATAATCGATAGGTTTATCACTATTGTACTATTTTAAAGTGTTAACGATAATAATTTATTATCACTACTACTATAACTAATTAACGAGCTTTTCATTAAGTAATCGTTAAATAACTAAAATTAATTTGAATATGTATCAACAACATCCATATTATCAGGGTCAAGTACCTGTAGCTACCGTTGCTGCTTCTGTACCTGCACCACCTACTTTTCATCATAGATCAAATTCATCTTTTGGATTTATGCAACAGCAACAACAACCAAATCATTATTCAACACCTCCATCAGGTTATTTTTCCTCAGGTTCCATTCCCGCTCCACTTGGTTTAAAACATTCAAGATCCTTTTATAATACTAATAATACTCAACAACAACCAACTCAAATACAGCCTGTTCAAGCTTATAATGGATTTATTGCTCCAACTATGGGACATATGGTAATGCCAATTGCTCCACCAAATGTCATTGCACCACCTCAACCACAAGGAATCCAACCAGCTCCTCCAGCTGATGAACAAGTCAATGGAGGTATTAATTCTGTATTGGAATATGACTTGAATACTATGGCTTGCTTTTTAAGTTGGTGTTCATTTGGAATGTTAAAACAACGTCGTAATCCAACCAAAGAGTTTGAAAGCTTGATTGTATCAGTATTATTTGCCACAAGATTACCTAAATCTACTATCATCATTGCTCTTGAATATATGAATCAAAGATTCTCAAGTCATAGTGATTTATCTCTTGGTGGTTCAGGTAAGAAATTAACTGAACAAGAAATCTTTGTCAATTTGATTGTTAGTTTAATTTTGGCTAATAAATTTAATGATGATAATACATTTACTAATAAATCATGGTGTGGAGCTACTGGATTACAGTTACAAGTATTAAATAAGGAAGAAAAAGATTGGTTAGATGAATGCAAATGGAGCTTAAATGTGGTGAATTTTGAATCAAATATAATCACTTTAGAAGAATGTTGGACTACTTGGTTAGATAAATATGGTAATAATCAAGATGCTATAGAAACTCCAGCTGTACCTTCAACCACATTAGCTCCTTCGAAAATAAATAATATAATAAGCTCTTCTCCAGCTTCAATTCATCAACAATATTATCACCCTCATCATCAATACAATTCTTCATTGTCTTCAAAAATGTCAAACTCTTATTCGAGTATTCCATCATCTCCAATATATTCAGACACTTATTATTATCCTTCATCATCATCTCCACTGATAACACCTCCTACAAAATATAATGAAGGATCTTTATGGGCTGATAATTTTGCTCCAACCACTCATTCAATTGTATCTCAACAACAAGGTCCAACTTCATCAACTATAATAGCACCATCTGGTTCAATATGGACTACAAATGCTAATAACAATAACACTACTACCCCTAATATTTCCTTTCAACCTCATGGACATCCACCAGCAATACCGTTTTTAAACACATCTACAACAAGTTATCCTTTCCATCATCATCCGCTTATACATCATGGTGGTGGATTTGTTGGATATGCTAATCCTTACTACATGGCATCTTGTTAAGATACTGCCCCTTATACTTGTACATTAGTCACATAGTCATTCTAACTATGTTCCCCGTGCCGTTATCGTTACAATTTTTTTCTTTTCTTTTTCTTTTTCTTTTTTTGAATACTTGCTACTTCTTTCTATCTGTTTCTATTGGCTTTTAATTTGGGTTTTTTAAAAAAGCAGCTATCTGCTGTAACTGATAAAATTCAAAAAGAATACAAACAAAAATTCTCACTGCAGTTGTTCAATATAAACTATCTGTTCAGTCCTCTATTGGGGATTCACGTGTCTTTTTTTGGACGGTGTATCTCTTAAATTAATATACATTCTTTTATATTCGTTCAATTAGCCTATATATTATAATCTGTAAGCATCATTTACCATCAACAAATTCTTCTTCGTCATCTTCATCCTCTTCAACAATAACACCTTGCTCTTTAGCCAAATCAGCAGCTGCCTTATTAAAGTCAATTACTTTACCTCTAGTTCTACGACCTGAGGTAATTATATTAGTTGTATCAATAGCATCTAATCCATTATCATCTTCATCATCATCTTCCTCGTCTTCTTCTTCTCCCTTAAAATCATCGTCTTCTTCTTCATCATCTTCATCATCTTCATCTCCTATAGTACCAGTAGCAGCCTTTTGTTCTTCTTCTTCTTCTTCTTCTTTAGGTAAATCATCATCATATTGTCTTCTTCTTCTCTTTTTATGCTTCTTATCCTTGCTATCGGAAGATCTCTTCTTGCTTTCTTCTTGTTCTTCTTCCTCTTCTTCCTTATTTTTGACTTCTTTGACTTCTTTGACTTCAGCCTTTGCTTCAATTTTTTTCTCCTCGACGTCTGACATGATGCTTACTTTGATATTTATATGTATATGCGTAGATTGTATTAAGCTTATTGACCGTTGTTGATATTTCACTTTTCAATTTACTATGAAGCTCCACAAAAAAAACAGTCACGTGAAAAACTCAATTCAATTCAATTCCTCTCATACAAAACATCCATACATAACAGTTATTCCATTACATTACAATTATACATTACAAATACAACTATTTACTTAATATATTTTGATTTAAAAACCATTAATTTATTAGTCAGTAATATCAATTAAGTAGTAATCATTGACTACTCAAATCTTGAGTTGAATATTTGGTGTATATTTATGTGTGGATACACACCTGTATATAAGAGTGGTAATTGGTAGCGTCCCACTTTCTACTTTCATGTTGACATAATTTTGCAGTCTCTTATAGCATCCAAATTTCTAATCTAACCAATTAATCATTACAAATATGACCAATACATTAAAGTCTATTATTAATTTTGATGCGGTCAATCGTAGTTTGTTCCCCAAACTACAACAACCACAAATAGATATATTTATGGTACATAGACAGGGTGTGGATGACTATCGTAAAGCTCAGCGTGAATTAGAAAGATATACTTTAAATCCTGATGAAATAAAACAATTATTGGGGGAAATGGGTTTATCCAAAAAAGTTGATTATAAAGATAAAGAGGCATTAGCTTTGTTGTTAAGATTACATAATTTTCATTTATTAGATCCTATTAATGTTAATCCAAAAGTATCAGAAATAATTGAAGCATTCAAAGATTATATTGGTTTCAAATTTCAGGATAGAAAAGTAATTCGTTATTGTCACTTAACAACTGCAATCAGCATTAATGCCCCTCCTGTGCAATTTGGATCTTATGTTGTTGGCCAGACTATTTCTGAATCAGTGAATAGTCTTGCATCAAATCCAACTCAAGCCTCAAGCAAGTCTTTCAAACCTTCTACTTCTATAAGAAATCATCGTTTAAATCCCGTAATTGGCTTATTTCGTCCAAAACCAGAATCTTCATCAAGAGTTAACTGCGAATTATTAACTTCAAAAATAAATTCAAACCAAATCTCACGATTTGTTGCCGCAGTAGGTGTTATTAAGTTTGAGACAGAAACACATTTAGAGTCTGCCGTTCAACAGTCCTTTCATAACAACATTCTTGCTAATTGTATTAATGCATTGAAACTTAACTTTGAAAAAGTCAATGACGAGAGTCAAGTTGCTAATGATACTATTAGGGAAGATAAACCTATCAGAATTACCCCAGACATAATGGTTAAGTTAAATAATATCAAAATACCAATTGAAATCAAAAGAGATTTATCACCTTTTAAATACTTAATTAACAATCCAAATGTTTCCCATGATACGAATGTAGTAAATATTTTTTCACAGTGTTTACGTGAATCAATTGCAGTAGATTCAAATTTAGTAGTCCTATCCGATTACTTCAACACCTACTTAATTGATCTTAAGAATGCAAAACTCTTTGGAGATATAACTACCGACAACAGTGATCTAATTAGAAATATGACATGTCAGATAATTGACTTATCTGATACATCGGAATTTTCAACTACAACTCAATTATATGGTTGCCTTATACATTATTATAACCAACAAGTTAACGATTCTAATAATTTAAAGCAACATATCGAGGATCAAAATCTTAAAGTATTATTTCCTCTAATTAATAAAGAAGTTATTAATTATAATATCTCTGTTGCTAAATATTGTTCAGATAATCATATTACATCAAAGATCACATACGAAGATACTCCAACTGCTCCAAATAGCAGTGAAGGGATAATTACCGAAATAGCCGATACTACCCAACTAGAAATTACTCATTCAAGAACCAGTATTCTTCAGAAATCAGAATTGAAATCTACTTCCTTAGAAGATTTAAGAGCAGAATATGAATTTCTAGAGGTGATATCAGGAAAGGCCCTTCAACGTAATTATTCAGTTGTTATTCGTGTATATGATCCTGAAGCAAAGACCGAAAAGATAATCAAGATTTATGACTGTTTTTGGAATTGCAAATACCAACAGAAGCAAGACATTAAATATTGCTATCTAGAGGCCCTCAAAAGCTTCAGTAAGGAGTTGTCTAGCTATAGACTGTTGAAGGGTATTCCTGGCATACCAACATTACATGAAGCTGGATTTTTAAATACCTGTGGTCAAAACCAAGATACTGAATTTGATATTGATAAAGGAGTGTTGTCAGGGTTTTACTTAATTATAGATTTAATACCTGGAAAGCCATTAAGATCATATCCTAAAGCTGAAAGAAAAAAATTTAAAGAATGCTGCCAGGCTACAATTGATGCTGTCCATGCTCAAGGTATTGTCCATAACGATATACACCTGGGCAACATAATAATTTGTGAAAATGAAGATGGATCTTTCTCTGCTTTTTTAATTGATTTTGGTTATAGTGAACAAGCTAATGAAAGAAAACGTTGGAATGGTGAACCAAATGGTTTCTCTAATATGCCTAAGAGAGATGAAAATCTTGACTCAAGAATTCAATATGATAATGAAGACTTAAATGCAAGTCTCCAAGAAGACCAAATTGCTGAAAGTAATAAGATGATAACATTTCATAGTTTGGATGCTCTTCCAAGAAATAATTGATAAAGCATGAATATGTATATTTGAGCCTAGATACCTATAACAAAACTATAATCTGATTCTGATTCCTCACGGCTATGATTAATTATTGCTATGATTATTACCTCCTTCTAATTGAAAATTGCTGGATAACATTATGTCGCTATGGTTATATAATTATTTTAGAAAATATAGTATGTATATGATTCGAGCTATGCTTTACATAATAAATAATTCGTATTCGATGACACCCCAGACTTTATTCAAATCAAATATAGATAAGTTGGACTCCCATGACTTGGCCGACTTGCTCTGTACAACTATAAATCTGACAGAACAATACACAAAGATAAAAGCTAGGGAACAAGAATCTAACAGGATCAACCCATCACCAAAATGACTTCTGTATACCCATAGTAGAAAATTTATGAATTTCCATGCTGTACTTTACAAAGTAATCCACATGTCTCATTCAAAGACACTTAATGACTGTAAGAAGTGATCAGTCTCATGAATGAAATTATAATTGCTAATCTTTCCCATAAGTTCATGTTCTTTCAAATCAGTTGATTGTTTGAATTCAACGGGACTCAAAGAATTTTCAACACAATTCTTAATATAATAATTTGAATATAATTCCCATAGCACATGTTGAAGATTATCAATAATAATGTCAGTAATTAGTATAAATTTCAAATTGGTTAATGATTCCAAATAATGAATTCGATATTTACCTAATGTAAAGGATTTTAATGCATTTGAAATAGGTGAAGTTTCCTCATCAATTAATTTTGTTGAAATAGACTTTAGAGAATATAGAATACCAAATAGCAACTTAGAAGTATTCGAATCATTATTCTTATTGATTATACCAAGATGATTAGCCGTACTAGAATTAAGACTTACACTACTGCCAGATCCGGTTGTTTCTGAACTTGTGTGAGTGTATTCACGGTTATAGATGCAATTGCAATGCCTATCGAATATGTAGAAGGAATATATAGTCATTGGTGGATCTTGTTGGTATATTGTGGTGGCTCAATGTAGTCGATCCAATTCTGCTTAATGTTTATTGCTGATAATTGGATCACGAGATTATAACCCACGTGACTTACCGGATTTACAAGTCCATTGACGAAGATAAGTTTGAGCAAATTTTACTACTGATAATGGTGGTTATAACTTTGAGTCATTCAACCGGTATATCACTACAACGTAAATGACCAAAATCCAACAATTAACCACAATATATGAGCAGATTATTGATTACAAATGTATTTGTACTAGTTACAGAATGAATATTTAACAAACAATAGTAGTGACTCATGATTTAAACAACGAAGTTACCTGTAAGAGCATAATGGGAAAAGAAAAACAGTGGTGTACGATTGTAGCCAACAACAGTAAAGAACGGCCTAAGTTGTGAGAAACGAAACCGGAGTGCTTAGTAAAAATATTTTGTTGTAGAAACTGGGTAAAGCCATACAGGGAAATATGTATCAAACGCATCGGTTATAGAAATGGAAACGCCTAGAAAGCAGACAAAACATGGAGTATAGAAATCCTGCCAAAGTCGCAACCAAATCACGTAAATGGCTGAGATGAGGCTTCCGAAGCGAACCTTGGAGAGTAAGATCTAGGTTTAGTTTCAGTTGCAACTCAAATCCACAACTTGTGGAAAAGACCTAAATGAGTAATGTCAAATCCCGACTATGGACAAGTCACGTGTAAATTGCTCATAAAAAGCAACTGTCATAGTGCGAAAAAGGTACTGTGGTGGTGGTGGGTTCTTTTTTTGGCAGTAGTGGTGGTTGCAGCACCACCACCACAAGAAAAAAGCAAAAATAGAGCTATGACTCTGAAGGTGGTGGTGACACAATTGCAAAATTTTAAACATATAAATAAATGTGGTTATTTCATATTTTTAATCTATATCATTTTCTATATTCTTATTTTAATTTAACAAACAGTATACCAACGAACTTAGACACTTATCTTTACTTTAAGAAAGTATTTACAACCACATAGACAAGCAAATCTAAAATGTCAAATATTTATACTCAAAACTCCGATCACGCAAATGCCTCAAATGGCAATTTTGATAACAACAGCGACTACAGCTATACTGACGCTGACGATATCTTTGAATTCAACATAAATGAAGAAGATGAAGACTTAAGTAGTGTGCTGACTTCTATACCCGATTCTCCTTTATTAACTCCAAAATATTACACTGAAAGCAATTATAGCTACCAACCAAATGGTGACTGGTACGATTATGAAGAAAATGAAAAATTCATCAACTATTCTACTGGTTCTCAACCATGGTTATACGAATGTGGCTACTGCAAGATGAAAACAACTGAGGCCAATCATAAATGCGTCGAAGCCAATGCTCATAATGATTCATTAGACTACAATAACGAATTAATTCAATCAAACTACAGAAAGTGGTTATTCAGTATTTCTCCAAACTAAATTTACAATAAATCTAATTGGGATCTACTGGGTATTGGAAAAGCTGGATCTTTTTCCAAGGTTTAAATTATTATTACGATTGTATTATTATATTATGTTTATGGGCATTATTTATTTTGAATGCTGCGGGCAGTATTTACTATTATGGTTTCTTTTATTGTTTTTTCGGGTTTTAAAGGGGGGTTATTGATTCGATGTTTTAATTTAATTCGAATTGCTGTACAACACTAACTAGTTGTTTACATAGTACTATATAGAATATCAGAATAGACGTTATTCACTATAATTACCTCAATGATTCTTGCTCCAATTGATTAATTCCCTCAAGCTTAACATGGCTCTAATTTACTATGATGACCCCATATTAAACGAAATTTTGATTTTAAGCCATCTGTAGTTTCAAATAAAATCACTCACTTGGCTGTGAAAATTTTGGCCTGATTCTTGAAAATCGTGCGCAAATTTCCAAATTAGGCAATCAGAGGCATTTCTTATGAAGTAGGCTATATAGCAAGTCTGGATTTGTTGTAACTCTTACAACTTTAACCCTCTCAGTAGAAACTTGTTTAAGTTAGTCACACGTGTATATGAGATAATTAAACGTTGATATGTCACTCAATATGGTCTATTAGACAGAGTAAATATCATTTATTAAACAGCACAACTTTTTGAAATAGTAGTTTGACTCTTATTTGAAAGAACCTGCCTGCTGATATTCACGTGTAAATACAAAATATATAGTAGTAACAGAAATAAAGGTTGAGAATATGCAAGATGCGATGACACCATCATTAGTACCTCATCTTTGAATCATATCATACATTATAAGCTAAAAAGCCATACAGATTCCTCATCATGGTTTCATTTATCGTACCATCTTTTTTAGAAACTTACGTCAAATCCATAAAAAAAGATTTTAAATTCGGGTTTTGTGTAACCATCTTCGATCCGATTTTGCAACTTTTACAAAGTCAAAAGTTATTATTGATTATGTACATAGCCTATAAAGCAATTAAGGAAATAAAAGAATAAAGATTCCCAAAAGTCTGAATATTAAATAGAAATAAAAATTAGAATAATGTAAAGGAATGACTATAATAAATACGAGTATAATAAATATGAGTATAAATAAAGTTAACAGAAGAATTTGTATACTTTATAGTAGAAGGGTTTGGATTTCAAATTCAACTTCTCTTCAGCAATTTCTTGTTTAATGATTTCCAAATCAATATCTCTTCTACCGGTATCAACATCTATTTCTCCAGCTCTTAAGAAGAATTTAGTAAGAGGAACGCCATTAAACCACCAATTGTAAAACTTGTGTGAAACATAACAGGCTACAAGCACTATTAAGTTTAAGTAATACTTAAGGAAACCAACAAAATCAGCTCCTTGTTGTCCCGGTGGGAATAATGCTGCCCAAAATTGAAGTCCTAATAAAGTTATTAATCCAATGAGTGAAATCCATGAATAAATTGGACTTGAACAATAAACTAGTTCATCTTTAGGAATACGAGCTTGATGATCTAAAGCAGCTCTAAATCTGATATGAGAAATATTAATAGCAACATAAGTGAAGAGAATACTGAGACCACTTAATGATAAAAACCAAGTAAAAACATCCATAGTTGCAGTTGGACCTGGCAAAGCCACAAGGTAAGCAAGTAATCCAAAAATAAATTGAACACCCAATGCAACCATTGGCCTACCTTTTCTATCAATATAATTAAAAATTGGTGGGGCTTGTCTTAAAGCTCCCATAGCACACATAGTTCTTGATGATCCATAAACCGAAGCATTACCAACAGAAAAGACAGTAATGATAATAACAGCATTCATAATTGATGGTAAGGCTCTAATATTAGCATTCTTAATAGCAATAACAAATGGTGAAGTATTAATATCTATTCCAAGATTATTGGCTTTAGAATTTTCACCAATTAAAGCGGGAGAAGTATAAGGTACCAACAAACCAATCATAACAATAGAAACAAAATAGAATACAAAAATACGATAGAAGATTTGTAATCTAGCTCTATTGATCGATTTCTTAGGTGATTTAGATTCAACTGCTGCTAAGGCAAATATTTCAGTTCCTGCGTATGCGAATGAAGCGTTTGCAATTATATAACAACATTGTTTAAATGGTTCAACAGTATTGAATAATCCACCTTCAGGTTTATGCCAGTATTTTCCTCCAATATATGGTTGACCTGGGACTCCACCAGCAACAATAATTATTGAAAGGATATTAAATCCAATGACGGCGACAATTTTAATAATACTGAATAAAGATTCTGCTTCACCATAACCTCTTACCCCGAAAAGGTTTATGATAACAATGGTTATATAAAATATAGTAACCCAAACGCAGGGATTTATAGATGCATCCCAATATTGAATACACATAGAAGCTGCAACTAATTCCAAAGGTAAAGTAACCAACCATTGAATTGCATAATTCCAAGCAATTGCAAACCCAAATGAAGAATCAATAAATAAAGTTGTAAATGTGACAAATGCTCCTGATACTGGGAAAGCTGTGGCTAATTCTGATAAACTAGACATTGTCATGAATGTTATGACCCCGATAATAAACCAGACCAATAATAATCCTAAGGGTCCAGCATGACTTAATGATTGAGATGAAGCAATGAATAAACCAGATCCTATGGCTGCACCTAAAGAAATTAAACTTAAATGTCTTGTTTTAAGATGTTTAGATAATGGACTGGTGGCTGTGACTAAAGCTGCACGCTCTAATTCAGTAAATCTTGAATAGTCAAATTGTGGATGAGAAGGGTGTAAGGTAGTTGACTTTTGAGATGTAAAACTAGTAGATTGAACTAAATTTGCTTCTTCGTCATCCCGTTGGGGATTTTTTGTTTCTACTTGATATATTGGAGGTAAAATGGAATAGTCAAATGGTTTAAATGAATCAATGAAATCTGTAATCAATGCTTTTGGTCTATAATCTCTTACTGATTCTTCTGAATATATCGATTCACCAGATGATTCTGATAAGTCATCTGAGCCATATGAAGATTGCGAATGCAAAGGCAGACTGGTTGCAAGTTCTATATCGTCGTGATTATAATGCTGAGACATTGGAGTTTTGTCTTGTGGTGATGGGGTCATGCTAATAAAATGCTAAAGGTGATATTAAAAGTTATCAAACTGTAATAAATTGTAAGCTATTAGTTGGTGATTAGTTACAAAATTAGAAGTGAATTTTTAAGATATTGCAAAAATGATGGGTTTTACTTGACAAATTATAAGTTATAAGTTATAAGTTATAAGTTATATGTTATGATTTAGAATGGATCTATAGTTGAGATCTATAGTGAGGTGATTAATAATAATAATTGAATTAATGGAAAGCTCCAAGAATATATGACCAAACTCAACAAAATCCAAAATAACTTTGTAAACCCCTGATATTCCGTACAGTATAGTCCAAGAAAAGCTTTGCAATAAGCAAAAAAGTCTTGATGGATATATCAAGTATTATATTAGATTTTGTAGCACGGCCCTGCAATTTTTTTTTTTTTGACTGGTTTTCTTAAGCCGACTGGATTAATTAAAAAAATTAAATTGCAGTGAAAAAGAAATTAAATAATTATTTTGTTTGTATTGTTTATCATAAACTGATTTAGACGAGAAATTTATCGAAGTAGAAACAATAGAAAGAGGAATGTCAAGATAACCTTCTGTTATGGATGTGAGAACCATCTGATTGATTGGCAAAGGAAGATCAATTGATATTAGTGAGAATTAATGAAGAAATGAAAGAGTAGAACAGAGAAGAGGGAAGAAGAAGAAGGTTGAATAGTACAAAGTTGAGTTACACACAAGAAGAGTTGTACAAAGTACGACACAATGTAAACCAACTTACGTTAGAGGCTAATCTTTATAACAAATCAAATTGATATGAATATCCAAACCAGGCACAGAGCAATGGCTAGTAATTATTAGTTGCATACTGAAATTAGGGGTAACAATGAGCTGTGCAATTTTTCCGCCTTCCGACTGACTTTGAAAGGTCGGAATATACATTCAAGTCCGAGGGTGTATTCGTCAACAATATTATTCAATTAAATCTTAAATATATTTGTCAATTCATTGATAAATACAATATGTTAATAAGAATAATTTAATTTTGATATGGATTGTTTGGAGTATGTAATCATTTAATTTAAACTTTTTTCCCTAAATCTCATATAAGGTTAAGGTTTCACTTCTCACCCTCGGTCTTAACATTCTGCTGAATTGTTTTGTACTTCTGACACTTCCGACCTGTTTGTAACCCGATAATTCTTACTAATTTCAAAATTAGTCAATGAAATATCTCAAACAAACACAGAATTAGCCAAGATTCTTTGTTTTCTCAGTTTTGTACTCTAAGTGAAATCATTTATATTGTAATGTAATTATCAAAATGTCAGGGACTGTTAGGCATAATCCTGTAATATTTCATAGGGTTCTATAGAACAATATGTTTTGCTTACCTTATTTTTAAGAATTTAACCTAAACCGGAAGTGATTGTGAGAATTTTTCACTATCGTTGATCTATTATAATTTACGGAATGCGCCTCATATCTATAATTCAGCTACATCTCTCCTTGCAACTTGACTTAGTATTTGAGTCAGTGCAACAAACCAATCTTCAGTTTATACCCCATCATACTGATGTGCAACACTACTTTTCGTGATATACACGTCAAAACTAGTTTACGAATAAAACTTTGTTTGCTTGCAGTTAAGGCTGCAAATCAGGCAGTAAAGAAGAAAATAATGTTTATTTAAATAAATACTCTAATAAATAATTATGAACTGAAAATTTGTCTAACGCCCATAAACTTCAGAACTTGACTTCTCTTTGCCTTCAACAATATCATATATCAATTGATTGGTATCAAATGGATTGTCAATGTATAAGTTATGACCACCTTCCGCAATCTTATGGAATGACACATTGATATCATTTCCATTATCCTTGGACGTTTGTTCGATCAACTTCTTCAATTCTTGACCTGCTTCGCTATTCATAAAATCATATTGACCATAAACAAGTGTAACATTGAAAGGTAAGCTTTTACCATCCTTCACTAAATAATTCTCAAATTTATCATATAATGGGTATTTGCTAACAGTTGCTGGAGTCAATAAGTGTTTAATATATATATCACTATTGGATCCACGAATAATAGCATTGTACAAGTATTCCACAATCAAGAAACACTCTTTTCTGGAACCATATGGTAGATCATTATTAGACTGAAATACTTTTTCTGGTCCCCCAAATTTTAAGATTAATTTATTGATCTTGAATAATTTTCCTAACCACATTTTGAAATATATTTGTGCACCAAATGGTCCAAACCATTTCAATAATCTTGGCAAGAATGGTAATTTGTAATACCATTCTGTCACATGCTTCTTAGATAATATAGGCAATCTAGTTAAGAAGTTATATGATATTGGATTGATAGTTGGTTTAAAAACTTGTATTTGTTTGCTATCATCAAACAAATTATTGGTAACAGCATGAACATGTCTTTCCACTCCAACCGGAGATAATAAAATCAAATTCTTTAGTTTAGATGGATATACCAATGAATAAGATCCGGACCAATATCCACCATATGAATGACCAACAAGGTAATCTATTTGATCAATTTCACTGGCATTTCTCCATTTATCAATAGCCGAAGTATAGAAATCTTCTAAATCTTTCAAAACGGGCTTGAACTTGTTTTGATATTCTCGAAATTCAGGGACATTGACCTCATATTTATCGACCAATTTATAATATTTATTGTATAGTTTCTCATCCCTACCGGGAGTTATTTTTACTTCTGGACATTTAGGAATGATCCAATGATTTATACTTCTACTAGTTTCATCGGGTATTTTTGGATTAGAGGATAATCCAAACGTAATGTTGTCTAAGAAATGAACGCTATAATTGAAATTCTTATCTTTCCCTTCAAATTTATTAATGACTTGAAAGTTTCTTGCAAAACATCCTAAAGAAGCCCCATAACCGTGAATGAATACAATATGCTTAGTAGGATATTTTTCATTATTAATAATTCGGAAATTAACTTCATTGATAACGGTGTTTTCATTATCTATCGTAATCTGTTTCTTTTCTATAATCACATTTGCATTAGAAGAATCTCGTGAATTAATCATTAAATCAACTAATTCATTCTGAACTTCTTGTAGTCTCTGTGGTTTTAATGATCTCTTCCAAATTTTCCAACCTTGCTTGATTGAGATGGATGTGATTAATTTATGCTGAGCTTTGTATGTAGAAGGTAATTGAAATTGTAAAAGTAATGAAGATGTAGTAAATGTTCGTTTGGTCTTGAGTATACTACTCACTATGTTAATCCTAGCTACTATCATATCATATTGTTGCTATCAATTGCAATATTGCTGTCAAAATACTTTGGCACATTTTTTTTAGATTTTCAATGCGATTGGATATTTCGGAGATTACACAGCTGCAAAAAAAGAGGTACTTACGAGTGTCTTATAACATAACTAGACCAATACATATAATAAAGCAAAAACAACACTAATAAACATAAGAAATAAACATTATATAAAAATAACTAATCTAAAAAAGTAATTCAATCTTTCTTTTCTTCGTAACCACTAGAATAATTTTGGTATTCCAGTGCAGGTGATACACCATCAACGACAAGACCCTGCAATTCTTCTTCAAAATTGTCAACATCTTGCCATTCTTCAAACCAACCCTTTTCAAACGGTTTAAGCTGCGGAATTCCAGTTTCAACAGGACTCAAATAATTCAAAAACGAGTAAACTAACCAAGCTGCTATGAATCCCATAAAGAAGTTTAATCTATAAACTTCAGTTGCTCCAATAGGCACGTCATGAGTTCCGGTAGCACCAACGAAACCAACAATATTAGGTAATATACCAGCAATGTAAGCAACATAAGCTCTCCAGTTAACACCCAATTTATTATATCTGTAGATTGAATCGAGCGATTTTTCTTCAGGTCTGAAAAGAGAATACATGTGAGTTAATTTAAGATGACCTCTTCTAATATAGAAGTAATCACAAGCAAGTACTCCAGCAATTGAAGAAAGGAACACTGAATAAGCGGATAAATAAGTAGTGAATTTAGATGACGAAGATGTTAATTTCCATGGGTTAATACACAAGGCTAAAGCAGCACAAATGTAAGAACCTCTTCTTATATTTAAGAAACGAGGTAATAATGCTGACACATCAGTTCCAAAGGATAAAGAATTAGCAGATATGTTAGTACCAAGTTGAGCAATGGCAAAGGCAAACCCGATAAGGAACACACCCGCTCTATTACCAGAAGTATAATTATCCAAAAATCTACCAAGAACATCTAATGGTGACCAATATGCTTCATCGTACATTACTTGAGCAGCAGATGTAACCAAAATACCAATTAATGAAGTTAATGAAAAACAGAAAGGAATAGAAAGTGTATATACCAAATATTTCATACCAAATGAATGAGTATTTGAGAAACGGGCATAATCTGGAGCATTAACAATTAAAGTTGCAAAATTGGCTAAAGCGTTCATAGTCGATTCAACAAAAGCCCAAGCTAAAGCACTACCTTGAACAGTAGCTGGTTGGTGAAATACTGGTCCAACATTACCAGCTTTCTTCAAGGTCCAAATAAGGAATCCAATACCAGCAATTGGAGTAATATAAGCTTTGACAGTAAATAAATGTCTAATTTTATGAGGCGGGAACCAAAGGAATGGTAAAGAAAATAACCAGAATAAAAACAAACTTAAAAATCCGAAAGTGGTAATATCAGGATCAGAAATATGATTTGGCATTGTTTTATCTAAATTTTGGCCAAAGATACTTCTCAACATAACAGAGATACAAGGTGCAGCAACTGATGTCTGAACACCATACCAAACAGCTGACATAAAGACACGATTAATAACGGGCCAAAGTGAACCAAAAATACCAAAGGATGATCTAGAAACAATTGGAAATGAAATGTGATACATAATGGCAACTCTAGCACCAATACTAACAAAAATACCACATAATGCATAACCTAACCAAACTGATAACCAAGTCTGCCACCAGTTCATACCACCTTGCTGAATACCAGTTGCAGCAATTTGCCAAGTGTTAATATTAAAAGAATCAGCTACCCAAAAGAAAACATAATTATACCAAGACCATTGTCTTCTCTCTGTTTCAACAGGTCTTAAATCATAATTATACAAAAACATTTGTGAGGCAGTTAAACCCTTTGGTTCATCAATTTCAATAGCCTTAATGAATCGGGACCATAATGAAGTTGGCTTTTCATCTTCAATAGAACTTGAAGAATCTTCATTTATTTCTTGTTCTAAATAAACATCTGGATGCTTCCCTACAGATTCACTCATTATAAAATAGTTATACTAAACCAGTAGAGACAACAGTTATTGAATATTCTATCTGTATTTATAAGATAAGCAAGAAAGAGACATTACAATCTACAAAATTCGTGGACATCAAGGTTATTTATAAGTCATCTTGATATATTTCATCATTATGTACCAAATGCCCTGCTATTGTCTTTTTAATTACACTAAAGAGAAATAAGGTGTAGAATTTATTGATCTTGCAGCAATCAATAAAGGGTTATGAGGATTTTCTCAGGTTAATTACCTGATTCGTAACAAAAAGAAAAGATAAGGAAGCGAAGCTTATATAATCTGCGAGAGTCAAAAATTTAATTTAAATTAATCAACTTGCATTTGAGCTTGGAGGCCAAGATATGATATTGATATTGATATTGATATGATACGATAATACGAAGACAATAGCTTTTCAATCTAACAACTCAAACTCCCATCCCCTAATGATTATTTTTAATATCCCCTTTTTATTAATGTAGTGATGATCTAAATCTTCGATAATAGATGGTGCAAAATATTATTAAGCTATATCGCGAGGTAATTAATATGGGGATTAAATTATTGCATAGTCAACGAAAATAATATTTTGAATATTCTGTTGCAAACTCTGCAGAGGTTTGAAGCAGAAGAATTGTAGAAGTAGAGCAGTAGAACGCAGTAAACTTGCCGCACTTCATCATTTACATCACAAGCCCTAGACCAAATGAAATAATTCGAGAAGCCCGAGTCGTAATTACATGTGTATTTAGAATCAGACAGTGCTTAGTACAAATTTCTGCGAGAGTCAAGGCACGGTTAATAATAGATTACGGCTTTGTTCCCCGGATCCTATTTTCACAGGTTTGTGAAATTTTGTTGTTCTTCTTATCTTCAGTACATTTTTTTACATTACAAACCTGCTATAAATGGATGATAGGAATTTAGGGCCGGAATACGCTAATTTTGTGCTAATTTTATTATACCGTTGCGGTTAAATATTTCCCTGGTCCATATTTTTATACATTGATAAAGCCGTAGGAAATTACATGTACGTTATTGGTAAATTGCGCTAATGACATATGATAATTTGTATACGAAACAAATTTGTCAAGGCGCTTGTGCTGCGTTTAATTAGGGCCGGGGGGGTCATCAACGGCCCCATCTGTCTACGTTTCTAACAATAACTATTTTGACTCCTCTGATGAATTAGATATTTATTGATATCTTTCGTTATCTTCATCTTGACGTGATGTCGATAACGAGATAGACACATCAGAGAAGGTTAATTTATAAACTATAAATGTCTAATCTATCAAATATATATTAAGATTTTTCTTATTAACCATATTCCCGTCTCTTCTCCCCCCAATTCCAATGTATTTGAATTGATATATTAAATCAATAGAGTGTATTGCACACACATACCCCCTATTTTATTTCTTCAAATTGTCAATGGGATAATTTGAATTCCCTCTTAGTGTCTTGTCTACAGTCGAGTTCGCTCTTGGTGACTCAAGTATAGACTGAAAATATTTTAGGAACAAAGTCGCACGGCCCTGCATCCAGGTGACGTTTTTTTCCTCTCGTCTTTTCTTAAATAGGAAAGGCTATGTAACGGGCAGTGGTTGACCTGCTTACATATTTGAAACTTTCTATTCAAACGATCACTGGTTACTGATCACCAACAACTGGTCACATAGTCTGTGACATATTGAGTTGATTACTATACATATTAAAGTAGTAAATTAAAATTCGAATTATATCCTTTTATCTTACTACTATATTTAACTTTTTCCTAGCCGATCCTCGTGGAAAGGTATTCCAATTGGCATGCATATATCAATAATTACATAATTTGCATTCGAAATGACAGCTTATCTACCATATCTGTTAACTCCTAATCCACATCTATTAACACCTGCTGCATCTAATTCAAATGCTTCACGAAGATCAAGTACCATATCATCAACTTCAACTAAAAAAACTACTGCTTTACCTTCTAGAATAACAAAACCTCAAGAATTTATAACTTATATATTACCTGATATTAAAGCTGTTGAATATTTTCGAAAAGATTTTGTACTTTCAGGTGAATTTCATATTATTGAAGAAACTAAAGTTGGAGGATTTGATCTTTATTTAGTTGAACAATGGGTAAATGATAGAAAAATAGGTACAATAGTTTCAAGTTTTACAGGTAATCTTGATTCAAAAATTCCAGTAATACGATTTACTATATTAAAGAAGCAATCGAAATTTTATCCTATTAGATTTCAAGAATATCTTAATGAATTAATGCTTAATCATTCTAAAATAAAACGAATGGATGATAATGGTAGTAGTATAAATATTCCTGATACATCAACATTAACTTCAAGTATATCTGATTTCCCAGTAAATGAAGTTTCATTTGTTACAGATATAAGTTTATTACCATCACATCTTAATTTAATACCTTTACCACTGGGATTTACTCAAAGTATGTTTGATGATTTTAGTATAAATTCAAATTTAAAGAAATTACGTTGTACAGGTAGATCACTTTCTTTAATGACATCAAAAATTTCTGATGCAAATGATGATAAATTTAGACATATGTATAAAATATTTAATGGTAATATCCCTATTAAATTTGCTATTAGAGAATTTATTAATGTTATTCAAATTTGTCTTTTTTATTATGATTTATTAGATGCAAAATATTGTGATGGTTTATTATGTAATAGAACAGAAGAAGCCATTAAAAATTGGTGGAATGTGGTTGGTTTACCACATTTTAATACTAAACCTAATTTTTCTAAAAGAGGAATATTACCTTCAGCTACTGCTGCTGCTATATTAAGTTTAACTTTAAGTGTTAAACTTCGATTACAATTAGTTGGAGGATGTGATGTACCAAAGGATTTATTTGATTTTGAAAATTTTATGTTATCTATTGGTCAATTTCAAAGACAATATCGTTTAGATAAAAAGAGAAAATTAGATCCTGAAACATTACATCGAATCTTTTCAGTTACAACTTCTAAATATAATATTGAAAAGAATAGAAATCATTATTTTGAAGATGATGATGATGAAGAAGATGGTTATGAAGATAATTCTTTAACTACAACTATATCAGGAACTCCAATTAATCCAAATTATAGTATAGCTGCCACCCCAAATTCTCTATCACTTATGTCACCTACTCCTCAACATCGAAAGAATAAATCTCATTATGGTATGGAATTGAAAAAATTAACTAATGTTGTAAAGAATACAGTTCAAGATAGAATAATTGCTGCTGGTGGTAGAGATATGGATGAATCAGGTAATATAAGAACCAGAAAATTAGCAGAAATTAGTCCTTCAGAAGTTGAAACTCTTGATTTGAATGAATTAGTTAATAATTATATTTCAGGTAAAACTTTAATTAGATTATTTCATGGTTATGGTAGTACAACAACAAATGGTTTAAGTACCCAATCAGTTGCTACATCTCATAGTCATGATTCAAGTAGTTCGGGTGAAAGTGGAGTCATTCATCGTCATCCTCATTCACATTCACATGCTCATTCTCATCATCATCATCATCATCATAAAAGTCATTTAGCTGATGATCCAAATAATAAGAAGTATGAATTTATTAGTCTTCGAGATAAAGTAATGAATCTTCATTCTGGTGATGGTGGTCCACCACCTTCAACCGCTTCAATGACCGATATTTCATTATATTCTCGAGGATTAAATCGGATGAGAATGGGATTACAAAATACAAAGGGCATTTTATTACCTTATAATAAAAAGGATCATTTCCAAACTTATAATTATTTAGATACTAGTAAAAAGAATAATGGTACTATTGATAGTTTAAATTTTAATAATGGATCAAATTCAATTGTGGATACATTATTACAAATTCCTAATGATACAGCTTCGAGTTTTGATATGTCTAGTAGTATACAAACTAATGGAGATTTATCAAAGGATAATTTTTGTATTGAAGAAAAGAAATCTATTCATAAAGATGAAAAAGTTGAAAAATGTCGTCGAGTATTAATGAGAAGAAGTTCATTCCCATTAGATGATAGTGATATGAGAGATATTCGAAAACTTCAATATATTAAGAAAGCTACTGAATATGATCCTGTTATAGTTGAAACATGTTATAATCGTCAAAGAAGTTCAAGTGTTTCTGCTATTGATAATGAACCAATGGATTATAATTTAGCAAGTATTTATTCATTTTGTTATCGATATATGGGAAATCTTAATAATTTAATTAAATATAATAGTCTTCAAAAATCATATTGGGAAGATACTTTAACCAATGGATTTTATTCAAAGGAATCAATCGATAGAGGATATAATTTATTAAATTTAGAATTAATTAAATTAAATAATATGCAAAGTCAAATGAATAATAGTAAAACCAAAATTATTGATGAAGATTTGGTAGGTCATTTACGTTATAGTGTTAAAGATTTAACTAGTTCAATTGATAGATTAACTTATGAAACTCGAATTGTTGTTAAAAGAATTAATGAATTAGAAGAAAATTGTTCATTATTTGAAATTAAACTTAATGAAGAATGTAAAACTAAATTAACTAATATGATTGAAAATGTTATTCATCTGAATAGATTTAAATTAGCTTTTCCTAATATAGAAGAAAGGAAAGATATTATTAAAAAATTAGGTGGAGATATTGAATTAACTGATAATAATGTTAGTGATTTACCATTACATCAAAAATTATTTAGAATCTTAATTATCTTTATATTTGATTTATTAACTTATATCTCCCAAATCTTTCATTTTGATAGAGGTAAGATGAATCTTAATAGAATTAGACAACAATGGGTTAAATTAGATCCTAATAGAGATATTATTAAACAAGCTTATAATTTTATAGGTAGAGAACCATCAAGAGATAGTGTTGCTTCGATAGATACTAAACGGTCTGGACTGTCTATATCTTCTACTGATAGTATTGATCCCTTAATAGGTTAGAATTATATATATATATATATATACCGTAACGTCATTATATATCATCGTATATTTTATTTATGGATTCAACCAATAGATCAAGTTTATGTTGATACTCCGGTGAATGTAATATTGTATCGTTTTCACTATTATGACTTATCAATGTAGTTAGTATTTCTCTTATCTTATGAACACCTCGATGTAAATCAAACAATCGTGAATCTAACAGATCAATAGTAGGCTGAAGCATTTGTTCAGAATAATGATCAAATCGTTGATTTACATACTGTACATCTTCTTGATGAATAGCATCTCGAGATTCAAGGTATTCCTTAACATTAGCAACGAGATCTTCATTCTGTATAACGACTTCCTTTAATTTATCTTCAAAGTACTCTTGTTTCTGTAGTTCCAATACCAAATTGATTCGATCCGTTTCTAGTTTCAGAATTATATAATCTTCCTCTTCTTCTAAAGTTATTTGTTGATTCTCAGATTCATGAGTGGTGGATTGACTCTGACTCAATTGTTCATACTCTTGTGGTGTTACGAGTCCTTTGGTTATTGACTCTAATTTCTGGATATTCTCAGTAGAGTCGGACAATTCCTGTGTCAAAGACCTCACTAAGCTCGAAATGGCCAGCACTTCATCGATACCTTCCATAAGTGGATTATTAATATGAGTAATCTTGTAGAAGAGTTAACTATGGTGCGCTTAAGTATGGTGCACTTAAGTATGGTCTGCATAACTATGGTGCGCTTAACTATGGGGAAACAGCCGGGTAAATCTTTTGTCCACACACCATTTTTCAATGTTTGGAACACCGAATCAAGTACTACTAACTCTATATAATATCACCTTTACTTACACTACACAACCCCAAAATGGTAACAATTGGTAATGCTCATGATGATATAATTCATGACGCTGTATTGGATTATTATGGTAAAAGATTGGCTACTAGTTCATCAGATAAAACCATAAAGATCTTTGAAATTGAAGGAACTGAAAATTATAAGTTACTTACAACTTTACAAGGTCATGAAGGTCCAGTATGGCAAGTTTCATGGGCTCATCCTAAATTTGGATCTATTTTAGCATCATGTTCTTATGATGGTAAAGCTCTTATTTGGAAAGAACAACCAGAAACTCAACAATGGTCAATAATTGCTGAACATAATGTTCATCAAGCAAGTGTAAATTCTGTATCTTGGGCTCCTCATGAATTAGGTGCAGTTTTATTATGTACATCATCAGATGGTAAAGTTTCTGTAGTTGATTTTAATGATGATGGTACAACATCTCATGTTATATTTGATGCTCATGCTATAGGAGTTAATTCTGCATCTTGGGCTCCAATAACTAGTACATCTTCAAATACTAAAGATTTAAATACTTTAAAACAACAACGTAAATTTGTAACTTGTGGTTCTGATAATTTAGCTAAAATTTGGAAATATGATCCAATTAATAATACTTATATTGAAGAATCAAGATTAGAAGGTCATACTGATTGGGTTCGTGATGTTGCTTGGTCTCCATCAATTTTAATTCGTTCATATATTGCAACTGCATCTCAAGATCGTACTGTATTAATTTGGACTCAAGATAAAAGTGGTCAATGGAAGAAACAACTTTTAACTGAAGAAAAATTCCCTGATGTATGTTGGAGATGTTCTTGGTCATTATCAGGAAATATATTGGCAGTATCTGGTGGTGATAATAAAGTAAGCTTATGGAAAGAAAATTTACAAGGAAAATGGGAATCTGCTGGTGAAGTAGATCAATAAATTTGATTTATGTAACGTTAATTTATCTGTAAACTAATCTAAAGTAATCTAATAAAGAATAAAATGAATAAAATAAAATAAAATATAATATAATAAAGTATAATTAATTAATTAAATAATCTTACAATTCATTGACTGTAGCTTGAATGATTTTTTGAACGTCTTTGGAAGCTTCGTCAGCTGCTTGTAATACTTCATCATGACTAGCCATTCCTTCATCTAAAGGTTTAGGATTTTCAGCAAATGCACTAGGTGGTTTATCACCAACTCCAGCATTAGTAATTAAAGAAATTGCTAATACTTTTAAACCTGAATGACGAGCAACTATAACTTCAGGAACAGTTGACATTCCTACCGCATCACCTCCTAAATTTCTAATCATACGAACTTCTGCTCTACTTTCAAATGTTGGACCAGCCGCAAAGAAATATGTACCTTCATGAATATTACGAGTTATTCCAAGTTTATTTCTTGCAGTTGTTAAAAATAATTTTCTTAATTCAAAATCATAAGCATCTGAAAGAGGTTGAAATCTGGGACCAAATTCTTCTAAATTTGGACCTCTTAATGGATGATAACCTGCTAAACCAGGAAAATTAATATGATCACTTATAAGCATTAAATCTCCTGGTTTAAAAGTAGGATCAATTCCTCCTGCTGCATTTGTAACAATAACAGTTGAAACATTTAATTTCTTAGCTAATCGAATTGGGAAAGTAGTTTCTTGAAATGAATAACCTTCATAAAAATGTAAACGTCCAACCATACACATTACTGGAACTTGATTAGTTCCAATATGTCCAAATATAAGTTTACCTGCATGACCAGGTACAGTTGAAAGTTTAAATCCAGGAATCTTTTCATAACTAATTTCTGCTTGATTATTAAGTATATTAGCAATTCCTCCTAATCCTGATCCACATATAATTAATACTCGAGGTTTACTAAGTTGAGAATGATGAGATAAAAATGTACTAATAGTAAAATTAGCTCGATCTAAGAGATTGAGGTACTCGGAATTTGAAATAGTCTCTCCCATTTTGTTTGGTATTAAAAGCTAGTTATCTGTTAGTAGCTAAGCTACTTCCCCATTATTTTTCATAAGGTCCGTCGCATCGGCTTTTGCCGTACAGTACTATAATTATATCTTATATACAAGATTGTTATTATTATATTATATTATATTATATAAATGTATATGCTCTAAGACCACCAATCCGGTATATATGCCTTTACTACTACAACTTTTACACCATCTAAACTAGGTAATTCTATTTTGAAAAGATTAGTCTTTTCAAGATCAGATAAATTAATTAAAGCAAACCCCACATTATCTTTAATCGATAATAACTTCCCACTAGAACTTTTCCTTTTACGAGGAGTAGAATTGGATTTACCAAATGGTGAATGTCCTCCTGAAGTAGATGATTCATCTACTGTGGCTTGTTGATCTTCTAATGGAGTTATATCTACTTTAGTTAATCCACATTGACGTAATTCTTTAATATAATCAATTACTGGATCTTGAGGTATAACTTCAATCATTTCTGATTCATATAATTGCTCTACACTTTCATGATTGGGAGTAGTGAATTGAATTGGAACTACTCTCTTTCTAATAACCCCATTATTATATGTTCTTATAGTTAATTCTTGACCTACATAACATCCTTTATCCAAGGATAACCCATTAGTGAAATCAAGATTAATTTCAAATGGTAATAAAGATACATCTGATGGAGTATCTTGAGTTTCAAATAATCCATTCGAATATCTTCTTCTCACAACATCTTCTTCTGGAATTGAATTTACTGTATACTTATTACTAAAGCTTGAAGAGAATATTTCATCTAACGGTATGGAATCTTCTAATGAAGATTTTTCATTCAATACTATTGGTTTATCTGTTATAAATTTAATCCCAAAATTTGGTATACGATTATCAATAGAAAAGCCAATAATTCTATTTGCAATACTTTTATTGAATATTATATCACTCATTATAAAGGAGTTTGCATTTTTCATTGCATTTTGAGGATCAGATGTTTGAAAATAAGTATTTTGAATCACATCTAAAAGAGCATCGAATTCAAAACTATCATGATAATAATAGTATGAATGTAAAGACTCATTTTCCCGTATTTTAACTTTTGCACTTAATTTATGTAACTTTAATAAATCAACAATCTCACTAACTGATGAACTATTGGTTTCTACTAAATATTTCGGTTTCTTTAGTTCATCAGTTCTTGATTCATCAACATTATGGAATGGATATGAATATATAAAACAATCACTTATAACTCTCCCCTTTGAATTAAGAAACATGGAATTTATTCCATCTCTTCGAATATGTATATTATTATCAGGATCAAATATATCCTCATGCATTAAACCCCAATTTGTTTCGGGATTAATTATTTGTGAAAGTTCAGCATGTCTATTTTCATTTTCACTAATAGTATGTTGCTTCTTTTTCACTACATTAGGTAAAAATCTCGAGGTGACTAACCCATTTAGGAATTTAGATGCATCTCTACCGGATACAGTAATAATACTCTTGGATAATGAACTTATACCACTTATCGGTAACATTGTGTGGTATAGTTAGTAGTACTGCTATTACAAATAGAACTAGTCCGGAGCCGAAAAATTTCCTAATATAAAATTTTGGGCTGATGCACACACCGAAATTTGCAACCTTTACATTTTTTTAATACAATTGAATAAATAAATAATTAAAAGTGGACATAACCTAATAAATAATATATATACATATATAAATAAATATATAAATGTAAAAGAAGTAATATATAGAAATATCAAATATCACGTGAATCGAGAAACATCAAGTTGTCTACCAACATTGGCCTTTCTGGCTTGATCAATTCCATCAAAAGTTGCATCAATATTAAAATCATCTTGTTCGATATTATCATCATCTTTGTCACTATCAACAACAATAGAAGGTAATGTATCATCACTTTTAGATAACTTATCTCTAATTCTTTCTGTAAGACTTTGCTTTTCTTTAATATCAGTAGCAGCTGCCAATACTGATAACTTTTGTAAGTTAGTATGTGAATGATGTCTAGAAGTCAAGGTAGATCCAACATTACTATGACTATTCATAAACGATTCATTTCTAGATAATTCATCTGATCTAGTATCTAAATCACCATAGTCAAAATATCCATAACCACCCAATAATTCAAAATCTTCATTACCATCACTTTCTGATGATTCCTTTTTCATATCTTCACTATCTATCTTGACACTCTCATAAGGGATTGGTTCATAATCCTTATCAATTGTCAACTCTATTGGGTGTCGTTTGGATGGCAAATCAAGCTCAATATGCTTTAATTCACGTTCAATTCTCAACTTTTGTAATTCCAACTTTCTCGATTCTGAGTCATTGATACTTAATAAAATGTTTGAACGATGCTTAAGCATATTCTTCAAATCATTGATTACACGATGAAGAGTATCTAAAAACCGTTCTGTTTGTCTAAACTTAGAACAAATGGTGATTATAACTCTATCTGAGTGGATAATATATCCAACACCGAATCCTCTATCACTTGCTGGTGGGATACCAAATAACAGTAATGCAGGATTCCCACAATTGGAAATTAATAATTCAGGAACAATTATCTTTTCAATGACATTATTATTTAATAAAGGAATTTCAACATTATTGGAACTAAAATCTGGTAAAGGTTCCAAGTGTTTGTTAAGTTTATTCAAATATTCTACTGCCAGTGGTCTCTTTATAACTTGTACAAGTGACATGAAATGTCTTTCAAATCCTTTACCAACCATAGCATCATGATATTGTTTTGTATGTGCATCACAACATTTCTTAAATTGTTCCCATTTATCCAGAGGACTAGCATTGGAAATAAATAACTTGACTAAATTTGAAATTGATTCATTTTGAATAGGAATTAATTCAGTTCTTGAATCTCTAAATTTTCTAGTAGTGATGGGTTCTAAAGTATTAACCATTTTCCCATACAATGAGTAATTAGCAATTTGGAAAGCTATCTGTAATATGGAATCAATAGACATTTGAAATTTCTTAACAAGATGAGCATCCAATTTAATATTTAAAGTCTTATATTCATGTTGATTAATTAAATCAGCCAATCTAGTTTCAGATAAATGAATTAAATTTAACAAATATGGAGTCTTTTCAAATATTAATCTTTTAACTTCGGGTTTAGAGATTTTACCATCTGCTGAAACAAATTTAACTCTCCTATCAAACAAAGTATATTCTTGAGCATTTATATTTTTGGCCAATTTTAAAACTGAATCAGTATAAATATCAGAAATAAATCTAAGAATTGCAGTACTATCCATAGAAAATGATTCCCAAACAATTCCGGCTACTGAATTCTTTGTGACAATTAATTGAAGTTTATCATACCATCTTGAAGTACATGAACCAATTTGTACGTTACTACTAGATAAAACTGAAGTCCCATGAGAAATAACTTGAGTTTTCTCTTGATCGGTTACAGGTGAATTTATTGTGTCTAATACCACTACAAATAAGGCATTATCAACTAACTCCATATTTTCAGGATTGAATTTGGATAATTCAGCCCTAGCTTTCCTCCAATATTTCAAAGTCTGAGTAGTTACTGCACCAATCGAGTTATTGACAGATTCAATTTGATCAACATTACTCAGAGAATCAATTATACTTTGTAATATTTTTGATAATTCATTATCATTAAACCAAATTTGATGTTTTGAATCAGTTTCTTCATATTCTTCTTGTGAAAAAGGAGTTATGACTTCTAATGAATGAAATTGATTATTACAAATAATTACAATATGTCTTGAATCATTAATATCTTTATACTTTTTCAGTCCGACATTATGATGATTTAAATCTCTTGCAAAAGTAGGAACTCTTGTAGTACCAAATAATTTTCTATAACAAGACATAGACAATGGAGTATTATTGTTTGGGGTTACATCAGGTTTCAAAGTTTCATTACGAAGACTAATAATAAATTTAAGTGATGAATTAATTAAATTAGCAGTTCTTTCAGCTTGATTAGGAGGACTTAAAGTTTTTGCATAAGGATCTTCTTCAAGAATTAAATAGGGATTTCTGGGTAAAATATCACCTCTTAATTCACCATAAATAGCAGGAGCAGTTTCATCATTAACAGTTGATAAATAACAATGTTGAGTTGGATCTTCAGATGCAGCCACTAAATGAGATTGAATAAGATTAATAGTTTCATTAGTAAGGAATTCAGATGATTCTGACATTAAATCAAGAAATTCTTCTTGACTTAATAAGGGCTTAAGTGCACTCAATAATTGCTGAACAGTTGAAGCCAATGCAGGTACTGGTAAACGAGGTAATGCCTCCTCATTTTCAAAAGAACTATAACTCATTTTTTGCTTAAGTTGTTAATATGAAGAGATATCAAAACTAAAAAGAGATAATAATATAAAGCTGAATCGACACTTTATATAAATTGATTTAATTTTATAAAATGTGGGGTCGTACTTGTCCCGCAAAATTGTTGGCACCGAAAAAACTCCGAGTTTCTGGAATTTTAAATCACCTTATTTTAAAAAGTCTACTATTTATCTCCACTGTTATAGGCGGACTTATAAGATCTTCAGAATAGCAATTGTGTTTTGCAGTTTGTTTGTTTTGATATTTTTAAGACCCAGCCTTCTATATTAACATCGTGTATCAAATTTAAGCTTTAATTAATATTATTATATTGCTACTTCTGTAAACTTAAACATGAATATATATATATACATCTAAGAATAAAATCACCTCCGATATCATTTTAGAACCAATATCATATATTTAAGGCAGGGTTTATCACATCTAATCTATAACTTTCCAATACCAAATATTTTATGTATTAATTAACCATTTTGAGCTATCACTTTTATAGATTTTTTTAACATTGGCATATTTCTCTTTCCAAAGGGTTTGCTCCCAAATCAACCGAATATAACTTCTCTATTCCACTCTCAATAGCTAGATTTTTTATTAGATACTACTTATAGGTTAAGATATATCAAAACTGAAATAAATAAAAAAAACAATTACTACATGTAATGCTTGAATTATAATTACAAGTTAAAAAAAAATTATTGCAAAAAGAAAGTTCCGATACCGGGAGTCGAACCCGGGTCTGCTCGGTGAAAGCGAACCGTGCTAGCCGTTACACTATATCGGACTGTTTACTGACAAAAAATGTGATAGGTTTGTGCTAGAGAGTTGTCATCACGTGAATGTCACGATTTTCGGAGCACGTGATGCAAATTGCACGTGATTCATTTTTGATTTATTCTAAAATTTCAAAGCATTGGATATGTTGCTATAGTAGCTTATGGAATATTTTTCATATTCGAAGTAATTTATAACTGTCAAGCATACTAACTCCGAGTTTTATTAACATCAAGGCTCTGAATAGCTGCAAAAAAACGGAGAATGTTCTGGAAGGTGTTGAAAAAGTGAACGTGAGAAAAAATTAACGGGTATCTAGACAGAAAAAGTATAAAGGTGTCCTACATGATCTTAACTAGGAAGGCAATAAATAGACCTATTAGCATATTGAATCAATGGATTTAGAATTAGAACCAACTTTAGAGTCAATCATCCAACAAAGTTCCTTAAAGTGGATCTTTGTAGGTGGTAAAGGTGGTGTTGGTAAAACAACTACTTCCTCATCAATTGCAGTACAATTGGCATTAAATCATCCTAATGATCAATTTTTATTAATTTCAACTGATCCAGCACATAATTTATCTGATGCATTCTGTCAAAAGTTTGGAAAAGATGCTAGAAAAGTTGAAGGTTTAGAAAATTTATCATGTATGGAAATAGATCCAGATGCAGCTATGAATGATTTACAACAGCAAGCTCAACAATATAACAATGATCCAAATGATCCATTAAAAAGTATGATGCAAGATTTCACAGGTGCTATACCGGGTATTGATGAAGCTCTTTCATTTATGGAAGTTTTAAAACATATTAAGAATCAAAAAGTTGCTGATGGAACTGATAGTACAGAATCTGATAAGATTAGTTATAAGACTATTATATTTGATACTGCTCCAACTGGTCATACATTACGTTTCTTACAATTACCTTCAACTTTACAAAAATTATTAAGTAAATTCCAAAGTTTATCTGGTAAATTAGGTCCAATGATGAACATGTTAGGAGGTGCAGGTGGACAAAATCCTCAAGAAATGTTTTCTAAATTAAATGAATTAGAAAAACAAGTAGCAGAAGTTAATGAACAATTTACTAATCCAGATCTTACTACTTTTGTATGTGTTTGTATTTCTGAATTCCTTTCACTTTATGAAACCGAAAGAATGATTCAAGAATTAATGAGTTATAATATGGATGTTAATTCCATTGTTGTTAATCAATTATTGTTTGCTGAAGACGAAGTTAAACCTTGTTCAAGATGTGTTAGTAGATGGAAAATGCAAAAGAAATATTTGGATCAAATGTCTGAACTTTATGAAGATTATCATTTAGTTAAAATGCCATTATTAGGTACAGAAATTAGAGGAATTAATAATTTAAAGAGATTTTCTAAGTTTTTATTAAAACCTTATGATCCAAAAGTCGATAGTAGTATTATCACTGATTTAGAAGAAAAATAGATTAATTCAAAGTGATAATATAATTATTTAGAATATTAATGTATAGATCAGTATAATTCGATATTCATTTTAATGGAAAAGCAATAATGTCGCGCCTATTCATGTAACGACATTTTCATTCATGTCTCCTCTCTCTCAATAAAATTTAAAGCTTTGCTCGAGGTTTGAGAAATACTTTAATTTACATATCTCTAACAGAAGTTTAATACTTCAGTGTAAGGACTTGGTCTTCCTACCATAGCATCACTAAACTATCGTACACATTTATTTGTTGTCAAAAGAAATAACCTTAGAAAATGGCTAGAGGAAATCAACGTGAATTAGCTCGTGCGAAGAACTTAAAGAAGCAACAAGAAGCTCAAAAGGGTCAAAAACAGGGTGATAAGGCCAAGAGAATGGAAAGTGATGCTGATAAAATGAGAGCCAAACAAGCAGCAGGTATGTATATGTAAATCTCCATCACTTCCTTTTTTATCCCTCCTACTATTGTAAGACTATAGTACTAACTCTACTAAACTTATAGCTAATGCTAAAAAAGAAGCAGAACTATTAGAAAAGATTAAAGCAGGAAAGAAATAGATTTCGTAATTGCTAATCTTTTTGTATGTAATTATTGTGATTATTCACCACTTAGTAATGAAACGAATGTATTATTTTCTTTAAAAGTATTTACCTGTAGCACGCACACTATGCACCATTGCCCCGACCCCCACCCCTCGTATAAAAAATGTAAAATTAGGAGAACTCCCGGATATTTCTTCTTTACTCCATAACACCAATTGTTATAGTTATAGTTATAATTACAATAAAAGAAAGATGTTGATTGAAGAAACATTCTACGATGTTAAGACATCGTATAATACTACCATGAGATTATTTGTTTATCATCCTAAGATTTTAAATTATCCTAAAGTTAAATTCCCCGGAGTTGTTGTTTATTCTGAGATCTATCAAGTTACTGGTCCAGTATCTAGATTTGCTAAAGATATTGCAGGACAAGGATTTATTGTTGTAGCTCCATCTATTTATCATAATTTTGAAAGTTATGAACCATTGGCTTATGATGATGAAGGTACTGATAAGGGTAACTTATATAAGATTGAGAAAGAATTAAAGTCTTATGATGAGGATAATTCCTTAGCTATTGATTATTTATTATCATTACCAACATGTAATGGTAAAATTGGTGCTACAGGTATGTGCCTTGGAGGACATTTGGCATTTAGAGCTTCATTAGATCCTCGTATTAAGGCTGCTGTTTGTTTCTTTGCAACTGATATTCATAGTCATGCCTTAGGTAAGGGTAAAAATGATGATTCTTTACTTAGAAGTAGTGAAATTAAAGGAGAAATCATCTTAATCTTTGGATGTAAAGATAATCATGTTCCATTAGAAGGTAGAGATTTAATTAGATCTACTTTACGTAAGAACAATGTTGAAATGACATTCATTGAAATTAATGATGCTCAACATGCTTTTGTTAGAGATGAATTGAGTAAAGGTAGATATGATCCAGCTACTACTAAGAGTTGTATGGAATGGTTATTAGAATTATTCAATCGTAAATTAAAATTAGACTATGGTGATCATGATGGAAAGCCTGTGACTATTGAAAATATTTGTTAAACTTTTCAATTTTTTTTTTTTTTTGCTTGTTCGATGCTCCCCAAAGTATCGATATTGCATCTTTTAATATTATATCTATGAAATATAATACTGATTTTATTGAATTTGGTTCCATTATAAGTTTATATAGGTTTTGCAATAATTTATGAAACTTTTCATCCATCGCACGACTTTGTCTCTATATGCAGGCCCTAACAATTTTCTCTTTGTCCATCCTGAAAAAAAATTTTGAATGAGACAGGGCCTTAACCAACGGTGAAAAGCTGGTATAATTAGATAGGTTTTATTATTAACCACTTGACTTTATATAAATATAACTAAATATGAGACCAATAAAGTTGATGGGTCACGAGCGTTCGTTGACTCAAGTTAAATATAATAGAGAAGGGGATTTATTATTCTCTGTTGCAAAAGATAATGCAGCTTCGATCTGGTATTCATCTAATGGGGAAAGATTAGGAACTTTAGAAGGTCATCAAGGGGTAATTTGGTCTATTGATGTTGATCCAGAAAGTTTCTTATGTGCCACCGGTGGAGGGGATTTGGCTGTTAAATTATGGAAAGTTGAAACTGGTGAATGTGTCTTTACTTGGGATTCTCCATCTCCAGTTAGAAGAGTTTCATTTTCTCCAGATGGTAAAAAATTATTAGCTATTGCTGATCAAGTTATGGGTCATATAGGTACTATTATTGTTTATGATCTTAATTTGGATGATTTATCTAATCAAAGTATTGAACCTTCATTGATCATTAGAACTGATCCAAATAGTGCTAAGGCTAATGTAGCAGAATGGACTGCTGATGGAAAATATATAATTGCTGGTCTTGATAATGGTTATATATCAAAATATGATTCTGTTACCGCCGAATTAGTGGATTCTGTTCAAGCTCATGGAATTCATAATGAAGAAAAAATTCATTCTATCACTGATATTCAATTATCTCCAGAAGATGGCTCATATTTTATTACTTCATCAAAGGATAAATGTGCTACTTTAATAGATGTTGAAACTTTTAAAATCTTAAAAGTATATATAGCTGATGCTCCAATGAATACTGCTGCTATAACTCCAGTTAAAGATTTCGTTATCTTAGGTGGTGGTCAAGAAGCTAGAAATGTTACAACTACTGCTGAATCTCAAGGTAAATTCGAAGCTAGATTCTATCATAAAATCTTTGAAGAAGAAATCGGACGTGTTAAAGGTCATTTCGGTCCTTTAAATACTATTGCTGTTCACCCAGATGGTTTAGGTTATAGTAGTGGTGGGGAAGATGGTTTCATTAGAGTACATACATTTGATAAATCATATTTTGATTTCCTTTTCGATGCTGAAAGAACTGAAAAGGCTGCTGCTTCTGGTACTATTTGATCAAACTATTTTAATTCACTATGAATTTCCTGCATACTTACTGTTCCTTAATCTGTTTCACTCAATTTCCACTTTAATAGAGCGTATCACTAGTCCTAGATGATAGTGAATACTTCTTTAATGCCTTGTATATTATTACTATATTCAATACATACTTATTTTCTCATATGAAAACTGAGAATTCGTATCAGAAAGATATTGTAGAATCGCATATGTCAAATAAGCTTTTAGACTTTAGTTCTGGTTACAAGCTGTGGTTTTAGACATGTTCTTCCGAGTCATCCAGCTACAACACACATTCATAGCTAATTCATTTCAATTAAGATCTTTAAATTATATTAATTCCTTTTCAATAAAAGTTCACTATATTCAGATTAAAGTTAATTTATTTCAAAATTGATTATTTCTTTGTATAATTGGCATCATTTTGACCCTTAATTTCATCATTTTTTCTTAATAGCCATTCATAACGATAGCAATTGCTCTGATATACAATTAAAACTGAGTTACATTTCATAATTAGACTTTCTCTTAACTAGATATTTTCTTGGATAAGGTCGTATTTTATCTTGTTCTATATATAGCTAGTGCCACAACAATTTGGTAGCAATTTTCACGTGACCAAAAATCTTGGCAGCCATTAAAATTTTGCAGTCAATATAAGTTTATAAATACTCTTTCTTGTCCCCATGAGGCCTGTATTAACTACTTCTTAACTAATAAGTATAGTATAATTAAGTAAACTGGTTAGTATGGTAGCAAAAGATTCTGATTTAAAACATTCAGTCGTGGAAGAAGTAGTCTCACCAAAGGTTACTGAATCAAAGGATGAAAAGAAAGCTCTTGATTCCACTGATATAGAATCAACTACTTCTTCGATATCCACTAATGATCTGAACAACCCTTTCTTGGATCCTGTCGTTGCAGAACATTATCGTTCAGTTTATGAGAATGCCAAATATGAGTGCCGTGGTGCTTTTGATCCTCATTTTGTTTGGGAACCTGAAGAAGAGAAACGTATTCTTAGAAAATTGGATTTCAGGGTCGCATTTAGTGCTTGTCTTATGTTTGCTTCTTTACAAATTGATAGAGGAAATCTTAGTCAGGCTGTAACTGATAATTTGTTGAATGATTTGAACTTAACTACAAATGATTTCAATACAGGTAATACTATATTCTTCGTTTCATTCTTATTGGCTGAATTACCATCCCAAATGATTTCCAAGGCATTAGGACCAGACATTTTTATTCCGATTCAAATTTGTGCTTGGAGTATAGTGGCAATGAGTCAGGGTGCCTTAAGTGGAAAAACGTCTTTCTTTATTACCAGATGTCTAATTGGAGCTATCGAAGGTGGTTTCATTGCTGACTTGGTGTTATGGTTAAGTTATTTTTACACCAGTAAGGAATTACCTATAAGATTATCTTGGTTTTGGACAACATTATCAATAGTTCAGATAGGTACTTCATTAGCAGCTTTTGGTTTATTAAGACTTAGAGGGCATTTGAATCTAGCTGGTTGGAGATGGTTATTTCTTATTGAGGGTGCAGTAACTTTGTTAATTGGAATTGCTGGATTCTATCTTATGGTTCCCTCGGCTGTTCAGACTAGGAACTGGATGCATCCAAAAGGGTGGTTTACTGCAAGAGAAGAAAAGATTGTTGTTAATCGAGTATTAAGAGATGATCCAAGTAAAGGTGATATGCACAATAGACAGCCTTTAACTCTTAGAATGATTTGGAAATCTTTATCTGATTATGACTTATTTCCACTTTATGCAATTGGAATTTTAGCTTATGCACCAGTAGCCACAATATCTTCATATCAAACATTGAATTTAAGACAATTGGGCTTTTCAACTTTCAATACAAATTTATTAACTATTCCGGGAGATTTTATCCATATTTTGTTTCTTTTATTTATTACCTGGTTATCGGAAAGAGTTGATAACAGAACTTTAGTATGTTTCAGTTTACCATTTTACTCTGTCCCCTTAGTTGCCGTATTAGCTTTCTGGCAAGGTACCATGAAGAATGTTTGGGGAACCTGGGCAGTTACTACTTTAGTATTAGGAGGACCATATATCCATGCTATTTTAGTAGCTTGGGTTTCAAGGAATTCCTATTCCATTAGGAGTAGATCCGTTGCCAGTGCTGTTTATAATATGATGGTTCAATTAGGTCAGATATACTCGAGAAATATTTATAGGCAAGATGATAAACCCCTTTATAGAAGAGGTAATAGTCAATTATTTGCTTTAGCTGTTGTTATGTTTCCGGTTCTCTTATTCACGAAACTTTACTATGTGTACAGAAACAAACAGAAAGAAGCTCGTTGGAATGCTATGACTCCAGAAGAGAGAGAACATTACATCAAGAATACCACAGACGAAGGTAACAAAAGATTAGACTTTAAATTCTCTCATTAGATAAATTGATGCTTAATTTTATATTTATTCTGAACTATGTGTGTTATTTATTTAAAGGATATTTTTCGAATTTTATTGATAATTTTGATATTGCATTTTTATATCATTTTGATTGATCGCAGTATACTGTTAAGCATAAAAACAGCGTAAACTAAAAAATTGATTAAAAGTTAACGAGAAGTTAACGATTTAGAAAGTATTCAAATCTTATTTGAATCGTGGAAGTCTTTGCCAGCATATCTAGCATACTGTTCTAAATTGTCTTCAATTCTAATAATTTGATTGTACTTAGCAAATCTTTCAGATCTGGCAGGAGCGCCAGATTTTACTTGAGCCGTTCTCAATCCGACTGCTAAATCTGCAATAGTAGTATCTTCTGTTTCCCCAGATCTATGAGAAACTTGAACTCCCCAGCCTGCATCGTAGGCAATCTTTGCGGCATCAATGGCTTCAGTTAAAGTACCAATTTGATTCAATTTCAAAAGTAAAACATTTGCAATTTTCTTTTCAATTGCTTTCTCAATAATTTCAGGAGTAGTTGCAGTAATAGCATCGGCAACAATTTGAACCTTACCTTCAAATGTAGGGAAATATTTGACCCATGCTTCCCAATCTTGATCTGCAAATGGATCTTCTAATGAAATAATAGGATACTTTTGAATTAATCCCAAGTAAAATTCAGCTAATTGATCACTAGTTAAATAATCATTAGGATTGGAATTTTTACTCTTGAAATTGAAGTCATATTTACCATCCTTATAAAAATCAGATGCTGCGGCATCTAAAGCAATACCAACTTTATCTTCATAACCAGCACCCTTTATGGCAGAGACAATTAAATCAAGTGCCTCATTAGCTGTATCCAAACTAGGTGCAATACCACCTTCATCCCCTAAGTTTGCTGCAGTTGCTCCATATTTCTCGGTGGTAATATTTCTAAGAATATGGAAAATTTCGGTTGCATATCTAACAGCTTCAAAGAATGAGGGGGCTCCGTAGGGGACAATCATAAATTCCTGAAACGTTAATTCTCCACCGGAATGAATTCCACCATTCAAGACATTAAAAAATGGTGTTGGAATTACAAATGGATATTCATGAAGTTTTGCCAAATCAGCAATATGTTTGTATAGTGGAGACCCCTTCTTTCCCGCGCCGGCTTTTGCAACCGCTAATGATACAGCCAAAATTGCGTTTGCCCCTAATTTCTCTTTATTTGGTGTACCATCTAAATCAATGAGAAATTCGTCAACTGATTCTTGATCAGTCACATCTAAGTTTGCTTTAATAATAGCAGGAGCAATTATATCATTGACATTATGAACTGCTTGAGTAACACCAAGACCATTCCATTTAGAAAGATCGCCGTCTCTCAAGTCTAAACATTCATTGGAATTGTGATGAGCTCCAGAGGGGACAATAGCACTGAATTTACCTTTTTCAGTGGTTACGTCAACTTCAATGGTAGGGTCACCTCTGGAGTCGTAGACTATACGAGCATATATTTTGGAAATGGTCATTGTTAATTAATAATATCAATTAGGTAAAGATATAGAGTACAAATATGAAAAATGATTGAAAAATCAAATCCCACTACAAAAGTATAATTCAACACATTTTATAAGAATAGATAAATCCCTGCCGCCAACAACCACAAATAATAGCAATAAGGACTATTAATTCCTTTCGTGGTAATGGTTAAGAATTTACCTACTAAAATTGACAGACGCACAACTTTCAGTCTCCCCATCTTTTTTCCTTACCAATTTAGTGAGGGTCATTCCACTTAGAAAAGAAAAAATGTGCCAGCTGATGATATAATCAGTAAGGATCATACAATATTACAATGGGCTGCAGTGCGTAAATTTCCCCGTACTTGGGCCATTTGGAAAAGGGGAAATTGGAGTCGTATGGGGTTGAGTTAAGTTTTATTTAATTTTTATTTTGAACTCCACAAAGTTGTCCCCCTCCTCAGATTAAATTTAATCGTCTGATTGGAATTGTAGAACCATATTTTTTAAAATAATAAAACTAATTATATAATAATTCTAAATCGTGTAGATCATTGTAGACAGTCTTCATGAATGACTAACCGTTTATATTTTAGAAGTATTTCAGTTTGTACGTTTCCGTTAATATGTCAAAGTTAGACAATTAAATAAACTTATTCATTCAATTCAAAATCTTATCTATGTATATTCGGATAATATTTAATGTTTCCCATTAATAATGTCAAGTATTACTGAATCCACCATGTTAGCCCCTGTCGATTCTCGATCAAGTTTTCGCCAAAGACAACATTCACTTGATAAAGAGCTCCGTTTATTAAAGACAGAATCTATTATTGATGCTCTTCCTGAAGGTTTCAATATAGATTCAAGTTATGAACCTAATCCACCACCTCACCTCAGACGTAGTTCATATGTTGATACATTACCAGAAGGTTTCTTGGCTGATGAAAGTGAACAACCACTTCATCCCCAATTGTACAATGATATAGAAACTCAGATTGAATCTCAAACGGATCATCAAAGTCTGTTGAGTAAGGTTATTGCCTTCTTATGTTGTCATGATTAGATTTAGATGCTTCCAGTTATTTATTTTTGCCGACTCAATTAATAACCTTTCCTAATTTTAGTTGGAACTATTGAGTCGAGCTAGTGTACATCAACTACTTGTTCGTATGTGTACTGTTTTCTCAAGATTTGTTTTGTAAGTTATCACTTATAAATGTTTATATCTTGTCTTGATGTCTTAAGTTGATTAGTAGTAATATACAGTTGGCTGTTCTCAATTTTAAATATTCTGTATTTCCATTTTGCCTTATTCTTGATCTGTAGAATTCTATTTATCTTTTGGTTTACATAACATAGCATGTTATTGGCTCTAAAATCTACATTAATATAATCGTGGGCGCTACCATGTGATTGCAAATTTATGGAGCTCGTGTGTCAACCGAAAATTTCCCTTTTCTAATCAGTATTTGTAACGACAACTAGATAATGAGCCGTAGATTCCCATAGAAACACATATATATACCTATATATTATACAATGTCCTATATATATTCATACATTACTTCTTTCTTCAAATCGGCAGGTCCAGTCACTCCAGAAATTCTTAGTGGATTAAAGTCAAATATCGATTCTGCTAAAGTTGTTGTCTATTCAAAGACTTACTGTCCATATTGTAAATCTACCAAATCATTATTAGAAAGTATTGGTCAAGAGTATAAAGTTGTTGAATTGGACACTATATCGGATGGACTTACATTGCAAAATGGTTTACTTGAATTAACTGGTCAAAAAACAGTACCAAATGTGTTTATCTCAGGTAAACATATTGGTGGAAATTCAGATATTCAAGCCTTGAATGCATCTGGAAAGTTAAAGGAATTACTTGCTTAGAATTTTAATAGATTATAGTGATATGTATCAACTATTTCTCTAATTATACAACTATTCCTATTCGATCAATCTCGTAACTAAGCGCAATTGTAGTCTTCTTTTTCAACCCGATTTTGCGTGTATAAAAGACTTTACTCCACGTAGGTCTTAATGTAATTGATATTTCAACTTGGCGGTTATAAACATTCACTACGAGATGGGTTCATTCATTCGAATACGACGGAAGTTTATATCGACTATCAATTGTCTAAATCATGTCTTGAACAAGTTCAAAGAAGTCAAGCTTGGCCGTTCTATATTGTTACTTCTTTTGGCAAACTTATTGATCTTACTATACCCTGAATTTAAGTGGCCCTTTACAAAGGATACAATTCTTATAAATATACGTGATGTTGATACTTTTGAACGAACATCACCTTTGGTTAGTGATTGGCTAGTGAGAAGTTATTTTCCAAAAAGTATATTACAATCTATATTTGTTAATTCTTCAATTGCCAGTAATGATTCGGATATATTCCATACCAAAGTTTATTCACAAATTAATAAACAATATGATCCTAGACTATTACCTGCTCTTTGGATTAACTCTTTAACACAATATTTGAAAGATAGTCCTAATGATGTTGATTTCAGTTTACCATTTTCATGGTCAAGTTTTCTAGATATACAAAGTAAAAGAAATGAATTATCAATTGGTGTAGACTTATCGGTACTTAATTGTGAAAAATTTTCTAGTATTTTTAATATAGATCATACTAATGTATCAAGAGTATGTACTAGTTTGAAAAATTCTCCTAAAGGTTATCCAAAATTTAAGATTATAGGTCCCATAGATGATACAATTGATGAAAATGCAAGAAAAGTTATAGGTTTAAGTTATATGCTACATGGAGCTCCAAATCCTGATCGATTGGTTCTTTTAGGTATTGGACCAAATAAATCTGGTATAAGTATACCAGTTAATGAAATGAGTAAAAGAAATGCTTACAGTAAACTGGATTTACTGTATCTAATATCAAAGTATATAAATTCAATTCCTCAATTTAATGTATCAATTCCTTCTACAAACAGTATTATACTAAGAGATGAATTACGTCAACTTCATAATTATTGGGATCAATTTGAACAGAATATATCATTTGCTTCACCATATAATTTCAATCATGATATATTCCAATTTCTAGATAACAATCTGGAAATACCAGAAACTAAATTAGATGATTTTTATTTTGATGTAGATGAAACAATACAACTAGTTGAAAGTCGTGTTAAAAGATCTTATGATGGTAATGGTATAAATGATTTTGATAGAAGATTACTTTCAGTTATTAATGATAATTTGGAATTCATGCCAAACTTCACCAAATATTTTCATGAAGCTCATTGCTTAGATACCAAAAAAGGTGCTCATTATGATTGGAGATTCTTTAAGAAGATAACTTATAGTGAATATGAAAGAAAAGCTATTTTACATCGTCTTACTCGAGCTTGGTTGAGATTTGCAAATTCTGCGGGATTATCTACTTGGCTAGCGCATGGATCTTTACTTGGATGGTATTGGAATGGAATGAGTTTACCATGGGATGAAGATTTAGATGTTCAAATGACTTCTGAGTCATTGTATTTATTAGCTAGAAATTTTAATCAAAGTTTGGTTATAGATTTAACTGATAATTTTGATGATATTAATATTGGTATGGGTGCTTATCTAGTTGATGTAAGTTCCAACTTCTTTAGTAGAGATAAAGGTAATGGGTATAACTCTATAGATGCAAGGTTCATTGATACTTCTACTGGTTTTTATGTTGACATTACTGCATTGAGTTATACTGAGGCAGCAAAAACTTTTGATACTAAAGGATTGAAATCATTGGAATTCAATCGAATGTTAGAACCTGAATATCTTGAAAAGGAAGATTCCAATACAGTTGATTCTGAGCAATTACATCAATCATTATTATTCAAAAGAGATGATCTTATCAAACAGAGAAATATCTTTAATTGTCGAAATAATCATTTCTATACGTTAGAAGATATTTCTCCTCTTAAGAGAACAATGTTTGAAGGTGTTATAGCATATGTTCCTAATGGGTATAAAAAGATCTTGGAAAGAGAATATAATCGATCATTATTATTAAAACAATTTGAAGGTCATACATTTAGGCCTGTGTTAGGTTTATGGATTTCCAGTAAAATTTGTAAAAGAGATCCAATTGGCAATCAATGTTTTCATGATGATGTAGTACTAGAAGCTAAATATACTAACTCAATGACTACTAAACATAAAGTAGAAATGAGACTGATTAATAAAGCTCCAATTATATATTCTAAAGAAGATGAATTACGAGCATTTAGGTCAGATCCGTGGATAATTTCAAGATGTAATTCTCTAAGGAATATAATAGAAAATTTGTAATATACATGATTTATGACTTATTTACTAAGTTAAACTATATATATATATATATATATATATATATAAGTTAGTTAGTTAGTTGCTTATCGTAAGATGTCTTTTAATAATTCCATACTCCAAAGGTGGAACTTTACAAAGATATGATCATCATTAGTTAATTCAACTAATGAACGAGGTTTAATCATAGACCGTCTAAGGTATCTTTCATTATCTAACATAGCAGTATTTTCATGACCATCAGATTCCTTTTTATTTAATGAATCTTCAAAAGTATTCTCTACTCTTTCCTGAATTAAACTAATAATTTCACTAAAATATAAAGATATAATATCCCAATTTGATAATATATCAGTTTCTGAATCACATACTACCATTACAGCATATTTTCTTTCTGAACCACGAGCATTAATATCTTTAATTTTAAATATTTTATTAATACAATATCCATTAATTGCATCACCATAAAATAAAGGTTTTGATATATCAGAAGTTGTCTCTACTGATAAAGATTTATTTACAAGTTTTGTTAATGCTGTATATCTTTTTTCTGAAGCAGGATAATGATTCAGAATAAATACTCGTTCAGGTTGATTCTTAATATTTTCTCGAGTTATAATATTATTTGATCCATTCTTTATAATTAATTCACAACTAGCACAAGCTTGTAATTTACTTGTAGGTGGTAGAATATGATCATCTTGTAAATTTGGACTAGATACTTGAGTAACAATTATTGTGGATGGACCATGAAGTTCACAAAAATGCGCTAGACATACTATATAGTTAGACATTTAACCATTTGTTTATAGAAGTATATTATGCTGTGCTGTCCTTATAATGACTAGTGGTGTCTTAAGGGGAAACCCCACGATAATATTTCGCACCAGTAGACACAGTACTGTAGTAGCCACTGCCAAAGGCGAGACTTCGCATCAAGAAAGAAAAATGGTTGAGATTTTTCAATGGGCATTTCTCATCTCTGGTTAATGAATAAATAGGTAAAAGTTTAATAATTACTTATTGAAATAGAAGAACAGATCTTTGACTATGTCTACTACTACCTCTAAGTCAACTCCAACTGTTGACTATACAATTGCTAATTCAGATGTTGTTTCTAAATATAAAACTGCTGGTGAAATTGCTAATAAAGTTCTTGCTCAAGTTAAAGAGTTAACTATTGCTGGATCAACTACTTATGAATTAAGTGTTAAAGGTGATGAATTATTACAAGAAGAATTATCTAAAATTTATAATTCTAAAAAAGCTTCTAAAACTCCCAAAGGTTTTGCATTTCCAACTTGTGTTAATCCAAATCATATACCTGCACATTTAGCTCCAATTTCAGAAACTGATCCAGCTAATATTACTTTAAAAGATGGTGATGTTGTTAATATTATGTTAGGAGCACAAATTGATGGTTTCCCATCAATTGTTGCTGATACCGTTGTTATTGGTGCAACTAAAGAAAATCCAATTACTGGTAAAAAGGCTGATTTACTTCATGCTGCTTGGAATGCATCTGAAGCTGCTATTAGAACTTTAAGACCAAATAAAAAGAATTGGGATGTTACAAATATTGTTGGAAAAATTGCTAAAGAATATGAAACTAGTCCTGTTGAAAGTATGTTATCTCATAATCAAGAAAGAAATGTATTATATGGACCAAAAGAAATTATTCTTAATCCAAGTAAACAAAATAAATCACAAGTTGATACAGTTAAATTTGAAGAAAATGAAGTTTATGGTTTAGATATTTTAATTTCAACATCAGAAGAAGGTAAAGTTAAGCCAACTGATTATAGAACTTCATTATTTAAATTAACTGGAAATTCTTATGCTCTTAAAATGAAATTATCTCATAAAGTTTTATCAGATTTTAAATCAAAATCTAATAATCAACCATTCCCATATAATATTAGAAATTTAGATGAACCAACTAAAGCTAGAGGTGGATTAGCTGAACCAACTAATCATAAAGTTCTTTTAGCTTATGATATTGTTGGAGAAAAGGAAGGAGAATTTGTTGCTCAATTCTTTACAACAGTTGCCATTACTAAGAATGGAATTGTTAAATATACTTCTCCAACTTTTGATCCAGAATTATATAAATCAGATAAACAAATTAATGATGAAGATATTAAAACTGTTTTATCAGAACCTTTAAGAGTTGCTAAGAAGAAAGTTGAAAAATCATAATAATGATAAAAGTGATAAAAGTGATAAAAATGATAAAATCATAAAAATCATAAAATCATAAAATCATAAAAATCATAAAATCATTACATTAAACAATTTTAACCAACTAAATTTAAAATAAATAATATAGTCATAATTATTATAATAATATAATAATTATTAATTAGTAATTAGTAATTTGTAGATAATTTTTACGACGTATCAATGTGTAACCAATAGGTATTGTAATAATATAAGGCGCGTACATGAACATCAAATTTTTTTGATTTGACTGACTGACTGGCTGGACATTATAAGATTAGTGAACGATCTTATTGACGTACCACAATTAAGAACTGAAGGTTAGATAAGGTTTAGATTATATCTATGTCAAGTTCCGATAGAGATAATTCATCTCCCAATTCACCTGGTATTGGTAATTTGCTGCTGCTGCTGAATTCATCAAAAATTAATTTATCAATATATTCAACAGCTCAACGATTAAATAATATAGATAATCAAAGTCAAGATGGTAGTATATCCCAAAATGGTGGAAATCATTATGGTCCAACTCTTCTACCGAGTCCAGGTCCTGAAAGTCAATCTGATAGTATAAACAATTCATCAATTATTAATTCAAGTTCAAGTTCAAGTTCAAATGAAAGAAGGAAATCTTCTCGTAGAGTTCAAAAAATTAATTATGATATAAATCGAGCTTCTATATTATCTGCTAGTCCAATAATTCAAGAAAGATCCAGTAGAAATAATACTACTACTAATAATACTAATAATAATACTAAATCTTCAATACCTACGGGAATTATTCAAAAGGGAGGAATGAAAGAATTTCAAGAACCAGAATTAGCTGAACCTAAACCAATTTATACTGGTTTACCATTAGAAGCATTTCCAACACCAAAGATAAAGAAAGAATCATATTGGCCATCTAAGAATAAAAAATCTAATAGAAATAGTAATTCAACATCTAGAGAAGGTTCTACAATTCCTCAAATAGATAATGATATTGATGTATTTGTTGAAGGGAAATATAATAATCGATTAGAAACAAATAAAGCCCAAGAATTAACTCAAAGTAGTGAAATCCGTGAACCATTAAAAATCTTAATTCGTCGTCTGAAATCATCTAAACAAAGTTCTAATAAATCTAAAACTTCAAGACAATCAAAGAAACAAGAGATAATTCCTTCTTCACCTATAAGACCTTCAAGAAGAGTTAAAATAATATCTCCTAAAAAATCCGCAAGTACAAATCTTGCTCCAACTAGTATAATAAATTCCGGTAATTCTAATGAAAAGGATGATCCAACAAAGGATAATGATGATTTTTGTAGTTCTTGTGGTGGTCCAGGTATATTTATTTGTTGTGAAACGTGCCCTAAATCTTTTCATTTTACTTGTTGTGATCCACCATTAGAAAAGGCTCCTGAAGATGATTGGTTTTGTAAAGAATGTATTACTAAACGTGATCCATCATCTATTCCTACTTGGAATCATATTGGAATCTTTGGACCATTATTAAATCAACAAGAAAGAAGAAATCCAACAGTGTTTCAACTTCCAAGAAATTTAAGAGAAAGTACATTTATAGGAGTAACTACTGGAGATAATGGTGATTATACTGATGAACATTTTAAACCAGAAATGTCTTATAGTAAAGCTAATGGTTCTCAAATTCCAGGTTGTAATAAAAATATTGATCTTGAAATTGATAGTTTATATGATAAACAAGGAAATCCATATTTATGTCATAAATGTGGTGAATCTGGTTTAAATCATCGTATATTAACTCATTGTGATTATTGTCCATTGGTTTATCATATAGATTGTTTAGATGAACCAATCTTTGGTCCAAAGACTATTGGTAGTAAATGGAGATGTCCTAATCATATTGAAGAATTATTACCTCCTGGTATTTTAAAATTAAGACATCTTAAAGATTCTTCAGTAGTTGATGCATCTTTACATTCAAATTTCTTAAAAATTGCATTACTGAGTAATATTCTTATAAAGCATGAATCACAACCATATATTAAAGAAGATAAAATACCGAATCTTCAAGAATATATTCAATATCAAAGTCAAGATTTTTCAATTCCAATAAGTGATAATAATAGTGATCAAGATATTGATGAATTTGATAGTATTCATCCTAATTTTAGAATTCCAGAATATTTTCAATCTATTGCTACAAGTGATGGAATAGTAGCTAAAGCATCTAATAAATTAAATAAAATACTTACAATCACTTCACCTGAAGAAACTGGAGAATTAAATTCATTTATATATAGAATTCCTGAAAAACTGATATTACTTGATTTCTTTGAGAAAGTAAGAATAGATAAATCAAAATTAAAATCAAAAAAAGCTAAATCTAAAGGTTGGACATATTCAAGATCAAAATCAAAAATAAAATCAAAATCTAAACATCCAAATCTCCCTATTAAACATGATATAAAGGCAAGAGTATTAGAAAATTTAGAAGAATATGAACTTCAAAGTCGATTGGAAGATAATGATGAAGAATTACAAGTAGTTGATACATTAAATGAAATTAAAACAAAACCATCATCAGGATTAAATTTTAAAGAGTTGGTAAATATAGCATTAAAAGAAACAAATCAAAATCAAAATCAAAATCAAAATCAGGTTAAACAGGTAAATAATAATCATCAAGGTATTAATATAGATAAATCTGAGATTGATGAATTAAGTTATATTAAGAAATTAATAGAAATTAAAGGTAAAGATGCTATGATGAAATTTTTACAATCATGAATTTTAGTATTATAAATAGAATGTAGTATGCTAATTTATTATTAATATATATGTACAAGTTATTTAACGAAGTTATTTTCAAATTATTTAATTATGTTCAACTTTAAAGATCTTTTAAATATGGAATTTTTAAATCTTCTTCCTCTTCTGCAAGAGATGATGGTTCAGGTGCACCAATACCAAATTCAGGTGCCCTTATGAATGGAATTTCTTCACTACTCATTCGTTTTGCCTTAGTGGATTCGACTAATTTTCGAAGAATTGTTTCTGGATTATGATTTCTAACATCAAGTAATATATCATCTATAGAATCTTTACCATGAACTTTAATAAATACAGGACAGGCTTTAACTTCTTTCTTATTTTTGGGTTTTATTCTTGTCATGATGAAATCAATATTTTCATTATGAAATTTAAGAGTTGGTAAATTATCTCTCCAAAAGTTTTTTAAACCAAGTGCTGGTTCAAAAACATTCTTTTGAATAAGGCATAATTCAATCTTGGAATATTTGGAATCATTAAACTTGAAAGCAGTAGATGGAGTACCAGCAATCTTATTTAATCTGTAGATTTGCCTCACCACACCTGAACGTGGCACATCTTTTAACTTTAAACGGACTCCATTCATTTTATTCGTGACTTGTAAGTAAACTATAGATGGTAATATATATAATATTGTAGTGAAAAATTCAGTGAATCTTATTTGAAAATTCTTATGTTTGGGACGTCGCACGACATTTTGTCGCATGGGCAAAGTCACGAGATTCATAATACTACTAATACTAATAATAATACTAATAATAATACTAAAATTACTAATGCTTTGTTATAAGTAGTTAACTTTCAGATGATCAGGAATTAATTATATGACTAAGATATTATTAAGATGCATCCCTTCGATTTGGTTTATTAAGAAACTATTTTCTCTTCTTGTAATGATGCAAAATATTTGTTGAACTTTGCACTAATAGCGCATAAAAATTAGTTTTATTTTTGGCGCTCCCAAGTTGTCTTCTTAATATTTATTCATTACTGCTACAATTCAACCAATTTAACCTACAATGGGTCCATTGTTATTTACATTATTTGTTTATCATTTAAACAAACAGTTTCGGTTCTTTTCTAACCTCTTGATTGGAAATTATTTTGAACCAGAAAGAGATATTGTGCTCATTACTGGTGGAGCGTCAGGTCTAGGCCGAGAACTTGCTTTAAAGTTTGCTTCAAAAGGCGCTAAGGTAGTTATTCTTGATATACATATTCCAGTTGATTCCCAAGATGATGAAGATAATTTAACTAAAATTAAGGGCGTCACTTATTATCAATGTGATGTTAGTAATAGAGTTCAAGTTCTGATGGTACAAAAGCAAATTAAGCAAGAGGTCGGTAAAGTTACAATTCTTATTAATAATGCTGGTATTACTACAGGTAAGACTTTATTAAATCTTAGTTATGAGGAAATTGAGAAAACTATTCAGATAAATCTTTTATCAAGTTTTTATACAATAAAAACATTTTTACCCGATATGATTAAGATGAAAAGAGGCTATATTGTAACTATTGGTTCTGTATTAGGTTATATGTCTCCGGCAAGATTAAGTGCTTATGGAGCTTCCAAATCAGGTTTAATTGCATTACATGAATCTCTTACTTATGAAGTAGGACCTCCATCAATAAATCCTTCTGGAGTCAAAACTTTATTAATTTGTCCTGGTCAGTTAAAGACAGGTATGTTTAAAGGAGTTGTAACACCTTCAACATTATTAGCACCAGAATTAGAGCCTACTTATGTAGCCAATAGTGTTTATTCAGCAGTTGAGTTAGGAAGAAGAGGAGAAATTAGATTACCCTTCTATACTAATTTAATACCAGTATTTAGAGCAGTTCCATGGCCCATAGTTGAACTTGTTAGAGGCTTTAGTGGTATTGATTCAAGTATGAGAACTTTCAAAGATACTATTTCCAAAGTAGCTAGTAAAGCAAGTTCAATAGCCTCAAGATCTTTAGTTGGATCTAGAATCTCATCTGCCAAAACTATTTAAAGTTAAAGTTTAATATATAAATTATAATTGTAACAATTAACTGTAACATCCAAATCTGCGCATCGCCTTCGCGGAGCAACGGCTGATTTGAGAGATGTGCAGTATGCATAAGTAACACAAAACCTTGATTGCAGGTACTAATTCTATCGACTGCCTTTGATATGGAAAAGATTAACAATTTTACAAATTGGTCAATCCTCAATGATTCGATGATGAACCAAACTTTATATATTACAGAAGATCGACTATATAAATTGGAAATAATTCTATTATATCATGAAACGCTATCATATGACAAAAATATAATTATTGCTAAAATTGCCCAGGATGATGTAATTAGATAGTGCTAAGAAAAAATAATAATGAAAAGCATTCCACCCCCCTCCGTGCCGCAGATTATAAAAAGTATATAAGGATTAACTATTTTCTTAATTTTCTTAAGCCAGGAATATGTCAAGATTTTTCATCTACACTTTAATAAAGTAATTTTTGTATATACCATTTAGCATTCAGTGCATATTTTATTTATAATACATACACATATACACATTCTGAAAAAGTGTTATATTAATAGACCATCATATCTATATCCTTTTTGCATACTTTTTATTTTATTTTATTTTATTTTTTTCATTATCACCTAATGGTTATATAAAATGTGGCTGCTTCAACAGAAGTATAATTGGCGATATGGAATCCCTACACCATATCAGTTAAAAGATGAAACTCAACCTAAACTTACTATGCGTACAATACATCATGATTCAATAGATTTTTATACTTTAACATGTACAAGAAGAAATCCAGAGACTTCAAAAGTTCCCTTAAAGGGTAAGTTCATAATAGTTCATGGATATAGTGAACATTCATTGATGTACCTACGATTAATGGAATTTTTATTATCATTAGGCTATGAAAGTCTTATATTTGATCAACGTGGGAGTGGTAGAACATCTTTATTTCAAGATAGAGGTGTAACTGGTAAGAACCTGGAATTAGTATTAAATGATGTAAGTCATATGATGGAGGACTTTTTCGGATTTAATGATGATCCAAATTCAAAAAATTCAAATATTACTTATAATTTAATTGGTCATTCTATGGGGGGTGGAATAGCTCTAACATATTTACATAAAGGTAAATATAAAGATCTTATAGATAGAGCTATTGTGTCTTGTCCCTTATTAAGACCTCATAAATCTTTAGAACCTCATTCATTCTTGTATAATATTCTCATATTCTTTGCATATTACTTTCCCCAAACTAGATATTTTGGTGATATTCCCAAGCATTATAAAGAGATGCAAACTTTAACATCTTCACCAGAATGGCAACAATATCTTTATAATGAATTACTATGCAGAGATGGAGGAACTTATGGTCAAATAAGTCAAATGATGCAAAGAGGTAAAGCACTTTTAGATGAAGAAATGAATTATAATCCTAATTTAAAATTACTAGTATTACAAAGTAATTCAGACTTGATTGTTAGTGAAGAAGCCGTTGAATCATTCTTTAATAGATTAAATTTAAAAAATAAATCATTCATAAAAGTGAATGGTCACCATGCATTATTTATAGAAACAGATGAAATATTTAGTGAAATTTGTCAGTATATAGTTCAATTCTTATCTTAAAATTACATATCAGGTAATCCTGAATTAGATAATAATTCTCGAACTGAGAAATTCCGAGCAGTCCATACAACTTCTCTTTCTTCAGGTTTAATAGCCACTTTTGTCTTAAATAGTTGGAATTTAAATAAAGTTTTTGAAATTAATTCTAAATTTTCATAGAAATATTTGTTAAACTCTGGTAATGCCATATAAATCTCTTCTATACTTTGAGAATTGAAAAATTCAACTATATGCCTTGCAGGTATCATTATTTTAAGTGAATTATCTTGAGTTAAACATAAATTATTTTGAGAAGATAATGATGGAGGTACTTCATCTGTCAATATGAATTCCAATGATCGAGCAGTTGGATCTCCTGGTATATATTTTTCAAGTGAATGATCGAATTCATATGTCTTAGATACAACATAAGAAAGATCTTCAGGTAAAATTCCTACTATATATGCGTTAACATTATAAACTTTCTTATCAATATTCATTGGGAATTGATTTAATTCAGCTAAAGTATACACTTCTTGCAGGAGTGATGAATCAACTAGAGTTGAAAGTACTTTAGATCCACTCGATAATGATGCTGTAGCAGGAACTTGAAGTACTGATGAGCCTCTTCTAATAGGTGTTCTATTAGATACTTGATCCAGATCACTATCATCTTCATAATCTCCAGGAAATTCTCGATCAGGTATTTTAGATAAAGTATACGGGGATCGCTCTATCTTTACCTGACTATGAGAATCACCAAGAGAATATCCAAATAAACTATCTCCAGAATTGGAATTCAGATTACCATCTGTTTGATGCAGATTGCGTGGTTGAGATACGTTATTTTGACTACTACCATGACTATTAGGAGGATCTTTCGGAGCCGGCTGGGAAGAATGAGGTATATTGGGTTGAGAATTAGGTTCATTAGCATCATTACTAAAGAGGAACCCTTTATGATCAGGTCGAGAAACCGGCATAGAATCACTAACGAATTGTGGCATATGATGTTGAGAAGAACCCGTGCTGGAAGGTTGTTGATGTTGGGGTTGTTGTTGTTGTTGATGTTGCTGATACTGCAGTGACGTAAATGAAGATCGAGAAACAGGATATTTCAAATCTTCGGAACTGAAATCAGATTCAAAGTCTCCAGGCCAATAACTTTGAGGTACTAATCTTGGTAAATAAAGATTTGAACTCATAGCCGATCTCTGAAGAATGAATAAGTTTGAAAGAAGCAGTCTAATATATGGCTGATAGGCTTCTGGTTCTTTTTCAAGAATAGGAACCACGATTGAATCGGTGAGACATTCTAGTTTATTCGAATACATCTTCAATCTCACTCTGGCTTTAACTAATAATATGTCATGGTAAGCAATCTTCAGAAATTCATGTTGCGCTAAACCAGTTAATCTTCTATAGTCCAGCTTCATGTTTGAGTACCACCTAGGAGTTACTGCGATCTCCATTATTTGGTTTCCAGGGATAACACTATCTTCAGTATCAAAATCTCTCTGTTCTAGCTTAGGATGTGAAGTAAAATCTGTAACGTATAGTTTGGTGAGATTTTGAGCTTGCCAAAATCTCAATACAAAACAATATAATTCTCTTGTATATTTCAAGTTTTCATTTTGCTCAAATACAGGCAAGTCACAGATCTTATCGACCCTACAGGAATAGCGGTTTGGGCCATTCATAAGGGATACTACTTCAACCTAGTGATTTTTTTATGTGATGTATACTTTAAAAATGACTTGTGTTTACCATTCCTTAAATTTTTCAGACGCGCGTCTCAATGGGGAACAATTTGCGCTTTTCGTATATCTTAAATTTTATATTTTATTTTATTTTATATTTTATATTTTATTTTATATTTTATTTTATTTTTTGCGTATCTATCTAAGATCTATAGTCACCATTAATAGTAACATATTCATGAGATAAGTCACATGTCCAGAATTTAGCATCTTGACCTCCACCAGTTCCTAAATCTACTTCAATAACTAAATCTTCAGATTCTAATATTTGTGAAGCTCTTTCTTCATCAACGAGTTCTGGTTCTCCATCAATTAATAATTTTAATGGTTCTGATCCATCAACTGGAATAAATGAAACACTAGTTCTAGATGGTACAATGGATTCAGTACTTGTTACATTAGCATAACCAATTGCACATAAAATACGTCCCCAATTAGCATCTTTCCCATACATAGCAGTTTTAAATAATGAAGAATTTGCAATACTTGAAGCTACAAGTTTAGCATCTTTATATGATAATGCATCTTTAACTTTAATTTCAATGAATTTAGTGGCACCTTCTCCATCTCTAACTACTAATTGAGCTAATTGTTGAGCAAAATCGGTGATTTCATGTTGTAAAGATGCAAAACTATTGGCAGAACTAGATGTATTTTCAATCAATTCACCACCAGCAGCACCATTAGCAATGGCTACAATAGTATCATTGGTTGACATATCTCCATCAACAGAAATACTATTAAATGATCTATCAACAGCATATTTTAAGATTTGTTTAAGAGCACTTGGACTAACTGGTGCATCGGTTACAAAAAATCCTAATAATGTAGCCATATTAGGACAAATCATACCTGCACCTTTACATAATCCAGCTAAAGTATAAGTATTACCATTTAATTCAAATTGTTTAGTAACTAATTTAGGGAAAGTATCTGTTGTACAAATAGCAGTAGCACATGCAATCCAATGATCATGAGAATTACCTAAATTATTTAATGCCAATTTTGGAATATTAGATAATATATTATCAATAGGTAAATTATTTCCAATAACACCAGTAGACATGACTAAAGTTGAATCAGATGGATTTTCTAATATTGAATCAGTTACAACCACCATATCTTGAGCATCTTTTATACCTTGAGATCCAGTAACTGCATTAGCATTCCCACTATTAATAATTAATGAATTTATACCATGACCTTTCTTTTCTTTAATTATTTTACTTGAAACTTGAACTGGAGCTGCTTTAAACTTATTAGTTGTAAATACAGCAGCTGCAGAAGCTTCCTTACCAAAATCATTTTTTAAAAGTGCTAAATCTAATGATTTACCATCTTTCTTAACTCCAGAATGAATACCTCCCACTAAAAATCCTTTAGGATAAACTCCACTCTTTGGTACAAATCTACTTGCCTTATCTGATACGTAACGAACAGATTGGATAACTATACTTTTATAAGACATAATACAATGATGTAATAATGCAATAATTGCTGCAAATAACCGCAATGGGGAATTATCGTAAATATCTCTTATCTCAAAATCTAAAATTTCTGAAAAGTTTTGACTCGATCGCTATGCGTTTTTCGGCGCAAAGGGTATATGCCGGAATATCAACCGTAATATATTTTTTCACATCTCTGCTACTTTAGCCAATAGTGAATTTATTTTGCAATAGTTGCAATTACTGGCAAATATATATAGTGTTACACGATAGTTTATATGATTCATGGGATTATATAGAGTGGGAGGGATAAGTCTTCCTAAAAAAAAATTACTTAGCTATTGTTATTCGACTATTGCATTGGCTACAAAGACTTCAGTACCTTCACACTCAACTACACATTCACCTTCTCCTTTCCATTATCGTCCTCGAGATCAGAGTGACATATTGAATTCCAATCCGTTTGATTTAATTTTGGATGAAAAGAATGATAGTACACGAGTTAATAAACGAACTATAAATGAATATATAATAATCAATAACTTTTTGCAATCAGTATTTAATGATGATTTCGGAAGATCTCGAATAATATTAAATAAGTTATCGTCTCGAATAAGAGATTCTGGTTTAGTTAATTATTACTCCTGTATGGCCTTATTGGTATCACATTTACTTTCTGATTCCAATAATTTAACCATACAAAATATAAAGATTCTTATAGATGAACTCGATTATATGCATAAAAAAAATGATGAACATTTATATCCAACAAAAGAAATAGTTGGACTTGAAGATCAGATTAAGATTAAACTAATTAAATGTTTACTATACTGCTTCCATGATGCATCTCAAAAAAGAAATAAACAAAATATCCTTATTTCAATTGCTGAATATATCTATACCAATATGCAAAAATATTCATTACTTAAGAATCAGGAATTGATAGATGAGTTAAATAATCGTAAATTACTTGAAAGTTATATACATATATTAAGAATAATGGGAATCCCCATAGCTCCTGCATTGATGAAACAATTAAACTTATACATTAATGAGATAGAAGCAGTTAATGCTGATGATGATAAAGAAACCGTAGCTATTGAATCCTATATGGATGATTATGGATACATGAATCTCAGTAGGTTATGCCAATATATCACAGACAGTCGTTTTACGAAATACGATAAAGACGAATACAAAAATACTCCACATATGTTTGAAATATACGAAGACTTAGTTCAAAAGGATCCCAACCAGGCAGAAATCTTTTATCAGGAATATATCGATTATAATAAAAGTCGAGAATTAAATATTGAAAACAGTGCACGATTCTTAATGGAGAATATGAATATCATTGGCAACAATTCTAAGAAAAAGTCTGTTAGTTCAAATTTGCAAGACCTTAGTTTGGGTGGCTTTAGTACTTCACATTCAGCTCTCTTAACTAAATGGCTTGATGATAGTGTGAAATTAGTAATTGATATGGTGAAAAGGGTTCAAGCTTATGAAGATGATTCTAGGAAAAAGGAAGAATTGACAGAAGATGAAATAACCGTATTAAGATCAATAGCTATTATGAATATTGTACCTAAACGATCATTAATGTTAATGCTAATATCAAGTCTATTATCTCGCATAATGATATCTGAAACAGGATCTATTTATCTCCTGACCATTACTGAAGATTTCTCAAGAACTTTTAAATGGTTTTTATGGAAGGAGAAATCCCTTATACCAGTAAGAAATGAATTACATAGATTTTTAAAGGATGGTTATGAATCTCATCAATTATTTATTGTACTATTAAAACTTGTTATTGATACTTGTACAATCCAATTAACACCTGATCAACTTAATGATTTACAAATGAATTGTGACTTATTAAATAATCCTATGCGATCAGAATTTAAACCTAATGAAAATGGTACATCACCTGCATTCTTTCATAGAGTAGTTAGGATTGATAGTTTAAAGACTACAGGAATTATTGAAATCCATCCTTATCTATTTGGACAATTGAAGCATTACAGCTTTATAACAAGAACAAATTATTATTATTTCCCCATGATTTATCCTCCTAGACCATGGGTGGCACCAGATGATGGAGCTTATTTACTTAATTTTAAATCTATAGTTGCTACTACAGAAATCAAAACTTCTTTGGCATATTTGAATAGAGCTCATAAAACAAATCAACTTGAATCAATTTATAATGGTCTTAATGATTTAGGTAAAGTTGCATGGGCAATTAATCCCAAAGTATTACAAGTCTTTAAAGATATTATGACAAAAGAAGTAGGATTTATGAAAATCCCTCCCTCAATTGAGAAACTAAATCATAAAGATAAAGCATATCATGAAAATAGAAATAGAAGAATTGAAATGGAAACTTTACTTAATGTTGCCCAAGCATTTGGAAATAATGGTGATATAATATTTTCACCTCATAATGTTGATTTTAGAGGTAGAGCATATCCTATGAGTTCATTTTTAAATCATTATAATGATGATTTAACTAGAGGTTTATTAATGTTTTGGAAGAGTGAACCATTGGGATCTGAAGGATTTGATTGGTTGAAATGCCAATTGGCGGATTTTATAGGTAAGGATAAATTAACTAGAATTGAAAAGATTCAATTCATTAATGATAATTGGGAGAAGATTATGGATTGTGCCAAGAGTCCATTAACTGGTGGTCATAAGATTTGGATGGATGCTGATGATCCATTTCAAGCCCTTGCATTATGTTTTGAAATGCATACTATTGATAAGTTCTTGGCTGATGGAGGTAATATTGAAAACTATAAGACGAGAATATCCGTCCATCAAGATGGTTCATGTAATGGACTTCAACATTATGCTGCATTAGGAGCCGACAAAGAAGCAGCATTAGCCGTTAATATCTTACCCCAACCTAATCTTGAAGATCGGGGTGATATCTATACAACTATGTTGGATAAAGTTAAGGAACAAATTACATTTGAAATTGAAAAGGAAAAGGAAAAGGAAAAGGAAAATGAAAATGAAAGTAAACCAACAGTGAATAATGATATAAAGACAACAGCATTACAAATCCTTAATCGAAAGGTAATTAAACAAACAGTAATGACATCTGTTTATGGAGTAACGTTTGTTGGAGCTTCCAGACAAATCAGTCAACGGATTAAAGAAATATTGGAGTTACATGAACTTCGAATGAAAGAAGTATCATTAACCAATGAGACTATCAATATACTTGAAAAGCAACTGACTTCTGTAGCCAATTATATCGCCAATCAAATATTGAAGTCTCTTACAAGTTTATTCAGTGGAGCTGAAGCTATTCAGGATTGGTTAACTATGAATACTATAAGAATATTAAATTCAATTGATTTAGAAACCATTGATTATGCTCTTAAGAATAATTTAGCCACTTTACTGGATATATTTTCATTAAAATCCACCTTTAAACCAATGATGTGGACAACATTATCAGGATTCCCTGTTGTACAATTATATAAAAATACCAAATTAACTCGAATTTCAACTTCATTACAACGATTAACTATTAAAAAGAGAGATTCAATTGCATCTATTGATAGAATCAAACAAATTCGTGGAGTTGCGCCTAATTTTATTCATTCATTAGATTCTATTCATATGCTTATGACATGTCTTGCAGCTAATATTAATCATATACCATTTGTAGCAGTTCATGATTCATTTTGGACTTATCCATCTCGAGCAACTGAATTAGCTTCTATATTAAGAGAAGAATTCATTAGATTACATTCATCAAATATTATAGAACATCTTCGTGAAGATATGATTTATACTACTCGGAATTCTTATCAAATTGCTTGGTTTGAAAAGGATGTATATCCTCAATTAACTCAAGATATTGAACAATTACGGTCAACTTATAAGCTTCAAGGTGAAACTCCATTAAAAAGTCGTAATCGTAATAGTATATTATATCATGAATTAGTTCTGTTGACTAAAGGTACAACTGATAATCCTTTAAAGATGATTGAACAAGTGAATCCTAAATTATATTTTAAACGAATGAAAGTATCCAAAATGACCGAATATGGTTATTCAATGGATGAGAACAACGACAAATCCTTGCATTTAAAACACTTAACTTATGTATTAGTACCTGTACGTATATTAGACTGTCCACCAAAGGGTAAACTAGACATTACTCAAGTGAGAAACAGTCCCTATTTCTTTTCCTAGATAGAGAACTAATGTAAATAAATATATTTGTAATATATGTACATATATCTTTAGTCATCATCCATATCGTTAATCATCTTCTCTAATTTACCAAATATCTTATCTCTATGTATGGCCATAGCATCATGCTCATCGGTAGGGAAGAAGATATTTCTCTTTATATTCATATTCGTATCATTATCATACTCATTATCATACTCATCATCATAATCTTCATTATTATAGTAGTTATCATCCGGTAGGAGTGACATATCTTCATAACCAGCAACTTCACTATCACTCAATTCATGATGACTCTTCCGTCTACCGTATTCTTGTACGTCATCATCATATTCAAATTGTTCAATGTAATCTCCTGCCTGTGCCAGTATTAAATTATTATGATCATTTTCATCATTATCATTATCATTTTCTTCTTCATCTTCTTCATCTCCATCACGTAATGAATTGGTTTCACTATAAGCTCCAGCATCTTCATCACTAGGATAATCATTTTGATAATAATCTTCTGCATTTGAATCCTCATCATCTGAAAACACAGTGGTAGGATCTACATCTTCATCATCACTTTGGTATAGTCCATTAGGATCATCTTCATCAAAAAATCTGATATACCCAATTTGTGATTGAGGATGATTTGCAGTGGTTAAGGGAACAGCACTAGATAATTGATAGACATCATATACATATTCCGAAGCTTCATCATCAGGAGAATCCTCATCAGCAATTTGATCTGAATGCTGTTGTTGTTGTTGATGATTTGCATGATCAGAAACTACATCTGATCTATTTCGAGTTCTTCTTTTCCTAATTGGGGCACCGTTTTTATTATCAATACTTAAGAAAGAATTAACCATATCTGATAATTCATTTGGTATAATAGTATCTTCTTCAATTTGACGATTTGGAATTATAAATTTTCTCTTTCTTTGTTTAATTGGTTTTACTGTTGACGGAGTTGAAGATCCATGATGATCATTATTATTAACTGTATCAATTGAAGTATCAGGAGCTCTTACACTTACACTTTCTGAAAGTACAGTTTGAAGGATAGTAGCATCTAAAGTATCGACATGAGCCAATTCATCAGTTCTAGTTAATGTAAAAATTAAATTTAAATCTTCTCGAGATCCGGACCTAACTGGTGTACTTATAGGTGAAGGTAATGGAGTTGAAGGTTTTGATCGTTTAGCACTTCTACGATCTTCTAATATTAATGCTTGTAAAGGATCTTGATTCCTTTTTCGTTTAATTCGAAGGATTTTAGGAGGTATTGGTTGAGACATTGTCGTGGTCGTTAAAGAAGTGGGGGATACTATGGAGTAATGACCATTGGTAAACAAAAATGGTATGGCATTATATAATGTTTTGTCGCAAAAGTATTGTCGCAAAGGTGTTGTATATGTTACGACACATCCATTTGCGACATATTAAAGTTCTACTATTATAATCTATAATAAGTGCTAGTAGTAGCAATATGCATTACATTTTTATTCTATAGATACGTAGATACTATATAATTATGAGGGAGGAATTAATTACTAATTACTAATTATTAATTATTACTTATTAATTATTAATTATTAATTATTAATGGCTGTATGAATATTAAAAGTTACAGCTGGGAATTGTGTAATCTCTGCCGTAACAGTAGATTCTACTCCAAAATTCATTAATGTACCTCGTATTATTCCACATGGTAACCAAAGATAAGTTTTAGATTTTGTTAAAGTATCATGAGCTCCCTTTGCACTATTTAAATTAGCAATTAATTTATAACTATTATCAACAAGTACAAATGTACCTCGATGATTTGTTCTTAAATTATCCATTTGTTTATTATATAGACATTTCCAAACATCTCGACATACAAATTTCATTATATCTAATATATCTATTATTTTATTATTAATATTACCATTCTTATTATTTGTTTTATAAAGTAGAACATCTGCTAATTTAAGTCCTAAATTATATCCATAATTCTCAATTCGAAGAGTTACTTCATCATCAGATAACAATGAGGAATCAAGAACATGTACTGTACCAGGAAGATCTTTAGGTATCAGTGATAATTGTTGATCTATTGTAGTAGCTTCATCAGAATCAGTAAAAAGTACAGTTGAAGAAGGTGAAGTGGTTGAACTTGTTGAATCAAGTAATTTATGAGAAACTCGAATTGATGTCGGTACTAATTCTTGGAGAAGTAACTGTAAACTAATACTGTTAACATACGTTTGTGTATCTAAAAGATCCTCTGACATTGATACACTGTATTATGGGATTAATTTAATATTATATCAGTACTTGTCTCTCTCTACAATTCTGTATATACTAATTTTGTAAATATACAATCACATGATAAGCAGTCACATGCCAGAGCACGAGACTATTTTACTTACTTTTTTTTTCCAGAAAAAGAAAATCAAACGAAGTGTCGTGCACAGCCCGAATAAAAGCCAATTACCTAATACGTCGTCAAATCCACAACAATGAGTGACCTGCGGATTTTGTGGTTGGTACACGCAGCCTTACTACCCATGTGTATAGTGCGGTCGTACTTGAAGCTGATTGGTCAAACCAATTTCCATAACTATACCAGCCTTGTCTACAGTTACCATTCCTGTATGATGTGCGACAGTTACGATTAGCTCATACTGTTGCCCCTCGTTTGTGTCTGCATTTCTGTACTGCCTCTCTCTCTGACCTCCCAGATTTTTGCCTCCCTCTTTATCCCATAGAAGATTCTATGTCAATTATTCTTTCCAATTTTACTTGACTCCACTCCTAGTTTTTAACTACGTGTGAGGTTTAAAAATACACTACATAAATTTAGGGGGTTAAACGGATTCCCACTTTGTTCATTTATGTATTTCTATTGTATATTCAATTGATATTCTCGCATTTTAATTACTGAAAACTATTCTCTTAGTAGATTGCTAAATAAGTCAACTAGTTTAGTGTAAATTGACGTAAAACAATGCTAAAATCTGAACGTTAGAAGTAGTGCATTTTTTACTATTACCATTATATCCGAAACTTTTTCAACTCTTTTAATAGTACTTACAGTACTTAATAGGTACAATTAACTATTACATACAAGTTACAATTACAATTACATTACAATTTCAATTACAATTACAATTACAATTACAATTATAATAGTATTAATTATCTTACTATAGATTTAATTCATCATACTGATGACCCCATTCCCATAACCTTATACATTCATTATTCAATTACTTAGTTACTGTAAAACTTCTACTGGTGGCTGGCTAATAAGTTGAAAGTTTATTATGGCCCTGCACACAAGCCCACCCATAACCTAAGAAAAATAATTAAATAAAAAATTGATTAGAAAAGCAAATAACGAATTTTCTTCCTATATGGAATATTACATTAAAGTATCACCAATCAATCAACCGTAACCAACCCCCTCGCGTACATCTGTTCGTCGAGCCCTTATTTGCTATCGATCTGTTGTATTGAATATCATTAAAAATCGTTTGTAAGTTCAGACTGTCTCCCTCATTCCTGCACCATTATACATTTGTGTTACTGTATTTGTTTTTCTATCACTACTACAGTTATTATTCAGAATACCTATTCAACCTTAATTATCATATTATCTATATACTATTGAGTTTTACTCATTAAGTATCATCATACCTTTATCAAGCTGTTTCTAATATTTTTCACAGTGCTTGTGTGTACTTAAGATAAGCGTAGCGTATTAAAAAAAATTTGATCATCTACCGAAGCAGACAAAACGAAAATATTCCAATAGGTTCAATATTTCAATATTTCAATCTTCCTTCATCATATCATCATATAATAATAATCTAATAATCATAATAATAGTATTGTTTCAATCCATCCTGTCAGTAAATATCATATAATTTATTTTTGCCCACCATTAGCTATACTATTCAGTTAGATACTCATTCTTGTCATTAAATTCCCTGCATTATTATTATTATCATCATTTTTTCATCTTCATCTTATTCATATTTAATCCAATTCATCTTGTAATATCATCAATTAGCATCTATAAGTTATATCCTTCTAACTGCCATATATACTATGTCTGATCCTTATCATAATTTACCATCTTCGAATGGTTCAATATTAGGTGTACCTGGTTTAGTACCTCAACAAATACCCCCTCAACAGCAGCAACAACAGCAACAACAACAACAACAACAAATTCCTCCTCCTCAATCTCATCAATCTCATTCTGGTCCTAATCCTCCTCCTCCTTTATTAAATACAAATTATCAACAAGTAGTACCTCCTTCAATTAATTCTCCAACTTCAGCATTATTAATCCTCAGTAATATTCCACCAGATTTATCTCATAGAGAAGCAACTATAATATTTTCATTAGTTATTGATGAAATATTAAACATTGAGATTAAAGATTATAAGATTTTTGCTTACTTTAAAAATATAAATACCTGTTTAACAACTGGTAAATTAATTGATGGAAAATTTATATTTGGTAATGAATATCCTCCTGTTAAAGTTGATTATGATAATTCATTAATCAATTCTCCTCAAGCTCTTCATAATACAAATAATGCTTTTGGAAATTTAAGACTTTCAAATTCAAATATTTCTCCTCCAAATTTATCGAATCATCCTCAACTTCATCATCAACCTTCAAATCCTAATATTCCAATAATAAATGGAAATCAGGCTCCACCTCCACCTTCTGCACAATCTCAGCAACCACCTCAACAACAACATCAACCATCTGGTCCTCCAACTTCATCCCAACAACAGCAACAATTTGATAATTTCCAAAAACGACAATCTATTGGAAATCAAAGATCAAGATTTCCATTTAGTGATCCATTCTCAGCAGCAGCTGGTGGACCTCCACCACAATCTCAAGGACAACCTCAATCATTACCACAGTCCAACTCACAGCATGCTACTCCACAAATCCAACCACTGTCGGGCCCAATAAATTCTATTGATTTATCGGATTTAAGTGGCAAATCCATTTTATTAATGGAATCTCAAAACGATGCCAGAGAATACGAAAATTTGGTTAGAGATCCTTGGGGTTCTGCATCTTCTGCATCTGGTCAACCACAACAACAGCCTCCACAGCAACAACAGCAGCAACAGCAACAACAACAGGGTCCAATTGGTTCCAATCCTCAAACACCTGGTGTGTCATCTCATAATGCTTTTGATTGGACTCCTTCTGCAGCCTCAAATAATGTAGGAGTTGCACCTCCAAGCTCGAATGGTTCGTTGAATGGATCTTCAAGTGGTGGACAGCAGCAGCAGCAACCTCCTGTCAATAGAAGAGCTTCTTCGGCTTTTTTTAATACAGTTCAACCACCTTTATTACCATTGACAAGTAGTCATCAAGTTCCTCAATCTGGAGGTGCCACTTCTGCGGTACCTTCGTCTTCTTCATCAGGTTCAGTTCCTACATCCTCGTCGGGTCAACAACAGCAACAACAACAACAACAACAGCAACAGCAGCAGCAACAACCTGCAAGTTCTTCTGCTGTTGTTCCTCAAGGTCCTACTGCTGCGGGTTTATTAGCCGCAGCTCAACAAGCTCAACAAGCTCAACAGCAGCAATCCCAAGGACAATCTACTTCATCCGCACAAACGAATACCCAACCACAATCTTCACCTCCTATGACCATGGCGTCCACTTTATCAGCTGCTCTTGCAGCTCAAAAGTCCCTGCAACCATCGCAGTCTACCCAACCCCAACAACAATTACCTCAATCCAGTGCCCCTAGAGAAACTCCAGTCGTTGATAAAGATGTACCAGATTTATCATTATTAGCTAGAGTTCCACCTCCTGCTAATCCTGCTGATCAAAATCCTCCATGTAATACATTATATGTAGGTAATTTACCACCTGATGCTACTGAAGCTGAACTTCGAGCCTTATTTTCTCCTCAAAAGGGATTCCGTCGTCTTTCATTCCGTACCAAGCAATCTACTACTGGCGCTAATACTACATCTAGTGGACATAATCATGGACCAATGTGTTTTGTTGAATTTGAAGATGTAGCTCATGCCACTAGAGCTTTGGCTGAATTATATGGAAGAGCCTTACCAAGACCCAATGGTGGTAATGGTAAAGGAGGTATTAGATTATCATTTTCTAAGAATCCATTAGGAGTCAGAGGTCCAGGTAATCCTAGAAGAACTTCAACTAATCAATTACCTACTTCATCAACTGGTCAACAACCTCAAACATCTCAACAACCACAACAGCTGCAACAACCCATTGGTAACTATGGTTACCTGACCTATAATCAAAAGTAGAATCAGGGAATAGTTACGACGGTTTAATCCTTTTTTATTGTCTTGTTCCTTACTAACCTCATTTGCTTCAACTCCAGTTGTTCATTGTCATCATTATTATCATTATCATTATAATTATCATTATAATTATCATTATAATTACAATTTATCATTTTCTTTATCCCTGTTGTCATTATTATACTCATTATCATTATCCTGTCTTTCGCACAGAGTCATCTTTTTTTTTGTCTGCCATTCATTGTTGGCTTGCTGTCTGACTGACTGGCTCGTTTGGTTGATCGTTTTGTTGATTGCGTTCGTTGCTTATGCGCACTCATCACTCACTCACATATCTACCCACTGTCTAGTTCGTTTTCGCTCGCTTGCTGCGTCTTCTATATATCATGATACTCATTACTGGTAAAGCCAAATTGGATTTGTGTGATCGCGTCTTATGTTACTTGTTTATATATTTGTTTATTTACTTTTACTTTTACTTTTACTTATACTTTTAGTTTTTACTACTTTATCTTATCATGTTATGTGATTTTGTTTTCTTTATGGGTACTTAGTTCTGTACTTCTTTTAATTTATTGATACTGTATTATTCTATACCATTTCTGTTACTTCATAAATATATATCTATATATTCTCTGATAAATACCCTCTTTTTTTTGCGGTCATTCCCAATTGGGAAATGTATGAAGGATTTACCACATTTTGTAATCTATCACCACCCACTTTTCCATTGTAACCATTAGTTGCTTATTAATGAATAATACTAACAATTCTGCAATGAATCCTAATACCAATACTAATACTAATACCAATACCAATACCAATAATAACTCTAATATTAATTCGGGTTCTAAGAGTAATTATTATGATACTCAAAATTATAGTGGGGCAAGTGTCACCACTTCTCGTTCGAAATCTAATCCTAATTTGACAGCCGGATTAATGGGTAATTCAAATTTTAAGAGAAAAGATAATTCTAATTCTGGTGGTGGAAGAAGTCTGAGTTTTAGTGCAGGAACTGTAGGTTCTAGTGGTAGTGGTAAAGTTATTAGTGGATATCATAAGGGAGGTATTTCTACCACTAATGCTTCTGGAGGAACTTCAAATGCCATAAACTCTAAGAAAACAGTTAGTGGTAAAAAGGGGGGTGCAAGTGGAAAGAATAGTGGTACTCAGAATGACAAGAATATATCACCAGTAGCCATTAATGTAGCCGATAACGAAGTTGCAAAGGTTTCTTCATTCTTAGCAAATATTCCAAATATTGATGAATTTATCGATCAAGTATTGAATAAGGATCTTGAAGCAGAAGATAACTTACAAGCAAAGTTAGAGAATAATATTCGCTTCTTATCTACATTCAATTTTGATATTTAAATGCAATGAATAATGTTAATTTTTATATATATATATGGTATGTTGAATATATAACATACCTTAAGAACTGAAAATTTAACCCTTTTTAAATCTCTACCCTGCCAAATACAGGCACTCTACCGTTTAACTAAAGTTGCAAATTCTTTAGGATTGGCATATACTTGACTCAACCAATTCGAATCAAGTAATTGCTTACATGATAATCTTTTCTTAGGTATTGGATTTAACAATCCTAAGATGTATTCTCTAGCATCATAATGTAAGGCTTTAAATAAGCTCAATGCTGGATTATGACTAAATGATGAATTATTATTGGATCCATTATTTAGATCAACTAATAATTTAGCTAAACTTGAAGAATCTTGTGGATAATATTTATGAAACTTAACGTATGAAAGATTTTTAATATCATTAATATTGGCATTATTCCAAGGAGATTTCATCAAATAGATTTGAAAGTAAATTATTCCTAATGACCAATAATCAAGAGCCTTTAAAGTTGAATCAATGGTTCCACTCTGGAAAAATTGATCAAATGCAAATGAATCTTCCTTTATTTGTTCTTCAAATGTATACAATTCAGGAGCCTTAAAACTATTGGTTCCACTGTATATTTCGGTGGGGTTCTCTAATAAATAAGTTTGATAGTCATCGTTGTTAATGTTTAAACTATATCCAAAGTCGGATAGTTTAAGAATTCCATTTTCATCTATTAAACAATTCTCTGGTTTCAAATCACGATGTACTATCCCCTTTGAGTGTAAATACTCAACTCCTTTCAAGATTTGTTTGAATAACGCATCTTTCATGCTAGAACTAATTTCAATCTTGAATCTTCTTAAATTACTCAAACAATCTAATAAATCTCCCTTTTGATAATAAGGGAAAATTAATGCCAAGTCTGTTGAATTCGGAGTTAATGAAACATCAAGAATTGATGTTATATTCTTATGATTACATCTCTTAATGTTATTATATTCTTTAAGTACCAATTTATGATAATGAGCTAAACTCTGCTCTTCGTTACGTTTAATAATCTTCACAATAAGTTTAGTAGTCCTTGATTTATCAGTACACTTAATAACTACTCCATTTGCACCTTCATAAACAGGATCTTTAAAACTTTTGAAATAATCCTTCTCCAAACAGGTACATATTGCATCAAATGTAAATTCTTTATAATTATGTGATAAATTATTGGTACTATTATTAGATGATGATGGACTCATTAAACCGGCCAGAGGCTTGGCTATAGGACTGGTGTTAGGTGAAGCAGCAGCCAACATGCTACTACTACTACTACTACTAACATTACCTCCATTATGACTGAAAGTGCTGTTACTGTTATTGGTTATAGTCGATGAACTATTGTTCTTGAGTGGTACATCGATATAATCACGCTTGCGAGGCGATGAAGGCGGTGAAACATGAGCCAAAGACGAAGACTTGATCATCTTGAAGTTATAATCTTATATAACTTGTCTTTCCTTTAGTGATTTGATGGAATAATTGATTGCAATTTGCTTTATTTGACTTAGTTGTGGGGATTTCAGATCCAAAAGCAATTTGTATGGTGAAATACAATTTTTGAATGATTAAATGAGTAGATTATGTTTGCAACTCATCAGTTGAATCAATACTTTATATATATATTATACTTTTTATAGAGATCAATTTTGGATTTAAACTATATCTAACCGATTTGGCATCTCACCCCATCCTGTGGGTTTAAAATTTGAGTTAATTCGGATTTATTTCCGCTAATTTTATCCGTTTCGGGTATGACTGGAGAAACCTACATACCGCAATACTTAAGTTCATCTTACATTTTCCGAATTAGGGGTAACACCATTTTGGTGCGCAGCACCAGCTGTTACCGTACTACAGATTTACCGTACTACAGATTTACGGTACTACAGATTTACGGTACTACCGATGTAAGGAATCCAACCGATCAACGGTTTCGTAGTCGTAACAAAACGTTCAAAATGGAAATATTTCCGAATTAGATGTAAGCTTTGCTGGTCATACTTATGGCAGTAATGTGATGTGCACTCAGTTCTTTTATGTGTGACAAATATGTACACAAGATTCACTCACAGTGAGTGTTGTGTGCACGTGACGATTTCAGTACCATTTAATTACTAACCAGATTACCACATAGTATACAATATAAAGATTACAACAGAAGAGCCAATTCAGTAATATAGCCCCGTAGGTACTTCAACCTATTTGGTCTTAATAAAAGTACTTCGATACACTAAATTCATCGAAAAAACTGCTAACGATTCTACAACCTATTATGTAAGGGACTCCCCTTACTCCCATCACCAGAGCGCAAAATAGGTCATTTTCACTTTCCTATTTGGGATGCATGAGGCTCGGCTCCACCACACAGGAAAATAGCAAGTCAGGCTATACTGAGTTTGCTAAATTTAGTACAAACTATGGGGATGTGTTAAAATCTGTACCAATTAGGCAAAGCAATTGAACCTCATCAAAAAATATATTTCTCTTATACAGCATACAGAATTTGACATTAGGTCTCAGCCGAGTCAATTGAAATTGTCACTCTTTGTTTATTCATTCAATTTCATGAGTCCAAGCTTTGTATTATATTAATTTATAATATTATTCTTGTCACTTATTCCTTTCTTTGCTATATCCATCAATTTAGTTTATAAATACTCTTCGCACCTCCAATTCCATTATACTCGGAGCCATAACCATTTAAACTCAAGCTAGTTCAATTCCAACTAATTCAATTCTATTATGTTTAAAGGTTTATTCAATTTCTTCTCCCTTTTCTTCTTGCTAGGAGCAGCACTCTTACTATTTTTCTCCAATTTGAATGGTGCAGCTGAATCTTCAGTATTGGGTCGTTTCTATTGGCTTGAAGTTGATACTTCAGGTTTACAAGGTTTCCCTCAACAAACCACTCGTTGGACCTTATATGGTACTTGTGGAGTTGCTAATGGTAAAAATTCTGATTGTACTAAAACCAAGGCAGCATTCCCTTTCTCCCCCGTGGATAATACAGGAAATTCATCTGATTTACCATCTGATTTTGTTGAAAATCGTGATACTTACTATTATTTGACTAGAATATCTTATGCTTTTCTTTTAGTTGGTGTCTCCTTCACTGTCTTTGCAATTTTATCATCAGTCGTTTTACCATGTATTGGTATATATTTTGTGACTCCATTATTGACATTCATAGCTTTATTGTTCACCATAACTGCTGCAGCATGTCTTACTGCTGCATATGTCAAGGGAAGAAATCAATTTAACAATGCCGGTCATACTGCTAAATTAGGTAGATTATCATTTGGTTTGCTTTGGGCTTCTGTTGCTTGTTTGATTCTTTCATTTGTTGGATCCATTTTTGCTTGTTGTGCTGGATTGGCATCTCGTCGTAAATCTCAACCAGTTTATGATCCAGAGACCTATGACAAGGACAATTTCAGTGATTCTTCTTACCGTCATGTTGTTGATGAGCATACGTATGTTAATGATGAAAATGATGTTCAAGCAGATGCTGCCGCTCCAACCACAACAGCTCCAGATACTTCAGCAGGAACATTTAAATTCTTTAGAGTGAATAGGAAAAAGAATGAAGAATTTGAGACTTAAAATACATTTTAGTGTCGAGTATTGACTGGTCCTGGGGCTTCGTCGATTCTATATCATCGTGGATTTGGTCCATGTTAGCAGTATTACATTTCGGGATACCCCATATTGCTTTATTCGATAAAAATATTACTGGCTAAACCAGACTTTGGCTGCACCTCAGGCCACTATTAGATTACTGAACACCTTTTTTAAAGTTGTCCAACTATTCATATTCTCCTCTAGAGTAGGTATTATTCTTATATTTTTATTATTGCTATCATTCATTTATTTGTTAGCCGCGTTATCTCTCAGTTCAATAAAGCCTAGTTTATTCGTATGTACCTTTTATAAACATTATTTAATTTTAACGATTATAATACTAAGTCATTATGAAAAATCCTAATGGTAATTGACTAATTGAATAATTTAATCTAAACAATCCCATTAATTTAAGTGATATTCAATAACTAAAAGAAAAAATTTCGCGGAACAATGAATGGCTGCAAACAGCAATTAGCAGTGAATGCAATTATCTATACTATAACTGTGCTACGAATACAACTGAGATAATAAATCAGTTGTATACATATAGATGTAGCTTCATGTTATAAAACTATTAAACACATATAAAAGAAAGATGTTGCATGTATTCTCTATACTAGAATACACGTTTAATTACGAATGGAATAACAATGCGTCTTGTATCAATAGTTATGTGTCACATTTTCGTAGAAATATGGCAAACAAGAGTATGTAGATCCAATCACATTCACAGCCAAGGAAACCATATTTTGAACAAAACAAACATAGCTGGAATCATTATCACAACCCAAGTGATGAGGAATTATACAGAAAAGTTCTTTGTAATGGATGACTTATAAAAGTAATATACCAAAGTAGAATGTATAATAGTTCACAGCTCCTCAAGTACCCTAAATGGGACCTAGATAATATTAAGAATCTCTAGATCAAAAAAAACTAGACTTGTTTAAATAGTACCTGTGGAAAAGGTACAGGTCTTCCTGCATCACAAGTCCCGATAAGTCAAGAAATGAATATGTATAGCTTAACTGGAACTAGAATAGGAGCAGTAAATTTTATAGAATACGTACGACCCAAATTCGAAGACTTGGTTTCAAATTTGGCACCCTAGTTCTCCATACCCTTGAGAAATCGGTACAGTTGATCAATATTTTTAATCTTTCAGAATTTCATTTTGCAAGCTCGGGCTGGTGAGGAACAGTTTAGAATGGATAACGGTTTTCGTAGACCCTTCGACATTATCTCTCAATAAACTATTTAGTTGATTTTGGGGAACACATATTCGAGGTAATATAGTATTTAGGATCTAAGAGGCTGATAATTTGTATATATGATATTTCTGTAAAGGAAATTCAATTTCATTGATGTCGTTCCGATAAATTCGTTCTAGATAATCAATTTGAGATTTGGTGTCAAATTGAGCTAATCAGCGATTGGGAGCAGAAACTATTTCAAATATCATTTTAGTGGCAGCTTACAATATGCTATCACATGTGTGAATAGCACTATAGAATAATGAAGTTATTAGCCGGAAAGTTAATAAAGTATTTTGTTTGTCTTTTCTTCATGAGAGCACATGTACATAGCAGAGGATTTGTGGGGAAGAGAATGTTAAATTGTTATTACGAAAAATGGCTAAAATTCCAGTAATGTAATTTACTCAATGGAACCACCATTCAGGCGCCTCATAAATAAAGATACATATCTATGTATGTATCTATTAATTATATTTTACAACGGTTAAAGTATTTTAGTCAAAACGCCGTTTGCGATAATCTTTATCAATATTATGATTTATCCACATATACATATTATTATTCTATACTTATTATTATTTATGATAGAAATACCACTGGAGGTATTGTTTTGAAATACCTGTGGTTCGCTATTGCGTCGAATTTAGTAGATAAGGCTTCGGAAAATATTACACAAAACCCACCCGAGGAACACTTGAACAACATTAACGGTTAGAAAAATTAGAATGAGAAACAAAGTGATGAAACATGGTGTGGTTCATAGTATGTTTTATAATACCGAATATAATATATATGTAATTATTGTAAAGCCACATATATTACTAGTGTAATATTAGGTATTAAATCAATAAAGTTAAAAATTGTACCATTGTAGGCTTTGAACGTATTGGCTCAAGACCAAGATTTAGTCAAATAGAATCTAAAGACAGTCAGATCTGTGGAGAGTTGTAGTATATCATACGCCACTATTTTTCACTGTATTCAGTGGATATGAACTCTGTTTCCATGATAGCCGTCAGAGGTGAAGGATTCGAAGCATTGATAACGCATTTTGTATGCAGGAAACTGCAAAAATGTCTGTGCGACATTATATGTAACAAAACTTCTTGGCACTCTTGGCACAAATCGACCTGGCACTGAAGCAATAGCTTTGTATATACTTTATTCATCAGACTAGAGTAAGATAATAATGTTTGGTTCATTATGTAAACCATAATTAGAAGCTTAAATTTTATAACTTTGCTAATATGTTAGAGATTATTTTTATAGGGAACTGAATTAATGGAAAAGAGTTCCATCAGATCTTGCAAAACAGGTAACTCTTCTATCAGTCAAGAGAAACAACACTCTTCACCTCATTTCAGTGCAAGGCATCACCAAATTCCATTATACTACTATTCTTCCGATACCGGTGATTGCAATACCAAGAAAAACAAGCGATATTCTGAAAATCAGACTTGTTCGAAATAGGTAAGGTCCGCTCATCACAGAGACCTGAGACGTATCCTCTAGCTACAACAATGTCAAAACCATTCAAGCAAAGTTGAAGCGATACAAAGGTATTCGGATAAATTTTATCAGTATGTCCTGCATATACTACAAAGGTACTGATAAGAAACAATATAAATATGGGGAGACTTGTAGATAGATAACAAACAAGGCAATACCGTCGACTAATATGCCTTAAAAAAGACATATCTGACACATATATAGCTCATACTGATATATTATTATCCGCCTGCATGATTCTATTAAGATACCCTGTTCTTTCACTACTGTATTCTCTCCTCTCCTCAATTATGCAGCATAATTAAAAATGTCTCCCTCTTAGCTCTTATCAATTTTCATTTTTCGATGTTGCAGACCGCCCCCTAATAAAATAATAATGTGTGGCTGCCTTTAATAGAAAATGTCATACGGCACTGGCAGATTGCGCTGTCACTGATAAACTCATACAAAGGGCCCGATCGCTATCGGTTAGCTATCTTGCTTTGAAGGTCCAGTTCAATATTATGATACAAGTGTCGATACGAGAAGAGACATGAACTTTGACATAAAAATTTCTCGACGATCGAGCCAAGACTTGAAGTAGTTCAATAACGCTAAGTCGGGTTTTGTTCCTGAAGAAAGCGCTCATAAAAACAAAGAACAGACGCAGTGTGATGTGAGAAATGTAATTACAAGATAGGTAATATATAAGTCGTTCTGTAAATTGATAATGTAACCACAGTGGTGGCTTATCTATTGTAAAAATTTAAACTACTGTACATTGTTGCCCAGGCGTAAAATTAAAAATTAAGATTACTATTGATTAGTGTTAAAAGCACAGATCAATAGATATCGGTTATATTACTCCATTTTTTTATTAACTGTGAAACGATCGATAAGCGCTTTTCTACCTGCTGTGTATACCCTTTTTGGCCAATGATTGCTTTCTTTATTATGCCCACTTTTCTACAAATCTCGTAAATGATTTAACTATAATTAATTGTAGATATACCCCATATATCATTAACCTTATGTATATATAGAAGTAATATTTCTATAGATTTGTTTATCATTCACTAATTTTTCTTTTATTATTTTAAATTAGTGCAATAAGCTGCAAATATTATTGGAGAAAAATACCGCTATTGCAAAAATGTCCAGTCCTGAACCTTTTGACAGTAGCATTCAAAAGAAGGCTGCTGTTACAGAAGTCATTGTCGAATCTGATATCGAATCCTTGAACTATAGTGGTAGTGAAGAGAAGGTTGATTATTTCCAACATGAAAATCGACTTTCTTCGGCTTTAAAGTCGAGACATATTAGTATGATTACTTTAGTTGGTGTTTTTGGTACTGGGTTATTTTTATCATCTTCGGTTTCACTTTCTACTGCTGGCCCTGTAGGTATGTTATTGGCCTATATTATGGTTGGTTTAGTTGTGGGTGCAAATCAAATGTGTATTACTGAAGTTGCCTGTTTTATGCCTGTTACCTCTGGTTATGTTAAACATGCAGAACATTTTGTTGATGAAGCTCTTGGTTTCACTATGGGTTGGTGTGATATTTATTCAAGTATTATTCCTAATGAACTTTCTGCTGTTGCTGTCGTTATGTCTTATTGGTCTGATTTGAATCCTGCTGTTTGGATTACTATTTTCGGTATCCTTGTTGTTTTGGTTAATATCTATAATATTAAATGGTATGGTGAAATTGAATTCTTTTTCGGTTGTTTAAAGATCTTGTTAGTGGTTGGTTTAATCTTGACTGGTTTAATTATCGATTTAGGTGGTGTACCAGGTCAAGACAGAATTGGATTCCGTTACTGGAGAGATCCTGGTCCATTTGCTTCTAAATATACTACTGGTTCCTTAGGTGAATTTCTTGGATTCTGGAAGTGTGTCTCTTCTGTTGTATATGCTTATGGTGGTACTCAAGCTATTTCATTATTAGCTGGTGAAACCGAATATCCAAGACGTGCTATTTTCAGAGCCGCAAAGAGAGTGTTTTACAGAGTCTTTACTATGTATATTGCAACTGTTTTCATTTTAACTTTAATTGTTAAATATAACGATCCTGATATTGCATCTCCAACTGGTACTGCTGCAGGTTCACCATTCGTTATTGCTATGAAGAGAGCTGGTATTAAAGTATTACCTCACATTATTAATGGAGTTGTTTTAACCTCTGCTTTATCAGCTGCTAACTTACAAATTGTTAAAGCCTCTAGAACTTTATTTGCTTTAGCAACCAAGAAACAAGCTCCGGCTTTCTTCTTAAGAGTTAACAGAAATGGATTACCATGGATTGCAGTTGCAGTAGCCTGTTTCTTTGTTCCTTTATGTTATATGTCGGTTAGTGCTTCTTCATCCACAGTATTTGGATGGTTCCAAAATATTACTTCATCTAACATTTTATTCAATTGGATTGTTATCTCAATTAACCATATCTATATGACTAGAGCATTAAAGGCTCAAGGTTATTCTAGAAAGGACTTACCATATACTTTCCCTGGTACTGAATATGCTGCTTGGTTCTCTTTATTCTTTGCTCTCTTATTCTTATTAACTGGTGGTTTCCCTAACTTTATCCATGGAGAATTTGTATTTGCCAACTTCTTCTCTGCTTACTTTATCATTCCATTAAGTATTGTTTTATTCTTAATTTGGAAGTTTGTTAAGAGAAGTCCTTACATTAAGCCAGAAGATGTCGACTTGAAGAGTTTATTTGCTGATATTGAAGCCAAACCAGAACCTCCTTATCCAAAGTTAACTGGATGGAGAGTCTTGACTTTACTTTGGGCTTAGATGGCCAAAGGTGCTGGAAACCTTTGGCTTATTAAAAGTAAAATACTACTTGTTGTCTAGTTGTTATATATCGTTAATTTATATTTACTTCCATAATACTAATATAGTTTGAGAGTACTATTATATTATTCAATTTGTACAAGAGAGTTGGAAATTTATTTCTTAGCTCCATATCTGGAGACAGTCTTACCGTCAGGAATGGTATATAAGACAACTTCCTTACCTTGTTCGTATGGCTTATCGACTCTATAGTAACCCTTTCTTTCGAATTGAATGACATCACTTTCCTTTAAACTACGAACATTCAAATCAGCATAGGCCTTAGTATGGAATTCAGTTTCTGGAGTAAGGAAATCTTCAAAGTTATCTTCTTCTTCTAATTTGTCCTTGGTGATTAAATGATCAAAATCAACTAAATCAACTTCAACTTTATCGCTGGTATCAGCTAACCAGGTAAGTTTCTTAGAAGTCTTACGGAAATCACCGTCTAAGTGTAATTTAGCATCAATAGACTTGACCACATCACCTTCCTTGTGAACTTTTTCAACAATGACATTACCCCAGTCCATAAATGTGATTTCTTCACCATCTTCAATGGCTACAGCATCAGCTTGATCAATTAATACTTTATTAGCATAAATGACGGATTTTAATCCTACTTCAGCATTTTTCTTATGTTTAGGTTTTTGTTCAGTTGTTGGTTCAGCAGGTCCGTCCAAGTTAACTACAACAGCATTTTCTTTATCAACAGCTGTAAATCTTGGAGCTATTGGATCAATGACTTTCTTATTTAAAGCCCAAATAACAGACCAATCCAAATTGATGATGTTTTTTGATGGACCTTGAGAGATAATAAAGTTTCTTAACCCTTCAACAGTCATACCTCTTCTTCTAACACCTCTAACGGTTGGGAATCTTGGATCATCCCAGTTAGCAACATACTTTTTATCGACAAACCATTGTAATTTTCTCTTGGATAATAAAGTTCTAACAAAGTTAACTCTTCCAAAATCCCAAATATTAACATGACGTAATTTCAAAGCATTTTGAATCCATTCATATTGTGGGTTACGATCTCTATATTCATTTGTTCTTAAAGCATGAGTTACTCCTTCAATAGAATCAACTACTGGAACACAGAAATCATAAAGTGGATACATTTTCCAAGCAGTACCAGTTCTATGATGAGGAGTTAAATTACATCTATAAAGAACAGGATCTCTTAAAGTTTTATTGGCAGCGGTATAATCAATTTTAGCTCTTAAACAATTCTTTAATCCTTCTTCAGTACCATTCTTCATTTCTTGTGTAAAGATGGTTAAATTTTCTTCAATTGATCTATTTCTTCTTTCAGAAGGTTCACCTACCATTCTTTGTTCTCTCATCTTTTCTAATGGAGTATCATCACAATAAGCATTACCATCTTTAATCATTTGAATGGCTAATTCATACATAGTATCGAAATAATCAGAAGAATAAGTAACTTTATCACCTTTAATTCCTAAAAGAGCCAAATCTTCAATAATAGAATCTTGGAATTCTTCCTTTTCTTTAGTAGGATTAGTATCATCAAATCTAATAATTAATTTACCCTTATAATTATGAGCAAAATATTCATTTAAAATAGCAGCTTTAGCATGTCCGATGTGTAAATATCCAGAAGGTTCAGGTGGGAAACGAGTAACGACTTCACCTATTTTAGCACCTGGTAAATCAATATCAAAATTAGCCTTATGGGTTTCTTTTTTACCTCCAGTACTAGCAGCCTTAAGGGATTTTCTTAATTCATTAACTGATTTAGTATAGAATTCAATAGTATTTTCAAATCTCTTATCTGAAGCTAATAAATTATACCATCTAGAAATATTGATATAAACTTCATTCTTAATGATAGAACCCATTAAAGCATTGGCACGTAAGGCACCCCATACAGCATAATCGGCTAATGAATATCCATTACCTACAACAAATGAACGTAAATTTAAATGAGCATCTAAAGTTTCTAAATCAGTTGATAATACCTTAAAGTTCTTGATGTACAAGTGATTCAAAGCGAATTCTGCCCATTTTTGAGATTCCTTAGCATCACTAACAACTGATGGGAACTTTTCACTCAAATAAGTTAAGATTTCTAATTGAGTTTCATAAGTTTTACCTTCAGGTGTTACTAATTTAGCACCGATATCTGCCTTAGTGGGGTCAACTGATTTTTCATCGATAAATTCAATGGGGATGGATACTTCATCCACTATTTCGTCTATAATTTTCACAGCAAGTAAAACTGGGTACGCAACGGCAGTAGCCTTAGTAGCTACCGACAATATAAATGACATTGGTGATGGTGAGACTTACTACTGAGTTCGCTAGAGTTCAATTGAGTCACCTCTCCCCTGAGCTCTGAAAAATTTTAGAACTTTAGCGGGAGTTCCTCGCTGGCGCACTAACGTTTACCGACTCAGCGTGCATTTATGCACGTGATCTCGTTAGGGCTTCTTCGCTAATACGCTTAAGTACTAGACGATGGATCCGCTAAGTGAAGACTAAGTCATTAACTATTATTCTTACCTCCATTATGAGTTCCAATACCAGACGGTCAGGCTCACCCAGTCCACAGGGACTCCAGCGTCCTACAGCAAAAAGATCACCGTCCATTTTAGTAACAGACTCCCGGACTCACTACGTTAAGGGAGCTCGAGCACCCTTCGCAGGACACAACTACAAGAAGCAGCAACAGCAACAGCAACAGCAACAACAGCAACAGCAACAGCAGCAACAGAGTCAACAAAGTCAGCAAAATCAACAGAACAACCAATTGGGTCATTACCAGAGTCCTAGTCCCAACCATGGTAGTTTCCATCAGGAACAGCACCAGAGTGCTCTTCAGAAGAGATTAACGTTTCGAAGTAAGTATACGGATATATCAGTAGATAAGCTTCTCAGTAATTCCAGTGATATTCCTTCTGGACAAAGTAGACTCCCTTCCTTAATTTCCAGTACCATTCGAAGCTCATCTCCCTATGGTCGTACTATGTCTCCTACTCTAGGAGCTCAACCCCTGGAAAGTTTACGACGTAATATCAGAAGTATTCCCAAATTATCTCAATCCTTACCATCCAGAACATCCAAAACATCCCAGAAATTGGTTCTTATTCCTGATCAACAACGGTACAATTCGCCTCCACCTCAGAATATCACATCACAATCTTCATCTCAAGATTTACATACTCAAATCCAACGATCTCGAGCTGAATTAATGGCTAAAGAAGCTCGAGCTCAGGAATTCAGTCGTATGACAGCATATTTCATCTGTGATCAATTCAATTTACTGGCAGTATCCAAATTTTTACGAGAGAATCATGAAGTTAAACCTCGGATGTATGACGAAGCTCTTTATGTTCCGTATGCTTTACCATTATTACCAGGTACTGATGGATTTCGAGTAAAATCCAACAATTCCATGAAATTACAGGCTAATAAGCGTATAATGGAGAAGTTAATTAATCGTAGTGAACAGGCAACTCATTTATATGAGTATTATTCTGGAGTAGAGACTCCTGAAGATGCTAACAATTATTCGATGGATCCCGAGACGGAGAATTTCGATAATTCCCCCTTTGATCCCTCTGAACCGCAATTCTTTGCTCCTCCTTTAGAAACTAGCCGGATTAGTGAGGATGGAGTTAATAGTATCAATAGTATCAATAGTGCCGAATCTGCCACTTCTGTAAACTCTCCTAATGGAGAAACTACCACTTCCAATTCTAATTCTAATTCGCATTCCAATTCAAATTCAAATTCAAATTCAAATTCAAATTCAAATTCAAGTCAATTGAAAGAACCTATAGTGACCGCAGCTGAAAAGGCTGAAGAGAGATCATCTCATAATATTCATACTCAAGCTGAGATATCCAAACACCATGCCGAAATGTTTATCTTTGCTTATGGGATTGTGGTATTCTGGAATTTTTCAGAGATCCATGAAAAGAATATTTTAGCCGATTTGGCCTTTGCATCAGATGAACCTGAACCACTATTAATTAACCCTATAGATGAACAAGATATTGAAACTGAAGAGTTTCATTTTGAGTATGATAATCAGATCCATCGTCCACGGATTTATAATGATATGATCACCTTACGGTCGGGAGATCATCTTATTAAATTGACTATGTCTCATGCTATAGCTCAACTGACTAAATTATGTTTATTTGAGAGTCGAATGGTGAATGTTTTACAACTGATTTCTAAATTACCCAGAAAATTAGCATTAACTGGTAGATTAGGACTTAAGAGAACTCAATTACTTAAGAAATCAGGGAAATTATTTAAACTCCGAGTGGATGTTAACCTTTCTAGTTCAATTCTTGATACACCCGACTTCTTCTGGTCGTTTGAACCAGCTTTACATCCTCTTTACAATGCAGTTCGTGAATATCTTGAAATCGATCAACGAGTTCAAGTACTTAATGATAGATGTAAGGTATTCTTAGAATTTCTGGATATTGTTAGTGATAGTATGAATGAAAAGAATACCAATCGGATTACATGGATGATTATTGTTATCATCTTTCTCAGCTTATTTGTTAGTCTCTTTGAGTTCTTACTTGAGATTATATAGTGGAATATAAGTTTCATAATAATAGAAAAAACATATATTACATAATCTACATCATTAATTGAAGCATACTAATAGAGGTATACTTAAGATTAAATAGAATCTCTACATAGATACGAAATAATTTACTAAATATTTGCAATAACTAGTAGCCTTGACTCTGAGGATTTTACTCTATTCAACGGATTTATAGTAGGGGCAGTTTTTAATATGTAATGTTTCAGATATATGTAAGATATATTATGTACTGTTTCAGATTTTAGGGAGTTTTTCTATGCACTCCATAATGGAGACTATAAATGCAAAAATTATCTATCAAATTATAAAACCTCTGTTTATTAGGTTAATAGTTCAACCCAGATCTAACACTTGCCATCTATTGTGAATCCGATTTGTGGGTTGTACGCTAAAAATTGTTATAAAGTATAAATATCATTTAAATAGGATTTTTGTTTACTAACTGTAGGTCAACTCATGTGAAAATATCGGTTTCCTGAGTCATCTTTAGGTTCCTAATCATTTATTCGGTTCTGAGGTATACATTTAATATAAATAAATATTATATAATAATTTATCAGTGTAGTTTTAATCAGTTGTATGGACTTTTTCCTGGTTTCACACTTTACTATAAATTGTGGGATATCTTGGCTGTATTAAAGTTGCCAATACATAAATCGCGATAATTCCTTGAGTATTAGCTACATGCTTGTTTTCTAAGGTAATTAGAAGACGATATAGTCGGGGTTGTGTTTTCTTGCCTCATATCTAACATTTTATTCCATTTAGGCTATTGCTAACTTTAGTTTGGTAAGAATGTGTTTCACTAATGCTTTTATATATCTGGTTTTGTCCATTTTAATATATATTATTTTAAATTAATTATTCAATTATTTGTAACTTGAACAAGTACAACTATGTAATTTCCATCAAATCTCTACAGCTGTTATCACCTACAATAGATATTTAGAACAAATTTAAGTTCTCGTCATACATTACAATAGGACAACTTTATAACTAACAAAATTATAATGTGATATTCTGTGAATTTATTTAATCGTATCACTTTCACTATACATATTAACCACATGTCACTTAATTCCTTACCCGACTAACGTCAGTTTAATCCACTATAATCTGCCGCTCTTGTTAGCCCTGCTTGTAGGAAGTTTAGTCCTATTGGCTGGGTTCAATACTTGATTGTAAGACTTGAGCTAGTAACTTTATAACGCAAAATTCTATATAAAACTAAATACAATTGCTATTTATCAGAATAAATACAATTACCATCACTAGATGATTTCACCAGGATTCTAAGTATCATAAATGGCCATGAGTAATGAATACGACTTATACTGGCTGTAAACTCCATGTTGGAAATTCCTGCACATAGCTCTCCATATAATACTCCACATAATCATTGCCTTTAATAACCGAAGTAAAGAAGCTTATTCCTCTACAATTTAGAACCACTAAGTAGTTCACCATGTCGCTCCCCTCCAAATATGCGCCGGGAGGGATAAGTCCCAGTGATGAACACCGCACTGTGACTACAGGTACACCGCGAGCTAGGAAACCTATAAACTACACTATACGAGTAATTGAAGATCGGATTGAAGACGCCGTTCAGCATCTGCAGCAACACCATCATCATCACCACCAAAACCACTACCAAAACCAAAACCAAAACCATTACCAAAATCACATTAGAAGATCATCAGATGATATAGAAATGGTAGGTATGGATGATTATAAAGAAGTAGATGTAATATCTGAATTTGTTAATTACTCTCGTGGATCCGGTGACCTTGTATATAGCGATTCTATGGATGGTATAGAACATTACAGTACTCAAGTAGAAGTTATTGAAGGTAATGTTTCGTATATGGTTATAGATACTAATTTCATATTATCTCATTTGAATATTCTTGATCAAATGAAGAATCTTGCTCATAAATATGGGTTAAAGATGATTATTCCTATTGCCGTAATGCAAGAATTGGATGGATTAAAGAATTCCACTAGAAACGTAAGTGAATCTGAAGATCGAATATCAGGTAAGTCTGTAGGTCATTTGGCTCGTTGGGCTAATGATTGGATCTTTTCTCAGTTTGCTAAGAATAGTACCGTTGTTCAAGGTCAGAATCTACGTCAAAGAATTGATAAATCTACTCTACAAGATGATGCGATATTAGATTGTTGTCTTTGGTGGAAGCAAAATCATCCTAAATCCTTAGTAGTATTGTTTTCTAACGATAAGAATTTCTGTATGAAGGCGCTTGCTAATCATATCTTGACGGTTAGCTTTAGAAAAGATATGACTGCCGAACTAATTGCCAAAGTAATTCATGATGAGAATGTTCGAATATTCGGTGAATTAAAATCAGAAACTGTACATAGAACCCAAGTAATAGCGGCTGAACCACCGATTATTTCACCAGCTGAACCATCTGATGAATGGAAGGATGCTACGAAAAGTATTATTGAGTTCTCTAGCTTCTCAGAAGTAGCTTTTCGTGTACATTATGAGATTCAAACAGTAACTCTTTCTGCTATTCATCATTGTATGGAAAATGAATATGGTGAAGATTTAGATTTATTACGAGATTATGATAAGAACTCCATAGTTACATTATATGATTGTTCTCAGGTATTTATAAGGTTCTGGTTTACAGTATTTCAAGCTTGTTTCAAAAAATTGCCCAATAAACTAGTGCCGTTTGAAGAAGATGGTCATGGAAGAAATTCAATCAAAACTCCTATTCATGTGGATATACCTACAGATCCAGTTGATTTACACGCATTTGTCAAATTCTGGTCGGCTGTACTTACTACTATATATCATTCAGAAATGAACGAGGTTGAAAATAATGCTTTAGAATTATTAATAGAGAGATGGGAGAAGATGGCAACCCTATTTTAGATTCCTTCGTTTTTGAGAAAGAGATCCAAACTTCTTGGGTCTTATTGGTTGATTGGGTTGTTCTTCCTTCTTGATCTTCTTTACAGGTGAGCTTTTCAATACTCCAAACTTCCTTTTGGTTCCTCGTTTTGTTTCATCTGGTTCTTGTTCTGGTTCTGGTTCGTTTTTTAGTTCTGGTTCCATCTCTGGTTCTTGCTTTAGCTTGATTTCCACGAATGGATCTTCTTGCTTATATGGTGCCAGACTGATATTGGATGGTTGGAAATTATCAGTGAGCCAAATATTTGAAAAGTTCCATGCTGAATGATCTGTAAGGGATGTATGTACAATGTCGTGTAGTCTTTTCTCAGAAGATCTTGCTACTCTCTTTGCTTGACTTAAGTATTGCTCATTTACATATTTATCCCATTCCACTGAGTTAAATTCTGCCATATCAGATGCATCAAGCTTGTTATTCTTCTTAAATTTATTGATTAATTGCAGTCCATGGCTGAGCTTAAAGTTCTCTGATAGAAACTTAATATATAGATCCTTTACCTGTACACTATGTTGGAGTTGTCGTAACTTGTAAGTTAGATACTGTTGGTTAGCGAACTGTTGATAGTTCAATCCCGCAAGGAATGCTGCCAATTGCGTCGAATCTTGCTGATGTACATAGAACTTCCATTTAAAATCGGTGTGATCAATGTGGATATCTAATTGACCGTTATGGTACAGACATATTAACCCCAGCTTCAATTCCTTGGAACTGTATATTGCCTTATGAATAGTGGCGACAAGCTCTTTACGCTCATAATCCAAACTGACTGAATAGCCTAATTTCGTGGCATATTCATACACCGACTCAGTCGTATCTGTCCAGAGGCCATTGAAATTCGTAACGTATAGTCGGTAACCCTCCGTCTCTGGAACTAACCCTATGAGTACTTCACTTGATTGAAGTCCCTGCACTGTACTGGTAGTCCACTTTTGCGGTAACGTTATCATATTGTGCGACTGTAACTTCTCTACCCACTACCCCACTAAATTTGTAGTCGCAGTGTTTTACAGTACTGACTTTTTTCTTACGAGTGCCCTGGTTGCTGAGCTTCGTTCTTTATTTGATATTTGTCTGTAATGCATCAAGTGGTTATTCGCAGCGATCATATCACTGAGATTGTGGATAGAGTTTTGGCTAACTGTAAAAATGTCTTGCCCAAAAGACGGTATATCATTTCACTAGCAGGGATCCCAGGAGCCGGTAAGTCCACCTTATCGTCGTTAGTAGCTCAGCAACTTAACCAGACGGTTAAAACTATCGTATTACCACAGGATGGGTTTCATCTCTACCGATGGCAATTGAATGATATGCCCGATAGTGAAGAAGCCATCAGACGCAGAGGAGCTCCATTTACTTTCAATGCTAAAGCATTTGTACAGTTGATCAGTCAATTGAATGATCCCGTCTATTCGCAGCATATTATTAATGCTCCTTCGTTTGATCATAAACTCAAGGATCCTATTGAGGATGATATCCATATTGAGCCTGATGTTCAAGTGATTATTATAGAGGGTAACTATGTATCGTTAAGAGATCCTGACTGGCGAGATATTCATCAGTATGTGGATGAGTCATGGTTTATACAGACAGATATAGAAGTGGTTAGAGATAGAATAATTAAACGACATTTGGCAGCAGGGATTGCCAATAATTTAGAGGAAGCTACTGAGCGAGCTGATGGTAGTGATCTTGCCAATGCCAAATACATTCTTGCTCACTCTGCTCCCGCTGATGTTGTAATAGTTACGCCATAGACAACTAGATTAATTAATATAAAGTTATGTGTATTAACAGATGCAAATTTCTAATGTACAAGAGATGAAGAATAATAAGTTAAGGATTAGGCAGGAGACACGTTATACTTCATCTTGATTCCCATGGCTGATAATTCAGAGTCTAAGTATTTCAATACAAATGGAATAGCCACAGTTGAAGTGTTGTCTCCTCCTACAAACTTCTTACCTTGACCATCTTCCCAAATATCAGAGTCATTGGCATAACCGTGTTTTTGAACATAGGTATCCAATTTTTGAGAACATCTACGACATCTTACAGTAGCCAAAGATCCGATTCTTGGGACTGTAGTTTGAGTGGTTAATATAGAACCACATTGACGACAGATGGATGTTTGTGTATAATCAGAACAATTCAAAAGTCTATCCTGTAATAAGAAGGAAGTACCATGACCAATTAAAGCATCTCTTTCCATTTCTCCTACACGAATACCACCAGATCTCTTTCTACCTTTAACAGGTTGCATAGTTAATGAATTAACAGGTCCAGTAGATCTAACTTGGAACTTATCATTAACCATATGTCTTAATCTTTGATAGTATACACATCCGATATAAATATCGGCTCTTAATTCTTCACCAGTAGCTCCAGAATACATTGGTTCATTACCGTGATAATTATATCCAGCTGAAAGTAATTGTTCACCAAAGAAATCAGCTGGGGTATCATCTTCACTAAATTTCCATGGAGTAGAATCTTGAGCAATACCATGTAATGCTCCAGCTTTACCAGCTAATGATTCTACAAACATTCCAATAGTCATACGAGATGGGAAAGCATGAGGATTAATAATGACATCAGGTTGAATACCTGTTTCAGAAAAGGGCATATCAATTTGAGGCCATTTTCTTGAACAAACCCCCTTTTGTCCATGTCTAGATGAGAATTTATCACCAATGAGTGGTTGTCTAGTAATTCTATATTTGATAGTAAGTTGTTGACCTTCTTGATCAGCATTATCATCACCAATAAGTTTAACTTCTTCAATATAGGCTGGTTCATTGGAATGATAAGTCTTAACTTTAGTCTTACCTAAAGTTTCATCAAAGTATGCCACAATTGGATCACCTTCTTCAACTTTAACTCCAATAATAGGTAATCCATCATCATCCAATTTTTCTTTCCATGATTCAGGCCAAGAATCTTCTCCAAATCCGAAATGTTGAGTGATTGGATCTCCTCTTCTTCTAGATTGAGATAAATCTACTTTTTCAACTTTATAAACAGTACCATAACCAAATCCTCTTTCATCCGCAGATTTATTAATAATCATTGCATCATCCATATCATATCCAGTATAAGAAATGACTGCTACAACAGCATTCATACCATTAGGGAAATTATCCATTCCATAATCATCATAAAGATTGGCTTTAACAATAGGAGTTTGACCAGTTTGTAATCTATATAATTTATTATCAGATCTATGAACCAAGGCAACTCCAGGAGTTCCCATAGTTTGTTTACCCATTTGACATTGATACATATTTCTTGGAGATTGATTAAAATCTGAGAATGGAGTTAAATTAGCTAAAATTGATAAAATATTTGTAGGAGATTCTTCTACATGACTATGAATATTATTAGTAATTTCTTCAGGAGTTACAGCAATATTCATATAAACTTGTTCAAATGGTCCCAAGATATCTTTCTTATTTAATGGTAAATATTTGACAGGTCTCATCATTCTAGCTCTACCACCAAATAAGTATAAACCTGGATATTGACCTTTAGTAGATGGTGGAACATAACCAATTTCTAAATCTAATGGTAAACCATGATTACCTTCAACTTTCCAAAATCTTAAAGTATCAGCTACAATCTTACCTTGTTCATGACTAGTCCATCCAACAATCTTACCATCTAATTGAATACAACATACATTAGGTCCAGCTGCAAAAGTATGAGCTGGTGATACACCTAATTTAGATAAACAATTAGTAACTTGAGATACATCTGAATCTTGAGTAGATATTTTACATTTATGAGCTAAATGATTTAATAAACCACATGGTGAACCATCTGGAGTATGAACAGGACATAAGAAACCCCAAGATTCTGGTAATAACTTTCTAACTGTAGTAGTTTTCAATTCAGCAAAGAAAGAACCTCTATGAACCATTCTGAAATGAGAAATAAATCTATGGAAATTAATCTTTTCTGCTACCACGGTATAACCAGATACTTGTTGTAAATCTAAACCAGATTGAGAAACTAAGTTACCAGTAGAAAGAAAGTATTGTAATTTTTGTCCAATATTTTCATTAATCTTTAAGAATACTTTAGACATATACTTTCTATCATTAAAGTTAACAGCTAGTCCACGATTAATATCTGATTGGATTTGTAAACGAATGTTTTGTAAGTATTCTTCAATCTTTTCTTTAATAATCATTCCATAAAGGAATCCTCCTAATAAAACTTCTTGATGTTGAGTAGCATCAGGATTATCAGGAGAACAATCTCCTGCCACTAAAGCATATAACTTTCTGATCATGAATAAAAGCATCTTAAACTTATCGGCATTATTATCTAAATGAACCAATACAATTCTTCTTAATACTTCTTTACCAACTTCAATATCAGATACATCAGGAGTTGCATTAAATACAATTCTAAACTTATCACCTAAATAAGCTAAAGTTTCTTGTTTGGAATATAAGTTATAGTTTTTAAATGATCTTAATAATAATTCCAATCTATCAGTTAAGAAGGAATTCTTAATGTCTGATCCTACAATTCCATTGAAGATTTCTCTATCATTGGTTTCTACAAGGGCCTTTAAGATCATGACTACTGGAATTAAATATTCATTCTTTCTCCATGAGAATCTGAAAGTAACATTACCATCATTTAAGTAATGTAAGACATTGGTTTGTGAAGTTTGATCGGGTCTTACACATCTGATTTGAATCCCAAATTTGGAGTATGAAGCACCTCTATTTCCAAATGAAGGTCTGATTAATGCCATAGGATGATTTCTTCTTTGTACAATTAACATTCTGATTAATTTTTCAATCCCATTGACTATGAAATATCCTCCTAATTCATCTGATTCTTCTTTATAATCAATTAATTGTTGAGGACTTAATCCTTGTAAATGGCATCGATTAGAGTTGACCATAATAGGTAATTGACCAACTTCTCTTATTTCCGACACTTCTTCACCAGAGTCATTGACAGTCCATGCTACTTTCAATAATAATCTAGCCTTATAAGTAGACATTCTTTCTCTACATTCATAAGGTAAAGTCTTTCTATTAATGGATAATTTATCGTTGGCATTAACGGCAGGTTTTACCAATTGGACTGAATCCACTCGAATGTTTAATTTATTACCTAATCTTCCGGTAGCATCATTATTAGTATCGAAAATAGTTTTAGTTCCAATATCTGCTACGGCCATATTTAAGAGTCCTCCATGAGGTCCTTCGGTTAAGGCATTGAAGGAGTCAAGATGAGGTTCGATGGCATCCTTTAATAAGGGATAAATGTCCTGGTTGGACTTGGGTGGGTTTCTAAACCGGTCCTCTCTCTCGAGGGTTCGGAACTGAGCTGATGGCATGGTGGTGATAGTCCGAGTTGGTTGAAAGATGGGAGACTCATCTTGAAAAATTTATTTAGATCTGAAAAAAAGTTGTAGATGAGGTAAGGTTGTCAGGTGCGTGGGGTCATGCGATAGTCACGTTTCTAGTGATGAGGGTCATGTGCATTCTCACGCGTATATCATGTGCTTCATAATACCCAAATACCCATATAAACTCATCGAATCTTATAGTTAAAAACTATTCTACTACTCCACAGATCCTCTTACAATAATGGCAAAGTCACGTTTCGAATACGTACGAGAGTTCGAAAGAGAAAACCATCTCTTGCCGCAGACGTACATTGTAGTCCGAGTCGACGGCAAGGGATTCCATCGATTCAGTCAGGTGTATGAATTCGACAAGCCTAATGATATTGAAGCCATTCGGGTAATGAATGATGCAGCTCAAGAAGTATGTCGTCAAATTCCCGATGTGCTTATGGCATATGGTCAATCGGATGAATATTCCTTTTTGCTTCGAAAGGATTGTCGGTTATATGATAGACGAGAGATGAAGCTCATTACTTTATTTCTGAGTCTTATGACTTCTGCATATACTTATTACTGGAATGTAGCTCACCCCAATAATCTTATTACTATTGATAAGAAATTAGTGGTATTTGATGCTCGTGCCGTAGTGTATCCTAACTTTACTGTTGTTCAAGATTATTTCCGATGGAGACAAGCAGATTGTCATATAAATAATTTATATAATACTACATTCTGGGCTTTAGTACTTAAAGGAGGACTCAGTACTAGTGAAGCAGAACAAACTCTTAGTGGGACATTATCAAAGGATAAGAATGAGATTTTGTTTCTGAGATTCGGTATTAATTATAATAATGAACCAGAAATGTTTAAGAAGGGGACAGTCATAGTACGAGAGGTGGGTAAGAGTTTAGCGAGTGATACTCCAGTAGAAGACTTGTCGAATCGACAATTACAAAGATTGGATAAGGTTATGCGTAAAGCCGAGATTAAGGTATATCATCAGGATATCATTACTGATGAGGAATTTTGGGACAGTCGGCCGTGGCTACTGAGTTAGTGGATGTGACTTAGTGAGAAGTAGCAAGAGTTAGTGAGAATTAGCGAGAGTTAGTGAGAATTATTTAGTGAGAATTACTGAGAATTACTGAGAAGTCTAGCGAGCACTTAGTTAGCGAGTGCGAGTCACTGACTACTAACCACTAACAAACTCATTCTACAACTACATAAAAACTGCTCGACTGTATATGTGTATTAGCAGATCAAATGACCCAATAAATAATTAAATAAATTATATAAATAAATAAATAAATAAATAAATAAATAAATAAATAAATACTAATAATAAATAAAGTTAATAAATAGAATTAAATAAATACATCTCCAGAATTGAATAGAAATTAGACTCAGATATGAATGGAGTCACTAAATGAATGAAAGGCCGAAGCCGGTGTTGGAGAACACGAAAGAGGAGTAGTAGACTCATATGGAGGTGACACTTTGGCGTCCGAAGCTGGAGATGCGTTGGAAACAGTTCCACTCGAAACTGTGGAACCAGATGTAGAGAATGGAACTGTAGACTCGCCATTTGAGAAACAGAATTTATTGATGATATCGGCATAGCTTAACGAGCTAAAGTCCGTAGACAATGGTCTTGTGGATGTGGTGGTGGTAGACAACTTAGAATGGCCATGATTACTGGCCTGTTTAGATCTGTAAGATTGAGAGTATCTCGATTGCTGTATATCAGAGGCCGAATATGAATGCTTGAGTGATGGTCTTGAAGTTTCATCAGTGAAATTATACTTTAATGAAAATGCAGCGGCATTAGTAGGCTCTGAATCATCACGTTCAACAGCCTTCAATTTGAGTACCAACTCCTTATACTCCTTCTTTTGTTTTTCCTGTTTCTTTGTATCCTGTTGTTGTTTGGTTGTGGTGGTGGAGGTGGTGGATGATGGCTTGTATGTATATGTTTGGATACCACTAGAAGTTACAGGGGATAAGTGGATTTGATAGTTATTGGTGTTGTTGTTGTCCCAATACACTTGACCATTGACCGTATACTTAATGCACATTTGAATCTTAACTACGTTACTACTGAATCCATTGGTAGTAGAGACTGTTGAAGTGGTAGTATCAGTTGTAGATTCATTACCAATCAAATCATCAAGTAAAATCTTTAACTTGAATTGATCTACGTTAGGACCAAGACTGGCGTGATAGCTGGTTGTTCCGGAATAACCATTAAAGAAGATACTGGTGGCCCAATTATCGAGGGTAAGTTTAAGAGCAACTTCCTTTTCAAACCCATAGTTGGCAACATTAATGAGTCCAAAGAGATATGACTTACCAGCTTCCTTAACAAGTGATACTGATGCAAGATATACAGGTCTGGTTGATGAAGTGGCGGTGATGGGATTAGAGTTATTGGCTGAATTAGTAGTCAAATAACTAGGATAGGTGGCTGAAGCATTGACATTATTATACAACATTCTGTATTCCTTCTTCTTAAGAAGTGGAGGTGTAGCTGAGGCAGAACGAGGAATCTGGTGAATGGACCAGTCATCTTCATCAGAAGAAGTGTCTGAATTTGCCTCATTGTTTCCCCATTGGAAGTAGTCGCTTCTTCTGTGCTTGCTAGTCAGATTAGAGCGGCGATGTGTATGTGTATGTGTGTATTGAGATGTCAAGCCGAAATCCACATCGGCATAGTCCAACTCTTCATAGTCGTCGTATTCATCCAGATATTGTGGTGAGTCAAGTGGCGTGTTATCGGCAGTAGATACTGAAGATGGAGATTCCATACCGTCAAACATCTTAATGTTAGTGAGACGTGAGGCGAATCTTACTGACTTTGAGCGAGCAAGTTGTGATGTAGAAAGGGCCTTGGGTAAAAGTGATGGTAATTTTAATGAAGATTTAACCAATTCTCCAGACTTCTTACGCACTAGCGATGGAACTTTATTGTCGGCGGCAGGAGTATGATGACTAATGACATGCTTAGCGAGTGGTTTGTAGATGGTAATGGTTGGAGCTGGTGATAACTTGATGGTAGAGAGTGATGATTGGGAGCTTAGTGAGTCAGATGAGCTGTTGTGTGAGTCTGTGGAAGATGCGGATGATGAGGATGAGGATGATGCGGCCAATGCTGTAGCGGGTGCAAGCACCGGCGAGGCTGCGGTTAGCGTCGTGACCGACATGGTTGTTGTGTATGATGGGTTTGTTGGTGGTGTTGTTGGTAGTGGTTCGGTAAATTTCAGAATCTCTTGATATCCACAAAAGGCTTTGTGTGGCAGAAATTATTAATGACCCCCCTTTACGATTATGAGGTGCGTGTGCGTCTATTTCTTTTCTTCTTTTTTCTTTTCTTTTTATTATTATCTTTATTTTTTTTATTGCTGAGAATGTCGTGGCAGCTCAAACAATTAAAAAATAATAAAGTTTTTTCCTGGTCTTCCCTAATTACTAAGATAAGGATAAGATGGAAGTAAATGAGAAATTGTGTGCTATGTTAAGCTTGGCTTTGATGAGCTTGGTGCTTTAAGTATATGATATGATATAATGTTTCGTAACTTTAGCTTAATGTAATTGATGCTAAAGTATATTGCCTAATTCTAATTTAAGTGAATTATGTGGTGCGATGATAATAATAATATTACGTTCTGCTAGTACTGATAAGATTATGCAAATTTTTACGATGATATTCAATTCTTGTTAATGAGTCCCAACAATGATTTTTTATGATACTGGAATTATGCAATGATGATGATGAGTAAATTACAAGGAAGGAAGGAAGGAAGGAAGATGCAAATAATGTAATAGATAGTAATAATAATATACAAGTGTAATGTAATGTAATGTGTTTGATAATTTTTGTTTGTCCTGTTAATATACAAGGTATGTAATGCTATTACTGGTGAATTACCCACTATAATCACCCTAGACTAGTCAATCAATGACATATAAGAAGAAATATATTCCACCAAGAAATAAATAAATAAATATAACTAAATAGATATATAAATGTAATTCGTTACTAGTGGAATTTTCACTAACTTTATATGATTCAGGAGCCTACTTTTCTTCCCTCATGTCTCTAGTTACACACTTCCAAATTAACTGCTGAGGACTAAAAAACATTCCAAAAAATAAAAAAAAATATTAAAAAATAATACATAATATCATATTTTTCTAAATAAAGTTTGCTCAACAATTTCCTCTATTGTAGCAGTTTCCATTGTTCTTGCTTTTCTTTTTCCACCCCCCTTTATAAAATAATTCATTTATTGTGTGAGATGCAAGAGTTTTGTGTAATGCTTATGCAGCCTCTCTCCTCATGGATTTTTGTTTTTTTTTATGTTTTTTATTCTCTTCCACAGCAGATTACGTAGTTCCCACTGCGGAATAAGGATACATTCTTAGGGTTAGTCGTACCCACCAGTAATCAATGATTATCGGAGCTGGCTCCGCTAAGTGTCAAGTGACGTTATGATACTCATTCTTAATCTTATTCTCATTATGGTTGTATCTGACATTTTCACTTTTATAGTGTTACTATATAGTGCGAGAAATAAAATACCCCCCGGCCTGAATCAAAGCCCGCAACATATCCCCTTATTCCGACTCATAAACCAGCGCATCCCCTATGACATGACAGATCATATCATATTATATCATATTTTAACACATTCATGGCTTTACTTCCCGACTATGGGATATTATTTGCTTTGATTTAGTAACTTATTTTTTGTTCTGTATCTCCACCGCACTGTGCTCCCTGCCTCAACCCTAAACCAGCCCATAAATACTGATTGCGCACACTAGGGATAAGGGCTCATATTGCTACTACTAATCGGTCCGCTTGATCAACAACATCCATGTACTCTTACGCATATTCGTACTTATACTATCGCTCGTATAAAATCATAACGCCCTGAACCACACCACAAACCAAATACTACTTGCAACTTTAACATTATCCAAGGCGAGCAGAGAAAAATTCTGAACAATCACTAAGTCGGTTAATTAATATAATTAATAATTAATATTTTAGGCTACGGATATTGTTGGGGTATGTGGAGTAATGTGTAACTTGTGTTTAACGTCAACTTTCTTCTTTATGTCCATTGTAACTGTTTCATCTCCACCATGTACTATACCCATTTTAACTCTATTAGGTTAATTGCAATATTTTCAGTTAGCTCTGTCTCCTCTCTTAATACTGACTGCCTGTAAGTCTAATTTTAATTTCCAATTTTATTTTGCCTAGTTGGTGCAAAATAAACTTTTCAGAACGCGTGTTGGAGAAATAAATTTTTTAAACTCTTTTTCGATTCCTTCTATCTGCCGGAATATCCTGCACACAGTTCCAACCATGCATGATCTCATCCCTTCATTTATTTTCCTAGTGCTTTGTGTAATGTATAGATATCCGTAAAATCCCATTAAAGAAAATATATGAAACTGCCTACGGGTCCCACTCATAACTCTATTGGCTGGTAATGAACCAAATTTTGCCCAGTCTGGTAAATATTAGTGGAGAAAGTCTCAAACAGGCATGTCGGAGAATAATCCTGATACAGCGCTTGTTACGGTAATGAATATCCAGCCAAGGACAGGGTTTGATTTAGGGAGCTAATACTACTACTACTCAGCCTTCGATAGTAATCGGCCAAGAGTAATGTTAGCACATGGTCTGATGTAATAATGATGTAGATAATGAGTGTAACATGAATCTACTGGGCTTATGTATATTGCTTGGTCTAATTGTAAGTCCGATGACTATCTCAATTGTTCAAGCAGACTAATTGACCGAATCTGCACCTAGTTTCAAAACTTGCATGCACCCGGTTTCATGCCAATTTAGTGCAAAATCTGGACCAAATTGGCCAGAGCAGAGTAGAGGAAACAAACTACAACAGACTAAAGTAGAGAAGAGACGGTTACTTTAGTACTTTAGTGAGTCCCCATGTGTTTAGCTTAGCTTGACCTAATTGCATAGTTCAGCCAAGGTGTATGACTACCGAAAGCTTATTACTAAGTACAAACTTAAAACGTGCGCTCATCGATATAAATGATGTTTACAATTATAGTTCGCCTTTGGCGCTTGGCCAATACGTCCGAATGTATCCTACGTCAATGTACATGGTTCTTCGGGTCAATTTCATACTATAATTAGACGATTACCGTTGCTGGCACCAGTGTAGTAGTCAATCATCGCTACCAGTACTCACTAGTTTTTTTTTTTTTTTTTTGTTAGAGTTTCTTTTTTTTTCACCTCAGGCGATGGTAGTCTTTCCGCTTTGTTCCTAAAATCTAACTTTATCTGACCATATCATATTCGCAATAGCAGCGTCATACTCGCACGGGGACGTATAAGAGTGCATAAGTTCTCTTGGTATTCATGCACCGTTTTCACTAATAATTAATGAAATTAATGAAACTAATGAAAAATTAATTAGCGACCTGGTAAGTAGTGGTTGAGCCGTGCGAGCCTATGTGGTGAAACACGATACTATATTTAGTGTAACAGAATTCCCGAAGGATCTGGATCTCGATTGAGTAACTGCATATAGTTCAAGAATATATCTGGAATTACTCACAGTAACAATGAATTGTTACTATACCCCATTAGAAGCCCAGCCAGCGTAGTGGGCCCGTCTTGGTGTAGTTTCTACAGTGGCTGCTTAAGAAAGTCGCTATCTCTGTTTTCACCACAGTAAACAAAAATTAAAGTTGAATCAGATGACTACCTCATAACCATCTCGATTATTTTTTAGATACATATTTTTGCTTTCGTGGGTCCCATTGTTCGCAAACTTTAATTTATTACTCAATTCAGTGCGGATTTTTCTGCCAGAACCAGATTCAAGAGCCAGGGGGCAAAGGATGGATCTATCAACAATAGCCAGCTCAGACACGCACCAGTTATAGTTCCATCGTCCCATTACTCCAATAGGAATAAACACAGACTTGCCCCATATTTATCTTGTGCGTAGCTTAAAGCTTACCCCAGATTATTATTGATAAAATATCAGCGTAACTCTAGCTTGCTTTTCCTAACAAAGTAAAGTCAATTCATTCGTTACAAATTAATATTATTAGAAAAATCTTATTCGTATTGAACTTCCAATTGCAGGAAAAAAGATAAATTGCCTATTAGTATGAAATTTGTATCCCTGCTCCCTGTAATGCTCCTTACTTTCCGCCTATTTTAACTTCGCTATATATTTAGACTATGCTTCTTGCCCTCTTTGCCTGTTATATACTCATTCATTACTTTTCTTTCATTTCTATTGCTCTCATGTTGTACACTATCTAGTAAACTACTACTATCTGCCTTTATGTTAGCCAGTATAACTACTGTCGGATTTCTCACAAGAAGACATTTCCCCTTCTCCTCTTTGCTCCCCTCATTTAATAATAGATCTTTTTATTATAAACTGTCTCCCTCAATTAATTCTTATTGAAATTTGTTTTGTGATATTCATTGTCTCCCGCACACGGACTATGCTTGCCTCTTCTCCTTCACTCGCTGCTCTATTCTTATTTTTTTTTGGTTTTATTTTTTACTTTATTTTTTATATTTTATTTTTTTGGTTGCATTTTTTATTTTTTCAATCTGATTTTAATTTCATTTTTCAGTAATGATCTTAAAGCGCAATTAAAATCCAGCCTTTTGTGTGTGCAATCTCTCCGCTTACCCCTCCCATTGCCCCACATACACAAAAGTAGTACCCAACACAAATTACACATTATACCCTCAATTACAAAATTTTGCAACAATGTCTAATTATAAACAAAATTGTGAGTATAATCACTACAAACCTCCCGAAATTTGCAATTATATTATTTTTTATATATTTTAATTATCTATTTGCATTATTTATTTATTTATTTATTTACTGCTTAGTTACAACTTGGGCTTAGTTCTTGGATGAATCTTCCTTCAAAGTTACAATCCTGTTAAGTATCAATCCTTCGGAAGAACTATCCTTATCTACACAGAAGTATCCCACTCTTAATGCTTGGAATCTGACGGTATTATTTCCCTTTTGTTCAGCAATGTTGAATTGACTGCCTGGAACTTCGACATTTAATGGACTCTTGGCTTCAATTTCGTTAAATCCTGCCTTTTCCACAATTCCTGAAGTCAACACATGCTCACTATCAGGATTAATATCACTCAAGAATCCTTCTGGGTTTTGGTTAGGATTCTCACTCTTGAATAATTGCTTGTATACCCGGATTTCCTTAATAGGAAGCTTGTTGTTATCACCCACCCATTGGATAAATGTCTTAGGTTTGATTTGTTCTCCGTGATTGTATTTGACATGGATAGTTTCAATTTGTCCTTCAGCATTCTTGACTACTTTATTAACACTAATGGTGTATGGTACACGGATCAATCCAACCGGTTGAGATGGAGTTAATCTGAAATATTCTTCAGAATCGGCTACACCTTCTCTGAAATCATTACGTTCAATATAGATGGTTGAGCTTAACTTAACCTTTCTACTTCCAAAGTTTTCTCCTCCTTTACCTGGCTTGTATGGTACATCTATATCTTCACCATGAAGAGCAGGATCATAATTATCAATAACAACCTTGATTGGATCTAAAACCATTAACAAACGAGGAGTAGTGTGATCAAGATAGTTTCTAATGGCTGATTCAAATCTTACGACTTGAATGTTACTATCAGTAGTGGTAACTCCCAAAGTATTAATGAATGATAAAATGGCACCTGGAGGTACACCTCTTCTCTTTATAGCTTCTAAAGTAAATAAACGAGGATCATCCCATCCTCTAACATAATGTTCATTAACTAATTTAGCAATTTTTCTCTTTGACAACACAGTACCAGTAATATTTAATCTACCATACTCACGTTGGGCGGGTCTATAAACATGCAACACATCACATAACCATTCATAACTTTCACGACTAAGACGGAACTCAAGTGTACAAAGTGAATGACTAATGTTTTCAAAAGAATCAACCAAACAGTGAGTGAAATCATAAGTTGGATAAATCTTCCACTTATCTCCCGTACGGTGATGAGGTGTATTCAATACACGATATGCAACTAAATCCCACATTTGAGGATTGGAACTGGTAAGATCCATTTTCATTCTTAAGGTGGCTTCACCAATATCGTACTCACCGTCTCTCATGGCTCTGAATTTCTTCAAGTTTTCTTCAACGGTTTGTTCACGATGTTTACAACCAAATCTTTCTCCACCTAAAGTTCCATCTTCTTTCAATCCTCTTTGAACCTTGACTTCTTCTGGTTTACAGTGACACACATAAGCACGTTCAACTTCAATTAACTTTTCAGCCAAGTCATACAATTCTTGGAAATAATCGGATGAATAAGTGATTTTCCAAGGCTTGTATCCCAACCAACTGACCATTTCTTTAATCGAATTGAAGTATACTTCTTCTTCTGCTTCTGGATTGGTATCATCGAATCGAAGATAACACTTACCCTTATGATAAGCAGCATAACCAAAGTTGACCATAATAGCCTTGGAATGTCCGATATGAAGGAATCCATTTGGTTCAGGAGGGAATCTAGTAAATACATCTCCCTTGGTGAATTCCAAATGAGGTTTAATGAGTTCAGGATACATTTGAGGTTGGTCACCTGCCTTATGTAAATCACCAAGGAACCCCTCGGAGAACATACTTCTTTCTGAAGCAGGAGTGGTAGTAGCAGCTCCAGTACCCTTCTTTTCAGTATTGGCACTTGATTTCTTCTTCTCCTTTTTAACAACATCTCTTTCATCCTTAGGGCCAAGAATCTCCAAGAATAACTTATCGATAATGGGCTTAAACAAGGAAGGAGAGGCCCACTTTAAGCTTGGAACTTTTCTAATTTCTCCCAATACTTTTGGCACCATAACATAACGTTTACTAGTCAACTCCGATTCAATATCGGTAAGGTACTTTTTGATTTCTGATTCAACTTGACTCTCACTAATTTCAATACCAACTCCACTAGCAGCTTGGAAAGATGCCAATTCGGCATCTTCTCCCGCACTAGTTAAATACTTCAACCCTTCACTGACTTGTAAATTAGTTTTGATTTCGTCAGCCAATATACCATCCACAAGTAAGTCTACACGGGCGACTTCGGCACCCTTTAATTCGACCGCTACTTGTTGTAATAATGCCAATTTCTTTTCATCTAATGGACCATCCGATGATACACGGCTTAAGAGTCCGAATAATGTCTGAGACACTTTCTTATTCTTAACAATTTCTTTCGACTTTTTGTCAGTAATTCCAAACCTTTCGAAGGCCGATACTAACTCGGCTTCAGAAACAACTTTATCTGACATCTTGACTTTAATTGATAATTAGGAATAGTAACAGTCGTTGGTGATGACTCTTGACTCAATTAAAAATTTTGGGAAGTCGGCTGGGGCCGCACACGACCGCGAGATCAGATGCACATAAAGCATCCGACACTGTATATTACGCTACGGATGTATGTATAGATGGATTAATGTACCGATATAGTTGAGATCAATGGCAGATATAAGCGACCCATTGTCAGTAGTAAATATTAATGTAGTCAATATTTGTCAGTGTTTGTTGGTAAAACTCAGTATTTCTCAGTTATCGTCAGTAATTGCAGTTGTTAGCAGTCAGTCCTTTTATAGTGATTATCACAAATTCACCCTAAGGTAATTACACAAATATTAACCGAACAGTTTATCTTAATTGCTGACTTCTGACTCAGTAAACTTATCACATAAGTAGTTGCTCTAACGCGTAGTATAGTGCGTAAAGATCATCATCTACGTGCAAAATCGCAGCCATTGGTGCGTACATCGTAGCACGAAAAACCCTTCTATCACTAACTTCACCACTACCACACAACACCAATACCCACTACCACACAACACCAATACCCACTACCACTACTAATACCAATACCAATACCACCCGATGGAAGACCCTTACGACACCTTCTGTTTTATCAGTCGAGCCCTCCGTAATCACCTGACCAATGAGTACTACATTCGTTTTCCTAAACTCAAACAACTCCTCCTCGTGGACAACCATGGACTTGGAACACTGACTCACATTTACATCTACACTTTCCGTCATGAGATAGATCTCCTTATCCAAGACTATAAACAGAAAGCTTTCAACTCGGCGGAATTATTGGGATTATTCTATAATGTCATGATATTATTATACATATCTCCGTATATCAGTAAGAAAATATATCGTCGATTTACGGAAATACATTGGGATTTAATGTCTTCTATGGCATTATATAAACCCGAGTCAACTCTTTTGAATTTGTTAACTCGAAGATCTTTAGGATTAGTTCCATATAGTATAGATCATGATGTTGATAGTGCCCCTAAATCTAATTGGATTAGTACTAAGATTTTACTTAATACATGGAAAGTTAATACTGACCTTCGACCACTTTTAAAATCTATGTTTACGGTAATGGGTACCGATCTTAATGTTCATCGCCAATTATCAAAGAATTCTGATTTTACTAATAATAATTATCTTATTGAATTAATTACTTGTCTTGGACTCGGAATGAAATTACCGATTATCGGATGGAATGGTCCATTATTTAATAAAGTAGTATCAGCGGGAGATTATCAAATTTGTGAATATTTACGATTCTTAAACCCATCTTTTGATAATCTCTATCAGATAGATACTTTAACTTGTAATGAACCTATAGGTATTGATACATCCCTTACCAATAAAGAACTTTGCTTTCTTCAATTCCTTGATTATACAGTAATGGTTCTTTGGATTCAAAAAGGTTCTCAACGGATACTTGAACCGAAATTTTTTTCTACTTTATGTATTAAGGATGTAACTGGTGAAGATCTTACTGTAAAATTATTATTTAAGAGTATAGAAAATCCTCATGAAAGTTTCCGATGTTTAATAGGTTCTTCAATAAATGAACTTATCTTAACTTTCACATTAGTTAGATCTCAATTACTTGTACAATTAGCTAAACAATTAGCTCATATTACTAAAAGAAATGATACAGTGTTATATGCTCCCTCCAAACGTGCAAAAACAGGTATGGTTGATCTTGAAACAAATATCGCATCGATTCTAGTCAATAAGCGAGAAAGTGAAAGTGAAGAGCCAGTTGTTCCTGTAGAAGAGAAGCTGAAGGGCCAACCAGAACCATTACCAGCAGTACAATTACCAGAAGTACAACAGTCACAACCACAATCACAACCACTACCGCTACCACTACCACCACCACTACCACAATCACAGTCAGAGTCACAATTACAACCACAACCACAATCACAATTACAACCACAATCACAACCACAATCACAACCACAATCACAACCACAATCACAATCACAACCACATCCACAACCACATCCACAACCACATCCACAAATGCGACAACCAGAATCAGATCCAGTAGAACCAGAACACTCTCTGTCGTTTGAAGAAAATGAGACATCTCAGGCCGTGTGGTCTCCTGCCAAATCGGATATAGATTCTATTGGTAGAAGTCCCGTCCAGTCACCCATTGCTCCTCTGAATGTATCTTCTACTCAGAATGGTAATGACCAGAAGAAGAGAAGAATTTCACCTCCAGTAAATGATATTGTAGTTGCTAGTCAGAGTGGTGCAACAAGTACTGAAAGTACTCAGGCAGTTAGAGCTCCTCACCCCAGAGTTCTCCGTCTGCGTTTAACCAATTCAAGTAGTCCTGGATCATTTGTAAGTCGCCCTAAGGGAGAGTACTTGGTAGAACCGGATCTCCATATGAGTGATGATGATCATGACTCTTACGAAGTAGAAGTCGAGCATGAACTGAATCCCGACCAGCCTATAGCCACTTCTACCCAGTCCAATGGAGTTAATGTAGAAGTAGAAGCAGAAGCAGAAGCAGAAGTAGAAGCTGTAGCAGAAGCAGAAGTGGAAGTGGAACAGACCAGTGTTTATGATACTCTTCAGGGTAGCATGCAAGCCTATGCTCATACATTAGTGGGTAAGTTGAGGGGATTAGAGAGTTCTATAGAGCAGAAGCGAAGCGAATTACAGCGAGATTTGGATGAACAGTTCAAAGCAATTCAGCAGAAACATCAAGAGAATCTCGTTAATTTGAATCAGTACTACAAACTGGAGATAGATAAGATCTTTCGAGGAGGAGTATTGGATCTGTAGAGTCTGTATAGCTTAGTTAGTTGTAATAATAAAGAAAGAGTAGAGCAAACTAATGATAGAGTACTTTTATCTGCTAACTGCCGCAGTAGAATAACTGTTTTTGCAGCCATTTAGACACTACCGCTTACTACATATACATTTATTACAAACATACTTTCTCTAGTGTGTCAATTACAAACATATATCCCCTACTATCTTTATACCTATATTAATCTATTTACATCTACTTATCTCCAAGCTTCAAGAATGAAAAGATCTCCTTAGCAAAATCAGGAGGATTATCAAGATACAAATGATGACCAGAATTAGTTAAAATCTTGAATGATGCTAATTTTTGATTATGTTTCTTAATCGATAAATCATTAATCTCATTCATCATTTCATATCCTGCTTCTTCATTCATCCAATCTTTATCACCATACATCCAAAGTGTTGGTAATTTCATATCTACAAATTTCTCTGGACATCTATCCAAAAGTGGTAATTTAGCCAAGGCTCCAAAGGCAAGAACTCTTGTAATGGCATATTCTCCTGATCCCTTAGCATTAAATACTCGATATATATAATCATGCATATTCTGGAAATGTTGAGGATTAGTATAATATACATGAGAAAATCTATGAGTTGTCCAACCACTAATAAGTTTAGACCTAACTGGTCCGACATTACGAACAATAGAAAAGGGAGAAAAGTTATTTTCCCACATCTTCTTAATGATTTTAATTCTTCTAGTTTGAGGTAATTCATCTGGATCATCTGGTAATCTACCAGTTCTAGCTTCATCAGGAACAACTGTAGAAGAAGAATTGGTAGTTTGATGAACTATATCTTCTTGATTAGCTAAATATTCTTGTTCAACATCTATACCAGTATCTTGTTGATTACCCTTAGCCTGAACACTCAGACTTACAAAGGCTTCTTGAGCATTCTTTAATAATGAAAATTTATTTCTTTCTAATCCGACTGGACTTATAAGTACCAACTTATCTATAAGATTAGCATTGGTACTAGCAATCTTTTGTTGATATTTTAAAGCATAACAACAACTTAAATATCCACCAAATGAGTGACCCATCAATACAAATCGATTCAAGTTTCTCTTCTTTCTCCATACTTCAAGTGTATCTATAAACCAATCCTCAGTTTTATAAATATCTTCTGCAGTAGTGGTACCAAAATTTGGAAAGTGAGGACGCGATGAGAATCCAAATCCCAATAAATCAATAGCATGAATCTTAATTCCTGGGATTCGTGATAATGAATCAAAGTTATCTATGAAAAGTCCAAGTGAAGCAGCATAACCATGAACTAATACTACATCAGGAGGAGTTTGTGATAATGCAGTTGATGTCAAAGATGGATGTACGGGCTTTTCAATATTCTCAATATAAAGTTCATGAATGTAATTCCCATCACCTATATCAGTATTAATTATCTTTGCTATTCTCTTCCCATCGGATTCCGGATAAAATGGTAATACCGACAATAAGTTAGATTCCACTTGTTCGTCAGTATAATGACTATAGAATGATTGTTTGATCCAGTCCTTAAACGACTCAGTCCATGTGTAAATAGGCCTTTTTCTACCATCATTGAACTCACTTCGTTTACTGCTCATCCGATCAGTTGGTGTTTGTGTAGTAGTAGACATGATTGTTCTGGTTATCTCCGTGCCCGTCAGTAATAGTTATGATTATAAAAAGTGAAATGAAGTTAAGTGGATAAGAATTCTATTTATACCACAGTGACTCTACTGACCTCCGATAAGTTATACTATAGCTTTAAAATTGAAAATAGCAACTTTGACTGATTTCATGGTTTATATAGAAATGGTTCCAGATGTCACGGGCCCTTACGGAGATAAATGTGTGCAGGACCTCGCCCGAAGGAACTTCGGGTCAAGAATTCTTACCGTGATGAGCATCCGAAGTAAACAGAGGCTACGAGGCAGTGGCAAAATATTAAGGCTACAGAAGGTTCAGCGAAGGGCAGTGCAGTTCTGTATGTAGTAAGTTTTGTAGTGACCATATATAGTTTATTTCTTATCTATATCCGTTATTCCGTATCTCTATTGTAGGTTAAATGTTAAGTGTATGTGTATGACTCGTGACTTCATTCATGTGACAGATGCACTGATGTTTCTACTGGTGTATGGATGTAATATTTCACTCGCTGTAGCTCAATCCTCCTGCACACAGACTAGAAAAAATTTCATAGTTAACAGTGCATACAAAATTAAATTGATCTTTTTCAATCCTATTCTTTTCACCAATACGATATATATCAAGTAATAATCGAAAATGGTATGTATAAGTGATAGTTTTAACAAGTTTAAAAAGTTAAAATGAATGATATACTAACTGAGGAATATAGGACGCCAAAACTCCAGTCACTTTAGCAGAAGTTATCAAGGTCTTAGGTAGAACCGGTTCAAGAGGTGGTGTTACTCAAGTTAGAGTCCAATTCTTAGAAGACAAAACCAGAACCATCGTCAGAAATGTCAAGGGTCCAGTCAGAGAAGGTGACATCTTATGTTTAATGGAATCCGAAAGAGAAGCCAGAAGATTACGTTAAGTCAAATTATTCTTATTCGTTATCAACTTCATTTCATCATCTGTCATATAATTCCATCCTAACTCCATTCCCATCCCCATTTCCATGTTTTCGTAATTTGTTTGAATTGTTTATTTGTTCAAGGATAAGTGTCCTACATAATATAAGATATATGACATCAGTCTACAATATGAATACTACATGTTCATTCATTTTAAGAAAATCATACCTATAAACCCTCGAAAGTTTTCATATACTATATTACTACTATTATTTAATATAAATTATCATAAAAAGGTTATAACCTTATCTAACCATGATCTTATTCATATCATTATTATTAAGATAGGTTAAATTTGTAGTTGTTAGTAAAAATTTATATTTAAAATTATATGTGCGTCACGTGAATTTCAAAAAGCCCTAACCCTAACCGATTTAGGTAATGCTACATCCATGCATCCATGCATCCGTCACATGATCTGAATCACACTACCAAAAATATAATAAATAATGTCGCGCGACATGATGTCTTCCATCCCGCAGGACCAGCGACATCACGAACTACGCTGAACAAACTGGTCGATAAAGACATGCCAAATAGACCAAAACGGAACAATTATCCGAACTATATCATATACAAACACCCACAAAAATGTCGGATTTAGAAGACGATTTATTGGCCTTAGCTGGAGGAGACGATGAAGAAGAAGAATACTCTGGAAAGGAAGAAGTAAGATCCCATGCCGGACACGGTGGTGATCAAGATGAAAATGACAACGATGAAGATGATGAAGGACATAATGAAATTATAAAATCATCCAAAAGATCGTCACGTCGATACGACGAAGATGAGGGGGAGTACGATAGTGGTAATGATGAAGTATATTCTAAGCGTAGAAAGATTCAAGAAGACGAAGATGAAGATGATGAAGATGATGAATATGAATTACCTGATGTTCCTGAACCTGAATTGATTAATCCATACCCTTTGGAAGGGAAATATAAAAATGAACAAGACCGAGATGATTTGGAAGATATGGATGAAATTCAAAGAGAACAGATCTTATTCGATAGAACACAAGAAATGGAAAGATATAATGAGAAATTATACTTGCAACAAAGAATGAAACAACAGAAACAACTTGGCAAGCCCAGTTCGTTACCAGCTAAACCATCAAGGTCATCAAATCGTGATAAGACTTCAAGTAGTAAGACATCTAAATTAGATAAATTGAATGAATTAAAGAAGCAAAGACAACAAAAGTCAAGAAGAAGACGAGATGATTATGATGAAGATGAAAGTGAAGAAGAAAGTGAAGATGATTTGGATGATGAACAAGAATTAGATGAAGATGAAGAAGAATATGATGATGGAATAGTTACTTGGGGAGGTAAATCTAAAGTCCGAAGCTCAGCCCGAAAATCAACTCAATTAGGAGGAGTAGAAGATATTAATCGTATAAGATTTGGTAGAACCAAATTAGCCCAATATTGTTATTATAGTGAATTTCCGGAAATCATTGTCGATACATATGGGAAAATCAATTTAGGATTTGATAAAAGAACGAGACAACCACTTTATAGATTGGTTAAAATAATTGATGTAGAACATAAACCACCTAAAGCTTATAAATTACCAGGGGGAGTTAAATGTGATATATTTTTAGTGGTAAGTCAAAATAGTAAACAAACCAAAGCATTCCCTATTACCATTTTCTCAGATAGTTCAATTAGTAATGAAGAATTTCAAAGATATATTCATGAATTAGAAAAAAATGGAGAACAAGTTGATTATTTGGATGATATTAAGGAGAAATATCAAACTCTTAAGGCATTTGTTAATAAATCATTAACTGATAAAGATGTTAATGAAATCATTGCTAAGAAACAACAATTACAAAATAAGAATATTAAAGATATGAGTTTATATGATGCTGTTAAGAGGAAAGCTCAATTATTGGATGAAGTAAAAATTGCTCATCAACAACGTAGATCAGCTGATTCAGTACTTGAAGAATTGAGTCAATTAGATAAGTATATTACTGAAAAGAGACTGGCGGATGTATTATCATCAGCATCATCTATGACCAAAGTCAATGAAAGAAATAGAAAATTAAATCAAACTAATATCCGTAAAGCCGAGATTAGAAATCAATTACTGCAACCTAGTAGTGGTAATAGTGATGGAGGTGATCCATTTTCTAGATTAAAGACTGTTACAAGAATCTTTTATCAAGATTTAATTAATGCTGAAAATGAGAAAGCCTTGAATGATGCTAAATTAAACTATGAGAAGACTTTGAATGAAAAGTCTAAGCAAGAAGAAGAGATTAGTCGTAGTACTTATCGAGAATTGGGAGAGATGGATAAATTGATTAAGAGTATTGACATTGATATTGATATTGATATTGATTTGGTGTAAGGATGTTAGTCAGCAGAAACTATGTACTAGTTAAGGTAGTTAATTATTTACGCTTAGTTTACAATAATGAATAGTTATTAGTAATTGGTATAGTAGATTTTGCAGTCGTGGAATTTCAACAGAATTATAGTAATTTAATGTATTGGCTGCTAAATTTAATATACAGGAAAGAGATTGTCGTAGATCAACCGTTACTTTCACGCAATACAGTTCATCTCCGACATTACAATAATGTCGTATCTAGTTACACTACTACTGATACTCTTTATTGTCACTTATCTTTATACCATTTATATTCCCTCATATCAATTATATGTGTATCTTATCGATACACTACTCCTTGATTTCCTCTAACTATTTAAGTAGGTCGATTTTTCCTCCTTTATGAAATAGTTAGGTTTTTATACTCTATCAAATTTACACGTTATCAACTATACTACTAGTTCACAATCGATTCTAAAGCTCTATACTATTTGGTCAAATCAACTATCTTAACCAACCCCTTCCGTAGAGTAATTGCTAACTTACTCAACCTTTGTCATCACTCTTGTTACAAAACTTAAACCACACATTCTTCATTCTCACTATTATTATTAGTCTTCCCATTAGAGACATTAATACACCGAGTGCTACAAGTTCAATCAAATAAATTATCAACCCCTTGTATATACAAAGCATAAATTTCTTTATCATTACAATGGCAGAGTTTATAAATAAAGTACAGTTAACTGAAACAATTAGGTTCTTAATAGTTAACTATGAACAAGACAACTTCAATATATTTAATTCTATAATAATCGATGAACATGATCCCGCTCTCCTAGAACTCAACCAAAATAATGGGGAAGTAGATTTCGAGAAAAGGAAGCTAGGGTTCATGATGTCTAACTTTGTTGCCTTTTGTGGATGGTCAAATCATCGCATGATATATTTAAGTGAAGATTATCTATCTACAGACCAATATATCTTGGATTTCCGATCTCTATACGATAGAGTCCTTGAAACAATCGACGAAGTATTAGTGGAAATGGTAAGAGGTTCACGTATTTCATTTAGTTATGTTAATTCTTGTTTCCATATTTCAAGAATATTTTTCACTTCGTTGGCACGTTCTAGGTTAGAAGATGGTCAATTAAGAAACAGAAGAGTCAATTACAGCGGTTCCCGGAGATACTTTGAAAATTATCTGCAAGCATTTCCATCATCAATAGGCTTGCCAGGTGATAATGATTTGGAAAATAAATTAATGAGCTTATCATTAAATGTTGGTATGTTAAAGAAGACTCACTTTCTTACTACTGAGATCCTTAAAAAAGTCGATAGTGAAGCTGAACTTAAAATGCAATTCGAATCTTCATTTCTAGATGGTCTCTTACGAATTCTATCATACAAATTTGATTCTGCAGACGTAACTCCAGAGGATACTAGTAGTGGTATAGTTCGTCCTGATTTAGGAATACGGGTGACTAAAGCAGGTAGCCAATTTTATGTGCCTATCGAGCTCAAAACGAGCGGATTAAGAGGAGCTATCGATTCAATAGCAAATCATAACTTGCCATTTATGGGACCAAACGCATTTAGAGAGCATTTCAATCAAAGTATATTTCAGATGCTTACATATCACTCGGAGATAGGATTCCTCATCGATAGATCTTCGATTATTATCATAAGAATTAAGCTGTCAAAAATCGTCAATCAATTAGTGAATCAAGCTGACGGTTCACTTTTAAAAGTCTTAGATTGTTCAGTACTTTGTTTAGAACACAGCACTAATGGTAATAATTTAGGGTCAATATTAATTAGTTATTTGGCAGATTATTTCCAAAATATAACTTTGCAACGTACTACGGCAATTGAAGTGTTATTTAGAAGTTTTCAGCTAAGTGAAGATCAAAAGCGTCTTAGGATGGTTAGTAGGGTAGATTTTGTTAGAGGAGAATGGCTCAACAGGTTCTCAAATTATCAGTTGGTTGGCAATTCTTTCGTTCATAATTCCCATCCTGATATTCTGATTGCTCGTGAAATTTTTGAACTCAAAGATTTAATTGAGGAGTGGAGAGAAAGAAATGAGAATGAATTTGAAATTGTTCGGAATTTGAGGGATGGTGAAAATATCAATGGCCACTTCTCTAAAGTGTTCTTGGGTAGATTTCGTGGTACCAATAGTAATATTGTACTTAAAATCTATGATCCCATGTCAGCTCCCATCCTTGATAGAGGAATTGGGTTAGCAGACAGAGCATTCAACAGTGTGTTCAGTTATATACTAGAAATGTTTTTCTCAGAAATTAGAGCCTATCTCAAAATAAGAGGTGTACCAAGTGGTACGGATAATTCTCCACCTGATAGTGGCAGTGGAAATAAATCATTGAAGAGTTTAATAAATATTAATTACACTCCTTTTCTCTATGATTTCGGTTACTTCAGTGGTTCGATGGGACTGGGATTTTACTTAGTTGAGGAATTCCTCGTCGATGAAAAATTAAATTGTGAAACTGAGCATTTCAATACTTTGGCTAGGGAAGCTCTCACTAAAGTCCATCAAATTGGATTGATCCATGGGGATATTCATGCTGCTAATTTAATTTATGAAAGGCGTAGAGATCGAGTTTTCTTAATAGATTTTGGAAAATCTAGCTTTACCAACCTTGATGAGATTCAAAACAATATAGAAACTGACTGGGTAGATTTAGAAAGAACCTTACTTCAAATTCGAAATATGAGATTTCATTTAAACCATTAAATTTATCTATAATTTTGCTAGTATTAATTGCTTAAAAGTATGACTACTTATAACAAGAGAGTATTTATGTTAATATATTAATTTCCGTAACTATTTCCCTGATTCAATAGTGCTTATATAAAACATATAGTTTTTCAAAAAGTGAAGTCGCAGTCAAAATCATTTTCTATAAATGTCTATGAAGGGTATGTGAGTTGAAAAATGTCAACTGGCTCCGTTTGTCTGAAGATAAAAGTAAAAAAGTAAAAACAATGGAAATTTAGAGTTTTTAATCGTACTTATTCTTATTAATAAAATCAAGTTGTATATTTTCGCAATCATTTAACAAAAATCTATTTTTAATAATTGAATGCGGTTAACCAGACTACTATAAAAAGAATTGGTTAGATTACCAGGAAATCGTGGCAACAAAACCCTTTGGATACTTCCTTGCAATGAGCTTTCTAGATTCATCATAAATAAAGACAATTAGACCAAAACCAATTGCGATGAAATAATATTCGACTGGAACTTGAGCTGTACCCATAGCATTCGGGATGGCAGGAATGTAATTTATGAAAAATGTAATACCCACAGCAACCTGCATGACAAATAATTGCATAAATACCAAATTAACAAAGTAGATAGCTTAGTTTACAATATTGAATAGTTATTAGTAATTGGTATAGTAGATTTTGCAGTCGTGGGGGCGGCCTGCATAGAAACACTGGTAAATCCATCCGTGGGTACATTTAGCGCACGTGACGAGCGGATCAGTTAGTAAGCCGACAAATTTAAATCATTGCTGAGCGGAAGCGGCCGAGTCAATAATTTAATTTACGACACGAAGAGAGAACAAAGTGTAATAAAAGAGAACAAAGTGTAACAAAAGAATGAGTAACAGAAACAGTAATCGCCGTAGCAAACTTACGCATAATAAACAGTAACACTAATTAACTATGCACGCCAGTATATACTATATATTCATTCTAGACTATACAATCCATAGAGCAAATGTACTTGTAAACATTATAGACTATACGATAGACTAAATAGAATAGACTATACGATAGACTAAACAGAATAGACTATACACTATACATAAACTATACGATAAATTCTAACATCTAATCAGATCAGATATGTCATGATTCACATGGGCTAATAAGTAAGCAGGGACTATCTTACCCAATTAGGCAGTAGTAATCCGAGTCAATTCCATGACTCAAAGTCGTGTCCCCCCGAAACCGCTTGAAAATTTTTATCCATACAAATACATATATGTATAAGCAATTATTTACTTCTTCTCTTTCTAAAATACATACTAATATAAATTTAAGACCACCGCCCAAATACCCCTAGCAGCATTGCATGATCTACATATATTAATAATAAGCCATTCAGCATGAATTTCCATCCGACTGACTACTTACAGGATTTGAATCTCGATTTTGACTCGAGTGCTCCATCTAACAACGTTTCTCCTAACTTCAGTTCTACTGACTTAGACGTATTTTCCCAGGCTGACTTTTTTGCCTTGGATGTGTTTTCAAAGGATCACATTGTCCCTATCAAGCAACAACAATCCCAACAACAACCTCAACAAGTTCAACAACAACCTCAACAATCAAAGCCCGTCACAGTTAAACAAGAATATGAACTGTCTTTGTTAACACAGGCACAAGAATTAGGATTGGATTTCTTAGATTTCAATCCAGCTGTACCTCCAGCACCTGCAAATCAAATACAAGCAGTAATTGATGAATCAAGACACGCAGTAGCTGAGATTGCAGCTCATGAAGATAAGAGAAAAAGAAACACCGCTGCCAGTGCTAGATTCCGAATTAAGAAGAAACTTAAGGAACAAGAAATGGAACAAAAATCTAGAGAATTACAAGATAGACTTGTAGCCTTAGAAAAGAAATTAAAGACCTTAGAAATGGAAAATAAGTGTCTTAAAAATCTTATCTTACAACAAAATGAACAAAAGAACACAGACTTATTGGAAAGTATTAAGAAAAGAAGTATGCTTGACTCTAAGCCTGTATTTCAATTCACCAGTTAGTTTTAGTTTTAACTACTGGAATCATATAAAATCCAACTTTTATATGCTCAGGATCTTAAAATCCAACTTTTAACGACCTTGCATGATCACAATAACGACAACGATAATGACTTTATGATATTGTTTAATTCCTCAAGAGATCCAACTCTCTTGGGAGATCAGAAGATCCAACTCTGTCTGATCTCATCTACTTAACTTTAAAAGTACTAAGAGTTTCGTAAACTCTGTACTGTAAATATAATATACGTCTAGATAAAATACTGAAGATCTAATACAATGCTAAAGAATTTAATTCATCAAAGGCGTACATTACCACTCTTTGCCACTCAATTCAATCCACTGGCATGGCTCTACATCTCTATCTATTAAAAACTGATAACTATAATAAGCAAAGTATTTTAGCCTTGGGTAGTACCTAATATTTGTGTTTATCCACTCCACTAAATCCTTAATCTCTTCCTTAAGCTCCTCACAAACATCTTCTTGTTCATAAAATATATCAACGGTTAATAATGTTGTCCTATTCTCATAGCTCACTTTGTTAATCCTGAGAAGTTCAAGATTCGATCCCCAGCAGCTTAGCAATTCTTTGACATAAAAACCGAGCTTGCTATTACTTAATGTGACAGTATCTAAAACGTCTAGCGAAAACTTGCGAAGCGGATAGTTAGGAAATTTTACAAAGGCATACTGAACAGTTGTGCTCAAACTAACGTGCTCCACATTTTGAAAAACTAGTACTTTTATATTGGGCATTGCCTTCAACAAATTTAATATCCCAGTTCTAGTGTAGTTGCAAGAAAATTTTATTTCGACTTGTTTGATGTTTTCTAAACAGAATAATTGTATAACCGATGCTATTCTATGACTATTAATGTTAAGAGGGTCCAAAGATAACGATTGTGCTCCATCAAAAATTCCCGTCCACTGATCGAGTAGTGTAGGAGGTGTACAGGTCGATAATAATTCCACATTCTTGAACGAACAGAATGAATCAGAATTCTTCTTAGCAATTTCATAGCTAGACCAATGATCCTTTAAATTTACCTGTAACATTTGGTATGATCTCTGATTATGTTGATCCTTCGGCTGAAAGGGTTGCTTATAATCTTCTGCTGGTAGGAAATAATTGTGTCCTCTTTCATAACCATCACTTAAGAGATTGGGTCCTATTATGTATTGAAATTTACTGTTTGGGATATGTGCTGAATTACTCACAACTGTGAAATTTATATAGCCATATGTATTCAATTTACGATGTATTATGAGTTTCCGTCCGACGTTGCTAACAAGTACTCTTCTGTACAATTTGTTTTTGCATAACATATAGAGTCTTCTATTGACCTTACATAATTCTAATAGATCAAGTTGGTTCAAGTGGTCTATTATTTCAATCAATATTTCTTCGGGTAAAGACTCTAAATCCATAACTGATTTGATGGCTGTAGAAATTGCCCTACTTTATATCCTGTTTGCTTTATGTATAGTCTTCTTCATCAATATGGTAGTATTGTAGGTGCATTTTTTTGCAGCTTTCAGATAATACAAAACTTTTTTAAGAAAGAACAATATGTCCAAATAGTGCTTTGCTGTTAACCGAAAAAGTATAGCGAAATGATAATAAGCTCTTTTCACTGCTCCTATTAGTTTAAAACGAATCAACTAAGATCAGATTCATTTTAACTCACATCTTAATGCATGTTTTAAATTGGAGTTATCGAATGGTACAGCTATAAATAATTTGGGTAAGATCTTGTTCTGTAATCATTTTGTTAAGTTTAAGTTTAATCTAAGTTCAATTAATTAATATCAATAAATCAGGATAAGAATTTTCTTTACCTGAAGTAATTTCATTTAGTCTAGTTATGCTCTCTTTCCTCCTCTTCATCCTCCTCATTCGTCTTCTTCTTCATCTTCTTCATTTACTTTCGTCAAATCATAATAAATCAAATAGCGATTTAAACTATCTTCATTCAATAGTAAATTATACTAGTACACACAGAAGAGTCACGAAAGCTATAACTCTTAAATTGATGATAACAAGACGTCGGTTAACACTAACGAGTTGTCACCACTATTTTGTATTTCATAAGAAAATGTATTTTAGTACATGATAGTTGTTCTGTGACATGCACGGGTTTATCAAGAGTAAATAAGTTCAAAGCATCTTCATTGTTCATTGTTATTTCCACTTTTAAGACACGGTTACCATTAACACCGCTGTGGTGTCTTGATTCACCCTTTACAATCTTCTCATAGAATTTAGTTAAATTCGATAATCTGTTTGAACAAATAAAGTAATATAAGGTCAATAATTATAGTTTAAAGTGCAAGGGTAGAGTTTAAATTATGATATAGTTAGATTTCTTAAACGGATTGTTACGTTTTTGTTGTGATTCATTGTTTGCATTAACTATAACAGTAGTTGAATATTAGGTTTTATTTGGTTTTAGTAGTTTTTGGCAATGTATTTACGAAGAAGTTCTATATACTATTAGGCTAAATATGAGCTCTTGTGAATTTAAAACTTTACTCCAAAGGTGCACAACTTTCTGGGTATAATAATAGTATGAGTAATGTTCAACGAGTTCAGAGATCTCAGTAATGAGTCCCTATTGAGATCCAGCTTCTTTCTGTCATAACACTACCAATAATTAGTAATATACTACACTACACTATACCACAGTAAACTCAGGCAGTATCTTCTCTTTACTACTGACTACTGACCATATTAGATCTCTACGCAGTCCCTCCCTCACCCTCTCACTTCTGTATCTACAACAACATTATTTGTACTGTATCCATACTCCACATAATATACTCTCACTAACCCCCACTATTCTCAATCTCACAAAACAAATTGGCAGCCCACCACTACATCTCAACTACACACTTAATAGTAAGGTGGTATTGTCTGGCATACTTGCAGTCAATCTGCTCACTAACCCTGTATAATAAATTCTTCATCCTTCCATTACTAACTCACCTTATAAACTAACTCTCCACTTCCCCCATGAATTACTCCCTGCCCATACGGCAGCTTGCCCTGGAAGATATCTCCCCTAATACATCGACCAATACTCATAATGAGGCATCGACTACTTCACCAACTATCTTCCATCTGCCAGTATTTCAAGCATCCAATCATGATTTAAGATCTATTGATCGTTCAGTATCTCCTCGAGACATTGAACGTCAAGATATTACATCACGATTAGAACATGAATTAACCAGTAAATATCCAACTTATTTAAATACAATTGAAGAACAAATAGATTTACGTTTAGCATCATCAAATAATCCAACCATTGTAATGGAATTAGATCTTGATGGGAATGTAACATATTTATCGAAGAATTGGGAATTTATTATAGGAACTTCAATTAAGAAGATTATTCATCATCCAATTTCTAAAATATTAATTGGTAATAATGATGAAGATCTTCAAGTATTTAATCATGCAATAACTAAAATGATTACTGATGATGTTAGTTATAAAGTAAAATTCATTACTGCTACAAATACTACGCCTTTAGCAAATCCATTAATGCAATCTGAATTAAATGCTGATGAAGTTTCTATATTAACTCCTAATAATTCTTTAGCGGAATTATCAGATTCTCAAGTACCTATCCCCATAGAAGATTATATACCTATGACTAAGGCTACAGAAGAACAACAACAGCAACAACAACAAGAACAACGAGAACATCAAGAACAGCAAGAACAAGAACAATATGATCACGATCAAGAGCATCAACATGATTCAGATGATAATTCATCAACTATTTCATCTAAATTATCCAATAATGGAGATATAATTGAATTAGAAGCTCAAGGAATCCTTATTCATGATTCTAAAACTAAATTACCTACACATTCTATGTGGACTATCAAACCATTTGTTCATATTGATCTTGATCTAACAATTCCTGATACTCTTATAAATCTTTTAGGATTTGGAGCCGAAATCTTTGAAGGTTATTTATTTAATTTAAAAGAATTAGGAATTATTGATGAAGATGCTGTACCACAACCAAAGACAATTCTTTGTAGAATTTGTGAATCTCAAATCCCCGCATGGTTCTTAGAGAAACATAGTGATTTATGTTTAGTTGAACATAAAGTTGATGAAGAATTACAAGCATGTCATGAATCATTAAGTGATCAAAGAGATTTAATCTATAGAATTCAAGATTCATTACTTTTACAACTGAACCCTCCTCTTCCTACTGGTCCCCCATTAGATTCAAATATGTCTTCTACTTCATTATCATCTTCAATATCTTTAAATTCAACTACAGCATCAATTGCTTCATTAGCTTCTTCATCATCTGAAGAACCTCAACTATTACTTGATTATAAAGGATTACCCTTACCATTAGTTTCTAAAGATTCAGATTTACCATCTTCATCAAGTTCAGGATCATTTTCATCTCCTAGACTTGCAAATCAAGTATTACAAAAGAATTTTCAAGCTAAGAAGAAATTCCCCTTTGGAATTTTAACTCGACTTATTGATTTATGTGATGAAGCATTACTTATAAATCCTCCAATTCATGATAGTATTCATGAAATTCAATTCTCTCCCACTACAGAACGAGCCTTATCAAAAATTATGAATTCTAATCTCTTTTTAGAAACAAATGATCCAGCAATTCGTCTTATAATTGATGATACTCAAAATTTAATTAATGAGAAGGTAGAAACTTTATCTCGATTAATATCTATCTTACAACTTAGTGATAGAATTAAGAAAGATGTTGATGAAGGAGTTCTTCAAACCGTTCGAGAGACTGTGACTAAAATTAAAGAACAAAGTGCCCCAAATAATCTATTACTTAATGATCTGAATGATTCTACCACCACCACCACCACCACCGATAAAGTATTACATTCTCCTCAACCTTCACGAGCTAGAAGTCCTCGACTATTTGGTAATGAATCATTTGAAGGTAAATCAGTAACTCCTAAAGATATTTTACTTCAACAACATCGTCTGACATCTCCTCGAGTTTCATCTCAACTTCATATAACTACGAGTCATTCATCTTCTACATCTTTACATGCTCCTGTACCTCAAGTTCAAAGAATTAATAGTACAGCCATGGGTTCAATTAATTCTTCAAGTTCTTCACTTTCAAGAGAACTTATTGAATCAATGCAACAACTTGATTTATCTAAGAAATCAAGTGAAAATATGCTTAATTCATCATCATTTTCTTCTCCAAGACGTCATTTATCTCCAGCTCCTTATGTTGATAAACCTCATCTTTCTTCATTACAAAGAAATCCATCTCGAATAGAAACTCCTTCTCAATCTCCTTCAATCGATGCAACTAATGATAATTTACCAACCCCAACTCCACCTCCTCCAATTGCTTATATTCCACCCACTTTAACTCTGACACTGACACTGACACTGAATCTGAATCTGAATCTGATTCTGATTCTGGGTCAACCTCCTTTATTACCTCCAGTATTAACGGCAAGTACTAGTTCAAATTCCAGTATGAATAATGAAGGTAGAAGAACTAATTCTGGTGGAACTCTTAGTATTCCAACCAGTACTAAAAATTCAATTAGTAATGCTAGTAAACCTCCATTATCTCCATTATTAGTATCAACTACTCCCACTTCAAAGCCTAGTGGAGGAGGAATTAAAGATTATGAAATTATTAAACCTATTTCTAAGGGAGCCTTTGGATCAGTTATATTAGCTAAACGAAAAATTACTGGAGATTATGTGGCTATAAAATGTTTAAAGAAACGAGATATGATTGCTAAGAATCAAATACTTAATGTTAAATCTGAACGAGCAGTTATGATGAGACAAACTGATTCACCATATGTGGCACAATTATATAGTAGTTTCCAATCTAAAGATTATCTTTATTTGGTAATGGAATATTTACATGGAGGTGATGTAGCTGCACTTCTTAAAAGTCTTAAAACTTTAGGAGATTGGTCAAAACGATATATTGCAGAAATTATTGTAGGAGTTGATGATTTACATAAACGAGGAATAATTCATCGAGATTTAAAACCAGATAATATCTTAATTGATGGTAGTGGACATTTAAAATTAACTGATTTTGGACTTTCTCGAATTGGAGTAGTAGGTAGACAAAATAGGGATCATCGAAAGAGTAGTACATCTGAACAAGCCATTGAAATCTTTCGAAAGGGGATTAATCAATATAATCAATATAATCAAAGTCCTCTAGCTAATACTAATGCTAATGCTAATGCTAATGCTAATTCTAGTACTAATACTAATAATATGAATATGAATATGAGTATTAATACTAGTACTAATACTAGTACTAATGCTAATATGAGTCTTAATATAGGTATAGATTCTCCTCTTTCTGATTTCCATCATAAGAGAACAAGTTCAGTAACTCCATTCTCATTATCTCCAACTTTAGATCATACTCGATTATCTACAGGGAATTATATAACTTCTCCAACCCTTTCATATTTGGAAACTTTCTCCAATCTTCATAATACTTCCCAACCAAATCCTTCATCTCTGGGTCTGTCAACTCATGCTCTGAGAGCTGGATCATATTTTAAACCTACAAGATCAGGATCAGGATCTAATAGTGGATTAGAATCTCCTTTATTAAAACCAATATTACCTCGTACATCTTCTGAATCTTCATTTGCAATATTTGAAGATGATATTCAAATTAGTCCTTATCAAAATACTATTAATACTCCTCCTGCTATACCTCCTACTACTTCTTCAAGTGCTATAACAACCACCACCAATACTTCTTCTCCAGCTGTTCCTGCTACTAGTTATGCATTATTTGATCCAAAGAATGAAAATAATACAGCCATGATTAAATTCGTAGGAACTCCTGATTATTTGGCTCCTGAAACCATTGAAGGAGTTGGACAAAGTGAAGTTAGTGATTGGTGGTCTTTAGGATGTATTTTATTTGAATTTATTTATGGTTATCCACCATTTCATGATGAAACTCCCGATAAAGTATTTAAGAATATTTTAAATGGACAAATTGATTGGCCAGAACTTAGTGCTGAAGATGATGAAATGATTTGTCCACCAGATGCTAAAGATTTAATTAAGAAATTATTAAATGTTAATCCTGAATTACGATTAGGATATAATGGAGCTGATGAAATTAAACTGCATCCTTATTTCCGAGGTATTAAATGGGATACATTATTTAATGAAGAAGCATCATTTATACCGGAAATTGATAATCCTGAATCAACAGATTTCTTTGATCCTCGTGGTGTAGATACTTCTCAATTCCCTATTGATAATGGAAGTGATAGTAGTGAAGATGAAAAATCAAGATCAGATTTAAAATCAAAATCTCGATCTGATGATTCATCTAATTATTTACTTTTACCTCCTGGTTCAAGTCCTAATTTAAGTGGTAGTACTAAAAAGGAAAGAAGAGGTAGTAAATTATCTGATCTTTCTGAATTTGGTTCATTTACATTTAGAAATTTAACGGTATTAGAAAAACAAAACAAAGATGTAATTAATCGATTGAAAAGTGAACATTTAGAACATCGAAATAGTTTTTCATCTACATCATCTGAATCTACTCCATCTTCAAGATCTCGAGGATTTTCTTTTACTGGTGGTAGTCCATTTAAACGACCAGTTTCTCCGATTGGAATTCGTTCTCAATCTCCTAGTAAATATGCTTCTGATACTATAAGTTCATCATCACCTCAATCACTAAAACATGAACGAGTTGATTCAGCTGTTAGTGTTTATTCAAGTGGAGATGATGATCCATTACAACAACATTTACAGCAGCTGCAACAATTACAACAAAATCAACAAAATCAACATCATCAACTGCATCAACATCTTCATCATAGACCATCACTTAGTATGTTACAAAAGTATCGAGATTTTTCATCATCTAGTTCTGATACTGAAGAATCAAAAGCCTCAGCATTTCTTCGAGTTAAAAAGCGTAGAGAATCATCCATGAGAGATTTTATTGATAATGCTAGTATTACTAGTACTGGAGGTGGAGATACATCATCCATATCAATTCATCGAGAATTATATGTATTATATTGTGAACCAATTCCTATTGTTCGTCATAGTGTATGTAAATTATTAGAAAGAAGTGGATGTATAATATTAACTATATCAGATGGAGAAGAATTAATTAGACGAGCTACTAGTAAAGTTAAATTTGATGTAATACTTACTGCATTAAAATTACCTAAAGTTGAAGCTATCGATGCAGTTAAATTAATTAAATATACTACTACATCAAATTCTATAACTCCAATAGTGGCAGTGACTGGATTTGCTAAAGAAGCTTTGGAATCAGGAGTATTTGATTATATATTAGAAAAACCAGTGGTATATGAAGATATTAAGAAATGTTTTGATACTGTATGTAATGATACGGCTGTATCTGATACTGAAGAATAGAATAGAAATGATTGTATAGATAATGAATAAAGTGGTTATACCCTTCTTTTTTTTTTTTGCAGCCATGATGATTTTCGCATCCGTAGCCGCCACTCTCTTCTCTTGTCTTCTCTTCTCTTCTTTCTTGTCTCTTTGCGAACTCTATGCTTCCTTGCTCATACCCGCTCGAGGTTAATCCGGCGGAAGATCCTCACCTCAGTATAGTTGAAAGACGTCAAGTTCGAGCTTTACAAATTGCTAATTATTCACTATATATATTGGTGCTCACTAATTTAGGTGATAGTATTCGAGATCAGTCTCCGCGGGTAATTGATACTAATCAACAAGTATTTCCCGAAGTGATATATCATCCATGTAAGGGGAATGGGAATGGGAATGAATTCCGTCAAGGTATGGATCTGACAGTATACTTAAATAATGTGGCTATTGCTCAAATATATAAACAAGTAACTCTTGTGTTTGATTTAGGTATTGCTGATAATGGAGATGGGATGACGGATTTATTGAAGGGCATTATATCATTAACTAAACAATGTCCCAGTCTTGAATATATGGTATGGATACGGAAATGTATTCCGATGGAATTAGGTAGTACAATTGGTAAACAATTTAAATTACCTGTACATTTACTTAAACAGATAAATATATTGGGTTTTGCATTTGAAACGGATTATATTCCCGGTGATTGTTTGTTATCATATACTGAAATGTTAGAATTATTCCCCATATTACCTTTACAATGGCTTAATGATCAAAAGAATCTTACAGTACTACATATTGGTGAGAAGGTAAGAATTACGGAAGATATAAGCACTTATACATTCACTAACTTAAATAATCATGGATTTGAAAGTTATGATGTGGACTTACAGAACCGTTGGGGGAAATACTTTCTCACTCGATTACTGAAACCGTTTATGGCCAAATTGTTATTAAGAAACTTTAAGTGTTTATCATGGAATTGGAAACTAATCCCTAAGATTGATCGATTAGTATTAATCGGTTATGATCATTGTTTAGATCAGACGGATATGCTGTATATAGCAGCTAAATGTCAAAAACTTCTATTTATGGGTCATTATGATATTATAGTTAGACTGCTTGGTTTTCGTCAATTTTGCAATATCTCCGTAATTATCTGTCATGAAAGGGAACATCGAGGCCTTGGTAGGTTTAGAGGTTTGGTTAGTCTGTATGAGTTTGGCAGTTTCCATTGGTCATTCCATGCCAACCGGAACTATTTAGAAGGACAAGAGTTCCTGTGGAAGGCGGTGGCTTTACATATGACAGGATTAACTGTTAATGAATTAAATGAAGTTACCATTAGAGATGCCGATATGGTAGCGCGCATCACCTGACTTTTTTGTTGTTGGTAACTCAACAAAATAATATGCCACCTACTTACTGCCGGGTTCCTATTAATATACGTAATCATATAAACCAATTGCAATGCCATCCGCCGAATTCACCGCTAAAGTATGTAGTATCATGTAAACGCCGAACCTGCATTATATATACTAACTAATTTTTAGGCCGAAGCCGTTCAAAACTTAACCACTCGTCCAGATGATGGCGAATTGTTAAAGTTGTACGCGTTATACAAACAGACCACTGTGGGAGACAATACCACAGCCAAGCCAGGAATCTTTGATTTAAAGGGTAAATACAAATGGCAAGCCTGGAAGGATATTGAAGGTACCAGTCAAGAAGATGCTGAACAGCAATACATTGAATTTGCTACTGAATTGATCGCCAAGTATAGCTCATAGAGAGAATTAATGAGAATGGGTAATGTCATTACTATTAGTAGTAGACTTATTGATATAGACCATTTATAATGTATAGTATAATATAATATGAGTGGTTATTTATTATGGTAGTGTAGAATGTATGTTTATTATGGTGGTGTATTACTACTTACGGAAATCTCTATTTAATGAGAGAGTGGATTCCACAAGGATTAACAAAGGTATCCCCAAATAAGGTGAGTACACGGCCATCAAGTTGAGGATTTGAGGTGAGGTCAATCCAAATGCGGGCCCATCGTTGTAGACTGCAGCTAAGCAAAGTAATGTAGTGAAGGCAGCATTGAATCCGTAGATGATTGAAAACACATAGTAGTTAATGGACTTACGGTTATTCCAGAGTGACCATGCTAGGTAGAAGAATAAAGGTAATTGGAAAGTCAATTCCAATAACCCGGAAATCTTGAACCAGAGGGGCTTTTCAACAAGCAAGAAGTCGTGGTTGGTGGAGATGTGGAAGTCTAAGATATGCTGTGAGACCGGGAGGAGGTATTTGGTGGGGACAATGATGGATGAGTCGATGAGGATAGTGATGGGAATGTGAATGATGTAGTAGGCCAAGTAAAAAGTATCTAACGAGATCATTGTTTGTGTGTTTGTAATTATTAGTGGTACTGGTGGTAGTGGAGGTAACTGTCTCATGCGAAATATTATAGTGAAAAATTTAATTATCGTGATGGTAAAGATTATGGCTATTGCTCCAAATATGATTAGAAGTTTAACACGATCGTCTATTATAAGATATCCAACACTTCGTAGCTTTCCAATAATCAGAATGTCAAGTACTGGTGCTCCTGCCACTAAGAAGCTTAAAATTGATAGCAGTTCAAGTTCAAGTTCAAGTGCTAGTCCATCTGCCAGTCCACTTGCAAATAGTGATATTACTCCAAGTCCAATTCCTACGTCCTCAAAGCGATTAGTTTCATTTATTAACAAATCTAAAGATAAAATACTGAAAGAACCTGTAGTTGAAGAAATCAAAGGCCCATTAGTATGGATCGATTGTGAGATGACGGGATTAGAGGTATTGAAGGATGATCATATTATTGAAATATGTTGTATAATCACCGATGGTGACTTAAATATCATCGATAAAGATGGTTACGAATCAACCGTCTACTATCCTGTTAGTGTGCTTGATAATATGAACCAGTGGTGTATTGAACAGCATGGAAAGTCGGGACTTACTGAGAAAGTACTAGCTAATCCACAACGAACTTTAGAGAAAGTTGAAAAGGAACTATATGATTATATTATAAAATACATTCCTAAGACTAGAACTGGACTATTGGCTGGTAACAGTATTCATATGGATAAATTCTTTATGATGAAAGAATTTCCTAAAGTTATTGAACATTTACATTATAGAGTAATGGATGTAAGTACTATAATGGAATTTGGTTTTCGTCATAATCCCAAATTAATGAAAGTTGCACCTAAGAAAGAGACGCTTCATACTGCTAGATCAGATATTTTAGAGAGTATTAACCAATTAAAATGGTATAAGGAAAACTACTTTAAGTCTGAAGAAGATGTCAACCAGATCATTGAAGCTCATAGGAAGAAAATGGAACAAATTAGGGCTGAAGAGGAACTAAAGGCTGAGCAGATTTTGAATAATATACTGAATCGTTCAGCTGAAAACCTAAAGGATGAGAAGAAAGTAGATAATATGTAAATAGATGACAGTATTATACAGATACTATTTTAAACAAAGCGTACTAGAAAACAATTGTAAATCGGAAAGATAATCCTAAAATAGAATATAGGCAATCCGTAAACTCGAAAAGGGATACAGTCCAACGCATAAAGGTCCAGCAGAAAGGGGCTGGGATATTAGAGGCTGAGACGCTACGAAAGTTTAAAACTACGGCTACTTCCATAAGGCTGAGGAACTATGAAAGCTGAGAACTACGAAACAACTTATATGCACACAAATAGAAGATAAGGCTGTAACAAATATTTAATAGAACCCTTAACAAAGACATGTTACATTAGCTTCTAGAAAAGTTGTATTGTGAATCACAATAAGGTTATAAAATAATAAGTACTAACGGTTACGATTACGCAACCTTTTAATACAACTACGACTATTGTTAAGGTGAATCATCACGATTAATAATATACGGTTGTGTATACTAACCAAAAGTAGTGGTGATGCCCATAACTTAACTACTTTTAGTAATGAGATATGCGCTGACATAATATACGCTTACCTAAGCGAGTACTAAACTCGGCACGGCCGAAGATTATTGAGATGGTACGTCCGTCCGCATTCTTTCATCCTTTTTCTCGCTTTTTTTTCTTTTTTTTTTACCGCTCCAAATAGTTAAGGCCGCCGATTCTCCGATAATAGTTAAACTTTTTTTGTTTTTTCGGTTTGCTGTTTAGTAAGCGCAACCCTGGTGCTAAACACCTGTAGAATCCGTAATCACTGGTCGCTTTTCGGATTTAATGGGTCTGACAAACTCGGCTTAATAAAAAAGTCATTAGTTATACGCAGAAATATTTTCGCAGTTAACTAACAGTATAATACGGCTCGGAATCATATCATTAATTATATAAATAAATAAACATCGCCACCTATATCTTTAAATGTTTAATCTTTATATGTTACTTTAAATAGTTAAAGCCTTCTTGTATTATCTCCACTTCCTTTCACATATATAAACATGTCGGAAACTTACCCTTGGACATTAAAATACGATAATTCATTAAATCAATATTACTATATAAATAATATAGACCAATCAATAACGTTTGATTTACCTTGTGAAGTTAACCATACACCATATTCATCAATGAGTTCTTCAAAGGGAAAATTCTTATCTAAATTAAAGAGAAACAGTAGTAGTACTGGTACTGTTTCTAGTGGATGTTTAACTAATAGCAATAGCAATAGCAATTCAAACACTTCAGTATTATCTAAAATCAGTTCGGTGTTATCTTTGAGATCTTCGAAATCTCATGATTCAACTATAAGACATGAATCTATACAAGAAGAAGAGCCAATAGTGGTTAAGCAATCACAAGCCACTATTCCTACTTCTAATTCTGCTACATATACTCCTCCAAATTCTTCATTGGAATCTTCATTTAATATTTCATTAGAAGAAATAAATAACAATGAAAATGACGATAATTCATCAATAATATCTGGTTTAGACGATGAATATCTCATAAACAATTACTCCAATTTCAGAAATTTCGCTGGTACTTCACTCGTCAATTCTCCATCTCGTATGACAATGATTGAAGATTACGATGTAGAGGAAGAAGAATACGACGAACAAGAATCTATAAACTCATACGAAAGTGAATTTGAAGAAGAAGTCCATTCCTTCTATGATGATTATAATACTTCCTACATACCTGATGATTCCTATTACTATTATCATCCACAAGATGAGCAACAGCAAACTCCAATTCCTACTGATGAAATTCACAAATACAATGTAGACAAAGAATTAGAAAGACGTGACTTACGTTTACAAATTCTTAAAGAATTATACTAAATAATAAGATTATATTAAACAAGCATCTGTGGAGACAAGATCTGAATCATTGTCAGGGTGGTACGGGTATTTTTAACATAATAATTTAATTTTTGTTAATATTAATTAATTTTTTTGCGGTTTTTCGGCGGCTCGGTCATAACCAGCTGCAAATATTCGCTCATCTACAGAAGCTTCATATACATTAATTGTTTATTTTATTGCATATCCAGCAGGTTTCAGGGTTCGGTTCGTGTGGGGTTTTATTTCCGGTGGTTATTTATTTAGACATGTACATAGTTGATATATTTATTTAATACATTTAACATTATTATTGTTAAGATCTGTAGTGGGTAGTGAAATATGGAGAATCTCGTTTGTTGTTGTTTCCGAGCCCGACGCGACATGCGACAATGAGCGACAATGTCTAAAAGTGGAGATACTCATAACCAAATGATGAAGAAGCTCAACACACCACCTGTCAAATGCCAACATCCTACCCCTCCAATGCAATATTACGAATAGAGTAGTTACTACTCCAATTTTGGGTTTTTTAGTGTGTAATGTAATTGTAAATTATAATTTGTAAAGTGTAATTAATCGTTGGCTGTTATTTACATAATTGGTCAATGAGTTAAGTCAAGTAGCTCAACATTATTGACTGTCTATATACATAATCGTAAGTTAAATGGACAAGATTTCATCTTAGAATGCTTAAAGTTTAATTTCAATAAACATTTAGTGTCTTTTGATGAATCCATGATTGTCTTGTCTCTTTCTCTTCGTTTGTTCTAATTTCTTATCGGCTTGTCTGGCTCTTTGAATAGCACTTTGCTTATTCTTTTCCAACATGTCTCCGAAATAATCTCCAATACTTTGATTGGATTTAGCTAAAGTCTCAGCACTTGGCTTGACAAGAGGTGGCATCTTAGCAAATCTTCTAAAAAATCCTGATTTAAATAATATAGCTTGTATGAATGAAAATGCTGAATTGACTGCAAAGTAAAGGACAACAGCAGTTGAGAAATTCTTAGTAATAAATATAGAAGCAAATGGTAATATATTCAACATAGTCTTTATTGGTTTAGACATTTGTTGATTGGCTCCAGTTTCACCACCCATTCTAATCACCATTAAAATTAAAACAGCAGATAAACCTTGTAATCCTAAATAAGGATCAACTTCTGCTAAATTTTGAAACCATAAAGCACCTTGATCTGAAAACCCTTCTACTGGATGATTGGCCATTTTTCTTAAAGCTTGGAAAAATCCATAAGCAAATGGTAATTGCATAATTGGAGCTATACCAGCTAAAGTGCTTACTCCATATTTCTTCATAACCTTTTTTCTTTGTTGCATAGCAATCATACGTTCATTTGCATTTTCAGCAGTTCTAACTTCTTCCATAATAGCATCTAATTCAGGTTTAGCCTTTTGCATTCTAGACATATTGGATGAACTCTTCATATAAAATGGAAATAATGCAAATCTAACACCTAATGAACATACAATAATTGTACCCCACCATGGTAAACCAGTATATACATGACAATACTCTAACATAGTTTCAACTAATGATGTTGGACCCCAACCTTGAGCTAACCCTATTGAATCTAAATATCCAATTTGATCTGAATGTAAAGTAGTTGTGGTTGTAGTGACTACTTCATCAAATGTTGGTAAAGTAGTCGAAATCTCTTTGGCTATTTCACTAGTAGCATTGGTAGTTGTGGAATTGAATCTGACGGAATTACCCATTATCATATTAGACATAATCACAGGTTTATATCCATTAATTATCATTCTATTTGAACTCATAGGCTTAATATTAATCATGGCTTTACTCCCTATATTGGAGAGTCTAGCTATCCCTATTCTTTGCATTTTTGATTTCTCACTATGTCTTGGTTAATTGGGGAACTAGTGCCTCGTGAGAATGTTATCTGCCTATTAATACTATATTATACCTCCAATAGTGTCATATATCTACTGGTGGTTATGGGTTAGTCTCGACTATAATTTGAAAAATTTTTTGGACCGCTTATGTAAGCCACCTGATAGCGACGTCTCTTTCTTACAATTTTACAATTATCCTGATGTTACAGAATAGTGGCTCTACAAGATGATAATAGATGTATAGAGGTGTTGATTGTGTATGTATACGTGTTTGTATGTAATTTTGTTATCGTTGTTGTTTTTATAGTTACTTATGCTAGAAGGAGCCATACTCTTTACACTAGTATAAGTGACTAGTTAAGATGCTACACATTCTATAATACCACTACTTCATTATATAATTCGCTTAGAACACTCTTACCGCTTAAGCTACTTCTACTACTACTACTACTTCTCCTACTACTACTTCTACTACTACCCCTACCAAAATTCATCTCTTCAGTTATTAGCCCATATGGAGAGGGTCGTGTACCTCCACCCAAACCTACCAATATCTGAGACCATTTTAATGTACGTAATATTCATCTCTTATACCTCCTCTCCACTACACCATGTTCGTGGTTAGACTGGTATCTCGAAGTACTCGTATAGCAAAGTCCACATGGCCATTGTGTGCCCCATATGTTTTACGACGTCATTTTGGTTTGTCATCCATAGATATCGACACTCTTGAATCGATTCCGGATCAGATCATAATTGACTACTTTGTAAAAGCACACCTTACTCAGACTAATGATATCCCAACCGTTGAAAAATTAAGTTCATTAGTCAGTAAACTTACCCCTGATGTTCAGGAACAAATCTTTAGTGAGAAAGTACCGTCAAGTTTGTTACTTAATATCAAATTACATACTCTAATATCTGAACTTGCCATTACTGAAAACTATGCTCAAGTATTCAAATTTATTATCAGTTATAGTAGTCAATTACAATCAGAATTAGTTGAAACTTTCTTATTCAATTTATTACAATTAGATAATCTTACTGCTACAACATCATTACTTCACGTTATATATGAAGCTACACCAAACTTAAGACTTTCCAATCAATTCTGGGGATTATTTGTAAATAAAGTTAATGATCTGGGCCATTATTTAGGTAGTATACTTATATATCATCATTTGATAGATCACTACTCATTCTATGACGACCAAAACTATACAACATATGTTCAAGACAATAGTAATATACCATTCTTATTAACACCTACAAGTCTTGAAAATCTTACTATTATATTCAAGAATAACAATGATCCAAGTCGTATAAAGGGACTCGGTGATTATTTCAAACGATTCTATTCGTATGCCAATAATAGAATGACTCTTAAAACATTAAGAGTTTGTCTTGTAGAAGCTTATAGTGATAAAAATGATTTGGAATTGGCCCTAGAAGCCTTTAAAGTTTTAGCCTTTTCAATTCGGTATGGTATATATAATAACAAGCGTCCTGACGAATCAGTACTAATCAACTGGCATAAAATCAATAAGTTTCTGAAAATAGTGAATGCTCTGGGATATTTCTGGAGTCGCAATAATATAGAATTTAATGCTAATCAAGTACCACCATTTCCTAAAAGTCTTCTATCTAATATTGATATTGCTCATAACAAAATCACCTCTGCGGTGTATAATCCTGACTATGAACGCAATATGTATACGAACCAGTTAAATAATAGGTCAAATCCTCTTATCAATGGATCCATCCAAACCAATGATCTCCCTATTTTTCAATCACTCATCACATCCCATATTAAAACTATAAAACAACAGGATCTTAACAGTATTATACCCCAACTTACAACCCTTCTCGGTACCTGTCACTTCCAGTTGACTCCATTTATCATCAATGGACTCTGTCAGAATCAACTATATCAACAAGCTTATACCATACTAACCCAACTCCCACAACAATTCTCAAGGATCCATCTCCGGAACTTGATCAAACTGGAGAATTTCTTTATCATGTTCCATGCATTCAAACTTTATTTCCGTCAGAACAATCTGAACCTGAATCTGAACCTGAACAATCACAGACAGGCCTCAGATATATTCAAATTAATGAATCAAACATTACAATTCTATATAGATATGGATAGGAAATTCCTAGGTAAACTTGCTGGTACTGTATACTCAAGTTATATCGATGCTGCTCTAGCATATGGACAAGTAACCTTAGATGATATTCAATTTCTGTTGGATATGCTCAACCAGAAAGCAGCCGATCCCATGATGATAGATGAGGGTGAATATGAAAAGTTTGAGAGTTTATGTAGTCAGTTAGATCCCAATCCGTATCAGAGGCTCTTTCAGAGGTATAAGCATGCTGTATAGGGGGTTGTGTATAGTGTAGTAATTGTAAATAGTACATAGTACATAGTATTTGTGTATAGTGTATATAGTATAGTACTTATATATAGTGTGTATAGTACGTAGTACTTGTATATAGTACATAGTCTAGTATATAATATATGATATAGTACTTGTGTACAGTATAGTACTTGTGTATAATATAGTACTTGTATATAGTACTTGTGTATACTATATGTACACAGTATAGTATAGCATGTATAGTACACAGTATATCTATATAGTATAGCATGTATAGTACACAGTATATCTATATAGTATAGTATGTATATAGTACTTAGTACATCGTATTCTACATTGTATATAGTATAGCACTTGTATATAGTATATAGTATATAGTATATAGTACACAGTATAGTATACCCTAATCCAGTCTCGGATCGGACATCCGATGAATCTTAACATCACTACTATCAATATCTCCCACTACAGCTATATCCTGCGGAGTTATAAAGATATTCTGAGACTTGGGATACTTCCGAAGCTCTCGTAATAATAACTTAATACTAATGGATCGATTAACTGAATCCATATACACATCGAATTCATCTAGGCCTCTAATTTTAGAATCCATAATCTTCCAAATCGATAATAATAAGGCAATTTGAGCAAATGATTTCTCACCTCCTGATAATGAATCGACCGTTCTTCTTTCCTTATCATTCTTGGTTTGAGCCAATAAGGTTAAAGTCTTCTTATCAAAGGCAAATTCCAAAGTTCCTCGGAATCCTCTTAATCCTAACGCATTTTCAAACGTTCTACTAGCTTGTTGAACACTTGAAAGTATAGTAGTATGTAAGAAATTAAATCGAATATTTAAATCCTTGTCTAATTTCCGACATGTTCTATCTAAATCTTCTAATATTTGATTAGCATTATTTCTCTTTTCTTTAGCTTCAAGTAATTCTCGTTGAACTTCTTCAAGAGATTTCCCAATTTGCTTTTCTGCTTCTCTTATTTGATGTTGAACTTCTGAATATTCAGAGGCTATAGATTCTTGAGTATCTTCTTCAGTAATTGTTACTTCATCTCTACGACATTTCTCTTCAGCAATTCGAATTAATTCATTCAATTTACCTGTCCCTTCTTCAATTTTAGCTTCACATCGTTTAACTTCGATTTCTCGACGATTCCTTTCGATATCATATTGTTGTAAACTATCTTTAAATACTGCTACTTCTGTATCTAAATCAAGTAATTTCTTTTCGGCAGCTTCCTTTTGATCTTTAACTTCAAGTACTTGATCTTTAACAAGCTTTAAAGTATCATTAAGTTCATCAAATTCATTCCTTTTACTCTCCATTTCTTCATCTAATGAAGCAAGAACTCCTTCAGTTCTCAAGATTTGACTCTTAAATTCTTCTATTTGAACCGTTAAGGATTCAACTTTAGAGATATCTCCATCTTCTCGAAGTTTATTCTCAATATTCCCAATTTCAACTTGTAATCGTTGTAATAAAGTATTTCTCTTAATTAATTCATCTTCATATTGTTTAATCTTTGTATTTCTCATTTGTGAAAGTCTTCTTTGTTCTCGTTTACTATCATTTATAAAACTATGAGCCTCATTAATTCCCGTTGTAATTTCTTGTAATTCATATTCAGAATTATTAGTTCCATTAGCAAATTTAGCTAAGAATTGATTATAATATACTGGATCTTGTCTAGTGGTATTACCTGATTGACTAGTTCTTGAACCAGAACTCTTGGAGAATAATGTATATACATTCATAACATTAGGTTGATGACAAAGAGTAGTTGATTGATTTCTATCCTTGGCAATAATGGATTTCTCAATATTATTAGAATCAATGATAGTATATAATACATGATCATTATTAATATTTAACATATCTAAAAAGGTAATTTGATTAGTAGCTTTACCTCGAAGATAATCAAATTTCTCCGGGTTTCTTACAATAATATTATTTCTTAAATTATTACTTCTTAAAATCTTTAAGAGTACTTGACGATCTCCATCATCACATACTAAAAAGGAATCAAGAGTCTTAATTAAAACGGTATTTAATAACGTTTTCCATTCTTTATATTCATCCTTAACTTCAATATAACTTCCAAGTGGTCCAATGGGTTTAAGTTTCTTCCATCCTTTATAATTATTAATTTGATCAATGGCTCGTTTCATTTTACTACTCCATGGAGCATATTGATCCTTAGATGAACGTTCAAGATCCTGCTTTTTCCGATTCAATTGAGCTATAGATTCATGAGCTTGATCGATTTCACTACGAATTCGATCTTGTTCAGAATCTCCTTGTTTTAAATTTTCAAGTTTAGCTCTTGTTTCATCTCTTTCTAATAAGAGTTCACGTCTTTGATCTTGTAATTGTTCTAAATTCTCATGTAAAGTCTCTTTAGATCCTCCATTAATTTCATCTAATCTTCGATGTTCTATCTCTATACCTTCTTCATTCTTAACAATTTGTTGTTTTAATTTATCAATATCTTCTTGTCCCTTAACTATTTCATTATTTAAATCCACCAATTGCTCTCGAAGCGATTGACGAATCGATCGAGTCTCTTCAAACACTTTCTTCTTCTCTTCGAATTCTTTACTTAACTGGTTAACTGAATTATCTAATTCAGGTCTACTTAATTGAGAATTGGCTAAATCATTCTCACACTTCTGCTTTTCATTATCTAAATCATTAATCTCTTGATTCAATCGTTGACGATTAACTTCATATTGCTCGACTTTCCTCTCAACATGATGAACATTATACCAATAAACTTTCCCATGTAAATTAGTTAATTTCTGTCTTAAGAAATCAGATTGTCGATGTCTATTATATACTACGGCAATCTCTTTATACTTTTGACAACATACTTGATAAAATTCTTTAGCTTGTTGAACTTTCCCATCTACTTGAACAATATTTTGCACTGTTCCATCATAATTGGCAAGAATATCATTTATAAATGCTCCTGCCATAAAATAATCATATTTAGTTCTATCAGTTGTTGAAGTTAAGAATTCTCGAGCTTTATCTTGGGAAAGAAACGCTAAGGGATTATCAATGGTTATACTGAATTTATAAAGAATTTCATCAAGCATGGTCTTTTTCGTTGATACAGTTTTACCTAATGCAGATTTAATTGAATAAGAATTGGCTCCTGCTCGTTGAAGTCTTCTTTCAATAATGATTCTTTTCCCGAATAATTCCGGCTTAAATGCTCCTATTCCTTCATTAAGAAATACTATCGATACTCGGGCAGTTGATTTGCCATCTTTGATTAAATCTCTAATTGAATTACCTCTATTTGTATCAGTAGCTTTGGCTCCTAATCCTACCGATATCCCCGTCAATATAGCACTCTTACCTGAACCATTTCTACCAATAATAAAATTAATCTGGGGACCTAGATTGACTTCAAGTGAGTCATGGCACATGAAATTCTTTAATGTGATTCGTTCAATGACTCCTGCTCGAGCAGGTGAATCATCAGCTTCTTCATCTGAATCAGATTCGGACTCTGACTCATCACTCGACTCATCACTCGACTCATTACTGGACTGGTTCTGAGACATTTTACGTCGTTTATGCAGTAGCCGTTGCGACATGAACGTGTCGGCACTTACGCCTCCCTAAAAATATTATAGTTAGTATATGAATTTATCAATATATCAATATATCAATTTGGTGGATGATGTTCGAAATTACTTATACTTACTAGAGACGTGAAAAAGTTGCCTGACTCCGGCATAGGCAGATCCTCGGCGGTCCTTTTCGATCCGTAACTGGTATCTGACCGCGGACTAGACGACATGGACGTATTTGTATATGTTATGAAAGATTTAGACGGTACTACTGGTGATATTTAGTGGATGTTATGAGTAGTTGTTATGAAAAGTCACGGTGGTCTGGGTCATGTGATGGGAAATAAAATAAAAGAGAAGACGCGTAACATGTAAGTTAATGCAATTTGCTGTGCGACGTAACATGTAGTCGAGAGAGTGTAAAGTGTAGAATTTATTCTATGGTGATTTACAGGTTGACGTACATAGATAAAGCACTAATGATTCGTATACTTCTCATTAATATCCTTTACACGATGTGTTCTAGAGATTTTGAATTACAAGGAGGTAATAATCATAGTCATAATTAATAAGTGGGTCGCTACCAGTTATCACTCATATATACCGTCCACACATAAATATACAGTCAACTAAAGATTTGGCTAGTCAATGATGACTTGTTCCTACTCTCTAAGAATCGCTTCATGAGCTTCAAACCGGTCATTTACATGATTTGGTTGCGACTTTGTCCGCTTTTCTGTATTTACTCCATGTTTTGTCTGTTTTCCATTTCTCTAATCGATGTTGTAGATAGATAAGCACTAATCAGCTCAATTGAGTGAAAGGATACTGACTAAAGTTTCTTATATCTGATCTCAGTCAGCCTACTGACTAACTAACAAACTATCTATGCATCTACCTATATATCTATCCGTATAAGCTAAACTATTTAGATATGCTACTTTTATTCATACTTCCGACTATATTTTCAAACCGGTTATTAATTTCCTAGCACTTCCGAGGCTGCTACAATCTATTGTAGTAATTTGACTCATACCCCATTTATTTGTATATGTTATAACACAAACCAAGCTTAATACTTCAACATTATTCAAGTTAAACGACCACCCAACCTGTGCTACCACTATAGATTAAATTTAATAATTGAAATTACACAACCGGTTTGATCATTATTTGCTCGGTTGGACTGAACAAAAAAGGTCGGAAGTATGACCACTTTATATGAAACGATTGCAATAATCGTCGTGTGACTCCTAAAAAAGTCTTCCCACCCTTGTTCATCTCCTTTGTTGTTCTTATTCTTATTCCTATCGTTATTTTTATTCTTATTCTTCTTATTAAGAATACATGTATAGCTGTAGAGATGGTTGATGTTCTTGTGTTATTACTACTAGTGGCCAGCGTAATAGCGTATCCGTTTGGAGGCCAAACGGTTTTAACCCATGAACAAACTACAACCATTGAACCTAAAATCGTTATAGTAGCGATGTTTCAACCAGAACAAGAAGCATGGACTTCTAAGATTGATTTTATTCATAATATAACCGTACCAGGATTATGTCCAAGTTATCCTGAAGTACGGTGTGTTGAAGATTATTCAATCTGTCAGTTCACTACGGGAGAAGGAGAAATTAATGCGGCAACTTCAGTTGCATTTTTACTTTCAAGTCCTTTATTTAATTTTAGTAATACTTATTGGTTATTATCAGGAATTGGAGGTGGAGATCCAACTAAAGTTACTACAGGTTCAGTAACTTTTGCGAAGTATGCTATTCAAGTGGGTTTACAATTTCAAATTGATTCTCGAGAATTATTAAATACTCATCCTGATTGGCCTTCAGGTTATTTTAGTTATGGAACTCAAAATCCATGGGAGTACCCTGATGCAGTTTATGGTACAGAAGTATTTGAAGTTAATGAAAAATTAAGAGATAGAGCTTTAGAATTAGCTGAACAAAATTCAGATTATCTTAATGTAGGTGATGAAGATAACAATAAATTAAGACTGTTTTATGAATTTCCAGCTAATCAACCTCCTAAAATATTAGCTTGTGATGTAACTACAAGTGATAATTATTTTACAGGATCAGTATTGGCAGACTATTATTTAAATCTTACTTCAATAATGACTAATGGAACGGCTAATTATTGTTCTTCAGCTCAAGAAGAAAATGCTTCTTTAGAAGCATTTATAAGAATGGCTAAAGTTGGTAAAGTTAATTTTGAAAGAATAGTTATTATGAGAACTATTTCCAACTTTGTTAAGAGTCCAGATCATTTAAATATGGACCCCATTGATTTCTTCCTTAATTTCCCTAAAGGAACCATTCAACATGCATTAGATAATTTATATATAGGAGGAATCCCATTTGTAAATGATGTAGTTAATAATTGGGAAGATATTTATAAATCAGGTGAATTATTCAAACCTGACAACTACATTGGAGATATCTTAGGTAGTTTAGGTGGTAAACCTGATTTTGGAAAGGATAGTTATCATATAAGTTAACATTATATAATTTGTACTTAATATATTAATACATTTATAGAGTCAATTAATTATTTTAATTAATTATGTAATTAATTTGTGTAACTTAAAGCAGTAACTCATCGTGCTACCGACGGAATATTCTACATTCTCTCATTCCAGTACTTTTGTGAACTTTTATATTTTTATATTTTTAGATTTTTTATATTTTTATATTCCTTATCTTTCGTATCTGCTTTTATATAACCTCCTTTGAAGGACGGGTAACTCTTATTGCCCTTGCCCCTATCTTTTACTCACTGTTTACACGGCCTATCTTTGGAAGGGCCCTGTCATTATTGTTTTGTTCCCAATTGAGGCAATTCCTTCACTAAAGCGGTAACCGCACCATGGAGGCTGAAATTTGATGTACGTTATTTAGCGGAAAGAGTAATTTCACCATTGTTAATTTTTCACTCTACTAGTTACAGAGTAAGATTAATTAATTAAATATTAATTAATTGGTTACTTCATTGATTGATTCATCGATTCATTAAGCCATTACAAGAACTATAAATAGTAGCAATAATGACCTGAAATATTTCATTTTACTTGTCCACTCTTTGATCTGTAGATCTCTTGACTTGTCAGTTCAGTTTAATAACCATATAATGAAGCTCACAAGTGTATTAACTATTGCTTCAGTAATTGGTAGTGCTATTGCACAACCATTATCTTTAGAAAAGCGTGCTATAAATAATACTGCTTTAGAAGATGCTATTCCAGCAACTACTAAGAATAATATTCAAGCTAGTTATGCTAAACCATTTTCTATTTATCAACCTAAAGCATTTATTATTTCCATGTTTGAATTAGAAAGAGATCCATGGTTAGAATCTTTAGATTTTATCCATAATATTACTGTTCCAGGTCTTTCACCAATTTATACAACAATTCATTGTACTACTAATTTTACTATATGTCAAATTACTACTGGTGAAGGAGAAATTAATGCTGCATCATCTGTAACTGCTTTAGGTTTAAATCCATTATTTGATTTATCAAAGACTTACTTTTTAATTGCAGGAATTGCTGGTGGTGAACCTGCTTATACCACTTTAGGAGGGGTTACATTTGCTAAATATGCTGTACAAGTTGGTTTAGAATATCAATTGGCATATCAAGATTATCATGCAGAAGAGCCCGATTGGCTTTCGGGTTATGTACCTTATGGAGTTGATGGTCAATATACTTATCCAGGTAATGTTTATGGTACAGAAGTATTTGAAGTTAATGAAGCTTTAAGAAATAGAGCCGTTGAATTGGCTTTAACTGCTAAATTAAATAATGGTACTACTGCTAATGCTCATATTAGATCTTTATACCCTGATAAAGTAGCTCAAGAATTACCTACCATCTATAAATGTGATGTTGTAACTTCAGATAATTATTTTACTGGGAATGTGTTGAATGATTATTTTGCTAATTTAACTAAAGTATTAACCAATGGCAGTGCTACGTACTGTTCTACGGCTCAAGAAGATAATGCCTCATTAGAAGCTTTTACAAGATTAGATAAATATGGATTGGTTGATTTCGATAGAGTCATTGTGATGAGAACCATTTCCGATTTCTCCAGACCTCCACCATCAATTAATGCCGTAGAATTCTTCTTTAATACATCTCAAGGAGGTATTAGTGCATCTCTTGATAATTTAGTATTGGCTGGAACTCCTATAATTCATGATATCCTTTCTAAATGGGATAGTGTTTATGAGGCAGGAGTTAAGTATGAGTCCAAGAATTATGTAGGAGATATCTTTGGTACTTTAGGAGGTACCCCTAACTTTGGTAAGAAGTCGTTTGAGATTGCTTAGACCATTTTCTTTTCTGTTTCTTTACTTCTTGCGTTACTATTTCATTAACTAATATATGTCCATGGGCTATTTACTATTTACTATGTACTATTGTATACTATACTATTGACTATACTATTAACTATACTATTAACTATACTACTGCTCAAACACAAGCTCGTAGTTGCAGATCAACTTGTCCAAAATGGAATTCATAAATCCAAAGTTATTGACTAACGCTTCTAAACTACTGGCCTCAGTAAGAGCAGGACCAATCACCGTAGCTAAATTCGAAGATGTCATTTTATTATCATCACTAAATTGAGTAATCTTTTGTAAATGATTAAGTAATATCTTTATAGTACTATAATTAAAATTAGGTAATAATTTTAAGATTTCTCGGTACTTTTCAATAAGTTTACCTTCATCAATTTCTACATCTTTGGTCTGTTGTTTTAAATCAAAGAATTCTTCAATAACTTTATCGGTTAATATGGCATCCGGCAATTCTCGGAAATACGATTTAACTATACTGGTTAAGGCATGAACATCATAACTTCTCTCTTTAAAATCAATACCTCCTGTTCTATCGATTATTCCCTTAATATTATTTAATTCACTAATTGACGAACTAATCCGATAAACCCCAACATCTTTAATTCCTTCACTTTCAATCTCTTCAAAAATACTAGTGAGGAATCGAGGACATGAACTTTGTTCTCGAATACATACAATCGATATAGGAATTCCAAATACAAGATTACTATGATTACTATGATTATTACTAGTAACTTTCCCAGTAATACTCTTAGAAAAGAACCAATGACGATTAGCGTAATTCAATTTAACTAACCAATCATTCAGATCATTTTCATTAAGAGCCTGAAAGAAATGACTCTCCTGAGAATTCGAATTAGAACTAGACCCAGATCCAGAACCAGATCCAGAACTCGAATTCAAATTGGAATTATCAGAATCAACTTTAAATGATACTGGTAATAAATATACGGGGAAGATCTTCTTATTTCTTAAGGGAATTACCATATACGGTTTAGATTTTGTTTCAGAAAAGCTATCGGCATCCGGTAATTCACTGATATCAATAATTCTTTCCGATCCACTGATTCCATTAAGTGAAAAGGGTCGAGATTTATTGAAAAGTCCACTGATTTTGAATCGAGAAGTAGAATTCGACTTATACGATAAGGATTGTCGTCTAATACTCGAATTGGATGTCTTTTTATTAAGCGTTACTGTATGGTTGGGGTTGAGGTTGGCAAGACCATTCTTGGCTCCTTCCTTTAATTGTTTCTTCCGATTATCCGCCTGAAGGATCTTATGTTGGACCATTAAAGTCGACTTAAAGAATTTGGATCTGTCTCTCTCGTTGGTGACAAATTCCTTAATGTTGGCGGATTTCACAATGGACTCATTCAATTTCAATAGGAATTCAAAATCCTTCGAATCATAATGATTGAAATCCGCCGGATCATTACTATCGAAATCTTCAACGCCGACTTCTCGAATTAGTTTAAAGATTAAGTATCTCTTATTGAAATTTATACAGTTTTTAAAGAAACTAGGACACTTATTAGTTTCAATAAGATTCTCAATAATCCATCCAAAACATGGTAATAACGGCTCAGGATTCTGAAGGTCTACCATAGTTAAGGTCTTGGGTAATAATTGATCTAAATCTTCAAAAATCGTGGAGGAAGAGCCCGTAAGTGAGTTGGAAGATTTAATCCATAAACTACTAAACATCCGACTCTCGGGCGCATAGATTACGTTGGTTATAGCCGTTTCAATACATGAAGGGATGTTGCCCTTCCGACCTTCAAACACAAACTGATTCTCACTCATCTTCAATTTACTGATTTCTCCCATAATCAATAGCGTCTTCATCCGATCTAATCGCTCATCAATGGAGATATTCAAATCCGTCAATTGACTCAATAAGTACGTGCGGAACTTGAAGTATAATTTAAACAACTTGCGGAACACAAGCGGGAATTTCTTAAGAATTAGCTGTCTTTCCAGGGGATCGATGAGCGTCTCAAAGTAATTAAAGATATTACTAATGACTACGGCTTCATCGGCAGTCCCCACCTTCTGTAAATTGAATTCCAATAGGTTATTATTCTCAAACGCATTCTCAAGAATTCTGTATACTCTAATCCAATCTTCGGCTCGGATTCCCTTATAGAATACGGCCAATAACTTATTGAATTTATGGAGGAATTTCTCGATTTTAAGCACATTCTTATGACTAGGAAGATTTCTATTCATAGGCACTTCGCCTAAGGAATTATTAAATCGGAATTCCTTTATAAGATACTCATCAAACTTCAGAATTTCAATGGGTCTATACGTCTTTTTGACAAATAATTTCTTAAGTTTCTTATAGTAAGTCACTAAACTTTCAAACGACTTCTCAAGATGATTGACAATCTTATTGGAATTATACCATTGAAGGATTTCATTACTAAACAACTTCAAGAGTTTGATGAGAATCCTCTTATTGGTCAAGTCTAGCGAGAAGTACGAATAGAAGTTATTGACAAGCACTATAAGAGCCTTAAGAATATTGATTTGTATCTTAAGAAGTAGCTCATAATCCACCTGTCCCAATTCATTCAAATCAATGGAATTATCTAAATTCCAATTGGGGAATTGCGCATGGGCCAAATAGGCTGCAATGGATTCCTGTCCGGCTTGTTTGGTATAGTAATCTTTCTTCATTACTGAGATGACAGCATTGCCTGAGTTAATGAATCGATGCGCCAACTTCTCTAACAAGTCCTTAGTGGAGATGAACGAAGTATAGTTCAAAAGAAACACAAACCGATACTCCGTAAGATCCAAATTGATATCCTCGTGAAAGTATTTGGAATCAATTAAGAATAGATCAATTAATCGATCGATTGTGGCATATTTGGGAATGAATTTCATGGGTCTTTCATGAGAATTTTGCAGTAATCTCTGTAATTTTATACTGGCTTCCGGCCCATACTTCTTCGGATTAACTGTCGCCATGGTCTTGGGACTAATGGCAAAGTTATTGAACTTATCCGAATTCAATATATCATCCACATCAATGCCCAAGCCTAATCCCGGGATATCATCTTCAAAATCTACATTATCAATATCATCTAAAGTACTAGAGATGCTCGTATTGGTATTTACAGGCAGATCCATTTGGTCCACTATGAAATCATCGATTCTAAACGTTAAATCTTCATCGATAATGAAATTATGTTTGCTGGTCGTCGGATCCAAAAGCTGCTGTAAATGCATCTTATCATCGTTGTTGTAGTACGCCGTAAGCTCATCGTATTTGGCCAAATTGATCTTAAAGTAGTTGTTGTTGAACGTGGGTAATCGTGAGCCTGGATTGAAGTCTCCTCCATTGCCGAACGTGGAGGTGGTAGGAGTGGTAGGGAAACTGGAGGTGATGGTGGGAGTGGTGGGGGGTTCTATTACCGTAGAGACACTTTCTAAACTGGCCGTTGAGGCGGAATTCTTTCGATTTCTAAGGAAACTTAACTCTAGAGGAGTTGAGGGGATTACTGAGGTGGTGGTGGGTAATTTCAAGTACGCTTCCGGTAAATCTGGTTCTAGATTAATGGACAATTTCATGATTTTATCCAAATTAATTGAATCACAATTGATATCGATTAATCGTAAGAGTTTGGCCGTCAATTGCGACGACTCTTCAGTATCATTAAGTAGGGATAAACTCTGTTGTACGTCTCTATCTCCATCTAATTCCGTCAACTCGTGACTCGGCGGCTTCGTGTCTTCGTTGTTAACTCCCAAATACAACACCTGATTCAAACTCTCGTTGGAGAAGATGAAGCCCATATTATCGTATCTTCGTAACACGTCCTCGTTGTATCGAATGATGTCATCATAGTTAATGAGATTGGAAAGATACTCATTCCATCGATTGAACGAGTAGTTGATTCTCTTCCAAATGGATTCTAACTCAAACATATCAATGGCTTTGGCCTTAGTGGTGGTCGTGGTCGTGGTGAGATTGTTATTGATGACTAAATCGCCAAAATACGGGATTACTTTCTCCTTGGGATAGATCTTTCCTAACCCTCTAGGAGCCATAATATGGTAAGAGTCCTTAAAATGGACGGAAGATTCACGAGACTCTTCGCCAAAGGAGCCGGAGCCTGACTTGATTCGACTGGCTTGTGGAGACGACGCGAGGGACGAATCATTCGGTGAAGAATTGGTGGTATTGGTGGTGGTACTACTACTGACGATGGTATTGTTGGCCAAGTGTCTTCTATCCAATTCAAACAATACAGGCGACCAGTCATTCTTAAGAAGCTTAATATACTCTGGCGACACCAACGACCATATCTTAGTCAATCTTAACACCGGCTGAGATAGGATGATGGAGGAGATTCCTAGCCAAGACGACATGTTCCCACTCTTGTCTAACAAACAACCCAAGTCGATCCATTTCTCCAAGAGTCGAGCTTTGCGTTCTAAAGTGGTGGAGGATGAGCTGTGGGAGTTTTCTACAAATAGGTGGTTGACTAAGAGTCGAGATAGGTAATGAATATGATGATCATTGTTGAAGATGAGGGGGTTTTTCTTATAGAAATCCGCCGTAATCGAGGGAGTTATGGACGTTGGTGATGCCGAGGAGTCTCCAATGGACGTGGATAACAATAAGGACTTATCGATATTGGAATTCCAATTGTTGAAGAACTTCAAGTCGATGGCACTGATGACTTTGACGAGTTCGATCAAGTTGATGTCCTTCATGAACGTCGCGGCGTTCAAGTCTTGGAAGGGATCAATGATGCCATCTTCAGCAGTGGTGGTGGCAGTAACAGATGCAGCAGCAGTGACTACCGATCCACTATTGAACTCTGTCGGTGGTGGAGGCGGTCTGCTGTTGACTAAGTTGATCAATAGTTGTTGTTTGGCAAGCATACTTCTCTTGAACACGGCAATCTTGTCGTCATGGGTTAGGATCTCAATGAGATTCAATATATAAGGAGCGATGGTCGACTTCAATAGGAACCCATCAAAGTTCTGTTCGATGTTGTAGAGGATTCGTAACACTCGACTAATAATCAATGGTAAATCGACTGCTCCTTGGAATTTCTCGTCAAGTAGACTACTGATAAAGACAGTTAATAACTTGAGAATCTTTCCAAAATCAGGTAAGATGGGTAGAATGTTGATGATGGATTCAATACATGGCTCATCGAGGGTATTGGTAGAGAAAAGGATGAAATGGAGGATGGACTCTATGGAGTTTATGGTGGCCGAGCTTGTCTGATCGATACAAATGATGGAGGAGGAGAATTGGTGGATCAGCATGTCGTAGCTGAGGTTGGGATGGGGCACGCGAGTGTCCAAGTATGTGAGGGAGAAGTCGTCATTGGTGGGAGTGGAAGTGGAAGCCGTGGTGGGAGTAGCAGTTACAGGGCCATTAATATTGTTGTAGGTGGTGGCGGTCTGAAGAATGGGAGATGCCATATCCTGAAAGGAGACATTGGACGTAGACGTATTGTGATTCCGATACATTTCTCCCGATGACAACGATGCACTGGAGTTGTTATTATGGTTAAGCAATTGAGGAGGAGGGGCAGGAAGTGGGGATCCCGGATCTTCACTATCCACGAGTCTAAAGCACTTAGCATTAACCGAACTGGGGGGTTTATACATATATAAATTGGACCCTTTCAATTCGACTCGGAATAGTTTAAGAGCCAGTTCCTGTACATCGTTCGATTGGGTGTTTAGAATGACATTTAGCCACCCATTCTTAATGACTTTCGTATCATAGTCTGGTTTAATTAGCGATTGAATGGATTTCGTGGCCACTATGGCTCCTGAGGTTCGATTCGTGGTGGATGTCAGAGACGAATTGGTGGAAACAATCAGTTCGGAGTGTTTGTGAGATGAGTAGTATGACGTGTCCGGAGTGTTTGTAGTGTTTGTAGTGGTAGAAGATTCATGAGGTAGTGAATAGTCTTCTTCGCCAATATAACTGTAGTACTCGGGAACCGTAGTGGACTCTGAGTCGTTGATGCTGGGCTCGTAGGTGGAGCTGGCCGATAGACTTCGGCGTTTCTCTCTGTCTCTCCTCAGGTTCCAGATCTTTCTCATGGTTTGGTGGTGTTAGTGTTAGTGTTAGTGTTAGTGATACTGGTGGTGGAGCAATTAGTGGAGCAATTAGTGGAGCAATTAGTGGAGCAATTAGTGAGTGGTGACTATACAGAGACTACAATTACCACACTGAGGAATGACTATTAGCGGGGTGGTGGACGTAGTGACAGTACAGTACAGTTTAGTGAAGTAGTGGGAGTGGTGGTGGTGGTACTGATACTGGTGGTGGTACTGGTACTGGTAGTGGTGCTATTGACGACAAGTGAAATTGTCACTAATTAAAAATTTTTTGGCGCGCTAGCGAGTAGTGATAGTGAAGGAATTAGCGAGAGAGTGAGAGTGGTGGTGAGAGTGGTGAGTGAGTGGGTGAGAGGGAGTAGTGTGAGCGTATGGTTGGGTAGTGTGAGGTGAAGAAGAGTAAGAGTGGCAATGGGTGAGAGTACCGTGTAGTGTACCGTGTAGTGTACCGTGTAGTGTACCGTGTAGTGTACCGTGTAGTAGTGTGTGTAGAGTTTTCTCTATCGCTGTTACTGAACTATTGGCTGGTGAGAGGACAGCAACTCATTACCGTTTAGGGACAGAATGCTTTTCGTCTATTTACGTAAACAAACATCATCGTCTCCACGCTCTAATTACTGGGCATCTTACTGGATAACTTTGCTGGGCATTCTACTGATTCTATAGTTAGTAACTATCTTCTTAATGGCCTAACATATTGTGGGCTAGTGTCCTCTAGCCGTTTGCCTAGTTCGGTATTATGTGATTCCGGCTAATGTCGTTCGCTACGGTATTTATTTTTATTACTCGACGCGTCTGGGGGCCCTCTCCACAAAGTCAAATTGCCTAATTAGGAAAACGCAATCTGGCGCGCTACCACCTGCACAAACAAATCACAATGTAGTAATCTAGTTACAGGTGTAGGTGTAAGGGTAATACAATGGAGGTGGAAGTGTATAAATACAATGTAGTAACAGTGTAGTGTATAGTTAAAGGAAATAGTTAATTTGTAGTAACTAGTACTCTGTATACTACCAGTGCACCACCAGTACACTACTAATGCTCTACCAGTACACTACTAATGCTCTACTACTCTCTATAATACTCTACTAATACTCTACTACACTCTCTGATAATCTACTAATGCTACAATGCTCTACTAATACTCTACTAATACTCTACTACACTCTCTGATAATCTACTAATGCTACAATGCTCTACTAATACTCTACTAATACTCTACTCTACTCTACTCTACTACACCAGACTCAACTACTCTCTATCGGTACTAACTACTACTCTCTAGTACACTACTACTCTCTAGTACACTACTACTCTCTAGTACACTACTACTCTCTAGTACACTACTACTCTCTAGTACACTACTACTCTCTAGTACACTACTACTCTCTAGTACACTACTACTCTCTAGTACACTACTACTCTCTAGTACACTACTACTCTCTAGTACACTACTACTCTCTAGTACACTACTACTCTCTAGTACACTACTACTCTCTAGTACACTACTACTCTCTAGTACACTACTACTCTCTAGTACACTACTACTCTCTAGTACACTACCAGTATTCTATCAGTATTTCACTCTACTTCACTCTACTCTACTACACTCTACTACACTCTACCGGTACTCTGCTACACTCTACTACACCAGACTCTACTTCACTCTATTACACTCTACTCTCTACACTCTACACTCTACACTCTACACTCTACACTCTACCTCTACTTCTTATTACAATTATACAAAAATATACTAATTCAAACAACACTCTCAACCCATCACATTTAACATTTACTCCCCATCACATTCATAACTATAAATTCTATATTTATCTACTAACTCCATCACATTCTTCTGCAAAGCTTTTTATAATGGCTGAACACTGATAACGTAACCACTAATTCCCAAATGAGTATTGATGCCGATATTGTTGCAGCGAATATACTCCCATTCCAGAAGACCCAATAACAGCAAACTACTAATATAACCGCTAGGATAGGATAACTTATACGATTGGGATTCATCTGATCAATACACAAAGATATTTCAGCATGCAAATTGGAATGATCTTGTTCCAGATCTCTTATTTCAGTAATAAGCGTATTAATCCCCATCACATAATTGACTGGATCGATTGGAACTACTGCATCTACTGCATCTACTGCACCCACTGGATGAACAGGATCGACAGGATCGATTGGATCGATTGGATCGATTGGATTTTCGTTGGTATCTGTCATGATTAACGATAAAAGAACAAATAGTGTTGCAAAAAAGTGGTCAGAAACTGGGAAAAATTAGGGGAAAAACTCAACTATATATACTAATTTACAGTTTTTTGCAACACCCCTCGTATTACTACAGTCCATTTCTATTTACAGTCTAATATTTAATACTATATACATTATTACAATCTATTACTGTCTCTTGACATCTCGTAAATTCCCAAATGGTAATACCTCATCAATTCTTTCAACTCCACTAAATAACATCGATAATCTATCAATTCCACATCCCCATCCTCCAGTAGGTGGAAGTCCCAATTGCATACTTTCAATATATTTCCAATCAGGAATTAACATTTCGTTATCCATATATTGTGCCTTGGCTGTTTCCTGTAATCGGAATTTAGATTCTTGTTCAAAGGGACTATTTTCTTCTTCATAAGCATTGACATACTCTTTCCCATTAATGAACATTTCAAATCGATGCGATATATCATATTGTCTATCATCATACTTTATGAATCCTGATTTAGCTAATGGTGATAATACAGCAGGCTGATTATATACAAAGATTGGAACATTCTTATACTGTTCTTCCATACTAATAGATTCCAAATATCTTGAAGATAATATATCTAATAAATTAGCAGGTGCTTTATTTAGAGGTATTGATAATCCTATTTGCTTGAAATAATCAATTAAATTATCAGAAGTTAACTCATTGGGTAATTTAATCCCAGTCTTACTTTCTAATGTAGTAATGAATTCAAATTTAGGATATTCTTCTCTCTCTATTAAAGGTCTTAAATCCTTTCGTAAATCACATTTGCTATTTAAATCATTATAAATATATTTAATCATATCTTCAGTAATCTTTATCAAATCTTCTAAATTAATAAATGTTTGATAAAATTCACAACTAGTAAATTCGGGATTATGAGTACTATCAATTCCTTCATTACGGAAATTATTCCCAATTTCAAATATCTTGGGGAATCCACTAATAATTAATTTCTTTAACCATAATTCAGGAGCTACTCTTAATTGAGCTAATTCTCCTGATAATGCATTAACTTCAGTTACAAATGGTTCAGCATTGGCTCCTGTACCAAATCCACTTAATATTGGTGTTTGAACTTCAATAAATTGTCGATTAAGTAAAAATTGTCGAATTGATTGCATGATCCATGATTTAATTAATATTGGTAATTTTGATGATTTGGGATTTACAAGATAGTTTAAGACTCTATTGGAATTAATTATCCCTTTATCCTCTAATCTGTTAGGAATATTGGTCAAACATGGAGTTAACATCTCCAATGGTTTACATAATTTTAAAGTTAATTCTCCTACATTGGTAATAGAGGCATATCCATACCCTAAAACATAATCTCCCTTTTTAAAATCTCCATGTAAATTATCAAACTCTTCATTTGAACTTATTCCCATCATATTCTTATTCACCATAAATTGTAGTTGAATATCATCTTGAACTACATCAATGAAATATAATGATTTCCCTGATTTTCGTACAGATTCTATTCTACCTTCTACAATAAATTTATTAGTATCAAACAATTTCTTATCGTGAATATTGAAATCATACCCCTCGAATTTACTTCGAAAGTCTCCTATTCTTATGACACTACCATTAAATTTATTTCTAATGGCATTTAATGTGGGATAGTATTTTGATGGGTCCTGCGATATTTGAGGCTTCCTCTTGTCATAACCTAGTCCTTGATTGCTGGAACTAGAATTAAATCTGATAAAACTGGTCGTTAACAGACTCTGCCTTATTCTGACTCGAGTATGTACTCGCACATGAACTGCTCTCTTAAGCATTATGGTTGGTTGTTGGAATACTTTGGCTCCATAATACAAAAGTCGGCCTAAAATTTTTTTTAGCCGGCCTGCGTCGGTCTCTCTTTGAAAAGCTGTTAACTATGAGGAAGTTTACCGTAGTGTTAATTATTAGGGAGTTATGGATTCAATAACATATTACTTGAGTCTCTTCTAACAACCCTAAATAGAAGCATAGGTTGTTCTCATATTGATAAGGTGTTTTCCATTACATGTTTACCATTTTAACTAAGTATATCTACTGTAATCTATATAATGGATTGCTGCGAAAAATGTATAACATTAATTCCACCCCCTCTCCCCAACTTCTTTCTTTCTGTAAATGAAATAGTTCCTGATCAAGTAGGGTGATACATTAGAAACAACAATTATGAGTTCTTTCCCACTTACAGTTGGGCAATTGAAAAGCTTGATTGAGCAATTTGTTATCCTACCACTTGATATTGAGTATTGTATACTTGAGCGTCTAACCTTAGACTACTTCACTGGATTCTTTTTCAGATTTGGACACATACCTACACGGGTATTGCTTGGGAGAATGTTCATCAAGCATGTTTTAATTCTAGTGCAATCAATTGATGAGAGAATGTTCTGTTCATTGACTTTTAGAGGAAAATAAGTCAAGTTCACTGATCCACATATAATTCTAAGATTCTTATATCTGGGCCTAATTCAACCAGCATCAGTAAAGATTATATTTAGAGGATCAATTATAGATCTGATTGATTACTTAGAAATATATATGTCAACTTTTCTTAAAATCAATCATTTTGAAGTTTTGCTTACTTCTTCAGATAATTATGGTTTTATCAAAGTTTTCAGTCTTAGAATATTTGGAAACGATCAAAAAGGTCATATGTTAGAACCAATTCAGAAAGCTGAACTAAACAGGAATATTTTAGGATTTCTTAATTATTTGCTTATTAAAAGGGTCAATTATCATATTGTCAAAGACTTACCCCGGATTGATCAAATTAAGAATCTATCATTAGCCAGATATCATCAGTTAAGACATCGTAAATTAAGTTCCAAAGGTTTCTGTTCAATTCAGAAAATGAATACGGAGAGCCTTGATGTTGGTTATAATAAAATAAATACGCTAAATATAGATCATTTAAGTCCAAATTTATTGGTTCTAGACTTAAATCATAATCCATTATCAAAAATAAAGATAAAAAATCAATCAGAATGGCCAAGTTTGTTAACGTATCTTGATCTCTCCAATAATAAATTAAAAGAAAGGGTTATTGCAAAAATACAATGGCCAAATTCAATATTATATTTAAATTTAGATAATTCTCGGATTACTAGTCTAAAAACTTTGAAAACTCTACCAGAAAATTTAAGATACTTAAGCTTAAATTCATGTCCTATAAAAACAATATATAATAAAGATAAATCAGATAAAAATTATCTTAATTATAAGTTACCAAGTGAATTAATCCAGTTAAATTTGAATGTCATTGGTAAATGCCCACAAATTGGTCAGAATAAAGGCTTGAAAATCGAACTTCCAGCAAAATTAATGGGATTATCAATTACTGCCCCACGATGGAAATCATTACGCTGGATAAAATTCCCTTCTACATTACTTATACTCAAGTTATATAAAGTAGAATTAGATACTTCATCATCATCATTTGCTTCAGAGATTTCCGATATTAGTAATTTGCAACAGCTTAAAATTACTGTAACTCGAGATTAGATTATCTTTAGGATCAAGGATTCATTAATATTGTGCCAGGTGGAAGTCGTCTACTTGCCCCCTTATTTAGAGTCACCAAATTCATAGATGTTTATGACATATTCAGAAGTGGTTTGAGAGATGATTATGATGAAGAAACCTTACTTGCATTACAATTGTATAATAGTTCTTATAGGTATGATAATGGGTTTGATAACTGTTTTCGCAGACAGCTTGCTTGTGGTCCCTCTGACCTATATATAGGATGCTCGACGCTCAGATACTGGGGAAAAAACATAATTTTTAGACCTGCTCCACTCTTGAAATGTTGCTAAATATGAGGAAAATAATGTTAATTATGGGTTCAATATCACTTCACTCTACTCTAACAACTCTAAACTACAGAATCGGTTGTCTATATTTTAACATGATGATTTGCTTTGCCTGTATACTATTCCAACTAACTAGCTCTCTACTAATTAACCATGTACTGCTGAAAAAATCCAACAAATTTAAATAATCTCCCCACATTTCTTTCTGTCATAAGCTAATTGTCCTTGACCATTTAAGACGATACATTAGGAATAACAATTATGAGTAGTATCCCACTTGCAGATAACCAATACAAAACATTGATTGAACAACTTGTTATTCAACCATTTGAGATTGTTCAGTATGTACTCGAGCATCTAACCACAAACTATTTCACGGAATTCTTTGTCAGCTATGGACCCATACCTACACGAGTACTACTTGGGAGAAATTTTATTAAACATGTCTTTATTCAAGTGAAATCAGTTGACAAAATTGAAATACTCTGTTCATCAATATTTGGTAGAAAGTACGTTATGTTCTTTGATCCACATATAACTCTAAAATTCTTACAGTTAGAGTGGATTCGGCCAGTAACAGTAATGGTTTTATTCTTAGGAACAATTAGAAATCTGATTGATTTCTTAGATATTTATATGAAAACTTTACTTAAAATTAATTGTGTCGAAGTTTTGATTCCTTCAGTGGGGAAAGGAGGTCGTAAGTTCATTGCCGTTCATAGGTTAAGAATATTTAAAGACAAACAAGGACGGAATAGAGTTGGACAATTGATTGATTCGCCGCATACTGCAGGATTTATTAATTATTTACTTTTTAAACAGCTTGATTTTCAAGTTATTAGCTCCTGGACCGCACTTTATTGGCTTATTGATAAATCGGCTTCATCTGAAGATTTGCGTTTGCCGTTCAAAGATAAGGTGCCAAGAATACATCGTGATTTAAATGATCGCAATTTAAGTTCCGAAGGTCTCTCTTCAATACAGATACTGCAAAAACTAGAAAGTCTTAATGTTAGTCGTAATAAAATAGATACAATAAATGTAGTTCGCTTAAATCGAAATTTATTGGGTCTCTATTTAAATGATAATCCATTATCAAAAATAAAGATCAACCATCAATCAGATTGGCCAAGTTTGTTAACATGTCTTAATCTTTCAAATAATCAGTTACAAGAAGAGGATATTGCAAAAATTCAATGGCCAAAATCAATATTATATTTAAATTTAGATAATTCTCAAATTACTAGTCTTAAAACTTTGAAAAGTTTACCAGATTGTTTAAGGGCCTTAAGCTTAAATTCATGTCCTATAGAAACAATATATAATTATGATGAATCAGATCCAAATTATCCTAGCTACAAATTACCCAGTGAATTAACTCACTTAGATTTGGATATCATTGGTATATGCCCACAAGTTTATCTGAATAATGGCTTAAAAGTTGAGCTTCCATCAAAATTAGAGAAAATGACTATTATTGCCCCACAATGGAAATCATTACACTGGATAAAATTCCCTTCTACATTACTTACACTTAGGTTATTTGACGTAGAATTAGATACTTCATCAACATCATTCGCATCAGAAGTGATTTCTGATCTTAGTAATGTCCAAGATCTCTATTTTTTCGTACCAAAAGATTATCTTTGTACTCAATTCGTTTTACATGAAGGAGAAAGATTGGTGGATATCCACTATAACTCCCAAAATAGAAATAGGCCACTTCGGGGAAGTCGTTTAACTGGCCCATTATTTAGAGCCGCCAAATCTATAAATTCATTTTCGATTCTTAGATTATTTCACTATTTAGGAGAATGGTATGAATTAAGATTTTATGGTGATGGTAATGCGGGTAACCCCTCATCTCCCAGTTTGTATGCAGGATATTTTGAACTTTTGTTCAAATATGAAAAAAAAAATTTTCGAGATATCATTACTATCAACTGAACTTAAGGTTAACCCAAACACTCCAGTTCAACCCCCTCCCCGTTTTATTAAAGGATAATTAGTTTTAATAGGCTTATACTTATTAGAATCAACTATCTCATAAAAAAACCCAAAAAAAAAAAATCAATAATATAAACTATAAAAAAACTATAAAAAAAATTTCTCCCCCATTAATCATGTCTGCCGCTGACGCTGTTCAAGAATCATTGGAAAAGTTATCCCTTGACTCCAATGTCCCAGCTAGCACTGAAGGTGCTGCTGCTGTTGAAGGTGCTGCTACTACTGCTGCTACCGCCACCGGTGCTGCTCCAGTTGAAGGTGAAGAACAAGGTGATTCATCTGCTGTTGCCGACAGTTCTGCTTCATTATACGTTGGTGAATTAAATTTCAACATCAATGAAGCTACTTTATTTGAAATCTTCTCTCCTATTGGTCAAGTTTCTTCTATTAGAGTTTGTCGTGATGCCATTACTAAGAAATCTTTAGGTTATGCTTATGTTAACTATCATAAGATTCAAGATGGTGAAAAGGCTATTGAAGAATTAAACTATACTCCAATTGAAGGTAGACCTTGTAGAATTATGTGGTCTCAAAGAGATCCATCTGCTAGAAGAAGTGGTGATGCTAATATTTTCATTAAGAATTTGCATCCTGCTATTGATAATAAAGCTTTACATGATACTTTCTCCGCTTTTGGTAGAATTTTATCTTGTAAAGTTGCTACTGATGATTTAGGTCAATCTAAATGTTTTGGTTTTGTTCATTATGAAACTCCTGATGCTGCTCAAGCTGCTATTGATAATGTCAATGGTATGTTATTAAATGATCGTGAAGTTTATGTTGGTAAACACATTTCTAAAAAGGATCGTGATTCTAAATTTGAAGAAATGAAGGCTAACTTTACTAATGTTTATGTTAAAAATCTTGACCCAGCTTATTCTGAAGAAGAATTTAAGGAATTATTTAAACAATACGGTGATATTACTTCTATTTACTTAGAAAAGGATGCTGAAGGTAAATCTAAAGGTTTCGGTTTCGTTAACTTTGAAGAACATGCTTCCGCCGTTAAAGCTGTTGATGAATTAAATGATAAAGAAATCAATGGTCAAAAGATTTATGTTGGTAGAGCTCAAAAGAAGAGAGAAAGAATTGAAGAATTAAAGAAACAATATGAATCTACTAGATTAGAAAAATTATCTAAATATCAAGGTGTTAACTTATTTGTTAAGAATTTAGATGATTCAGTTGATTCTGAAAAATTAGAAGAAGAATTTAAACCATTTGGTTCAATTACTTCTGCCAGAGTTATGGTTGATGAAACTGGTAAATCTAAAGGTTTTGGATTTGTTTGTTTCTCTTCTCCAGAAGAAGCTACTAAAGCTATTACTGAAATGAACCAAAGAATGCTTGTTGGTAAACCATTATATGTTGCTTTAGCTCAAAGAAAAGATGTTAGACGTTCTCAATTAGAACAACAAATTCAAGCTCGTAATCAAATGAGAATGCAAAATGCTGCTGCCACTGGTGGAATTCCAGGTCAATTTATTCCACCAATGTTTTATGGTCAACAAGGATTTTTCCCACCAAATGGTAGAGGTAATGCTCCATTCCCAGGTCCAAATCCTCAAATGATTATGAGAAGAGGTCAACCATTTGGAGGTCCAGAACAATGGGCTAGACCAGGACCAAATGGTCAACCAGTTCCAGTTTATGGATTACCACCTCAAGGTTACCCAGATTTCAATAATCAAAACTTACGTCAACAAAGAGGTGGATATTTCCCAAACAATAGAGGTGGACAACAAAAGAGTGGTCGTCCTCAAAGAGATTTAGCTGCTATTCTTGCCAGTGCTCCAGCCGATCAACAAAAGAGAATTTTGGGTGAAGAATTATATCCAAAGATTGTTTCAACTGGTAAAGCTCAAGAATCTGAAGCTGCTGGTAAAATTACTGGTATGATGTTAGATTTAGATAATCAAGAAATCTTAGCTTTATTAGAAGATGATGAATTATTTAACAACCATTTTGAAGATGCTTTAATTGCTTATGAAGAATATAAGAAATCTGAAGGTAATGCTGTTCCAAGTAATACTGAAATTCCAGCTTCTGAATAATCCTTTTAAAGAATTAAATTTCTAGTGTATTCTATTTCTTTTACGTATATAAATGTAATACTTTTTAATTAAGGTAAGGGTTTATGGATTTATTATATATAAATAACAGAAAATGGATAAAAATTTGAAAACTAAGAATTAAAAGACTAAAAAAATGTAAAATGTAAAATGTAAAATTTTAAAAAATTTAAAATTTTTAAAATATAATTCGCAGTAATTCTCAACCTCCTTACACGCATAGAACATATCAGTTGATTACGTACATCCTGCACGCTGTACACTAAACTTTGCGATTCTGGATTTTTCCGTTCTAATTCGGCAGGGACATTCCGAATCCTTATAGCAATCAATGTAATTTTAGTTATTGTAATAATTATAATTAGTTTAGGTAAGACGACTTTATTTAATTAAATTCAGAAATTCAATTGTAAAGAATAATTAGACAAATGTCAGGACTCGATCAATTATTTGCATATCCTGGAGATACAAGAGCATTATCACCTCAAGATGCCGATGCGAAGCTTAAATTATCAGGGAGAGTATTAAATATTATGACATCTTTACCAACCCAAATTTATAATGATTATAATTATAAAACAGGACAACAAGATTGGAGAGTTGAATCAGTTAGAGGTAATTCAGCTCTTTATTCATCTCATTTTTTTCTTGATCAACATACTGAATGGGAAAGTCATCTTATTGCTTGGACAGGAGAAATTGTTCATCAATCAGGTCGACAAAATAATTCAAATACTGTAGTTGGTGATGCAGATGATTCACTTTATTTAGATGATAAAGAGAAACAAAATTTAGAGACTTTAATTAGGAAATCTTGCAAATCAGAAAATGTTCATCCAGTTTGGTTATTACGTAAAGATCAACATAGATGGAGGAAATATCCTGAAAATGTTCTTTGGCCAGTATTTCATTATATTCAAGGTCAACCTTCAAATGGTAAAGCAGAAACAGATGCTTGGCATGATTATGTTAAATTTAATGAAGTATATTTTAATAGAATAAAAACCATTTATAAACCAGGAGATATAATATGGATTCATGATTATTATTTATTCTTATTACCTCAATTATTAAGAATGGAATTTCCTGATGCTTATATAGGATTATATGTTCATGTACCATTTCCTTCATCAGAATATTTTAGATGTCTTTCTAAAAGAAGTCAAATTTTAGATGGAATGTTAGGAGCTGATAAGATTGGATTTCAAAGTGAATCATTTCAAAGACATTTCTTATCATGTGCTGCTAGAGTATTAGGTTATGAAGTTACTGCTAATGAAGTATTGGCTTATGGAACATCTATATCAGTAGAAACATTACCAATTGGTATTGATACTAAAAAGATTAATCATGATGCATTTAGTATTGGAATTGATGAAAAAGTAGCTGCACTTCGAGAAATTTATAGTGGAAAGAAAATCATTGTGGGAAGAGATAGATTAGATCAAGTTAGAGGGGTAGCACAAAAGTTACAAGCCTTTGAAATGTTCTTACAAATGTATCCAGAATGGAGAGATAAAGTTGTATTAATTCAAGTTTCAAGTCCAGCCTTTTCTCATGGAGGTAAAGTTGAAAAGAAAGTAGCGGAATTAGTTAATCATATTAATAGTGAATATGGTAATTTAAATTATACTCCAGTATTACATTATCAAATGAGAATTGATAAGGATGAATATTTTGCATTATTAAGAGTAGCTGATTTAGCTTTAATTACTTCAGTAAGAGATGGAATGAGTACAACAGCATTAGAATTTGTTATTTGTCAACAAAAACATAATTCACCATTAATTTTATCGGAATTCACGGGAACTTCTTCGGTATTAACTGAATCTATTTTAGTTAATCCATGGGATTCCGTGGGGATTGCCAAAACTATGAATGATTGTTTTAATATGTCGGAAGATAGTAAACGTAATTTACAGGAAAGATTATATATTCAAGCTGCTTCCAATACCATTCAAATTTGGACTTCCAACTTTTTAAGTCATTTCTTAAGTCATGTTTCAAGAACTCGTCAATCTCATTATATTCCATCTTTGAATCGTCCATTATTATTAAATAATTATAAAATGAGTAAGAGAAGATTATTCTTATTTGATTATGATGGTACTTTAACACCAATTGTAAAGGATCCCGCTGCCGCTATACCATCGCAACGTTTGAATGATATTTTAGATTCATTATCAGCCGATCCAAAGAATCAAATCTGGATCATATCTGGACGAGATCAAGCATTTTTAGATAAATGGTTAGGATCTAAAAATGTTGGTTTGAGTGCAGAACATGGATGTTTTATGAAAGATATTGGATCTAAAGAATGGGTTAATTTGGCTGCATCATTTGATATGTCATGGCAAAAGAAAGTAGAAGAAGTATTTAAATATTATACTGAAAAGACTCCTGGAACTCACATTGAAATTAAGAAAGTTGCCCTTACTTGGCATTATCGTCGAGCTGATCCAGAATTAGGATCTTTCCAAGCAGGTAAATGTTATCAACAATTACTTGATACAGTAGCTAAAGAATATGAAGTTGAAGTTATGACTGGTAAAGCCAATATTGAAGTTAGACCAAGATTTCTTAATAAGGGAGAAATTGTTAAACGACTTGCATTAAATCCTCATGGTGCAAAGCAAGACACTCATGCTGTTAAAAAGACTAGAGAAGATATTCCATTAGATGAATTACCTGATTTCATGTTATGTTTAGGTGATGATTTAACCGATGAAGATATGTTTAGATCATTAAAAGATATTGAAAATGAATGGCATTTGAATGATTTACCTAAGAATGAATATGGAACTTATGGAGTTTATCCGGTGGCCGTGGGTCCTGCATCCAAAAAGACGATTGCAACTTCACATTTAAATGAACCATCTCAAGTTTTAGAAACTTTGGGATTATTAACTGGTCAAGTATCATTGTTTGAAAGTGCAGGTTCAGTCGAATTAGATGATAGAGGACATATTGCTAATAGTGCATCATCGGAAAGATCTAAGAGTGCTATACGTGCTGCAACAATAAGAAGAAAGGAATTTAAGGAGAAAGTGTAAGTAGCAGTAAATTAATTTTTACTAGTTAGAGTTACAGTTACAGTTAAAGTTACAGTTTAAGTTTAAGTTATTGACAGTGACAGTGACAATTACAGTTATTGTTACTGTCACTGTTACAGTCACAGTTATGATTTTGTTATGGTTGTTTTTCATATATTCGTTTGGTTTTGCAGACATTCCGTTCTCTTCCTCTATATCCCCATATAACCCATATAGAAGTAAGTAGTAAATATTTATATTCATCTCGTATTTCGCAACATTTTGTTCCTCGGCATTATTATAAGTGCCACAAAAGCGGCCCCAATAGTCCGATAATTTTTCACTATTTACGAATCCTAGTTTAGGGGTAAATGCAGAAATTTACTAATTTAATCAAGTATTTTGATTATTAAAAGGTATCAGGCATCAGGTTTCAATATGGGTATCTTAGGTTGGGGGTTTAGAGCCACTATTAAAGTTCATCAAGCGGGTGATGATAAGCCATTAACTTTAAAGACTAAAAAAAATCAAACTCTCACATATCGTGAATTTATTAAAACAGGTTTACCTATAGTAAACCCTTCTCAAAAGCTTTGGTTAAATCCACTTTTATTTAATGGAACTTTACAAACTTTATATTATACTAGTAATGGATCTAAGAAATTTTTAATTTATTATGGACGTGAATTATTTACTTATAAAGATGGAGGAATTTGTTCATTAGATTGGACTATTCCAACACCTAATAGTAAAGAAGAATTTAAACAACTTCATGATGAAGCATTTCCTGAAGGATTTCCAAGATTACATCCAAGAACTAGATATTTTACTAAGAGTGAATTAGAAACTAGACAAGCTGCTAATCAAGAAGTATCTGAACCAGTTAAACCTATTGTTGTTATTCTTCATGGATTAGCTGGCGGAAGTCATGAAACATTAATTAGAAATTTTGCACAAACTATTAATCAAAATACTGATGGTTGGGATACAGTAATTATTAATTCTCGTGGTTGTTGTAGAACTAAAATTACTACTGAGAAATTATTTACTGCTTTATCAACCAATGATATTAAGGAAGTATTATTAGAAATTAAAAGAAGATATCCAACAAGACCAATTTATGCCGTTGGATTTTCATTTGGATCTATCTTATTAGCTAATTTCTTAGGAGAACAAGAAAAGGAAGAAGGACATGATGAATTAATTAAAGCTGCATGTTTAATTGGATGTGCTTGGGATTTAGTTGATAGTGGTTATCATTTAGCGAGTAGTTGGAGTGGAGCTTATTTATTTAATCCTGCTTTAACCGACTTTTTAACTAAAATTGTTAAGAATAATTTTACTGAACTTAAGAATCATGATCCTGAATTATTTAGTCAAGAATTATTAGATAAAGTTCGTAAAATTAAGAATGTTTGGGAATTTGATAATTTAATTACTTGTAAAACTGTTGGATTACCTAATGTTACTCAATATTATAGAAAGGCTTCACCTGTCAATAGAATTAATAATATTAGAACTCCTACATTAATTATTAATTCTACTGATGATCCAGCCGTTGGAGTTAGATTACCAATTCTTGATGTTCTTGATAATCCATACTTATCGATGATAGAAAGTGATTTAGGAGGTCATTTAGGTTTTGTTAAGAGTTCAGGAGAATTCTGGTGTGTAGATGTTGCTGAACAATTCTTTCAGAATTTCGAAGCTAGCTTTTAATTACATATTTTACATATTTCTATATAGACCATACAATTGATTAATAATAGAATTTTACAAATCCGACTAGTGCTCGGCATTACGCTTCATAACCTATTCACGCCACAACGTAGGGTTTCACATACCAGAAACAGTAACCATCCCCTATTCATATACTGCTTAACCGCTAACTAATTTAATGTTGATGCTTAATCCTTGATCCTTAATCATTAATGCTTAATCCTTAATTACTAACTAATTAATACTTAGTGCTTAATTGTGCTCGGCAGGTCCAGGCAAGGCTGAAGAAACAAACAGGCCATTCCGCCTGAATTATTTTGTTGGCGCCGGTAAGATATCACTTGTGCGACAGACCCTTCGGAAAAAATACTCTTACTGGTCGCATGATTTTGTGATGTCATGACACCCGATGAATAAAGTTATCAATAGGCGGAACTTAAACTGTGAGCTGGTGTTATTCTCTCATTGTCATAGTCATTCTGATAAGTCAGTGAAAAGCAAATGATATATTAAGTCAGGACCTTGTAGACGTTAGTTTTTTTTTCATCTGAACCCATATCATTAGTCGTTAGTTTCATTAGTTAGTGGCCGCATCGCACTAGAGATAACACAAAACGTTTTAGTTCAAATCGGTTTTGCATTCTTCGGCCATAGCAATTATACAAATACAAATTCAGCTTACTGTCTGCTAATTAAACATTGCAGGTTGAATGTATATTCAGATATTTTATAGAATAAGTAAGCCAACTTAATATCAGTCATAATGTTCAGTCATAATAATTTAAATTTAGCATTATTTGAAATAAAACTAGCTTCACCTCATAAGAATTTAATATTGTTGAAGGGGAATCAAAATGAAGTAGAGAATGTACCATTCGAAGGTAATGTTAAATTATCTATACCGAATGATGTTCATGTTAGAAAAATAAAACTTAATTTAATTGGAGAATTTAATGTTCAATATTTCAGAAGAACTACTAGTGGATTAATTATTGATCAAATAGTTGATCGATTTTGTATACTAAAAGTTGAATGGAATAACCTTTTAACTAGTCCAGATGGAATTATTCAATTTGGAAATTATGGAGATGATGTTATGCAATATTCCAAAATAGCAACTTTAAAATCTTCATCAACAACACAAACATCATCATCATCGAAACCTTCGGCTGATAGACCCGTATTCTTAAGAACAAGTTCACACCCAATTTTATCAGCTCATGGTGTTCCCAGTACTGGAACTGCCAGTCCAGCAGGAAGTATAACATCATCCAATAATAGTTCTACAACCTCACTTTTGAAATTAAGAAAGAGTGGAATAGATGGTACACCATTTGAAAATCTCAATCCCAATCCTAGTCATTCATTTTTATTACCAAAAGGGAATTATAATCTACCATTTAAAGTATATTTACCAACCAATATTTGTGAGACTATTGAAGGAATATCATGTGGGAAAGTTCAATATAAAATGTTATGTACTATATCTCGAGGTAAATTTGAAAAACCAATAACAACTAGTAAATATATAAGAATATTAAGAACATTACATCCTTTGAATCTCAATTTAATTGATTCAATAGATATTGCCAATGTTTGGCCTAAGAAATTACAATATAATGTATCATTAGCAAAGAAAGGTGTTGCTATAGGTTCAACAATACCAATTAGTGTAATTATTGTTCCATTGGTTAAAGGTTTAGGATTAAAATCTATTAGTGCATGTATTGTTCAACATTTTCATGTATCTCATGATACAAATAAATCTCCTGAATATGAACTCCTTCTTGGTAAGCAAGATTTAAAGATTCCATCTCATAATGAATTGGGAGAAGATAAGTGGACTATTAAAACATTTTATAAAGTTCCTAATAATTTATCTTCATTAACCCAAACATGTGAATTGAAGAATAATTTTGTAACTGTCAAACATAGAATAAGAATATCAATTCAACTTAAAAATAAAGAAGGTCATGTTAGTGAATTAAGGGCTAATTTACCTATAAATGTTTATGTTAGTGCCTATTCAGGTCATGTAATTGCTAATCATTTTACTATTGATCAAGAAAATCAAGATGTATTTGAAGAAGATAAACATAGTCAAGACATTTTATTTAAGAAAGATCGTTCACTTCCTAATACACCAAACTTATCAGATGTTGAAGATTCTACAGTTGATAATGATTTAGATCGTGAAGATGAAGCTCCTCCATTATATCAAGCTCATGTTTATGATAGAGTTTATGATATGAATTTACCTCAAACTCCTTTAGAACAATTTCGATCTCAAGATAATACTCCATTACATTCAGCTAATACTTCTATGACTCAATTAAGTAGTTATTTTGATGATGCCTTTGGGCTTCAATCTCAAACATTACCCAAAACTCCACCTATTCCTCTTGATGTTGAAAAGTTATGTAAGATTCCAACATATGATCAAGCGGTTGATGCAGATGATGATGTAGCGGGTGATCTTAGTACTCCAGCTCCTAATTATTCAGATGAAGAATCTGATGAAGAATCCTCCTTATCAAGTGATCTGATCCCTCGACCTAAAATGACAAAATGGAAGTCAATGGATAGAAATCAATTCCGACTTGGTTCTCGAACCAATGGAATTCATTCATTACCTCATTCTCCATTATCAAGATCACCGATTCGAGGACTCATTGATGAATCATCTGAATCAATTGATGAACGAGATATTCGAGCAAAATCTCCTACCCCTTCTTTCTCAAGTCTTCCTCAGTTTCACTTAAGATTCTCGAAGAAGCGTTCATAGACTCTACGTTTTATACTTTTATAGAGATAGATATAGAATTTAAGTGCTTGCTTTCTTAACACTTTTTATCATAAAGTAAACAGACAATCTACAAATTTACAGAAACATATTTATTTAATCTCTTATATTTAATAGATAGAAGTCACTGTACCATATCCTATAAAAAACTTATGTGGCCAATGAAAAGCTTGACCTAGAGACTTGCTTAGACAGTGGCATACACGTTGTGCAACGATCACGAACAATTTGATTGAAAGTTTCCATAACATCCTGACTAAATGTTAGTATTTACCTAGACATTTTAATAAGTTAATAAAATAAGATTGGATAATCTTAGGAATATAATAAAAGATTTCAAAATATACTCGACACAATCGCCCAAACTTCAAAAGCTTGAGCATCGCTTAATAGAACCACTTGCTCATGGATTCAATCCATGAACAGTGCCTATAAAGTTAGTAGTTCTTAAAAATTAGTGTAATATAAGTACAAGAACTTGTTATAGAAAATTTATTTTAACATGTTTTATTTTTTCCTTAAGTTAATCATAATTCATAAGATAGATTTACAAAGTCTCTAAAAATGTAGTCATTGGATGTATTTACCATTCTTCTGGAAATAGAAGTTTGGCTGCTATTGTGGGTCGTGTATGTCACAAACAAATGCAGTATCAAAATATTCGTTGCACCCTCAGTGCCATGCGGCTGATATATGACCACTCCAACAGTCAGTGCCATTAACATGACCTGTTATTGTTGTTCCAGTTACGGTCCCATTCACTGTATGAAATGTAGAGTTTAAATTGAACACATTTATAAAGATGAAGATAAATATGATACCCAATCTGTGACAAGTAGGGAGAGCTAATAGCTCTTATTTAATTTTTTATTTTTTAAAGATGTTTGCACCCAAAAAGTTAGTAAGCGGAATTGAATATCGTAAAAAAGGTTATAGTCACAAGTAAATACCAGGAAACCTGATCCTGCATAATGCATAAAGTAATTCTAATGTCAGAATTGTTTAATGAATAATTTATTTAGGTTTCATTGAATGTTTATCAAAATCTTTCCCCATTTTTGTCATTTTTGGACAAATTTAAACACAAACTATGTAACAATTCTTAATTGTTTTACTAAATTTGAACTCCAATAGATTGTAATTATGTGATACAATCATTTAAATTGGTTTATCTTGGATTTAAAGATAGGAAACACGTCATTTTAAGAAAATCAAAATTGATCACGTGACCATGCACGTGAATAGCGATCACTGCAGAAAGTGAAGCATTTTGTTTCGATATAAGGTTCTTAATGTGCCTTTTAGTAAGAAGAGAGAGGAGGAAAGGAGCTACAACAACAACAATGGGCCCGAAGGCTTGTTAATTAAAGTAACTAAGACTAATTAATTAACCAATCATACAAATAAGATAACCTCTTATATACAATGTATGATAACGTTCAAGGACAGACCATACTAGATACTCTAACCAAGTACTAGCCATTACCAGGACTGTGAGAACAGAACAGACACATCAAGAATCTCTTCTCGAGGATAAGATATGTTATAGAAATAACATACTATACTTCATACTAGAAGTTAATCCTCCTTCTTTCTTTATCATTTATCCTAGGGGAAAACCACGACTATTTATATTGTTTCTCTGAATATGAGAGGATATTTCCTGCATATAGGACATACCATGTAAATCCTGCATATATGTCGCTGTTAACTAAGGGTAAATTATGAACCTTACATTCGACAAGAAAAGCCTGCGTAGCGTAATGGTTAACGCGTTTGACTTCTAATCAAAAGATTCCGGGTTCGACTCCCGGCGTGGGTTCTCTTGCGGCTTTAGCTCAGTTGGGAGAGCGTCAGACTGAAGATCTGAAGGTCCTGTGTTCGATCCACAGAAATCGCATTCTTTTTTTGATTTTTGCTACTAAAACAATCATTGTACTCGAGAATAATCTAGTAGAGGTATTTCTCCCAGTATTATTCGGTATATCTGATTGAACTTTATGTGGTAATGGTAAGCCTGGAACCGCTTACATAATTTTTTTTATGCAAGCAGCACTTTGCGCATTACGTCAAAGCAGAGCAAAGAAAAAAAGTGAGATGATTTTAGGCTGGCTGGAGCCTTAGAAAAATATCGGTTATCGGAGCAAGCAGAAAGTCATAATTAACAATTGCAAATAGTGACGGAATAATTTAATTTTGTGAAGATTAATAATTAGATTACATATAGTACTAAATTTTTATATTGAGATTTAAACTTGAGGTTATTTCAATTAGACAGATCATAGTTTTAATTAATTTGTTATACGTTTATTAGTTGTAAATTACGAGTTTGTTAATTAATTTAAAGTTATATTAATTATATAAATGGTATCAATTGATAGTCTTATCTTTCCTTATAGTGAGGATGGGAAATCTCCTGTATCATTAAATAAAGTTATATTTACTGATGAATCTGATTCAACTCGATACAGTATTCAATTGAATGAACAAACTAAACTGGTAACTTCAGTAGAAAAGATTATAGCTCAATCTCAACAAACAATTCCTGAATTAGTTCAATATATTCAAAATCCTACAAATTCTAATGGAAATGAACCATTACTTATACGAATTGATCCATTATATAGTAGAATGAAATTTAGTATATCAATTGATTCAAGTAATGAAATTAAATCAGATTCATTAGTAATTGTAAAGACTCGAGAATCAGGGGATGATATAAAACAAATTCAACATATTTTATATGAAAATAAAGAAGATATTGAATGTCAAGTATCTAAAATCGATTATTCAGATTTACCACTTGAATCAAATCTTACAACTAATCAACGTATAATAATTAATGATTCATATGATAGAAGTTTTGTTAATGGAGGTAAATTAAATATTTCACTTTGGGATTTAGAATCAGAAACAAATGAGTATAAATTCTTATTGAAATTTAGTGTATGGATTGATGAATATATTCCTGATCGTAGACCATCAGATGTAAAAAGTTTTAAAGATACAAAATCAATTGCTAGTATTAATACTTCTCATAATTATGGAACAACTAAACATTTTAAGATTAGTGACTTTAAGAAAGAATTTGCCTTTACTTTGGAAGATGGACCTGAATTTAGAAATACTTTAAGTAGGTATGAATCTAATTTAATCTCATTTAAAAAGAATTTTTATCATTTAAGTGAAGAATTAAAGAATCTCGATTCAAGCTTTAAAAGATTACATTCTTCAAAATCAAAGATTATTGAAATAGTTCGGAACTTAACAGATGCTCAATTTAATACATTATTGAAACAATTTGGATTTTCAAAAGACTTTGAAACTAAATTAAGATCAATATTTGATCCCTTTGAAAAGAATCTTAAATTCTTCTTACATTATGTATGTGAGCCAAAACTTATAACAAAGATATCACAGAGTTTAAATTCAAATAATTTAAGTGAACCTAATTCATCAAGTGGATCTTTGGCATCAGGATCGAGTGGATCATCCCAAAATGAATTATTAATTCATAGAAAACAATTTGAAAGTAATTCAAAGGAATATTATAGTTGGTTAAATAAATATCTCAGTAATGAAAAGGATAAATCCGAATCCAAATTATTTATTAAGAGAAAACATTTTGAACTTTCAAAATATGATTATTTAAATCATTTGAATCAATTAACTAATAATCAATATCTGAATCAATTCTTAGAATTATTATTCAAATTTATTAATATTCCTTATGATAATCATTATCCGAGATTATTAAATTTTAGTCTATTTGAAGATTTAAAGAAGAGTCAAGATCTTATTGGGAATAATTATAAGATTTATTTAAATGCTTTATTAAGATTCAATAGTGAAAAGTATCAATTTCGTCAAATGATAGAAGCATGTAAAACTAATGATGAATTAACTAATATAATCAAATATAATAAATTGAATTATTCTTTAGCTACTCAAATGTCAATAACTACATCTTCAGAAGCATCAACTATATCGGAAACTCCATCTTCTCCTTCAATTATTGGATCATCTAATGATGATGATCTCTTAGTGAATATGGATAATATTGGTCTAATATTCTCAGGAAATTCACCAACTTTTGGTAATATGCTGGAATCACCAAGTTTAAGTGAAGAAGAAAAGGGAGAATTAAGTGGAATATTATATACTTTAGGTGGTCAAGGTAAACCTGGTTGGCATAAAGAATGGGTAGTACTAAATAAAGGGTTATTAATGGAATTTTCTGATTGGAGGAAAGGTACTTCTCCTATAAATCAACCTATTGAAATTGCTTTATCAAGTATAAAGCCAGTAACTCATGAGAAAAGACAAAATTGTTTTGAAATATTAACTTCAAAAGGTAGTAAACATGTATTCCAAGCTTTGAATGAAACAGAAAGGACAAAATGGATTAAAGCATTATATAATGCTGGTCAAGTGGTTGATACAACAAGATTGAAAGAAAGTTATAGTGAACAAGGTAATAATAATAATAATAATAATGGTAGATCAAGAAAAATCTTTTCTAAATTGAAAACAGAATTTCATATACCTCCTGTTGCACCTATGGTGGCAGGAGGAAGTATGGATAGATCTTTATCACCAATTTCAATTACTTCTACAATAAGACATAAACATCAAGAAGAGAAAGATTATTTAAATTTAGTTAGATCAATTCCTGATAGTGATAATAATATTTGTCTTGATTGTGAATCAACCGATTCAGTTGAATGGATTTCTATAAATTATTTGGCATGTTTTTGTGTTAAATGTGCATCTGGTCATAGAAGTATTGGATCTCATATAACTAAAATTAGATCTTTAAAGCTTGATAAATTTGATAATGAAAGTGAAATGTTATTAAATTATATAAATAATAAGAAAGTTAATCAATATCTTGAAGAAAATCTTCCTATAAAGGATAAAATAAGTCCTCAAACTTCAGATGAAGATAGAGTTAACTTTATTAGAAAGAAATATGTTGAAAAGAAGTATAAATCAATAATTCCTGATATTAATAATACATTAATTAAAGCCATTCAAAAGATAAATATCCCTGAAGTTTTAAGATGTGTAATTTGTGGTGCTGATGTAGATATTAAAATTCAAATAAGTATTCCAAATAAAGATGAATATCAAATCATAAGTATATTTGAATATTCTTTAAGAAAATTCGTTGAAACTTCTGATGATGATTTAATATTAACAAGTTCTAAGAAATATTTCCTTATCTCAGAAATATTAATTTTGAATGGTTGTAAGATTGATGAAATTAAAGATTTGCGAGAAGATATTGGATTGACCGATGCGGCTGAGGAATATTGGAAAATAAGAAGTTTAAAACTTAGTGGTGGAATTGTATAGATGTATAGATTTATTTATGGGATCGTACTGCCTAATGCGGTAGTTCCCGCATTTTAATGGTTGCGAAATTCTTCTTTTTTTTTTTTTAGCTTTGATTTGTCTACCACAAATTCAAAAAAGTAATATTAGTAAATCTCTTTCCTCTTTAGGCATGTTCTTTCTTCCTTGTTAATGCACTTGGCAGGTAACATTATGCTATCAAAGGGGTCATTAGTTAAGTCTCATCCAATATCACCTGTACCGCCACTGGCTTTGCCATCATCATCATCATCATCATCATCTCAGTTAGATCCTTTGCAAACTATAACATCTTTACCAGAGCTGATTAGTATGTCATCCAAACCATCAGACTTTATATTTGATTATTGTATAGGGACAGGAAACTTTGGAGATGTTTATAAAGCAAGACGTAAAGATTCCAATACTATTTTTGCCATAAAAGTTATTGACTTAGACGAATCAATTGATGATATCAACCAATTAACTCAGGAGATTCACTTACTTTCTAGATTAAGAAGTCCTTATATTACTAATTATTTTGAATCATTTATTTATCAATGGAATATGTACATTGTTATGGAATATTGTGGAGGTGGATCATGTTCTGATTTATTAAAATTATATAAACATGTTCCTGAAATGATAGTTTCATTCATTCTTAGAGAAGTTTTAAAAGGTTTACAATATTTACATTCTGAACATAAAGTTCATAGAGATATTAAACTGGCTAATATATTACTAACAGAAAAGGCAGAAGTTAAATTAGCCGATTTTGGAGTAAGTGGAGAAATGTCAATGACTCATATTAAGAAGAAGACATTTGTTGGTACACCATTTTGGATGGCACCAGAAGTTATTATTAGAGGTGACAAGAATAAAAGAGAAGAAAATGAGTCTAAAGATGATGGGTATGATTCCAAAGTTGATATTTGGTCAACGGGTATAACAGCAATTGAATTAGTTACTGGTAGACCTCCATTATCACAATATAATCCTTTTAAAATTTTATTTCAAATTCCCAAGATTACTCCACCTACTTTAGAAGGAGTTCAATATAGTGATAACATTAAAGATTTTGTGAGGTATTGTTTAATTAAAGAACCATCATTTAGACCATCAGCTAGTATATTATTGAAGCATCATTTTATAACTAGAGGTAGACGTAATGCAGCATCAGCTCAGAATCAATTATTTTTAATGATTTCAAAAAAGAATGATTATTTAAGGAGACATGGTAAATTAGAAAGGACTCCTAATCATTTGATATATGAAGAAGAACAAAATAGTTTAGCAACTAATGCAGTGGAATGGAATTTTCAGACTATGACTGGTCTACCTGCCTATTCAGATCTTGGACCACAGGTTTTGAACAAGACTCCAAAAGTAATAGTTAGAGAACTTCCTAAGAAAAATATAGATCCAATGGTTAGAACAGATCATGTGCAAGTGCAAGTACAAAGTTCTTCCCCAATACAAATTAATGGACAGGAAGTGTTATTTGGATGTCTTGAGAATTTATATCGTCGTGCCATGACAGAGGGTGCAAAGTCTGATATTGCTTCATTAATGCTGGACTTTCATAGATATGAGACACAACAGCCAGGATTATGTGATGCACTTGTAGAAGAGTTTTTACATGTTCCATATAAAGTGTAGCAGTATAAACATTAGATAGTGTATATATAATAAGACTAATTGGTATATAATATGGAAACTACTTAACTAGTACAAAATTTAGCATAAAGAGTAATAGTAATAAATTTTACTAAGAGAAATAATTTCTCTACTACTCCATACCGGACCGTGCCTTCTAGCTTATTCCTTCCTTCCTTCCTTCCTTCCTTCTCACCACATGATTCTCCTACCAGCAAAATATCTCGAAAATCAAATCTCGAATCTCCGATCTCAAACTCCTTCTCTACCTTCACGTTTCACGGTTTTGTAACGCAAATTTGAAAAAGCGCGTTTTCGTGTTGTTGATAGCGAAAAAATTCGATGGTGCGAAATTTACTAGCTCGCAGCCAGCACGATTAGATCACACTAGTGCACACACCAGTAACTGGAGGGGGAAGAGATTTCTGATCTGACTTCATGTTGATGTTTTTGACAATTGTGATTACTTCTTAATACACTAGTTTTTAGTTTGACTTTCCATTAATAATTCCTGAGTGACTGTAGAGATGTCGGAGGAGAAACCAATTAGTAGTGCTAGTACTAGTAGTAGTACTAATAGTAGTACTAATAGTACTATGACAAATACTAGTATTAATCTTAGTACAAGTACTAGTGGTAGTTCTACTGGTAGTACTGGAACTTTATTAACATTACCTCCACAAACTCCTCGAACTACTTCGGCAACTTCTTCTACTCATAAACATCATCAAAGTATTACTCCATCATTCACCTTTGGTTTAACATTCCTGCCTTCATTTCAATTTCAATCACCCATTAATACGGTATCACCTCAAAAATTCTTTAATGTTACTAATAATCTTACTAAGGCAATTACAAAGACTCCCTCACGATTATCAAATAATTTAAATTCAAATTCCAATTCAACTTCAAATTCAAGTCTTACACCATCTCGTTTAAATAATAAATTTATGGATTCTTTAAGGCGAACTAAAAGTCAAGCAATTATAAAGAAATCTAATAGTGATGAGGAATCTGATAGTATTCATGATCTTGATGATAGTTTAAGTTTATTTTCTGGATCCTTTGTTAATGATTCAATCAATGTTAGTGCTAGTCATCCAAATTTAAGTTCTTTAACTTCTATTTATGAAGATGAAGATAATAATATTAAATCTAAACCAGTATCTGAAGATAAAACCTTCTTAACTCCAAATAAATTAATACTTAAGGAAACTCCAAATAGATCTAATTCCGAACCGGGTTTAGCATCAGCTCCTGCATTAGTTCCAATAAAACCCAAACCTATGAACAATTCAGATATATCTATCAATGACACGAATGATTCTAATTCTATTAATTCAGCTAATTCTAATCCAACTTATAGTATCAAAAAGAGAAAATTATCATCTATTGCATCTCAAGGAATTAATGATTCTCCAAATAATTCAATTGCATCTCAAATTGATTGTACAGTTGATTCCCCTATTCAAAGAAGAAAATTTTCTATTGAATCATCTAATATTAATGATAATGGTGATAAAGTTTGGTATGATGAATTAGATGAAGTATTAATTAAATCATTCTTAAAATATAGAAATTTTAGAGAAAATCATAAAGGTTATAATTCTTCATCTATACTTAAAAATACATCACAAAATAAAGTATTATCAAGAATGATTCTTAATAAAACAGGTATATTAAGAACTTCTAAACAAATATCTTCAAGATTATTTCGATTATCTAAACTGAATAAATTAGAAAAGCATAAATTAATTTCTTCAACATCTACAGGATTTGATTCTTCTATTGAAACTTCTTTAAATGATGAAATTCTGGAATTAATTCAAACTCCATTAGATGAATTAATTTCAAATAGTCAGTTAACTACTACTACTGGAACTAGTACAAGTTTACCTGATGGATCTCTTGATTCAATTAGAACAAATGAAATTATTGATCAAGAACTTTATGCATTATTATCTTCTCCTCCACCACCACCACCACCCACAGAATCAATTGATGATAATTTAAAATATGTATTAATACCTAATGAACTTAAAATTCAATTCATTAATAATATTCGTTCATGTGATAATCATATATTTACTAATTTAAATAAAGTTAATCAATCTATATCTTCTATAAAGGAATTAACTACAAAGTTTAATGATCAAATTATTCTGACTTTCTTACTTAATAGACTTAATCTGAATAGAATACCTATTTGGCATTTAGATTATGATATTAATCTCAATGTTAATACTACTACCACCACCACTACTACTACTACTACTACTACCACCACCACTAATAATAATAATCAAATATTCACATCTACCCCCATTTCACCATTCACTAATCAACAACAACCACAAATTAATTTATCATCATTAAATTTATTAAATGGATACTTTGAATCATTTATGAAACTTGATATTGAAACTTGTAATATTAATATTAATCAACATATGTTGAATTGGAAATTACATACTAAAGTTTATTCTCATAATAAAGAACAATTATTTGAAAATGTAGAAATGGTTAATGCATATTCTGATTTAATTGGTAAGAAATATAATTTACAATTTCCATTATTAAAGAACTTTTTTGCTGGCTATTTAAATTTTTTAATTAATGGATCATTTAAATCAGGATTTGATGATTTAAAAATTGTTCATATTTTGTATAATAATCATGGTGATGAAATTAATTTTGATCCAATGATTTCAACTATTTATGGTTATTTTATTCATGATATTAAATTCAATCAAAATGGTTCTAAAGGTGAAGTAAATGTTAATATAATTGATATAAGAGATAATGTTAATGATTTTAATAATTCTCATAGTTCTCAAACTATTGAAGTAGAAACCAAAATAAATCATAATCATAATCATAATCATAATCACAATCATGATCATGATCCAGATGATGATGATAATGAAACTATTTTGGCGGATTCTTCACCTTATAAACCATCACCTAGACATTCAGAAATTCATGATTCTCCTACCAAAAGACCAAACTTTCTATCAATTGATATGGAGAAAGTTAGAGCTTTAGGTAATGTAACTGGACCTCATACTGCTCCCATATATAATGCTGAAATTGTTCAAAAATATAATAAGAATTTATTAATGCAACAAGAACAATTAAGAATCCAAATTAAAAATCATCAACTTCAACAAGGTTATGATGGACCTGATAATGAACAACCACCACACTCTGCACCAGGTGGTACCCACCAAGGATTTATGATACCTCCACAACTTCCACCACAACCTCCTATTCCTGGTCCAGTTCAGCCTCAAGAGCAACATTTCATGCCTCCTAATGTAAACCCACAATTCATGCAACAGTTCATGCAACAGCAACAACAACAGCAACAACAGCAACAACAGCAGCAGCAACAACAACAACCATTACTTGTGAATCTAGGAAATGGGTTTGTTCCTTTTGCTAGTTTACATCCTAACTTACAGGAGCAATTCATTCAGAATCAGAGGCAATTGATCCAAAATCAAAACCAGCAGCAGCAACAACAGCAACAGCAACAGCAACAGATTATGTTCCAGCAACAACAGCAGCAACATCTTCAGCAACAACAACAACAGATATTTATTAATGAAACCAGCACAAACATGAACTCTATGAGTAATCAATTCTATATGAATACTCAACAGAACTTCATACCACCACAATCCCAGCATATGCCGCAAATGCAACAAATAGCACCGCATCAAGAAAAGATGCCCATGATCTCACGTAGTTCTTCTGGACCTGTTATGACATCCAAAGAATCTAACAAAGAGAATATCAGACCAAAAGAAATCAAGTTTGGACCAATCTTGGAGTATGACCCTTCCAAGGATAATAAATCCATTCAATCTAATAAAAACCTTAAATCAACCAGTGGGATTCATAGATTCCCCATTAATACTCCAGTTTCCATGTATAAGCCTAAAAAGAAATAGACTGACTGACTGACTGGATTCATAATTAGTATATATAATGTATAGATATTAATCTGGGAAACGATATAGTGTAATATAATATGACATTCAGCACTTTAAAGAGTTAATGTATTAGAGTAATTTACAGATTAGTTAGCTAACATATACTACTGTCATTTATATACAAGTTACAGCTTAGCTATTGCAGCTTAGTATCACCAACCTTTTGGTGGTGGAGAAGAGGGGCCAAAATAAATTTAATTTAACTGGTGATACTTGTAGCTCATTTTAATAATAATTATTATAATGGTATATAAATTCTAAACTAGTAGATACAATCCAGACTATAGCCTTATTGCGGATTTGGCGCCATTGTGTGGTTGATGAGTCGCGGATTTGCGGGCCTAAAAGGGACAAGAATCTCGTTATCATATACAGTAACAATAGCTGCAATCAGCGGAATAACTAAATTTTTAGTGATAGCAATAAGTTGTTCCTAATCTCAAAAACGCGGAATATGGATATGATAAAAGTAAAGCATGTGTTAAGACCATTAAGAGTATATTACGTTATCCATATATAAGATTAGTGAGAATTTTACTGTTATCTCTTAGCATAACTAGTAGTATTTTGAGCTTCTGTAGATGCGGAAAATGGATGCAAGATTACACCCAAATAAGTAAAGAAAAAAATCCCCTGTGTTAAACACTAATAGATAAGAGTATAATGATATTATTATTCCTATTTAGTTTGTAAAAACCAGATAACCTTATTTAATATTGTGTGACCATTTGAAGTAATAATAGGCACTCCATACATATGTATGACGATCATCAAAGAGGGTCCAGTTCGAATTAGTAAAGTTTAACCACTCCCACCCCCCATGATTGCTGATAGTATGTACTTCAACCAAGCCATTAACATTGTTCTATGACTTGTTGTTCTTGTTCTCTACTTATCTTTAGAATAAAGTTTAGGATGTTTGTGTAAACTAATTTGACAAGTAATCTGCTACATTTTTAGGAAACCGCTGATGTGATAGCAAATTATATATAAATAACACGATTACCATAACCATTCGTAATTAAGAAATATTTTAGTCCAGATAATTTCTCTCTAACTTATACGAATTAAAATTAAAATAGTAATGTCATTAAGTTCTGAAAAGGGTAACGGAAGTGTTGAAGTTCATCAAGTTTCAAGTGTTGCAGATGGTGTTGTTGAAGTGTTACATTCTAGATTTTCTAGAGAATCTGGAGCAATTGCAATAGATAGAAAGATTCTTGAAGCGGCTCAAGCAGATTTGGAATTGGCTCAAGAAACAGGTTATAAACCAGAATTAAGAAGAAATTTTAGTGTATTAGCACTTTTAGGTATAGGTTTTGGTATAACAAATAGTTGGTGTGGTATTTCTGCTTCATTAATTACTTCTATTAGTAGTGGAGGTCCTATGATGGTAGTTTATGGGATTATTATTGTTGCCTTCATTGCAATGTTTGTTGGAATCACCTTATCTGAATTAATCAGTGCAATGCCAAATGCTGGGGGTCAATATTATTGGACTAAGAAATTGGCTCCAAAAAAATATTCTGGTTTTGCATCTTATATGTGTGGAAACTTTTCATGGGCAGCTTCTGTTTTTATTTCAGCTTCAATTTGTCTTTCAATTTCTTCATCAGTTGTAGGGATGTATTTAATGAATAATCCTGATAAAGAACTTCAAACTTGGCAAGTGTTTGTTACTTATGAGATTATTAATATTTTTGTAACACTTTTCAATATTTGGGAAAGACCATTACCATACTTTTCTCAAGCAGCTTTATATGTTTCATTGGCTTCTTTCTTAATTATAACTATTGTAGTATTAGCTAAATCTGGTGGTGAATTTCAAAATCCTCAATTTGTATTTGTTGAATTTACTAATGGTACAGGTTGGGCATCAGGAGGTATTGCATTCATTGTTGGATTAATTAACCCAAGTTGGTCATTCTCTTGTTTAGATGCTGCAACGCATTTGGCTGAAGAATCAGCCGATCCAAGAAGAAAAATCCCAATTGCAATTTTAGGAACTGTTGCAATTGGATTATTTACATCATTATTATATTCAATTGCCATGTTCTTTTGTATTAAAGATTTAGAGCCACTTTATAATTCTAGAACAGGAGTTCCTATCATGGATATTTATTATCAAGTTTTAGGAAGTAAAGCAGGAGCCATTGGATTAGAATTCTTAATATTTTTAACTGCATTTGGTTCCCAAATTACTTGTCATACTTGGCAAGCAAGATTATGTTGGTCACTTGCTAGAGATAATGGTATTCCAGGGTCAAGATATTGGGCTCAAGTTAATACTAAAACAGGTTTACCAGTTAATGCTCATCTTATGTCATGTTTTTGGATTGCAGTTATTGGATGTATTTACATGGGATCATCTACTGCTTATAATTCCATGATTATTGGTGGAGTTGTATTTCAAATGTTATCTTATAGTATTCCAGTAACTTTCTTATTAAAAAATGGTAGAGATTCAATTAAACATGGACCATTCTGGTTAGGAAGAATTGGATGGATTTCTAATTGGGTTACAATAGGATGGACAATATTTACTACAGTATTTTATAGTCTCCCACCAGTTATGCCGGTCACAGCTGGTAATATGAATTATGTATCTGCAGTAATGGGAGTGTTTGGACTTTATTGTGTAATCTATTGGTTTGCTAGAGGTAAGTATAAGTTTACTTCTTTAGAAGAAAGAGAAGGTCATATTGAGGAATTAACTCAACAATTATCCCCTCAAGTATCAGCAATGATAAATATTTTATCAAATGAAAAGCAAGTATAGCTTGTTATAAATATATATTTATATTAAATTGTAATATACATAGTAAATTATCTTTTGCATTTAATAGATTTTCGCAACCTTTGCGTGCAGGTACTTGCGAGGCTTTTTTTTTACGAGGAGAATTTGTTTTTTAAAAAAGTGGAGAAAATATTTTGTATTACCCGGATTCTGTAACAATTATATATAGTCGCAATTCCTTACAGGAAATACATATAGTTTTTTTAAAACTTTGAGGACAACGACTTGGCTTACGGTTACCTTTTTTTTTTATTCGTATGTATTAAGCTATAAACGCAAAGGGACAATCCTATGATAAGAATAAACTTATCATTAGCTAAACGGTTACCAAGTAAAAAGATAATTGGGCATTGTTGAAATAAATTCAGACGGAAGGTATTTCACCAGTTATAGTAGTCCTCCCTGTGAATTGTAATAAATCAAGGCAGGATATATCCACAGTAGCTCTATCTCCACGTAAAGTGATATAACGTTCCGCGATAGGAATATGGCAAGAATCATTAGACGGGCCTCGTAAGGATATGCTAAATAGATGAGCCAAAATAATTAATCTCCACGTAAAGTGATATAACGTTCCGCGATAGGAATATGGTAAGAATCATTAGACGGGCCTAAGAAAAAATCGTAAGGATATGCTAAGTAGATGAACCAAAATAATAATCCGAATGGGTCAGGATTACATAAAGTAATGATCCACGTAATGATCCGCGAAAGGGCAAAAATTCAAAGGATATATATATTGATGGCATATTTCATAAATCCGAAAAGCTTGATGCCACGATGATAAAGTTAATCATCCCCAACTTTTCAACTTGGGTAGGCGAAAAATATGGCAAGCGGCAGTCATTTCGTCATGTCAAAATGATAAATCCGGAGGTAGTTATATTACGGAAGATACTTTGAACAAGCACTGAATAAATAGGCAAAACGTAGTCGCAAAGTAAGTCTTTCCACTCAGCCGTTATTTATTGTTGCTTGAAAGCGCTTCTGTGATATAATTGAGTGACCAACTAGTCGTAAGTTTGACGACACAATGGGTATATAGTTCTAGTTCTAGTTTTGGATATTTGTCTAGTTGTAGATAATATATATCTTGAGTGAATAATGTATTGATTGTAGGCATTATATTAATTTCGTAACTATTTATGCGTAACCATGTGATCCGAAAGCATGTGACACATAAACAAAATAAATAGAGTATCTCATCTAAGCGGAATCGAAACAGCACTAGTCGAGTTGCTGCAATAGAGTAAGTTAAGACTAATTGTGGCAGTATATGTGCCCAATTAGTTATTAATTCTTAAGAGTAAAAATGCTGTCAACAAATATTCCAGGAAATACACCAATTGGGAAAACTTCAGAATCAATTCCAAGTTCAACTCCAATATCAACTCCTACGCCAACTCCAGTAAGTTCTACCCCATTAAATTCCAATGGGAATGATTCAACTTCAACTTCAACTCCAACTCCAACTCGTCAAAAATCCAAGACTGGGAGAAGTAGTAGATCTAGTACTTTAAGTCAAAGTACTAGACAATTTAAATTAATTTCAGTTAATTTTAAAGAAGCAGCCTTAGATTCTCCTAGTTTTAGAGCATCAGTAAATCATTTAGATATTCAAATTGCTAATATTGAAAAATGGTTAGTTGCATTAACAAGTTCAGTTAAAAAATTCCCATCATATATTAAAGAAGTTCAATCATTTTGTAATTCATTTTTAGAACATTTAGTTCCAACTTTTCTTCAAGATGGATTAATTGATCAAGAATATACGGTTCAATCATTACATACAACCCTTGGAGGATTAAAAAAATTATGGGGATTAAGTTTAAATGCTCTTAATGTAAATTATTTTAATTTAGAAAAGACCAGTGGAATTATAACTAAAAATATAATTAGATATAAAGAATTAAGGAAAAAGTATGAAATAACTCAAGAAAAGTATGATACATATTTAGATATTTATCTTTCAACATCTAAATCAAAAGATCCAATAATGGTTATGGAAGATGCAAAACAATTATATCAAGTTAGAAAAGAATATATTCATGCATCACTTGATTTAATTATAGAATTATGTGCTTTAGGAAATTTAATTGATAAACTGTTGGTAGGTTTAAGTACATATATTTGGAAATCAAAATTTTCTCAATTTGTTAATGATTCAATTGATCCTTATTTTAAAGAGCAGGCTCATAAAATAATGAAAATTCAAAGTTGGTGTGATTCTTATTCTGAAGCAACTGATAAATTATATTCTGATATGATACTTGCAAGAGGTCAAGTTGAAGAAAGTTCATCACTTCAATTTGTTCCATCAACTGATATTAGTGATTATAAAACGGCATTAATCAATAATAAAACTTTAAATGAAATTGATGAAAAAGGGTTAGAAAAACATGGATATCTATTTATGAAAACTTGGACAGAAAAATCTTCTAAACCAATATGGGTTAAAAGATGGGCATTTATTAAAGGTGGAGTATTTGGATTATTAGTATTAAGTTCATCACAAACTTTTGTACAAGAAACTGATAAAATTGGTATACTTTTATGTAATGTAAAGTATACTCCAAATGAAGATAGAAGATTTTGTTTTGAATTAAAAACAAGTGATATGACTATTGTATTTCAAACAGAAACTTTTATTGAATTAAAATCTTGGTTAAAAGTATTTGAAAATGAAAGAAATCGAATTTTACATAGTGAAGATAATGATGATATATTTAATATAGCATCAGGAAGATATCCACCAATAGTTGCTGAATTTGCTTCAACTGCTAATACAACTGTTGATCGAGATTTAACTAATACTAGAATTATGAATTCAATGGGACAAATTGTTACATCAAGTAATCTTTCAAATCATATTAGAAAAGATGAGAAATATTTTCAAAAACATCTTTATTATCAAATACCTCAAATAAGACCTCCATTTATGACAGATACAACTAAATCATCAATAATTTCTTTTGGTTTAACTGCTGCTACTTCATTACCAACAGCATTAACTGCAAATTTATGGGGATCAGTAAATTGGGGGATATATTATCTTCATGATGCTATACAAGATCATGAACATAATGATGCCACTAATGCAAGACCAGAACAAGAACTTATTGATAAACAATGTTCACCACAAGGAGATTCAGGATTATATTATCCTGATTATTATCCTCCATCATTAGTACCACTTGATATTCAAATGAGAGCATTATTTGAAACTGCTGTTGAACAAGGTGAATATTGTATTGTATCATTTAGATGTATTTGGTCACCTAATTCAAGACAAGAATTAAGTGGTAGATGTTTTATTACCAGTCATCATATTTACTTTTATATGCAAGCTTTAGGATTTGTAGCATTATTTAAAGCATTTGTTGGTCATCTTGTTGCAGTAGATTATAGTGCTCAAAAACATTTTGATTTACTTAAATTATATACTGTTAATGGAGTTATTAAAACTAAATTATTTCTTGATGATGGGAAATTAATTAAACAAAAATTAGTTTATTTAATTAATAATTTAGCTAGTGAAACTCCTAAAAAATTTAAAGAACTTTTACATGATTTAGCATTAATTGAACAAAAAGTTCATACTGAAAATAAAGATCAACAAAAATTAAAATTAATTAATCAAATTTCAAGAAGTTTAAGTGAAGAAGGTAAAGCTAAACTTAATTTTCAAAATTTAGATTCAAGAGGTGATAAAGTTCCTTCATTTGTTTCTACTGATTCTACAAAACTTGAAGTATTTAAATATGATTTTTCAAGAGATTATAATTATGTATTTGAAAGAACTTATGATTTACCTCCTAAGGCAATTTTTCATGCATTACTTGGTGATGATTCTATTATATTTAAAGATCATACAACATTTGCAAGATTAGAATGTTTTATAAAGAAACCTTGGAGTACATCTCCAAATGGTAATTTATATCGTACAATTATAGCACCAGCCAATTATGAACAACGTAGATTAGATTTAAGAATTGATCAAGAAATTGATAATATGGTTGATAATCAATATTATACATTTACTCATACAAAATCCAAAATGAAACTTTTCTTAGGATCAAAATTTTCTGAAACTTTTAAATTTGCTATTATTGGAATTGCTGGAAAGCAATGTAAAGTATATTTTTATACAAAGACACAATTTGAAGGTTATCAAGTAATGAATCCATTTATTCATGAATTTTCTAAACAATTAGCTTCTAATCAAATTAAACATTTAGATAAAAGACTTCAATTGGTTGTTAAAGAAGTAGGAAATCATGGAATGATTGTTAAATCTATTTATCTTTATGGTAAATTAAGTCATACATCAATAAGTGAAAAGGAAGAAAGATATCCTGTAATTAGTATTAGTTTAATAAGTGTTATGAAAATGATATTTTTTAAATTAATGGTTACAACTACAAAGGGATTATTTCAAGTATATGATATTGCTTATAATACTGTTTTAATATTTATTAAAGGAATTCGAATGAATCAAGTTTTATTAATTATAATTGGATTCTTATGTCTAACTAATTTATTCTTTGCAGGAAAGACATCTGCTACTTATTGGACAGTTAGAAGAGCTAATCAAATAGCACATGAGTATATATTTTCAGAACCTATGATGTTAAAGAGAGCAGTCTATTTACAAGATATTCATGATTTAATTGAAAATAATTATTCAATTATATCAATTAACGAAGACAAAGATAAGGAAAAAGATGAAAATGAAAATGAAGAAATTAAAAGAAATAGTACTAGTAATAATAAATCTTTATGTTATAAGAATTTTAAGGAAAAGTCATTTATGTTAAATTATGATCAACCCAATTTTTGGGATTTAGAAACTATTAATGAACCTGGAGAAGCCCTTAAAAAACAATTCATAGATATTGGAGTTAAAAGGCATGAATTAATAGTTCAATTAAAAATTTTAAATGATATGGAACGAGAAATTGCTCAAGCAGAATGGCAAAATTTTTTATTATCAGAACTTGAACGATGTGAATATGTTAGTTCTAATATTTTAAAGAATATTGGTATTGATGGAATTGAACAAGGGATTGAATCGGTAGTTGATTATTGTCGTGATTGTTCTAATCAATTAAGTAAATTAAATCTTCTTTAAGTATATATGCTAAATATTAATAACCTCTTTTAGCTAAATTATCAGCAATATCTAAGTATAATGCAATAGCATTAAATTTAGGTTTACGTTTAAACACAAATTTATCTAATGTTGAACGTATAGTACTTGTCCAATTTATTAAATCAAGATGATCAACTTGATCTAAAGTTCCTAAATAATTCCCCCATTTTGCACTTGTAACACTTACTAATCCATCATTATCTATATTTAATTTAGGGGCAAGTTTAATTTGATTTCTTTTTAATCTTAATCCAATTCTATATTTCATTAAATACCATGTCGAATAAAATATATTAAATAATTTAGGATTAAATTTAGCGCCATAGGAGAAATATTCGACTGTTGGATCATCTACGATTTCCTTATTAAACTTGATCATACTTGTAGTTGTCAAATCAAATAAAGCTTGAGGGGCTACATGCTTTAGAATAGGAACTGTTTGTACCAATTCATAAAAGAAATCTGCCACTTCTGAACCTCTATGAGGAGTTGCAATAGTTGTTAATGATACTACATGATACTTTTTATTAGGACCATTATTTTGTAATTTAGATATTAAATATCGACTATCTAAACCTCCCATTGAATGACTAATAAGATTTAATTTTATAGGAAAATTTATCTTATCATCAGACATATCCTTTAATTGTTGACATTGTAATTCTAAAAAACTTTCAAGAATTTCTGCTCTATCTCTAATAGTTCCAAATGGTGGAACTTGAGCCACGAGGACTTTTGCTCCAAGTTTTGAAAGTGCAATACCTATACCTCTCCAATAATCTAATTCGAATCCAAGAATTCGTTTAGATCCATCATTTTTTACAAGATACTTATCTACTATTTCAAAATTTTGAAAGAATGTTAATTTATCAAATCCCGAGAATCCGTGACATAGCACAATTGGATATTTAGGTGTATGATATTGTTCTCGGAGAGTTCCGAATTTATCTGTTATTATAAAATGGTTAAATCTCTTACTACCACCCAGATTCCAGTTAAATGCTAATGTCTGGATCCTCAAGGATCTACCTGTACGAAACATAGTTGTCTACTATGCCACAGTGCAAATAGAAATTGTTGTTCGATATTTCATTCTGATATTGCTACCCCATATATTTTTTTTTCCTTTGCGTATGTACTTAATATACTGTACTTCACATACATTTTGACATCATTGCTATTTTTGGCAATGAGTTCCGTCTATATACAAGAGTTTATATTTTATCTAGCACTAATTATTTTAACCATAATATCTTTAAAAGATTCAAGAACATTAAGTGATTTTAATCCTAAACCTCTAAGGGCAACCACAGGATAATAATCAGTGGCAAATACTTTATGTAATTTATCACAAATACCTAATAACATATGGTTTGAAGGCCAAGAATTGGCAACATAACTATCTAAAACTAATGTAGATCCAATATCCATACCTCTATCAATACCTGATTCTAATGCAGTCATTAAAGCTGCAACATCTGATTGTCCCATATTAAGACCTTGACCAGCTAATGGATGAATAGTATGAGCAGCATCACCAATTAATGCTATTCTTGGAGCAATATAGGTATCAGCATGAGACAATTTAAGAGGAAATCTAGCTCTTGATCCATCAAGTACTTCAACAACTTTTAAAGGATAATTTTCTTCTAAATTTTGTTGATCAAATTTTTCTAATCTCCATTTAATTTCATCTATTACTGCCATATCATCAGGATTATAATCTAATAATTTATAAATATAATTTAAATCTGCTTCATCTAATACAGTTGCTGCATTAACTAAATGAGGAAAGATTTCTTTATTAGTTTTCAATAATATTTCTGAAAGTTTTGGAGTACTTGACCAAACCATAGTAGCATTATCTTCAGTTAAAGGTAAAATTGCCAATGGACCTGTAGTTAAAAATCTTTGCCAACCTACTGAACGATAATCTTCATATTCCATCTTAAGAGTTCCAACAACTCCAAATCGATTATATTGCCAACCTCTTGATTCAATTCTAGCAAATTTACGAACTGGAGAATTGTATCCATCAGCACCAATTAATAAACGGGTTTGAATAATATCTCCATTTGAAAGTTTTACTATAGGCCAATCAAGATCAGCATTACCAGCATTTGGATCTATTTCATTTAAATCATGATCTTCAAGGGATTGTTGTATAGGACTAATAATATCTTCTACTTTAGTTTTATCAAGTACAGTAGTTCCTTCTGTATCATTTATTTCTTCAATCTTTTTTAATAAAGAACTCTGTATATTAATATTTTCAATCATAGCAGCAAGAACTCCAGATTCAGTAGATCCCGCGTCAAAATCTATTCTAGCATTATCATTATCTTGAGAATCATAAGCTACAATTCTGTCATAAAATTTTACTCTATCCTCTTTCATATAATCCCAATTTCCAATTCTTGATTTCATAAATTCTACAGATTTAGGAGTTACAGATACAACTCTATTGGTATAATTTTCTCCAGGATTATCATAAAAGTCTCTTACATTAGTTAAATCAGATGCTTCTACTAATGTACATTTTAAATGTCTTGTTTTTGGTGAATTCTTAAGAGCTGCCAATACAGATAATCCTGCTGGTCCTCCACCTACAATTACAACATCTTGTAACTTAGGATTAATTATTGTTTGACTATGGACAGCGGAATGTGTAGCCAATGTTCTCCTTATATAGTGTCTAAACGACATACTTGAATTATCTATTCACTAATTCAATTGAACATTAACAAATATAAAAGTCGTCTTAACTTAAACCATACTTGCTATATCCAATTCACTTATGAGCAGATTTCGATTTTTCACCCTGCAGCTTCGTTCCGCTGCTCGTTTATGCGCTTTTTGCAAGATATATCCACTAAGAAGTATATTTAACATAATTAACTTTTGCTTTCTTATAATTAATTAAACATTATATTAGATTATGTATAATTAGTAAGTTAATACTATAGAGTTATAATATTTCAAAATTCCGAGTATTTACCTTCCATTACTGATGAGGTCATAACGGTTGTGAAGTGGGGGGCTTAGATATAGAACGTAATTCCACATTATGATACTTTTTTGCGAAATTATATAAATAGTAGCATAACCCCTGTATCTTTGATTAATAAATTAATTAGATATAAGTGTAATTGTGATTGAGATTTTTATCAGTATAGATGAATTTAAGTCCAATTGATAATATCAAGAATCTAGATTCAATTCAATTAGTTGATGAAGCTGAAGCTATTATAAGTTCTGTTAAGAACTGGAAAAAAGACAAACAATTTGATTACGTACTAAATAAACGTAAATCTACACCAATTTCAATTAGGACATTTACTAACGATAGTTTGAATGGTGATTTCTGGTGTGCCAGAGTTAGTAATTTAACGGAATTGACTGATAAGGTGAGGCATACTTATTATGAATCCCTATTAAAATATCTTGTGGGATCTTTAACAGATATAAAACATACCCATACTGATTTTGAAAAGAAATATATTCATGAAATTTATGACTATAAAGTAATTCCTTATAACTTAATAAATGAATCACCTAATCAGACAATTTCTTATTTAACTCAGGTTTACTATAAATTACCATTTCCCTTAAGTAAAAGAGTATTTTATGAATTAGTCCATATCTACAAAGCACATGATAATCTGGTGGCGTATATAATATCGTTAGCTATAAATCCTAAGAATATTAAGGGGTCAAAGGATGATAGTGGATTTACAATTGGCCGTTATACTTCAATTGAAAAAATTTCCTTTGATGAAGACACTAAGAAATTAAAGTGGATTATGGCAACTTGTTCATCTCCAGGAGGGTTTTTACCAGATTGGGTTACTAAACTTAGTATTAGTGGTGCTATTGCTAAGGACGTACCTAGTTTTTTGAATTGGGTTGATACTATGTAAACTAAGTGGCTGACGTACTTGAGAACTCTGCTAACCAGTATTTGACATCATCACCAAGATTATCAAGAAATCCAAGATGTGCATAATCACTAATTCTATGTAATATACCATCATCTAATTCAGGCATCAATGATGTATCTACCACCTGTGATTCAAGTTGTTCATGTCCATTACTAATAGGTGAACTCATGTTGGATGTTATAGAAGGTGGTACCACACTTAATTTTCTATATGCTATACTTTTCCGTTTCTTCTTTGTACTATGATTACGATTTTTAATAATAATAATGAACTTTCCTTTATGTTTAATGTAATAAAACATCCAATCATTCTGTTTGTTACTTGTAAATTTATGAAAATATTCACCCATCTTATTATGGGTGAAAAAGTTATTATTTCTTTGCATTAAGAACAAAGATGTTAATTGATCATGTAAATAAAAGATAGCACTTTGATATCTAATCAATGGTTTATTTTCTTCTTCATTAAGATTAATATGGGGTAAATATGGTAACGATGATTTTATCCATCCTTCTTCTTTATCAAATACTATGAAGAAAAAGTCATTATCAAGTTCATTTTTACGTATAATCCCATTTAAAGATCCCACACTAGTACCAATAATACTAGCACCTAAAACTGAATTGTCAATTTCATCAATGGCTGGAGAAAGGGTATCCTGAGCCAAGGTTTCATAAAATTCGATATTGTCAAGTTGATCCCATCCAGATTCATATACCAATGTAAGTATAATGTCATCCTTCTTGAAAATAACCAATTGATATTCTCGTTCTTCCTCTTTATTATCATCAACCTTCGTCTTTAGATATACCAATTTTTTAAATACAGTATTAGTATTAGTCGATAAATCGAACTTGGACCCAATTAAATATTCACCAGTATTTTCTTCTTCAATTTCATCGTCATCATCATCGTTAGGAATGGCGTTTTCTACTATAGTTTCATTTTCTGTATTTCCTGCACCACTTAAGGACAAATTTTTAAGTAAAGGTGGTACCAGTAACCAGCCTCCACTAGTTACTTCTTCAACGCTTTCCACAATACCAGTTCCATAATGTTTAACCTGATCTCCGATCGATAACATTGTATTTACTGTATAATTAATAGGCAGAATAGCCAAATTAGGAGTAATATTCCTTGGGTTTAACATTTCTAAAGCAGTAGATGTTACAGCCCTTAAATTTTCTGTTGTAATTTGTTGAAAATTCCCACTAGAAGTTGCAGAGTTAGCAGTTGAACTTGTTTCAGATTCTAAATCGGGTATTACCGATAAATTAGATTTGAAATTTTCATCAAAATTAATATTAGATAATGCTTCTGTGGTTAATGTCTGATGATAATCATGAAATTCTAACCAACTGTATATATCTATTAATTCATTTTCAGATAATTTTGGATTACTCTCTACGTGTAGTAAACCATACTTCTTAGGAAATAATTTATTGAAATAAGAAATTATTATTCCTTTAGGAATAGATTCAGAATCTCCTTGAACTATATTACTAATTTCTGATGTTGCTTGGAAGTTTAATGATAATGAAGATCTTTTGTATAATCGATCGGATGGTAATAGTCCTAAGAATCCCTTATAATTTAAACTGTTAGGCCAAGATAACCCTGGTGGGATTTTATAGTATTGTGAATTGTAATTGAAATAGAATCCTTGCCAATATTGTAGAAGTAATTGCTTTAGTACTGGTAATTGATACTTTTCGACTATATTACCGAAAGAAGTATTCTGAATAACAAAATTTCTATAAAATGATTTAATTAGCTTAATTAATTGATGGTTTGTAAAGTTAGATTTGTTATTATGCTTAGCATTAAATGATATAGAACATGCAAGGAAGTATTCTGATTCGATATTTATAAGAATTATAGAAGACTTGGAGGAATTTATAATTGTTACATCATTATCTTTCAGATTATTGAAATCAACAGCGAATGAATTGACTCCTCGTATTAATCCAATAATTTTTAACTGTTCAATTTTTTCTTCTTCCAGAAGTGATTGATTTCCCTCTGCTTGAGAATTCGATGATATAAAACATATAATTTGTTGGAATAATTCTTCGCTAGTCTCTGCATTTGAGTTCTCTATCAAACTGGGGTTAAACACTGATAAATACTTAAGTTGTGGATTATAGGTCGATTTAGTATCATAGTATGGTGAGTTGCTATTGGTAAGACCTCCATTATCTCCTAATTGTGGTAGGAACTTGGTGAAGTAGGATGCCATTGAGTCATTATTAAAAGTTAAGAGTACCTGAAGAAGCTATTGCTTAAAGGTATAAATAGACTAGTTTGTTTGTCGCGCTTTGTTTCTGTCGTCGCGACAAATGAGAAAAAAAATGACAAGAGATTAGAGTTTGTTACATACAAAGTTTCTATTAACTTTACTCACACAATTGTTTATTATTTAAAAATATTTAGAAGTATTTATAATATTTATGTTTGTAAGGCTCTTCCAAGTACTTAATTTCTTCATCAGTAAACTTGAATTGAGTTGCTTGCACAGCTTCTTCAACTCTCTTGATGGAATTAAGACCCACAATCGGATGTGCACCCTTACTAAGTACCCAAGCAGTAGCAATTATAGCCATACTAACACCATGTTTCTTGGCTAATTCTTCAACTCTATTAACTATTTCAACATCATTTTCATCCAACTTATCTAAATGTAACATTTGAATAATTGGAGATGTTCTTGGATGGGTGGTTTCTGCAGTTACGCTAGCTGGTTTAGCTAACACACCGGCAGCAATTGGTGACCATGGAATTAAACCAACATTTCCAAATACGTTGTTGTTACAGAAATAATTCATTTCATTCTCTTGTTCACGGTAAAGTAAGTTATAGTAATTTTGCATACTAATAAATTTAGCCCAACCATTCTTGTCAGCAATAGCTTGTAATTGAACAAAATCAACAGCTTTCATAGAAGATGCACCAAGATATCTGACTTTACCATCTAATACAACATCATTTAAACCTTTCATGATTTCGTGTTTTGGAGTATTAAGATCTAATCTATGGATTTGTAAGACATCAATATAAGTACCCAATCTCTTCACTGATGCTTCAACTGCATCAAAAATATGTTTTCTGGATAACCCTCTGGAATTAACATAATCTGGACCAGAAGCTGTGAAAGTATTAAAGGAAGGATCATCTTCATCAATTACGTTAAATAATTTTGTTAAGATAACAACTCTATCTCTCTTAATATTATATTTCTTAAGAAATTTACCTAACCAGATTTCCGATTGACCATTGGAATACATATCAGCAGTATCAAATGTTCTAATTCCAAGATCATAACACTTTTTCAAGATTTCCATAATTTCATCTTCATCATCAAGAACCCAAGGTGACCATTTCTTACTACCATAAGACATACATCCTACGATAATTCTTGAAATAGATAAACCAGAATCACCTAATTTTGTGTAAGGGATTGTAACTTCAGTAGAAGACATAATGTAACTTAAATCAATTGCAATTGATGAAGTATTGATCCAATTCTAAAACCTGGGTTTTTCAAGCCTATATATACTCGCTTCGAGGAGAGAGGCTTTTACATAAACTCAAGTCCGGATAGGGTGCGCATCGAGACCCGAACTTTACATAATGAAACAGAAGAATTGGGGGAGCCGGCCGTATCTCACAAAATGGGGTCAATAAATGTCACTTACAGTAGTAGTACCATTTCCAATGATAAATAAAATTCCCGTTTGGGCTACTCCGGCTTTGTGTTGAGAAAAGTTCGGGGTCGTGGCAACTTTTTCCTAATTTATTATGAGGATACTAGCAATCAATAAATCAGGATTGCTTGAAGGTTGAGTTTTTTTAACTTACATCAAGTGACTACGGATAGGAAATAGGAAATAGGGTTATATATTTGCCAATATATGTATATAGACTAAAAATAAACTTTAAACTTGTACTTATAAGGTTCTTCCAAGTACTTGACTTCTTCTTCGGTTAATATAATTTGAGTGGCTTGCACGGCTTCTTCAACTCTCTTGATTGAGTTAAGCCCAACTATTGGATTGGCGCCCTTATAGAGAACCCAAGCTGTAGCAATTACAGCCATACTAACATCGCGCTTTTTGGCCAACTCTTCGACTCTGTTGATAATCTCGACATTGTCTCCTTCTAAGTTATTGTAACCGAAAATATCAATCATTGGCGACACTCTTGCATGCGTGGTTGCTTGACTGACTGCAACAGGCTTTGCTAAAACACCGGCTGCAATTGGAGCCCATGGAATCAATCCAACTTTGCCAAATACATTATCGTTACAGAAATAATTCATTTCATTCTCTTGTTCACGGTAAAGTAAGTTATAGTAATTTTGCATACTGATGAATTTGAACCAACCATTCTTGTCAGCAATAGCTTGTAATTGAACAAAATCAACTGCTTTCATGGATGAAGCCCCAATGTATCTTACTTGTCCCGATAAAATAACATCATTCAATGCTTTCATAATTTCATGCTTTGGTGTATCGTCCAATCTGTGTATCTGCAAAACATCGATGTGTGTACCTAATCTTCTGACAGAGGCTTCGACAGCATCAAAGATATGCTTTCTGGATAAACCCCTTGAGTTGATATAGTCAGCACTTGAGCCCAAGAAGCCGACGACACTGGGATCATCCTCACTTACAGGACCAAAGGCCTTAGTCAAAATAACTACTCTGTCCCTTTTGATGTTATACTTCTTGAGAAACTTACCTAACAAGATTTCTGATTGACCATTAGAATAAACGTCAGCAGTATCAAATGTTCTAATCCCTACATCATAACATTTTTTTAAAATATTCATAATTTCTTCTTCATCCTCAAGGACCCAATCTGCCCATTTCTTGGTACCATAAGACATACATCCAGCAACAACTCTGGAAATAGATAAGCCAGAGTCACCTAATTTGGTGTAAGTGACTGTTGGTTCATTAGACGTCATTTTTGTAGTTTTGATTCAAGTAAAGTACATAATATTGATATTAATCTATTTATCATCCATTCTGAAGCACAATTGTACTGTTTAAATATAATTCCAATAAGTAATTATATATGTGAATCCGGCTGCAAAATCCAAAGTCTTCCCCCGAGAAAAACGCTAACCGATCCCACATTATCACCGAAAAACTTCCCGATTTAAACTTTAATACCATTTTTAGCGCTCTTAGACCCTATTTAGGGTTGTTGTAATTTTTTCAGAGAAAAGTTCGGTAGTTGCGAAAAGCAATTCCCTCCTACAGGATTAACTAATTGTCACCTTATTACGTTTTCATTTGATAAGAACAGTATTTAACGAATCAAATTAGAGATATATATTTAGAAATAAGGCTTGAATTTATACTTGTAAGCTTCTTCCAAATACTTGATCTCTTCCTCAGTTAACTTAATTTGAGTAGCTTGCAAAGCTTCTTCGACCCTCTTCACTGAGTTAAGACCAATAATTGGATTGGCGCCTTTAGAGAGAACCCAAGCAGTAGCTATAATTGCCATACTAACATCGCGCTTTTTGGCCAATTCTTCAACTCTGTTAATAATCTCAATATCATCTTCTTCCAAGCTGTTGTATCCCAAAATATTAATGATTCCGGAAACTCTTGCGTGCTTCTTCTCAACGGAGACACTGGCAGGCTTTGCTAAAACTCCCATGGCAATTGGTGACCATGGAATCAATCCAACTTTACCAAAGACATTATCGTTACAGAAATAATTCATTTCATTCTCTTGTTCACGGTAAAGTAAGTTATAGTAGTTTTGCATACTGATGAATTTGAACCAACCATTCTTGTCAGCAATAGCTTGTAATTGAACAAAATCAACTGCTTTCATGGATGAAGCTCCAATATATCTTACTTGTCCTGATAAAATAACATCGTTCAATGCTTTCATAATTTCATGTTTTGGTGTATCGTCCAATCTGTGAATTTGAAGAACATCAATGTGTGTACCTAATCTTCTGACAGAGGCTTCGACAGCATCAAAGATGTGCTTTCTGGATAAACCCTTTGAATTAATATAGTCATTATCAACCCCTCTAAATTGAAAACTGGGTTCGTCCTCATTAACAGGAGCAAAACACTTGGTTAAAATAACGACTCTGTCACGCTTAATGTTATATTTTCTAAGGAACTTTCCGAGCCAGATTTCAGATTGTCCATTGGAGTAAACATCAGCAGTGTCAAATGTTCTGATCCCAACATCATAACATTTTTTTAAAATATTCATAATTTCTTCTTCATCTTCAAGAACCCAATCTGCCCATTTCTTGGTACCATAAGACATACATCCAGCAACAACTCTGGAAATAGATAAACCGGAATCACCTAATTTGGTGTAAGGAATTGCAAAATCAGTGGACATTTTTTTAGTGGGTTTTTCAATGTGTTAATTTATTTTGTAAATCAATTGAGAGGATCGGCCAATTATTTATAGATTTTTAAATTTGGAGAATGGCATATTTTGTGATTTAGGATCAAACGACACTTCATTAAATAGAGCGGATATTTCACCAAAGATGCAAGACTTGGGGTGGTTATTAACCGATTTAGGGATAGTCCGGTTTTGTGGTAAGAAAAGTTCGGGGATAAAAGAACTGGATGCTAACTAAAGCCGATGTACAAATAGAATTCTAAATGGCATGACTAGGGCCAAAAGGATACGGAGTGCTGTTAGTAGCTCAATGATACGGAGTGCTGTTAGTGGCTCAATGATACGAATTGTTTACCAATCCATTACTAAAAATTCGTTAAAGATCAATGCTTAGAAGTCAAAAACTTACATATATTAATGAAAAATAGCACTACATAACGAATTAAAAAATTGTAAATCCTTTAGCATCATAAGGCTCTTCTAAATACTTGATCTCTTCTGGTGTTAATTTGAAAAGTGTAGCTTTTACAATTTCTTCTACTCTTTCTTCAGAATTGAGACCAACAATTGGACAAGTACCCTTACTTATAACCCAAGCAGTTGAAATAATTGCCATACTAACTCCATGTTTCTTGGCCAATTCTTCAACTCTCTTGACAATTTCTGCATCTCCGCCTGATAAATTTCCCAATCTTAAATGAGTGATTCCAGACTCCGTCTTTGCAGTTCTATTATTTTGAGATTCCGTATTTAATGGTCTAGCTAAAACACCCATTGCAATTGGTGACCATGGAATCAAACCAACCTTACCAAGGATATTTTCTTGACAGAAATAATTCATTTCACGTTCTTCTTCACGGTAAAGTAAGTTGTAATAGTTTTGCATACTAATAAACTTGAACCATCCATTTTTATCAGCAATAAATTGAAGTTGAGCAAATTCAACTGCTTTCATAGATGAAGCTCCAATGTATCTTACTTGTCCTGATAATATAACATCATTCAATGCTTTCATTATTTCATGCATAGGAGTTGTTCTATCTAATCTGTGAATTTGAAGAACATCAATGTAAGTACCCAATCTTCTAACTGAATCTTTAACGGCATCAAAAACATGCTTTCTTGATAATCCTTTAGAATTGAGATATTCATATTCTGGTAAGCCAGAGGTTTGAAGTCTGAATCCATAGTTTGTATCATCAACAGGATTAAATAACTTTGTTAAAATAACAACCCTATCTCTTTTGATATTATACTTTTTAAGGAACTTACCCAATAAAATTTCTGATTTACCATTAGAATAGATATCTGCTGTATCGTAAGTTCTAATACCAACATCATAACATTTCTTTAAAATTTTCATAATCTTCTCTTCATCTTCAAGCACCCATTGAGACCATTTTTTGTCACCATATGACATACAACCTGCAATTACTCTAGAGACTGATAACCCCGAGTCACCTAATTTTACATGTGGAATTTCACCTACAGTATCTGACATCTTTATTTTAAATTAACCGATTATTTCGTTTTAGTACTTCTGCCTAATTTACCATAATGAAACTATTAATACAGTGAAAAATCCCCCTATTTATATACTAGGACTTGGAGAATATTAACTAGTTAATTTTCACTGGATCCTCCCCAATTTATTCTAAAAAGAGTATCTTCCCCGTACACAACTACATTTCAAACTACATATTATGGGGTAATGGAAGGTAAAGTAAAGCAAACAGGTAATTACCGTCCCCCCATTTTTGAGCCTCCCCCAAATGCTGCGAATTATAGCGAAAAATCGTCCCTCCTCGCCCCCTAATTACTGTAAAGCTAAGATTTTGAACTATTGTTAATTGTTAATAGAGTGGTTATTTAAGGGCCGCTCGCTTCAATTATCAAGGTATCTGAGATAATTCAAACGTTATTAGTAATCCGCAATAATAGCATAAGAGTATATTTTGCGATTTAAATTTTTGCATCCTGATTACCCCATTATTTATTGTAGCATATAGTATAGTTAGGCTATAAAAGTTATGTTGAAAGAAAGTGATTATGACTCATTCTGCAATTCAACAATAGTCCATGTCTACATCAAATAAAGGTATTCTGTAAAGGTATGATGTTGGGTCTGTCTACTAAATAGACTGCGTTCTTTCATTCTCACTCTCACTCTCACTCTCATTCAATGAGCTGCTAAATTATATCTTTTTGTACTGTTTGTTTAAATACAGTTTATATTGACACTTCCACACCACATGGTTACTTCACAATGTTTATAATTCTACCTAAATTAGGCTATAATCATGATAATTATTATGTGTATTTGATAATCGATTGGATGTACTTGACAACCGACTCTCTACCCTCGATTCAATAGGAAAATACGCGTTCTGTTCACGTGAGCCGGAATCGAATCTGAAAATCCGGTTTGTTTACACTTTTAAACGAATATTGGGAATGTTGATGTTTTCGGCAACTAACCTAAATAGGGTAGGTACGAAACCTTAACAGATCTCTCCTAATCCCAAATACATCTGATTCCCCCTGAATTACTGAACAGCTTGATAAACTCTCCATCTTGAACTTGAACTTGAACTTGTTGTATCAAACCCCCCCCCATAACTCTAATCTGCCAGCAATCACAAGCATAGGCATAAGCAGACACAAAACGGCCCGTCAGACGAAAAATCAAAACAAACCAAAAAAAAAATTTTGCCAACTGTTCAGTAGGATCTAAAAGAAGTCTACTTCGGAGAACTAGTAGCTGTATCAATTGGTAGAGTCAGTTTCTGTTTGTATATGTACAGTGACATTGAGATATCCATTTAATAATTGTCTTAGTCATGTCAGCCAGTAACAGTCCTATCAAAATTAGAGGTGAGCACCCCCAAAATGGCAGTACAAGTAGCTCCACCACGAATACGTCTAGGTCCAACAGTACTAGTCATACCCCCAATAATAATAATAATAATAATAATAATAATAGTAATAATTCCAATAACAATAATAATAATACATCCAAAGTGATTGACTCGTTACATTCACAAATCGATAGTTTAAAGGAACAACTAGAAACTGTACAACTATCGTGTGATGATTATCGAAAGAAATATACTGTAGTATCTCAAAAGAATGAATCTTACTTAGATCAACTAGCCAATTCCAAGCATGAAGGTGATATGATAAATGCCTTGTTAAAAAGAAAAGAAAGAAGAATCATTGACTTGGAAAATCAAATTAATGAATTATATTCAAATAATGAGACTTTAACTTTAACAAATAAGAATTTGAAAATTAGATGTGATAACTTACAAGATTCATCTTTAAGTTCTATTGCTGAATATGAAAGAATGAAAATTAGTTATGATGCCTTAGTTGCAGCTCAAGCTGAATATAAAAGACATTATCAACAAGAAATATCTCAAATAAGTGATCAATTTGAACAATATAAGCATGATCAACAACAAAGATTAGAAGAATTACAATTGAAATTTGCTAACAATGATAAGGATGTTGATACCTTGTTGGATAGTTTGACTAATAAAAGGAAAGCTATGGATTCTATTTATATTAAAAAGAATAAAATGGTCTTGGAATTACTATTTAATCTTAGTAAGGTTGCTAAATTACATGGTCAAGATTCAATGCAAATTTTGAAACAATCGGTAGAAACAGTTCAATTCTTAGTTGATAAATATCCTGATTTGCCGGAAAGACTTAGTCCAATTGAAGAGATGGATATCAATTTAGAGGAATTATTGAACGAATCTCACGAAACATTATCAAATTGTTCATTTGATGATGATATAAGTGAAACATCAAGTATTTCAAATCAAGCTGAAATTGATGTTAATGAAGAAGAGAAATCTAATTCTATGCCAGCATCAAGAAATACTTCTGGTGGAACGGTACAAAGATCTAATACATTACAAAATAGAAAGAGAAAGAATAAAAGGAATTCCATTAGATTTGATTCTAAAGGGGCACCTGATTTATCCAATATAGTAACTCCAACTAATAATAATCAAAACCAGTTTGTGTTACCTAAGCGTCCAACTAATAATAGTAATAGCAATCAATCCAATCAACCGACTCATTATAACAATAATTCTAATAATCACACTAATACCCACAATAGAAATTTATCAGTTAATTCTAATCTGTCGCGTCAATCATCGGTTAGTTATCAAACTACTTATGATTCTAACACTTTCCAAATTACTCAACATCGACTTAATAGTAGTGGACATACTAACAACAATAACAAGGGTGGATATAGAAATAGTAGTAGCCACAATAACAATAATAACTACAATAACAACAACAACAATACCAACAACACCAACCATAATCACAACAACAATCATAACAACTCTAATAACAACAACAGCAACGGTGGAGGAACTTCGAAACAAGCTAAGAGAAGATCTATGTATAATAACAGTAACAATAAAAGAAATTCACAATTATTCGATGCTACAAATTTAAACTATCCGTTGAATTCTAATTAATAATATATACAGGGGTTTGGTTATAAAAGTACTAACATAATAATTATTCAATAGATTGCTGTACTATGGACTAGGTCAATTGCTATGTTTTAGTTTCGATCCTTGATATACCATAAGATCCTAATTTTTATGGTTTGTCATCCTTCTTGGATCTACCTGTATTTTACATGTATACATCTATATAATTATATACTTGTATACTTCTATACTTATTTATTATAATCTTATTACTAGTAAGTGCTTATTATACCGATATTAGATACTATGAGGTCCTACACTATCCAACTCTATGATGACTTATTGCTAAGGCAAATACTATATACCTAGTTATATAATTTCCATTTAATTCTACTGTGTGTCAAGCCTCAATTAGCCTCGATTTAGCCTCCATTAGCCTCCATTGGTGAACAGAACCTGCTTGATTTGCAGCCATTGCCAAGACTAAATTCTGTACAAGAAATTCTATTTAATATACACACGTCTAGCACACACAGTCATAGATCCTCTTTTACATACAATGTTTAGGATACGTCACTGTATTCCTAATTAAGTAATCACCGTAGTTATAGAGCGCCTATTACTTTGAACCAGAATGTGGCATTTGTCGCATATTGCACGACCTCCTATAATTTGTTATTTTGCCAGCACTTTTATCATCACTTATAACCTAGTTTACAATTTCGGGTAAAAGACCCTTAGTCGAAAGAAGTCAATTGTGTGAGAGGAGGTACAAAATCGAATTGTAAGCTGTTTGAAGTTAAAAATTTCCAACCAGTAGCCGTTTGTGAAGTAATGAATTCAGTATAATGTGGAGAGAATGCACGACCCACTAATTTCCGAAATCGGGTACGTACATAATAAGTCCCACTCACCATGGAATTCCAGCTCAGTATACAATGCGACTCAAATATTTGCTGCTTTTCAACAGTTTCCAAGCATTATTTAGTTTCGTTTAAATGTATATATACATCGAAGAGACAAGAAAAATCTCTAGTACATTACTTCAAATTTGACATATTTGATGATTGATAAGAAATGTATAGGAGAAATGTATGGTAAAAGTTTATTTAAAGCTAGAAGCTTTATAGCTAATACGGCTCAAATTAAGATAATTATCAATTCCATCAGTTTTAACGAAAAATTCACCATTTCTAAGTCGTCCAATGAGAACCCGACCCGGGCAAGTAAATTTTTATCAGATGGGAAAAATAAATTACGAAAATGGATTTTTTTTTTTATTTTTCATTGTTTTGTCAATTTTCAGTGTGCGTTTGTAGTGCAAAATGTAAATCCTCCTTATTTATTGTAATTTCTTTTCCAATAATATCATGTTACATGAGTTATATAAAGTATTATAGGGAGTCTTCTATTCGTATAGATTGTGTATGTAAAAGTATAATGGTAAGGATTTGAAGGATAGAAGTTAATAAGGCCGCCCATCCCTCAAAATTACCCCCTAAACAAAATGGCTGCTACTACCTAGAACTAAAATTAAACTTCATAAGAATGCAAACTATAAACCAACCACATTGTAAGAATTCTCCTCTGTCCGAACTGTTCGGCTTATACCTGCTGTTTAAAAATTATTTTGTTTAATTAATATATTCAATGTATGGCGTACTGATGGATGAGATAACTTTTTCTCATGCAAACTAAATAATAAATAATTTATTTTGCCTTGAATTTGGGTTTAATTTTTCAAGTTGCATTTCCTTTTGTGGTGATTATGTTGATTTGTGCATCAACTCATCATATTAACAATGCTAGTATCGGTATAGTTTGGGTTTTCACCGTTTTTTCTCATCTAGTTGATAAATTTGGGGGTTCATAAGTTGTATAAATAATTAGTTATTTGTCTTAATTAAACAGTTACATAATTTTTAACCTTTTTTTAATTTCTCTAACTTATAGTTCTACTTTCTGTTATCTTCATATATATTATTCAGTTTCATTTCTTAGTTGAAATCGAAAACATCCAACTCCCCCTCCCCTTTACCTATTAACCCTTTTTATTTCAACTACTTGCGTGACAACTGAGTCAATTATCGATAAGTAAAGTAAAGTAATAATAATAATAATAGTTGCAAAGATATTTAACTGAATTTTGAATAAATTATAACATCATAGAACTAAAAGAAGACAAGAATTATTTACAATGGCTAACGTCTTCAACGTTCAAATTTTCTTTATTGTTTTTAGAGAATCATTAGAAGCCATTATTGTGGTTTCAGTCTTATTAGCCTTTTTAAAACAAGGTTTAGGAGGGGCTACTCAAGACCCTGTCGTTTATAAAAGATTATTACGACAAGTTTGGGTTGGTGCCGTATTAGGTGTAGTAGTCTGTCTTGTCATTGGTGCTGCTTTTATTGCTACTTTCTATACTTTAGGTAATGATATTTGGTCTAAATCTGAAGATTTATGGGAAGGTATTTTCTGTATAATCGCTACTGTTTTAATTACTTTTATGGGTTTAGCCATGTTAAGAGTTAATAAGATGAAAGAAAAATGGAGAATTAAATTAGCTAAAGCTTTAACTAAAACTCCTGCTAATAAGAAGGATCGTTTTAAGATTGGTTATTTAGCCAAGAAGTATGCTATGTTTATTTTACCATTTATTACTACTTTAAGAGAAGGTTTAGAAGCTGTTGTCTTTGTTGGTGGTGTTGGTTTAAGTTCTCCTGCTACTGCTTTCCCACTTCCTGTTATTTGTGGTTTAATTGCTGGTATTGCTGTTGGTTCCATCTTATATTATTCTGGTTCCACCGTTTCTTTACAAATCTTTTTAATTATTTCAACTTGTATCTTGTATCTTATTGCTGCAGGTTTATTCTCCAGAGGTGTTTGGGGTTTTGAAATGCATCTTTTCAATAATCAAACTGGTGGTGATGCTGCTGAAGGTGCTTCTGGTCCAGGAACTTATGATATTGCTAAATCTGTTTGGCATGTTAACTGTTGTAATCCAGAAATTGATAATGGTTGGGATGTGTTCAATGCCTTGTTAGGATGGCAAAATTCTGCCACTTATGGTTCTGTTATTTCTTATAATATTTATTGGTTATTCATCATTGTTACTATTCTTTTAATGCTTTACGAAGAAAAGCATGGTCACTTACCTTTCCTTAAGGGTGTTACTTTGAGATCTTTGAACCCAATGTATCACATTAAGGGTAAGAAGAAGAATGAATTAACTGCTGAAGAAAAGGAAGCCTTATTTGAAAAGGTTAAAGCTGCCAGAATTGGTGATGATAGTGCTGAAGATGGTACTCATGAAGCTGAGAATTCTTCATTGGTTCATGAAGATGTCATTGAACTTGATAAACTTGATAAGAAGCAAGCTTTATAAGCTGGTTGCGTAAAAGGTCATGGTCGTAGTCATAGTGTGATGCTTTGGTTATACCATCTGTATACTCTTTATCTGCTATAATTACACACACACACACACACACACATAGGTATAGATAGAGATAAAGAGTTGCAAAGGGTAACCATTCCGTTTCCTATACGTTTATGACTTATTTTCCTCAAACTAAACTAGCCTGTTTCCATTCATTGTTTGTATTATCTACCTTTCTCTGAAGGGGAGGAAGTTGGGAGTGATTAATCATATTAATCTAATATTCTAGTAGGGGAACTGGGTCCTCCCTATACTAGATTTTGGATAGAGTCGAGTGTTTAATATTTCTTATATAACTTTTTATTCTTATACTATTTTGGGGTCGTTATACATATACTTATATAATATACATTGATATATTCCATAATATTAGTAGTACTAGTAGTAGTAGTACTAGTACTAGAAACAGTCAAATTCATTCTCAGACGTTCTCAAACTATCATTCAATATGGTACGGAATTCCTTATCGTTGTAGTCAAATTTAGATCCTGGAAGATTATTATAGTGTTCATCGACTGTATTAATTAGTACTTCTAATACTTTAAAGTTAACATCATTAAAGCGTAATTTCTGAGATCGATCAAATACTTTGAAGAAGAAATTCACATCCAATTTCAATTTGACTAATTCAAATGAATTCAATTGAGTATGAGTTGAAGTGGAAGATGAAGAAGTTCTTAAATTATCCAAGATTGATTTTAAGACCGTTGCTTGTAATTCATTAATTATACTTAAGAATACTTGTTGACCCGTAATGGGTTTAACTTTCTTGATTAATTTAACAAAATGAATTAAAATTAAAAAGATGAATCCATCAATATAAAGAGATGGCGATGCCGTTTCTGGTGGACGATTTGAATCGTGAAAGTATAAATTGATTTCATTAGCAATTAGTAATTTCTCTCGATTAATTATATCATCAAATATAGTAATGTTTGCTTTATCAATATCAGCATATAACTTTAAATTCTGATTTCTTAATGTATTATTAAAGATTTCATCGAATTTACTAATCAATTTGGGATACGTGACTCGCGATAACTTATCAAGATCATTCATAGTTAATACTTTAAAGGCTTCATGTAAGATCTTGGAACCTTCATGAGATGTTCCCGTAGTACTAATTCTATTACTATGGTTGGTTCCATTATTCTCAACTAGACTTCTCTCAATATTATACTTCTTCATAATAGAATCTACCAAGATATTCAAACTTCTCATGAATTGAATTTCAATACTCATTAATGTACGTTTACTGGGATAACTTTGTACAATTCTTATATCCGAACTTGTATCTTCTTTAACAAATACTAATTGACCAATCTTAGTAAGAATATAAGTTTGATAATATTCTATAATATGTAATATGGATGTATGAATGGCTCCATTATCAATGGTATCTTTATCAAGATCATCAAGATCATCATCAGTCAGTTCAGTTTTCCAATCTTGTAATTGATAAAATTGTGAACAATCATTAATCCATACTGCACAAACAGCTTCAATTAATCGTTGACTAGTCTTTGCTGAACCATTCTTTAAAGTCTTAATGATTTTCGATGTATCATTATACTTCGTCAAGTTCCCCACTAATCCAGTATATTTCCCTAAATTAGTATATACTTTATTAAGCTTAAAACTTATACTGGTTACATAGTAAATAGCCGATAATGAATTAGTGAAATGAGGTAAAAATAATTTATAATTACTTGGAGAAGAATCCAATTGTGTGACTTCATTATCACCAACTTCACACTCAAATAATGTAACCAATACATTAGACACTTTACTTACTAATTCAATAAATAAATCTCGAATTTTTCCATGAGGATCCACATTATTAATTTGATAATAATGGCGATAATTATTGGTGAATTTCGTCAAGTTCTGGAGGAACAAATCGTCAAGATACCCTATGAAATTATTCAACACTAACCAGGATTCGTTGACTAGTGACAAATCCAAATTGTCTATATTGTTAAAGATATCCATAATGAATTTAATATCATTTTCGTTATTATGAGGGGTGGAGGTGGTGGAGCTGGAGGTCGATGAGTTCAGTTTAGAGGCAATAATTCCGCTCTTGGCACTATAGTATTTCTCGGCAATGTATCTGACATGAGATCCCTTAATGGTTATAGAATCTAACAATTTCAATTGCATCATGCGGAATTTACTATCGAATTTAGCAATCTGATGATCCAACTCCTTATCAATATTACTCAATTGAGCCACTAAGAATTCGTACACGGGGTTCTCTTGTTGAGGATGATTTGCATTTGCATTCGGTTTCTGTTCCCGTTCTAAGCTGTGGATGGTCGATACCAACGCTAAGAACTTATCATTAGAACTGGATTTACTATTCTTCGTAGAGCTCACTTCATGATCCATCGATAGCAATTCGTTATACGACTTCTTCTTGAACTGTTGAGTGATATTCTCTACTTCTGTAAATACTTTAGATATGGCCGTAGTTAACATATCAGTTTCTTGATTTAACAGTCTAATTCCAGCTTCATCATTAGCATTCGTTAATCGAGCCAATTCTCGTTTATAGTGAGAGTTCCGAGCCATAATGAAGGCTTGTTTCTCCAGAAGATATTTATTATAATCGTTAATAAACTCATCATGTTGATGATTCGATAAGTGATGGATTAACTGATTCGGTAAATCAAAGAAGAACAGATTGGCCTTGACAAAATCAATCAATTTATTTAATTTCGCTTCTTTATTCTTATTCTCCACGACGGGTTGAATCATCCGACTGGTCGTATAATTAAGATTCTTAATGGCTTCTTCTAATTCCGAAGATAATGATGAATCCTTTAATGAACGGACGGGTTGTCTCAGCGGATCAAATACCCGAGAATTATCATAATCCTGTTGCGCTTTGGTCTTCAGCAGTTTAAATTCTTCGAGTATTGCATCGATTTCTCGTTTACAATTAATGAATGTTCCGAAATTCGAATCTATAGCTCCGATTAATTCGGTGGTTTGACCTCGGATATTCTTTTCAAGAAAACTTAATGATTGAGCCAATTGTTCAATTGAGGAATCGGCATGGACGGTGGTTAGAAACTTGAGGGAATTGAACCGCTGAGAACTAATTAAATAGTTATTAACTTCGGGATCATTACTGGCTTTAATTACCTGGTTACGAATTAATTCTTGAATAATATTTTTACCTCTTAACGGATCTTCTACTATACCATTTTTCACATCTTCATTATCTTCAATATTGATAGTGTTATTATTATTACTATCATCATTATGATGAATGGCCTTCGGATTAACTAACCGATTGAGTATACTGAATTGTTCTGCTTCACTAAATTCAAGAATTTCATCGGCATCCACAAACTCTTGACTAGTCAAATTCAATTGGTCTTTACTTACGGGCTCGAGGGTTTCGAGGTTATAGAACTTTAGAAGTTCATTCCGAGAGTAGTCCGGAATCAACATATCGGTAATTGATTGGAGTCGGAGTCGGAGACTATAAGGAAGTCGTAGTTTAATATGTATGAGGTTGAGGTTGGTTTCGGCTGATTTGTTCCGTTACACTCTAGTGATTAATTCACTATTTTTGCGCGCGAGATTGAAAGTTTTGAAAAATAATATATTATTATATATTTATTATTTTATTAACTATGCACTACACTATATAAATAGAAAATAGTTTATCGCCATAAGCTGTACTCCTGGTGCTGAACATCATCGGCTGATACAGTAGATGATACGGCTGCTACTGCCGCATTGGCGATAGATTCGGGATCATTAGGATCAAGTCTATTATTATTGTTATGATTGTGATTATTACTAGTCGAAGTATTGGTAGATGTTGTAGTCAGGGGAGGTTTAGTAATTAATTGCTCTTCTGCAAGTCTCATAATGCGCATTTGTTTATAGTTAGAATCTAATAATCTAGTAATAATTTGTTTTAATGGCATTTTTCGGAAATTACTGATTTCTAATCTCATTTTCTCAAATACAGTCTTAAAATCAGATGCAACCCATTCCATTGTATCATCAAGATTATTACTATCTTTAGGTAATTCCTTATATAAATTACCTAAGGCTTCCCAATCTATTTCATCCATATTGGCATAATTAACATCTTTAATTTGTTGTAATAACCAAAGTCTTGTTTCCAGAGGCATAAATACTGATTTCTCAGATGCATCCTTCTTAAGTAATTTTGTCCATTTATAACGACATTGAATTCTTGATCTTGTACCATTCATTCTTTCACTAACTATAGTCCAATTAATAGTTCCATTTTTTGTGGTTTGAGTCATTTCTGTAACAATATTTCTTAAGTTATTCTCTTCTTCTTCACTCCATTTATTTGAACTTCTATTATCTCCACATTTAACATAATTTCTCCATCTATCACGACAATCTTCGGGCATTCTACCCATAGCTTCACCAATTAATCTCCATTTACCTTCATGAGTTAAACTTAATTTTTGTAATAATGCATCATCTTCTGGTGACCATTTAGCTCGAACATCAAATATATGATATTGTCTTTTAACATGTTTATAAATAGATGCTTTAGATCTATAGGGTAATACTCTAGTAAGTGATTCCCAAAAATTATCTTTCTTTCTCTCATTTGACCATATACGATTACAAACATCTTCTCTTGTCCATTTATTTAAATGACAATACCCTTCAATAAAATGATCTAAAGCACTTAATTCTTCTGGAGAAAACTTTCTAGGACCCTTTTCTTGAGTATTAGGTAAAGAATTAAACCATGCACATGCTTGAGCAGACGCTTCTTCAACCAAAGTTTCTACATTTGTTAAATGATTGAATTTACGTTTAATAGCCAACGGTTTAAAATCATTATTCACACGTTTACCATTGGTATCAGATTGATTATTGTTATTATTATTATTGTTGATATTGTTGATACTGTTGTTATTGTTATTACCTCTGATACTAGAAGATGAACCCTTTGCATTTGGCTTTCTCGATAAAGTTGTAGCAGCATTAGCCAATTGAGTTATAGCCGAAATGGAATTTTGAATTGATGAATTATTATCTTCACCATAATGATTTTGATCTTGATTTATATGTTTAGCCAATTCTCTAGCATCATTAATAGCCGCTTGAACCAATTGATCATGTTCAGAAGTTCCTAAGCCTTCTAATTCAGGATCAATACCATTAGAATGCAGATCTCTCTTTTTCCGTTTATTAGGAGATCTATTAGTAGTACTATAAAAATCACTACCTTCAGTAATACTATCATCTAAAAATCCTGTCCATTGATTAAATTCATTTAAATTATTAATTATATCATCGGGTAATTTCCGTTTATTCCGTTTATTAATATTATTAATATTATTGGTTTGATGGGCAGCTTCTAATGTTCCACCAACATATCTCATAACGGCAGCTTCAACCGCATCGTTAATTTGTTGATTATTGGCTTTTTCAACCTCATCTTCGTCATCCACTAAATTGTCATCATCTAATTCATGTCCATGTTCATGTCCATGTTCATGTTCAACTTCTTCTACAACTTCTTCTTCTTCTCCAATGGATTCGTCTCCAGTACCTTCTTCAGTTCCATCCTTATGTTTGGATCCTAACTGTAAAAGGGCCTGCGCTCCTCCGATTTCTGGTTGGTTATCGTTACCACTGCTCATGATTTACTAATTGGAAATGGATTTGGATTTTGCAGCTATTTGGTATTAAGAGTTACCCTACCAAGTAAAGTAGGGTAACCTCCTCATTGGTAAAAAAAATTTGTTATGAATTGGTGATGGTGATGGAGTGAGTGAGAGAGAGAGAGAGAAAGGCACGTGACTTTTCAAACCTAGTTTAGCCCTCTTCCTTAATAACTATACTAGTCTGAGCCTAATTACTATTTATTATTCAGAATGGCTCATTGTCAAGTGCAACTGCAAGTGCAACAATGAGTAACTACCTACAAGCATTGTTGTCGTAGAGACTTTCTCCTGGCTTGCGGCAGCCACTAGCATGTCGCAACATCTTGTCGCAGCCATCCATAAATAGGAGGATTGCAAATTAATTGACTACAGTAGATGGCATACTATAAAAGGAGGCAAAAGGATTGGAATTTTAGGGATTCAATTAGATTTAGTTTTGTCTTTAGTCTTTAGTCTTTAGTTTAGGTTTAGGTTTAATTAATCACTCTTTTGGGTTGAATCATACCAGGTCATATAATGAGATTCTACTTGCTTCTTTATACTATAGTATTCTATGTGGTTGTCGAATCATCCTCTGCCAACCAGTCACAATTATTTTACTTGGCAGCATATAAACCAGCCCATGATATTTCAAGTGATATTGATTTAAGACTCTCTGTCCAGATCCAACAATTGGAACTGGTTGGTTATCAAATTGTTGTATATGATGCTAATGATTTGAAAAGTATAGGCTTGAGTCCCAATATTGACTCATCTAAATATAATGTCACCGGGTATATTAATGCAAATCAGAGCTTGATAGTCAGTAGTGTGGAAGATAATTCAGTCTACTATTTAGTGGTTGATCCACAAACGAGTCGACTTGAACTATCGACCGTATATCCTTCGGGAGAAAACAAGTTTGCTCTAACTAGAAATCTCATTACTTATAATAATCAAACAACTTGGTCAGTTTGTAGTAATAAAAATAGTACTGGATTAACTGATAGTATTTATATTGGTACATTGGCTCAGAATGGAGCATTTTGCAGTAATGATGGTCGAGAATTAAATTTAAAGGCGATTGGATTTTTGACAGGTGATGGTACATTACCTGACTATCCCTTAAAGTAATTTAACTATATAATTATATATTATATATCACTAGTAATAAAAAGTACTATAATTAAATAGTGGTGAATCACCTTTAATTTTGCGCTTTGCGCGTTGTTTTTGAACATTATGTAAACAAAGCCTAATGAAACTTAAGTTATGGACAAGTTAATAGTATGGACATTGCACAACTCGAAAGCTTGCCCAAGGCTGAGCTAATTCAGAAGTTGATAGAATTTGAACGAGCTTTAAGTGAGTTTCAAGAATCTTCTAGAGAATTAGAAATAGCATTGGAGCAAGAATTAAAGATTGTCGAAGAGGAGAATGAACATCTTCATGAAGATGTAACGAGATTAAGTAATGAAAAGAATCAACTTGAACAAGAAAATCATAAATTAAGTGCGACAATTATTGCGTATGAAATTTCTGCGGATGAGTATCAATTAAATGAGAGATTAACTAAGGAAGAACTTCATAGAAATACTGAAGTAAGTAATACTTATTTAGAAAAAATTGCTATACTTGATAATGATTATGAACTTTTAAAAGATGAAAATTTAATCCTACAACGGCGAATTCAAGAATTAGAGAAAGAATTAGTTAAAGCTAAGAGACGACTGTATTATTTTAATAGTACTTTAAGTAGTGTATCGGATGGATTCGAAGAGAATGATATTGAAGATAATGAAACTGAAACGAATGAAACCACTCTTGAATCAGTTAAAGATGATGAAGAAGATACAGGAAATGGAACTATTATAAGTATAGGAGAAGCCTTACGTTCGGCACCTCCATTCTTTAAACTGATATCCAATCGGAATCTCAGTATTCATCTCAATCCCAACTCCAATCCCAACTCCAGCTATAATCTTAATCCCAATAAACGTCGGTCACTTTCGGGCCGGAAGCAGAACCTAAGCTTTAGTTATCATGATTAGTTAATGACATAATGAATAATAGATAGTAAGAACTGTGTAGTTGTAGTACTAGTAGTTACTAGTAGTTAACTAGTAAGTGGTTTTGTGGTGAGAGCAGTCGTGTCGGGAGCCCATTTCTCCAGTATAAAAGCCCAATCTGGCCAACTACCACTACTATATAAGCAATACAATCCCCCAATAGGCACTATGGATACCAGTGGATTCAGTAATTTGATAGCCCAGTACGACCGGCAGGCGGTATTTGACTATCTTACTCGTTTGAACCATCATTTGACGGCGTTTGGATCGGAAGTTAGTGACTATTCAGTGTATTTAGATCAATTAGTCCAACTCATTCAAGTGTTTGACAATGGACCACCCGTCAGTAAGAAGTCAACCAAACCAATTGATAGTGACAGTACTGCCACAGGCACTGCCGCCAAAGAATTATCCCTCAATGTGATTCGACTCTTATCTAAGAACTTAACCCTTGTGTTGACCCATTTGACGACCAAGACATTTGATATTGCTAACAATTTACTAAATCATCTAATTGAATCACAATTGAATAGTGCTATTGGAGATGTATCTATTCTTATCTTAATTGATTTGTTTGAAACATTTCCTAATTCACTTGGTTCATTAGTAACGTTTTCTGTCCTGCAAATATATAAGATTCTTAAAAAGACTCCTACCATAAACAATCATCAATTGATTTACTTAGTTAATTCTATAACTAAGAATGCCACCAGAATTGATATTGATGAAAAACTTCAAGCCAAACTCATTAAGATTATGGTGAAAAACATTGTATCTTATCCCATAAATATCGATGTATATGAGAATGAATCAAGTACAATCTTATTAAAGAGAAATTATATTCTTGTATTAAAGAACTTATTGGCATTATCCATTCAATCCAATTATGAATCCTTATTAACTTCTTCAACCACCAGTACCACCAATTCCAAATTAAAGCCCGAAGTATTAATGAATCAACAACATCAATATCAATTGAATCTATTAACCAGTCATGAAAAGACCATTCAATATTGTTTAACTAATTTTAATCAAGATATAAGAATTGCCGGGATAGAATTAATAACTCAAGTATTGATTAATTTCATTCCTACTGGTAAATTCAATGCCATTGAATATCTTATTGAACAATTATATACTTTACCCTATAAGAATAATTATAGTAAATCATTAATTCAACTGATTGATTCGGATGGAATTTATATGGATTTTAATAGAATTGATAATAATTCTATGGGATCTCATGATTCAGATCTAATTATACAACGAAATATTAATGATTTATTATATCAAACTTCATTAATTGAATCATTAATTTTATATATTCAATTAGAACAATTCCAAAATCCAGAATACTTATCCACTAACTTACCATTTATTTTAGATACTATATTAATTAAATTTAGAAATATTAATCACAATCATATAATTGATTCTAATTGGAATAAAGTCTTGGGACAATTCCGAGGTTTAATTGATTATATTGTTAAGGAATCAGGGTCTAATTGTAATGAAATCTTATTGAATTATATCTATACTCGATTCAATGAAATGGGTACCAGTGGTGGTGGAGATGAAACGCTTCAGAATCACACTTCAAGTAATAATGAAAAGTCTACTAAGGGACTGGGACTCTTCAATTTAAGATCTAAAACTGATAGAAGTGGAGGTAAATCATCCACTAAAGTTGAACCATACACGAACCCTTATCAAGCGTATATTCTATTACACATTATGGAATTACTCTTACCGTTTGGAATTAGTACTAAACAAGAAATTAAAGTTAAAACCAAACAAGAAGAAGAACAAGAACAAGAACAAGAAGAAGAAGTTCCCGAAGATCAGGAATTCGAAGAGAGTTCTCAATTACAGAGTTCAGTCATTAGAGATATCTTATTTAAACTAATCATTAATGACAATAGTTATATTCGATCCTTTGCGTTAAAGACCCTTTTGGTATATGTGAAGCATAATGAGTTTGAGATTAATCATATCATCTTACAACTCTTTAAGTCAGTAGAAGTAGAACAGAAGTCCCAGACTCCACAACAAGTTAAACTTGTTAGTTATTCATTAGTACTACTGAGTATAATCAAACAAACCGATTGGAAACTCTTACAGAACTCGACATTGGTCAAGATCCTTAGTTTCTGTACTCAGAACTTGAAGCAAAGTACGAGTAGTTCATTAATTAGTGGCTCATGTTGGATTATCTTAAGTTCCTTAGTAACTTTTTATAATGAATCGGAATTTGTGAAGTTAAACTCTTCTCAACTATTAGTGTTCTGGAAGAATTTATTAACTTCCCAATTCATAAGTCCAACATTAGCAATAAATAATGAAACTAGTCAAAGACGAGAAATTGTTGAAGATCTTAAATTACGGAACTTTAGTCTTGTTTGTTTACTTAACTATTTAAATACCGTTGATTTAACTCCAGAATCACTTAAACAAATCCAATTTTTATTAACTAAATCATATAATTATTTGACATATTTAGAGAGTAATCTTGAGACCATTGGACAAATCACCAGTTTCAATGCTACGCCATTTAATGAGAATGTTTATAATCCTAATTTATTAAATAACCTTCAATTTAGTGCTAATGCAAGTACAAGTACAAGCACCAATAATGGAGTATCATTTGAGAATATTATGATTAGTTTAATCTTATATTCCAAACGGATTTTACTCGAAAGTTTTACTAAATTAATCCCTTTATTAAAGAATGATATTAATTCTAATATGGTACTTTTCCTCATTAAAGTGTTTAGTGATAGTAAATTATTTTCCAGAATTAGTGGTGGAGATGAGAAGTCTAAGTCATCTAAATCTAAAGGTTCTGGAGGGGTTAATGATTTCGATAGATCTTCAGTTATTCTTAATGAGGATGCTAATTATGCGTTTGGAGTCACGAGTAAGTTCATCGATACAAGTGCCAATATCTCTGAATTACTCATTAAATTCAAATTACCCAAAGGTGAAGGATTGCTTCATTCTAATTCCAATTCTAATTCTAATTCCAATTCTGAATCAGATATCTTTACTAAACCTCGAGTCAAAGTTCCTCTGACTACTCGATTAGAATCTCCTTTACAACTGTCAGACTTATCGCTTTGGATAGACTACTTTGAACAATTGGTATACCAATCAGTTGATAATTCACTTGTGTATGATCCTAGTATCTATTTAATTCAGGAATATTCCAATACTGAGATATATTCTACTCCATTAATTACATCGATTATTGATGTATCTATTGAATTATTTCAACTTGTATTCCCCTATTTGAGTCAAAAGATTCAATTCTCATTAGTGGAACAATTAAGAAATTCATTAACGGCTACTTCCATTGATTCTTGTAGATTAAAGGCCATTAAAGTTAATATAGCGGTGGTATTACATGGACTTTTAAATAATTTAATTAAGAGAAAGTATACTATTGATAAGGATTCTGGTAGTGTAATTGTGGATATTCTTAATAAATTATTAATAGATAATAAGAATATGAATTTATTTCAAATTAATTCTGATTCGATTGGAATGATTAGTAAATTATTACCGGGTAATGGGATCATGATAGGAGATTTAATTAATAAGTATATTAATGATATAATTAATGATACAAATCCATTTAATCGAGGATTCTTTATATTAACTTTAGGACAAATATTTAAATGGACAGGAAAGGGATTTAATGAAACATTTAATATTATTAAACAATTAATTAATGATCCAAATCCAATAGTTTATCATTATACTATAGAATCAAGTATTATATTATTTGAAAGTAGTGGGAATTATCAAAATTATATTACTCCATTATTAACAAGTATATATGATAATTTTTTAAATGATTCATTTGGTTATGATATTAAAAATGCTGCTTTATTAACTTTAAAATGTAAATATAGATCAGTAGGTCAATCAACTAAATTATTAAAATTATTTGTAACTAATTTAGGACCTAGTTTACGAGAATTAAGTGGTGAATTAAAGGATATAATTAAGAATTTAATTATGAGTTTAAGTCAAGGAATTGGATGTGGATGTAGTAAAGATTATGAAGAAGTATTTCATCATTTATTAGGATTATTTCAAGAATTAATTATTTATGATCCTCTGTTAATTGATGGTGAAGTACCATTTTTTACTGATTTATTAACATTAATTATTTCAAAAAATTTAAAAATTGGTTTAAGTTCAGTATCTCCAACATGTCTATTTAGAGATTGGATATTTCCCTTAAGTACAAGTTATTCACTTTATAAGGCAGCTTATGAATGTTTTGTAGAATTACTTAAGATTTATGGAATTAATGTATTGAATAAACAAACTATCAATATGTTATGGGTATCAATGGATATTCAACCATGTTTAGAATTAAAACAATTTATTAAATTATGGTTAGAATCAACTACTGATATGAATTGGTTTACTATTTTAAATTCATTATTTAAGTGTTCATCTAAAAAATTAATTGGACCATTTATTGAATTAAATTATCAACAAAAATTATTACCATTACTGCAAAGAACTAAAAAATCTAAAGTAGCCGCAAAAGTTGATTTTAAAGATGAAGAAATTGAGAATATTGTAGCAAATTCTGATGATGATAATGATAAAAATGAACCTATAACATGGGAATTTAAATTCTTTATTTATGATTTATTAAATCATTTATTAGAATTGGCTGAAAAAAATCAAGTTTTACTTGATCAATTAAAGGAAAAAATTCCCGATATAGTGAAAATTTCCTTTTTAGGCTCTACTTGTCCTATTGGAGGTATTAAATTAAGAGGAATTAATTTATTAGATAAAGCACTTGGATTATTTGGTCATTTACCTGATCCTTTATATCCTTCAATTTCTATTTTAGAACAACAACAAGCACAAATTATTAGTGCATTAATTCCATGTTTCTCACCAGGAAATGATTCTACCGTCATAGTTAATGCTATAAATGTGGCCTCTAAATTTATTAGTTTACCACGAATTAAATTCTATTCGAAACATCGAATCTTAAAGACTCTCATTTATCTTCTTGAAGAGATCTCATCTAATAAATTCTTGAGATTTTCTTTCTTAGAAGATATGAGTGAATTCGGACGTAAATCTATTCAATTATCCATTTTGAATTGTTGGGCTATTGTTAAGATTGAATCACTTGAGAACCAAAATCAGATCCAAAATCAGATCCAAAATCTGATCCAAAATCTGAATCTGAATCAAAATCTGAATCTGAACCAAAATGAAGAAGATCAAGAAGGTATTGAACCGGAATTACAAGAAACTCTCGATAAATATAGTACATTATTAATATCACTTTGGGTATTAGTACTTCGAGAATTCTCTACTTTAAAGTATAATAATGATACAGCCAATCATGAGATTGAAATCTATCAAAATTATTGGATAAATTTCATTGGAGTATTAAGTATTGAATTAGAAAAAAATGGGAGTGAAAAGTATCTAGAAAATGATACTACAAGTTTCTTATTTGTATTATTTAGTTTATGTGTTGAATCACTAATTAAAAATAAGAATGTTGGTAGTATTCTTGTATCATTAAATCGACTTGTTCATAATAAACAATTAGTGGAAGTTATATTTAATGATAATATTTTTGAAGAAGTAGTTGATTTATTTGATCGATTAATTTTAATTGATGATGATATTGAAATTCAATGTCAATTAATTGAAATTGTATTAAATATATTTAATACATTTTGTGATAGTACTAAGAATCATACCAAAGATTTAGATAAATTATTTGAATTAGTAAGAGTTTCAATGTTACCTATCTTTGGAATTTTACCATTCTTAAGAAATGATTATGATCCTCAAAATGATTCACAATTATATTTAATTAAACATGCTGATAGTGCCCATAATTTATTGGTATTACGTAAAGCATTTGCTAGTGTAATTGAAATGATTGAAAGATTTGATGATATAATTCGTCTTGATCTTTATTCATGTCTTTTATATATCTTTGCAAAGATTTATCAACATAAGAATAAATTAATTATTTCAGTAATTTTACCTTATTTAAAAGTTATAATTACTGAAACTCGTAAATCCAATTCTCAAATAGTTGATGAATTTACGGCTTTAATTCATGGTTATTATACTATTAATGCTGAAAATAATTATTCAGTTATAACCACCATGATCTTAATTACTTGTGGAGATTATAAATTAAATGAATCTGAAAGTATTAGTATGGCTAATGCATTAATTGAATTATTAAAATCTTCGGATACAAAGGCTACCGGGATTCAATGTATAAGATCACTTATACAATATTCTACGAGTCGGACTCCACAATTAGCCGTTAAATATTTAGTCAGTGAATTAATTAAATTATTGGCTAATGGACAAGAACCAGAACCAGAATCAGAATTAGAATTAGAACCAGCAGTAATCTTTGAAGTCTTATTGATGTATACTAAGAATATTAATGAAGATACTAAGCTTAATGCATTGTATTTGATATTAATACCATTATTGGTTAGATTCAATGATAATCACCTTATAACCAAGGCATATCTTCATGAGAGATTACTCTTTTTAGTATCGAAGAGTCCTACTAGTTTTAAGCTAGTAGTTAGTCAAGCGTTAAGTGATAGTCAAAGGCAATTGGCAGAACAATTGATTAAGCTTGATCTTGCTGGTAGTAGTGAGGAGGTGGTAGAATCACCAGAGTCACAGATTCAATTAAAGACCTTTGGTAGTTAGTGCTGTTAGTGCTGATAGTGTATAGTTGGACTCATAAAGTTTATAGTAGAACAATAGCAATATACAATTTTAGTATAGTATAGTACAGTGTATAGTGTAGAGTACAGTGTAGAGTACAGTGTAGAGTACAGTAGTTAGTGGTAGAGTAGTATAGTAGTATAGTGCAGTATAGCATAGTAGTATAGTATACTATACTATAATATACTATACTATAGGATTAGTACAGTACAGTACAGTTCTGTAGAGTATACTGTAGTAGTAGAAAGTGTTCAGATTACTGATAGTACTATCTGTATATACTGGTAAGTATTGGTAGAGTAGTAGTATAATTATAGAGTAATTAGTGTGCATTGATACAGTCTAGTATAGTACATTATCAGTTCAGTTATAGTACATTACAGTGTAGTAGTGAGAAGAGTAGCGAAGTCTGTGGTAGTATACTATACAATACTGTACTACTACTGTACTACTGTACTACTACTGTACTAAACTAAGTAACTATAGTATTCTACATAGTAACTATACTACATAGTAATTATACTACATAGTAACTATACTACATAGTAACTATAGCATACTACATACTTCACTCAGTGTCTTAGCATAGTTAGTAAATATGTGCACTAACTACAGTACTAACATCAAGTGCACTGTAGTAATTATATAGTACTTATATAGTAATTATATAGTAATTATATAGTAATAATTATATAGTAATAGTCTACCCAGTAGACTCTCGTAGACTCTGATACTAATTCTATACTCTGGTAGTCTTCTTAGTCTCCTCAGTCTCCTCAGTCTTCTTAGTGCTCTTAGTCTTCAGTTTCTTACTATACTGTACATACCATAACGCGACCCATATAAACGCGTCTACCACCACCACTACTACCACTACCACTACAACTACCACTACCACTACAACTACCACCACCACCATGTCACTAAGCTTTGACGACATCCCCTTGGACGGCACTTTCGGTCCGTCCATGCTCACAGCAGACAACACCCAACTGTCACTCCCCATCAGTTCAGGCCAGCCACTCACCACTAACTCCGAAGATGATGAGATTCATACTCAGCACATATCTCCAGTCTCCACTAAGGAAGTCCGATTATTCGATGGTACCACCATCAGCTTAAAGCCGAAACTCAGAAGATCCCATCCCACTACCAATTCACCAGAGTCTGCCTCAGTATTGGACCTCAGCGACTTATACGGCCGAGCCAATCTCCATAACTCACTTAAAGACAATCGTGCCAGACTACAACAAGTCAGTGCCACAACCACAACTGTTAGTCAGACTCAGACTCATAATGAGGTGTTAACGGAAAAGTATCGTCCTGCCAATTTCGTCCAGTTATGTTCGGCAGGCAATGATAAACAGTATCGTTCAGTATTACATTGGTTAAAGAGATGGTCACGTATAGTGTATGGAGATGAAGCAATTGATGAAGAAAACAATCACGATCCTTATGGAAGACCATTCAAACGGATCTTACTTGTGCATGGACCTCCTGGAATAGGTAAAACTGCTTCAGTTCATGTATTGGCTAAACAATTAGGATACTCTATCTCGGAGTTAAATGCCTCTAACAGTATGGATTTACCACCGGGAGAGAATTCAAATGGTAATCTGAGTGTAGTAGGCGCCTTAAAGTTGAAGATTATCAACTCTTTAACGTCTAATTCTATTACAGGACAGGGCAAACCCACCTGTTTAGTGATAGATGAAATTGATTCGCTCACTAATCTTCAGGATCTTATTAGAGTTCTTCACAGTTTAGTACAATCCGATCAACGGGCTACTAACAAAAGAACTGGTACTAGTACTAGTACTAGTAATAGTACTACTACTACTAAAACTAAATCTAAGGATACTTTATTAAGTCGTCCTATAATTTGTATAGCTAATGATATTTATCAGCCAGGAACTGGTCGTACATCTCCTATGGAACGTTTACGTCCCCTTTGTGAGATCATTAACTTTAAAAAACCTACAGCTTCTATCCGTAGTAATGCTACTAGATCCATTAAGGATTATATAATGAAGATTAATACTACAGAAAAGTATGGATTAACTTATCAACAAGTTAGTGAAATAGTCGAATTATGTGATGGAGATATTCGAGCATGTTTAAATTACTTACAATTTAATGCTCGCAAAGTAGATATAGGTAATTTAACTAGTAAACTAACAAGCAGTACCAGTGGTTCTACATCTATGATGGATAGACAAATGTCTTGGTATTCTGTACTTAATATGTTATTCAAAAGATATGGACATTTATCCCGAGATGAGAACTTTGATATCTTATTTAATTCATTCATGAATGGAGATTGTAGACTGGTAGTTAGTAATAGTCAATTATTTGATAGAGTCATTAGAGGATGCTTTAATAAGTATTTGGATATAGTCCATTTACAAGATGATTCATTAACTAAACCAGGAGAATTAAGTGATTGGTTAAGTTATTATGATCAAACGACTCATGAAAACTATATAGGATTAGTAGGGCTAAAGATTTGGTCATTATTTAGTGAGATTAATCCTGCTAAATTAACTGATGAATCCAAATTACTTATAGCCAATGGTAAAAATATTGATTATGAATCATTTGAATTACGGAAAAGGAATGAAGATATTATAACGAGAGTTCATAAGAATCTTCCTATTCATACTCAAATGTCTGTAACTAGGGATGGAGGTCTTTATTTTATCCCATATTTAGCTAAGATACTTACTCCTACAGATTTGTCATCTAAGCTTAAATCAAACCTATCATCATTTGAGAAGTCATACATTGAATATGTTACTGAATTAATTAAACAATTTGGTATTAAACTTGAGAATGAACGTGATTTGGATTCCGGTCAAGTGCTGCTTCAATTCCTGCCTAATTGGGAATCGTTGACTCAATTCCAAGCGATTAATAATACTAAACATGTTCAAATAAAGCGTCAATATCTTTTCCCATTGATTGCAGCTGAATTGGACATGGTAAGAGCCGTATTAAAACCATCGAAACGAATCAATAGTGAACCAGCTAGTACTACTGCTACTACCACTACTAAAAGACAAAAGTATACATCCAGTGTAGATTTCTTTAAGAGTCAATATGAAGGGATGAATTCAGCAGCTCGTACAGCGATTGAACAACCCAGTAGAGAGCCTACATTTCACAAGGCCAGAATATGGGTTAAGTATAATGAGGGGTTCTCCAATGCGGTTCGGAAGAATATTGGATGGTCAGATATCTGGCTTCCATGAGGAGACGTTGTATTGATAGTTAGATGAGTGTAGTTGCAGTGAATAGATAGTTACAGTGTATACGTTATAGTAGTTAAGTATAGTAGTGTACAGTAGTAAGCACAGTAGTAAGTATAGTAGTAAGTACAGTAGTAAGTATAGCTTTACAGTAGTAGTATAAGTAATTGTATATGTTACAGTACTTACTGTATGTTAGCTGAGTATATGCTTATCCTACATAACTCACACTCTGCGATATTACAGTAAACAACTTACAGTTGTTGCAGTAGTTGCAGTAGTTGCAGTAGTTGCAGTAGTTGCAGTAGTTATAGTAGCTGTAGTAGCTGTAGTAGTTGCAGTAGTTACAACAGCTACACCATATACGATACAGTAGTTATAAGCAGTATACAAATAGAAGTAGAGGAGTAACATAAGCTACACTGTGCTCAAGTATATGTTAGTTTCACTTACAGTAGTTATACTTACAGTAGTTACAGTAGTCATACTTACAGTAGTTACAGCACTTATAGTCAATCTACATACATAGTATTACACTCAGTACACTTACAGTTATAGTTACATTATATTACATCTACACTATACTCACATATTCAAGACACTTACATCCACATCCACTAGGACACTCATCCTCCTGTCCATCAGCCCACCACTGTGACGCACACTCAGTATGAACAATATGCTCACAATTAGTACACACCACTAAATTATTAGATACTATAAGATTACAATAATTACAATACTTTATAACATTTCGACGGGAAGTATTCCAAGCATTCGATCGCGCAGAACCAATAGGAGTAATGGCTTGATGAAACTCTTGATCATGATGTTGACGCACTTTATATCGAAGTCCAAATTTACACCCATGAACGCTTTGTTCATTAACTCGTTTAGACACTGCTAAAGTCGTAGGAGGATGATTAAACTTTAAGATCTTAATTCGATTAATGGGGAGTCCCCATATATATAACATATCGGCATATTGTTGACGATAACTATTAATTTTCTGTTCATCCTGACACAGAAGTAATGGTACAGTAAACATATCTTCAAATAAGTCTAATTCAGGTACATTATAGAAATCTATATTGACTTGAGGAGCTAATGGTGGAGCAGCTCCAGTCTGGGCTCCATTACCATACTTGCGATTTTTAGTATTATTCAAGACTTTTGAAGTCCGTTTACTTAAGGGTCTAGGAGTCCTTTTAGACTCTAAATGACTAAGCGTTCGTGGTTTAGGCCCCGAAGGACGTTTAACTCGATCGAAATAACTAGAAGTATCAGTATAAGATGACAGAGGAATATTCTTCTTAGCATAATCGGGATCCGGAGATATAACCAGATTATTGGAATAAGAATTTCGATGACTCATGGATGGGGGGAAAGTGATATCATCAGGACTATTTAAATTATTACTACCCGATAATAAACTTCCCTCATTAAAGTTTCGAACTGCCACTATAGATGGAGGTGGAGGCATGGCCTTATAAGGAGTATGAATAGGTACATTTAACCACAGCTCTTGATGAGCTAAGAAATTGGCCGGATTCTCATACAATATACATGACATCATAGTAAGCATTTGAATGTTACCCTTATATTCAAAATACTTAAAGATCTCTCGTATAAGCCAAGAAGCTCCAAACGGGTGTGACCCCCAATAGAAAGGTCCATATTTCGATCCAGACAGTATAAATTCATTCAACCCTTTAAGATTAGCATTAGGAGATAATGATAATTCTAATGGTTGAATGGTTTTTATAAGTATAACTTCAAGGATTTTCCAGACATCACTGATCTCTCCAAGGCCATACTTTAATGCTACTTGACTATTATATCGAGCCAAATTTTCCGGAGAATCTCCAAGCACTCGATATTCACACGCCAATTCATATTTATCCGGTAATAAATGTCGAAAGTCAAAGATTCCTACGACATTTTTGATTTTCTTATCTCTACGACGTTTAGTGTCGTCTCTTAAAGATGACTTATAGTTCAGAATTGTGCCTCCTCCATGACTTGCAAATCGATTAAATGAACCTGATTTCGGATTATCTTGATTCATATATCGATTGCCTAAGCCTACAAACATTCCTGGAACTCTGGTTCTAGCCGGAGCATCGGAATCTAGAAGTTCATTCCAGTCATTAGTAAAACTATCATCGGATGATGATGAAGTTACCGATCGGATATCATCATCATAATCGGCTGGTTCACTGTGTGATTGATGAGATTCGGGATCACTAACATAATCATCATGTTCCGATTCGGAATCACTACTAACTATTTGATGATGATGGTGATGGTGATGAGTGTTGAGACTGAATCCTCCATCGGTAAACTTAAAGATATTAAACTTCCGTTGTGCTACATCCTCATCTTCTACAGTCTCCTTGGGTATAAAGAAACATACTAATTGACCAGTAGGTGACCATACTGCTCCACAACCCTTAGGGATAGGGGTAGAATCAAATACTGGCAGTTTTTGGTCTACTTCACCTCCATCTCCTTCTCCCGACGGATTAATCTTATTGACCGAATCAATACTTCGTAATAACTCATCATTATTAACTATAAGATCATTATATCCATCATTATCCTCCTCTGCAGATGATTCATACTCATTATGATACCCTGGTTGTTGATTAATTAAATCATCCGCCCAGCCTTCTGTTCCAACTTCTTGTATGAACTCTCCTCCTTCTCCCAACTCTTCATTACTATCCGATTGTCTCATAACATCATCGGTTAAGTCGATCTTATCTCCCATAAGATATCTTAAACATGGTTCTAGGCAGAATCGCTTATGTTTATTGGTATAGAAAGTAGCGATTTCCATTAAGTTCATAAGCATTTCATCTCGTATAGAAGCCGTCAATTCATGAGTCTCTTCGATTTCGAATTTCACCAGATTGAGTTTGTGAAGTTTGGCAAGTTTCTTAGCATTGGATGTAGTGGTGGTGATTTCTTCGAGAAACGGATAATCCTTAGGGAACTTTATGCGGAGTCGTATGAATACCAACACTTCTACAGACTCATCGGATGTGGTGGTAGTGGCAGTGGCGGTGGCTGTAGCAGTTGCTGAGGTATTGATGGTAGTGGTGGTACCAGTAATATTGGATGTGGTATTGTTAGTAGTGGTGTTAGGAGTACTATTGGCAGCAGTAGTAGTATTACTATTACTATTACTATTACTAGTAGCAGTAGTAGCAGTAGTAGTATTATTATTAAGCATAGTGGACGTCGTTGTCTCATCACCGTCTTCACTCCTCTCGTCTTCAGGCATCTCTATCACCGGGATAGGACCTCGTAAACTAAGAACCAAATCTCCCGTAGATACCGAGATCCGTTCGAATCGAACCTTAGGAAACTTATGCCCTACAATACTAACTTCTTCACCTAAATTGGATGGACCATCGACTACTTCATTATTATCATCTTTACCATGACTGGCACGACCCATTCTAACCCCAGAAATCCAATCAAGATGATTAAGTTGATTGAATAAGTCCTGATTGGTCGAAGTCAATTGTTTCTGATACTTTTCATAGATTTGATATGATGTTAGAGATGATAATAAATCTCCGTTATTTCTTCTTTTTAAATCTTCTATAGAGACTTCGGGTTCTACAATATATGTTTGATAATCATATCCTTCAGTGGTTGAAGGCGATTGAGGTCGAGTACTGTTGGAATTGGAATTTGTATCAGAATCTTCATCTCCATCTCCTCCTTTAAACGCATCAAGGAATCGATGATATGATGGATTATAATTGACTTGCTTATATAATTCTTCATCATGAGGCCATAACTTCAAGTCATAATCCGCCAGAGACCATGTGACCAATTGGAACTCCTTCCATTTGTTTTTAGATTCAAATCCCTCATAATTATCATGTTTGGTTCTCCAAAGGAAATCCTTCATAGGACCATTATGACCTTTGAATAAGTAATTAGAATCAAGTTTAATGATTTGCGATTCATTGCTAGTTCGAGCTTCACTATATTCTGTATCATAATTAACTATATGAATAGCATCTTGTCCACCTCTAAGAGGCATTATTCCACAAGCTTTATCCTTCCCAAATGGTAAGGCTCGAGCTCTGGCAATAGGGAAATCTGTTTCAATAACTACCGCAGGATTAAGTCCTGAATCATCAGTATCTTTACTATTAAAATAATTATAATTGTGGGAGAATTGGACAGCATCATTAGTCAGTAAATCCCAAAATTTTACAGTATTATCATTCGAACAAGTAATGATATTTGATGATCCATTACTAAAATCTAATCCATTGATTTTTCCAGCATGAGCTTTATGAACTTTAACTACTGGTAATGCTCCATTTCGAGAATCCCATATATAAAAGCTATTATCATGACTTGAAGCTATTTCATAAGGATTCTCATGATTCCATTTAACTTGAGTTGCACCTGCTCTCCATTCAGCCCATTGAGCTACTGGTTTCCGAGGAGCTCTCATATCCCATGATAATATAAATGTATCAATAGAACATGTAGCCAAGATCTCGGGATCAGATGGATGGAAATTTATATCTGTTATAGCTCGAGAATGATTATGAAGAACAGATATAATGGCATTATTAGAGGGACGAGATAAATCCCAAAGTAATGCCTTTTGATTGGATGTGGATATACACCATGACGGCTTAGAGAAGTGGTGAGGTGACCATTGAACATCAGCCACTTCCCAAGACGTTATATGGTGTAACCATCTAGGAGTTGTAAAGGGATCATCAAGATCAATAATGAATAATCCTCTTCTACCAGCAAGAACGGCATCTCTACCGTTGGGAGACAATGACATGGCCCCAATGGCGCCGTCCACTCGGAGCAGAAGCGAATTTCCGAATGTCACCGAGTCATTGGGATCGGTCATCGTACTGTGCTATAGGGGCAAATGGCAATTGGCAATTGTGTTAGTGTATAGTTATTTAGTACTTAGTAGTTTGTGGTTGTAGTTATGGTTGTAGTTTGTAGTTTGCGGCTTTGCGGCTTTGATATCGCGCAGTTCCTTATGTAGTCAATTACGGTCAGTTACTGCAAAGTTAACGTCACTACTGAAAACGCAATTACTTTTATTTTATTTTTTACTTAAGCCAGGCTATATACATGGGTACTGTTCTATGGCTGACGAGTATCGACGATCTGATCCTTTAACTTATCATCCCACTCTTTACATAGATTATCTAAATAGGCTGCTACATCTTCACTACCAGTGATATCAATCTCCTTATATTCTAAACCTTCCTTTCCCCACTTATCACTGGTAGATCCAATTTTAACCAGTTGACTTAATCCATCAATTGCTGCTCTTATAGGTGCATTTGCAGCTATATATCCTGAAATATTATGGTATGGAGATCCTACCCATCTAGCTACATAGAATAGAAACAACATACCATAATAAGTTAAGATATTCAAATATTGAAAGAATGAAAAACTAGTGAAAATCCCGGGATGTACTATATATTGAAATATTCCTTGGTTATTCAATTTCTTGTAAGTTCCAAAATGCATTAAATCAACTAATCTCTTTGATCCTTCATATGAAGCAGGAGATTGAAGTAATTGAAGATCATTAAATGATAAGTATTTAGGTCCTGACATTATAGATGAGATCCATACAATTTTACCTCCATTACTTAATAAATGACTAATTTTATGAATGAGATAATAAGGTCCAAATACATTGGCTTGAAATACAAGTCCTAAACCATCCTTTGATTTAACTCCTACTTTTTGAATCTTATAGGTAGGATTGGTCACACCTTCTACTGGATTTACTAATATTTCCTTCACAGCTCCTAACCAATCAATTCCCTCATAAACTCCTTGAGCTGCATTGATAAACAAATAATCTATATGTTTATAACGTTTATTCAAATCATAATAAGCAGAAAGAACTGATACCATATCAGTAAAATCTACTAAAAGATAATCAAATTCCAAATCTCCGGTTCTCTTCTTTTCTAATTTCTCATCAGCATATTGTTTTATAGTACTAATAACTTCTTTAACTTTTGGTAATGTTCTTGAAGTTACTACTAAAGTGAGATTCTTATCATGAGGAACTTCCTCTAATAAACGATAGGCGATATTTATTCCTAAATTAGATGTTGTACCAGTAATTACTGCCACAGTAGCCTCCTTAATTAGTGACATACTACTTAAATTTCTTCTAGTTACTCTCCAGTATTGTTTTGTTTATTTAAAGTTAAGTCGTTGTCTGTTTGTCTGTTTGTCGTATAGTCGTACCAGGAAAAAAAATAATCTATCAACAAAAAACTATCTACTACTATAAAAAGTTACTGGTAATACTTAAGAACATCATATCATACAATGAGTGAACCCACAGAAGGATCTGCAGGCTTAGGGGCCATCGACGAGGAGATTGATGATGAGTTTAATGATGTTGATGAACATATCACATCAGGACCTCCTGTAAAGAATGGTACCTCTAGTAAGAATAAGACATCTACAACCAATACCTCTAATTCCACCACCACCAGCAACAGCAACACCACAACCACCACAACAACAGCCACTAGTGCACCTTTAATTCCAGACTTACCGGAATTGACCAGAAAGGATATGACACTTAAGAAAGTACTTGATTTGATGGATGATGAATTTCAACCCATAATCCCCGACGTAATCACCGACTATTATCTTGCTAAGAATGGATTTGAAACGTCCAATATTAAAATTAAACGATTGTTGGCATTAGCTACTCAAAAGTTTGTTAGTGATATAACTCAAGATGCTTATGAATATAGTCGAATTCGAAACTCTTCTGCTGTATATAATAGTTCTAATCCTCAAGTTCGAGCTAAACAACTTTTACAAGGTCAACAATATGCTAATCAACAACTGATAACTGGTTCAAGTACAGGAGGAGGAACTATTGCAGCAGATGGAGGAGTTGAAGGTGGTAGTGGTAATGAACAACTGCAACCTACAAGTCATTCAAATGCAGGAAATCAACAAGGTAAAATCGTATTAACTATGGAAGATTTAAGTAGTGCCTTAAGTGAATATGGTATGAATACTTCAAGACCAGATTTTTATAGGTAATTAATTATGTATTATAAAGAATGTATTTATATTTAAATTGTATTAATTTGGTTATATAATGGATATATAGAATAAAATCGTTAATCGTTTACATGCCCATACCTCCGAATTGACTCATCAATTTTTGCATCATACCAGGATTTTGCATCATTTGTTGAGCTTGTTGCATCATTTGAGGATTTTGTCTCATCATTTGTTGAGCTTGTTGCATCATTCCTGGATTATTCATAAGTGATGCCATATTTGGTAATCCTCCTGGTCCTCCTGGTCCTGCTGCTCCTCCTGCTCCTCCTAACATACTCATAGCTTGTTGCATAAAGTTTGGATTAGATTGTGCTTGTTGCATCATTCTTGCCATTGGATTACCTCCAGCTCCTCCAGGTACTCCATCTGGATTAGCAGCTGCAGCAGATTTGGCCATTGTAGACATCATTCTATGTTGTTGTAATACCATTTCAATTTCAACTGCTGGACATCCTGAACCCTTTGCAACTCTAATGATTCTTGAAGGTTGATCAACAAATAATCTTCCATCTGATTCTAATTCTTCAGTAGTCATAGAATCCATAATAAAAATCATATTCTTAATCTTTTCTGAAGTCTCTTCTTCACCAACTTGACTCATAATATTCAGCATTCCAGGAATCATAGATGCAATATTTGTTAATGGACCCATTTTCATAAAGTTATTTAATTGATTTTGGAAATCACGTAGCGTAAATTTTCCTTCTTTAATATTTTCCAAAGTCTTTTTATGATTTTCATCATTTTGTAAATTTAAGGATTGAACTTGTTCAATTAATCCTTGTAAATCTCCAATACCTAATAATTTAGATATAAATGTTGATGGTTTAAATGGTTCAAAATCATTTATATGTTCTCCAGTACCCATAAATATAATTGGAGTTTTAGTTGCTGCAACGGCTGATATAGCACCACCACCTTTTGCATGTCCATCCATTTTTGTTAAAATAATTGATCCAAAATTTGCGGAATCTTTAAAGGCTTTAGCTTGAGATTCAGCAGCTTGACCAATAGATCCATCCATAACCATAATGGTTTGATCAGGAGTTACCATTTCACTAATTTGAACCATTTCATCAAATAATTGTTGTTCTTGTCTATGTCTACCTGAAGTATCAACAATAATAATATCGAATTTTTCATCTTTAAATTTCTCTACCCCTTCATGAGCAATCTTCACTGGATCTTGTTCTAAATAAGATCCATAATATGGAATAGATGCTTTTATAGCATTTTGTTTTAATTGATCAAAGGCACCAGCTCTAAAAGTATCAGCACATACTAAACCTACTTTATAACCTCTTTTCTTATAATAAACAGCAAGTTTAGTACATGATGTTGTTTTACCAGACCCTTGTAAACCTACAAACATAATAACATATGAAGATATATTAGATGGTCCTGAATTCTGTTTAACTTTAACTTTCTTCCCATTAATTGTTTTAGTTACAGTTTGAGTTGATGCAGATTTCTTTTGAGCTGATAATTTCTTTGGTTTAGGTGGTTCTTCATGAGAATCTACAAGTCCACAAAGTTCATCATAAATGATTTTTTGAAGTTTCTTTCGTTTATTCATGGTATTATCATGTGCTGTGATTTCCAGTTTAATCTTATTCTTAATATTATCTCTTAATCTTACTACTAACTTAATATTCACATCGGCTTCTAAAAGTGCAGAACAAATGTCTTTAATCATTTGATTGATTTCATCATCACTCCCTGACTCCACTGACGAAAGTGCGCCTCTGAGTCGAGACCCTAAATCTGCTAACACCATTGTTATTGCTTTTTGTCGGAGTTATTGATGGTCAATTAGGCTGATCAGACTTTACTCTTTCATGGTGAATTTTTTGTCTGAAAAAGATGTTGATTCGAGAAAAAAAATCTTATCCGTGTCGCGTGACTTGTGTCATGAGGAAGACCAGGTAGAAGTAGAAGTAGACTGTTAGTTGTATAACTATTGAAAGTATATAAGATAGTTAATTAGAAGTATTGTATTAGTAGAATTAACACATTTGAATGAATATAATGTACTAATTTTTCACAAATACACTATACTAGTATATCGTACAGTGTTCAATTGCGCTAATACATTTTATTTGGTATAAGTTACTAAATACATCAATACATTTACGAAATTACTGCTAAATATAACTTTAATAGATACATTTTTATAACTACTACCATTTGTTGCAATTATTCTCTTCTTTACTTTTATACACTTTTGCATATTATTGCCATATTTGGCGAAAATCTTCTCTAAAACTGTAACGGCAATTCAATTATTTACTCAAAATATTTTTACACATCCTAATATAGCTCAAAAATTTTATAACAACAAACAGAGTTAATAGGCATAGCCTTATCTAATCATACACTAAATTTAGTTTATAGAGGTTATTAAAGATAAAATTTGGAAAGGATCTATCCTGTATGCGGGAAGATCCCCCCAGCTGCGAAAAAGGAAACATATAGCGATAAATCTATAAGCCCTCCGAAATCAACTGATTACATATACGTATATGTCAAGGGTCAGTTCTATACGGTAACAAAACATATCGTAGGGATTGATAGTATATTTCCCGAACCCTAATATTAATTTCTTTTTTAATCTATTTGTCAACACGAGTCAACAAGAATGGTGGGGAAACGTTCTAGATATTAATATATTATCAAAGTCATTCATGCCATAATAGGAATTGCCACTATCCGTGGATACCGTAAACGCATAGATAATATTAGTTTAAATGTGTTGGTTTAGTTAAGATTAGCTGGTTAATGTTTCAGTATCCGAAAACGAAAACTCATAGCGTTCCGACAAAATATACGAGTGGGTGGGTGAGTGGCTAAAAGTCACGTGTACCGTCACGCGGATTAATTGCTTGCAAAAATTATCATACGTCTCCTATTTTATTGCAAATTTGAACAGCAAATCATATACGTAAACGAATAAACGAATATACATTTGAATAAAATCTATATAATGTACATATGTATAAACGTCAACTTACCATAAACTAAATTCTGTAATTTCCAAACCTGTGGATTAACTGAATCTTGCTATGGAAAGTTCCTAAAGATAACCATATAAATATACATTTTGAAACTTGGGAATCCTTTTTAGAACTAATGAAATATTTTAAACCATGAATGTAGAAATGAAGTAGCAATGAATAAATAATTGTAGAGAAGTAAATGAGTAATAAATAAGCAAGTCATTATGAAACCGAATTAATGAATAAATAAAAAGGAATGAATAAATAAATAGTGGAAATTAATTATTAAGAATTAATAAATAGGAACTGAACAAATTAATTTAATGGTTCATCACCAACTCATCTATCCGATTTAAATCATGTTGGAGATTGTACTTATTCTTCTTCACCATATCCATTAATCCATAATTGACGTCGATTTCATTGTCATAGTCGTAGTCATACAAATGACGAGGTGGGAAAAGTAAAGACATCATGGTAGGTTTATTGGTTTGTGATGGAAGAATAGGTGTCAGTAATGAATTATCATTGAGGAATTTATGGTCGTCATCGTCATCCTCAAACGATTCTTCTTCAATTTCTTCATCATCTTCATCATCATCTTCGAAATCGTCTTCATTGTCTGAGATAGATGCCGAACTGATGGATGATAAGAGGGAAAGATTTATACAATCGTATTTCAAATCCGAGAGTTTGGAATGATGATGGTTGGCCGATTTATTATTATACTGAGGTATTATCATGTTATTACTAGGTACAAGTTTATCTTTTTGTTGGATTGGTCTATTGAATTTATAAGGGTTAAGAAATTGATGATGATTGTGATCTATTATATTAACAGGACTGAACATCATTTCTATATCTTTTATAGATGTGGAGAATATTTCACGTTCTAATTTAACACGCTTTAGTGATTTACCATTACTTGAATCAGTATTATTGTTAATGCTGGCGTTATTATTATGAGCTGATGCAGTTGTATTGGATGAATTATTGGTAGAAGGATGAGAATAAATGGTTATAGAATCCGAGCTCGACCTTTTCATGTTGAAATGAAATGAATTAAAATGAAATGAAATGAATATGTATTGATATAAGGGAATAGATAGTGCTAATTCATATAAAACTTTTCCAGTTTAAATTGATACGTATATATAATTTATCGGCTGGTGCAAAGTGGTATGGTTGTAAGAAAAATGAACTCCGCTTTCTAATTTATTAGGGCCATACAAATATATAAATAAATAACAAACAAATAAAATATCCAACAAATGAATAGGATTGTAAGGTAGAAATAAGTAGAACAGATAAAACAGGTGTGTGAAGTAAAATAGTTGAAGGTCCAACAAATGGGATATAATTACGTATATATAATAATAATAAATAATAAATAAATTAATTAATATTATTTGTTAAACTGTGGGTGAAAATAAACAAGAATAAAAATTGATAAAATTAATAATAATAAAAATATGTAATAATAATCGCAACAAAAGAATGAATGGAACCACTAAAGCAAAGTAGTAGTGGAAATAAGATTACAAGAAATTACTGAGAAGATGTAGTGGGAGATAGCAAAAAAACGCAAAAATTGGTCACTCAGATGATGATGAGCCACTCCAGTACAGGTACACGTCCACCTAATAAACTATACTGGGAAGTCATCGGCTGAATTACAATTCAAAAAAGATCAATATCTCTTTCATGTACAGAAAACATACATACATACGTACATATAATTTACCACCATAGTTATGAATTTCATGGTAACATAATTTCATTTCATATATTATTAATCAACAAATTAACAAGTATCATTTCTAACAATGAATGATTAATGAGTAGCCAACCAATTAGTGAGCAAAGTCAAGAGTGTGTGAGTGAATGAGGGGGAAGTGGAGTATAGAGTCTTAATCGTCTAATTATTCCGAAGAATTAATTGAATAGTAATGGAAATACAAGAATAGAAAAATGACCCAAAAGAACGAAACACACTCATTAATTCTTTCATTTGTGGATACTTAATATCTACAAAGGGAAGGAGTATGCCCATTCATAAAAAAAAAGGGGTACAGTAATTCTTGTTTTTATTTCTTTTCTAGACTGATCTTCAATTGCAGCTATTGTTTTTTTTTGTTGTGTGTTGGTTTATATAATCAAGTATAGGGAACCATTTCCCGGCTGGTGTGGGATAGATCCGCTACTGTAGTTAAAGCCATATGTTGATGTTTATAGCAAGCTTTTGATCACCATGTTCCACGCAACCTCCTTTTCTTCCCGATACTCGTAATTTACACACTCAATACTCATCACTCTAATCTATATTCTGCTACTATTTCTACTAATACAAAAAAAAAATAGGAGAGTAATTTCTAAATTAAGTAAATGCCGTATAGTTAAGTGATCCAAAATTAATAAGATTAATTTAATAAAAAATTAAATTGGAATTAAAATTAAAATCTAATTTCTTTTTTTTTTTCGTCGCTCAATTAATTTCAGCTAATTTCAAAAAAAATTATTGAATTAATTTATTGAATTAGCTATAGATTGCGCAACCAGATGAATGTTGAATTCTAAATGTACTCAATACTAACGACAGGACACTAGTAAGTGTCTAGGACGATATGTAGCAAACAAGTCATGCAAATTCATAGCTTATCTAGCATGAACACCACACGTATTCACTATCACGAACACCACAAGAACAATGTAGCTCATATCTACTTATCTTTCATATATCAACAAAAACTATTGCTGTAGTTATGTACGTTCGGGTAAAAACACCAGGATGACGGTGTTTGAAATTCTCAATATTGTTCTGTTGTGTTGTCTTCTCCGTCGTATTGTAAAAAAAGCGCAAAAGCTTCCCAATAAGGAAAAAGCAAATGTTGCCTCCCATTATTCGAAACTGACCGTATAAGCTACCGTAATTGAAATGCAATTCTCGGACGATTGCTATTTGACAAAGTAAACAGATAGATTACTGCTCATTGTTGCAAACATCAACTTGCTATTGGTAATCATATCTACAGGCTGGTTATTATTGATGTCCGAGTCACGTGATAGGTTAATTAACTAAAAATACATCATAATAATTACAAAATGCAACATTAGATATCCTGTATGTGCCACGAGTATCTGCAAATAAGTAATTAAAGATTTAATAGCTGAGCCTCATATCATGAACGTATATGAGAACTACTACATACAAGGTCATCACCTCCGCTCGAAACAAATTAGAATTAATTTAAAATTAATTTCTAATTATTAATTTAATTTATTATTGGGGGTGTATGCAGGACACAAAATATAAAATGCCTTTTAATAAACTGGCCCATCACTATAATAATCGCTTTTGTGGATGCACTGGGAGGAGTATTGGAAGTGTTGTGGAAGATGAGTTCCATTGTGTGGTTATACCAGCCAGATTAAGGTTAGTTATGCAGACCTGTGATATCGGAAAATTGTAAGCACCGAACTAATTATACACGGTCTGACCATTAACCCCTATCTTGTAGATATATACAAAAAAGATAACATATCTCTATCTCTAGGCTTAGTTTGTTTATTTACTATCTATGTTTACATATTATTGTCCTGTTATCTACAGGCTACATTGGTATTGTTTTACGACAATCTAATAACATATGTTGTCGTATGACACTTTCGTCTACAATATTTGTTTGTTGTGATAATTACAATCCTGGTTGGAAAGGTTTTTATATAGATAAGAAAATTGACAAGGGCTGAAGATTATGTCCATAGAACATTCTAAATTATTCTATTATTTCATACCTGTACGTATTGTTATGAATTCGCGTCTTCTTTCTTTACTATTTATCTATTTATCCATTTTCTATCTATTCTAACACAGTTATTATCGCAGCTAAATAGTATGTAGTTTTTGTAAACAAATACAATACTAACAATGGATATATGTCGAAAATTTCAGTTATGCAATTTCAAGTGGTAGGAAATTTTTAAATATTTGTTTACATTTTTAGGGCAATTTTCCGACTATTTAGATTCTATGTATGCTTCCACAGTTTGTCCGATCCGGAATATTCTATTGATACCACTCTTTTGGTGATCTCCTAATATCTTCTCTAATGAGCTCTAATTCTTCAAACACGGAATCTGCATGATCACTATAATTTGCTGTAGTATCTTCTTCGTTTTCGGCTTCGTCATCATCATCATCATCATCATCGTCGTCATCATCTTCCTCTTCTTCATCTTCATCACCGATAACAAATGTATCGTCAGCCTCACTGTCATCCCATTCATCATAATCATCAGTATTCATTCCGACATAACTAACTACCCTCAGTTTATACTCATCTAATTCAGTTTGATCAGCACTATCATAATCTTCTTGCATGTATCTTTTATACTCTACGTTATCAATCCAATTATCAAATTCGTATTCTTCCTCTTCCTCTTCACTATCAATTTCAAAATCTTCGTCTTCTTCTTCGTCTTCTTCATCTTGTTCAACACCCTTTTCTTCAGCACCCTTCTTGTCAATCTTAAAGGGCTCTATAGCATCCTTAAAGGCTAACACTTTTTCAATGTCACCTTTCCAATAAGCCAATCCAAAAAGTCCACCTAAAACACTTGGAACAATATAAAGCAAGGCAGGTTGACCAGTTTTAAAGATCAGTAAAACACCCAAAGTAATCACCAATCCAAGTACATAACAAACTAAAGTTACATAGAAATAAGGTCTGGCAATCGGACGTAAATGATGGAAAGAATCATTAGTAGCTTCATAATGATTAAATACATCAAAACGAAGAGCAAGCGTAATTAAAATCCCTGGAACAACTATATCTCCTAACCCCAAGATGGAAAATCTCTCAACTCCATCTTCAAAACTAGGTATAAGAATCTTTATTGGAATTGATATAGAAGTTGCAACTGTGACCATGGCTGTTGAATAAAATACAAAATATACGTCATAAATAAATAACAATGATAATAATACGACGACATGAGTGAATCTCGAACCAAGGACTACTGATAAAGATTTGAGTCCATAAACAGCAAACAACCCAGCAATAACATTACTGATGATCCAATTGTTTTGAAACTTATAAAATAACCACGTAGTAGCCACTGTCAATGGCAAAACTACAAGTATACGAAGATCAAAAATCCAATTCTTGTTGGTGGAGGCGGTACTTCTAAATCCAGACTTATTTTTAGGGCCTGGAGTACGAACTAATATCGAAGATGGCACCAAAACAGATAATTTCTCACGATAAAAGTAATCATCAACATCTGTATTATCTGGTACAACAAGATCTTCAAGGTATCCTAATGGATAATTATTTGTATCCTTAACTAGACAAATTCTATATCTTGTCAATAATAAAGCCGTAGATTTCCCAATTAACTTCCAATGTGTTACATATCTGAGTATAATAATCAATATTTGATTCAAACTACCATAACTTACAACAGGAGCCATTATAAATACATATTTTGCCAAATAATAGTTGATGGTATCATGATCATAATGTTTGAGGAGATATTGAAGTCCTAAGAGAGTTATACTTCCTGTAATAGGTACAAAAACAACATGAAGCCATGAAGCTTCATTCATCTTAGCCAATTCTATATCGAGCAACATATCCAATTGTGATTGATTGGTAATCACATACTTATTCTCATCCACATCAGTAGGATCATAGATATCGGCACAAGATTTTTTAGCTAAATAACCATCCAGAGCAACATATGGTTTTGAAACAGTAGATAAAGAAGCAAAGACAATGATTATCAAAGATATTCCGATTATACAAATCCCTGTAAGTATTGAAGATGGCAATCCTGTTGATTTAAGTCCACTAATTATGATTGATGATCCAGCACCTAGAACTGACTCAGATACAGATGTAAGATTAAAATCTTCGATTTTTTGAATAGCGGACGTCACGTCCACTTGGCTGATCCAGTCCATGATACTTTTCACTCAAATCTAAATCAATACAATAGACTTTTAGACACTAACCTGTTCATTATATAGTGTTGAATTTTGTTAAGGTTGATATTGGGGAACACGTATGCAGGACTGTACACACCCGTTTTGGCTACTGCCAAATTAGGAAGAATTCAGAAAGTACCTTTAATTCGGCGACATGATTGGCTGAGAGTTTCTATGGATAGAACATGTGGCCGAACACCCAGATGGCTCGCAATGACGACAATTGTTTTGATTTGAAGGCGCTTTCCTATTGGTCACCTCGCGTTTCCATTCCATTTCAGTGCCATTGATAATTGTCCGTATGATTAATTGGCTCAATAGTTAACTCTGTAGATAACTCTGTGGATCTCAATTGTGTAGGGGCGTTCTCTAAACCCACATTCTTGTAGCGTCAGAGCAATTGATCATTGACCAGCGAATCATCTTTTCACAATTGTTCCGCAAGTTTAATTCCATAAACAACCTCCCATTGGATGGAATGGTTACTACATTCGACGCGTCTTTTTCATACATTCAGGAACTTAAATCATGCAATTTAGTCATTGGATGTGATTATTGATGATAGTCATCGAATAATTAATCAAAATAATTACACTCAAAATAATTATACACAATAAGAGTATTATTTCAGGTCTTTATTTTTAAACTTAACTTGGGTTGCAAATACAAAAATCATAACCTAAAATTAACTATCGGAGTCATTATCTTTATGGTTAATTATTGAAACTTGCTATCTACTTAACTGACTTGCGGTATTTACTAATGGGCCAATTATTGCAAAAACTTTATTGTAAAGTTAACTGTTTCCTTTGTCTTTATCATAGGTTCGAAGCTTTCTTCAAAATTATAATTACTAAGGGGTTCGACAAGTAAACCTTATTATCCACTCGTCTAATTAAATATGGTCAATGATTGTAAGAATCGCTACAATTGATCAGGACATATCTATATTGATCCCTTTCTTGTTAAACCATTCGTTTGGGTATTATACCACGGTCATTTTACGAGAGAGGCCCAGTTATGCATCAATGAATCATTGAACTCATGATTTACTAAATTTCTTTTCCAGAACCTGATTTGACACTTGACTCGAGTCTGTTATTATCGTATGATTTAAATTTTTTTATACTATTTTTTTTTATTTTTTTTTGTCTATTTCGTGAATTTCCGGAAGTTACCAACCGGGATCTTTCATCTATAACCTTATGCGGAACACTCCTTCGAATGATAATGATTTAGTAATTTTTAGTTAAAATCACTGGAATTTCGAATTGATAACGTTAACTTCTACTGATCTTTCAAAATGAATGATTATAATGCGGAGTAGCTAATTGTTGGGTATAGAGCCAGCATCTGAATCATAGCGAATAGGGCACGACCTGTGATTGTCATAGTTAAAGTGTTAGTTAAGAGGGGAGTAAACTGCAATTTTTAAACTGTAAACTCGCATGACTAAAATCTCTCCACAAACTTAACCTGTAAAATCTGCATTTATTATATGTATGGAACAAACTTAAATTTATAACATGATTTATACATTCACCAATTCAAATCGATTAATATAGAACTACGGCTATACAAAATAATAATAGCCATTAATTGAAACTAAACGGTTTTCCTCTCATTATGTGGCATACAAATCTTCCAATTGGACCTTTGCATTTACAAAAATTACCAGCTATTTTAATTCGTAGCAAAAAAATAATTCTTATAATAATAATTATGTAAACATGATTACAGATGAAACATCAATACTTCAGCTAATTCATGTGTAGCTGAATGCTTGATGGTAGATCATACTAGAGAATGTAAGAGATTGCTTTTAATTTATGATGATTGTAACACACACACAGTATTCTTTTAATACAGATAATGGATTTATATCAGATTACGGAAAAACATATAGGATTTATGTATATTGACATCAAACTACATAAGTCCTTGAGGGACATAATCGGATATATTCATAAATCGAATCAATATATTCAAGTGTTCGCTTATAGTCAACACTACTAAAAGAGTAGCTCAATTTTGATACTTGTTGCTTAATTGCATTATGCATTTTAGGCGGTTATATTTGGGGATGAGTGACAAGGGCAAAAAAGGAAAAAGAGCGCAAAACGTAAAATGTAAAAAAAAAAAGTCGCTAAAGTACAAGGTCATTCATTTATTTAATAGTAGCACTACCAAATATTGGATCTCTTTGCAACTTGAGTTTGACTTTATCAGTTGGTTGTGTCAGTACACTTCAGTAAAACATTCTAGTTCTTACAGATTTATATTGTTGCATAATAATCATCACGTTTGAAACGGTCAGTCATTTTTTTTTATTTACATGCTTTAAGTTTCGTCGAGATGGTTAAGGCACAAATTTACAGTATTAATAATAATAATAATAATAATAATAATAGTGATTAAGCGGCATACAGTGGTGTCGAGTTGGGTTACCTTTGATTTTATTTGACTTATCACGAAATATCTTTTTAAATATATAGATGTCTATAAATATTACAGTGAATCCTTTTATTTCTACTCTATATAATTACTTTGAAAAATTTATTATTCTAATTATATTAAAGTATTAGGTTTTGGTATCTTCTAACATTATAAATATTATTGTAACATATTAGTTATAAAAAGCTAAGCCATTGTTCTATTTTTTTAATTCCTTGGATTTAAGCTTTATTATATATTCAACCGTTCGTTATTCCCATATCAAATCAAATTACATTCATAGATATCATATATACAGATACAATTACCTTTTCTTTATGATAGTAATAATACAAATATAGTAATCTAGTATTATGACAAATTTAGAATCAATATCTCCCAAAACATCTTCACAATGTTCTTCCAACTCTTCAATTATTGAAACTGAAGCACAAGCACAAGCACAAGCACAAGCACAAGCAGAATCTCAAACTATGAATACTATGATTAGTTCCAGATCAGTAGGTAGTGAATCTTCTACATCAACCAATAATGCAAATAAAAACCCATCGCAAACTCAACAATCAAGAAGATTGAATAAGTTATTAAAGAAGTTAAAATTGAAATCCAATCCTTTACTTAACAACAATTATTCATCATCATCAACAACAACATCTTCATCTTCAACTATTAATAATTCTAATAGTATTAATCATACAGTAGCTATTACAACTCCTAATGATATTTTTGAAAGAAGTTTAGAAAGTTCAGCCATTGCTACTATAAATAATCCAGAAATTCCAACACATTATAATATTGAAAATTTTACAAATCCAATTCTTGATACTACGACGGAATTTATAAGTGATCCAAATGTTGATTTTTATAATGATGTAAAATTAAATTATTATGATGATAGTAATTATGACGAAAGTCTTGGATCTACAGCTCATCCAATAATTCATGAACATGAACCATTAAGTACAACAACATCAAATAATAATAGTAATTCTGGAGAATGTTTTTCAATTCCCTTCAGATCAAGATCAAGATCTATAATCAGTAATAATTTATTAAATACATTAAGTCAATCATCTACAAATGCCGCCAGTACAAATTCATCCTGTTCATTTTCGAATCTTCCCAAGTTATATAAAAGAAGTTTATCATGGTCAAATACTTCTGGAGATTTCCCAAGAAGACAATCTCATCAACCACCACCATCAAAGGAAACAAATAACGATGAGTCAATTCAGAATGCTACTATTGACTTTTATTCCTTTGCTGATATGTTATCTCATGAAGATGAAGCCTTTGATAATTGTACTCCAATTGTCGATGGTCACGCTCATGGACATATACATCATGAACATCATAACCATCATCATGAACATAATCATACACATGAACAAGAAAAAGAAAAACATCATTCGCATCATACTAATATAAATTCTACATCAGGCTTGGCTAGATCAAAATCGGTGCCTAGTTCATCTATGGGATCTGCCATGAATGATAATGATAATAATAATGATATTAACAATGAACAAGCTATACTTGATGAAGAAGAAAAAATCGCCTTGTCACCTACGCGGTTGCCAAATTTACCATTAAGACGGTCAAGTTACACTACTATTAGTGTTAAGGATTATATCGGAGTATTATAATTGTAGTGTGTAGGTTAATATAATATAAATATAAACATATAAATATATAAACATATAAATTATAAATATATACATATGTAAGTATATATATATATATATATATATAATATAAACGTATAACTATGTAAACGTATACATATTATTAAGAGAATAGTAACTTCGGAGTATATACAACCCTACTGGTAGCGCGCGCCCAGAGACTACGACAAACTGAACTCGACACGACACGACGACTAACCAAAAATGAAAATGCATGTTCTTGTATGCAGTGCCATCAAATTTTTTAGCTGTCATCAAAAAATACAACTGAACAATTTTTTACCACCTCTTAATAAAGACTTCTTCTTACAAAGCATCAATCCATCGAACGATTCGCCCAATCACTCACAGCAATCCATTAAGCCATTCCAGCCGCATACACGTCTAATCTATCCGACCCCTCCCCAAACCATTTCCTCCCACGACTCCCTCAATTCTCCTCCCCCACTACCAAGTTCAGTTTGTAAATAGTCCAAGCCATCCAGCTCAACTAAACTTTGAATCATCCATTGAATCCGTATATAATTTTTAATTTTTAAGAATATCAGTAATTCAATCCAATTCAATTATTCTATTAATCCCGAGTAACGAGTAACGAGTAATTGTCCCATCATAACTTAACTTGACTTATTTTATTATTATTGTATTACCCGTAACTATCCTAATCATCGTTACACCCATCTAATACCAATTTAACCAATTCAATTCAATTTAATTCCACCAAAATGACTGAATCCTTATTCGATACTAAATTCTCAGAATCTTCCGAAAAGGATAAACAAGCCCAAGTCGCATCTGATTCAACTACCTCCACCAATGCCGAATCATCAGTTGCTCCAACTACAGAATCATCTTTAGATGAATCTAATCAAAATTCTGAATCAACCATTGAAGATTCATCCAATATTAAATCTTCTTCAAGTTCTGCTCCAACCGCTGAAGAAATTGATAATACTTCCCTTCCATCCCTTCATGATAAATCTAAAGTTTCCACTTTAATAAATTTCAGAGTATTAGTATCTGCTAAAGAATCTGGATGTTTAATTGGACAAAATGGTAAAGTTATTGATTCAATTCGAGCTGAAACAAATACTAAAGCAGGAATTTCTCGTCTTTTACAAGGATCTCATGAAAGAATTTTAACTGTTAGTGGTACATTAGATGATTGTGCAAAAGCTCTTAGTTTCTTTGCTCAAGCTTTATGTGATTCTAATATTGAAACTTATAATTATTTCCCATTAAAACAATTAAGTTCAACTCCTTGTATTGAACATGAAACAACTATCTTAAGATTATTAATTCCAAATAGTCAAATGGGTACACTTATTGGTTCAAAAGGGTTAAGAATTCAACAAATTCAAACTAATTATAATATTTCAATGATTGCTTCTAAATCTTTCTTACCTGGATCAAATGAAAGATTAGTTGAATTACAAGGTTCTGTAAATAATTTATATGATGCTTTAAGAATTATCGCCAGATGTTTAATTGAAGATTTTTCTTCAATGACTGGTACTAATTATTATATTCCAAGAGGTCATTCAAATAATTATTCATCAATTGGTAATAGTAGACATTCCAATGGAAATGGTATAAATAATAATATTAATAATAATAATATTAATAATAATAATAATAATATTAATGGTAGTAATAACAGTAACAGAAGATCTCATCTTACTACCACTTCAATTAGTTTCCCAAATGATATTGTTGGAGCTTTAATCGGTAAAAATGGTTCAAGAATTCAAGGAGTTCGTAAAGTAAGTGGAGCTACTATTGGAATCAGTGAAGAAACTGAAGGAAAAGATGAAAGAATCTTTACTATTAGTGGTTCATCTCATGCTGTTGAAAAAGCTAAAGAATTATTATATCATAATTTAGAAAGAGAAGAACAAAGAAGAAGTGAAAGTGAACAGAAATAGTTTATGACTTGTATTTCTGCTTTTAATCTTTTTTACTGAATCACCCTCCCCCAATTGATTTCTACTTTTTTATACATAGTATTTTGTTTCTGTTCAATCTTTTAAACTTCTTGATTATGTTATGTTATTTTGTCTTATTACAGTATCAGTATTATTATAACTTGTTGTTAGTTCTATTCTATTCTATTTTATTTTATTCTATTATATGTTAAGTTAGTACATAAATAAGCCTTATTCTTTTTTTGAATATATATCATCAACCATCAATGTAATTAATTACTAAAAGGGAAAGTCACATGTCTGGACGATTAATTCAGCTAATTGCTGTAAATATTTCTTATCTATTTCATCAAATCCTTCCAACTTTAAACAATCTAAATCTAATACTCCGATAGTTTTACCATCCTTAATTATGGGTACAACTATTTCACTTTTAGTTTCTCCATCACAAGCAATATGCCCCGGGAATTGTTCTACATCGGGAACTAATTGTGTGAGTTGACTACTAGCAGCAGTACCACACACTCCCTTACCAAATTGAATTAGTTGACATGCTACTTTGCCTTGAAATGGTCCAAGTATAAGTTCACTAGTCGTAGTACTAGTAGTACTAGTAGTATGTAACACATAGAATCCAGTCCAATTCACAGGTATAGAGAGAGAATGATACGCATGCCAAAGTAATGAGGAACAGTTGGAAAGATTAGCCACCCAATTTGAAGTATCTGCAGCTAATGCTTCATATGATAATACCACATGTTGAAGAGTCTCTTCTTTGGAAAGAGTACCAGGTTGGATGTTGGAGTAATCCGCGTGATGTTTCCCGTCTTCTCCCATAATGAACTATACTGTGATATGGTTATATACTGTGATATGCTGTAATATACTGAACTATACCGTAATATACTATACGATACTATAATATACTGTAATATACTGTAATATACTAATACACTCTATTCTATGCTGACAACAACTACAGTAGAAATATTTTTCATTTATCTCATTACTAAACAATTCCGAGTTCCGACTGTGGAGCACCCCGGATTCGAAGCGAAAAAGTAACCACATGATTTCCGAACCACCGACCGTTAATACTCCGAATTAATTATCCGATCAGTTCCAATAGTCCTATAAACCAAGCTATATAATAATTAGTTAATATGGACGGAATACATAATACCGGTCAATTGACTATGGAAGCCAAGTTCGAAGCGTTTTTAAATTATCGAGGTATACGGCGAGAGTCGAGATCAGGAGACCCTACTCACATACGGACAAGACACGAAGGTCATGATGAAATTGGTGGAGGTGATGATAGTGAAGGTGACAGTAATGAAGATGACGGAGGGATCCTTTCGGATCAATTGAGACGCAGATTGAATGATCGGTTACAGGAATTTTTCAGCCTGGAGTTGGAGATACTGCATGATGATCATGATAGTGGTAGAGGTAGTGGTAGTGGTAATAATGGTAATGGTAATGATAATGATAATGATAATGATAATGATAATGATAATGATAATGATAATGATAATGGTACTGGTACTGGTACTGGTACTGGTACTGGTACTGGTACTGGCACTGGTAATAGTGACGATAACGATAATGATAATGATAATGGTAATGGCAACGATGATGATGATTACATCATCGATCTCAATAATATCGATGTTCCAGACGATGGTAACGATAATTATGACTATGATGACTATGATGACAGTGAAGATTTCGACAGTGATGATATACCGATTGATGAAAGAACATATATCCGACACCATCATGCAGGCTTTACTAATTTTGACTTTAGTAATGACGATGATATCGATGATGACGATGACATTACCAGTGATGACTACAGTGATGACTACATTGATTATATAGATGATTATGACTCAGATGATGTAGACTTGGACTTCATCTTTGACAATGATGATATGTATCGTGGAGTAACCTTTGGATCCCAAGTTCTCGATGCTGATTTATTCTACTTTGATAGAAGAGACGGTCATACCAATGCCAGTTCAAGTCATAACTCCGACAATAGGAATTTCCAAGGTCCTGAATCGTGGTTTAATGATAAAAACACCGAATATATACCCATAAGTAGAATCCATCATCATCGAAGCAATCCGAATATCTTCTCGGCTCGATCCAAGAGGATTCAGTTACTAAAGGATCTTGGTATTCTCGTGGATAAACTGTATCATAAACAACAAGCCGCATTCCCATCCAATAGTCAAAGTGCCTATTTGAACTGGGAAAGAAGTGATGTTAAGAATTCTAAAAAAATGTTGACTAAACCACCCAATCGAGTTGAATTCAATACTAGATTAAATGCCGTTGATCCCTTTACACTATTAGTCAAATCATTATCAACTCAATATAAGGATGCATTAACTTTACGACCAAATGGTCTAAAGAAATTGTATGAAGTTTCAACGATTCGAAAGTATAAAAACAATTTAACGGCCATAATTAAAGATTATAAAACCAATGAAGAATTCTTAGTAGTTGCTTGTAATTCAGAAATGATGGTATTTGAATTTAATTCATTAAATTTACCTAATGATAAACCAGTAATAATGTTTGATACTAAACCTCCATTTACAACTACTACCGATAGATTAATTTCTACTTGGCCATATTTCCCTCATACTATAAATTTTGTTAAGACATTTCCTGATTTTAAAGGTGATCAACCGATTCTATGTGCATGTGTTGATGATGGAACTCTTATTATCTGGAATACTGATACTATAATTAATCGAATAAGAAATAAGAAAACTACCGTTAGTACTACTGCTACTGCTACTGATAAAGTTCATATAAAACCTCAATTTAAAATTAAATTAGAGGCATCCCTATGGGGATTGGATTTTAAACATTATGAAGGAAATCATAATGTATTTATGGCCTCAGATAATTCTCAAAGTTTAACATTACTTTATTATCATGAATCGGATTTAAGATTTTATCATATAAAGTCACATCAATTATTACATAATATACCAGAAGTTGGAATTATACTGGTAACAATTGATTTACAAGATAATGAAGAATTACATACTATAAAGACATCTTGTGCTTCAATATCAGGAGAATTATTAATCTTTCAATTCCAATTTTGTTTGGTTGATGGTCCATTAAATGAAATTGAATATAATTTCTTTAAAAATCAAGAATATTACTATGTGGATAGTTCAATTGAATTATTAGAGAATAGAAATAATATTAATTTTAATATTCAAAATCTTGATACTTTAAATTCCGAACGATTTAATCGACTTGAATATAGAAATCCATTTGTATTACTTCGTACAGTTATTGGAGAATATTGTTGGACTAGTAAACTTATTAATTCTCAATATTTCAAATCGGTTAATAGTTTAAATGAAGTTATAGGAGATTTTACATTTGATTCAGCCATTGTAGTAGATGATATAATGAATGAATCAAAGATATTAGACTTGGAATTTGATCCTATGTTGACTAGTCATCTTGGACTTGCCACCAATTGGCAACATTTTGAAGCTAAAACCCTTAATTTATCTACATTAGTCCATTCTACAGCCACATTAATTCCCAATTCTCCTCCCAGTAGAAATGATACATCTCGTCTTACTAGTCTTGATGATGAATATAGAAGAGTTCATAAGGGTTTAATCAAACAATTTCAGAAAGTAAATAATCGTGCTCGTACTAGTTCGGCTAATAAACAATCATACTTATTAGATCCAGTTCATGATATCCAATCACAAGATTTTCTAGTGGTTTCTACAGGAAGAAGATTAGGATTGTTTAGAGCCGATTCATTATTCTGTACTTGTTCAACTAAAAAGTTATTTGATTTACCTATACCTTCCAATAATGAATCCAAACCAGCCAATAGAATCTCGATTACTCATATCATACCTGAATTACAATGTTATATAGCAGTAACTCAACAAGGGTTAATTACTATTATGAGACTCTGTCAATACCGCGGAGTGTATGGAATGCGACAAGAACATATTTTCCCTAATGCCATAAGTCTCGCCTTAGATCATTTTGGTGGATACAGAACTATTGCTGGTATTAATGTTAGAGATAAGTCATCCAGTCCTGGCTTTCCTCGGTTCCTTCTCTATATAGTATATACTGATGGACTCATAGTTAGTTATGAGTTATCGTTAGATGCATCTGCTGGTGACTTATTGATCACTAGTATATAAGAGTATGTATAGTGTATATAGTATGTATAGTATATATATAGGGTGTGTGTGTATAGTATATCATAGTATGTATAGTATTGTATAGCATATCATATTTAGTATTGTATAGTACTATTGTATAAGATTATTTGTGTACTACCCTTCGCACATTACCCCTTTAGGCAGTCGAGCCATTTCCCATTTCTCATTTCCCAGTGGCGCGTTTTGTGTTACGCCTATAACCATCCATACAAAAACAAAAACATCAAGAGATCCCTAACCCCATGAGTGAAAATTAGTCAATACAAATTTACGACAAAGTCCCACTAGTGTAGGGGCACAACCAACAGGTGACCAGCCAAAATCATAAAACTATGGATTTGTTAAATCTTGGTTCACAATCTCGGAAGACGGGGATAAGACCTCGACAGAATTTAAGAAAGGATAAGTATGATATGGAAGATGTCGATGAATTCTTTTCTGATGATGATGATGATGATGAGGGGATTGAAATTAATAAAAATGAGGGCGGAAATACTAATAGTATAAGTAATGCGATTATCGCACGACTGGGAGGATCAAAGAGAAGATCTATACAATCATTAACTCCTAAAGGTAGTTTTAATAATGTAGCTAAACGACTTAATTTTGATAGTCAAGGTGAATCATTTAATTTATCACCAATATCCATAACTTCAAAATTTGCGACTACAACGACTTCTTCAGCTTCAGCAGTTAAGCAGAAAAACAAAAAGTCTCCCTTACGATCTCCCTTACCTGAACATAAGAAAGAAAATGCTAAACCAGTTGAAAAGCAGAGACTCTTTGTACCGCCGGAAGATGCTGATGAACCAGATGATGATAATTATTATAATGATAATTTTATGGGTGATGATGATGGTGAACCTCCAGATATGAGTTTATCTCCAGTGAGTTTATCTCCAATAACAAAGCGAGGTACTTCAACAAAGAAAACTAATAAAGCCAGTGGTATATCAGCCAGATCAGCTTCATCTCTAACAAAGAGAATGGCATTGGGAAAAGCATCTAGAAGTAAAAAGAAGTCAGTCATTGAACAAGACGAAGAAGAAGAAGAGGAAGAGGAAGAGGATCAGGAAGTATCCCAAATACAAGACGATGACGGTGAAGACGATGAAGATGACGAAGATGAAGAAACTAGAAGTGAGTTATTATCACCTCCACCAACAAATAAGAAACCCAGTAGAAAACCAAGATCTACAATACGCAAATCTATTCAAAGATCACCTGCTCAACAACCAACAATTATTAAACCTTCACCATTACCTTCACCTCCACCGGATGGATTGAGAAGATCAAAACGTGTTAAGGTAGCACCTCTAGCTTATTGGAGGAATGAAAGAATTGTATATAGTAGAGCAGATGAAACACAAGCTGATCCGGATACAACATTAGCAACCGATATAAGAAAAGTTCCATTACAAATAATTAAAGAAATTGTACAAATGCCTGAACCTCAAAATGAAATCAGACAGCATAAACGTTCACGACTGAGATCTAGAACCACTCCTCCTAAACAAAAGAAACTGAATCCAAATCAACCAGTATATGATTATGAATCCGATCCAGAAATTACTGGATCAGAATGGTTTAGTAAGAAATCATTAGATGTAAATGTCTATGAAAATGATAAATCTATTAAACGTACAGTTGTATATGCTCCTGATGGTGGGACATTCAAACATGAATCTAATGGATTTGAAAACTTTGATGTGGCTTCATTATTTCAAGATGAAAGTGGATCAAGTGCTAGTGGATTAGTTGAATTCCCCTTAGAAGGTTCTAAAGAATTTCGAAGTTCAGGAACTTTCATATATTATTTCCATGTTGTACGAGGATTAATTGAAGTAACTTTAAATAATTCTACATTTGTTGTAACAAGAGGTTGTTCATTCCAAGTTCCGCCCCAAAATTCATATGGATTTAAGAATATTGGACAAGATTCTGCTCGACTTTTCTTTGTTCAAAGTCAAAGTGCCGAAGTTGAGATTGATAATGGAGAAGACAATAATGTTGGAGAGGATGACGAATCATGGGAATGATCATTGTATTATATATATATTAATTTTGTATACCTACGCCTTATAATAGAAGTATTTATTCATTCATATTCATATTATAATGTAAAAAATCTTTATTGAAACTACTATACAAGGTAAAAAGGGACTATGAATGATGCATTTATATAAGTCTAATTATCTTCAAATTTAGTGACGGTAGAATTATCTCCATCATAATATGCTACGAGTTTAACTTTAAATTCAGAAGCTGCAACTCCAAATTGTTTTAAAATTAAGGCTTGAGTTACATTCAAAGTATCTCCCTTATGACAAACAACAAATGGTTCATTTAATGTAATTTTACCACTCTTTATTTTTGTTGGAATCTTATACTTATTTCTTAAAGTTTCTTCTAAAGTATGTGACATTGGAACATCTTCTTCTTCAGCAACTTGTCCACCTCTTGAATAAACAATTCCTGCTGGAATAGTAAAATCAATAGGAGATTTAGAATTAGCACGAGAATAATCTTGTTTAGAATAAGCATTGAAATAAGCTTCAACAACTTCTTTAGTTTCATCTGTAAATAATAATCCTGGTAATCCATTACATACTTTAGATAATTGATGTAAATTATCTTTATATTCTTCTTCTGGAGTATCACCTAATGCCTTTTCCAATACTCTTCTCTTACCTAAAATTAATTTGGATCCTGTCCAATCCGATCTTAAATCTTGTAAAACAGGAGTTCTAACATCATCTAACTGCAAAACCCATACATATTTATATTGATCTAAGGCACTTCTAACTTCATCGAAAATTCGGGTCTTGTTTTCCTTCCCCTTCTTATCGGTTTGAGCTAAGGTCACCAACTTTGAACGTTTAGATCTTGGCATTTTGTTGTTTGTTATTTACTCAACTGTACTCTGTTCTGGTTAGAGTTGTGCTATTTTTCACTTTTAGAGCAGCGCAGCTCATCCTCATCAGAAAAGAAAATTTTAATTGTGTGTGTGGTCTGTATACAGGATTTTGAGTAGTAAGCTCTTTATATATATATTTATTTATATTTATTTATTTGCACCCATTAATTAATGTTAAGTTTAGGAGGCTGTAAGGTTCTTGAATCAAAGGAAACCATTACTTTCGTATCTTCATAAATTTCGTTAATATAAATCGTTAATAATTCTGCCTGTGTTGAAGAAGGAACTTTAGATGACTTCAAGAATACTTCAAGAATTACCAAATATAGGTCTACTAATTCATAAGCAAACCCATACAAGCTTGATTGAACTTGACTACTGATATTTACTGGTTGTTTTTCATTTGCTGTAGATAAATGACAAATGCTTTTAATACATTTGTGAACACTCTCAATGATTTTATAGCCACAACAATCAAGTTTGCTTTCATATGCTGGAGTATTATTGAATTCTTCAACAATAACTATTCTATTAATGCATAAATAATAAATAACACCTTCTAATGATAAAATTTGTTGCTTGAAAGATATCTTATTAGTGGAAAATAAATCCTCAAATAAAGTTAGAAAACGGGTTTTGAAGGTCTTCAAATCCAACGATGTGATTATTGATAGTAATGAGCTACATATGACTTCTTTTAAAGAAGTATTCAATTCTAAAATCTCAAACAATAGGCTTAGGCATTTTGAAAAGCTATTAGCTCCTACTTTGGCATTTGAAGAATCATTAAATTTTATAAAATCTCTGATAAGCAAAATTAAATGTTGAGATACTCTCGAATCTTCAGAGTTTTTAAACTCTGCTAACACTTCAACAAATCTGTCAAAACTAGTATTCATAAATTCTTGATAAACCTTAATGATATTCAAAATATCATCATCTGATCCTTCATATTTCATAGTAATAAAATATCGTAATTTTCCAATGAATTTTATTTGATTGAGTTGATTTTTTGTAGGAATATTTATTAGTATGAATAAGTCATGGAACTTACGTTCAATGGATTCAGCCGTAATCATTTCAGAACCTAACAATGTCTTTTCAATATCAAGATTAAGACTTATTGATTGATAATCTTCTATAGTATTGAAAAAATCATCAAAATTATCCTTAAAGTTACCATCATTGTTCTTTAATAATTCTAATAGGTCAGAATTAAGAACAAACTTCTTCGACTCTGATATCTTAGTACTGGTAGATGAGCCTCTCAGACTTGTAAACTTTTCATAAATTCCATCTTTAACTTCACTGAAACTCTCATCATATTCATTATAATCTTCAACTATTAAATCTACATCTGATTGGTTAATAAACTCAACTGAATGATCGGATCCAGCACTTAATGATACTCTGCTTATAACATTAACTTGACTTATTTGAGTTTCCGGTAATGCATAGGCTGTTAGTTGTAATCTACCAAATGAATGTGAACTATTACAAATTTGTTCGACATTGCCAACAGCACTTTTAAGAATCATAGGAGGTTTTAGAATGTCTATCTTACTTTGTGGGATATCTTTTATTGATAAGTTTTCAGAATGTCTACTATTGAGAACAGGGTAATGATTTATATCTATCTTTAAATCATCAGCAAAGTTAATATTGGATTTGTCTGGCATTATCAAATTCGCTGGATATACTCTGGGTAGTGGTCCTGGTAAGAAATTATTCATTAAATGTGATACTGAGGTTGATGGTGATAGTTTTGTTTCTAAATATTGGCTCGTTGAGTGATTTGGATGACCTATCGGGTAGAATGGATTATCTTGACCAGTTGAGAGGAGAGATTGATTTAAACTAGGATCAGAATCTACGCCGTTCTTTCCATTGATAGAAGCCTCTTCATTGTTCTCTCCTTCTTCCTCTTCTTCCTGTTTTTCTTTCTTTTCTTCCTCCTCTTCTTCAAGCTTCTCTGGTATCACCTCAACCCTATCTTCCCTTCTATAGCTCTGCTCTCCTTGTGTATAGATAAATGCTACTACAATAACAATCAAAGAAATAATCACAATTATAATTAAGTTTCTTAAATCTTCATCATTTGTATTGAAAGTATCGTCCATTAACTGTTCCAAATATTTCCTCTCCCAAGGTATAACCGGTACTGCACTAAGATCACTAAAGCATTCTTCTGTTATAAAATTAAAAGGATCCACTTCATCAAATGTTTCTATATCCATAGTTAGGCTGATTGGTACTGTTGGTTGAAGATGATTAACAAGTGGTGGTGGAGACGGTGGTGGAGACGGTGGTGGAGACGGTGGTGGATCGATGGATCGGAGCAAAGATAATGGCTGGGCGGCATATTTCAAAACCAGTCTGGTATAGTTAACTACTATATTACACAAGGCAATAATCCATAGCATCTTACTCCAATCACAAACTATGATTAATTTAGTCTTAGTCAAAGTGTTACCACTGGTCTCATAAGCAATTGCAAATTTAGGGTTAGATCATAATCATAATTTGCAACTTCTCCGATTTAGCGAGGGGAAAATTTTTACTTCCTAAGATGGAAATGGTTGCTGCGGTGAATTAATATGAAATGACAAGTTACAATTGACTATTGGTTATTTACTATAAATGTGTGCGTTATATTTATGTATAAACATATACATAGAGGTGTATACTATAAGGTTAAATAAAATAGATAACATATGTAATTAAATAAACAAGAAGTAATAATAATAATATGAACAAACAGGACAAATAATTGATCTAAGTTATCGCCTGATGTAGGAGTGGATTTATAATTGTCATTAGATATCGTTATATGATGTATAGTTTTTGTTTTGATCGATTTAACTATGCTTGTTTCTATATGTCTTTTTATAGGGATGAATGAAAATATAGATCAAGTTATGTATCAGTACCATTCTAATGAAACAATTGATATATATATGCTGAATGAATGAATAGATGCCAATAATATATGACAAACTAAGATGAATATTACACTAAGATTAACAAATAAGTCCCAATGTTCACCAGTCCCCAGGAACCAAAGGAGTTCTTGGAACTTCAATGTTTCTTTGAAACTTAGTACCACCTGGTCTACATGGGGCAATATAAGGATCTGGATGTTTAGCTTCTTGTAATTTATCAACAGTTTTAGCAATAACTTCTTCTAATTCAGTTGGATCACTAATATGTCTATTAACTTCAAATTGTTGTCTTATCTTAATAGTTTCTAATCTATAGGCATCGAATTTATAAGATGAATCATAGGCAGTTCTTAAAGCCTTTCTAAATAAGGATGCCACCCTTTGGGTATTGGCTTCAGTGAATGGAAGTATGCTGGCCATTTTCTGTATACTTCAATAATTTATTAAATCTACGGTGTACTTAGATATCTCTATTTGGCTCATTTTAGTATTTAGTATTGATTATTTTCAGCGTTTTTGCTGTATTTTATTGGCTGGTCTGTGTGCAGGAAATTTATACTGCAAAAAACAAAATAGATGCAAACAGAAAACTTCCAATGGACAGTTACAGTCAGTCAGAAAGATGCATTCCAATAATACAGATATTTATATAAATATATAGAAAAAAGTGTAAGTTTAACAGAAAAATAAGAGACAAAAAAACAACTATAAAGTTTCAGCTACAGCCATAAGAGATCCGACGAATGATAACACAAGTCTTGATCTAACCTCATTAATATCTTCTGGAACTAACCAAATTAAAGCTCCTAATTTTCTAGCTATAGAAATAGCCAATTTGGCATTAGCATATTTCTCTTCATCTGATAAATTGGAACCTTGATAAACTAAATCATAATCGACATAACCTGGCTTTAAACCATGTAAGACATCCAAAAGATATACCCCATTAGAAAGTGATGAATCTTTGAATGATCTGATGGTTGAAGTTTTACCTCCTTTAGCAACTTGAGAATTAGACCATTTTAAGATATCTGAATCTGTTAAGTTACCACCTTTACCTAATTCAGATAATGTGTTAACAATATTTCTTCTCATTAATTGCCAGACTAATCCTAAAGTTAATAATTTATTACCATCAACAATATCTGATCCTTCTATACCGACTAATGAGAATTTATTAGCTTTACCAATTTCAACTGCATAATTGGTATTTTCCAACGCTTTAAATCTTAATACTTCTCCACCATTGGCAGGCTTTTTATTGACATGTTTAAATGAAACTGATCCTGGTAATACTTTATCATAAGCTTGTAATAAGACTAGACCATCCTTTAAATCTTCAAATAATGAAACAACTGGTGGATCTACATCTAAAGAGTTTAACCACAAGGTGAACACTCTTGCTTCTCTTTCTCCTTCAGCATCGAATTCTTCAATTTCAATCTGTTCATGTTCTTCAATTGGATCTAATCCTGGATAAGTATTAAACAAATGAGCTACAAAAGCCAAATTTAATTTTGGATTACCTGAAATTAAAGAATTTGGAGTTAAATATTTCCTACATCCAATTTTATCGGCATCTTCCAAAACTTTTTCAGCTCTTTGTAATAAATTTGAAATTTTCAAAGCAGATAAATCACAATGTTCAGGTTGTAATTGATTTAATAAAACAGTATAATTTTCTCCGTCACTAATATCTTTTGAGAAATTAGCAACTCTTCTATGCCATCCAGCATTTTTTAAATGGTAATTGAACCATCTTAATAAAATTTGTTCAGGAGGTAATCTTAAGAATTGTTCAAGAGTTTCATCATCTTCTAATAAACGATATAATTCAGGATGAAGTTTAATATCAACTTTCGATAAAAGTCCACGACGAATGATTTGCCAAATTAAACCTAAAATCAAATGTTCTTTACCATCAATAATATCTTCTGAATGAACATTAACAACTATACAACCAATAGCTTTAGCAGAATTAATAACAATATTAGCATTTTCATTCATTTGGAAATTATTTAAGGCTTTCTTACCTTTAGGAGTATTTAAAACTCTTGTATCAATAGTATCAGGAACTGAATCATTAATTAATTTTGATAATACTAAACCATCTCTACATTCATCAAAAATTTGAAAAGTTTGAGTATCAAATGGTAATCTATCACCAACATCTGGATCTCCAGTTAAGACAGAATTAATATGTCTAGTAAATTCAGTTCTTTCTTCATCATTAATTGTATGAGTAGTACCTGAAGTTTTACCACCTAAATAAGTTTTATTAGTAGTATTAGCCGTTGGAATTGGAGGAGCAGGTTTATTTCTACCAGGAGAAGAAACTGTTGAAGCTAAAGAAGGTGCAGCACCAATTGAAGTTGATAATGAAACTGAAGGAGTAGCAGCTACACTTCCACTAGCACCACCTTCTTTTAATTGAGCTAATAATTGAACATAATCTTCTAATTCTACATGACCTGAAGCATCAACATCAACATTCTTTAATTCTTCTCTTGCTTGATCATAAGTATATTGACCTTTCTTAGAGATAGAATTAATAACATCTTTTTTCTCAGCCCAACCTTTATCTTCTAAATCAATACTTCTAAAATCCTCAATTATAGCAAATAAATCATTTTGATCCAATACAGGATATTTCTTTTGTAATTTTAAAACGTTCATAATTACTACCTAGTTATTTAAATCACCCTTTTTAATGTCCGTATAGTTAATTAGTTAATAAAAGTCAATTGATATCCAGTAAATTTTTCAATCACTCGTACCAATTGGTTCAATTCAATTATCCGGATACTAATGTATTCTGCAATTTTTTATATAGTATAACTATTACTAGTGGTTTTGTACAAGTATTTGAGCTCTGTTACCATTAATGAATTCACCATCATCCGAATCCTCGCCCTCCCCTTTTAGAAGCTCCTGCACACAGCCCCCGCCGCTTCCCGTGACTTACCCAGCCTCCAGCCAGCATTGGTAAAAGTTACTGATGAAGTAAGTTAAGAAAAGGGGGAATGGGAAATTAGCAAAAGTATGGGGAAAGCAATAAGGGGAACGTATCTTTAGTATTATGTTGCCTGAGTTGTGACTATGTATTTAAATTTCGTAGTAGACTGTACAGAGATCATTACTCTTAGTGTAAGTATGGGGAATGAGTTGTAGTACCCCACACATCCACTTGTGTGCTTAACTCCTACTGTATATATAATGGATTCTTATTGGCCAGTACTCGTCTATGCAGATCCATAACTATGACTCCATGTAGACATTATGCTAGTTACTATTATTAATAATAACTAACATAATTAATTTATTGGGTATATATGGTAGCGCACTGAATCCACGCCGCAGTACGCTAAAAAGTTACTTAATCAAACACCACTATTAACTATACCGACTAATCAATACCCGAGTGCTGACAGCAATGGAAACTCGGAACGGTAAGGATCCTGCACCCTCCATCAACTCGGATTCCACCGCATCATTCAACAATAGCAGTGGAGTCGGCAGTAGTAATGGCAATGGCAATGGCAATGTGAATGGCAGTAGTAATAGTAATAGTAACAAGAGAAATGCTGATGGAGCATTAGCACAGTATCTCTCGTCCACTTCTTCTAGTACTACTACTACATTTGAAAATGAGTATGATAAACCTTCATTCTCCATAGAGACCGTTCAATTACAATTTGATTTAAATCATGGACTAACTAACTTACTTGTATCTAATAATATTATGTTCTTAATCCTTATTAATTCTATCATAAGAATTGATTTAGATAATCCTACGCAAATTAATCGATTTCAAGTGCCTTCTATAAGTAGTGTACCATCCATATCAATCACTGGAAGTTGGTTACATCCTAATGGTGCCCATCTAATTATTCAAGTTAATAGTATCCATTATTTCTATCTTCATTCATCGTATGAACAATTCAAGTTATTACCTCGATTTAAGAATTTAAAAGTTGTACAAATCTGTTTCCCAAGTCAACAAGATGATGATAATATTGTTGGTTCAACTACAGGAGAATTCTTAGTGGCAGTTAAAGAGGGGATCATCTATTCTGCTCTTATAAAGTATCATGCCGAGACTAACAAACGTGATGATAAGTATGTTAAGCAATTATATAAGCATCCTACATCCAACAACAACAACACTTCCTTAACTGGTTTAACATTCACCAACAATAATAGTCAAATAAATATCTTTATTGATGATAACATCTATATATGGGATTGCTTTGATTGGACATATGCCGAATTGGTTAATGTATTTAAGAATCCTGCTCATAAGATTATTGAATTACCTAAAACCAAAACAGCCATATTTGCATGTAATCCTCAAGCTTATATATATATTGATCCATTAACTAATGAATTCCAATCAAATGATGAAGAATTAGTATTATCTCAAGTTGAAAAATTACCAGCTCATGCAACTATTTTCAATCTGAATGTCATACTAAGTCCTCATCATTTGATTGCTTTAGATAATAATCAAGAACATATTTTAATATTTAATAAGCTTTCATCAACCGATGCAATAGAATTATCTTTATTAAAGTATACTGTTGATAATGAACCAATATTAGGTATGATTGCTGATTATAGATTAGGAACTTATTGGTTATATTCATCCAATGCAATTTATGAATTAATTATTAATAATGAAAGTGTATCAACATGGTATAACTATTATAAAATGGGGAAATATGAACAAGCATTGAAATGTCTTGAAGAATCTCCGGAAACAAATTATTATAAAACAGATTTAATTCTTATTAAACAAGGTTATGATTATCTTCAACGAGGAGGGTTTGGAAGTATTGAAGATGATCAAGTTCAAAGCTTAAACAAAGATGAATTACTTGAATTACAAATAAAGGGAATTCGAATCTTGGGTAAATCTTCAGAACCATTTGAAAAAGTATGTTTGATGTTATTGAATCTCCAGCAACATCAACAATCTCAATCACAATCACAATCTCACGATAAGATAACCTTTGGTTCTAAAACCACCATTGTTCATCTAGTAGCACAAATCTTGTTGATTGAATATTTAAAAGTTAAGTTTACTCATGCTAAGGATATCGAAAAGAATAAGATTAGAATCATTATATTATCTAGTTGGATAATTGAATTAATGTTAAGAACTATCTATGTATTAGGTGATGATTTACGAGGCGAGAATTTGAATGATCCATCATCATCACCATCATCTAGTTCATTAGATGTTAAACGATTTAAACAAAAATGGTTAGAATCTTTTGAATCTGACTTTCATAAATTTTTAGCATCCAACTATAAGATTCTCGATCAAGATATTATATATCAGATAATGATAGAATTAAATTTACCATCTAAATTTATATTCTTTGCAGAATTAATTGAAGATTATCAATTTATTTTAAATCATTATATTGATATAAATGATTGGGAGAATGCTATAAAAGCCATTATTAAATTATATAATTCATCTTTACCTAATAAGATGGATATTATCTATAAATCATCAACTGTCTTATTAATTAATAGTCCTCAATCAACTATTAATACTTGGTTAAAATTTAATGAATCAGATATTCATTATGAAAACTTTTTACCGGCAATCTTAATCTATAATAAAAGTATAAATCACATTAAATTATATGATAATTATACCATTAAGTTTTTAACCAAATTGATTTTTGATAAGGGTATTAAAAGTAAACAATTGAACAATTACTATTTATCGTTATTGATAACTTATCCAAATCAAGATATCAATAATAATACTAATAGTTCTAGTAAACAAATCCTTAAATTCTTACATTATATTAGAAGTGAATCCGGATCTAAAGGTCAATTGTATGATGCCAATTTCATATTACGATTATGTTTGAATAGAAATCAATATGAGGCAGCTATTCTTATCTTAATTCATGATATGAAATTGTATGATCTGGCATTGGAATTGTCTTTAGATAATGATTTACCTCAACTAGCACAATTTGTATTACAAGAATATGATAGACATGATAATAGTAATGGTATTAGTCATAGTAATGGAAATAATGGTAATTCTAATGGTAATGGTTATGGTTATGGTTATAATGGAAGTATTGAAGAAGATTATATAACTAGAACCAAATTAGAAGAAGAAAGTTTTAGTTCTAGAAAGAAATTGTGGACGAGCTTTTCTCGTTATGTTATTGATAAAGTCTGTAAGGGAGAACCCATTGATCTTGATTTTGGAGATGATGAAAATAATGATGATAATGCTAATGGAAGTGTAGTAGATGTGAATGATACTAAAAATACTGATAAGGAGACTAAGAGCATTATTGATGTTACTAAGGATTTAGTTAATGATATTGTTGGTAACACAGGTGATGATTTACAGAAAGCAGACCATTTAACTCATCTGTCACAACGATTAAGTAAAGTATTGAAATATATATTGAAACTTTCTAGACTCAATAGTAATGATAATAATGGAGTTATAGGACTTAAAGATTTATTACCATTATTCCCCGAATCAATAATGATTAATAATTTCAAAGATGAAATAGTCAAATCACTTAATGAATATAACAATAAGATCAATCGTCTTTCATTAGAGATGAATGAATCATTAACTATAGCTCGGAATTTAAAGCAACAAATGAAAGATTCACAGGCTCTTGATCAAACTTCTAAAATATACTCGATAATTGAACCCGGTGAACCATGTCAGTTATGTCAAAAGTTACTTATCAGTAAGAATTTCATCTATTTCCCCAATTGTCATCATGGTCATCATAAGGATTGTTTAGTTCGGAATTACTTGATGTTGAAGAATGATTATCGATTCAAGAAGATATATAATAACTTTCAGAAGAATCCTACTTCGACCATCAATAAGCAAGAGTTAAATGATATATTAACTCGGTCTTGTATCTTATGTAATGAGAGTAATATCAATCTTATTGATGTGGGGTTTGTTGATTTTGAAAAAGATAGTAGTGATATTGTGGATTGGCAGTTGTGATAATCCACTGAGTTTATATAATATATATACTATATAGATTTACAACTAGTAGAGTAAGTTCATTAATATATGTAGGTTGTATATAAGTACCCCTATAAAAGTAGAAGGAATTCTGTAGCTCTCTAATAAATTAGGAGCTAATAATTACAACAAAACATAAGAGATAAAGAGTCTAATCAATATATTGAGAATGTTCATTTAGATTTAATTGCATCTCCAGCTTCATTAGATAATGTTATAAATGAATTATCAAAAGATTACCATCAGGTTTTATGACTCCTCGACAACGAGCACAACTCTTAGCCGATAATCAAGAAAGAGCTGAGAATCAGAAGCTTGCTCCTAAAGCTGTGCATCACAAGTGTCGCATAGTTGCAGCCTATTTATTACATAGTTGCAAACTAGAGTTAGCTGCGGCGGCAAAGTCGTGTGCACGACACATTGTCTGTCAGTTATATAGTAAGCTCTACCTCTTAGTATGAAGTAGACATATAACACTAACACTAACACTATAATACTTCTTAACTACTAATGAGTACCCTACAACGCCTTACAGTTAAGTTCAGTCTAACCTGTAAGAATTCATATTCTATTAATGAGTATAGTACGGTACATGTATAGTATAGAACAGACAGATAAGTAACCCCATAGTTAAGATTCCTGCATGTGGCGGCGCAGAGCATCTCCAAAATACTAAAAAAAAATTTCACTAAGTAAATTAACTATGAGCTAAGACACCCCCCAGCCAGTAAGCAGTAGCATAGTTTGAAAAGACCAAGCATGGGTAAGACACAAAAGAAGAATAGTAAGGGTCGTTTAGATAGGTACTATTACCTTGCCAAAGAAAAGGGGTATCGTGCCCGTTCGTCATTTAAGATAATTCAAATTAATGAAAAGTATGGACATTTCTTAGAGAAATCCAAAGTAGTTATTGATTTATGTGCTGCACCAGGTTCATGGTGTCAAGTTGCCAGTCAGTTATGTCCAGTTAATTCATTAATTATTGGAGTGGATATTGTTCCTATTAAACCATTACCTAATTGTATTACATTTCAATCAGATATTACTACTGAAGATTGTCGATCTAAATTAAGAGGTCATATGAAAACTTGGAAAGCCGATACAGTTTTACATGATGGGGCACCAAATGTTGGGTTAGGTTGGGTACAAGATGCCTTTACACAATCTCAATTAACCTTACAAGCATTAAAATTAGCAGTAGAAAATTTAACAGTAGGAGGAACATTTGTTACTAAGATTTTCAGATCAAGAGATTATAATAATCTTATGTGGGTATTTCAACAATTATTTGAAAAAGTTGAAGCAACTAAACCTCCAGCATCAAGAAATGTTTCTGCCGAAATCTTTGTAGTTTGTAAAGGATTTAAAGCTCCTAAGAAATTAGATCCAAGATTACTTGATCCTAAAGAAGTATTTGAAGAATTAAGTACTACAAATAATGTTAATAATGAAGCTAAAATTTTTAATCCAGAAAAGAAAACAAGACAAAGACAAGGGTATGAAGAAGGAGATTATTTATTATATCATGTAATGGATTTAATAGAATTTATTAAAAATGAAGATCCAATTAATACTTTAGGAAATTTAAATAAATTATCTGAACCATCAAAAGATGATCATGAATGGAAAATATTAAGAAAATTAAAATCTTGTACACCAGAATTACTTGAATGTATAAAAGATTTAAAAGTTTTAGGTAGAAAAGAATTTAAATTAATTCTTAAATTTAGAAAGAATAGTCGAGAAATTCTTGGATTAGATGAAAAGGATGAAACTGGTGAACAAATAGAAGTTGAACCATTAACTGAAGAACAACAAATTGATAAAGAATTACAAGAATTAACTGATAAACAAAAGCAAAAATCTAAGAGAGAAAAGAAAAGATCTAATGAATTAAAACAAAAGGAAATTGTTAGAAATCAAATGAATATGTTAACTGATATGAATATTGGGTTAGAAGCAGCTCAATTAGGATCTGAATCATTATTTAATTTAAAGACTGCTGAAAAGACTGGTCAAATAGATCGATTAGCTAAGGGAAAGAAGAGAATGATATTTAATGATGAAGAATTAGCTAAAGATAATGATATTCATGTTGATGAAGAAGATATTGAACAAGAGTCTGGAGATGAAGCTGATGCCTTAGAAGCTCAATTGGATGATATGTATAATCATTATCAAGAGAGAAAAGCTGAAAGAGATGCCAAATTCTTAGCCAAGAGATTAAGAGGTGATGCTGATGAAGAAGCTTGGGATGGTATAAGGAGTGATGAAGAAGAAGACGATGAAGGTGAAGAAACTAAAGATTATGAAATGGATGAAGATTCAGATGACTCTGATTCTGATAATGATGAACATATCAGATTAATAACTGAAAGAAAATCTAAAGATGGATTATCTCGTGGTGCTAAGATGTTTTTCCAATCCGACTCTATTTTCAATGAATTTGATGAAGAAAGCTTATTGAATGAAATGGTTGATAATACCAAAACAGCAGATAAAGTCAGTAATGGAAATGGAAATGGAAATGGAAATGGAAATGGTACTAGTGCATTTGAAGCGGATTCATCGGATGCTGAATCTGGTTCAGATAGTGATTTTGAAATAGTTCCAGCTGAACGAGAAATTAATTATGAATCTGCTTCTGATGATGAAGAAGGTAATCTTTCACATAAATATTCTCGAGCTAAATCTGAAAAGGAAAAAGTTGATATAGCTACAGTTGAAGCTATGACTTTAGCTCATAAAGTTGCATTAGGACAAATGAATAAATATGATTTAATTGATGAAGGGATAAATAGATATTCATTCCGTGATAAAGAAGGATTACCCGATTGGTTTCTTGATGATGAAAAGAAACATTCTAAACTTATTAAACCAATTACTAAAGAAGCCGCATTAGCCATTAAAGAAAAGCAAAGACAATTAAATGCTAGACCAATTAAGAAAGTCTTAGAAGCACAAGGACGTAAAAAGATGAGAGCATTAAGAAGATTAGAGAAATTAAAGAAGAAATCTGATTTAATTAATGAAGATAGTGGGAAATCAGAAAGAGATAAAGCCGAAGAAATTCAAAAATTAATGAAGAAATTAACTAAGAAACAAAAGCAAAAGCCAAAGGTTACATTAGTTGTTGCAGCTGGTTCTAATAGAGGTTTGAGTGGTAGACCTAAGGGGGTTAAAGGTAAATATAAGATGGTTGATGGAGTTATGAAGAATGAGCAAAGGGCATTAAAGAGAATTGCCAAGAAGCATAAGAAGTAGATATGTGTATAGTGTAAAATAGATACTGGCATTCATTTCATTGTAGTATTCATTTCATTGTAGTACAGGCTTTGGTCTAACATTCCGTAAACGGAGTTACTGAGACACACACTCAGTGTAATTATTGCTGCGAAATATCGCCAGCATTCAGATGCCAGTTTCTGAGTCCCGTGACCGTTGAGATTGGCTTACAGAGCACAGAGCACATACACAGAGAGAAATAGTGTACAAACCCAAACCCAAACCCAAACACTGAGAAAAGGACAAACAGACGGATCCAGACAGAAGTATCTAATTTAGCCTAATTAGGACAGATAGCTATTATAGCTATTATAGCTTAATAGCTTAATGACTATTACTCATCAGACACGTCTATATCTATATTACGTGTATTCGTCTTAAGTACATGTATGCTATCACCCAGCCAATGAATTATTCCCAAATAGGAAATGCTGCGGTTCAGTTTTGTGGCATGCCAGCCTGCTGTTTTAAATGAAATTAACTAAAATGGGAGAATATGGAAGAATATGAGCTGTTCTGGGAACACACCCGAGCGTGATAACACTAAGACTAAAGTAAGGAGTTCTGAATGTTTAAGCTAAACTTAAATTGGTTTAGAGTTATGTAGATGTGTATGACGTATAGATAGATAGATAGACAGATAGATAGATAGATAGATACACATATAAGAGGTATAGCAGTTATTACTATATTGTCCCAGTGCATAGCGTATATTTTTGCAGTATTCTCTCTGTCACAACTGTAGTCCTCACTATCTCAGAGTCCACCACACCCATAACCAGAGCCAGAACCATAACCCTCTGAACTTCTGAGTCTATAGTGTAATTTTATAGGCTACCCTCTATACAGTAACCCCTCATTCATGCCATACCATTCAAACCCCTATCAACCAATATCAATACTATTACCAATACCATTACCAATACTAAATACTATTATTATCAATGTAAACTGTCTGTGGTAGCGCCGCAGCACGAAAAATTCCGCACTTTTTTTTCTTCCTTAGAGATGGTGTTCCCTCCCAAAAAAAATGAAAATGACTAAACAGGAAATTTTGAATTATTTACAGCACCCTCTTCTTATCCAACGCTTAATCCACCACTTATAACTAGCTGAATATCTACTAGGCCGCGTTCAAGTCAGCCGTGTAGTTAGTCCAGCCTTCCCGTCCACTTTTAGTGATACACGCTCTTTTTTTCTGCTATTGTTTGGCGTATTCAATAGCTATCATATCATCATAGTGTACTGTCTGTAGTGTACTGTCTGTAGTGTACCCTCGTTAGAAAACAGAATTTTCCCAATTTCTAACCTTCTTTGTGTGTGTTCCATTTCATTCTTTTAATGTGTATTAGCATTGTTCTCAGTTTTCACTAGTGGAGCAGACTTCAGCTAAAGGAAGCAATACTATAATTCATATTAATACTGGTCCATTTGTCAGAATACTCAAAATTCAGTCTCAGTTAATTTATAAGTAACTTAGCTTAGAAATCCTCCTTCTTGCAGCCCCGAGCTAGCGTCCATTCATTACTTAATATTACTCATTCATTCATTCATTCCTTCATTCCTTCATTCATTCATTCATTCCTCCCTTTTGTCACTCGTTAATATTATATCAGTCTTCTAATCATGAGTTCTCTACCTCACTCAAACACTTACTTATCAGTAAATCCTATTAATACTACCCCCACTACTTCTACCAATAAAAGGTCTCATAGACATAGAAGATCGGCAGCTATTTCTGGAGATTTTGATGCTTTTGGTTCAGGTCTATTTGCTTCTCCCCCTCATCCATCATTATCTCATCATCATCATCATTTATCTCAACATTCTATTAATTCAAAATCAGAAACTATTGATTATTCTTATAATTTTAATAATGAAACAGACTTCGATATCTCCAGTTCAGGTTTAAAGAAATCATCTACAAATCCTAATGATGAATCTACTTTTTCATTCCCTGAATTAAAGACTCCTGATTTATCTGATAATTATAGTCTGACATTTGCTAAAAATGTTAATGCCAATGCTACTACTGCTTTTTCACCTAAAAGATATCAACATCCTGGTTTCCATTATACTCCTCCTCCTTCTCATTCATCTTCATTGAATTCTCCAAATAGATTATCTTCATTTATCCCCCCTCATAAGCGTACTTATTCTTCAAACAATTCAAGATCTAGAAAATTGTATAGTTCTGAAGATTTGTATAGACAACAACAGCAACAGCAACAACAACAACAAATTCAAAACAATATACCAGATGCAATAATCGATTTGGATGAAATATTAACGGCAAATTTACATATCGGTGGAGATTCTACTTCTTCATCATCAAATCATAAACGTACTGGACTGGCTCCAGCTGATTATTCATTTGATGAACCTGAATTCTTAGCATCTCCCTTTATAAGACAACAATCATTAAATAATACTCCACCCCCTAATTCAATTTCCAGTCCATTTTTCACTTCATCATCTCCAAGACCAACAACTCCGGCCAATCTTTTATTTATTCAACCAATTCATGAGAATCTAAATGATGATGAAAAGGAAGATAGAAATAATAATAATAATAATGATAATAATAATAATAATAATATTAATATTAATAATAATATTAATAATAATAATGATAATGACAATGATGATGATCAAAATATTGATTTCTTATCTTTAGATAGTCATCAACAAAGTAATAATAGTAGTACCAATGAATTACTTAATCAACCTCCACCTCAATTATTATCTTCAACAAGTTTATATACTAATTTATCAGCCAGTTCTTCAAATTCCAGTATAAGACAAAATTTGATTGAAAAGACATTTTCTAATTCTTCCAAAGAATCTATAAATAATAATACTTATAATAATGGTAATGGTAATGGTAATAATAATAATAGTAATAATAATAATAATAATAAACGATCAGGTGCAAAAGCTAATAGATATCAAATCTTTTATGATCAATCCAATAGAATTTCAAATGCTTTAAAGATCTCATCATCTGATAGTATTAATATTGTTAGATCGAATAGTCAAAATAAGGATATCTCAACATTACAGGCAAATAATTCAGGGAATATTAATCATAATAGTAAGTTATTAGGACATTCATCAAGTTTACCAAGTCTTAAATCAAATGGAGGCAAAAGAACCATTATGTTAATTCCTCCTCCACCCCAATTACCATCTCAATATCGTCCAACTAGTTCTTATTCTCATTCGAATACAAATACAAATACTAAAAGAACTATATCTCCACCTAGTAGAGGTAATCATAGTGTTGAAGTATCCCCATCAAATTCAATTAAGAATACACTCGATCAACAACAACAACAACAACAACAACAACAACAACAACCATCTAAAACTGTAGAAACTCCATTAAATATACCAAAGCCAACTACTATTGAAAATCCTGAAATATTAATAATAAAGACTAATACTTCAACTACAAGTCCAATAAGTATAAGATCTGGAGTTTCTTCAACAGTAATATCTTCCAGTGGTACTTTACAGTCTACTGATAATTCATCCATTCATTCTTCACATCTTGTTGCAAGTAAAGATGATGATGAAAGTAGTAGTAATAATACTAATACTAATCCTAAAGATAGTATTAATAAAATTCCTCTTCTTGAGAGATCTATTACTCCTTCTATAATTATTTGTTCGGAATCTTCTTCTCCATCAACTAATTCAACTTATAGACAACAAGATGATAGTCGTAGTGGACATAATGATTCCACTCTACTTCATTCAACCAATGAATCTACCATTATTGATTATAATGATAATGATAATGGTAATGATAACGGAGATGATCAAGAGCAAACGTCTCCTAAACGTCCATCACCTAGACGACCAACGACTGCCAATGAAGAGAAGATCTTACGGTTGACAAAGATACCTACATTCAAAGGAGGTTCGACTCCTTTGCATAGTCCTATATCTCCACCATCCTCACCAAGCGTAAGATCATCTACCACTATAGCAACTACCAATGGTGGTGGTAATGGAAGTAAACGCATGAGTATATATCATAGAATGAAGAGAAGTTCTATGACATTATCATTAAGTGATTTTAATGATTTATTACCTCCACCAACCGTCAGCTCAATGGCTTCAACTTCTCGTGGTTCAAGACATCAAAAGACGAAATCTTTGTCACTGTCAATTTATGAATTTATGCTGCCAAACACAAGAACAACATCCAATGCTTCCAATCCTCCATTTGATTCATCGGAGTCTATACTGGAAGGTGTTCCAATGGGTCAACGACAACGAAGAAGAAGTGATAAATTTCTTAATTGGTTTAAACGTAGAAGTGTTGTTGATTAAACAGTGATTGGAATTTTCCGTATACTTGCGCATATCTATATAACTATATACCTATATATCTATTTATTTCTTTTTAGTTCTTTGGAATAGGTTTACTTGTTCCTCCTGAGTATTTCACTTATAATATACATTTAAGTAGAGAGTGTTAGTATTGGTGTATGGATGTAGAGCATATTGCAGATAGGTCTATTACTCTTACTCTATAGTTGTCTTAATCTTTCTTCTTCAACAAAAGTTGCAAGTCGTTGTTGTTCTTCTTGAGCTGCTCTTTGAAGTGATACAATTTCTTATTGTTCTCTCACTATTCTACTTATTTCTTGTTCTTTAGTCTATAGTTAATGGTGTATAGTTAAGGATCCTCTGGTCGTGCCCTGGCGAATCGGAAATATCGCCAGTATGTTAGTACTAACTAGCAATACTGTTAGTATTAGTACTACTCATACTATTCAGTTTTTGATCCTGTGTATATCACATAACACAACATGAGTGGCTACGACTTACCGTCTGAGTTCTACTCACAATTAACATCGAAATATCAACAAGCTGTAGACAATGGTCATGTGCAATATAATGGAGACTCTAAGCAAGAAGAAGTCGTTCATTTATCAAATATAGATATTCAATTAACTTTATTACATTCACTTCAATTCCGTCCTGAGCAAGGTAGGAAAGATTCCAATCCATTTGCTAAACCTGAACCAGAATTAACCATTTTAGAGAAATATGGTGAAGATGATGAATTCCGAATTGTATTCAATAAATTCCCAGTTATTGCTAATCATTTCATGATAATTACTCGAGAATTTAAATCTCAATTAAGTCCATTATCATTAAATGAACTTAAGGCTACCTATAAGACTTTGGCTGCATTGAAAGTATCAGATACAACCGAAGATTGGTTTGCATTTTATAATTCAGGTAGTCAAAGTGGTGCATCTCAACCTCATAAACATATACAATTCATGCCATTACCTTCTAGAAATCAATTCATTCCATTTGCTGAAAAATTGGCTGATACTTCAGAACCTTTCATTCCTTCTGCTAAACGTGATCCCTTACAAGATCCATCATTACCATTTGCTCATTATGTAGTTAAACTTCCATCTGTTATAGACAATTTAGATGATCTTGCTTTATATTTTGCATCTTTACTTCAATCTACTTTGAATACCCTTAGACAAAATGAATCTCATGATATATCCTACAACTTTATAATGACTACTAAATTTATGCTTATGGTTCCTAGATCTCACGCTAAATATAAAAATCAACTTGGTATTAATTCTTGTGGAGTTATCGGACTTATACTTTGTAAAGATGATCAATTATTGTCCTTAGCTAAGAATGATGGACCTCTTTCCATTTTAGAATATATTGGATTTCCTAATACTCATGGTCAATCTACTGATGAATATAATTATTAATTAAGTAATAGTAAAAACTTACATAGAGTAACTAGGTATGCGCATCATTGCCTAATTGGGAAGTCTACGTTTCCAACCAATAAAACAACTGAGAAATTTAGTTACCATACACAAACTAAATAAGTAATTTATCAAAGATACACGACTAGTAAAAATGAAGAGCGAAATTGATATTGAAAATATGAACCAACAAGCTTGTCAAATATAGTCAATATCGTATAGTACAATAACAATCATCAATATGGCCTCTATTACTTCTATAGTTAAGACATCTGATTTCATTTTGTCAAGACCAACATTATCTAAAATTGTTACTCCTATAGCTAGAGCCTTTGTTGCTTATGCTGGTTACAGAGAAATGGGATTAAAATTTAATGATTTAATTATGGAAGAAACTCCAATTGCTCAAAAGGCTATTTCTAGATTACCTGAAGATGAAATTTATGCCAGAAACTATAGAATCTTAACTGCTCATCAATTAGCTCTTTCTCATCAACTTTTACCTCCAAATAAGGCTGTTCAACCTGAAGAAGATACTCACTATTTAATTCCATACTTATTAGAAGCTGAAAAGGAAGCCTTTGAAAAAGTCGAATTAGATAACATTGAAGTTTGAGCTCATTGTGGAACTCATTTGCTTGCATTTACTATCAAATCCATATATATATGTTTACGACCCACCCACCCAGTCCAATTCACAACATCACTATTTATCATAATGACACCTTAGATATCGGACTTGCTTTTATAGTAACCTCACTACAATACACATGCTATAATATATTTACCATTAAATTGTAGGAAAGAAAGAAAGAAAAATAAATTAAATTCTATTAATTTTATTAATTTTATTAAAATAACTATGCTCTATAAATTGATCAGTCTTTTTTCGTAGTTTACATTCCAATCTTGAACTTTCTTAATTGTTCTAATGCTAAGAAAGTTACAATTGTATGAGGTCCTAATCTTATGAAAGATGGTAACCAGCCTCTAAACATGAAACCTACACCTTCATTTTTAACTGCATTAACTAAGATAGTAACTGCACTACCAGATGCAGCTCCCTTAGCATTCATAATTCTTGTTTTAACAACATCTGCTGGTGAACATACGGTGGTAGCTACTAAACCAGCTAATAACGATGCACTGAAATGAGTAGATTTCTTAGATGGATCTAAGTGTAAATTGTCAACTAACAAATTCTTTGCAATATCATAAGTTACAACTTGGGATGCTGTCATTAACACTCCTCTCACTAAATTTGGTGTTAAACCTCTAAATAAAGATCCCACACCTTCTTCCTTAGTAATTCTAATAATCCCATCAAATGCATTTCTATAGTTTCTTCTTTGTTCTGCTGGTAATGATGAATCATTTTGCATTCTGATATTAACAACGTCTGATGGATTACCAACTAAACCACCCATTGCACCAGAAACCATTGACATTGGTAATAATACTGCAGTACTTGGCTTACTATTTTGAGTTTTCTCTACGTATGACTCCTTCAAGAATTCATATACTCCAAATCTAGTTGTAGAGTAAGTGGCTTGTCTTAATAACGATGCAGTTAACCCGGAATAGATCTTGAAAAATCCTTCTTTTGTAATGATCTGATAAACCATAGATACTAACGATTGACCAGGAGTGGCAGCCGTTTGTAATCTCACCTTTGCAAGATCAAGAGGGTGTGTCACTAAACATGCTATCATACTAGCAGCACCACCATACCAAAATCTATATAACACGTTTTGTTAGTTGATCAATCATAATTAAAAAAAATATTGAAAAATAGTTACTTACGGATACTTAATTTTTTGAGATGAAGTCGACATGTTATGAAATTATACGATACGCTACTATATGTTAACTTAAGGCTATAAGCAAAATGGTTTACAACTTTTTATTCAACGATCTTATCGAGAATATCGTTATATTTTTTTTTGGCGATGGCCCTTTAGGGATTTTGTTCCGAAACCGCTCTTAGCTCTGCTAATTGAAAGATTGATACTTTCTCAGAAATACAGGATTATCAAAATCGGATTATGGCACAGCTATGACCTTTAAATTGATTATATAATTACCATGGTTCTCCGACAACATTAATTGTATACCTATATATATGCTAGCTCTGAAGCACACTCCGGTGAATTACGGAATACCAAACTAATCTCGGAATAAAATTCCACTTCCCCTCCTTTGGGTTTTGGGCCCAATTCTTTTTTTTTGGTGAGGCTGCAAAATTGACATATACGCGGCTTGAAAAGTACTGGTAATACTAACTTTTAAACGAATTGTAAAATACACAAAGTAATTGAACTATGAAATTGGCCTGTGAATGTATTATCGTTATTTTATAATGTTCTATTTGATAGATTACTTTTCTGAATCTGTACTTATTTTGTTTATTAGTGAAACTCCGCATGTAGTAGCTAAAAGTGCAAAGTGACGTTCAAGAAGGATTACTCAGCAATGATGATAAAGATTGGAAATTACTTGTTTGAATAATCTTAAAAAGAATACCTCTTAATTCTTTTGGAATTCAATTTCTATGACACAATAAAAAAGTGGAAGTAAGTAGCAAAGAGTAAATAATGATAACTAGTAATTCGAATTGAAAGTCGTATTATGTAGAATATCTTAGTCCAAGTAGTCTATTCCTCATACTTTAATATATTCTTTTTATTCTAGTATTTAGAAAACAAATAGAGGTAGTAAGCGTGAACAGAAGGGTGGCCTTCGATTGATACCTCTTGATCTCATTTTTATAGATACTCATATATCCCCAGGTATTGCTAATAAATTATGACATAATAATTACTAGCCCATCTCCTTCTAAGGACATTGCATCTAATATTGATAGTAACACCACAATCGAATTGAAAATATTTACTTTTGTTGTATCCCTTTCTTTATTCTCTCGTGTAAACGATGTATATTATAGTCCTGTGATTCTTACTCACATTGTAGTCACCTTTCGTCATTGTCTCGCTAAAGCGCAATATAGTCAAGATACTACAACATCATATTGTTAGGATGCAAATGAGAGACTGAATACTTAAAAACATTTTCGATACACCTAATTTTTAAAGAGAAGCTGGTAAAATGGCTACAGTAGATGAAAGATTCAGAAAAAGTTGAAGTCGCAGTCTAAGAATGACATCAATCAGCAGTCGCACTACATGACAGAACAATAACATAAAGTATATATTACCATTTTATTCAAGATGAATTAAAAAAATGGACCGAAAAAAGTGAGAGGTTTAGAAAAAGTTAAAGAATGTAAGGAAGAATCCTAATACAAAGGTTGAGGGTATAGTCAACAATGCAGCATTTCCTTCATATTCTACAGTTGCTGTAGTTGCTGTAGAATATGAACTACTTGAAGGAGTTGGAATACTTCCAACCGCAGTTTGTTGTGTAGCTGAGATAGATTCAAGTTGAATGCTGCTTGATTCCACGTTCTCGTTAATAAGCTCTGTAGTTTGTGCATTATTTAAGGTAATAGTGGTGAGAGACACCTTTCCAACAATTGAAGTTGTTCCCTCATTATTGGCCTCTATACCTTGTGCGGTACTTATAGCAATTGTACTAGGGGTGACTGTTCCTGTACTTTCAGCAGATAAGGGGCAATAGGTGGTTTCTAATGTGGTGACAATAGTCTCAGTCGTTGTAGATGGTTCACCATTTTCTCCACTAGTGGTGATAGTTCTAGTTACTGTTGTTTCAAAACTAGTGGTAATAACACTACTACTACTGCTGCTTGTTGTTGTTGGGGTAGTAGCAGTCAATGGGCAATAAGTGGTTTCAATGGTGGTTACAATAGTTTCAGTCGTGGTAGTTGGCTCGCCATTGGCACCTTTGGAAGTAATAGTTGTAGTTATAGTGGTTGGATAAGTGGTGGTAATTACACTACTACTACTGGATGTTGAGGTGGTACTGCTTGTTAATGGGCAGTAGGTGGTTTCAATGGTGGTTACAATAGTTTCAGTCGTGGTAGTTGGCTCGCCATTGGCACCTTTGGAAGTAATAGTTGTAGTTATAGTGGTTGGATAAGTGGTGGTAATTACACTACTACTGGATGTTTCTTCGGTAGACGAACTAGTAGCAACTGTGCTTTCAGTGCCTGAAGTTATAGTGGATGTAGTAGTAGATGCTTCTGAGCTACTTGAAACAGTACTGGATAAAGTTGAGGACAAATCTGAGCTGCTAGATTGGCCTGGTACTGCTTGAGCAACATATGTAGGAGTAATATAACTACCTGCTGCATTTGGAGTATCTGCAACAATATCTAAGAACACTCTGTAACCAGCAGGAACATTTGAATAATCTATGATGATTTCTGAACTGGAACATCCAACAAGAGAAATTGTATCAAGAGCTTCATATGACTTAGGGAAGAACCAATCGTTTAAATCGTTTGATATGTAAGCTTCATAAGTGGAGCAATCCAATTCACCTTCTCCAGCGCCTACTTGGATAGCTAATGTACCGCTGATACATCCATCATCACAAGATGAACCTAATGCATATAATGCTGTTTGGCCCAACCATGGCATAGGTCTGACTGCGTAGACAATATCGTCAGTATTTTCAGTAGATTCTGCACCAGTATCAAAATCTACTCCGATTGAAATTTCAAAAGCTCCATCTGAGAATTGAATTGTTTGTTCACCCCCTACAAAGGCATTTGCAGCTTGTATATCTGAATTGGATGTAGATCCACCAGCATTGAAAACAAGCGGAATTGAAACTGTTCCCGAAGCATTTGGGTTTGAAGCTATTGCACTCAAAACAGTACATTGAATCGATGCTGATCCTGTGATACCTCCATTATAAACATCACATGAGGCGTAGTCGATTCCATCGATACTCAAAAATATGCTTCCATCAGAAGCATCTCTTTTGGTCACTCCAGAACCTGATGTACTATTGGTGGTAATAGAAAAGGCATTAGGAAAGCCTAAGTTGAACAGATCACCTGGTTGAGTCCCGTTAGGGAATGAGAGAGAAAAGGCCGCATCCCAAGATGGAGCCATAGGTAAAGGTGTTGCAAATGGTCCTTGTTGGGTCCAAGCAACAGGACCAACTGGTGTGAATACATTAGTAATTGATGGTGGAGCAGAAGTGGAAGTACCTGTATTACTTGTTGTGGTGGTTGAGGTAGTAATAATACCTGGACTGCTTGTAGAGCTTGAAGTAGTAATACCTGTGGAACTTGTGGTGCTTGAAGTAGTAGTGCCTGTAGAACTTGTAGTACTCGAAGTAGTAGTACTCGAAGTAGTACCTGTAGAACTTGTAGTACTCGAAGTAGTACCTGTGGAACTAGTAGTACTCGAAGTAGTAGTACCTGTGGAACTTGTGGTGCTTGAAGTAGTACCTGTGGAACTAGTAGTACTCGAAGTAGTACCTGTGGAACTAGTAGTACTCGAAGTAGTACCTGTGGAACTAGTAGTACTCGAAGTAGTACCTGTGGAACTAGTAGTACTCGAAGTAGTACCTGTGGAACTAGTAGTACTCGAAGTAGTACCTGTGGAACTAGTAGTACTCGAAGTAGTACCTGTGGAACTAGTAGTACTCGAAGTAGTACCTGTGGAACTAGTAGAACTCGAAGTAGTACCTGTGGAACTAGTAGTACTCGAAGTAGTATCTGTACTGCTTGTAGTACTTGAGACAGTGGAGTCAGTAGAACCTGTGCTACTTGTTGTATGTGAAGATGACACTGACGAACTATTAATTGATTCACTCGATGTAACCGAAGTGCTGCTAGTTGTAGTGCTTATAAAGATTGACGACGATTCATTTTCAGTAGATGTAGAAGATATGGTACTGCTTGTTTCAGTATAGTCTGTACTTGGAACAAGTTCAAAAATAGTGACATCCCCATCAAAAACATCTGTAGCAGTACTAAAACTGGTCGTAGTACCACTCCATGGCTCAATAATAGTTACTGTTGATGTTGGGACAAACTCAATCACAGTAACACTTCCGCCAATAATATCGGTAGTAGTAGTGTAGCTAGTAGTACTTCCAGTCCATACAACAGTTATTGTGGCAGTTGAAACAGGAACTAATTCAATAACAGTAACAGAACCTCCTATATCGGTTGTTGTAGTGTAACTGGTAGTGCTTCCAGTCCATGTTTCTGTCAACGTGACTCCTGATGCTGGAACATATTCGACAATAGCCGTAGTATCTTGAAGAATATCAGTGGTTACGCTGTAACTTGTAATCGAGCCCGTCCATGTCACTGTCTCGGTCGATAATCCTGTCTCAGGAATAAATTCAATCACCGCAGTTCCTACTAAACCATTGGTTGAGGTAGAGTAGCTGGTGGTACTTCCAGTCCAGACTAAAGTCTCAGTTGATAATCCATTACCAGGAACTAATTCAATCACAGTAACAGAACCTACTATATCAGTAGTTGTAGTGTAACTAGTACTACTACCTGTCCAAACCTCGGTAACTGTTGAAGCTGGAACATATTCAATCACAGCAGTTCCTACTAAACCATTGGTTGAGGTAGAGTAGCTGGTGGTACTTCCAGTCCAGACTAAAGTCTCAGTTGATAATCCATTACCAGGAACTAATTCAATCACAGTAACAGAACCTTCAAGGACATCGGTAGTTGTAGTATAACTAGTACTACTACCTGTCCAAACCTCAGTAACTGTAACTATTGAAGTTGGAACGTATTCAATCACAGCAGTTCCTACTAAACCATCGGTTGTGGTAGCATAGCTGGTTGTACTTCCAGTCCATGTCAATGTTTCAGTCGATAATCCATTACCAGGAACTAATTCAATCACAGTAACAGAACCTCCAATACCGGTAGTTGTAGTGTAACTAGTACTACTACCTGTCCAAACCTCGGTAACTGTTGAAGCTGGAACGTATTCAATCACGGCAGTTCCTACTAAACCATCGGTTGTGGTAGAGTAGCTGGTGGTACTTCCAGTCCAGACTAAAGTCTCAGTTGATAATCCATTACCAGGAACTAATTCAATCACAGTAACAGAACCTACTATATCAGTAGTTGTAGTGTAACTAGTACTACTACCTGTCCAAACCTCGGTAACTGTTGAAGCTGGAACATATTCAATTACAGCAGTTCCTACTAAACCATTGGTTGAGGTAGAGTAGCTGGTGGTACTTCCAGTCCAGACTAAAGTCTCAGTTGATAATCCATTACCAGGAACTAATTCAATCACAGTAACAGAACCTTCAAGGACATCGGTAGTTGTAGTATAACTAGTGCTACTACCTGTCCAAACCTCGGTAACTGTAACTATTGAAGCTGGAACGTATTCAATCACAGCAGTTCCTATTAAACCATCGGTTGTGGTAGCATAGCTGGTGGTACTTCCAGTCCATGTCAATGTTTCAGTCGATAATCCATTACCAGGAACTAATTCAATCACAGTAACAGAACCTCCAACACCAGTAGTTGTAGTGTAACTGGTAGTGCTTCCAGTCCATGTTTCTGTCAACGCGACTCCTGATGCTGGAACATATTCGACAATAGCCGTAGTATCTTGAAGAATATCAGTGGTTACGCTGTAACTTGTAATCGAGCCCGTCCATGTCACTGTCTCGGTCGATAATCCTGTCCCAGGCATAAATTCAATCACAGTAAGAGAACCGTCAATGTCGGTTGTTGTAGTATAACTGGTACTAGTACCTGTCCAAAAGTCAGTAACTGTAACTATTGAAGCTGGAACGTATTCAATCACAGCAGTTCCTACTAAACCATCGGTTGTGGTAGCATAGCTGGTGGTACTCCCTGTCCATGTCAGGGTTTCCGTTGTCGTTGCGGATACTAGAAGAGGAAGTAGAATCCAAGAAATCATGAGTTTCGTTAGCCTCATTTTATCGTATTGACCCTTATTATTAAATGATTTAAATTTTTCTATTAGTTACATCCAAATTCCATATATATAAGAAAATTTATCAGACAGTCAAAAGGACGCCTGCTCGTATAGTAAGGCAATGAGTGTATTGTGTTATTATTTGAGCGAGACAAACACATGCATAAATTACCATAAGCCAGCAGAAAGGAGCTATGGCTAAAGCGGCAATTCTCACAATCAAGTCTTAATACTGCTTGTACATGAAGCTTCTAAAGGAATAGAGAAATAAATAAACATGTAACAGGAAACATATCATCCCAAATAGGATAATTCCTTTTTGGTAAATAGATGCAATTACGAATGTCAAGCTGCGGAAAAAATATCTTCTGTGAGATTTAAAAAGATTCTGCAGCTACTGCATGCATGTGGATGCATTGTGTCTATTGTGAACAAAATAAAGCGAGATCTTCGAAAAAATACACTTAACCTTCGCTAAATTATCTAATATCTACGTCAACATGACACCCATATTTCTGTACTACGTAGATTTATGATTTCTATTATAAGTCCCCAAAACTATTCAGGATATTGTATAAGAACTGAAATTTATTTATTTTGTATAGTGAATATCCAAACTTATCCATTTTATATGATAAATCAGTCATCACACATTTTCGGATAAACTTTTCCCTCGATGTTTATTTTATATTTCTGAATGTGTGAATTCTGAAGATATTGCAAGCTACGCAATGGCAATTTCAAAATTGAATAATATTAAATGCTTTTAATTGCAGCTCTTATTTCTATTTAATTTTATTTTTTTCTTAATAATATCTCATTTCGGCATTTTGACACGAGCTATATTTTTCTTTTTCTTTGTGCTTTTTTGGCTGCATATGCAAAATATCAATTCCTAAATAGTGATATTCATATCGTGATATAGCCTCTAAATAAAGTACCAATTTTAGCCAGAAACAGAATACATTAATTACAAATTACCTTTGTATTCAATTTAACCTCTTTCGGAAAGAGCTTCATGTGCGTAATTTACGTATACGGTTAAATATTGTGTTTCTAAATATGCATTCTTTACCAGAGCCTTTCAACTGTCCTATACGAATTGGGAAATTTTCTAACATTTTAATTTTTAATGTACCATACGAATAAGAAGTTAACTGCATCCAGTATCAGACCAATCCGCCTCGTTGTATCTAAAGAACGCAGGCATGGTTAAATATTGTTTGCTGTTTGCACTTTTTCAGATTGAATGAGTATTTCGATAGTGAAATTCGCAAAACATTGATAGAACCATTTATTATCAGTGTTTCAATGAATCGTCAAATCTCTTGTTTTTCGGGTCTATAATACTAGATTATAAGCCCTCCTGTTTGTGAATCTTTATTTCAGATGTGACCGACAAGATTAGAAAAATCACCTCAGTGCATCAAATAATATTTCACTAACATTAGTTTTTCAGCCTACAAGAAGATTTATACTCTGCATCTATAAGAAATTTTCTTTTCTATCTCGTATTCTAGGCTATATATTGCTTCTAAAAATATTACACACAAACTTATTGCCTGTAATTTATATTATTATCATTAAGATTTCAAAAAGTTAATTTATGTTTGATATTCTTCAAGGTTATTTTCCAAAGCCATACTTAAGAGTATTATATCATAACCGAACAGTTTATCGACAAACGATTTTAAGAAGGATCGGTTGAAATTTGGCTAAATTAGCCATTAACCACTCCCTCATATGAAAGCTAAAACAAAAGTAGACTGAATTCTGAGAACAAATTTACAAAGCCTTACTGCACAAAAATATTATTTCATAATACATATTTTTTAACTTTTTCGGCTTCTGCTGGTTTACGCATGTATTATATATTATCTGACACAAACAAATTTGTTGCAATTGGAATCTTTTTTCCAAATCATGTCTGGCTACTCTTTCTTATATATATTCTCAAAAATGTAAAATTTGAAGTGTTTGGTAGATTTTAATAGTTAAGGTGTAACCATGCTAGTTTCAATTAATCAGCTAATATACTTATGGATCCTATTACCATTACTAGTTTCGGCATCTGATACTGAGACTGGTCTTTCTGACGCTGTCACTCAAACTGGTTTTTGGACTGGTTCAACCATCAGTTATACTACAATTATTGACGTTCTTGACGGAGGTGTTACAAATGGAGTCACTGTGGAAGAGTACATACCTTATTCCACAAGCAATGTGGTAGTTACTTGGACCGGGGATAGCACAAGTTATACCACAGATTATGGTCTTAGTGGTACCGCTACTGTATTCGAATACGTACCACATGATTTTGTTACAGTTAATGGAACATGGACAGGAAATTCAACATTTTACAGTACAAGTTTTGTTGCTAATGAAGGTACTGCTACTGTCGTTGAATATGTTCCTATCTCAACTGTCACTGTTACCGATACATGGACTGGTGATAGTACATCTTTTGAAACTACTACCGCACCAATAGGTGGTACTGCCACTGTGGTCGAGTTCGTTCCCTTTTCCTTTGTTTATACAACAGACACATGGACCGGAAATACAACAACTTACACTACAAATTACAATGCTGATGGTACTGCCACTGTTGTTGAATATGTTCCTATCTCAACTGTAACTGTTACCGATACATGGACTGGTGATAGTACATCTTTTGAAACTACTACCGCTCCATTAGGTGGTACTGCCACTGTGGTCGAGTTCGTTCCCTTTTCCTTTGTTTATACAACAGACACATGGACCGGAAATACAACAACTTACACTACAAATTATGAAGCAGATGATGGTACTGCTACTATCATTGAATATGTTCCTATCTCAACTGTCACTGTTACCGATACATGGACTGGTGATAGTACATCTTTTGAAACTAGTACTGCTCCATTAGGTGGTACTGCCACTGTAGTCGAGTTCGTTCCCTTTTCCTTTGTTTATACAACAGACACATGGACCGGGAATACAACAATTTACACTACAAATTATGAAGCAGATGATGGTACTGCTACTATCATTGAATATGTTCCTATCTCAACTGTCACTGTTACCGATACATGGACTGGTGATAGTACATCTTTTGAAACTACTACCGCTCCATTAGGTGGTACTGCCACTGTGGTCGAGTTCGTTCCCTTTTCCTTTGTTTATACAACAGACACATGGACCGGAAATACAACAACTTACACTACGACTTACGGTGCTCAAGGTACTGCCACTGTTGTTGAATATGTTCCTATCTCAACTGTAACTGTTACCGATACATGGACTGGTGATGTTACATCATTTGAAACTACTACCGCTCCATTAGGTGGTACTGCCACTGTAGTCGAGTTCGTTCCCTTTTCCTTTGTTTATACAACAGACACATGGACCGGAAATACAACAACTTACACTACGAATTACAATGCTGATGGTACTGCCACTGTTGTTGAATATGTTCCAATCTCAACTGTCACTGTTACCGATACATGGACTGGTGATAGTACATCTTTTGAAACTAGTACTGCTCCATTAGGTGGTACTGCCACTGTAGTCGAGTTCGTTCCCTTTTCCTTTGTTTATACAACAGACACATGGACCGGAAATACAACAACTTACACTACAAATTATGAAGCAGATGATGGTACTGCTACTGTTGTTGAATATGTTCCTATCTCAACTGTAACTGTTACCGATACATGGACTGGTGATAGTACATCTTTTGAAACTAGTACTGCTCCATTAGGTGGTACTGCCACTGTAGTCGAGTTCGTTCCCTTTTCCTTTGTTTATACAACAGACACATGGACCGGAAATACAACAACTTACACTACGACTTACGGTGCTCAAGGTACTGCCACTGTTGTTGAATATGTTCCTATCTCAACTGTCACTGTTACCGATACATGGACTGGTGATAGTACATCTTTTGAAACTAGTACTGCACCAATAGGTGGTACTGCCACTGTGGTCGAGTTCGTTCCCTTTTCCTTTGTCTATGTAACAGACACATGGACCGGAAATACAACAACTTACACTACAAATTATGAAGCAGATGATGGTACTGCTACTATCATTGAATATGTTCCTATCTCAACTGTCACTGTTACCGATACATGGACTGGTGATAGTACATCTTTTGAAACTAGTACTGCACCAATAGGTGGTACTGCCACTGTAGTGGAGTTTGTACCAATAACTACAATTACAGAGATAGCAACATGGACCGGTACCTTCACTAGTTATATTACCAGTACAGCAGATGTTGGAGGTACTGCCATTGTATATGAATATGTGCCAATATCTGTAACAACTGAAACAGTAACATATACTGGCACCACAATAAGTTATAGTACGACTACCGAGGATGCCGCAGGTACTGAAATAGTTTACGAATTTATACCTATTTCCAAAACTACTGAGACTATTACGTGGACAGGAACCGATTCATCATATACCACTGCATATACCCAAACTGTAGGTGGAACAGAAGTTATCATCGAATATGTTCCTGGCACCTTAATTACTTATATACGTACTTGGTCAGGAACTACTACTAGCTATAGCACTACGACCATTGAAGGTACTGAATATATTGACGTCTACGTACCTCAATCGTATGCTACTGAAACAGGTACTTGGTCTGGAACAACTACTAGTTATAGTTCTACAACCCTTGATGGTACCGCTTACTTGCTTGAATATGTTCCTGAATCTCATGCTACTCAGACTGGAACATGGAGTGGACTCACTACTAGTTACTCTACTACCACTGTTGAAGGTACTGCATATCTTCTTGAATATATTCCACAATCGTATGCTACTGAAACAGGTACTTGGTCTGGAACAACTACTAGTTATAGTTCTACAACCCTTGATGGTACCGCTTACTTGCTTGAATATGTTCCTGAATCTCATGCTACTGTGACTCACACTTGGTCAGGACTCACTACCAGTTACTCCTCCTCCACTGTTGAAGGTACTGCATATCTTATTGAATATATTCCACAATCGTATGCTACTGAAACAGGTACTTGGTCTGGAACAACTACTAGTTATAGTTCTACAACCCTTGATGGTACCGCTTACTTGCTTGAATATGTTCCTGAATCTCATGCTACTGTGACTCACACTTGGTCAGGACTCACTACCAGTTACTCCTCCTCCACTGTTGAAGGTACTGCATATCTTATTGAATATATTCCACAATCGTATGCTACTGAAACAGGTACTTGGTCTGGAACAACTACTAGTTATAGTTCTACAACCCTTGATGGTACCGCTTACTTGCTTGAATATGTTCCTGAATCTCATGCTACTCAGACTGGAACATGGAGTGGACTCACTACTAGTTACTCTACTATCACTGTTGAAGGTACGGCCTATGTACTTGAATATATTCCACAATCTTATGCTACTGAAACAGGTACTTGGTCTGGAACAACTACTAGTTATAGTTCTACAACCCTTGATGGTACCGCTTACTTGCTTGAATATGTTCCTGAATCTCATGCTACTCAGACTGGAACATGGAGTGGACTCACTACTAGTTACTCTACTACCACTGTTGAAGGTACTGCATATCTTCTTGAATATATTCCACAATCGTATGCTACTGAAACAGGTACTTGGTCTGGAACAACTACTAGTTATAGTTCTACAACCCTTGATGGTACCGCTTACTTGCTTGAATATGTTCCTGAATCTCATGCTACTGTGACTCACACTTGGTCAGGACTCACTACCAGTTACTCCTCCTCCACTGTTGAAGGTACTGCATATCTTATTGAATATATTCCACAATCGTATGCTACTGAAACAGGTACTTGGTCTGGAACAACTACTAGTTATAGTTCTACAACCCTTGATGGTACCGCTTACTTGCTTGAATATGTTCCTGAATCTTATGCTACTCAGACTGGAACATGGAGTGGACTCACTACTAGTTACTCTACTATCACTGTTGAAGGTACGGCCTATGTACTTGAATATATTCCACAATCTTATGCTACTGAAACAGGTACTTGGTCTGGAACAACTACTAGTTATAGTTCTACAACCCTTGATGGTACCGCTTACTTGCTTGAATATGTTCCTGAATCTCATGCTACTGAGACTGGAACATGGAGTGGACTCACTACTAGTTACTCTACTACCACTGTTGAAGGTACTGCATATCTTCTTGAATATATTCCACAATCGTATGCTACTGAGACATATTCTTGGTCTGGAACAACTACTAGTTATAGTTCCACCACTGTTCAAGGTACTGCTTACTTACTTGAATATGTTCCACAATCACAAGTAACTGCAACTGCAACGTGGACTGGAACCACAACAAGTGTGACAACTAGTACCGAACCATTTGGAGGAACTGCTATTGTCATTGATTACGTTCCACGTTCATATGTTACTGAAGTTCTCACATGGGAACGTCATTCTACTAGTTATTTGACAACCACTTTACCAGTTGGAGGTACAGCTATTGTAATCGAGTATGTTCCATCTGCTACAACAACGACTTCAAGTAGTTCGTCAAGCTCTACGGAAGACGAAATTGTTAGTACTACAGTCATTACTTCAGATTCAACAGAAACTTCCTTAATCGTGATAAGCACTGATTATTTTAGTTCTGGATTTTATTACAATACTACTTTCACTGAGACAGAAAGTTATTTAACTGGTACAACCCTCACTGAAGTCACTACTGTCGACGTTAAGAAGAGAAATGTCGGTGAGTACATCTTTACTACTCAAACTGCCTTCCCTTATCCATCAGATGAGGATTTTGCTGCTTATGAGGCAAAGGCTAATTCATTGCTTATACCTTCAACTTTCATTGTTGAAATTTTTGTAGTCCTTTCTGTTTTGCTCTTAGTGGCTACATACTTCTGAGCTGTTTCTATTTTCGGTTTTAATTTCATTAGCACTATACCCTGAAATTAAGTTTATATCTATATGTTTTATGTTTTAATATAGAAAAAATTCTATTCATATATGAAATTTGTAATGATCTTGTAACCCTAAATCTTAGAATCTCAACTTACAAATATATATGTAGAATATCGTTTCAGCTGTTTTAAATAATAAAGAAACTATATGAAAGCTTTGCTTCTATTTATTCAAATTAACCCTCTGTAACCACTTTTTAATGAACTTGAGAAGGTATTTTCAATATATCTTAAATACAATATATGAAGATCCCAGAATCTTCTGCTACTACTGGTGTATGTTTAACTGGTGTATTTTAAATGAAAAAAATCAATATTCCAACCACCTCATTTCATGAAAAATCCTCAAAAGATGAAATCGACAAATTGGGAAGATGAATACTTGGTCATTATGACAGTTAGACGTTTCAAACAGTTATCTGAGCTTAATTTTGGAAAATAATCAGTTGGATATCGATCAAATAGAACAAGTCGATCGTTGTTATACTTACCATTTAAATTCCTCGACTTCGGTTAATTTTTTAACAAATCTGTCATCTATAGAATCAAATTTTCATATGCAGCTTATTACTAGAATAATATAATTGACGAAAGAATTGAAAATGTTTAATATATAAGCTTCCTATTGTAAGTATTTTTTAAAAGAATAGACTGTAAAAGTTGAAAATTTAGAAGAAAGGAAAATCATTTACTACAACTGCTTAAAGAAATTGTTTGAGGAATACCCAAAACTATGAAAAACACGATCCAGTTCATTAGTAACCATTATAATTTGTGCATTATTCAGAATGCAGCACTGAAATATTCTGCATCCTCCAACATGATTGTTTAATGAAAAATTAGTTACCAAGTCAGTTTCAGTATTATTGATTCGTATAGAGTTATCTTTAGACTAATTGTTGAAGGTTTTAAAATTTTGTATTTCTTACACCGAATATATCAATATTTGTCGAACTATAAGCTACTTTCAAAGATGATCGTATACATTCCTAGATCTAAGAATATAAGAGATTTAAATTCTACTGGAAATACTATAACAGTAATAATAACCCCTATAGATTTGGATTTAACTGTCTAATATGGAGTTACGATGTGCAGTTTGTACAATAAAATAATCGAGCATTAATTGTAAATATGTTCATCATATATCACAAATGAAAATTTTGAGTTGAAGCAGGTAGTGAGGGAACCCATATTACTTTTGCTGAAATATTTTAGTGTTACCTACCACAATCAAAAAGAACAACGAAGAATAAGTTCATGTGGGAGGTTCAAAATCCATTATATCAAAATTAATATGGATAGTTGATAAGCTACATATTTTATCCTAATGTTTTAAATCTTCATTCTAAACTGCTGGAGTATGTTAAACTAATAGCGACGCTGAAAGACACGCAGTTCCACATATTTGTTAATGATGTACTTACCGAATATGGAAATCTTCAAAAATAATAGATAATTCTAATAAAATGTAGTAGACCAGCAATTTCTAATTATCTCGTTTCAGAGTAAACTACTTACGAAACGTTATGTTCTAGAACATTCTACCTGCAGTTATCCTTCTTCCTTAAAGCTTGAAAAGACATCTCTGGATATTTTATTTTATTCCCTGTACAAAATTGTATAACAAGTTTAACCGCCTGCAAACATGTGACTCAGCTTAAAAGCTATAAGAGTATTAACTATATTCCAAAAATGGATAATTTATCATCATGCTTAATTAGTATCAGATGTTATAAAAGCTAGACAAGTACGACTATGGTAAGAATCATATCATGCAAAATGCAAAATCTAACATATGCATTCAAGAGCACAGACAAAAAGAAACGTAATTTGAGTCAAATAGACGCAAATATAAGAAAATAATAATCGTGATAACATTCAACACGTGAACTGTAAAATAAATATAAATAATTTGGGCAAATTTCTCATTTCATGGATATTAAAAAGCCACTGAAAACGTAAGTAGCTGTAGAATTAGATACAAATTAGCGAAGATTTATTTTTTGGCAAAAGGCTCTTTGTCAGATTATAAAATATAATAAATCTTGCATATATGAAGCAACTAAAAAGTTAATCTTGCAGATTATATTTTTTATGCTATTTCAATATCAAAAATTGATCAGTACATGAATTGTCCTATTTTGGACTTCTCGTTTCCTTTTGTAACCCATCAATTTTCTAGCACAAAAAAACAAAATGAGCATACCAGCTTCCTGAAAAACCTGAATTTTCGAGATTGAATTTCTACGTTAAAATTAGAGGAAGTAAGAGAAACCCCTTTCTAAGATGGAGTATATAGAATTTGCATCAGTGAACTCAATATTATGAGATAATTTCTCTTAATTAAATAACAAAAATAACAAATGACCACTTTTTTTGAATTACAACTTAATTTGATTTAATTGTTTTTGCCTAATGTAAGGAAAGTAGGTGAGATGTAAAAAAGTTGGCGATTAGCGAGAATATTGGAATTTCAATAGACACACGGAGATTTAATACGCGGAACTTGGTCACAGTTCATAGGGCCACCTTTAAGTATACCATTTTTTAGAATCGTTGTTACTAATTCCTTACGTTTATGTGTAGAAAATATTATTACTGCAAAATTCTTGCTTGATAAGCTTCGTGTTCATTATTATTAGATTTACTCGCTTTTCGGTTTATATACTTGGAGTGAAACTGATTTTTCTATTAATCACAGTATAAACTATTGGAACATATTTAAACTAAATCCTAATAGCTCATTCGAAGAATTACTATTTTAGATAAAATCAAAAGTAACATATAAAAATAAATTGGACTGTTGGATGTTGGATGTATGGATGTGTGAATGCTATATAATTACAATTACTCCCAGGTGGATTACAATGGGGAATTTTGATTTATGAGGATATCACGCTATGCCTATATTTTATTTCGGTGCTGAATGGGCTTGTGAGTATTTTTTTTCCATATATCACAAAGACTAAATGCCGAAACAATTATTGCAGAATAAAAGAAAATAAACGCTCCTTCATCCACAAATAAGATCATCGCATATTGTATGTAAACATGAAGGCTTAAATTTTTAATGTCACTTGCAGGTTCCCAAGCTTTCTAGTAAATCACTCAACATGGAAATAAAATAAAAGCAGATAGTACAAAGTTATCGAATATTGAATTTGCTACTTATATTCTACAATTAAGTTGGTATGTACTAACATTTATTAGTTATTTTAGAACTAGCGATTAATTAAAACATATCCAGCAGGATCAATTGGTGATACAGCAAAAGCATTTAGTCGGTCAATTTGTATTCTATTTATTCTGCCTCTTGTTAAGCCCTTGGTATTTTTTTTTATTTATGATTTATGTTATCGTGTATATGATTCTTACCTAAAAGCATTCAAAAGGATGATTTTAATATTCAGTTCTATAATCATGAATTTCTGTTTTAGGCTTAGCAGCTCCTTTAAGTAGCAATTTAGCAATTATTTACCTTCCTTCAGTTTCTAAGGAAGTAAAATTAAGTAGATGTTAAGATAGTAAATAAAGAGCAATTTATTTTTTAGAGTGAGCCAGCGCTTAAAATAAAGTCTTCTAAAGCTTCGAGCAGCTAGCGCATAATCTTATTTATAAGTCAAACTTTAAATCTTGCCGAATATATTTTCCTGCTAATTTCGCATTATATTTACCAAATGAAATTTATCCTATTAAGGATTTTCGGTCCCCATTTGTACATTATGACATATGAACTGGAGTTTGATGCTTTTCAGCCATATTTGATTAGCACCTTTCCTGGTTAGAAGACTAAGGCATTGAAATGTTATTTTTTCGTTAGCTTAATTAAAATCTACAACGCCTCAAAATATTGACAATAATCGAGCCAATAAAGACTTGATTACAGAGATAAAAACTTAACTAAATGCAACTGAGCAGTAGCTGAAACTAATAAGTATAGAGTTATTCTTCCTTTCTATATAACTTTGGAAATATATAACGTAAATCGTGATTTTCTATAATATAAACTAATTACTAAAGGTCTATAAACCCCGAGAAATGAAAGGCTTAGATTGCGATTATTGCCTATGATTCATCACATACCATTTACGAAAGCAGTCAAAATTGTTTAGTTACTATCGTCGTCGATTCTAAAATATTAGATGTACCCAGCATCCCTTTAAAATCTTCAAAATAAATAGCTTCTATAATTTATTTCAGCTGCCTACTTTTCATATTAATTTAGGTGGCATGAGATTTTGAAAACTATTCCAAAAAAGAAAAGCCTGCAACATGATGAGTTTACTTAAGTTTGTGAACTATCTCCATTAAAAAATTGTTTCAATTGCAGTGTTAGAAGAATATGAAAGTTGATCAACTTTGTATCAATGCACCGGCAAAAAAAAAAATAGATACAAATTCTATTTCAGGAACTCTTTACAATACTGAAGGAAAGGTCTTGCAAACACTACTTGGAAAGCCTCAGGCATATATTTATCGAGAAAGGATGCTCTCGTTATAAAGCACTCAAAAGGAATGAGATTAAACTGCTTGCACATGGAAAAGAAGTTGAAATAATCAAGTGGGAAATCTAAATGATGTTTCATTGAAACACCTAAGAAGCATGGGCATAAATCGTTATTTTCAAGAGTATAATAAAGATTTACAAAGTCAAATTCAAAATAAAGAAATTGCCTCTCTATCGGTTGATATCTGCTAAGAATTCTCAGAAATGCTGAAAATATTACTATAAATATATGTTTACACATGTGTAATTCTAGTCTTGACAATTCAAATCCAACATCCAACATCCAACATCCAACATCCAACATCCAACATCCAACATCCAACATCCGACGGAATCTTGAAGAACTCGAGGATACTATATAATAACAAACATGAATTCAACAACTGTCAGTATGAACTGACTTTAACAGTAGTAAATGAAGACAATATTAACTGTAGGAAAATCTGTTGAAATATGAGACAGAAGCCCATGTGTTAATAAATTTAGAAAGCTTGTCACATACTGACCAAATTTTGTCGCAAGAACAATTAAAATAGCTTAAAGTTAACATAGATATGTCGTACCACTTTCTGGACTTAGATTTCTTATAACAGTTCTGGTCGATTTGCCATAAGAAGATCGAATGCAACAATAGCACTTCATTTTAAGTATTTGCTATAAGTAGACTCTAAATAAAGAAGCACAATTAACTAAAGTAGACCTGTAGCATGAGTTATTGAACCATGACGACTTCTTACTTAGCCAATTGGGCCAGTATTGAAGGTCACGCATAAGATGCAATGGTTGTGTG